ATGTAGCCAGAGCATTTATCGACGAGGATTTCCAGAAAAAAGCAGAAATTTACAATCAGAACAAAGGAATGCCAGATTTTACAGTAGGCAGTTTAGTAAACCTCAGGCAGGAGCAGAAGAAAGGCGAATGTAAGGACCTTCGTTTTAAATACGACGGCCCTTTCGAAGTCATCAAATTCCCATCAGAAAACGAAGTAGCCATTATTCGCAGAGACTATCCGTATGATTCAGATGTCGTCGCTATCGATCGTCTGAAGTCGTACACGCCAGAAAATCCAGAGTTCAGTAAGCCAATTAAAACCAAAATTATCCTCAGTGACATCGATAACGCAAAACATCTAAAGGCATCCAAAACAAACCGCGATAAAAATAAACAGCCAATTTCACCCAATAAGCCGTCAACTGGACTGTTAAAAGTCAAGTTGAAGGTTCCAAAGAAGCCTGATGAAAACGCCAGTCCAACTGCTTCATCTGGAGATAACACTGCAGATCAGTTAGCCAGTGATTCCAGTACTGATTCAGGACTCACAGCCCAAACCAGTACCAGCTCCGAAGCCAAATCAACTTGTGGAGATTCTTCTCCACAGCCAGCACTGAAACCAAGAAAATCTTCGAATCAAAAACCGAAGAAAGCCAGTCCTGAAACAGATTCGTCAGAATCGTCTAGCGATTCTGATGGAACTTGGACAATTACCGCCAACAGCAAAGGCAAAGTCAAAATCAAACGGCATCGTCAGACGCCGAATGATCTTTTGACTCAACCACTTGATTCAGAAACCGATGCAGAAGACGCAGATCTCATTGAGAAGCTCACTCGTCCAAAGCGTCGTAAACCACGTTTTCCTCAAGCCAGTTAATCAGTTACCGACCTAATCAGAACTCCATAGACTGCATTGAACCGCGGAAAATAACACATTGCATGATAGCTATGCAGTCTAGCCAGTCCACTCATGTAAAAAGCCAGCTCTAATTAATTCCCGCATTTTAGGGAATTTTAAATTTGTGTTTGCTAGCCAGATCAACAGTCACTGTTTTGCGCAGCCCATGTATGCAGAAAAATAAACTATGATTACGTTTCACCGTAGTCATTAAAACGAGATATTGTTAATTCGGTATTTCAGCCAGTTCTACTAACCGTTTAGCCAGTCATCCAATTTGTTTTTAATTCGCTATTAATTTAGTGAATTATTTACAAATTCAGCCATTTTTCTTTCAGCGATCACAACTTGCCAGTCCCATTACATTTGTGCATCCTTCAGACCATCGCAATACATTGCATTTGTAATGTAATGTAATACATTGCATGGTAGCCAGTTCAACTTCTCATCACAACCAGTTCTACAGTTTGCGATTAAGAAGTGAATTTAGTACCGGCAACGAATTGAGGGATTCGCGGCAGGCACTTGTCACTTCTTCAGGCAGTAACTAAAATCAGCCAAACTATCACTGGAAACCTTGTGAGCAGATACGGCTCACAAGGATGGATTCTCCATGAGCAGATACGGCTCATGTGAGTGGATGGACCATGGAAAGGATGAATTGGATTCCTCTATGGGACACCGGTATTTTTGTTTTTTTTAATTGTCATAATTCCTGTTTTTGGTAATTTAATTTAATTTCTTTTTATCTCGATGGAATTTTCTTTTTATTAATTTTAAGGCAATAAGCCAAATTTTCCAGCCCTTATGGCCACGTGTGTACTTTCCCTGTTTTCATTGTAAAACACAGGAAGCCATTCTTATAATCATAAACTAACCATACAAAACTTCTTCTTGTGTAAGCCAATCGTACTTCAATCAGTTCTACCAGTTATTATCAGTCTTTACCGTTTCTCCATGGTAAATTTCGAGCCAAAACTACTCCTAACAAAGGCAAACCAGAAGGCAAGATACGCGCTCAATTCTCAAGCGGTGGTGAACGGTCGAAAAGTGGTTAAGCTGAGAATTAAGTTTGAACTCAGTACCACGAGTTTGCGAGTGACAGGAGTTGCGAGGAAACGTGAGTGACTCGAGAGTGTCAGACAGCCCTACAGCCAGTGTGTTGATTTCGTTATGGCATTTACTGCACTGAGCAGCGCTATGGCGGAATAGCATACGAAAAAATACTCTCAGACCTATGACAGACACTCTTGGGAAGCAATATCGGCATCTCGTACTCTTGTGTTTCTCGTTATATTCGTGCAATGCCGTGGGATTCGCGAACCTCGTGAGACCTCGGCACCCCACCCAGTGGCATAAGAGAGACTCCGTCAGGATAGTCAGGCTATAGACGCCTTCGTACTATCGGGAGTGTACGCGTGAGCCAGCACTCTATCGTCAGGCAGTACTATTGCGTAGAGCCATTTCCCACTGTTATACGGCATTGCGAGCCATAGCACGGCAGCGTATGTGCTTGTAAGAGTTTACTCGTGCAATGCACTACGCACAACTCGTACGTCAGCCATTCTCACTTTCAGGCATAGTACTTGGCAGCATAGCCAGTACAGACTGCTCATTCAGTCTGCACAGCCAGTCGGATATTATGTGATTTCATGCCAGCCAGATCTCCCTGTGTCATAGCATTGTGTGATTGATGATATATATTTTTGGTGATTTTTATGGTGCTGGGAAGAGTAAATACGGATATTTACGTCTTCCCGTTTTCTCCTGTATTTCCGGTATAGATAGAGGTAGTAGGCCTGACGTAGATCACGGCCTACATTGCACTCCGGTCAACCAATGCACTGTTCGTGCATTTTCCTAATTATATAGTGATGATTATTACGATCCTCACTCCGCCGTTTCTTTTCGTTTCTTTAGCCAACATCTCCTTCTAGACCATACGCCACTTCTCCCTATGCCATAGCTTGAAAAACATGTAAATTCATGTACTTTGGTTCAAAGGTTTTCGTTTTTCGTAAATTTTATTTCGAAATTTACGAAACTTTCTTTAAACGGATTTCGCCCATTGGCTGTGTCAGTAGGTATTAATGGCGAATAGGCGGAAACAGATATTACTATAGCGGAATACACTTAGCAACACCGTAACAGTGGATGGGCGAAAGCGATCATCATTGCGATAAGGAAACAACTAGCAACGGCCGCGGCGCGCTACGCGCCGCGGTATCCACTGAAGGCTGTGTTGCCGCGTTTATTATTGCGTGATTACGTTGCGCTGTTAACCATCGCGTTATTAAACTACACCGTTTACTTTCAGGTGGTTTCGTTACGGCGCTTCGTTGTTAATTTTCGCGTGCTTGCGTTATTCCGCTAATTCTCGCGGGCTTTTGGTACACCGTTTACTGTCTTGTGACTACGTTACGTCGCTTAGTCTCGATTGGTTTAGTTACGCCCATGAATCTCTTGGATTACGTTTCGGCGCTTGCTCACTTTCGGTTACTTCGCGCCGGTTACTCTCTTGTGGTTACGTTACGCCGTTCACTCTCTTACGGTTACGTTGCGCCGGTTATCGCTTTCTTGTGGTTACTTTGTGCCGCTGACTTTCCTGCGGTTACACTGCGCTGTTTACTCTCGCGTGCTGAAGTGACGGCGCCTAATTTTTTCTGGTTACGTTATCCCGTTCACGCTCCTGTGGTTACGTTATTCCGTTTACTCTCTTGTGGTTACATTGCGCCGCTTATTCTCTGGTGGTTACGTTACACCGCTCACTCGCTTACGGTTACTTTGCACCGCTCACTTTCCTACGGTTACTTTGCGCTTTTTACTCTCGCGTGCTGAAGTTACGGCGCCTAATATGTTCTGGTTACGTTATTCCGTTCGCTTTTTTGTAGTTACTTTGCATCGCTTACTTTCTTGTGGTTACGTTGAGCCACTTATTCTCTTGTGGGTACGATACGCCGCTCATCCTCTTACGGTTACTTTCCGTTGTTTACCCTAGGACGTTGACGTTACGGCGCCTAATTTCTTCTGGATATGTTATTCGGTTCACTCACTTGCGGTTACGTTGCGCCGCTTATTCTCTTGTGGTTACGTTACGTTGCTCACACTCTTACGGTTACTTTGCGCTGTTTGGACTAGCATGTTGACGTTACGGCGCCTAATTTCTTCTGGTTACGTTATTCCGTTCACGCTCCTGTGGTTACGTTATTCCGTTTACCCTCTTGTGTTTAGTGGAAGGAGTATGTGAAGTGACTGAGTCATCGAGCTAATCTAGTGTCTAATGCACTCGCCTTGTTTCAAATTTAACACCTTATAGACAGTGAAATTATCTGTGCAGCCGAAAGAAATGCTGCCGCGGTTGATAGAATCAGTAATTGAATTTTCTATGAATTCCGATTTTTTGTGCTTTGACGATGTACCGAAATTTTTCGACGAAATATGGATGAAAATACGAGTACATGCAGACGAAATACTAATTCATATTCATTCGAAATGACATAAAATACAGTAGCAGTGGACCACAAGAAACGCGGAGGCGAAGTCGAGGCTGTTTCTTGTAGTAATTACTAACGGGACCACGGTTAATTTGCATAATACCTTAACGCGACTGCGCGGAAATTTGCCGGAAACCGGTATCCTGATTGAAAAAACTTGATTGTCGTGCTGACAAACGGTACACAAACATCATACAATTTCGATATCAAAACTGTGTTTATCATGAAAATTCAGCTCTCAGTCGAAATCCGGCGAGGTAACCGGCGCATGTGGAAGCGATAATGTACACAACAGATAACACAACCACCGCAAAACAGGTTCCACCTAAGACCAGTCCAAAAGTGCCGACGATGGCGGCATCTGATGGCACTTCCGGTACACCGTTGGGAAAGAGGAGGTCCCAGGTGCTGTCGCGGCGTCGCCGTACGTACCATGCGGAGAGGTCCACCCAATAGGAATGTCGCGCGTTGCTCAATATCATTTTCTGGAGAAAATATCAGACGTTACAGTTCAGTAATAAGGAAAATTTTAAGTTAAGATCAAGTATTGCTCATTGTCAATCTGTGTCTAAAAATCTAAAGTACAACGGTAAATAAAGGTCTTATATACCAGAATTTTATCTCGCAGGAAACCACAGAGCGGAAACGTGGAGACATAGTCAATGACGGTGTCGAAATGGGGATACGCGGTGAAAAGCATTGTTCCACAGTTGGCCCGTAAAAACACAAGGCACCCCATGCGCACAACGGCAATACGGCGTCTCTGCCGGCAGCGCTCTTGGGTTTCCGGAGCAGGAGTTCCATCGTCTATGGAACCCGTTGGCGGTTTCGAATAGGTACAAAATACGGCGACCAACTTAAATTTATTTTTTAAACTCTCCAAGAATTTTTTACATTGCCAGAAAACGCGTTTGTCAACATGTACAGCGATGTTGCCATTACTCCCAAGCTTTAAATACGTAGTCTTCAGAATAGGACACTTTTTTTCGTACGGTTTCAAACGTTAGTACTCGATTAGAATTTTCACGTCGAAGTTTACAACTAATTCTTTGCAGCAATATAGTTATGGGTGCTTTTTAAAAATTTTTATACAGAACTATTGACTCGCTTCACTTACGGATCTCCCATGCCACGGAACACCAGAACGGCTTGCGATGGCGGATTAATAACACGGAAAAGGGACAGAGTGCTGCACGTGATTAACAGGAACAGCGAGACTAAATATGCCGGTAGAACGGGCGCAGTGGTGTTGCCGGTTGTCAGTTTGAACAAAACGATAGCCAGTGGTGGTAAGAGGAACACGGCCAGGAAGGAATAGCGATTGTTAAAATCACCGCCACATACCAGATAATAATTAGCCAGTTGCATTTGCTTAGCCCGCTCCAGTTAACTTTGTCCGGTGGGTCAGTTTCTTCATCCACCTCATGTTCCGGCAATAGGGGACGCATCCAGTATTTTATAGTTGACCGTTAGGCTGCAGATTAGGCCGTTGCGCAGAGTAGCCGCTGCCAAGGATAGGATAAGCGCCGCCCCTTGACCCACTAGGCCCTGCTGGTTGCAATCCGTCTTTGTGGCGTGTGCAGGGGAATACATGCAGCTGATGCATCAGCATCAGCATCGATTTTGCTATTGTCAGTGTATGACGAGCCGTTCGTGCAAAAAGGTTTTCATGTATGTTATGTGGCCTATGATGCCAGGGTCAAAAAGAGTGAGGAATTTTGAGAGGGAGGAATTTCTGCGTGGTCAAAAAGAGGGAGAAATTTCTGAAGGGAGGGAGGGAAGAATTTTGATATGGTCAAAAAGAGGGAGGAATTTTTTCGAAGTTCAAATGAAGTACTTAGGGACCTCGAACCCAGGTCTCCGAGGTCGCCACCGAGATTTTTTCATCCAGCAGGCGAGCGAAGCGAGCCCGCGTTCTAATTCAAGACATGTTGAGGGTTCGATGAAAGGGAAGTACCAGTGACCTTTAGGTCGCCACGTGACTTTTGAGTCGCCTCCGATTTTCATGGTGATTCCTATACAGTTTGGCATGCTGAGTCGAATTAAAGTACTCGGGGACCCCGAACTGGGTCCCTGAGGTTGCCACCACGATACGTACCACATATGCACATTTTGCTGTGCTGAGTCGAAGTGAAATGCTGGGGGTCTCGGACCCGCGTCCTCCAAGCCGCCCAAACGATATATATTTTATATGCAGAGAAACGCAGCCGTACTTTGCAATTGCTTTATTCTGCTAGTTGTTTCGACTAGCTGTTGTTGTTTGTTGTTGATGTGCTTTATCAAACCACTGCTGGAAGACGTAGAAACTGGGAATATTTCTAAACATTCAGAAATGTTTCTAAAAATTTCTGATTGTTTCTAATTATTTTCAATAAAATTTCTCATTATATTTCTACGTATTCCTAAATATATTTCTAGATATCCTAGATATTTTTCGACATATTCCTAACTACATTTCAACATATTTTTCGGCAGTTGAAAGTATATCTGTAAATATGTCTTACCCCATTTCTGAATATATTTCTGATTATTCTAAAATTAAGTTTTCTGATATTTCTGTACATATCTCTACAATTTGTAAATATTTCTCAATACTTCTAGATATTTATCAAAATTTTTTTTTAATGTTTCTCATAATTTCTATGAATTTTTTTATTATATTTCTACATTTTTCTTAATATATTTTTAAAGTTTTACATATATTTCTAGATATTTCCGAATATGCTTAGTGGTATTTTTCAGTAGGTTCATATATATGTAATTATATCTTGATGCATTCTGAATATATTTTAAATATTCTAATTACATTTTTAATTGTTCATTGCATTTATACGTACATTTTTAAATATTTCTACCTCTCAATAGCTCTGCCATTTTGTATTACAAAACGTAAACGTAAAAATCGTGATCATAGTTGTTAAATAAATTTCAAAAATAAAATACGGTAAATATAAAACTGATTAATAAAACAAGGTTTTTAAAAACTGGCATTTTACTTCAAAATACCTAAATTTTTAAGTATCCCAATACATAGCATGGCGAATTTTATTTAACTAGAACCTCTGCGTTTTCATCCCTGCTGAATATGCTTTATTCAAATTACTTTATGTAATGCGGCTGTAGAGCGCAATTCGAACACCACTTTTAGATCAAATTTCTCAATGGTTACCGCAAGCTTTGGATCATAAATTCATATTATATTAGATCTTTTCTATTTTATCATTGTTTCGATTCTAAAATTGCAGTGGAAAAATGAACTCTGGCGAAAACGGCAATAAATCTTTGAAACACTGATTTTTTAACGCAAATCAACAGCGCATTTCCTTAATCTACGAATGACACATTGTAACACAACAACGCTTGACACAGTGTTTCATAATGAGACGTTTTGATGTGCCGGTTTGTTATTAAACTCATTGAAATCTCATACAATATGTAGTATCTCCAAAATATAAGGTCTCATACGCCCATAGGCCAAGCGGGCGGCGGTTTTTAATTTAAAATTTATAAGGCACGAATGCATTAAGCATTAAAACGTGAGCGCTGAAGCTGCAGAATTAGCGTTGTAGATAAGGATTTTACCGTAGTTGTAGATCTAATTTGAGTAAATTCTCATTATGAACCACCTTGTTAAAATCGTACTTGTAAATGCGCTAAGTATGTGAATTGTTTTTAAACCAAACAACTTATCTAGCAATTTTTTTTGTCCTTTAACGAATTTCAGACATCAAAAAAATTATTTTAAGCTTGGAAAAAATACCAAAACTTTGGTTCCGCCGCTTTTGCGTGAAATCTCCATGACCGGTTATTGCGCACAAAAAATGAACCGTACGTCAGACTCTAATTTTCTACGGTTTCTTCAAAATAATTTCGAAGCACTATGGAAAAACGATTAACATCATGTTGTGTAACTTCGGTAAGCAGCATCATCAAAGTTTTGTTGTCGAAGATTTGCATTCATCGTACTTTCTTCCCGGTATCGCGTGTTTCCAATTTACTTTGACTATAGTGTTTTACTAATGAATAATCCAGATGCAGAATTATCCAAGAAATAATATATAATTATTTTAGTTTCTGTTTTAAAATTTAACTGCATAGTGCTTTTGAAACAACTGCTATTTAATTAACAACGAAAATTTAGGATTTTATTCGAAAGTGCAAATTTTAATTTGAATTGAACGAGAAAATAAAAATTTTTTAAATAGAATTTCAGATAAAGTGATTTTGATTTGGGCAATAATTGGAAGGTTAAGAGGAATAATTTAATTTCCGTTTCAAAATTCGTGAATTACTTTAAAATTTTGGGTTTTTAAAACAAAAAAAAATATTAAGCCAGAACAATTTTAAATTTTATTTTATTTTACTTCGACTGTGTTTTATCTCATTTTTATTCAGCAGAACTGGCAGTTAGGTTCTGTTACGAATCGCTTTTCATCATTGCATAACTCATCCTGTTCAGATGGATGATACGACATATATAAGAAAATTAATTCGTTTGAACTGATATAGCGGTGTTTTTGCGCAGAATTTTTGAAAACAAAATTAGCGCCTCAGATAATATTCGTGCTGAGTTTTGGCTATTGTACCCGACCAGTGCTAAAGTGGATTTGATGTAGCTAGTACCAAGCTAGTAGCTATTAGCTACTTAGATTTAGCTTTAGATAATGAGCCTTTTTATGTATTAGATGGTAGTATGTATTGTTAAATCGAGATGAGGCATTTTATTTACTTCGAGCTTAAGCTTTTTGAGATAAATAAATCTGCACATCCAAGGTTATTTTGGCATTTATATTGAACTATTCAGATGTCTTCGTTTTTAGCTATTTGATATAAGTACTGTATATGCACTGAATTTGATATTCTGGTGTTCGAAGATTTAGTTATCTATGTGGCTGTTAAGTTATTTGTTGGTTGGGTTTCTTAACGTCTTAAACAATCTTAAAGAAATAAAAAGTGAAGTTTCTAGAGAATAAAAAATCTTGCATGCTTAGGTATTTAGGTGTAAAGCATTTTTGTGCTTAAGAATTGAGGTTTTTATATAATAAAATGCAAAATATTTACGAGCGGAAGTTCAGTTTGTAGATATATTCAGATACTATAACCCAATCTGGACATCCGGTAACCAAAAAATTAATAGGTTTTTAAAACTTTAGAAATACTTGGAGATATTTAGAGAAATATTTAGAAATATTCAAAAATATTTATAAATTGTAGAGATACGTAAAGAAATATCAGCAGACATAATTTTAGAATAATCAAAAATTTATATTTAGAAATGTGTTAAAACATAATTGCAGATACGAGGGACGCGGTTCAGAGGTCCCGGAGCACTTCAATTCGACTCAGAAAAGCAAACAGTGCATATCTGCGGCATATCGTGGTGGCGACCTCAGGGACCCGGGTTCGATGGTCCCCGAGCACTTTAGTTCGACTCAGCCCTTCAAACTGTGTATATAATGAGAAAATCTTGGTGGCGACCTCGGAGACCTGGGTTCAAGGTCCCTAAGTACTTCATTTGAACTTCGAAAAAATTCCTCCCTCTTTTTGACCATATCAAAATTCCTCCCTCCCTCGCTTCAGAAATTCCTCCCTCTTTTTGACCACGCAGAAATCCCTCCCTCTCAAAATTCCTCCCTCTTTTTGACCCTGGCCCCTTATGATATGCTTGTTATGATTGCCATGTAACCATGTTACTCATGTTACGCTTGTTATGTATGTTATGTACGTTAATAACGCAATGCAACGCATAATACTGTTTTGTGTTTCATTCTTTATATTAAATTCTTTATATTATACTAAATGTTAAATTCTTTATATTATACTAGCGGTGGTTGTTAACCACTATTGCACGAGCGCGAGCGCTAATACCACGGGGAAATGGTATTGGGATTGTGGAATTGGAAAAGTGTTACGTACGCTCTTCGTGGCGTCAGACAAATTTATGCTCTTGACGATCAGTTAATTGCAGCACCTCGCGCTTCGCGCTCGGTGCAAATTACTACTAGCGGTGGTTGTTAACCACATTACTGCACGAGCGCGAGCGCTAATACCACTGGGAAATGGTACTGGGATTGTGGAATTGGAAAAGTGTTACGTACGCTCTTCGTGGCGTCAGGCAAAATTATGCTCTTGAGTCCTTGACGATCAGTTAATTGCAGCACCTCGCGCTTCCCGCTCGGTGCAAACAAGAGTCATCTTCGGCTTCGCCTCAGATGCTCTTGTGATCTACAGTCAGTTCCTTGAAAATTAATTCTTATTCATTTATTTTTGAAGCTGGTTTGTGTGTTTGTTTTTACATTGTATGATTAGGCGCTGTTCGTAGCTTCAGTTAGGTTGCTCTAATCAGAAAACAGCATTACGAGTATATAACTGATCGGTTCATTTTATGTGAAACAAAATAGTTAGTAGCACGACTAATAATCGGAGAGCGGTCAGCGGTGCTAAGTTTCTAATTATTACGCTTCGCTACTTTTTAATAACTGGCTTAACTGGTACGTGGAAACCAATTTTGATCGAGGAAACGTGGTACTGGTACTGGTACGTGGAAACCAACTATAATATTCTTAGTTCAGTAATCAGTAGGCTTGGTCGGTAGATAAATAAGTGTGAATTTTTCGATGTTTTGATAATTTTTTTATTTTTGATTCAGTCGGCAGCAAGGAAAGTGTAGTGATAACGAGCAACAGAGATCACGTTGTCCTAGTCACCGAACATTAGTAACAGCAATAGCGGGTCCTGCAATTTCCGTTTACGCAGCAGCCCTGATTAATGATACCTAAACACTGGTATGACCTGTGGGTTGGCTCTTTCTGCGTTTCGATTCGTTCGTACTTTCGTACACCCTTCCAGTTTTCGTCCACCGACGGAAGTAAGTGAAGCAGACGTTCTCATGCCATTTTTACAAATTTATTAAAATTGTCAGGGTCTCCTAGACAGTATACGAAGTTTTAGATATACTGTTGAATTTCTAACTATTTAACAACAGTCGCTCGGCATGAGTCATTACTTTTGATCCAATTAAATCAGAATAATTGTAATAAATCTTTTAGTGTCTAGCTATCACTTTACTAACACTTTGCTCCAGTGAATTTATTTCTAACCATGACACTAGTAAATGTCATGATTAGAAATAATTTGAAATCAAGCATAAAATAGTATCCTGTGTACAGTAACATTCATAACAAACGCAACATAAGTAGATAACATACATAACAAGCGTAACACAAGTAACATGACAATCATAACAAGCATAACATAAGTAACTGTTAGAAATTATATTACCAATATAATATACACTCATAATGTGTCACCTACTTGTGAACTATGACCATTGTCTTACTAACTGATCCATGAGTGTACGGTGCACCCAGGTCACCAATCCCCTTGTTTATCAGATGTTAAGGTGCAGTAACTTACTAATATCATGAATGTACCGTGTGGTATATAAGCAACCTGCTTGTATAACGTTGATGAACAGAACAAGAACAGAACAACACCAGTGTGTGCGATGCTTCCGGTTTCTGTTCCCGTGACTATAATAATATCATAATATAAATTCTAACAGATTATGAGACCTGCTTGTCTCTAAGCAGGAAGTTGTATCTGCCGTGTCTTATTAGTGAAGTGGTTTACTACTGTTACTGTTACGGACACCAAGATGGCAACCCTAAAGTCACTGAAAGTCACGGAGCTAAATGGCTCGAATTACGCCCGGTGGAGAGTCCAGCTGGAGGATGTCTTAACTGGAGGAGGCGTGTGGAGCATTGTGGATGGAAGCAACAAGATGCCAAGAGATGACCCAGCAGACGAAAAGAAACATGCCGCTTATAATAAATGGATATCCGGAGACGGAAAAGCAAGAAGCATTCTGCGCGCAACGCTTGACGATGTTACCTTTAATCAGGTACGCGATTGGGCAACGTCAGCAGAAATTCTGGATCGGATTAAAGAGTTAAGGGAGCCGAAAACTGGATGCGACTTAATGACCGCGATGACCGAGTTTTTCGGACTGAAGTGGAAGGATAACGACGATGTTAACACCTTCATGTCAACGCTGCACGTATTGGCATCGAAGATCGACGCATGCGGTAAAGCCGTGAAAACCAGCGATGAGTGGCTGATTTCGAAAACACTGACCAGCCTGCCAGTTGAATACGGACCCTTTGTGGCATCATGGAACATGATGGCCGGCCCCGATCCGAGGATGAGCGTCTTCCGTGAAAAGCTGATGTTAACCGAACAGTTGATCAAGAATCAAGAAGGAAATCGTGGATATCCTAAAGGACCTTTTGGATCAGCCTATTCCAGCTTTAATCAGAGAGAAAGAGAGAATCCGAACCGATCTAACCGATCCGACCGATCTAACCGATCCGACCGATCTGACCTTATGAACCGATCTAACCGATCTAACCGACCGACCGATCTAACCGATCAAACCGATCAAACCGACCAGTTCCAGTGTAACTACTGCGGAATGGAAGGACATACGACCAGACAGTGCCCAACCTGTCCTGCTTGTGCCAACTGTGGAATCGTTGGACATAAAGCCCAGTATTGCCGACGTGAACGCGTGAGAGAATCAATGTAAAGATATCAAGGATCCGAATCAAGAACCTTTGGAACCAGTGTCCATTTCAGTGGATATGGCGCGCTGGGTGAAGGGGGGTGTTAGAAATTATATTACCAATATAATATACACTCATAATGTGTCACCTACTTGTGAACTATGACCATTGTCTTACTAACTGATCCATGAGTGTACGGTGCACCCAGGTCACCAATCCCCTTGTTTATCAGATGTTAAGGTGCAGTAACTTACTAATATCATGAATGTACCGTGTGGTATATAAGCAACCTGCTTGTATAACGTTGATGAACAGAACAAGAACAGAACAACACCAGTGTGTGCGATGCTTCCGGTTTCTGTTCCCGTGACTATAATAATATCATAATATAAATTCTAACAGTAACATAACATACATAAAACCTTTTTGCACGAACGGCTCGTCATATCAGTGGTAATGGTGCAGTTTGTTATATAACATAGTATTTGTGTTGTGTTGAAATGTGTTGAATGTTCGTACTATGGTCCAAACATTGCAGCTGCGCAGCTCAGATCCGTCTCAGGGGATAACACTCGCCTGTCGTGCTAGAGTCTGAAAATGTTTTGTTTACGTTTGAAGTCAAGAATCCATTGTTTTCGAGCCGGATTTTTTTAAAATGTGGGTTACACATTTTCTAACTGGATACATGCTCCAAAACATTTACTGACTTTTTGTAATTAATTGCCTAACCTTCACCTTAAAAAGGTTTTTCTACTTCATGCTAGTGGATTACTAGTTCAACAGTCATCACAATATATCAACGTCGTAATACGTATGAGTGAACCAAACTGAACTTAAACGTTTATGAAATTTGTATACCTAGTTCTTTTACAAACTAATTAATTCTTTCTTATGTGCAAAACTACAGTACTAAAATCTAATTGGTCGGGCATTGTATTGTATTGTGCTTGTATAACAAATTAGTAGAAACCCCTTTCGTTAATTATTTTGATGCTCACTCTGCAGAACCCAGGCCATCTTCAGACAATTTTAATCGCGAGTTGCACTCGACAAATTATTGGCTCATGATTCGATCAAATTATAATGAATGCGAGAAAGATATGGCAGCAGCTTGTACACCGACTAGCTAGTAATCCATTATCTGTTACAGCATGCGATCGTATTATTTCAATTAATTAGCATTTCCAAACAATTACAGTGCTTATCTTATCAGTGCACGTGTCGGCGATGCCGAACTTTCTCGTTTATATATCAGCAGTCTTACTGCAACGTTGCTCCAGATCTTGCCAGTGTGACTTCTCAAGAGTTAGCAGTCAGACCGCTAGCAGCATCGGTACCATTTCCCGTTTAAGCGCTAAAGTGCATACCATGGCCCAAAACATCACAAAACATTTTCTGTTGATTTCCATCCCGGGATTCGGACACACCATCCCGATGGTGGGATTGGCCCGAAAACTGGCAGCGCGTAATCATCAAGTCACCTTTGTCATCTGCAAAGCTGCCGTGGAACATATTCGAAAGAAGAGCGAAATCACTCCGGAGGATGAGAAATCCATCCATCCATCCATCCGGAGGATGAGAAATCCAGCAAAGGGCGTCTATGCTCTATACTGGGTGGCGGACACCCAATACACACCCATGAGCAGGTAAAAAAGCAGGCAAACCGAAATATTGCAAATCTTCCGTTTAAAAAATTTTTTGAAAAGGAATTATGCATCAGAATAACTTGCACAAAGATTTGAAGACAACATGACGGAAATTAACTTGCAACTTTAGAATGTCAGCATCACCCGCGCTATTTTCCATCCAAATTACGATACAAAAATCTTTAACAATGATGTTGCACTGAATAAATTAACTGCACCCAATCCGAATTACCCTAATTGCATGGTTTCGGCCATCGCAGTCAGACAATCGAGATTTTTAAGCACAGTCATACAGTACTAATAGGACTCGACCAGATGCCTATGTGGGCTTGCTCTAAGGGATTCTGGATGAGGGACAAAGTAAAAAGACACATACTACCAATAACATAAAACTTACAGATGCTTTGCAGATTAATCAGCCTTTAAATTATAAATTCAAACCAGTAACGCCATGATTGGTTGTGGTAGTTTAGAGGCATCCTACTACCGCCCCTCTAAAACCGGGACCCGGCAGTACTATGTAGATTCCATATTTTACTTTTAAAGGATGGACAAGTTGTCTACTTGGGTGTCGGCCACCCGGGTTTGTTACGATTTGTTCTCCGAGATGAGAGCTGTCGCGGAAACCCGGGTGGCGGACACCCAATATATATATCCGTTGTGTGGATAGCAGATTGTCATTTTATAAGGTCAGTTCAGATGGGACTAGAGCATACGGCTCTGCAGCGCCATTTGTATCAGATCAGCATCCGTCTTCGGATCAAAAAGATCGAAATCCTTGATCATGGGAACGTCAGGCATGATGGCAGCCAGGGGGAACAAAACAGGAGCAACCACAATTCGTCCCAACTAGCAGCTGCGCTCTTCAGCACAACACTGCAACTCGACGAATGTGGGTTGTCACGGCTTTCCAGATGGCAGATTGTCGAAGCAAAAAAACAACTGGACAGAACTAATTGTAAAGCAGACTTGAGACTGGATTAGCCATCAGACAATGGACGGCAATGCGATCGGTGATACGTGATTCGGGACAGTCAGCAGGCTCTACGGTGTCTGCAGACTGCAGCATATAAAAATGGCCGTCATGGAGCACAACTGAGTATCTATTACGCCATTGAATTGCACATTGGCTTTGGTTTGTTGGTTAACCTTGCATAAACATCGACGATGAAATCAGATGCTGCTAGCCTCACGGCCCATTTGTACAAACGCTAGAGAAACATGTGTGAAAAGCGTTTGGCTCATTAGATGCGAAAATGTCGCTGATTACACAACATCTACCCGCCAACGTAATGCAGTGCAGCTTTTTGCAACAACATTGCGAGGCGCTGCCTCAGTGGATCACACTCACAGAGCCGAGCAGTGGCGTGCAGTGCCGAAGCTGAGTGCACACTGCACAGCAACGTTACGTGCGGTTTACTTATATAAGTTTTTGTAGTGCGGTGTGCACGGCACTGCGCCAATAACGTAAGTGCATTAAAATTGTGATTTCTTTGAATCTCTTTTAAAATTTACAGTTTTATACTGTTGTTAAATATGTAATAAAAAATAAACTACATTTAGGTCTACAGTCACCGTGTACTGCAACATGTCCAGCGCTCGAGTCGAAATTTACAACTGTGTATCTAATATGATAATATCTACAGAAGTACTTTATTTAGGGTTAACACTTAACAAAGTAGAAAGTACACAAACTTACGAAGTAAACAGCATGAACAAATGAATACCTTTTACGCACATCACATATAAAATTAATGATATCACGTCCTACTTGACAAGCATCGCAAAGGGGCTCGAATCTTTGAACGTCAAAACCATACGAGTACTGAAGTGCGCAAACAAGATCCTTGAACATTTTATTAATTCACAAAACAAAATCTATACTGTACAACCAGTAAAGATGGGAAGTATAGCAAACAATAAATCCGGAAGTATTAAAAAAACAAAATCACTAAACATGGTAGGTGTTTTTAGGCATTGCACAGAGGCGTCAGAGCACAACAGGGTTTTGTCCGAAAGGCAAATCCACAGAATTAAGATTCCATTCAAGGAAGCGAAAATAGTTTCATACTAATTCACAATATCCACCGCAACCGCCAGAAGGGGCGTCAGTTTCTGCTTTCTCACTGAGATTTATTCCCTTAGCAATGTTCTGTTCCCACAATCCAGGAGTCTGGAGAATCTGAAATAAAAACACCTCAGAAAACCAGCACGTAATGAATTTAAACGTAAAATGTCACTGCACGCTGTGACAAATGTAAGGCAAACAAAACAAACGAAAAAAGTAGAAATAAAAAAGCGAACTACCGATGTCTTTACAAATTAATCAGTATCGACAGAAGTGGCTGCATCACACATAGCACTGAATTTGCAGAAGTATGTACTGTAGTTATATTTCAAACTGAAGTGGCAGTAAATAAATTAACCCCTTGAAAGGTAAAAGCCGTTAATACATAAACTTTTTCAACCAGATAGATTATGATTCAACAACTTTCTTACTATAACAAGCCTTTTTATTACAGAAGACATTCGACTTACTTTCTCCACCAGCTCTTCGAAGGCGGTGACCACTCCATCTGCCGTACGAGCACTGCATTCTATAAAGAGCATCGAATGTTTGCGTGCAAATTTCAGCCCGTCTTCTCGGGTGATAACTCGCTCCGTCCTTTGGTCAATCTTGTTGGCAACCAACATTTTCACCTAATCCCATGAGACATCATTATTATTTCAGCACACATAAAAAAAGTGCAATACTGGATAAGCAGCATGCATTTAGCTGCATTTAATACGAGTACCGAAGAACAGCAAATCTCAGCGAATAATGTCCCGTTAATCTCGCTACGGAAAAATTTTAAACCCGAAAAGCAAAAACAGAAATTCCTGCAGCAATATACATTGCAGTGTCTGCCAGAGAAAGCTAGTCTTTCTATATGCAATTATGCATTACTTCTTAAGTGAACACACGGTTACACACCTACGCATCTGTGTATGTATACTTCTACAGAAAATAAAAGAAGCAAATGAAATTGCCTTTCATACCATCCCGGGCTTATTCGCGTATGAGTCCACCTCGCCTAGCCACATTTCCAGTTTCTGAAAGGAGCTTTTCGATGTGACATCGTACACTAAAACAAAAAAATTCTCAAACAATTACAAACAAAATACGGAAACATGCATTGTGGATCGTAACTCAACACAACTCTACATTTCACAATACGATTCCACAACGTGCAATAAATCGTAATGATTTCTGTGCAAGTTTCCCCATCGAAGAATCTGAACGAATACCCACCCAGGATAACTCCTTGGGCACCTCGATAATAACTTGGCGTCAAGGTCCGAAATCTTTCCTGCCCCGCTGTATCCTGCAAACAAAAACCGATCAGCAAGAGTTCCAAATATGACTCCACTAATTCCCGACAACCATTTACCCAGATGGCCAATTTGACCACGTTGCCGTTGGCATTTAGACTTTTGACTTTGAAATCCACACCAATCGTCGCAGCCAGTTCAGGATCAAAGGTGTCATCCGTAAATCGGAGCAATAAACTAGAATAAGTTGATTAGCATGCAAAAAAACAGGAGTACGGTAAGTAATTGAATTTGCCATAAAATTCGGGTATTTTTAAACCTCTGGTTACAGATGCTGATACAACGAAATATCACTGTTTACAAGATTGATAATTTTTAATAATCAGTTGAGTACAGTCTGCACAGAATGTAATGTCAAACTGTTAAATTCATTAAAAATTTAATATTGATTGAATTTGATTCTTTCCAATTACTGTACCTGGATTTCCCAACTCCAGATTCCCCAATTATGAGGAGTTTCAACGTCGTGATGGGTGTTGTATCCATAATTCTCGCGAGTATGTGGAAGATATTGGTCGCTCAAATACAGCGACAGAAATCAGCTGATTGGGAACTTTCACAGAAAAATGTCGGCTATCGATTAACGTTATGCAATCACTTCGCCTCGATGTTTCAGCGGGTAGTCATTATTTTACAATCAAGCAAAACAGTAAAGAAACACGGATGGAGAATCTATCGCGCAACAAATATCGCTTGAAAAAAAACAGTGAATCCGTGGGTAATAAATAAAACTAAGACCGTGAAACACCAAATTTCGCAGTTAAGATGGTATTTATCTTTTGTTTTGAATTTTGATTGTGACAGATTGTCGAATGTTTGGAATATGGTGAAAATCCAAAACTGGTTTTAATGCACTTCTTACTAGTACATTTGAGTCATCTATCAAGCCGTACAGGGAACCACTGTAACGAGCAAGGTTGGAAATTTATACTATGATAACGGCATTACATACGTTTAGTACTTGTTTACTAATAAAATAACGCGAAATTTGTAATAACGTACTAACTACGCATTATTAGTACCACTAAATTAAGTAAGTATAGTAATTGGTAGAAGTATTAGACATAGTCAATAAATTAATAATCAATAATTACGAGTACTACGATCCAGAACCTACATACTCGTAAGTAAGTCAGAGACGTTAAGTAATTAAGTAATTAACGATAATAAGTAAGTTATAAGTTTAACCCGAGATTGGACCGGGGCTTTGGTTGTCTTTTTAATGTTTAAATTTGAACTATCAAGTAGGGTGCCAGCGCTTGCAATTTTTGTTATTTGATCGAGTGGCTATTGGGATTGCCAATAAAGCAAATAAGTAAGTCGCAACAACGTCAACGTGGCTGATGGCGAGATAATTTATTTGCATTTCCTACGGTAAGTAAGTACTTAACTCTATAACTAAACGCGAGTTATTTGCGAGTTTTCGAGTTTTAGCGTAACTCTGTAACGTAATTCGCTACCCAAAAAACTTAACTCTAACTCGCCTACAATACAGATAGATTGTTTACTTACTTATAAAAGTTTTTCGCTCACGCCACGTTTATCGCACGTGGCTGCTGCGCTACGCAATTCGCTAATTAAATACATGTTTTTCAATCATTTCTATTACTGTTCAAATATAAAAATCCACCGGTTTACTAGTAGATAGTGCGAATAATTAATCGTAATATTGCAAAGGAAGGCGTTCGTATTGCAGATCGTTTGCGCCAGCCGGTTGCCGTTGCATACATACATGGGTTCGTTCTTACAATCTGTTAGCTGAAACTCTTTGCATCCTCCTTTTTAGCTGAAACTCTTTGCATCCTCCATTTTAGCATAGGTTTCAGGCGGGCCTGTATATACTCTGTACGTATATAAAAGCTTTTTCTTGTCGCACAGACTGCAAAGAGTGCCGCAGTCTTTATTACCTGCCAACCTGTAAGGAAATCAACTTATATCCCATGCATATGGCCATTTCTCATAAAGATCGGCACTACGTGCCAGGTGATTACGGGGTCATGGTACTGTCAGTGGAAAGTGGATGTCCAGGCAAGTAATCGTTACCCGCAATATCCGTTGCGGTTACAATTTCTTCCTAGGTACAGTTGGTCAATGGTTACCTGGAACCGCTGCAGTTAACCCTCACCCTCTTCGTCGCAAAGTCTGGTTACCATGCCATAGCATCATAACATCGTCCCCTGGATGATACTTACTTCGCCTCGCGGTGTCAGGTAACAGGTTGAAGAAAAATGGAAGCCACAGGTCCAGCTATGCTGGTTCCGGTAACGATCGCTCATGTGGGTTTTCCAAACATGCCACGCTTACCGCTTGTATAATGCCCTGATCGTGAGCTCGGCTCCCGCAAGGTGTTGAACGAGGGATATGAATCCAGAAGCCCTTTTGAAGGCCGGCAGTGGACACGTAGGAATGTTAATCCGCGTTCCCTATTCATCTTTCGTGTAACGTGATTCTTTTTGTTTTTTAGCTGCTTTTTGTCCCAGTTGATTGCAAATTGTTTTTTATTTAAAAATATATGTCGTTTTTCTTAATCAAAAGCGGTTGCTAATAATGAAAAGTTATTTATGAAAATAAAACTTGCAAATGTGGTGATTTTAATATTGCTTAGCGCGCGCCGCGCGGCCGGCTACAGTATACGCAGTTTGACCGCGGTACCAGAGGTGGTAAGCTGCCGCAATAATTTGTTAAAATCGATAAAAAAAACTTTTATTTGGAGTTTGTTTTCCGGTTAATCTGTAACCTATAACTTTCCATGCAAAGCAATTGGTAGAAAAAAGATAATAATTTTGCGGTTGACGGTGGTCCGTAGCTAAATTTCGAAATTTACTAATATCCATTTCACACAGTACTAATCTCTGTTGAAAATTATTGTTTTGGCGGATATGATCTATAATTTTATGTATAATGAATATGGGTCGCAAATTTACAATAGCAAAACGGCCACCCGCGAAATTTATAATAGCAAAATGGCCACCCGCGAAATTCGGGATCGCCAATGATTGCTGGGAATATGTTTCATGACATTCAACACAGCGTTATACGTACAGACTACAGAGTAACTTATTCTTCCAGAATTGAAAGATCGTATGAATTTGCGTACAGCGTTCACGCACGTACGATCCCTTCAACCACGCGAAAGGAGTCCACGGATGCGGAAACACGGGCGATCTGGCCAGTTAGCTGATTACGTCGGAGCCCGGCCGCGTAGTGTAGTATATCAGCCGCGGCTTACGCAAACCCTTCCGGCAGAAAATGGTTAAGAGCGTTGCACGGCACGTCGTCCGTTTCCCATTTGTCCCCTGTAGACGCGCACACTATACTGCACATGCGGTGCCCAGTTCCGATCCGTCTAACGATACACTCTTATAACGTTTGTCCCTGTTCCGCCATCTTCATTTACATTCATCTGCTACTTGAGATATCTACATATGTACAAGTATCAAGCAGTCCCCGAATATAAACTCTTCCTGACAGCTTAATTACACCCACCATACATCAGTTGGACATATAATACACCATCGGTGGACTTCCGCTGCTCGTTATATATAACATCTCGCTCGCTCGCTCACTCTCTCGTCTCTCCGATGTCCAAGGATGAAGAGCTAATCAGCCGGCTAAATGAGCAGATACAACATTGTGCCCTGCAGTCATCGCGGCATCGCATCGTCTACTAACCAGGACCTTTATCATGGAACATCAATCGACTTTGTAGCGTTAGTTGGAGCAGTGCGGAGAACGTTGCTGTTGTGTGTCCACAGCGAACAACGAGGATGAAGGTAGGAAGTTATTCGCCAATGAAGGAGCGTTCCTGCTGGAACAGCTGGTGCCGGTTCGATCCCCGTTTTGCTGCGCTGACGAGTGCCTTTATTATTCTGGTAAGACATACCTGCACAATCTGATTAACAACCTGACTGGAATATCATTTATTGATACGATAGCACTGCATGCGCAATGTGTTTATTTATTCACTGTACCAATACTGAGCGTAGAAAACTGTTTGTGAAAAACAATTTTTTTAGTGTTTTTCAAAATATTTTAAATTTTTTTAAACCTGCTACCACAGAAATAAGTAACGATGCGAATTTAATCACCACGCATTGTTAAGAACGAGAAAAATATCTCAAGCATTTCAGCCGGAACTCGTAGCTGTGTGCATATATAGTGATTGTTCGCACAAATTTATTTGCTTTTAATGAAATCACTGAAATGTAACAGCTTGTAAAAGAGAAGTCAACGAATGCGTACGCGCCTGTATTTACAATTCCGTTCAGTCGGCATTTACCCTGGCATAATTTGCAACAACGTACGCCTGTGAACTTGGGGAATTAGCAGAAAGTACCCTTGTGTCGGACAGTAGTCCCATGAGAGCGAATTGGAATAAACTGTCGACGACATCTGTATGGAAATGGGAATCACTGATGAAAAAATAATCTAGGCCGTTTTTGCCCATTGTTAATTCCATGCCATATAACTCCAACCATATATACGGCCGGATTACTCATAATTTGATTGCACTAATGTCTTATTAATATTATACGTTCTTGTACTCGAACCCTCAAGTGGAATAAGCAATGCTTCGCCTATTTACAGCCCGTCCCCATATCGATTCTAAATAACCCTTTCAAAGCTAAATCAATAATTTGTCACGAAATGCCATAATAATTCTATTATTGTGTCACAATATTCACCTCAGAGCAGTAATAGAAAAATATAAAAACGTCTTATTTTTCGAATGCCGCCCACATTATCAGAACTGCAAAGTTTCTTTCCTACTGACTTATAGCAAAAATTATGCAAAAACTGTGCTGTATAAATACCAAAGTTCGGTTTTACGTAAACAGATACATATCTACAAATGAATGACCTTTGTTTAATAAAGTGTAAACATTAAAAACTTCGCAAAATATTTCAAGGAAAAGACGAGAATTTTTAGTGTATGTATGTCTCCGGTTCCGAGAAATGTCATCAGGACTTGCTACTTTGCCGCATACGTATATCCCTGCTTTTGACACACTTGGCATACAAAGTTTTTATGATATGGAACATATCATATTCACTATCAAAGAGCTATGGGTTATGTTTCCCGTCACTTCCGGTCGCGGCTGGCCATTTGATCCGGCATAACGCTTAAGCAGCGACCAAAAGCGATCTACAACACTGATATCCGCGCGCTTCCTGCCGCTTCTCAGAACATATTTACATATGGAGTCCAAAAAGCCAACCTCGATCGTAAATATCATCAACATCCACTCTCCGAGAGCCGGCCGGCGCCGGGCGCGTGCTCCCGCCGTATCCTTTAAGGAGAAAATCAATAGAACAGCCACCTCCGCTGTATGTATACACTCCTGCATATCTCACTTTCCTAGATCAACATGAAACTTATATCAGGAGAGGTTGTTTGATCATAATTTGGAAGAAAATTCTCCTCCCTTTCTATATATGCTTTTATCCTGCACGCGCCCGTTCCATCCGGAAACCAGTGTTTTCAGCTGATTGACGACATATTGTATACGGCTATTTGGATACACTTTGTAGTTTGTCGGCAAAAATATATAGAGAGAACGCTCGCCGGTCGGGATGAGCTACTTAAATTACGTTTTTTCCCATTTGAGTATGGTTCATCGAAGTGGAACCGTGGCCTGGTTATAAAGTGGTCGCTTCCTTACGCGTTTTCCCGTATCCAAACGGTTTGGCCCGGGAAATTGATGGTCGAGGCTTTTCTCCGAGAATGAGGCTAACCGTTAACCGTTAACAACCGGAAACGTCGGTTTAAGAAAAAGGGAAACCATGTCATTAACATCCCGTGCTGTGGAATAAAAAAGAACGGCAGAGAGAGAAAGGGAGAACAGAGAGGGAGCGCGCCGGCCAAGAGAGCATGAGAGAGAGGCCCTACATTCGTGGATATATGTCCAGTACAGCGCATGTTCCCTTGGCCAAATGGCTCACTTAGTTTTCATCAAGCGATCTGTAATCAAGTTTACAATGAGAATATATTACGTATATATCACAAACAACAATTTTCGTATTGTTTGCCATACGTTGTTACCGGGCATTGACAGCGCTCTATCGAGTGTCGCTTCGTTAAAATTGGGTACAGACTTTACATTAATTTTTGGACTTGACCTTTTAACATTCAGTGGGAATTATGGATAATCCGGCATATTGTGATTTACATAACACTGTGGTTATCATATTACTACACAGAAAATTATATGCATCATTTAGCGCACAAATGTGTACAAATTGATAATTAAATGAACTTAATACGTAGTAGTCACGCTTTACAGTTAGAAGACCGAAGCAAAACGATTTGTACTTCTTCTCACAATCAGGATTGATTGTAAAACATGTAATTTGGCTGCCACAAACTATATTTGATTTTATACACCGTACATCTGTAGGTCGTTATATATATGTTTGTTTGGAAATACGGGACAGTTCATAATCGGACCAGAGTATAGCTTGGTTTTATGATAGTACAGAGTACAATAAATTTTAGCCAAATTAATTAATTTTTAAGAATGTATTACGTTACCTGTTCGCTCGATTTACGGCGTGCTCTAATGTAAAATATGTAAATATGTAAAATTTATGAGATTTAAGGATACTACACCCTCGTGCATAATTAAAGCAAGTCTTCAACATACTTAATGTTTTTACGCCGCTGTTATGAATTTATGATAAGATCGTAATGCATAGCGCTAGTACGGCGTTAGCGGAAGTAATGCATTAGCATCCCCAAACATATTGCGCGGCTCCTCCGATAAATGTTCCCTGATAGATGTTCGTCGTGCCAGTTTCCTTTTCCCTTCACTGCACAGTAAAACATTCTTCCGCGCCGGATTCCCTGGAGTTGACAATTAGTGGGATGAAACAGGGCAGTGGAAAGTAGCCCGATGCCCGGGCCATTTAAAACTCACCAACTGCCGCGATAATGATCAGAATTAATGTCGACATGTCGCACTGACGATATTAACCTTTATCGTCGTATAATTCATGGGCAACGATCGTTATATTAGCGATATATACGCTGTCACAATGGCCGGTCATAGAATTTTATATGGGCCACTAAAATCATGTTGTGATATATTGCAAATTTGAAATACACTGCACAGGACTTCATCATACGGTATGACTCTTGCAGGATATGTCCATATTGGCCATACTACTGTACGGATGGAAAGTTCTTGTGGACGTTTACTGGCAACCTGAAAAGGAGGCCGAGGGATACAACAGTGTACTCTCCCGGCGATATTATTACGGTAATTGTTTATTGTTCACTTGAAAACGGCTTGTGATTAATTTTAACATTTAAATAAACTGCAGCGCATATTACTGTAATATACAACCGTAGAAAAGATAAAACACGACAGACAACTAAATCAAACCCAAACCAGAGACAAAGATGCAAACATGACACATGTGCATGCATACCAACATGTGTATGCATACAGAATTAAATATACAGAATTATATACAGAATTGAATACTTTCAATAGTTTTTTGGAACAGTTACTTTTATATATTTCGGTTTGCGTTAGTACGTGCTAAGCGAAATTTATTCCGCCCGTAAGGATAGTTTACGATAGTTTTATGAATGCTGATGAGGTGCTTCCACTTTCCAGTCCAACAACCGGTTATTCAGTTTTTTCCTTTTTTCAAAATTCAGTCGTAAAATCTATCAAAAGTAACCGCTTATATGAATGGCAAGTGACCGTTTCATTAAGTAAGAGCGAACAATTTTTGTTGATATGCGCTTGCATTTTTAATCCTCTCATGAATCTTCATCGCCACGGCAGCTTATAATCCTGTCACGTTTATCCCTTGCTGGATTTATCAAAGGACAGTTTACATTTATCAAAATGATCATACACGCCCTGGACAACACTCTATACCGGCTCGTTTCGGCTAAAATTGATTGAAGACGCTGTCAGTTAGCGTCGATAGTCCAAGCAGAGGCTCACTTGTTACGATTATCTATTTTCTCCTGTATCTACTTGTTTCACTGGAGGAATTTTCCTTTTCGTTGCATGTCAAATGCTGCGATCATCCTCCTAGCCCATTCATCACATTATTCACTGACGTTATTTTGCCAAAAGAAACAGCAATCGAGTTTTTGTACTGTTCATGCGGAAAATTGTGCTCATTCTTAGAGTATGTTTGGCAGGCGAAACACTGCATCCAATTACAAAGAAAACGTGCCACAACTGAAGGGAATTCTAAAACAAAATAAGAACACAGATGCACTTCTGGTTACTGTTGCTTGAACTTTTTTAAATTTGTCCAAGACATACAGACATACAAGACATACAGACATTACTAAGCGAATAATTCAGAGAAAACATTTTTCTGTTTTTGATTTTCAGGATTGCAAACTTCTCAGTTTGTACTGCTGTCCACACATTTCGTGATATTATTTTTGACAACGATCCTCATTGTAGGTGTAATAAAGGTAAGGATGACCTTTGCGGTGGTCTCACCGTATTGTCAGTTTTATCAAAATTGTCATCAGTAATGCGAGTAGCATACGGTATACGTACATGTAGATCTGTCTGTGGTCCGGAAATGAAAGCCGGGAACTGGGAGCAGTATAAGTTAATCCAGTTGTGAGCGACTATTTTCCCTAATTTTTCAGCTGCACTGGTAAGACTTACAAATGTGATGCTGTTTGCAGGAAAAACTGCATTTCATATTTTCATGGTTGGTGGGATTTGTGGCGTTGATTTGTTTGGAAACGGTATGCATGATCTACTCCGTGGTCCTGATTGCCCATATGCACAATGTAAGCAGCATGCCACATTTAACTATCGGAAAGGCATGAATATTGTACTGCAACCATTGCTACATTTTCTTCCTTTCCCTATAAAACAACCAGAGACAACGCTAACTTCAATGGGATTCAATATTTATCTGTAAAAAGCTTTGCACATCATTTTTTGTAGCACTGCGATTTTAAGAACGATATTTTGTTTTCTGTTTATATAACTATTACGAACATAATATACGTAGTAAACATATTGTTTTAGTGCATTAAGGCACGATTCAAGTATTACGTAACGGCTCAGGGGGTGGGGGGTGGGTCCGGCTGGCGCTACCCGCCCATAAGTAATACATGGATAAAGGTCACAAAAGGGTGAGGGGGTGGTCGAAAAGTTGAAAATTTCCGTTACGTAATACTTGAATCGCGCCTTAAATGAAGCATCTCAGTATGAATAGGAATTTTTATCTCAGTAAAAAATGATGTGTAATCAAACTTGAATATGGAACAAGACTTTTATAGCAGCTGCAGTAGTAAAGATTAATATATGTAATATTTACATGCAGCGTTAAAATATCGTATGTAACATCAACAGCGTTAGCCGAATAACAAAATCCAAATGGATAGGGCTTCAAAAGCCTCTTAGTTACGTATACCAGGGATGCGAGCCGGGTCTGCCGGGCAAATCGTTCCTGTTTTCAACTCTCAAACTCGGCGTGGAACTATAATCAGTCTTATGCGTTTGTACAACTGCCCTTGTAATACACTTCCCAGCCGATAGAGCAGGATACTTACAAATCCACACTTAAAATACACCGACGCAACACAATCATTCCCGCGCAATACCGGGACGTCGAGATCGGCAGTGTTGTGTATATACACATGGTATTTATTATCGATCATCACTTATCGGGGCAACTTGAGATGAGATTGTTATGGCAGTTGTGGGCTAAAGATACACTACAGAGCATATGTACACACAGCTTGAGATCATTTCTCTGTGCCGCTTCACGTCATCGGCAATATATATATTTCTATACGGGACCTCTTTATAACTGTCATATAATATGTTCCCGAGGAAAAAAACCCACAGGAACGACGGTTATAGCTGCCCCTGACAGAGTGGATTATGGAGTGCTATCCACCGACGGTTATTATGCATTCAATTGATGTATGGGTTGTTGTTGCAGGGATTCGATGCCCTGGTCAAAGCGGAACTGGGATTTTTCTCCAGCCGTTTTCTCGTTAATGTAAGTATATATGAGTAATCTGACTATTATCTCTACTAATGTACGAGGTGAAAAAAAGTTGCCAACTACCAAACTGGAAAATTTTAAGTGTTAAACCCGTATTAAATACTTGTTGTTATCATATTCCCTCCAATTTTGGGTAATAAATTCTCCCTACCAGTTAGTTCCGTATATTAAGCGTAAAACATGACAAATTTCAGCTCCGGAAAATATTGACGCAAAAGGTCATTACTTCCGTGCAATCAGTGTGCATAAGCAGTCGATATGCATACACATATCCTTTATAAATCTTTCACTACATAGAAACATGAACGGTAAAAATCAAACTAAAGAATTTTGTGTGGAGTATAATAACAACCAAATTCAGTGCACAAAAGATTGTCCGAATACTGTAAAAGGCTCACAGGTGATGGTGAAATTAAAAATTGGCTATTTTTAGGGTTTAGCAATATACAGTATCGTGGGATTCTACAAAGAGTTAACCGCCGGTCGCACCTGGAAACCGCACATCAATGACCTTTTGTAAATTAACGAATGTCCATATACGAATAATATATCCGGATACCAGCCGACAATCGACAAAATGCAGTTGCCTTACAAAACAGACAGAGGCGTTGCCTTATGCTGTGTATAAGCAGATTTTAACTAAATTTGTTGTTGTGTATGTTATTTGTACAGTCCAATAGATCAACAATATATTAATTTCTAATTAATTCTGTTTGCCTGTGCGTGAAATGGTGCGTACCTTATTAGCTCCACACGCGAACGGGTAACGACATTCAACACATATCGGAGAAATGTTGTCTATCCGAGAAACTATGGGCTTGCAATTGCAGACAGACAGCAGACGTTATAATTTTGATATCAAGGCTTTAATTTCCGGTCTGGTTTATGATCTGAAAAGATTCACATAATATTCGCAGATGTGAGCAGAATAAACGGGAACCACACTGTTATTAATTCAAAATCAATATGCAGCCAGTCACGCGCAATAAACCACACAATAAAAAATTATTGGCGTAATTAATGGTGACGTTACTGTAGTAATTTGCATATCACGAGATACAATTGTTTATGGATGAATAGAGAGACAAAGTTAAGCTTTTGCAAGAGTACAGCTACAAAGTACTTTATTCAGCCTGCGTACTGTCGACACAGTCACTAAAATAGAAAAAAAGTTATAACTTTTGTTATAGCTTTTGTTATAAAATCGCAGTTATAGGTTGATAAAAAGAATAATGTTTTTCCTTTTCCGGTGATTTTTGCACGTGCATGAATAAAGAAGTTATGTACGCTGAATTTTTAGTCTTTAGCTTTAAGCAGCCTGCGACGTCGTCGGCAGCAGTCCGCGCCGGAAAACAGCCGTCACAGATAATTAAATTATTCTGGATACATTGTGCATTAAATTTCTTTGATTTGACAATACAAATAAAAAGCATCAAAACGCTCGCCGACATCGCGTGACCGGGTAACTGGTATCTCGCTGCACGACAAAAGATCTCTTTTAAAAAAACTCGTTACTGCTGAACTCTCATCGTCAGCGCGAAGAGATTTCTGCTAAAACTGTTTATCCGGAATAATCCACAAATTGTAATATCAGCCATATCACTAATATGTAATAGAAGTATGGACAACAGTTATACTGTAATATGGAAAACCTTTAATACAATAGCTAAAACATATATTATTCGTTTATTTTATGACTGTAAGTCTGTAACTCATGTAAGTTACTGTAAATGCAGCGAGCACTTGTAAACTGTAAATAATGTTAATACACACAACAATACTCGTAGAGATTCTGACTAGCAGATATACAATATAGCAGCCAACGTGCACCACAATGCCAAAGCGTAATACGGCGAAAGCAACCACTACAAAAAATTTAAAAAAATGAACTGGAATTGTAATTATGAACTGGCAATATGAACGACCAAAAAGATAAAAAAAACAGATTACGACGTCCTGCAGTCCGGAACATCCAGTTCCGGCCGCTCATCCCGTTTCCCCTCCGTTCCCCCGACAAACGCTTTAGTATTAACTTTCGCCATCAGTTCCTCCGGAAATTCCCCCAACTCCTGCAACCGCGCCATCATCTCCACAATGCGCGCATAACACGGCTCCTCGGCTTTTTCATACTCGGCAATCAAGGCGCCCACTTGCGCCAACTGCGCTTCACACCCTTCCAGCTCCTTCGGCGCCAGTGTCCCGCGTTTCTCCGCAATCCACGGCGCATACTCCTCATGACACTTTTGCAACGAACTGAGCATCACAGATTTCGACAGCATCGACTGCACCACATCGGGAATCCCCTCTGTCGCACCCGCACCGCTCTCCTCACCAATGGCTAATTTATCCAGATTCTCCATGATATCCGTCAGATCGTCATCCACCAGTTCGTCCGACTGCAGTCCCGTGTGGGTGCTGATGGTCTGCAGGGTTTCCTTGAAGAGCGACGCAAATTGGGTGAAATTGTACATGGCGGTCTGCTCGTCGGGATTGTGGACGCTGTTGGCGAACTCGGTGAGGGTGCGGAGTTGTTGAGCTAGCGCGGGATCTTCCTGGTCGATGGAGGTGAGGATCTCGTTGATCTCCTGGGAGGTTTCACGGAAAAACTTCTCATCGTCATCGGCTAGTGGGGGTGGATGCGCAGTAGGGGGGTGGGGAGATTTTGCAGATGGCGTGGGATGGGAGGCACCAGGAGCGGACGGATTGTTGAGAGATTTTTCACTGGGAAGGAGATCGGGTTTGTCGAAGTCAGCCAAGGTCTGCTGCAGCAGATCGTCCAGATCAAGAGGTGGTGCAGTCTGATCTGCACTTGCCATACTTTCAAACAATGGGAAAATTTATGGTGCGCTGATGGTGTTTTTGGGCAAAATTTAGCTTTCAAGGAAGAAACTACAGTAAGTCAGTAACATACTAACTACTCGGTAGTTATTAGCGAATAAAATTGTCATATTAAAATTTTTAATCCGTTATCGCTATCGATATTAATCCAAACGTGCGATATGGGTGAGAACAACCCTGGAGTAGTTAAACGGTCGTTGTAGATGCTGCCCGGTGGTGGCATGTCTGCTTTAACAATTTACTCATAAGCACTCATACAATTTACTCATAAGTGGCTGGCTGTGTATTCATCAGTGCCGTCCACTGTCCAGTGTCTTGAAAGCGTCTCCTTTCCAGTAATGCAAATTTCACAATTTTCAAAATCGTCAACCGATAATTATTTTACTGTACTAATTATTGCGGCTTCATGTAAACAAGCGACAGTTTACTCACACATTTCTTCCAACCAGCGTACAATACGCCATAATGGTCTGGATTTGTATTAATAAATCAACCCGGCCGTACGTAATAAAATTATGGCGGTACGCCGGTAACCAAACTAATCATTATCATACAAAAGTCAATGGTGTTCTTTTAAGAAATATTATCGTCACTTGTCAGCATAATATGTACACTTAATAACGGATATCTGGTGTATATATAGTGTGGCGTATCTACGGTGTAGAGCTAGTAAGATATCTATATTTGAATCTGAACATTTTTACACTAAATAGTCCGATTCCATGCAGTTGTTTTATGACTGCAGCAGCTGCAAGCCGGTAAAGTTTACAACCTGTTCTGCATAGTTGTTAGAATTATGTTGAATGTGAATTAATATACTATATTTGTTTTTTTCAGACTGCAGTCTGAAAAAAACTAAAATTCGGAATTCGGAATTCGGAATTCGGAAACTGAATTCGGAATTCGGAAACTGCAATTCGGAGCAGCTGCTCCGAATTGCAGTTTCCCATCGTCCTCCTATAATATAAAGAGAACAAAAAACTAAAATGCAGTTTGGCTTAGCCGCTTTTGTAGTAGCGATTCAAAACCTGTTCTAGTATTTGCGCGGTACAAAGTACGAGTACACCGTGCATCGCATTGCATCATGATGTGGATTTTGCATGTTGGGTATCTATATTATAGCTCTACATATCTTTGGATCCAGTTACGTGGAATTCTCTGATATCTGTAATTCGGTAAAAGTATCAGACAATCATGACTTCGCTAATTTAATCATTCCAAGAAACACGGAAAGATAACCGTCATGCGGCATGCCACAATCTGCACGCAATTAATTAATGGTAAGCGCTAAACCAGTGTCAAATACGTACGATATATTTGGAGATCTAGAGTGCATATTGCAGTTGCACTAGGGTAGGTATCTTATCATTACACAGGCGCTTTATCTCACAGTTTGTAACAGTTTCTCTGATTATTGGTGAGAACGTTTAAGTGTTCTTTCGACGGTATATTTATTCTTCCACGTTTTGCCGGTTTGATTCCTCCAGACGGTAAAAAATTTATTACGCTGAAGAATTCGTAAGAACGTCAGCGAATTACATTACCGAGCAAGCTTCCACTGTTTTCTTGTTCCTTACTAGTGTTACCAATTCACCATGGCACAAAAGGAGCAAAAACATTTTCTCCTCGTCTCTGTCCCGGGTTACGGACACACCATCCCCATGGTAGGATTGGCGAGGAAGCTGGCATCTCGCCAACACAAAGTCACCTTCGTCATCTGCAAAGCTGCCGTGGAGCACATTCGCAAGAAACAAGAGATTACACCGGAAGATGAGAAATCCATCCACGTTGTCGGACTGGAAGACGGCATCGCGGAGAATGAATCGGAGGATATCGTCTGCTACACATCCTTTTTAGGGTTTAAAGACCACGGCGTCCCGGCAATGCAGAAACTCATCAAAGGCCTCCCTGTCGCTGGACAGCCCCCCACGGATGCTGAAGAACGCTATGGTATCGAAGTGCCGGTTAATGCATTGATAGCGGATATTTTCATTGCAGCCAGTTTAGTCGGATGTGTGGAGCGCAAACTGCCCTACTATTTTCTAAACTGTTCGGCCATCGGACCGTTCCGCAGTATGCTGTACGTCACCGAGCGCACACCGGTAACCGAGAAGAACGACTTGGAAAGTTTCGAGACTATCCGCCCTGAGTCGGAAGGCCCGCAACCGGCCATTGGTCAAATGATGAAGGGGATGTGTTTAGCCATGAACCAATTCTTGTCTACCGGCAACGGAATCCTCATCAATTCTTTCCGGGAAATTGAACAGCGTTTTATCGACGAGATCAAGCAGGATTCCCGTATGAGCAACATGGACTATTACTGCGTTGGACCGTTTATGCCGGAAGAGAAGGACGATAAAAATCCCAGTCACGCCGAACTCGGGCAAAAGGTCACACGTTGGCTGGACCGTCAAGCTGATAATTCCGTGGTGTATGTGTCGTTTGGCTCTGTGGTCGTTCCCAACGAGAGCCGTATCGTGGAGATTGCTAAGGCTCTGCAGGCGCTGAAAAAACCATTCATCTTCTCGATCCGCCAGCATCAGCAATCCATTCTGCCGGGTGATGTACGCGTCGGCATCGATACACACTTGGATAATCCGGAAGCACCAGGACTGTTTCTGCACTGGGCGCCTCAGAAACTGATTCTGGCCCACCGAGCCACAGCGGTTTTTGTCAGCCATTGCGGATGGAATAGTACTATTGAGAGTTTGTTCAACGGCAAGCCGATTGTGGGTTGGCCGATTTTTGGGGATCAACTGGAGAATTCCTTGTGGATTGAAGAGATGGGTTTGGGAGAGTCATTGCTTCGCCGCGAGCACGCCGATAATGATGAAGAGAAAAAGAACATCACCAGCGATAAAATTGCCGCAGCTGTTCGACGCGTTGGATATGAGAGTGATGTGGCACGGAAGTCGGCGCTGAAATGGAAGGACAAGATTCGAGAGGCCGTCGCACCGGGTGGAAGTTCTAACCGTGAACTGCAAGACTTTATTGATGCCGTGGTGTAATAAGTCTGTGTCAACTCGGGCTAAATTATCGAAGCGATATGACATTGTGGGTTGTGGCTTATATTGGCTATTTTGCTGACAATTAATAAGTGCATTTGTAACGTTTCCTCCTTTAATTCTATGTTTTGCGTAGCTTCTCTGTTGCTTTATTCTCGATGTTATCGAGCTGTCACTACATACTGTAGTTGATACAAAAGTACGTTGCGTGAAATGCATTAGGTTCGATTAATTTAAAAAAAATTTTCAAACTACTTTAGTTTATATAGGAGTACTAATATTAATAGTCATCGCATGTCATTGCCGTATACGTTTGCTCAGTGGGCTTTAACGTTTATGCAATTTGTACGGTTCTACAAACTTTACGGTACCGATAGTAAAATGTCTATTATACATAATTCAAGAAGCAACACAGAATATACACAGAACAGCACACCTTAAACAGAGAACATATTATGAAGCTCTCCATGTCGGCTTCTTCGAGCTCCTTCACCGGAGTCCGCTCGGCAATACTGAGCATCGTGCGAAAAGGTCTAGTTAGATTTCTTTAATTAGTTCGTATGAAAGTATGTCTCAGAAGCTTTGCGATAGTTGTATATCCGACGGAGTTAAGTAGCTGAACAGTTTCAACAGTCAAGCCCAGATTGTCTTTGAAGTCATCCAAACCGCAAACCTCGTATACAGTCTGTGAGCGTGAGCTGGCCTGGCCCTAAATTGCTCAGCTATTAATAGCTATTGGACCTTTCCGCACGATGCCCTTCAAATTCCGTGACCTTTGGCCCTAAACTGCTCACCTATATTGGACCTTTCCGCACGATGCTCAATATTACCAAGCGGACACCGGTGAAGCAGTCCGAAGAAGTCGACATGCAGAGCTTTGATGTTGTACGACCGGAATCGGAAGGCCCGCAACCGGCGATCAGTCACATCATGAAAGGTCTCTGTTTGTCCATCAACCAATTTCTCGCCACTGCTAACGGAATGCTGGTTAATTCTTTCCGAGGGATTGAGCAGAAGTTTATTGATGAGGTTAAGCGGGATCCGCGAATGAAGAATTTGGATTTATACTGCGTTGGGCCGTTTGTACCGGAAGAGAAAGCCGACACAAACCCCAGCCACGCGGAACTGGGTCAGAAGGTCACACGCTGGTTGGATCGTCAAGCCGATAAATCGGTAGTGTATGTGTCGTTTGGTTCTGTGGTCGTCCCTAACGAAAATCGCATCATCGAGGTGGCCAAGGCGCTGCAAACGCTGAAAAAGCCGTTCATTTTCTCCATCCGGCAGAATTAACAATCTATTCTGCCGGGTGATGTGCGCGTCGGTATTGACACCCATCTCGATGACCCCGCAGCACCGGGATTATTTTTGCACTGGGCGCCACAAAAGCTGATTTTGGCACACCAGTATCCAGTATCCAGTATCCAGTATCTGGTTTGTCTAAGAAACCAGTATCCAGACAAAGGCCTTTAACAAAAACTATACTTTATTTAATTGTAATTTTATTATATTTCACCAGTATTGCAAAATTTCACAATTTTCGCAATCGATAACTATTTTATTACGGCTTCTGGCTTCATGTATTAAGCAATCAACAGTTTATTCGTACACCTTTTCGGACCTGGTTGCGTCAGAAATTATAATGTATGGCTCTAACTCGTGTCAAATGAATCCGTAATTTTGGCGGTAGCCAAATAACAATTACATATATAAACATTACTGTAATATCATTCTTTTTATTGTGTCCATCTGTACACTATAATGCAAGGTAATAATATTAACTGTCATGGTACGTTATATTTTAATCTGAGCGAAATGTTTCTACATTTCTACGCTAATTCCGACAACTCACGATCAGTCTGATAAGTGCCATGCTGTCTATGCCGTTTTGTGACCCGACAACTGAACTATTGCTACGAGCAGTAAAACCTGTTCTGTAGAATAGTTGACAGCAATGCGTTGAATGCATTTTTTTCAAACTGCTGGGTATTGCAAATTAATCCCATCGTCCTCGTATATATGTAAAGCAAACAAGAAACCAAAATGTTACCTGGTTTGGCCGCTTTTGTGAAACGAATTCAAATCTTGTTCCAGTATTCGCGCGGTACAAAGTATGAGTACACGCTCGCCGTGGCTCGCGTATTTGCAGTGGATTGTATTACATTTTGATGTGGATTTTGCGTGTTGGATACCTAGAGTACTCTATGTAGTTTTACATATCTTTGGACACACCATCAGTTACGAACTGGATGCCGTGTTTTATCATTACACAGGCGCCTTTATCGTGGGATTTGTAGCGACTTCTCTGGTTGATTGCTGATCACGTTTACGTTTTCTTTCGATGGTACATTTATTTATCCAGGCTTTGCCGGTTTGATTCCTGCTGACGATTATAAATTTATTAAACTTAAGAATTCTCAACGAAGCCAGAGCAATAACTTGTTTTTAGTAGTATCACCAATTTACAATGGCCCAAAAGGAGATAAAACATTTTCTCCTTGTCTCTGTCCCGGGTTACGGACACACCATCCCCATGGTAGGATTGGCGAGGAAGCTGGCATCTCGCCAACACAAAGTCACCTTCGTCATCTGCAAAGCTGCCGTGGAGCACATTCGCAAGAAACAAGAGATTACACCGGAAGATGAGAAATCCATCCACGTTGTCGGACTGGAAGACGGCATCGCGGAAAATGAATCAGAGGATATCGTCTGCTACATGTCTTTTGTAGGATTCAAAGACCACGGCGTCCGGGCAATGCAAAAACTGATTAAAGGTCTTCCTGTCGCTGGACAGCCGCCCGCAGATGGTGTAGAACGCTACGGTATTACCGTGCCAGTTAATGCGTTGGTAGCGGATATTTTTATTGCTGCCAGTGTAGTCGGGTGTCTGGAACGTAAACTGCCCTACTATTTTCTAAACTGCTCATCCATTGGACCGTTCCGCACTATTCTGTATATCACCGAGCGCACACCGGTAATCGAAAAGAACGACTTGGAAAGTTTTGATTTTATCCGTCCCGAGTCGGAAGGCCCACAACCAGCCATCGGTCAAATTATGAAGGGGATGTGTTTAGGCATTAACCCGTTCTTGTCCACCGGTAACGGGATGCTTACCAATTCGTTCCGGGAAATTGAACAGCATTTTATCGACGAAATCAAACAGGATTTGCGTATGAGCAACATGGACTATTACTGCGTTGGACCGTTTATGCCGGAAGAGAACCACGATAAAAATCCCAGCCACGCCGAACTCGGACAAAAGGTCACACGTTGGTTGGACCGTCAAGCTGACAACTCCGTGGTGTATGTGTCGTTTGGCTCTGTGGTCGTTCCCAACGAGAGCCGTATCGTGGAGATTGCTAAGGCTCTGCAGGCGCTGAAAAAACCATTCATCTTCTCGATCCGCCAGCATCAGCAATCCATTCTGCCGGGTGATGTACGCGTCGGCATCGATACACACTTGGATAATCCGGAAGCACCAGGACTGTTTTTGCATTGGGCCCCGCAAAAGCTAATTTTGGCCCATCGAGCGACAGCGGTTTTCGTCAGCCACTGCGGATGGAACGGCGTTATTGAGAGCATGTTCTACGGCAAGCCTATTGTCGGTTGGCCGATTTTCGGGGATCAACTGGAGAATGCATTGTGGATTGAAGAGATAGGTTTGGGAGAGTCATTGCTTCGCCGCGAGCACGCTGATAATGATGAAGAGAAAAAGAACATCACCAGCGATAAAATTGCCGCAGCTGTCCGGCGCGTTGGATATGAGAGTGATGTGGCACGGAAGTCGGCGCAGAAATGGAAGGACAAGATTCGAGAGGCCGTCGCACCGGGTGGAAGTTCTAACCGTGAACTGCAAGACTTTATTGATGCCGTGGTGTAATAAGTCTGTGTCAACTCTTGCTAAACTTATTTTCGGCGATGTTAGTTTTGTGTTGTGGCTTATAGTGGCTAGTTATGCCGACAAGTGCATTTACAATACTAATTCCTTCTTTCTATGTTTGCATCGCGTTGCTGTTACTTAATTCTCGATGTTAACGATCTGTCAGTACATAATTAATATAACCGTACGTTGCGCGAAGTTCATGAAGTACGATTAGTTAAAAAAAGTTGTGAAACTACTTTACAGAGGATTGCTAATTAACATTCATCGCCCATCATCAATGTCGTATACGTAAGACTGAACTTCAACTTTTATGAATTGTGTAACTATACTTTCTTCTACAAACTTTACGGTACCGCTGGCGAAATGTCCGCTACTGTAAACGATTCTGGAACAACAGAATACAGAACAGAAACACCTTATACAGAATACGTATTACACGTACGAGTATAATACTTTCCTGTGTACAAAACTATTAAAATAATTGCCCGGCTACAGTACTCGTATTGTGCTTGTACACATAGCAGATTAGTAGAAACCCTTTCCAATTAATTAATTTGATACCCACTCTGCAGAACCAGGGCCTACTTCAAACAATTCTAATCGAGAAATGCACTAGACAGATTATTGGCTCATGATTCGATCTACTGTAACTGCGAGTATAATGAATGCGAGAAAGATATGGCAGCGGTTTTAACGCCGACCAGTTAGTAATCCATATCTATTTCAGCATGCGATCATATTATTTCGATTAATTAGCATTTCCAAACAATTACAGTGCTTATCTTATCAGTGCACGTGTCGGCGATGCCGAACTCTGACTTTAATTCTCCTTTATATTTGTATATCAGCAGTAACGTTGCTCCAGATCTTGCCAGTGTGATTTCTCAAGAGTTAGCAGTCAGACCGCTAGCAGCACCGGTACTATTTTCCGAACTTCAAATAAGCGCTAGGTATCATTTTCTGAATTTCATATAAGCACTAGAGTGCATATATACCATGGCCCAAAACACCACAAAACATTTTCTGTTGATTTCCATCCCGGGATTCGGGCACACCATCCCGATGGTGGGATTGGCCCGAAAACTGACAGCGCGTAATCACAAAGTCACCTTTGTCATCTGCAAAGCTGCTGTGGAACATATTCGAAAAAAGAGTGAAATCACACCGGAAGATGAAAAATCAATCGATCTTATCGGACTTGAAGATGGCATCCCCGACTTTGAATCGGACGACACTCTCACAATGACGTCCATTATGAAGTTTAAGGATCACGGCTTGCCGGCGCTGCAAAAACTTGTCCAAGGAATACCAGTTGCAGGGCAACCCCCCGCGGATGCCAAAGACCAATATGGCATCACTGTGCCGGTTAACGCGTTGGTGGCCGATATTTTTGTGGCAGGAGCGATAGTCGGGTGTGTTGAGCGGAAGCTTCCATATTATTTTCTAAATTGCTCAGCAATTGGACCTTTCCGCACGATGCTCAATATTACCGAACGGACACCGGTGAAGGAGTCCGAAGAAGTCGACATGGAGAGCTTTGATGTGGTTCCACCGGAATCGGAAGGCCCGCAGCCGGCGATCAGTCACATCATGAAAGGTCTCTGTTTGTCCATCAACCAGTTTCTGGCTACTGCTAACGGAATGCTGGTTAATTCTTTCCGAGAGATTGAGCAAAAGTTTATTGATGAGGTTAAGCGGGATCCGCGAATGAAAAATTTGGACTTCTACTGCGTTGGGCCGTTTGTACCGGAAGAGAAAGCCGACACAAACCCCAGCCACGCGGAACTGGGTCAAAAGGTCACACGCTGGCTGGATCGTCAAGCCGATAAATCGGTAGTGTATGTGTCGTTTGGTTCTGTGGTCGTCCCTAACGAAAATCGCATCATCGAGGTGGCCAAGGCGCTGCAAGCGCTGAAAAAGCCGTTCATTTTCTCCATCCGGCAGAATCAACAATCCATTCTGCCGGGTGATGTGCGTGTCGGTATTGACACCCATCTCGATGATCCCGAAGCACCGGGATTATTTTTGCATTGGGCGCCACAAAAGCTGATTTTGGCCCACCGAGCCACAGCGGTGTTTGTCAGCCATTGCGGATGGAACAGCACTATTGAGAGTTTGTTCAGCGGAAAGCCGGTAGTTGGTTGGCCGATTTTTGGAGATCAATTAGAAAATGCCTTGTGGATTGAACAGCTGGGGTTAGGAGAATCGCTGATTCGCCCAGAGCACGCTGCTAATGATGAAGAGAAAAAGAACATTACCAGTGACAAGATTGCGGCAACTGTTCTTCGTGTCGGGTACGACAACGACGCGACGCACAAGGCGGCGCTGAAGTGGAAGGAAAAAATCAGAGCGGCTGTCGGACCGGGTGGCAGTTCTAACCGCGAGTTGCAGGACTTTGTGGATGCCATTGCGCAGTAATTTCTGAATCCATTCTTCTTTGTACTCGTAAAGGTCATGCATTTGTTGTTAGCTGCAGCGCTAGCCTGCCGGCACGTGTAATTCCTGTTCGCTCTGTACGCTTCTTAAACCCACAGTTCTTCTCTGAATTAATTTTTCAGTTGTACGGTGCACCATAAATGTACGATGTTTGCTTCAAAAAGAGAGACTTTGTTCGAATAAAAGAATTTCGAGATAAATTGTTTGACTGACTTGGTATAAAAACAGTAGTACCAGTCTAGTAGTCCACACGAGAGTTATTTAGTTCGTAATACTTTTACAGTACTGAGCGATGGTTAACAAAATTACGAATTATCTGAGTGAATTTAAAAAAGCCAGCGTCGACGGAGGAACTATACACTGGCTGACATGTGTATGATGCCGCTTACGGGCACTTATGTACAAACGCTAAGCCGATTACAAAAGCAAAACCTATGATTTTTGCAAACATCGCAAATTTACGGCACGACATGGGACACTGTCAGCAGACTAAGCACAGCGTCCCCGGCAGCAAACCGGTACTTGCTGTCTTACCCGCATAATGGTCGTATTCATTTTGGCGCTCAAAGTCTCTGTCTGTAGCGTAAAAACCAGTCACGATTTGTATAGGAGTACCTACACGACAATAGATTTATATTAAAAGTTAGAATATGTATAATGTACATACCTGGACAAGCAAACACAAAAAAGCAAATGGAGAAGTTACAGCATTACATCACACTTCGTGTGCACTGTACACTGTACAGTACCTGCAGATAAATTGTGTACACAGTAGAATTGAGCCAAGTCCAGACGATTGCAATTATGCTCGACGTACATACAAAGCTAACTTTGCACAAACTGGCTCGCTGTCAGATCGGCAAATTCAGCAAATTCTGTACAGCCGACCCTGAGCCGAGGAGATAATTATAGCCGCTGTTCGAGCACCAGCAAGTAGCCTAAATATCAGCAGTTTTTATTTCGGCGAAATAAAATACCGAGACAATTACCATACTTGTATTGTCTATCTTATCAGTAAGACAGTAACTGACTAGTGTACGCACGGCTGCGGATCGACTTTTGAGTCTTGCCGTGCTATTGTTAACACTGCTTTGCTGCCGTAGCCATAATTAAAATTAGTTCTCGCCCGTCTGCTTCTTTTGAGGCTAATTGCCGAAACAGCACTATTACTTCTCTATTTTCCACAACCATGGCTCAGACCGACAGAAAGCATTTTCTCCTGATTTCTGTCCCGGGATTCGGGCACACGATCCCCATGGTAGCTTTGGCCCGGCAACTTAATGCTCGTAATCACAAAGTTACTTTCGTCATATGCAAAGCCGCTGTGGCGCATATGCGGAAAAAAAGCGAGATCACACCGGAGGATGAAAAATCCATCCATCTCATCGGACTGGACGATGGCATTCCCGAATGTGAATCGGACGATAATCTGACAATGGTGTCTCTGATGAAGTTTAAAGATCATGGTTTGCCAGCGATGCAAAAACTCGTCAAAGGGATCCCAGTCGCAGGGCAACCCCCCACGGATGGCGGAGAAAGTTACGGTATAACCGTGCCGGTTAACGTGGTGGTTGTGGATATCTTCGCTGCTGCAGCCATGCTCGGATGTGTCGAACGAAAACTCCCATATTACTTTTTGAATTGTTCACCTATTGGGCCATTCCGGACCATGCTTAACATCACCGAGCGTACACCGGTGAGGGAGACTAAGGAGGTTGTTATGGAGAGCTTCGACGTTGTACGGCCGGAATCGGAAGGCCCACAACCGGCCATCAGTCATATTATGAAAGGTCTGTGTTTGTCAATCAATCAGTTTCTTTCTACGGGCAATGGAATGCTGATCAACTCTTTCCGAGAGATTGAGCAGCAGTTTATTGACGAGATCAAGCCGGATCCACGAATGAGAAAGTTGGACTTCTACTGCGTTGGGCCGTTAATGCCGGAAGAAAAAGTCGACACCAATTCCAGCCACACGGAGCTAGGGGAAAAGGTCACACGTTGGTTGGACCGTCAAGCGGACAAATCGGTGGTATACGTGTCGTTTGGCTCTGTGGTCGTCCTCAACGAAAACCGTATTCTGGAGTTAAGCAGGGCGCTGCAGGCACTGAAGAAGCCGTTCATTTTCTCCATCCGCGAAAACCATCAGTCTCTTCTACCGGCTGACCTACGCATTGGCATCGACACTCAGCTGGAGAATCCTGATGCTTCGGGGCTGTTTTTGCACTGGGCACCACAAAAACTGATCTTGGGACACCGAGCCACAGCGGTTTTCATTAGTCATTGCGGATGGAACAGTACTATTGAGAGCTTGTTCAGCGGGAAGCCGGTAGTTGGTTGGCCAATTTTTGGAGATCAATTAGAGAATGCGTTGTGGATTGAAGAACTGGGCTTAGGCGAATCATTGGTACGCCGCGAGCACGCTGATAACGATGTAGAGAAAAAGAACATCACCAGCGAAAAAATTGCCGCAGCCGTTCGGCGCGTAGGATACGACAATGATGTGACACATAAAATGGCGCTGAAGTGGAAGGAAAAAATCAGGGCTGCTGTGGCTCCGGGAGGCAGTTCTAACCGGGAATTACAGGAATTCATCGATGCGGTGGTATAACTAATTTGACAATACGATCCATACTTATGGTAAATGTGCTGTGTTGTAGCTCACTCTCTATTTTACATATTATTACGGCAGTTTATTTTTGTAATCTGCGAGGTATGCTATACCGTAGTTTGCATTTTGCAACTATCAAATGAGCCTCCAAAACGCATAATTACTGTCAAAATAAACGAATCCGTTGCGCAAGCTGTACGGTAGATATGCCGGGATTAGATCGATATTTCAAGACGTCGTGTTGCTCTCACAGGACCGTCGTCAGTTTACTTAATTAATTGCACGTATTTCGTTGTGCCACGCAGCAAAAAGTAAATCAATATAAAGTGATCAAAAAGCGATGACAACACAATTATTTATTAAAACTGCACGCTTTGTCCACGTACACGATCACACGCTATTTTATATACTGTAGATATGGCACAATCGATGATTAACGATTAACGGAATCATCTTAAATTTATGACTGCTGAGCGCTTTGTTCGCGGTGAAAATGATGAAACAAGTGGAATACGCCGGCATTTGCTGTCGTAATATTTTCTCACTGGAAGTCTGTCATGACCGGTTCCATTTGATCATAAATTTTCGGCTACCACGCTACGATGCGCATGTTTCACGGCTCGATATTGATCTGTGTTGTTTACTGAAAAGTAGCATCTGTAAATATCTGTTTAGGAAAAAAAGATAGAAACCGCATACGTAAAGAACATCATCGCAAAATTCTGTTTAATACTTACCAGCCTATTTCCAACGACGTGTCTTCCAGCACGGAGTGAATTAAATCGTCTCCAATTCAGACGTACCAAACCTTGTGTCAATGCAGACATGGAGATTGTCCCTTCTGTGCGATTAAAGTTGAACCCCGACAGCAATCTGCAAGATATTCCTCATCTTGACATCGGCGGACCGTTATGCGATTTAAGGGTTCGTGGTACTGAGCAGCAGGAAGGCATTGCTTGTCACCGTCATGTCGTTAGTTCTCAAATTGGTTATTTTCGTTTACTGTTCGCCTCGGGAATGAAAGAATCCCGGCAGGAAGATATTTGGTTGCGAAATATTCCCAACGACAACTTGCAAGCGTAAGTAACTTGCAACTTGTAAGCTAATACAGTCAGCGCGTGTGCAGTACTATTACATAGTTAACTAGTGTGATCAGTAATCGATTATCTCGTACTAAGCACAGAACAGATCACAGCACAGAATAGTGTAAGCACAGAATAGAACAAGTACAATACAGTAGGTGGATCTAGAAAGATGCGCTAATATTGCAGATTAATCAATTACGCCTATGGACTGGAAATCATCATCGACAACGATAACGTTCAGTCTCTGTTGGATGCTGCCATATTTTTAGATGTTCCTGCAGTGGCCGATGCATGTTGGGCATTTGTGGAGAGCCAGCTGAACGAAACAAATTGCTTAATGGTCTACTGTTTGGCGGAATGCGATACTCGAACACGTCCCCGGCTGGAAAAGAAGGCCAAAGCAATGGTTTTCAGACACTTTTCCGAAATTTCCCAGGGTCAGGATTTTCTGGAGTTGGACAAAGATAAGGTTTGTGTATAAGTACAGATACTTCATAATCATTATCATGTAGGCAAGCAATGAATTTTTAGCGTTTAAACATATAATTTTGTTGTAGTTGTCTCAGATTTTGCGATCGGACCTTCTGTCTGTGGAGCACGAGGATGAAGTATATCGGGCGGTTGTGAGATGGACTGACCATGACCCCGGCAGTCGAAAATTGGAAGTTCCCGATCTCTTAAAGCACATCCGTTATTTATTCCTTAGCCCTTCTATTCTTCCCGTTTTTTTGGGTTTATCTAATGCTGTAACACCCAAAAGGGATGAACACGATGCTGAGAAAGCAAATTCTCTTAGCGATTTGCCGAAATCTTTAGCGGAAAGCATTTTTGGCTCTACTTGCCGGCCACGCCGATCATACGGTCAGTCCTAAATAACCTTCTAACCTTAAAGAAGTTTGCTGTATAGTTTCGCAGATTTACGAGTACATAAAGTATCTGCGACGTGGTGTATTTTCCAGGATTTGACAATGTAACTGTTTGCGTCGGTGGCAAAAATCGTGGATACAGATTAGATTGTGTAGATTGTTTTAACCCGTTAACTTCATCTTGGTCGAAAATGAGCAGTCTACCGGACACAGTCAACGGCATCGGCATGGCAGTAATGGAAGACGACACCTTATTGGTTTGCGGCGGTTTCAATGTAGTGCAGGATGGAATTAGTTTAGTTACGAAACGAGCACTTCGCTATGATTTCTCTACTAATAACTGGAACGACATTCCGGAATTACAGACTGCGCGCGGTACACCATGCGCTGCAGCGATTGGCGGGCGTGTGTACGTGGTGGGCGGTTGCGGCAGCCATAATGCGCAATGGACAGACTATGTGCCAATGCAGACCGTTGAATGCTACGATCCAATGACGAATTGCTGGACATATGTCGCCCCGCTCCCGATACCATTGGACAATTTTGCTATGGTGGCATACGATGATCGTCTCTACACATTTGGCGGATACAATGCGGACGGTGTTCTGGATGCTGTGTTGTGCTATGATCCCTCACTGGACAAGTGGACCGAATTAGCCAAATTACCCACGGCGCGCCACTGGTGTTCGGCATCCGTTGGATCGAGCGGGCTGATCTATGTTATTGGTAAATTTTTAGTTTTGATGTAGCCAACCGATTGCCTACCTTTTGGCATTGTTTTGTTCTGGTAATTGGTGCAACAGGTGGAGTGAGTGGTGCGATGCCTGATATGGACACAGAAAGCTTAAGCTGCGTCGAGGCGTACGACCCTGTTGCGAATCAGTGGCACAAAAAAGGTAAGCATGTTGTAAGTTGGCAGCATTGGATTGCCTCTAAATTACGTACTCCTGTATTTTCTCGTCACATGGTTTGTGTTATTGGCATTACTCCGAGTCCGAGCTTAGCAAAGTACAAAGATGCGCCTTTTAGTCAGTGCTCTTACAACGGGAAGAACATAACTGTGCTTTATAGACGACATGCATATACCACGATACAACGCCGGGATAGCTTGTCTAAACGACAAGATCTACGTCCTAGGTGGCGTGAGCCAACAATATGGAAGTGCCATTGAAATGTACGATGAAGCCACCGGCACTTGGGCTATCTACGACAGCCAGTTACCGAGTGCCAGGGAGGCGTTCGGGTGTGCAGTGATCGGTATCCCTAAAGGTTAACCGTTATCAGCGATGGAGAAGAGCCGGAATGTTTTGCACGAGCAGCTCTGTGAATCAATCTTTTGTACGTATCGGTTTTTGTGACCTGACGAAGTGAGATGCCGGGGATACGTTCGGAAGTGCAACCGATCGGCATTGTGAAAGGTATTCACAAACAGCTCTACAGACCGATTGTGCGAAATGTACTTAAGCCGTAAATTCGCTTTTCTTGTAAACTAGCTTTAAAAACTAAAATTGACAAATATTTATGTACTAGTTCACCTAATTATACATGTATTATATTATATCCCTTTAGTTTTTAGTACTTACTAGTACGTACGAATACCCGTAATACGCTGTACTCTCGAACATGAATAAACTACTCTAAACGAAAGAAGTTAACAAAGCCTAATAAACTGTAAAAAGTCTATTATCAGTAACTCTGTAATTCCACGAGAGCCGCAACTCCATTTGGTACAAATTTACTTAAAAATCCATTACAACCTCCACAAAACACTGGCTAAACACGCTTACAAACACCTGGACCAAACAAGGTCACACGCGACAAAACCAGAAAAGCTATTTAAATCATAATTTAGAACCCGCTACTTTGAACTTTTGTGAATTTTTATCCTTGAAAGACACCATCAACCGGGTACAGAAACATTTTCCCACCGCCAGGGCACAGAAAAACCAATTGTGGAAACATTTCGTAAAATTTTTAGACCAAAAAAACGTACACCGACCGACCGAAGGCCAAACAAACGAAAAGTAAAACAAAATAAAATCGAATAAAATTCTAGATACTGTTAAAAACCTAACTCTTGAAAACCGTCGTGGGGAAAAAGCACCAGGCAGAATTTTGTGATTTGTATCGGGAATGCATGTGTTTGTGGGGAAAGATTAGACCGGCGTAGCTGGGAGGGGAGGCGTCTTTGGTACGCAGTGCTGCCAAAGTGGACCGTTGCTGTCCGCATCCCGTGCGTTTTCTGCATTAACCCACAAAGTGCAATATGTGGGTTTGCCTGTTAAATGTGTTGGATGTATTCGGGATTGAGGAAGGAAAAGCCCTGGAATTCAGTCTGATCCAGGTTCATCATGAAGAAGCGCTGCTCTTTCGTCATGGGCGTCAATTCCGGCGGATCATTTGTAAACTCTTTATCGAAATTGCTCACATCCAAACGATTTTTCTACGGTAGTAAAGAGATTTTCATTTTATCAACAACGAAAAATTAAACTTGCAAAAAACAATACGATATATCGATGAATATCTATTCATCCTAAAAAAATTCACCCTAAAAAAATTCCTAAAAAAATTTGGTGAATTCATCCTAAAAAAATTCACCAAATTTGGTAGCACATATCTGTGGCTTTTATGCATGAAATCGCAAAAGTTGTACAGAAATACCTATTCTAACACTACTGTGTTCTTTAAAAAATAGACAGCAATCGTAAAGTAACGGCTCAGATGTTCATATGTGAAGATCCGAGCAAGTCGTATAAAGATAAGGAACTCAATGCTAAACTGGATACAACAGAAAAAAAATATTAGGACTAATTATTGCCGAAATTTTTTGCGTGTTCTCATTCGCACTATACCACCAGATTTTGCTGCCAATAAATACACTTTAAAAAAGTTATACAAAGTTACACATTTTATCTAAAAGGGGTTAATAACGGCGAATATTATTAATCTCTTTATTTGGTTTCGTCATTATCAGCCCTTTAAGCAACTTAACTCAAATATTCCAATGCATTACAATACTATTCAGCTTTACAATAACGGAAATATTATTACGGAAAATTACGGGTAATCAATCCTCAGACAACGTGCCGGGAGCTGGCAACCTACATGTATCGTTCAATATGAGCTGGGGACAGAATCTATAGAAGCTTCATGCCCAAAATAAGGATTCATGTATGTGAAATCCTTAAAGCCAGATCCGACGTAAGCAGCCAAGATGGTGGTATCGCAGATTGTCAGATCCATAGGGGCTTTGCGGAAGATTGTGTCGAAGTTCTCAGCCATGCGCGGATTATTCTGCACAATTCGGGCCACACAAAAACGATAACATAAAGGAATTGGCGGATGCAACAGTTTTCGTGGATATGAACATTTTGGTGCAGATGCAAACACGGCGAACGCGTGTGAAATAAAGATGAAAATGGACGCGCAGGACGGAAAGAAAGACGGAACGGAGAACGGAAAAGAAGAGAAAAACATGGCGTTAACATAACAGAAGTATCGAACACATTCAAAATACAAAAATAATCGAGGACATACTAATTTTCTCATTCTTTTGAAATTACGGAGAAGTACATATCTCATTCCACACAAAACCGACAGCAAATTTTTCTCCAGATAATACAAATATTCGAATAAGCATGCTTTCGTGCGACAATTACAACTCTTAGAACATCAAAAGCGAAGCGTGCAACAACGATAGAACAGAAACTTAAACATTTTCAGGCGTTACTATAATTATTTACAAAATCGTAAAACGATAACGATTGAAAAATTTTACATAACTGCGTAGATTCCCTAATTTAGCAGCGGTCATTAAATAATAAACACTTAAACTGCGGTATCAACTTTAAACAGTAGTGTTCGTATAAAAAGACTGAAGTAGATTTTACTGACTAAAGAAAACGGAATTTTTGCGTTGTTCAACCGAATACAGTACACTTACAATACGGGGTTTGAAGGGCGGCTGGACTTCGCGGTTTTCAATTCTCTCCCAGTCCAATCGCCGGAAGAAAGCATGCTCACGTATATCTCGTTCACCGGTCTGCACATTACATCCCAATCGCTTATCGGGCTGCTTCATCAAAAGCTACGGAACAAAAAGAAATTATGGAAGAAAGGATTTTCCATTTTACTTCGGAAAATAAGAAAACAAAGAATTTTAAACCAAAATAAATCTCAAACGCTCTCGATAAAAATAAATAAAAAAATATAATAAACTCCTCAGTACTGTAGCTTAAAATGGACGTGTATTTTGATGTTCTTACTGCGAGTAACAAACATGTCCTTCGTACTTTTGGTAACAACTACTCTACCATACCCCTTTGCATAATGAAATCGCTTCCTTGGACATGCATTTCGGATAAGACACCGGGTGCTCTGTAATCGAGGCAAATAACTCCTCCTCGTCTTCGCCATCGAAAGGCGGCTACAAGAAATCAAGATATTATTGTAAACAATTCGGGCGAAGCACTCATGCCTTCCTGCAAGTCATGTAACCTTTCACCAGGAAAGGTAATATAATATTCTATTCCTAATTAATATTTTCATTTCGTTAGTCCGCCGCACTGAACACACCCAGGTGGGAAATAACAAAATAATTGTATTTTTATACCTGGCCCGCCAGCATTTCGTACAGCAACACGCCAAACGCCCACCAATCGACCGATTTTCCATATGGCTGGTACAGAATAATCTAACAAGGCCGAATTTTTCGTAAATTTCCCGACATTTACATTGGTCACGCATCACTAATAAATGCACAAATTTCTCTCCGCTGCAGTGCACAAATTTCTCTCCGCTTTCCTACCTCGGGAGCAATGTAATCAGGTGTGCCGCAGAAAGTCTTGGTTAATTTTTCATGTCCATGCATTCCCTCCTTGCACATACCGAAATCGGCAATCTTAATATGGCCCTCCGCATCCAGCATGACGTTGTCCAATTTCAGATCACTAAATAATTCCACCATGAAGATTATTCAATTATTCCGCGCCCGTATTCCCGCCGGAATGTCGGCAAATTATTTATCACCCCGATACATTACATACCGGTATATTATGCCTTTTTTGTGCAGATAGAATAATCCCACAGCAATTTCCGCGGCATAAAATCTGTCAGGGAAGAAAGAAGGAATACTGGATTTCGTTACTAGTAGGATGTACAGATATGTACATGTGCAGGGAAGCTTTACGCTTCAGGGCAGACGGAGCCAGCTCTATCAATATGCTAATTCAACGTGAATTATGGAGCCCGCCGGTCCGCGTCCACCGGATTTACATAACAATAACTTTTAAATGTCAATTTGATAACTATCGTCACTTCCGAAATTTTACAGAATATCCAAACTGACGCAAATTGGCAACTGCTCCGCAACTATTTTGCTTACTTTAAGAACGATGTCTGTGAGCATATAGTATGCAAAGGACCTTTTAAGAAATTATCTTAGCATAACTCACACGATAGATGCATTATCAGTGATTTATCACTAAAGAAAAACGAAAGCATCCTGCAGTTACTTAATTTTTTTGTTCTATATGTTGAACATGCATGGAAATCATTGGATAATAACACCAATAATAAATTACCATTTAAAATACCCTTTAGAAGAATTTGTTGAGGAGTGCATTTAACGAGTGATTCTGAATATTTCCAGAATCAAACATTGTAGGAAAACGTTTAAAAAAAACATCAACATACTAGAGCTCATAATTATACAAATACTATGTACTTACGCGGCTACCGGCTCCTTGAAACGACCAACTTGCTGAATTTGATACATAAGATCGCCACCGTTGACGTATTCCATCACAAAATACAGCCGGTCCTGTTGAAACAAACTCATTTATTTAAAGTCTAGCACTTTCAAATCAGGAAATAAATAGATAATCTACTCCAGTAAACGAGGAAATACTAGTTGTATTCCAATCGTAGTACAGTGTGCAGTGTGCACATACTTGATCACTTCTATACAGTGGCATGGAAGTTGCATCATTTCGAAGATATTTAACTCATTTGAACGTCAGCGATAATAAGAAAATTAAATTTTCAGACTTCTCCATTTCCATTTTTTCGTCAATGAATTACGTTTGCTTGTGCCCCCAAACCAATTTGAAAAACAACGATCACATGATAATAACAATAAGTATAAGCACTGTTCTACATAAAAACTGTAATCACTTAGCGGCTATGTACCCCACACCCACCATGGTCTGGAAACAGGAATGGAGTTGTACGAGGAAGGGCGGCTTCTTGGGTAAGGCCAGGACCCGTTTCTCCACCATGGTGCAATCCACATCATCGTCCTGTATGATGACGTCCTTCTTGAGGATCTTAATGGCGTACAGCTCGTCGGTGCCTTTGCGCTCGGCCAGCATAACCTTGCCGAAGCTGCCCTTGCCGAGGACCATGAGGAAATTGAAATCGCTGGCCCGGATGATATCCTTGTTGCCCACATTGTGCGGCACATCCTCCACACCATCTGGCACTGATCGGGTTCGCTCAATGGCTTTCACTTTCTGTCAATCACACCGGCACATGAAATCGACCCTTACATTTATAAGGCACAACAGAATATGTATTAACATTAATCTCCTCAATTTACAAGTTAGATATGAACCTGCAAAGTGCAAACTATCGTATACTGTATTAACAAGGAACGATTTTCCGCCGTAAAAACAAACAATTTGATAATGCACCAAACGCAAGATAACTTAACACAAGATTACGCAAGTGTACTTAACGCAAGATTTAATTGAATTTTATATTAGAAATGCTATTTCGTCGTTCATAATCTAAAGTTTTTCATAACACCACAAGCGCAAGCTTTCGTAGTTAAAATGTACTGGTCGAAATGCATAACGAGCAACCATACTGCACAGTTACAACACCGAGAGCACAGTAGTGCATGGGCTGATTAAATTGTGGAGTTCGTACCACCTGAGTTAGCAGAGCCTTTAATACCTACAGAAACTGCAGGACTAGTGTAAAGGAATAGAATTTTTCCTAATGGCATCTGGATATCTAAGAATGCACGAGTATAACAAATAACAGAGTTTGAAAAAATAAAATTTTTTCCTATTGTCATTTGGTAACCTAAGAATGTATTATGAATAAAGCCGTACCTGGAGCTTTTTCCTGAGCTCTTCAATGCCGAGACCGTCGTCTTCCGGTGGACAGGGGATGTTGTAATAGGAGCCTTCTTCCTGACTTAATAACTTGAACCATCCATCCACACCGACCTTCATTATTTCTGAAATGCCGAAAGATAAGGCGCCCATGAAATCATTACGCGACGTCCGATCCCAATCCCACACTTCCACCGACAAACGCCGATCTTTGTCTTCCGGATGCAGATGACTGTACAAAGGAAATACATTTTTTATCGATTAACCTGAAGTGTCATCCCTAATCCAGTGCACCAAAATTCTGCAATGATTTCTAGAAATTTAAGTAAGAATATAACAGAAAACAATTTAATCTTATTACATTTTGATATTATCTATTTCCCGATAAAAACGCTTATCACTTACACTTAGGATACAGTGAAACTGGCATTTGCAGCCGTTACTGCAAGTCAAATTCGCCTAAACATTCTTGGACCAAATCATGATGTATTATTTTACAAAGAAAAGACTGAAAATTTCTTATGCACAATTGTTAAGAGAATCCTAATGCGAAAATTATAAAGCTGTATCATTTTGCGAAGGAAATTTAAAAAACTCTAGCAACAAAAAATATATTCCCAGGGTTAATGGATGTTTAAAAAAATCCGAAAGCCTCCATTTATTAGGATGATTTAAGGCTTAATCATGCATACAATGTAAATTTTTCTTCCCAGTGCGGATTAAGATTGACTTTGACGGTTTTGGTTTTCTGCTTGGTTTTGCCATCCGGATCTGGTTGCAGTTTGAGTTTGACGTAGGGATCGGAGGCTGCAAGGGGAAAAAGAGACGACTGCATATCAAAGAGGAAGAGAGAGAGAGAGCAAGCGCGCAAAACAGAAACGCTATCCGTAATGAATGCCTAGTTAATCAAAAAATACACAATTCCGCTACAGGCACTTTGTGACCCCACTCAACGCAAGCAGTGGCCACAGCTGTTTACCTCCGTTGGGATCCATCGGGATAAGATTTCGCGCTTCATGCACTGCAAACAATCCAGTCTTAATGTCATGTAGACTTTTGTCAACAAATACGGCGTCGTCTGCCAAATGGTATGTTAAGAACTAGCAGGACATTTTTTCCGCATACACTCTTCTTAGTACATACAAAACTTTTTTCTCAATGCAGTACAGTTCCTTTTTTTTAAAATTACATTATTTCCCTTACTGTTCGACAAATAAATTAAAACCGTAAAATTTGCACTGAAATTTTTTGTATAGAATTCTGCAGTGTAAGGGTCATCCTGTGATCGTTAAGCTGTGCTTGCTGCATAGACACCGAAAACCGATATTAGTACTACAGAGTACAACGAAATTAACTGCTTTAAATTGCCTCCTCCGACTTGAAAAACATTCTAGGAAATTTTTTAAAACCACTAACTAAATCAACCACTTTTCCCAGCCCCAACAACAATCACCAAAAAAGGTCCCACCATGAAATTAACCCTTTCTCGTTGTTGTGCCTGGTTTTTTCTCTTCTCCGGAGTCCTGACAGAGTAAAACGGCAATGGTCCATTACGCACAAATCGATGCTTACAGAGTGTTGGGGCCAAAATGCAAATTTGGAATTTGTAATCCTAATGCCTAAATGCTCAGCCACCCTCCCATCATTGAGAATGGAGCACTTTACGGCGCAGCCGGAGCGTGATTAGGGAGTGCACCGTGCGCACGTATATGGCGTGGTGGTGGTGGATGCATTAAATTCCATTCGGGTTTAAATATAGGTTGGCCGGCGCGGCCATTAAGGTGGCTGTGAGAATGTATACGTCGCGATTTGCTGGTGGGGTTTATGTATTATTTTGTGGGAGAGAGTTAAAAGAGAAATGCACTCGGGTGGGAACGGCCGAAAGACGGAGAACGTAATTACAAACCAATGATCTGTAAAAAATGCATTAGGAGAAATGCAGTAGTTGGCAGGTTCTCTGCGGCCCGGAAACTCTATGTGCCTGACCAAATGAGCGGGTTGGTGCGGTTGTGGTGCAGTCAGCCGGATAATCGCCCATTCCGGCGGGTCTACATTGGTTTTTTTGTTGTTATGACGGAAGACTATATACAGAAAGTGCGATTAATTCCACTGATTAATATTAATGGAACAGCAATAAAATTTGTATTAAAAGAAATTTCTGCAAGAAAAATCAACGACAAGCTTTGGCTAACTACGGTAGCTCTTAAAACCTACCTATTCATGGAGTGCAGTGGTTCAGAGCCTTTGTGCTACCACATTGCTGTACTAAACACTGAACCGCCGTTTTGAGTAATAGTGATAACGTCACATTACATACTGAAACCAACATTCATCTTCTATGAGTTAAAAATCGATTTAATTTTAGAAAATGTTATTTTAAAACTCGAATAAAAAATTCCCAAGCTGTTTCAACGAACAATTCATTGTAAATACAAAAAGCGTGGCAAGTCAGCAACAGTATACGAGAAAACCTTTACAATTACATGATATTTAATGAGTGTAACAATTTCTGTAATAAAAAATACCCTTAAAACGATTCGTTTTTGGTATGTACCAACAGCTGTTATGTACCGACAGAACCGTCACAAAAACATATTACACAATGAGTGTGTTGATTTCCATTGAGAACAATTTGAGCGTGAACAATTCGGACAGTAGCGCCATATACACGGTGTTCCCTGAGCGGAATGCAGGATTTCCTGTGTTAGACTGGGCATTACATAGGCTTACCGACAACCGTCATAGTTCCGTTTTCCTCATAGGAAATTGTTAGTCGAATCCGGCCCCGCCGCTCCGTGTAATCACATCCGCACAACTCAGGCACGTGCTGGATACATTTCTTGTGAACATTCATATCGCACGCTACGGGATCATATGCAACAAACACACATAATCAGCATCAATTCCACATAATATCTCTTGATTGTATAACATGTAAATTATTATTTCCTAGTGTAGTATTAAATTATCTTGTTGTTCATTGTTACATACCCGATATTTAACCATGATAATCCAAAAACTTCAAAAAAAAGTGTTTGTAAGCATACGTCATTTTTGAGTACGGACCATACATAGTTCAAACGCCCACACAAGCCAGTGACCAAGGTTAATTCTTAACGATTTTGTTTCGCATTACGTATTTAAAAATTTTTTAAAACAATGTTCTGAATTACATTCCTTTTGGCTACCTTCTGGGATATCGCAGTTTCTTTCTAACCGACGATTTAAATTAGTCACATTCACTGCCCACAATCGTTAGACAGCTACAGGAAAAAGAGCGAGCGACTGTCTCTCACAGAAGAGAAATGTTAATCGTTGTCCTACTAAAGTGCATTTCATTTTTTTCACCGCACTACGAAATCTTCACCGCGCGTCGCATGCGACCCATCAAGTGTTGAAATTAACTAGATTCAGCTGTTACAAAATAGTCTGCATTTGAGCGAAAGGGTGTTGAGTTAATTAAAATTACAAGCACAAATGCCGGAAGCAGTTGCTACTCTGTGTTAGAGACGCAGACTATGGGATAGGATCGTCAATTGGAAATTCCAAGCCTAACAACATCGTGAGAATTCTTGTCTTTGCGATACCGCTTCACAAACTACTATTTTTATCCAGACATACATACACTGCCCGTCAGTCAGTCATTCAACGGGAAAATCGCAAGCCAAACCAGGTTCAATATCAAACGACAAGTTGGCCACATCACTCTCCGCCGCTCCAATTACGAATTGCGCGAAAACTGGGACAGGAAATAAAATACACTGCTCGGACTTTCATTTTGGTAAAAAATAAAAATCATGAAATGCCCATTTATAGGCCTTGTAAAAAATTACAGTAAAGTGAGTAAACTGCAATAATCACATAGAATTTTAAATAGTATTTAAACTTTTTTAAACTTGTAATATGTGTTCACTACTGGTTAAAGAAGGTAAGCCATAAAGAACAGAAAATTAATGCATAATAGAGAAATATTTTAAATTCTGAATTGCAATTTTTTGTTCGTATAGTTCTAGTTGGTCTAAAGAAAAGTCTTGCACTACCATGCGATTAAGTAATGTTCGTAAAGATTTGTGCTTTTTGCTAATTTTAGTGACACAAAAATTTTTTCTCGAAAAAATCGATGTTTTGGGCGATGGTTTTCCATACAAGAAAGAAAAAGGGCCAATTTATCACACATGAAAACTCTCCCGTCAAGAACATTGTCGACACATATGGCAGAAATAGTCCCACAAGTAGCGCTCCTGTAACTGGACACGCAAGCTTACGTTGAGCATGTGTCAAAGCGATAAATCACCCTTCTCGCCGCGAAGACACACAAGTATCGATGGAAAAACATTCTTCCGACACTCTCTCCACTTCCACAGACTTCGCCCGGAAAGAAGTCATGAACCGACATTTTCAACGAAACCCTTTTATCAGGCTTAATGTTCAACAAGGAACATTTGGTGCCGGTATAAAAGAAAAGCCGGTCGGGATGGTTGGGCTCTCAAGAAAGCACTGTGCGTGACCGACAATGCCTGTTGTTGACGATTGTCGTTACAGTTCATTGATACGGGCTGCCATCAAAGTGAACCTCGCATGAAGCAAGTTATGAAAAAATCCTACAGAAGAAGCAACTCCTCCAGCTACGAAATAACTTAAATATGGATTTATATAATACAGTCCTTTCAGATTGTCATTAACTACGATTATGTCTAACTGTTGCCATACTCGTATATGTAATTGTTAATTTTAAAAATACAAACACTTTAAGTGCAGCTTTTGTCTTGTCTAGGTTAAATTTAGTTGCTGGCTCGGTTATCTTAGAAATGCTATTGACACTGAAGAAATTATGGACACCGTTTTAACAGCCATCCAAATCAATAAAAGTGCAAACGCAGATGCACTACTTAAAAATTTAAATTATTTACCTTCACATTTCATCCCTTGATGAATGAGTCCATAAAGCAGCGATCCGCAATGATCACAGAATGTGGGACTGGAATACGAATGTATGCGGAATTTGTGCTTGGCTCGAGGATACTGCAAAGTCAAATAAAAACCAAAATTACCTCTTTGCATGCAAAAGGCTGCAAATCATCATCCATCTAACGTGGTCAATTTCCTAAATCACCATAATTTACAACAACGAAAACCACCTTTCTTACCACAGACGCACAAACAACAGACATACAAGTACCAAGAAAGCGTTTATCCAATTTTATCAAAGGTTTTCGTAGAATTTCAAGACCAATCAAATTGTTTAGCAAATTAGTCTAACTGCTTAACCCGTTACCCTTATAATCAGCATGATGACCGAAATGTCAACATAAGGCGCACACAAATCATTACCATTTCGCAGTTGAAAATTAAAATACATTACGAAGCTCAAATCTTTTCTTATTTTTATTAAAGTATCTTACAGCATTTTTCTAAATAGCGCAGATTTAGTCAATCACAACAAAACATGAATAACGCAAACAGCTACCACGGTTTGTCCTTCAACATTTTGTTTTCGCAAATATAAAGACTTTATTTGCCTTTTTTATTTTGTAATTTAGCAATCAAAATGAGCCATCAGGGTCATTTCTTTCGGCAATTGTATCCCCACAGTGCGCTCAACTAACGGCAATATCGATCGAACCCTCGGACTGTAATCCTCGTCGGCAAAAGTAAAAGAGGAACATTTGCACAGAGCGTCACGCGTAACAGCTGGCCACATTCCCAGTCCTATCAGTCTCTCCCCTTCGACAATGTTTGCTGCTACAGTAGCTATAATCTTTCTAATTTACCAAAACCAAACACAATCAGGCATAGCTGTGAGCAAACAGATACCACTGTTGGCCCCCGTGAATGAATGCTTTATTCGGCTGACTATGGGGATACATGTATCCATCCAGTCACCTGTCACCGGGAATACACGCGACAAACACACACATGCATATAGCTGCACAAAAGCGGTCCGCTCAAACAGCTGGAACCTGGTTTACCCTGTGCACACAATGGGGATGACTCGATAATCTGCCCGCCTATTGATTATCTGCGGCGACCGATCTGTTGTCCCAACTGGATACTGAAAGGTATACCCGGATGAGGGCTCTAGTGGCCGCTTGTTTCCTCTCGAAAAAAACCGGAAATCGCAACTTCAGTTCTCCACCACTAGCAAAACGTAGTTTAGGAAAAATACCCTTACTGTAAAAGGTAAAAGATAGATCTATCTTTTATTTGCAATATGGATGTATGATGTGCACCGATTTCAGAAAATCCCTTACTTCATAAACTTATTTCATAAACGTACACGAACAACTACTCAAGAGACGATAAAAAAGGGCATAGTTAAAGTACTGTTTCTTACGAAAAGTTTTCGTCATTTTAAATTCTGCTTATCGCCATTCCAGAATTTTCAAAAGCTTAAATTTAATGCTAGAATGTGATTTCTGAAAAACTGACATTTCACGGGAAATTCACAGCATCGCAAACGATTTCTACAGGGTTTCATTTACCCAACTTGACCCGATTTGCAAAACATTCCCGTAAAATATTCTCTCTCCATCCTAACTTGGACATGTCAGTGAAAAATGACGCTTGGCAGCGGCGAAACATGTCTGAGCTATCGATGGCATCCATGGGCTGTGGCATTGATAATTAAAGTGTTGAATATCGCATTCGGGGAGTGAAGGGGGACGGTGTCCCGGGAGAGATTATCGCGGCCCGGCCTCGTCCGCCACTTGGCCTGCGCACTTTATTCCGGCACAGGGATCGGGGCATAATTTAATTAAGTGGAGTACGAGATCCACGCACAATAACCCCCATTGATCGGGCTATCCCTGGGCTTTAATCTCCCATACAGGAAAGACTATTGTAATTATTTGTCTAACACTGGCTACTTAGACTCTCCCTTGTACCCGTTCCGCCCGCGCACCTCACATCAAGCCCACTGGCACGCAATGGGACCCGCGGTTCTTTTGCTAAAACCATCCTCGCCGGTTTCTGTAATTTTGAGTTTTTCCGGGAAGTCACCGGTAGTACTGTTGGTCGCTCTAAAGCTGATGCTGGCGACATATTGTGAATCTAGAAACGTAAGAAGCAAATCGAAGAAGTAGATCTGCCGGAAATTAACCTTCGTAATTGAACTCTCATTTCCAAAAACACTCATTTCCTGCGTAAACCAAAAACAAAACAAAGCCATGAACAACCTGAACAGGGCCGGGCCGACCTGAACAGGGTTAATCTATAAAATTTAAAACAAACTCAACTTCATAAAACTTGAGAATAACTCACAGACGGCCAGAGCAAACTGACAAACGTTAGTTTATGCTTCAGTTGTTTTACCTATCGAGTCATTATCATTACTATATGGAAGGCAAGAAACTGCGACTCACAAGTCAGATAGAACGTTTCATTTCAAAAAAAACGACAGGGCTCCAAAACAACTACAAAAAATTGTTTCGAAAAACGTGACCTCCTCCTCAACCGGAAGTCAATGCTCCTCAATTAGCGCCAGACAAACGCACTGCAAGGAAGAACCTTAGAAAAAAACATTAGCCAATGCGGCTGAAGAGGATTCAGCTGTCATGTTTGATTTAGATAATTAGTCTGAGCATTTCTCAACAAGGATGGTGTGTACACTGCATGCTCAGCAGAGCCCACTTGAATGCCATTTTGATAGCCTTCTTTCCGAGGTTTTCCAATATGAGAAAAATGAAAAAGAAGGATTAAATGTTCCCAGGCACATATGTCAACTTACATCGCTATCCGGTCCCTTGTCAGCGCCAGGGCACACAAATGTAACGAATTCATGGCAGCGTTTATGTACGACGAAACTGCACACTGCAACAAAATATCAGAAATAGATTGTACTGTACTTGACTTCCGCAAGTCACGATCGTTAGCATTTATAGTATTACCAGCACATAAAAATCCCAATTTCATATTCTTATATATACAAAATTACAAATCTACACAATATTTACATTCAGTAAAGGTATCCAAATAATATCCAAATACATTATTATCCAGTCAATATGGTGCGATATGCACGAAACATCGGCATTGTCATTCCACAACAATACTTAACGGAATACCGGCGTGTGGATAACGGTCGCTTAAAAAATCCGACATTTATTCGCAGATATCGTCAATCAACGGTCAGTTTAACATTTTTTCGATTTTTGTTTTTTGCATAAATATTAGAAACGTACATGTACTGTGTGCAATGTTACGGTTACTGCAACATTCGTACAAGTGATATTCGTATTATTATCAGAAAAATACATGTTTTCGTAATCAATTACATCAGCAGAATTAAATCGAAAATTTGCTTTCACGGTTTAACCATATGGGAACCGTAATATAAAAGCAAAACAAAACAATACACATAATAAATAAACAAATACATGAGACAAACAGCACAATCGTTTTAGTAAGGAAGAAACAGCTTTGTAAAAACCGGAAAACATGTTTTCAGGTTTAGTTCATACAATCCATAATATCGTATTTTCAAAGTTTTCGCTTAATTTTCTGGCGTCGCTCTGACCAAGCTATGCGTCAGCTGAAATGATCTAAATGCCAATTTTCAAAAAAGACCGCCATAAAAATCCACATTTATGACAGGACCATGCTATAAAAAATACATCACAAAGCTGACTCCATAGTCCTCAGCTAAGAATAGCAGGGCGCGGTGCTGATCGGAATTTATTTTCTTCCAAGTACCACTATACGCCGGTCGACTGACCATTAATCTTGCATATTTATAAAATAGTTAGATCTGCGATTAAACCACGTTTGTTTATTATTAGTGTTAATTTCAAAACTTGATTAGCAAAACGGAATGCTTCCGACGACGTCAGACGTTCGAAAAAAAATCTATAAATAATTGCTTTTTCTCTTGACTGTCGCAAATGTCCCGTCAAAACCAGATAGAAAAAACCCAACTATTCAGGCAAAGTTCAACTGATATTTCACGAGGTTAAGGAGAATTTCCATATTTTTCGCTCTGGATCTCTTTCGGGACAGAGCAACGAAAAAAATCAATAAAACCTATTTAGTCATCAGAGTGTTTGTTATAATGCGCCCATCATTCATCGCACACACCGCTTCGTTATACGCGCCCGGAAAGGGCAAAAACGTCTGACATGCCGAGCATGTATACATTTATTGCGTCATTAATTGTCTCCTCCACGAGTCAAATGGCTGCTTCATATCAGGCAATGATACCAATATATCTGGTGAACGTAAGCGTAAAAAAGCTGCCACCCAACACAAGAAAGCGCCGTGGAAATTTGATTAATGTCTACAATGGTCATTATGGCTACTGTGACGCGGGAATGTCTGTGTACGCTGATAATCAACAACAGCTTGGCCTCCGCTGCTCGACAGCAAATCGATGCTGCTGGCTCATCAAAAAGGACGAGCTGGACTTTCTATTTTGCAAATTCCCGCTTTCGGTCTCCTGGGAGATATGTGCGCTACGGCCCGTAATTTCTCTTGACATTTTAGCGCCAAATATTACATTATCATTTTTCCTGTCTCACTTAAAGGTGCGCATTAAGCGGCTCTAATGCTTTACACAAACAGATGCAGCCACAGCAGCAGAAAAATTAATTAACAATACATAAAGCCAAAACTAAATTTGATTAAATAAGTATATCTGTACATAACAAGCACAGCCGCAAATTGCATTAAGTTGGTACTGAACCATGTACAATTTTCTTCAAAACAAAAATTTAGCTTGAAAACAAGCAATAATCTTTCTTTCGTTTGAAAATGCGAAATGTACGAAGACCTAACCAGAAGGAACATCCTACGCTGGTCAAGGATTTATGAAATGCAAATCTCAAACTTAACAACAAGGAAAACTGCGCAAAAAATGCAGTTTTTTATTGCAAAAAACTGCTGATTCATCATCTTCGGGTGTCAACTGATTCGGATAAGCGGATATCCCAGATCTCGGCGCATTGTATGCAGGCCTTCATGCGCAAAGCGGCTTTCCTATCTACCAATTAGCCAACGGGACTGCAACGGGTTAAAAGCGATTATTCAGCCGGCCCAGATATTACGTTTCCAATCGGCAGTCATGCACGTACCACTTATTACATTCCTATTCATCGATTGAAATTCAGAAACGCAAAAATACAATAACGCATTAGACATGTATCTGTATGCGGGACACCTAAACAATTCCATAAAATTCTTCAGTGTAACGTAAAATATGAGCTTGAATCTATGGAGCAATGCGGATGATTCTCCATAGAATGCCTGAAGAAAAACAAGCACTCGTAGCTTACGTTCATACATTTTGTGCGCATGTGTGCGACGAATGACGTGTGCCACTCGAGGGCTTTTTTCTCACTTCATTTAACTCCCTGAACGTAACTCTATTACGCAAGAAAAGTAAACGATTCTTCCAGCCCGCCGAAATAATGCACTGGGATAAATACAGCTATAAAAATCTACATAAAAGCGTTCCTATATAACATACCAATAAAAATTCTGAATCACTTTTTTTAAAAATTGTGGCCGCTGACCACATGTGCAGCTCGTAATATAAGCACATAAAATTACTAAATTATTAAAAACTATCAAATTTTCAATATCATAAAAACAAAACGGGGGCATAAAGCAAATTCATTTCCTCGTTTAAAAATTAGCTAGCTACTAACGAATTTTTATGATCATTTGAAAAGAAATAAATTGCTTTCCGTAAATTTCCATAAAATTAATTACCAAGATGCCAATGTTGTTCATCTCAAAGACAAAGAGCAAAACGTAAATGCTGTCTAACTGTAAATGTTCTATGCGAAAGATTACATAATGCATAAAAACTGGCGATAGAATTTAATGCTAGCAACCGATTGGAGAAATAAAAGTGGTCATTTAATTGCATACTGCGCGCCATTATTACCTTGACACTGGAAGCCTTGTTTGCCGAAACCCCTGCAAAGAAAATGTTGTTAATACGATCAAACATGTCGGCAGCGAGTTTGTGTGCTTCCATGTGGAGCCCGATGAAGGAGGGGATAAAGCGCTGGAAAGCATTGTCAAAACAGGACAGCTCGCGCTGTTGCGTGATTTGTATTATTAACGAGCGTAGCCTCCAGCTCTTTCAATTAATTCAACAACGACAAACGCTTACAGCAAGCCGCTCGCTGTCGATTTCTCATGATACCGCAATGCCATCGTAAAAACACACATAAAAAGCGGACATTTTTCTGGTTTCCAGCTATTTTTTGCAACAAGAACTCAAACAGGTGCCAAATTAATGCGGATAAAAAGGTACGCATAGGGCACCGATAACAAAAAACAAGAAAACGTTTACCACCTTAACAACAGCAAAACAATGTCTATTTTTTTAAGATAATGTCCCATGTGCATTACCCGATTGTCAGTGCATAATTTTATTGTCAAAATAAATTTTGAATCTTTCATATTTTGAATTAATTTCCAATCAGCCCGTTACTTTTAAACAAAAAAATCCGCAAAAATTTTGAAAACAAAATTATCACTTAAATTGTGGGCTCTGCTCCTGTTTCAATTTCCGAGTGAAATACACCTAGCAATTAAAATCCTATCCGTCAACTCTGATCTCTTCCTCTACACCCGCTGTAATCCAAAACCTATAATTACAAACTGCGGAAAATCGTTTTATCGATCTGATCACCAAACACCTTGTCCTGACGTCAGGACGGTCATTAACTCACACGTAAACTGCATTTTATTATTATATATTTTCCTTTTCTCCGGAAAATGCTGAGTTGTGCAGAAAACGAACACCCTTTATCGTCATACATTAATACCACATGTACTCGTACTACAATACATAAACTCAACGAGGTTTATCTCTTTCGACGGCACCGGAATGTTTACTCAGGGCAATTTTACGAGCGTAGCCGCAAGCCACGTTGAAACTCCCAACCAAGAACTGCTGTAAATTTCCACAATTAAGTAGCGTCAAGCGCGCCATTATGTGCTGGTGGAGTTATGGTTAACTATTTATTACTAAATGTCCAATTTCACATAATTTTGGGGCTAGGCCTAGCCCCAAAATTACGTCTATCGGCCTAGGCCGATAGACGTTATTACCCCTTAAAATCTTAAAACAATCTCCAAAGCACAAACGAAATATAATAAAAAATTATTTCAATAACTAACAATATAACTGCAAAAATTAAATAGCAAGATCCGAAAAGCAAAAAATCGAAATATGCGACATAACCCAGCATAGGACTAGGGACTTTACTGTACTTATATGAGCCAATTGCAGTCCGCAGCTGGGTTGCAAATTGCAATCTACTGGCGTTTCGTTTTTGGAACTCGGGTATCATTTAAATTAATAATTCAAAATGCCAAATTATTTAAAAGCAGTTCAGAATTTTTCCCCTCCTTCAGTGCTCCGAATTGTCATAATCATTTTTCCAACTCACCAAATAAAATCCTTGCAATGACTGCAGAACGTGGGCTGCTTGAAGAATCTGGCAATGAACTTATGCCCGCGCACCACATGGACGTTCTTCTGTCGGAAGGCCCCGCGCCGTCCCAGCGCCTGGCCCGCATCGCCCCCTCCACCCTGATCGCCGTTGCGCTGCTCCTTGGTACTGGTGCTGCTGCTGTTGTTGTTGTTTGCATGGCGGTGATGATGATGATGATGGCGATCAGACGGCTGCTTCAGCGCTTCGTCTGACATGGCTGCCAATCAAAACCGCTCAGCAGCCAAAAACGGATGAATATCTCTCTCTCCACCGCAAACGATTATTACACACAAAGCCACACAATCCCCGATTAATGTCGGCGGCGTCCATACACCACTACTGCTTGCTCGATGAAGAGCAGCAGCGTCTCTCCACCGTTGCGCTGCTGTAGTACTGTGCGTCAAACGGCGAATTTCGCTGGCAGCTATTAGAACTTGGCGCGTTCAAAGCAAGGATCACGACGACAACGTGCAGGCAATGGAGAAAAAATGCAAACAATGTGTGTAAGCACGAAACGCTAAAATACAGTTTGGAATAGCCGGTTTTCGCAACTGCTATGTCGGAACTGAATGCAATACGCCGATCAAATGGCAAAGATTCCTGGATAAAGCGCTCAGCTGTGGGTGTGTATTCCTGTTGGGATAGATAAAGGCAGAAAGATTGCAATAGCGGATGTCTGTTCCAGTCAACTGTTTCAATGGGTGCACTACTTGATACGTCACTTACGTACGTACGCTACGTTGGGATGGACCCGTTTAAATATTACGTAACAGGAATAATCCATTTTCAAAACGGGTGGGGAAATATGCTAGCACATTTTACGTTACATGACTTACGGTTTACGAGTGCTATTGCGGCGTACGAGAGAGTACATCCGATTCACGATTGGGCAAACATGGGTGAATGGTTCTGCCGTATACAGTTTGCCGGTATTCGGCCTTCGCTACAGGATAAAGAATTCAATCTCTGCTGTCTACTACACATTGCCGCCGTTGTCGCTTTTATGAATTCACCAAAACTTGCTTGTTTGAGAAAGTGCTGAAAAATAAATTCGAGAAGCTCAAAAGCAATGCGGTCTGCTAAATTAACGGGGAGACCAGAAATCATGGATAACTGTTTCAGTATCTTATACTGCGACGAAATTAATCTGTGCAATATCTCACCTCCAAAATGTATTTGTAGCAATGTACCCGGGCGGGGTGGCCCAAAAAATTAAAGGCTGTCGGCCTTCGGCCGTATGTACGTACTTAACTTGCCGCTTCCGCCTGGAAAATCGCAACCTCCTATGACAGGTTAAACATACAGTACAGCTTCTAGGTCCTAACTGGACCATCAAAAACAAAGGAAAAAGACTTTTACGTGGGATGTGGAATATTGGCAATGGCCTCGAAAGTCAGACATGTTTAGAGTGTCCAGACTTTTATAATACTAGTAATAATTAATGTCGTGGTTAAAGGAAAACTTCCTGTACCAGACTTCCTGTACGAAACCGGGGACAGACCCGTACAGCCGTATATCTTGCTGCTGTTTATAGTTTATAGGGGCAGGTCATTCGTAAAAGGTGATTATTGTTTATAGGGGATTCTATAATTGTGGAACATAATATTATTAACGAGTAATAACATTCAATGATTCAATTTGTTTTATGGTTGCCCGAATACTGAACGTATTTAAATCGTTAAGTATATATATTATCTGAATTTAAGCTCGTACTTCTGACAAGTGAGTACCAGATACACTGTACTATATAGATAACTAACGATAAGTATATAGATATATTAATTTTTTGAACGGATATTTTGCAGTTTTCAGTTAAACATGTAAACACAACGCACTTCCAGATATAGGGCGACAGAATCAACTATTCTTATTTTTATACGGTCTCAGAAACTTTTTAGTGCGCGGATAACCAACCTGAACCCACTGACAAATAAAGCTGTTTAACGTGATTGATACACTTTACGATAAAATTACGTATACAATTAACTAATTTCGCTATCAATTTTGCCTCGTTTTATCTGCCCTCGAAGAAAATGTGATTCTCGGCTAAAGGCCCTGATAGTCGTAAAGAATAACTGAGAGCATTTCCGTTTGTACGCGTATCCGATAACCCGGATAAAGCCAAAAGAAAATGATAAGCTATCCTTATCAACCGCTGCATAATAACGCAACCTGTTATTGTTGTCACATTTATTGCAATTAATCAGCTATTCATTTCAGTCAGTGCTATCCTGCACCAGCACTCAATCTGAAGGTGTACACCGCAGAAAATCTGTAGGCAGCTGTACCGTTAATTATTTAATTTCATCAGTGTTGCCACCTAAACGGTATACGCACGGACCGGAAAATGTCGAAAGAGAAAAAAGATATGCAGGTGGATTCACATCCGGCAGGAGAGAAAGCGGCTTTAGCATTAGGTAAATACCGTAAATTGGCTATAATGGAAAATTAATGATGATGTTACTTTTACCTGATTACCTTTTACCTTTTGCCTGCAACTTTTATATTGGAGAGAAATATTCTATCAATATTGCAAATAATTAGAGTAACTATGAATCTAAAGTAACCGTAAGGTACATGCTGCTAGAATATTATTGGTTCAAAGTAATACAGTTAATGTATGTGGGTTTACAGTAAATGTATGTGTATGTATGTATGTTGCTTGATGCTTACTGTTTAATTTATTTACGATTTTTTAGTGCCTGTCATGAGGGCATACGTAGTGCACGTAGCACGTATTGATTTCACAGCAATTAAGCCGTGTTTAAATACGATAACAGCTGCTATACTCGTATAGTCTGCTCATAATGGTATTTTAATCTAAATTTAATTATCAAGTAAAATTTGTAATCCCCTACTTTTAGCTGTTTGTGATAACTCGTAAAATTAATATTATAATATTTTGTACGAAGTGTAGAACACCAAAATTAATAAAATATCATTATATTACAATTTATCGTTAGTAATATTATACAGTAGCGCTATGTAATGCAATATTCTAGCTGATATAAAGTCTGGAATTTCAAATGCTACAAACTGTACTTCTATACAAGCAAGTAGTTTGTAACATTATTCCAGACTTCACAATTAGTTTTGTTCCAACTGGAACAGAAAGAATTATTATTGTTACTTTTACAGTAACTAATTTGTGTTGTTTGCGTAATCAGCTGTACATGTAGTAAGCCGTACCATGTTACTGTAGATGAGTGCAATAAGTACAATCATACTAATTATTAAATTTTTATATTGGTTGTGTAGTATATTATTAGGAGTATATTTGCACCATAGCAATATCAGGAGCGATTCTGCTGCATGATCTGTGCATCCTATCCTACGAAAACATAAACAAAATGACCGAATTTATCGGATGACAAATGTAACGTCCACCCTACGCCCTCAGCCCGGCTGAGGCGAAGGGGACGCATAGGGGTCAATCTGCTGGACTTTTTCCTTGTTCCTTTTTCTCAATGTTGATACAATATGTCCTATTTCAACCACAACAACCTTCTTACATATAAGCCCAAAAAAAGCTAGTTGGCTATGTCTTCGGTTACGATTGAAGATCAGGCAGGGACCTCGGTACAGAATGCCGCCACCACTGATATCACGACTCACTATGATCATCTTGCAGACCAGCATATGAAGATCAGCCCATCGGGCAAGCTGGGTGATGTGGAGACAGCCGCGGTCGTTCCCGAAAAGCATCCTTATCCCTGGTATATCATCTTTATTCTGGGAAATGAATTTTGCGAACGGTTCTCCTACTATGGCATGAAAGGTGAGTGCGCTGCCTTTGGGTGACCTTTTCATACACAGCATCTATATATGCCATTTAATGGTGTTTGGCCATATTTTTGCGATTATCTCGAGACACTCGAGATGTTATCATTTTTTTTTAGATGTGTAATGAACAGTAAGTAAAAGGTTTTTACTTTGCAGCGGTGTTAACGATTTACTTCGTTGATATTATGTTATGGAGCGAAGACACATCAACGCTGATCTACCATTTATTCTCCGTTTTATGTTACTTTACTCCGGTGTTTGGTGCTATGTTGGCCGATGGATTTTTGGGAAAATTCAAGTAAATTCATTTTTTTAAGAAATCAATGATATCTGCTAAATTAATAGGGTCATGATTTTTACAGCACCATATTTTCGCTGTCCTTGGTCTACGTGGCTGGATTGGTACTCCTGACATTGGCATCGGTACCGCCAGTAAATCTCGACCTAATGTATTAATTTTCCGTTGTAAAATGCGCGTAGAAGAGGAAATGTTTAATACTGTGTTTTTTAGGGCTGGAACAGCCGCTGGGTTGATCTTGATTGGCCTCGGTACTGGTGGCATCAAACCGGTCGTACCGGCCTACGGTGGTGACCAGTTCAAACCAGGCCAAGTACGAAAAACTAGAGGAGCTTTCTAAACATATTTTAAACTTTCTGTAATATCAACTCTTGTAGTATCGTAATTTGGTATGTAGTTTTACGACTTTTACCTGTGCTCATTTTTGCATATGACCTTTATTACGTCCATTAATAAATCAGTTTATATAAATAAAAGAAATATTATTAAAGCACGTTTTTAGTTTGAGTTGTGATGATGGTTCCGGGGCCCCGAGTAAAACAACTTGTAAAAAAACGTTAGCTAAACGTTAGTTGAAGGCCAAAATTCGAACATGTCGGGGATCATAATCATTGTACTGTTGAAGCATCATTTCTTTTGCTTTGCTCTGTTAAAGGGTTTTCGCCATTCTAATTCACTGACAACCACAGATTTTCCACTGCGAATGAGAAGATTGCTGTGTATATGGCAATATGTTTTAGCAATTTTATTATTACATAATAGCCGCAAATAATTATTTTTACGTGATCTTGAAGCTTTTATACACTCTCTAAATGTTCTAGTTATTTATTTGTTCGAATGGTTTTTTTTTAAAACGTGTTGTTTTGCAGGAAAAACAACGTGAAATGTTCTTCTCGGTATTCTACTTCTGTATCAATGCCGGAAGTCTGATTTCTACGTTTTTGACTCCAATTTTACGCTGTACGACCAAACATAATATATACTTGACAATTATCAAGTATTTACCGTCAATGTTTCTTTACAGCGGATGTCAGCTGCTTTGACAAGGAAGGCTGCTATCCATTGGTAATCTTTTGGTTTTTGTTTGTAACAAATATATTCATGCATAATTGTACGGACACTGAAATTGTATTCATAGTTTGCTGTTTTAGTCGGGCAGGTGTTAAAATTTAGCATTTTTGTAGGCTTTTGGTCTCCCAGCGGCACTGATGGTTGTTGCACTGCGTAAGAAAACAAAAACAAAAATATTCAAAGTTTAACATCTACATCCTACATCTACAGTGGGAGAAAATAAACAATTTAATATAATAATTAATATTAAACCATTCTGTTCACAGTCGCTTTTGCTGCCGGACGCCCATTCTATCGTAATGTGCCATCAAAGGTCAACATCATCGCCAAAGTGTTCGCCGTCTGCTTTGTGAGTGCACTATGTAATTAAGGTGTATTTATGAATAATCCAAGATAACTGTGAGACGTTACAAATATTGTTGATTACTTTATGAACCCACATTTTCAGCACGCCGGAATGAAAAAGTTCCGTAGTCGAGGAGGTCGCGGCCCTTCCAAAAAGCACTGGTTGGACCATGCCGAAGACAAATACGAGGTAAGTAAAGCAGACCAGTTAGTTAATATGTAAGAAGCTTGATGGCGAGGTTTTGCCATATTTATCTGTACAGTCTGCACTTCAAAACACTTATGGTGATCGAAATAATTTACTCCTGTTTACAGTGAAATCTATTTACAAACATTTATTGGCTATTAAACGGTGAAACTGTAAAAAGTTAGCACTTGCTTGCACAACCAGAAAGCAGCATCATAACCAGACAAAACCTTCTTCTTCATGAGATTAATACCGTATTTGTAACACATGTGTCCGTTTTTAGCGCGATTTCATTAAGGATGTCAAGCAGCTGTTGCCGGTACTGAAAATGTTCTTGCCACTTCCCATGTTTTGGGCTTTATTTGACCAGCAAGTAAGTTTGAACGTAATTTAAAGTTATAAACATGTACTGCACCGTCGAAAATTATTATACGAGTACTACTTTTAGCAACGGAAAACACATTTTTTTCTCTTTAGGGCTCTCGATGGACGCTGCAAGCTACCAAGATGGACGGCCGTGTGACAGACAACTTCTACTGGAAACCGGATCAAGTGCAGATTTTCAACCCGGTTATGATTCTGATCCTCATCCCCATTTTCGAAGGCTGCGTTTTCCGCATCTTGGACAAGTACAATGTTCCTTTCAAAGCTCTGGCCCGTATGACCGGTGGCATGGTGTTAGCCGGTGTGGCATTCGTTATTGCCGGTGTCGTACAGATGGAACTAGACGTAAGCTAAATAGATCATTTTTTACTACGTACAGTACCTAATACACATAATTTACGTAAGAAACAATTCCATTTTCAGTTAATTATTTATCAAACCTTTGTATTAACTGTAAACAAAAAATTAAGATTAGTAAAATCGACATTGTCACAAATTGCACAGATTTTTCGAAATATGTCATACATCGTTTATAAAGCCATGCATATCTATTCCTGTGCTAACGTTATCCGTAATGCCGTGTATCGTGACCTTAAACAGCATGTAGCCAATTTCAAGATTATAATTTTGTCCACTGAAATTAAACGTATTATGATATTGCAGAAAACTTTACCAACGCTTGTCCCAGTCAACCGTGCTGAACTGCAAATGTACAATACTCTTGACTGCGGGCTCATCGTCAACGGTAACTTTACCGGTGGGAACATGACTGATATGGTCATACCTGCACGAGGAGTAAGTTTCAGCATGCAGCAAAAGATTTAAAGCGAAGTTATGCTGATTTTAATGATTTCATCATAATTTTCTTACAGGGATTCGCATTTGCCAGTACGAAAGAGGCAGTGGGGCCTGAAATAAAGCTACCACCCAATACGACCATGGCGCCATACGCATTCACTATCCAGGTGTCACCCAATACGACGTGCAACGGCATCACGTTCAACCATCCCGTCCCTTTCACGTTAAACTTGAACGAGACCAGAGTCCACTCCGTTCTCATTGGCCAACACGACAAGACCTTCTCATTCCAGCATGTGGGTTTTTCTATGTTATTTAATGTCCTGTTCAAGAAGTGTAACGCAATGGTTTGTATTTTTTGCAGTTGGTTATTGACGAAAAGGTTAAGCCAAAAGAAGGTCGAGTCTTCGCACAGTTTGTGCTACCTTTTGCTTTTAACACGCCGTCGGGCGGCGGCCATGTCATCCTCATCAATAACGATGTGGCCATCGGGAAAAAAGGTCACAGATACGAGTTGAATTTTAATCGCGGCAGTGGAATGTTTGGTCCGTACCAGACACCACTGGTCAATGTGTCCCAGGAACTGGATCAGGGCAAGTGAGTATTCGCCAGCAACTAATTATACAACTTGTTTGATTAAACTGTAGTGTTTTTGTTGACTGTTTACCGGTTGGATCGCAAATTTCGGCTAACTGCGCACACCTGCTTTTTCTAGTGTCACATTGTTACAAATGTTTTGTGTTGTGTGATGCAGATATGAAGTGTGGTACCCAGACCAGAGTGATCCCAAAGGTACCCGCAAGCTGAACTACATCATGGAACTGGCCAACGGAGCCGTCTATACCATCGTACTGCGCGATGATAAGACCCTGGCCGCGAACGAAGTGCCCTGGACCGTGCACACCATTGTCGCATCCAGCACTCTGTCCATCTTCTTGCAGCTACCGCAGTACTTTGTCATGACCGTTGGTGAAGTCTTGTTCTCCGTCAGTGGGCTGTCTTTTGCCTATTCTCAGGTAAGATACGCGACAATGTTCAGTAACGGTTACCGCTTTGAAATGGTTCGGTTCTACAAAGGTCACGGAACATACTTGTTTTAATTGGTCATTGCTTTGCAGTCTCCAGCAAGTATGAAGTCCGTGCTGCAAGCTGGTTGGTTGATGACCGTGGCGTTTGGTAACGTCATTGTGCTGATTATCAGTGGAGCCAAGCTCATCACTGATCAGGTAGATAACAAACTTTTCAGTTATATTTGAATATGTCTGTTCATCACCGTACTTTTTGTCAGGCGTCGGAGTTTTTCTTGTTTGCTGGCTTGATTGGTGCTTTCGCTATCCTCTTCGCCGTCATGTGCCGATACTACAAATATGTGGACACTGACAAGAAGGATGACGACATGATGCAGGTTAAAGAGAAGGAGGAAACCGATACTATGTAATTTTCTGGCGTTTACAAAGTTTTAACGTTTTATCTTTTATGCTTCTTTTGTACAGACACTTTTAGAATTCCTGATTAGATCGATGTGATAAGGTGCTCGATCGTTTCTACTAAAACAAAAGTCATGCAGCCTCAGATTCAAGCCGTTTTTTTTTGTATAATATTGACAAACAGACTAACTTGTGAGATTACTGTCTAAATGCATGTATTACAACATAAAGTTACATACATCGACAAGCAACATGCTGCCGGCGTGCTGACAATACCGACAAACAAACACACGGTTGTTTTCCTCACAAATGAATCTGGTGCTAACAAAGGTATCACTTGCCGGGAACGAGCTTTCAAAAGTCTAAAGCACGTTCTGGAGTCGGACACGACAACAAAGGTAAAGGATTTGCCGTAGGGTCTACTATACAAAGGACAGGAGTATTAAAAGGACAGGAGTATTAAAAGGACAGGAGTATTAAAAGGATCAAATAAGGGCGAACAATGCATATTTTTTACGCACTCATTATTCAAACCAAACCGGATAAATAAGAGTGTCGAAATGGTTTAGTACTGTTATTTTTACATCTGAAGCAGATAACAACCGCCCGGCATTTTCCTGCCACAGTTAAGCACCGTATTTTCAAGTTTATTAGGATGCTGGGGCAAAACGCACACCCCTTACACCATTATGTTCGAATTGCTAGAAATTTAGCAATATTTGTAGCCTGTGCCAAGATTTGCCTAGCGGGAGAAGTAAAGCCAGTAAGATCTGAATAGAAATCTGTGGTCATTATATTATTTTGATCCTCGTTTGTTGTGTAATAACCAGCTAAACCTATGTTTTCAGTTATCAAAGCAGAACAAATCGGCGGTTAAACCTCTTGCGACAATAGCTTCTTTAAATTTCGTAAGTCTCACAATCAGCAGAACTGCGCGAATAGATGAATTCAATTGCCTTTTTGCCAGGTGGACAAAACGGGAAATGGTAAAGGTGCTCAAGCCGATGACACTTGTTCACGTTGGCAGTTGTGCCCCAAAAATAATACAAATATCCACTATGTCCATGGTACCGCGTTCGTAGCTGATCAGAAAGAGTACCTGGCCATCTACTGCCAAGGATTTGGAATTCGCTTTCGTGGAGAAGACCATGACTCTATTGTTCGCGACCGTTCATTCCATGCCGCAGCTCCCATTACGGCGATACGCGATGGAAAAGTGGCTTTTGTTGAAAACATTATTTTTGCCTATGAAGGGTATAACAGCGTTATTCTGAAGATCGAAGTTTGGGATGGAGACAAGAAAATGGTCACGTACGATCCGCTAAAACGTCCACCCAGGAAGGTACCCGGTACGGACATAATTATCGGCGTCAACCAAGTTCTTAAGACATCTACAGTATGGGTATTAGTGTATCGGTTAAGCTGAGCCGTGAAACCTCTATCACACTGAAATCTGTCGGCGTGCGCTATAGATATCAATAATTTAGAAAGGAAACATTATTGTTACTCCTGTTAATCTGAATTTGAAACTGATCCACATTAAAATCCACTGGAGTTTGATCCACATTAAAATCTAAATGGGTATTTATAGATCCAGAGGTATTTTTGCTTTAAAGCTGCAATCGACTTCAGCTGAGCGATAACATTATTGTCATTTTTTGCCGTACTTCTCAAGTTTTTTCTACTTTTACACATGCTTTGAGAGCTACAATACACATGCTCTCACTATCAACGTTTTAGCAAATTGCCCATTTTCATGCTAAATGGGAGAACATTTTACTTATTTAACGCATATTGCTCTTGTGTGCGATGCTTATGTTTGTACGGCACGTAAAAGATAATATTAAAAAAATACGTAACGCATTAGTTAAAGTGATACAAACTAAAAAGACGTTCACGATGCGAGAAATAATGCACGACCGGTACCACAAACAAGCACGAGCGCAGTATTCTCTGTGCAGCATGCTTCCATGCTCGTATTCCAGATGGTCGAGAATTAAGTACATTAATTATGTTTGCCGCGTTGCCACCGGATTATTTTCGTTTTCACAAAGCGTAACAATTGCAAAAATCTGGTATTAACAAGGATAATCAGAATCTAGCTTTGCACGTTTCGATATCACATGTCACGCAAAATTGACACAAAGGTAAGGATTTGCCGCAGGGTTCATGGCACGTAGAATAATAACACGTATTAGCAAAATCGTGCTACCGGTAAGTGCGGTAACATTCCTGAATATATCTGTAATACAATACAGTAATATACTATATAAAATTTCATCAGCGGTACCTGTCTACCTGACCGGACATATAAAAGGCATCGACTGGCTAGCGCAGAAGTTTTAGATCTACGCAAAAACGAATTTACATCTACCACGGTTTCAAAGTACCTTCCCCGTGGTCGTAATAATGCTGGGATTAAACGCTTACGGTTTTCATATTCATTTTACAACCTCAAGAAATTTTTTGATGATTGTGGCCTTTGCGCATCTTTGTTTAACTGGAGACGAAGAACCAGTAAGCAATCCTGTACTGTATGGATTGTTTGCACACCTACGTTCGCATTGCATCTGTCTTAAAACCAGTGTGAACGCTTCCAGATGTTGAAGCCTAATCCTTTGTCAATTAAACCTCTTGCTACAATAGCAACGTTGCATTTAGTAAGTATGAGAAAGCAACACGCAAACTTTTTGGACTAACGATTGTCTGACCAGGTGGAGAAGGTGGCAAACAGTAGCGGTAACAGTTCTGAAGTGGACAACACTTGCTCACCTGTGCCAGTGTGTCCGCAAAAGAAAGAAAACGTTCATTACGTTCATGGCACTGCGTTTGTGGCCGATCAGATTGATTACCTGGCCATCTACTGCCAAGGATGGGGAATTCGTTTTCGTGGAAACGACTCTGATCCTCTGGTTCGCGACCGCTCATTCCATGCCGCGGTTCCCATTCCGGCGGTGCGCAATGGAGAAGCAGCATTCATTGAAAGCGTTATCTTAGCCTATGAAGGGTATAACAGTGTTATCCTTAAGATCGAAGTTTGGGATGGAGATAAGACTATGGTCACGTATGATCCGCTAAAACGCCCACCCAGAAAGACTCCCGGTACTGACATAATAATCGATGTCAACCAAGTCCTCACGACATCTATGGGTGTCAGTGTAGGGGTTAGGTTGAGCCGTGAGACCTCCATCACATTGAAATCTGCCGGTGTGCACTATCGATACCAGTAACAATGAGAGGAAAACTAAAAGTGCATCCTTCTATGCTGGACCACAATCACATGTTGTATGTACTCGTATAACTAACAGCTGCCAACTGATTGTGGAATCAAGACTGCACTGGCGTTTTAGAGGTTCAGCGTGCGGACATCTTCGAAATCACATCGCTAATTGGTGGCAACCGTTTTTATCAACCACATCAATCTTTCTATTGGAAGGTCAAATACAATCTCGAAGAATAAGCTTTGAATTGAACGCAAAACGTTCTGAAACCGGAACTTTTTTGCTGTTGTGCGTGCAAGTGTTAATTTTACTGTAGTTTAAAGGTACTGTCGGCTACTTGGAATAAATAATTGGATGGGCTTTTTTGCTAACGCGCCGCACAAAATGATCAGGAAAAATGATCGTAACTAATTACGATTTTGGCACGGAGCGAAAAATGAAATTAATTAGTTGATTAAACTAAAAAAGATGTTTCCAGCAATAGGATCGGAGTACTACTGTAAACTGTAAATTATATGCAGTACTTTTACCATACCAAAAATTGCTTCAAACCACCGTCACAATTTGTGTCGAGCTTCAAGCGAAGGGCTTTTTTCTCATAAAAACTTTGATCTGGTACTGACAAAGATAATTAGAAACGAGCGTTGCAGGCGTAGGTCTCACATGTCGCGGAAACGGCAACAATGGTTAAGGATCAGCCGTAGGGTTCGTTGCACGTACAACAATAATATTATATTAGCAGAATCATACCAACAGCATTCCTAGGAATATTTTAATACACATTCATTAGTGAAACCGGACCGGATGAATAAAAGGCAGCGGCTGGTATGTGAAGATGTTTTGAATCTTTCTTTGTGCAAACACAACACAAGCGCGATCGAGTAAGTACAGTTTCCTCCACGGTTTAGCACTTTCCGCGTGTTCGTGACAATGATAGAATTCCACTCATACGGCTTTCATAATCTATCTAAAATCACTAGAAATTTGTTGATGATTCTGGCCTGCGTGCAAATTTGTCTAACTGAAGACGGAGAACCAGTAAGCAATACCGTAGTAACCGTACTGTCTGAAGTGTTTGCATACAAGTATCTGCTTCTTTAACCAATTTGAATGCTTTCAGAGATCGAAGCCCAACGACATTTCAATTAAACCTCTTGCTACAATAGCAACGCTACATTTAGTAAGCACAAATTAAACATTTGCCGCTAGCGCTATACGTTTTTGGATTAACAATGATTTGATCAGGTGGAGAAAGCTGCAAACGGAAGCGGTAACAGTACTGAAGTACTCGACAACACTTGTTCACCTGTGCTCCGGTGCCCAGAAAATATTACAAATGTCCACTACGTCCATGGCACTGCATTTGTGGCTGATCAGACTGATTATCTGGCCATCTACTGCCAAGGATCTGGAATCCGATTTCGTAGCACTGACTTCTTTGCTCGTGACCGCTCGTTCCATGCCGCAGTTCCCATAACAGCAGTGCGCGATGGAAAAGCTGCCTTTATTGAACATGTCATAATTGCGTATGAAGGATATCGCGGCGTTATTCTTAAAATCGAAGTCTGGGATGGAGACACGATAATGGTCACGTATGATCCGCTAAAACGCCCACCCAGAACAGCTCCCGGAACTGACATAACAATCGGCGTCAACCAAGTTCTTACGACATCTATGGGTATCAGTGTGTGGGTTAGGTTGAGCCTAGATACATCCGTTACGCTGAAATCTGCCGGTGTTCGTTATCGGTATCAATAACGGTCATTTTAGTAACTCTGACCTTTTTCTTATACATTAAGTACGTAATTGATTAGCGACTGTTTACTAATGTAGCGGCAATAGCCCGGCAAAAAATTCTGATGAGAGTAATCCTGCAAAAATTATACTCAACATCACTTTCAGAAGTTCCACAATTTCCTTCACAACCAGCAAAGCTAGCCTAATGCATTGAATCCGAAACAGTACCATACCCAAGGGCTTTCTTGTACAACTTACAGCATAAGCCCTTGAGTACTCGGTTGGCTGAAATAACAAAACACGAATGTGCCAGATGAACGTTATTAGGATGCATTGCTATAGCGCAAAACAAAAATCAATGTTTCATTTTTGTTTTATAAGTTATTTGGGGTGTTTACATAAAACCACACTGTATCGTGTAATGAAATACTAACTTCTTCGAATGCAACGAACTAGTTATACGACTCCGTCAGTCAAACGCACAGCGAATTAAGGATGTGCTCCGCGTAATACGACGCGGTAGCAAGCTCTGCAGTTAAACGTCATGAGTGCACCCCAAAATAAGCAGAAAATAATGTTTATTATTCCGCCGGTGGAGTATCCGGTCGTTCCGGCACATCAGGTGGCGGAGGATTTTTAGTAGCCACAATAATAACGACATCCTGTGCATCGGTCAGTTTCTGATCCGGCTGTACGTTGGTGGCATGATCACTAGCCTTCGAAATTTCAAAGCTTCGGTACCCGGCGTACTTCAGTGCTTTTACATAGTCCTCTTCCGTTAGCGTGCACAGCTTAAACTTCTCATCGTCCACAATGTAATAGGAAGCACCGAGATAATCCACCAAAATGAATGTACCATCGGTGCGAACATATTCACTCATGCGCTCAATACAGTTCTCGAAGTCCTCGTAATCAGCGGCAGCCGCCGTGAAGGAGAAGGTAGCAGACATGACATCCACGGGTGACAATTTCTCCGGTGTCATCGGATCACTACACATAAGGTCACAGGGCAGAATGCCAATGACGGAGTTGCGTAATCGCTCTTCATACTCTTCCCACTGGCTCTCTTTCTCATCCAATCGCGCAGCATACTGAGCGTAATCACAAGAAGGTCAATACATACTGTTTTGTCATACTGGTTACTTTAACAAGAGACGGTGAATTGATTAAGAGGGAAAGTGTAGTTCCTGTTTCGTATCAGATCGTTCCTATAATGTTACGTATAAGACTTAGTGATGTCTAGCTTTTATTTGCAATTGTACGAACCTTGAAAAATCCGTCCCATCTGTAAGCCGATGCATCACCCGCGCACCACATTGTCAGCTGCCAAATTAACAAATTCCTATGTCATATTCCATTTCGCCATGAATGGATAACTTGCTAGTCATGAGACTATTCCAGGTTGATTCAAAGTAATCAATCTCACTTAAAATTTTGAGTAAAGTGCGAAAAGCTGGCTGCAAATTATAAAAAAAATCTTTCGTATATTCATCCCTTAAATTTATGCCGGTCAGGCGTTAATATGTATTTATATTTTATGCTACAAGACTAAACTGAGGCTACGCATGAGAACCTGCTCAACTTCTCAAGATGCATTTAAATATACCTCCATCCGACACCCTGGCGTAAAATCCGAGCAATAAATATAATGAAACTTCATTGAGCCAGGTATAAGGAATGCAATCGATGGGCCGGTGCCCACGTCCAACAAACGCCCTTTTCCTTTATCACACCCTTCAAAAATGCTGTTGAGCTTTCGAAAAATGTATCCATTCAAACTGTTCTCCAGCGATTTCCCATGTTCATCGGTTTTGTAATACGATTCCAGATATTTTCGAGCGTTAAACTCTCTGCCGTAATCATAACGGGATTTCAGGTCAGACATTGCTGCGGAGTTGACTTCTTACAATAAACTGAAGTTAACGAAAACTCTTGTACTTTGCTTTGAGATTTGTGAATGACTCTATTTGATACAATTTACAGCTGAGTTCGACTGAATAATTTACCGATTGCTCTGCTTGGATAATACGCATGTTGTTCGAACATTTTTCGAGCATGCGATTGCGCGATGCTATTAATAACCACTCTCGGTTAAGGAAGCTCCAAAAGTAGCAACGCCGCTCATTAGTTTGTGTTAGTGCGATGCATGAGTCAGAAAGCTGTGTTTAATCTCTTCCGGATGGACACTGCCAGTCTCTAAACTTAAATACGCGCCACCGTACGGACGATAAATAAACCGATCTCTCGACATGATCGTATAGTCGGACATTGCAGTTACGCTGTTATTTGGTACGTTCGTTTTATAAACAGTAAACCGAAAACTGCACTGTTAGCCTGTTGAGAATCCTGGATCGACCGCAGCGAAACGGCAAAGTGGAATGCCCGATCTGCATATACACATTTACTATACATTCACGCATAAATAATCCGACCTCCAGTTTATAAGTGCTTACGCAAGCAAAAGCGCCAGACAGCCAAATAAATACAAAGGCGAATCAATATTTGATCCGCTATTAAATCATATGCAAAGCGATCCAGGTCAACATGTCAAATGTCATTTTCCAGTTCATTTTTCCTACAGACAAACTAAGGGAAAGGTCACCCAAGTTCAGATTTGGTTGAATGCATATCGAGGATTTATGTGTCTGTACGGCAATCCGATAACTTTCAGCTGTCTTTTCGCTTTTTCCTTTTTGGTTTTTCCAACTGCATTTCGTGCAAAACGTTGAATTTTTGAAACATTTAAGCGTATCTGATAATTTATTACTATAGAGCAGAATTGGCATATTGTACCGTCAAACAGCATACTGTAAAAAGAGCAAAATGAGCGTATCTTATCTTTGTCTAACGACGCAAGTACTTACTGCAAATCCAACACATTTCGCATTGCTTGTTACGAAAATAACAAATCTTTAACTGAATTAATATTTGGTGCAAACAAGAAACGGGAAAGCTTAGGATGCACTTACAAAAATTTTTGTGTGACAGCTTAAGTGAAAAAGGTAAAACAGTAAACCAGCGACGGACTGTCAGTTAAATATATGTTCAACTGGAATGTTGCACGGCACTGTGCAGCTGACCGCAGATGCCGCAGAGATGCTTGTATTTGCACGGTGTCTTCCTGCAAGGTTTGCCACGATTAAACTCGTAACAAGAACCGTCCACAAACTTTTTCGGATCCGCGACCTCGACGCTGCTGGACTGAATCGTAATCACTACGTTAGGTCTCGGTTGGGCGGGTCGTTGTTTAGCATTTGGTTTGGCCTTTACAGGTACCGGTGGCGGATGGCAGTTGCTAGCTCCGTGGTCCATTCTGCCACACGTGCTGCATTTATGGGCGAATTTACAGTTCTGATTGCGGCAGCCGGTAGCGCTGTTATAATACTTGCAGGTTCCATCCTTTTTTCCCGGACCGGAAACTTTGCTGGACGTCGCAGCGACGTTCGAGACGGAGTCTTCGGGTCCCGGCTCACTGGAATCCGTTAAATCCGGGCAGTCTTGAACAGCGTGACCCGGTTGCGAACAGGACCGACAAATGTGTGCAAATTTACAATTTTTATTACGGCAACCGTTTTGCCGATTGAAATATTTGCAATAACGTTGACCTTTCGAAGTCGATGCAGACTGAACTTCATCGGTATCGGAGTCCGACGTATCGTCGTCGGCACGACAGTCTTGCACTCCATGGTTCGACTGAAAACACTTTCCGCAGATATGGGCAAACTTGCACGGATTGTTACGACAACCTTTCGGGCCGTTAAAATATTTGCATGGCGCATTAGATGATGCGGGTTCTCTGTTAACATTACTTCCGGCATTGGAGTTACTATCCGATGCACCGGACACCGTCGAAGCGTTGGAGCGGACGGGGTCACGGCACTGCTGTGCTGTATGGTTAACCCGGGAACAGTATCCGCAGATGTGCGCGTATCTACAGTTGTTCGTTTTGCATCCATTGGGGCTATTGAATTTCCGGCATGCTCCCGGGAGAAACTGCGGTTTGCTGTTCTCTGCCGGTGGTGGTTGGAATGGTTCTTTTTCCATGTAAGGCGGAGGAAAATCCGACAGTTCGCGGTGTGGCTCTGCTGCCACATTGTTATTTCGGCATTCCACAGCGCTGTGATGACCGTCGCATAAAAGACACTGATGCCGGAACAGGCACGGATGATTGTCACATGGCAGATTTTTATTGAATCGCTGGCACACGTACGTTTCGGTTTGGCTGGTTTTGGGTTCGTTCTGGAAAACCGCTTGCTGTGTTTGTCCCAACTGTGGGGAAGAAAGTGGCAGGCCTATTTCGGAACCCGATGAACGAATCGTTTCCCGTGAATTACCATTCATACGATCGATCATTTCCGTTATGGACTGGATCATTTTGTAGGCATCCTGACGAGCGTTGGTAGAGGACAGCGCCCGTGCTTTGCTATCCATAGCCGTGAATATTGTGTACGTTTCATTGCCGAAATCCGAGGGTCCACAGATATTTTTCAGCCGATAACAGTAGTGTTCGATGCGCAACTCTTGTTGTCGTAGTGACTGATGGAGGAGTTGCAAATCTTCTGCCATGTTAGACATGTTGGTGGTTTTTGCTCCTGCATTATGCAATGACTGAAGAATGCTGGCTATGGTCTGGTGCTCGAGCTTTAGCGTCTTTCGTGTACAGAAGTGGGTAGAATGGTCACAGTCGCACACACGACAGCGTGGACCGCTCATACAATGGCATCTTCTCTGACTGGCTGCTGTCGTATCACCAGCCGGACAGTCACCGTGGCATACACTCTCTGTGTGTATTATACATAATCTATTGTAAGTGTTGGTGTCAACCAAAGTGACGAACTCCACTTCTGTTCCGTGCTTGAACCTGTTGTAAACGTCCGGTGTCTTAGTGGCGATTTGTGGCGCATTTTCCACCCTGTCTTGGACGTTCTGCAGTTTATTCATCTCCAACAGGACCTGCTGAATGCCGCTTTTAATATTGTCACGATAGTTTGGAAGCATTTTGGGGTCGATTTGCGACTGCATGTCCAGATCCGAAATGGTGTACACTAAATTTTTTATCTCTTCCATTGATGCGTACCACGTTTCGGTCATTTCTAACAAAAACACGTGATTAGTTTTGCCGCATGCGTGATGTGTTGTCGACTTACGCGTTTTACGGCAACGTAAAATTGATTGTTTTTTACCATTTGCGAAGACGGAGTTAGATCTCCATTCCGACGGATTGTAGTTGAAAGCGGAGTTGTCCATGGTGAAGACGTTCTCCGGATTAATCTCCCACGGTTGATCCAGTGTTTTAAAATCAAAATTCGACGTATTCTTTTTGCAGTTAGTCAGCACGACAATCAGGTTACTCAGGATTGCCGCTGGCACAATCACACGCATTCTTGACAGCATGCTGCGTAAGGACAGTGTGGCTCTGGCTGCGCGTCCATCAATTGTCACGACAATTGCCGATAATGCACCCGGTTGTTCTGCTGCTTTTAATAGACCGGCAAAATTCTTATCCCATTCTGCGCTACCCGCGGTTCCCAATCCCGGCGCATCGGTGAAGTGGAACTGTCGGCCTTGATAACCGAAGCTGTATGTTGTGCTGCCAAAAAAAGCTATTTATATTGCACAAAATTTTCAAGTAACAAATCAGCAAGTACCAAGTACCAAGTAACAAATCACATAGAACAGTAGCAATTTAAACAAAATTATTACCATTTGATGCTCTTGTTCTGGTCTTGAATTATCGCTATTTTACTGTTGTTGGTTGTTCCACTGGATGCACGGTGGAATTGAGTAGGAATCGCTACAAGTGGTTCAGTCAAACTTCCCCCGAGAAAAAAGTTGGTAAAACAATTTATTAAAGTGGATTTTCCCGCTCCCGCGTCTCCCAATAATAGTACGGCGTGGGAATGATTTTTCGCCGCCGAGGGTACTGATCCGCTTTTCACTTCCGCATGCGCTTGTGACTTGCGAAATAACCAACTCATACTGCAACGAGCGATAGTAAAAATGCAACTAAGAACTTAATAATCTGAGAGGAAACAAATTATTCGATAAATACAGTATCAATAAAGACGAATTTAATTTGTTATGAACATATGACGTATGCACATATGCATAAAAGTGACTAAAACTATAATCTAGGAATTACTTTGAAACTGCGGTGTACGCATTCAAAGTTTACTAGCAATTTTCTTCGTCCGGACGAATAGCAGGGAAAAAAAATAACTTAGCGTGCGACATCAACCCTTGCAGCCGGATAATACCTTTCCGGATGTCCTCGGGCTCTCATCGTCGAGCCGCTAAAAGTTGCATGAAGAAAAACCGGTCACGCTAGAATACCATTATATACCTGGCGTTGCCTGCTGCTTACAAGTGCGTAATGGGGGTCGTCAGTAATTTTGATCCCCGAGTGCGCATGCATGTCCGGTACTAACCTAATGCAATTCTGCAGTACGCGATGCTACTAATATATTCCCCAGCTGGCGTTTAGGGGGAACTGGGAATTGTTTACAAAAATTGGCAGTTTAAAAAAAATGTTAGCTCAGGCAGTGAATATTGACGCTAGGCACTTTATGCACGCATAATGCGCTATGCATAGACTTTTACCTGCATGATGCATCCATATATACCATAAATTTTATTGCTAGTTCCACCATTGTTTGATAGTATTTGCTTATAGCGAGTAGATTTGAGTATGATACGCTACGGTTCAGTGTATGATAATTTTTATACCGGTGCTGTAAATTACTATACTTTTGGGTGCACCCCTACTCGTAACTACGGTATAATATTTATTTAATCGGTAAAACAATCAGATCTGATGTAGCTTTTTCGGCATGGAAAAGTCCAGGTAAAAGCGTCACCGATCTGTACAGAGATGTAAGTGCGGTTTTCAACTGCCGAAAGCTACCCGATACAACAGTGTTCACAGTCAGCTAATTCTGATTCCCGACCGGTAAAAACTGGTTTATTTGATTGTATGAAAATCGTAAAGCAGGACACGCAGCAGAAAACTGTTGGATGTATTCGGTGAACAGCACTCGTACTACAGACTGTAACAGTTGCTAGAAACTCATCTTTATGCGCGTGCCATAGAGTCCGTTTCAGTGACGTTTCGCAGTAATGCAGACGCTTGAAATTTAACGTCTCGGCAATTCTGCTTACAGTACTGTGACACTGATAACTGCACCTGTCAGGATACGCGCGATGTACATCGAAATCTTGTGAGACCGGAAGTGCATGTCATGTGTAATTACCAGTTTTCGGATGTGAACGCTACGGGGCATCCGCATATAAGATCACAAATAATTAGCCAACGAAAACACTTATCACGCTTTTACATATATAAGTGCGGAAAGTATTGTAGCTTTATGTTGCAAACGTATTATTTTTAAGAATATAGATTTTTACTAACTACGCTGGACGCTGGACAAGTACTCTGTAGCGCAGTTCACCATAAACACTGTATAGTGGGTACACCGCGTTACCACTCTACGTATACGATGTTTTAAGAACATTTTCCAAATTTAGCCTGCACTCATCTTATTTTTAGTGTCATTATATGCTACTGATAGTTTAGTATTGATATCCTCCCATATAAAGCTACACATTTACAAAAAAAATGGCATATGTCTTTAACATGTTCAGAAACAAAGAGCGCAGCAGCCGGAAACCAGCACGACGTAATGTTGTTCTGCTTCTTGGCGAAACCGGTTCGGGAAAGTCCACTTTGATTAACTATTTGACAAACTTCTTCCATGGCGGAACACTCTTAGAACCGCGAATAGCTATTCCAAATGGCTATTATCACGCAACCGAAGGAGGGACTAACAGCGAAAACTCTATCGATGACCAGACTAAGAGCAAAACTTCGAAATGGTAAGTAAAGACTGCAGCATGTAAGTAACGATAATTAACTACCACGGGCGGTGGGTACAATTAAATTCGGCGGTGGGTACCCCCACAATTAATTGGACAAAATTTTTTGTTGATGCTGCATATATTTAGTATACATAATTATGTCACATTAACTAGAATGTATATCTATATTTATAAATAATACGCAATTCACATTACAGCTACGCCATTCAGATGATGTCTTTTGAATCATATGCAATACGGTATTCATAATAAATTTTATCGATGTAAAAGCTGCGCTGCACGGAGCTGCAAAAAATTCCCATTTACTGCTATACTTTTGACCTTTACGACGTCAATTTGATTACCATTGCAGCTCCACTTATCACTTCGATCTGGAAGGTCAGTCGTTCGACTTTATTGATTCGCCTGGTTTAAGCGACACGAAAGGAGTCAGCCATGATGACAAGAACATAGAGTGCATTTTAGAATCGGCAGAAAAAATTGGAACACTATCGGCTGCTGTTATAATTATTAACGGAACCGTAGTAAGGGCCACGCTAAACTTGCTTAATACCTTAACAAGACTGCGCGGAAATCTGCCTGACATCCTGATTGATAACTTGATTGTTGTGCTGACAAACTGTACCCAAACATCATACAATTTCGATATCAAAACTCTGTATCCTTGGAAAATTAAACCGGAAAATGTGTTTATCATGGATAACTCAGCTCTCAGCCGGAATCCGGCACAATGGCGAGGTAACCGGCGCATGGAAGAAGGTAAGCAAAAGACGTTTTACAGATCTTATCCGAGATTTTTTAGTGTGGCGGTTACGCTGATGTTTCAGAAATGCAGAAGGCTTGGAAAATCTCCATGGAAGAAATCCAGAAGATGGTCTATCGTATAACCGACTTAGACGAAAAATCAACCGGTGTTTTTAAGGAACTCCGAAAGAACCGAGAGCAAATTAAGCAGGAAATGCACGAGATTTTACTGGAAATTAACAAGCTACAGCAAACTCAAGATGAGTTGGAGAATGCACAAAAACAACACCAGGCCGCCATTCATGATACCGAGCGATACAGCAATTTTAAGCAAACACAGGAAGTGGAGTATACTGAACTTGTGGATGCCGAGTACTACAGCACAATTTGTGTGGTTCATAGTAAAGACCGCGTCTGCCATGATCACTGTAGTTTACCGGAAACAGAACAACCCGGAACGGGCGTCCACATCAATTGTTACTGCATGGATGGACCCCGGTGTCGGGTGTGTGAATGCGGACACGATCAGCATTATCATGCCCGGAAAAAGTTGGGCAAGCGCAAAGAGACTGTGGAGAAAATTCTCGACGATGTCAAGCGAGAACACGACGACGCCACCGCCCGCGTCCACAACTCACACAATCGAGTAACTAAGCTAGCCGATGATCTTCGGCTTCTGGAGAACACTTTGCACGAAAAGCAGGAGATGATTGAAAAGTGTTGTGTTGAACTACAGCGTATCTGTAGCGCGTTTAACTTTGCGGATGAGATGCACGGAGTGGTGGAGGCTTTAAAGACGAATGCTCGGACACTGACATCTCTCAAGGCACGGCAGGAAGCTGATAACATGATCCGGACAGTTGATGAACTCGTCAAAAGGCTGCAGTCGATGAGGACCGATAACAGCCGGCATGAATCAGCTAACGATTATTATCGAGATTTCGATGCAGGTAAGCAAGGGAACGATTTATTGTGTAAAGACGTCCTTCTTTAAACAGTTGTAAGCAGGCGCACGTACAGCACAAACCATACGTAGTACAGATATTATAAGTAGCACATTTTACTAACGAAAAGAATTAAGTGGTACGAGTAGCTAACAGTCCTTCCTATCTGTCTCTTTGTCTTTCGCAGGATTAGCAAAATCACGCCATGGTGCGCATGGAAACTATCCAGAACGTTTGGAAAGGTCGGTGGATGAATATAGCACGCGAAACCGGGCTGGGACAACATTCGACGACCCAGATTTCGATTCGGGTACTTACTTATGAGTTAAGATTAATTGTGTACGGGAAATCAGCCCCTTGCAAACTGCGAAGTGTGCACCGGTCGTGCTTGCCAGCGCATGGTCATGCCCACGCTGCATGTGTGCTGTTTTCTCGTACACAAACTCTGTGATGCCACTTGATCGAGCCGCTACAGTAAATATTGTAACAATATTTATCGTAAAACGTTACAGAATACTCTGTTTGTTAGATTAAGTACAGTCTAGAGCTAGCTAGCATTGTATTGTTGCAGTGATATTGTAAATTAAATAAGCTCGCAACCAAGATACTTTACCAAAAAAAAGGAGTTTATCAATAACCCACTTACAAAGACATAACGTTACAGGATTTCCGCGGTCACGAACGAGTGATGCCTTGCGACCGCGAAGTCTAAACCGTTCTGAACGACATAACGACGACGAGGACATCAACGTGCGGAGCGCTAGTGCAGCACGAAGAGTACAAATGAATTTGTCGCCTCAACACGTAGAATCCACAAGTGGTACCGATACGCGTCAGTCTCTTCGAATTCCTAATGCATGTCGGCATTATAATCGAGCCACGGGATGTCAGATGCAGGACTGCAAGTTTCCACACGTCTGCGGCAACTGTGGGAATCGTGATCACACTGCACTGCAGTGCAGTCCAGTGCCATCAAGAGCTGCAGTTACTAAAACTCCAGCGCAGACGAGTACTGCCCTAATTCGCAACGCATGCCGGCATTTCAACAGTCGTAATGGATGCAACCGGAAGGAATGTGGTTTCTCACATATCTGCGGCTATTGTGGAGGAAAAAGTCATATTGCCATGGATTGTCGGGATCAGCCTTCACTGAAAACTCCTGACTTGGCGCAGCCGAAGCCAATAAAATCCGACACGGCTGAACGAAGGGCGAGTGATGTGCCGTGTAAATACTACAACCAGCAAGATGGATGCCGATACAAAGTATGCGCATTTTCCCACAAGTGCAGCGAATGTGGAAAGCTAAATCATGGAGCGGCAAGCTGCAACGAAAGAAAGCCCGGGTCTACAAATGCCGACCCGAAAAAGTTGTTCAGTCCATTCGTACAAGGTGTTTGCTTCGAGTACAACTACGGAAAGCCTTGCAAAACGATTCCATGTACATATAGGCATTTATGTGGCGTCTGCGGTCATCTGCATGCAGCCGTTCAGTGCCGCCAAAATCTCATCAAATGATGGCTAAAATAATTATATTCATGATGAACTCTGAAGGTCATTCGCATCAGATTCATTTTTAAAGGCAATCGTGTTCATAATTGACTGAAAATATTGCTTTTTTAGGCACAGATGCACCGTCGTTTATTAATGACAACTTTATTCAGACTGCATGGATCCTGATTACTATATATACGGTTAGTTTTGCATTCTCTTTATCTTTATATGCATTCTCTTTATTCTTAAAAATGAAAAGTATCGTTAAACGGTTTCTTTGTCGGCCTGTTGTTGGCTTTTGGGAAATAATGATTAATTTTTCATCCTGCATCAGAGCTGGTGATGAAGTAAAAATAAATTCGGTAAGGTCACGCGGTGAACTGCCATGCTGCATTAACATGTGCTTGATGGTGTGCTCACTGAGCTGCCAACATATTACCCGGTTCTATTTGAGAAAAAAGCACCCATGTATTCTTCATCCAGAAGATGTCCTTTGGATGGGTGTTTTTTGAGTTTCAAAAAGCCATAATATAGTTCCGTAGACCAGGTATTTTAGACGTGAAAATGTACATAAAAAGGGGCTCCATAAGTATACTGAAACATGCCGTTCTAAAGACGGCGTGTTGTGCTCAGACGATGTCTAAAGCACGTCAAAAAATTGCTTGCCGTAGAACCGGGTTAGAAACAGATAATTAAATTTTACAATGTAGAGCCGTAACTCGTGATTGTACTTTGTAGCACCATTGTAAAACAAAGATATACGAGTACAACTTTTATACCAACCGTCCATGTCGACCAAACCGTCCATGTCGACACTTTGAATACTTCGAGTACATTTGATGCCGGTTTTTTCGCCGCTGTACTGAAGCGCTTGTTTGCGGTAAGTGTTTAATTCTGATAAGGTACATAAAACCCAAGGTTTACAACGTCGAAGGACAATTTTTCACAGTTAGGTCAATAAATTCTCTAATCGTAAGTTGAGGTTGTTTACTTCGAAGCATTTGAGCTCCGTGTTGATGGTCAGCTATACAGTGCTTCTACTGGTGCTCAGTTCCTTCCTCAATTTCTTCTTTAGTCATTTCCGTGTCGGTGTGTTTCGGCTCGTTCTTTGCTGCCGGAATGTCAACATACTGGTAGAATCTGGTCATTACGGCAAACAATATAGCGAAGGCTCCGATCAAGCCAGCAAAGACAAAAAATTCAGTAGCCTAAAATCAAATACATAACACTGCATGCAAGTTCTCAAGCAACTTTGCAATCCATGGCATTGGCGAATAGCATACGCACTTGATTTTCAATCAGTTGTGTTCCACTGATAATGATGACAATGACGTTACCAAACGCCGTTGTCATGAGCCAACCGGCCTGTAGAACGGCTTTCATACTTGTCGGTGCCTGTTAAGTAAAATTAAAGCCTCAATGAAAAAAGGCTAGCATAAGTCGAAAATGTTCTTATCAACGTTTTTAACAAAATAATGTCGCAATTAATTCCTGTCAGACCTGGGAATAAGCAAACGCCACACCGCTGACGGAAAACAACACTTCAGCCAAGGTGATGACAAAGTACTGTGGGAGCTGAAGGAAGATGTTAATGGGAGTGGCTTCGACAAGACCTTGCGCTATCCATGGAGCACTGGTTGTATAATTGTTTTGCAAAATGACAGTGTAAATGCCTCCGTTATACACCGCTAGACGATCCGTTCCCAACCGACGACGACCGTCTGGAGATGATTCGTCCGATAAAAACAATTCGTACCTAAAATGCGCCAATATAGGATCTGCCAATGTATACTGTGACAACAGCAGTTGAACTTCCCCGTGACTATACTGCAACCTTTAATTATTTCCCTTATAGATAATGAAGCCTTTTATATAACAGAAGATGCCTGCTAGCAGTATATTCGAATAATGTGGATATAAGATCATTATTACTTTCCCTGATCCACGTTTTCAGCGACATCCACAAAAACAGAATTTTCATCAAATACCGCGCTTTCACGTTTGATGGGTATGTTGTATAAGTAGCCGGATTTCCCCACTGTCGCGTCGGGATTGTACATGGTCAGAAAACCGCCACCGGATTTTGTGTTGAGCCGGAATGGTATGATAAAGCGTAGAAAACTGGCACCTTTTGGGGGTTTTTCTATCTTTTCATCAATCTATGAAACATTTGGTAGTCGTTTTAGAGTACTGTATAATACGAAGAGTCAGACATCTTTCTCTGTTGGCTGGTATACGGCCAGTGCAGCGCACCATGGTGCATAAGCTATGATTCATAGAGATAAGAACGTGCATAAGCTATGATTCATAGAGATATGAACGGGTATGTTAAAAAACGGAGCTCTGCAGCGCGGTATCTCGAATACGTGCGGTATAGTTGTTTTGACCATTCAGAGCATAGACAAGCTCCGGATCGTGATGACACACGTTACCAGTCGTTTCTACTGCGCATAATGCACAAAAAACCTACATAGGCGTTGGAAGATACCCGAATGTCTGAATCTGAGCAATATATTACCGATATACGTAAATATAACGCTAACTGTACCATTTTAAGGTCATATTTTCCTGACGAACTGGACACGAAAACCGATCGCGCCGTAGCATTGTCCAGGGGATGGTAATATGATTTTCGGACACCCTGATTGAACAGTTATCAAACTGTGGATGCAATGGAATATCGAACGTCATGCTGACTTTGTCCAAGCTGATGTCTTTGATCGTATACATCTGAAGGATGCAACAAGGTCACTCCGTGCGCTTACTGATTATCTGATGCATCTGGTTGGCCACCTGGTTTGATTGTAAAGTAATATCAGGCTCCGTAGCATTAAGATTTCTCAGATCGTAGAAGTATGGGCACGGCATCGTATTGAACAGATAAAGGTTGGCTTGACCCGGGGCTGGCGCGATTGGAACGGTTTTCTGCAGACAGAATTCATCAGACTCAATTGCAAATTCGGCACCTCGTGCTGCGCAGTGAAGTTCTTTGCACAACAATTAACATACGTCCAGTTCGATCTGGAGAAACCCAGCAATGACGAAAGCACCGCCCGCTAATAACATCCCGGTGACCATGCGCGCCAGAAGCCTGTAAAGCAAGCAATAAGGTCATCGTAAACTTCTCTGGCGCATTCAAAACCATTGCTTCGTCAAAAATTAGCCGGCAGTGCCATTAACTGCTTACAGTAGAGTTACGACAAAGCGAAATTAAAGTATGCCGCCAGAATCTTTACCTGAATTTGAAACCACATCTCTCGATGAGTGGAAAGATGATCGTTTCAAAAATTGGCACCAAGATTAAAATCAGAACCGGATTGAAGATTTGCACTTGATCTGGTTTCCAGTAGAAACTATCGGTGATGCGACCATCCATTTTATTGGCTTGTAGTGTCCATCGCGATCCCTAAATTGGAAACACAAAACCATGTGACTGATCTGTGCGTGCTGTAATGGTGGCTGTGTATGACTATGAACTAGAGAGGGTTTACGGTAAACAACTAACCTTTTGATCGAATAATGTCCAGAAAATAGGCAGTGGTAAAAACATCTTGAGTACAGGCATAACCTTCTTCACATCACTAATAAAAGCCGCCTGTAACGCGAATAAAATTGCCTTGAAACATGTTTGCCCAAAACATTTATCACATATATATCAGACAATTTTATGTACATCATATTTATCGGATGCGTAATCCAACCAGTGCTTGACTCCGCGTGGCTTATTTTTGCGGAATTTATTAGCAAGGGCATGCTGCAAAACAAATCAGATATAACGATGGCCTGTTTAGGTTATGTGTGAAAACTGACCCGATATTTAAATACTGTATTTGTCTGTATTTCTCGTGCGTACGCTTACCCAAATGCAAGCCAGAACTTTTCCTACGATGTTTCCCGTCGGTGGGATGTTGCGATAGAACGGCCGCCCCACGACAAATAGCACTAAGTTGAGTAAAGGTCACAAGTTACTGGCGTGAAACGAATTGCTTCTGAACGACTGCTTCGTACCTACAGCCACCGCCAGCAATCCTGCAGGAAGTCCGAATGCCTAAACAATTAACGAATGCACAATCATTCTGCGATACAACCACTGACATGGCGAAATAATACAATAATGGCTTGCATATGTACAGAATACAGTTATTGAAATGCACTAATACGATCTTTGTCATCCCATTGTAGGGGCAATTCTTGGCGACAGATATCCAAACTGGATCGTCTACATGCCGCACTCACACACAGGAGCAATTTGTTTATGGGGCAGAATGACCCTGATAATATGTTATCTACCGGATAGCACAAGTGGCCCCGATAAATGTTTTGACAAATTGACGATGCAACATACCGCGGGATAGCATCCTTCTTGGTCAAAACACGAGACATCACCTGCAATGTACGCAAATGTGCAAACGGTTTCTTCATAGTCTATTACGAAAAATATTACAAAAATATAATAAAATAATTATGGTTCATGAAAAGAAAGATGTTTCAGCATAATTTGGTAGCCTACTTCTAAGAATGGGTGTGACGAAGGTGGATACGAGACTTCCGGCATTGATACAGAAGTAGAACACAGAAAAGAATTGTTCCCGGTAGCGCTCCTGTAAAACGGTCAAATTTGAGCAAATTCCGAAAACTGCAGGTCTGCAAAGATACTCAAGTCACAAGCAACTTTAAAAACAGCTGCCTGCTTACCTGTCCGGTGACAAACTGATCGCCTCCATAGGTCACGACACACGGCTTGATTCCACCAGTACCGACAGCCACCAGAAGGAGTCCGCTGACAAATCCCGCGCTAAAATTATAAAAGTTTAGTTAAAAGCACCCCGAAGACAAAAAGCATGAATCATCTGAGGCTAGTTTTGGGTGTCGCTAAACTTACATCGGATGTAATCCAATCGGTGGTATTGACGCTAGAGTCATTAAAACCAATCCACCAACGTACACAAGAGACAGCAGAAAGATTGTCCTGCAGTAAATTATGTCCATCTATATTAAATTATCTGCGTTGCAAAATAGTACTTATGCAAACAGGAGCACTGACGCAAATTTTCCAATGTATCCATCGGCCAACATGGCACCGAATACTGGGGTAAAGTATGATAAAACCAAAAACACATGGTACACTAGTGTAGAGGTACTTTCTGACCACATGAAGGCTTGCAGGAAGTACAGCGTCAACACGGCTGCAAATTTGAACACGATGTAAATTAGTATTACTGTATGGGCATTTTATTTAACTGCCATGCTTTTTAAAAGTTGACACAATTTAATTTTTGATGTACCTTTCATGCCATAAAAGGCAAACCTTTCGCACAATTCATTTCCCAGAATGAAGATGATATACCATGGATATTTGGGTGTCTTCTGGATGGAAATCTGTAACCAGCAACTGTCCCATCGAAGTGTACGGACAAGTTACAGCACGCAAAATTCTGACTCGAATGAGCAAATAATAAAATATAAAAGGAGATGATTGATCGATGAGTTATATTCTGACAACCATAAACTAATTGTAAATAAGGTACCCTAGAGCAGGAAACATACGCTGTCTACGGAGATTGTGCCACTTGAGTCCGTCTTGTTCATGGCGGTAACTGGACCAGATTTTTGGGATATTCTGTTCAGCTCTTTCATTATGAACTCTGTGCAAAACAACAACAGACATTTAGAGAAAAAAGCTTAATTCAAATAATTTCAAGCAAACAGTAAGTACATATCCGCTTATTTTACTGTGATAAATATAATATAGAGTACCTAATGATACTTCAAAAATTTGCAAGTTGTGCTACTTTCAAGTAGAAAATGTAATTTCCAGCCTTCCTGCAATGTGTGGCTATTAAAACATTGAGTAGGCTTGTTTTTTATTGCTATTTTGTACAACTGCAAGAAGTCTCATCCTGCATATGTAAAGTACTTATTCGAATATGATAATCTATCTTACCGGATTTTGGATTATCACCGGCATCCTTTTCATTACTCGACGACATTTTTGTGCCAGGCAGGATCCACACTGGGCCGGTTGCCCCCACGCTATTCCTGTAAATGCAGAAAACTAGGGAATTCCCTCACGAATTGTCACCGTAAAATCCCCCAAAATAAAATGCTGCTTGTCAGCAAAATGCGTATTATTGAGGCCGCGTAACGTTCTCGATAAGGCTAACTAGCACGGCGCAGACAACGAGCGCTTGGTGACAGCAGTACTATATTTCGTAAAACGATAAGAGGACAACAGGCCATATCGGCATCCTGCTATTGTTATGATGATAATGCGCATAATATGTGGGTTTAAGTGATTATCTGGTTTTCAATTAAAATTACTCGTACGTGTAAGGAGATACACCCCTAGCGCAATTTTTAACGAACGATAACCGGTGCTTGTAAGTTACAGCAGCTGCATGGTTATACCGTAGCCTAGTCTTCTACCGGAACACAAATCTGGCAGATATTGATGCAACGATACGGGATGGTATATCGCTACGATGCATTATCTTATCCTTATCAAAGCCATCCGTTACAGAGCACGTAAAAAGACAAGAAAAAGTAATAAATCCGAATCGCAAATGCTATCACGTAAATAATTAGTACGACGGTTAATTATTTTTCGCATAATAAAACATAGGTCCATGCGTCGTGAGTCGTATCGATTTTGTACATCCACTAAATAATCCTATATTAACAGATTACAAGAGAAGAAGTGCGAAATGTACTGTAGATCTGCATTGCAGGGAAAGAACGGTTCATCTGCTGACTGCATAGTTAATTCTGGTAGTAATAGTTTAACGCAATGAGTTTCGTTTGAAATTTTATTTTAACTTTTAAGCTATGATTACGGTAAAATATTTTTTTGTTTTAAAAGCCGCGAATTTTCTCCATATATTTTGTGATGGATGCTTTACGGTTAAAAACATAAGTGGCTGTTAAACGATTGCTTGTCGGGATTGCAGTTTGCAAGCTTACTACAAGATGAATTGTAACTAACCGTTTTCGCATAATTATGTTTTCGCATATTTGGTTGGGTTATTATGTTTTATATGAGCATGAGTATCTTTGTTTATTATGTTGTCATATTTGGTAGGTTTTTTATGGCACAGATCTCATGCGTCTTTAGCAAGGTCATCGGTTAGTATGTAAGATAAGAAAAAAGAACAGTAAAGAATTGTCTCCCTTCGACCTAGTTTCCTTAACCCGAGAAGATTTGCCAAAGAAACGCACTCGGATTTGTTGGTAAACTTGCGCATATCTATCATAATAATTATTTTTCTATGGAAGCCGAATCACGTGCCTGTTTGCGTCTATCCCAAGAAACATGTATTATCTGTCGTACGTGCAATTCAATTTGATTTTGTACTAAGCATCTAGATTAATTTTTTGCACTACGAGCACTGTAATAAGGTGGCTTTTGCTGCTGTCCTAGGTACTGCTACTGCCGCAGTTTGCCGAGAATTGTCTAATACTATAAAAGAACCTTTAGCCTCCTACGATAGTGACATTTTTGTACCATGTTGTTTGAGTACTGTAATAAAATCGGCGCGCAGATGACCGATAGCCGATCAGCAAAATCTTGATAAATGCTCCCACGTATAACATCGAAAAGTCGCTAACATGCTTCTGTTCAGTGTGGTATGATTTCATATTGACCCTCCACATCGCAGCATTTTTTGAAATTTTTCACCATGAATTCCTGTGTCTGTATCTTGGTGGCAGTCGTTTTTGTGGCGATGTGTCGCCCATGCACAGGTCATGCCGCAGGGTTATTCAATTCCAAATGGATTCAGGGATCCGCGTTCCACGCCGAAAACCCTGATAAATTCACCGTAAAAGTTCATGCCACCGGTATCACCGTGACCCCGAAAAATTCCCTGGATGCCGGCAGTTGTGAATGGTTCCATGTGCCACTGTCGGTCTTGGCCCGTCGTGAAGGGATGATCGCTTTCATTGAGAACGTCCAATTGGCGTACACTGTGGACGGAGCGGAGATCAACGCTGTCCATGTCTACGATGGGGATAAAAAGATCGCTTCGCATGACCGTTTGTCGTCACAAGGTGAACCGCGCCTACACAATGTTAGCGAATGGAGTGTCAACCGGAATATCGATAAATCGCTGTCCATTTCCGTCTGTATTAAATTCAACGGAGCCACCGAAGCCAGCACGGTCACGCTGATTGGAGCAGGAACGTCCTACCGTTACAAGGACAACATGCATGTGGTTAAAGTTTCGCCAGCATGATCAAATTATGACAAAACAACGCTTTATTATTAAATTATTTCATTTAAAATGGAGGCTGTAATATGTGGGGTGCAACTTTATCTTACAATTAATAATATTGCTGATTTCTTCAATGCGTGTAATTGTTAGTATTTTAATTTGCCCATAAAATTTGGAGTGTCGCTGGTGTACCCTGTCGATATTTAGTTGATTGAAAATTTCCAATTAGCTGCAGTTTTATTTTGCAGTCTGAATGTGCCTATGCAGAGTATCCTGTACTATTATGTGTGTACGTATGTATAAGAAGTGGAAGAGCGAAGTTAGCTTTTAACGGGCCTAGGACACACTTTAAAGTGCAATTAAAAGCTGCTGCAATATTCGTATGCAATATCGAATTTGTTTGGATGCGCAAAGATGTGGAAACAGTTTTTACGCAATGTTACTTTAATTTCATAATTATAGCACGTAACACACTGTACAACATTTAATGCTGGCCTTCTATTTTAATACCTGATCATTGTAATATTTTCGTACAAGAAACAGCCTCGGCTTCGCCTCCGCGTTTCTTGTGGTCCCCAGTCTACGGCCGGTTTATTCAAATGATTTCGATCAGCTGTTTAGTTAACATCTTATTCCTTCAGCAAAACAAACGGTCCGAAAGTAGCGCTAAAACGTAGATAGGATAATAAGTGAATTTACGGCTTTTGTGCACTCATTTACATTGAATTGACGCATTTACATTGACTCAGAAAGGAATCTATGTTAACTTTTCCATCCCGACTCTGAATCTACGAGGTACAGCAGCGGTAATTCGGTCACTTGTTCACCTAGCGGGCTGTGTGCTCTGGACAGCAGCGGTAATTCGGTCACTTGTTCACCTAGCGAGCTGTGTGCTCTGGACAGCAGCGGTAATTCGGTCGCTTGTTCACCTAGCGGGCTGTGTGCTCTGGACAGCAGCGGTGACCGAAGTGTCACTCGTGACTCGTTCACACGCTGCCCGCGTGAACGTGTGCTCTGGACAGAAGCCGTAGTTCGGTCACTCGTTCACTTAGCGGGCCGTGTGCTTTGGACAGCAGCGGTGACCGAAGTGTCACTCGTTCACACACATACCCCGCGTGAACGTGTGCTCTGGACAGCAGCGGTAGTTTGGTCACCTAGCGGGCCGTGTGCTCTGGACTGTGCTCAGATGATGGAAACGGTTTTTGCTGATTCTATACGGGAAAGCTGGGTTCGCGTATCCCTTTTTTTGTAATAACAGAGATCTCGAATGTAGATACCGTATTACTATTCCGTATTATACTGAATAATTTACGGACTGTATACGCTGATTAATTATTTACTGTCCTTAGTTTTGCTTGGACTGCAGTGAAAGGTCAGCAAGTTTGAACGATTGCGATGGTCAGCTTCTTTTACAGCTGCCTTCAAGTGGCTTTTAACGAGCGTTCTTATTCTTAAGGTTACCCCTATTTTGGCTTTTCTCAAAAAGGCCACTTTCTCAAAACTTGCAATCCCACCAACTGAAGTGTGCTTTAAATTGTTAACGATTTATTGAAACGAAGCCATCCACTAGCAGCATCGTTTGTGTTACTGCTAATCTTACTGGTTTTCTAGTTTTATAGGAGTAAAATTTATTAAAATAAAAATATAGGAGTAAAATATTTTTTATTTGCTGATCTAAAAAGGTACTTACCAGTTTAAGTTTACTGATTTTTTCTCCATGCAACCGGACTTTGAAATTATTTAAAATTATTTTCAAGGTCACCTTGAGCTTTCAGCTCTACCGGTACCGGCACGGGAGCCGGAGCGAATAATTTTTAAAACAAAATGCATGTGACACAGTTTCCAGACATGCGGAATCGAATGGCGTTATCAGTTTTTCGATTAATTTTTTGCTTTGTTCTGACCAGATCGTACGGGGTTTTCCGTTGTAATACAGATCTTTACCTTGATAGTAAACTAAGTAATCAAAGATCCAGTCGATCAGGTACCGGTATACTGCACTGATTGTCAATTTGTCAGGATATTTTGGAAAACAGAAAACAAGCAATTCAACTCCGTGATTGTAGTTTCGTGATAAATATACTAGTATATGCAGATAGAATATGTATTTAAGGGTGTAAAAACAGTAATACTTTTTGCTAAAAATCCATTCAGAGCTGTCGAAAGTAATGTCCGGAAGACAGTAGAACAGCGATTGCGTAAAGCGTATTCATACAGGTGAGGCATCTGTTACTGTCAGCACTGGAATTTGCATTTCCTGTTGGCCAAAATTTGAGCTTGCGGCCGCAGTCGGATAAAGTGCGGTTACTCCTCTGCGAGAGGAACTTTGGCGAGAAAATGGTCGATCAGCTGCTTCTTTTTCTGCTTCTGTCGCTGCTTGTCGGAGCACCTAAAAGGATAACAAAAATTTATACAAAAGATTCTGTTTTCGTTTGCACGTATACGAATATACGATATATACATATACAATTTATTTGCCTTCTTCTCGTACTCTCTATGGAATTGCGTAGGAATAATACCGTTTTGATTCTAGTTAGCGAATGCCACGAAAAAGAATCTAAGTTGTCACAAGGTAGCAGCCGTGAAAAAAACGCGTTCAAGTTACAATAACAGAAGTTGTTATTAAAGAAGTTTTGTACATAAATCCTGCAGATGTACTATATTGTACTCGTACCTGCAAATGAACATGGAGATCAGCTAGAGCGCTTTCGATCCACTGGATGCGCTTTCCGACACTTCCGCACACTGTCTGAGTGACCAACACCAATTGTTCTACCGACACAACCAGCGCAACACACCTGAAAACCAACATAAATCAAACAATAATTATGCCAAGCGTGGCAACACCTTTAGTGTACTACTCTTTAAGAGGCTTAACGAATATCAGGAAGATATGTTCGTTTGGCTGCCAGGGTTACTTACTGTATTGTTAGAAAACACTTGTGGCATATTCGCCATCTAACGCGGTCTAAGTTTATGAGGTATGGATATACTGTATACAAAATTCATGAATTATTGCAGTTTATTAAATCTTGTCGGCACACTACTCTAGGAATACATACAGTACATTACAGTACACTCGTACTGTAATGACCAGTGAACCTAAAGTGTCTAAAGCATTCGTGTTTACCGTGCTTCCAAGAGGCGGGAATCTAGGGGCGGCTCCATTGACCTGGCAATATCGTCGATACGGGGTCCAATACTTTTTGCCACTTTTAGCAGTGCGTCCATTTTACCGGTCCGGCAAGCGTACTTGTAGTTTTCCTTCCCTTCATGAAAACATGCATATGTATTTATTTGGCTTTGAAGAACCATAATTAGGCTTATATATTAATCGTAATCCGTTATTCTCTTTATCAGCTCCCCATCAATTTAAAGGTAACATTTAGTTTCATGCAATATTAGCAGCCAGGTAAATAACAATAGAATATTTGGCTAATTAACTTCTCGGAAACTTTCGTTGTCTGTTCCGAATCACTTTCGATGAAGTCGGATTGCAAAACTAATTGCATATTCGGAATCGGCGAATTATTACATGTTCTATTGAACAGAACATGTACAACAGCATACCTACAGTATACCAGTATCTGTAATTAATTAAAAAACATAACTATGAGGCTGGCATATCGCGAATTTTAGCAAATTACCATTTGACTGTTGACTATCAACTTGAAACAATTTTTATAAACAAGTTTTCCAAAACATAAAAAGGATGGCTTAAACGTAATTTAAGATTTTGATGAATAAACTATGCTTTCTATGTATAGAGGTATACTTCGTATACGATTCTCCATACCAAGTGTCATTGTCACCAATTTCTCCGTTAAGTTGTGGCACGTCCGTAAAATAGACAAACAATGAGGAATCCATCCGCTACGCAGTAAAAATCAAAGGGAAGTTGTCAGTAAATCCGGCCGCGGTTACAGTAAGAATTCCTACCTCGGCAGCATTTACTACGATCCGTGCTTAAAAAATAGGCACACTCTGGAATCCCACTTTACCTAATATCTTCGATCCATTGAGCATTTTGGACAATCCGGTCGATTTCCTCGTCCGACAGGACAATTTCTCCGAGTTCAATTTCGTCGCCTAGACCATTTTTCTGACCGCCAGTGTGTTGCTCGATGAGTTCCGTGGCGTCGATCTCCTCTTTCCGTCGACATAAACGATACCGGGCCACCATAGCAATTCCCACGACAAAAGCCAGAATAACTACGGTTAGGATTCCGATCCCCACGGCCACCACGGTTTCCATTTTCAGTCTTCTCAGGAGTCAGCACTTTTCATATTACTTTTTTAAAACACTTTTTAAACATCGTCCAGGTTTCTAATACACTGTATCCACACAATTCACCAGCTTGAAATTAATCATACGTAAGCGACAGATAATTATTCTATCTTATCTGTCACATAGCATAATCTGAGGCTCGACGTCCCATACCGGTAACGGTAGCACACTGCATGCAAACTTCCAAAGCGTACAATATTTTACTGGAGAAATTCTTAGCGAAGGCACACTATTCACAAATGTACCTGCAAAATCTCAAACTGATAATTCGAAGCCACAGCGGCTGCACTGTGAGAATAAAGACCAGTTATTAAAATATTGTGCTTCATATTTTCATCGTGCCGCGCGTGGTTGCTCAAGCGTAGCGCAATGTTGACTGACCACTGGTCAGTAGCTCACAGCTATACTGGTCTATGTCGACCTGTGCTTTGGTCGGACCTTCTGTTGTATCTTCTGTCATTTTACAATAGGTTGTACCATGCAATACCACACCGGTAGAAATTCTCGAAAGACTGCAACATAATAAAACATAATCTGGATTTAATGCATTGTAGCTTGAAGCTTACTCTTCTGCACACAGCAGGGTTGAATATCGCAATGTACAATACAGATACAGCACATCACACATTACTTACGTATAACGGTTTAAGCGCAGGTAACCCATGTTTTGAGGACATAGGATTGCCTGTAGCAGAAGTCTGGAACTCCAGTTAGCAGATATGGGCGCGATACTTTGCAACTTTCAAAATCTTATAAAAGTAATCTTTATTCATGCTTTAGGCAAAAGGCAACATATGAAAGCGTGTGATTACAAAGCCGGAATAACATGAAGTCCAAGTGGTCAAAAACAAAATAACAAACAGCTCCAAAGAAGCCATATCAGTAAATCAAGTCAATACAAAAAAGCCTCGAAATAGAACCTTTACGTCGCTGCTCCAACCGCTCAAATAAGACACATAAAAAGATTAATTAAAAATATATTATTAATTAGAATAACAGTAAAAACAGACAACCCAACAGGACTGGTCCCGCTCACGCCGGAACGGAAGCCGCCGCTATGACAGAATCAGTGCTGAACAAACTGCCAGTCCCACAATATCGCCGCCGCATTTTTTTTACAAATTCTCAAATTGATCCACACGACGCTTAGTGTTGCCCTTGCGGATATCGCGGAGTGTCTTGTACTTATCACGGCCTTCGCGCATATTGGCCTGGTGCAGACGGTCCTCTTGGGTCTGATATTCATCCACTTTTGAACTCTCCAAATCACGATTCAAGGCCTGGAGTCGGAAAAGAGTGATAAGCAACAAAAAAATCAAAGGCGCTTTAAAATACTTTCAACTAATTCTGACCAGAAAGCCCTGCCAATGCGTACGATACGAAACTACAATACTTACTTCAAGCTGCTCCTTCATACGCTGATTACGATCCTGTAACCGCGTCCTTTCCAATTCACGCTGATCCAAACCTTCCACTTCAGCAAACTCGGCCGCTAAAAAAGAAAAATGCAAATAAATCCCCAGGCAACAAGGAAATACAAAAACCATGCAGAACGCTTGTTTTATTTTGTTTCTGGTTTTCTACATTGGTTCTCTTAAAGCAGCAACACTTGATCAAGAATAGTATTCACATTCCAAAAATTTCCACCTGCCGCCTGCACCATTACATTAAACCAAAGCCAACTTACATGCACCGTTACCGTTGGACATGCCGTCCTCGGTGTTGTCATCCTGCTCCAGTTCAGGAACGTGAATATGGGCAGGAGTGGCAGCATGCAGCGCAGCCAGAGCGGCCTCTTCTTCACGCCGGCGCGCATCCTCCACTTCACGCTGAAGACGGCGAGTTTCCTCTTCCTTTTCTTCCACTTCACGCTGGATTTCCATTATGGCGCGCTCTTTTTCACGGATTTGGTCCTCCTATAACGTAACCCACAAATTAAATAACGCCTCATATCCAGCAGAATTCAGAATCGTTGCTGCAATTAAGTAAGCTTACTAGCAAAAAGTATGTACTACTAGCAAAAACTCCCGATATAAGTGTAGGACAACCAAACCATATCACAGGAAACTAATAACACCAACCACCGCAATATTTCACACAGAATTTAAATTAACCCAGAAATTAGCTAAAAGAATATAATTTTCCATTACGCGTCTTCATCGCAAAAGTTTCTTAAGCGACCATTGCGCAACATCAAAAGTATCCAGATACCCGTATCAATTTTCCTATGTTCACAACTCGACACACCACTGAGCAAACAACCCAAGTTGCCGTTTGCATTCAGACTAAAGTCAAGTTTATCCACCATACGTAATATTCACCGCCACACAACCGTTCTCCCCCTTTTGTCGTCAAGGTGAAACACAGTATCGTCGAAAAATCTATGTCAGCCATCAAGCGCCAATATTTACCAATCGACTCCGCTCGTCCGACTCTAATGACTTGGCATGCTCCAGTTCACGCAGCAAGCGCGTCCGCTCTTCCTCCATGTCTTCCAGTTTCTTCTTGGCCAGCTGCACCTCACGCAGCTGATCCTCTTGGCGGCGAATGGTCTCCTGGGCTTCCACCAGTTCTGTCAAAAAAAGAGCGCCGCTCAAATCAACATTATGCCGTCTGTGTACACGAGTATGTCGTAAAAACCATACAAACAACTTTTACGAAAAGTTGCATGCACCAATTTAATTTAGCAAACATTGACTCAATCAACAGCTCATCGATAAGAACTGTTGAGTATAACCTGTCTGCAACGTCACAATAATAATAAACAACAAAACTCCGTAATACATTTAAATCGCTCCAAAATCTATAATTGTAAAAATAATTTCTGAAAATAATTTAAGTATTTTTACAGCGTTTTAAATTGTTAGTTCTTACATAACGGAGCATTTCAGTTCGTTGCACGCTGGCCGCGAAAGTATGTCAAAACAACAAAAATTGTTTCAAGATAACAGCCACTTACGTCGGTTGCGTGCATTAATTTCGTCTTGCATAGAACGAATTCTGTCTTCATAGTCGCGCGTCTTCCGTTCAGCATGTTCACGGGCCAACACTTCTCGCTGCAGGCGCTCACTACAACAACAAACAATACCTCAACGTGTTAATGTTTTTGGAAAACACGCACCAGACATCCAAAAAGCAACTAGGCAGTTCCGTCACGCTACCGCCAAAACGTTACATTTGATGCGAGAGCGGTGGTATCAAAACATTCAAGCGTCTCTTAAAATATTTCGACATAGAAATCCTCAGCCCGACGTACAGCTTATGGTTAGTGAAAACGTCTAACGTATGTAAGCGCCAACACATCAAGCAAAAAAAGTATACACAAATTGAACAAGACGTGATTAAAAATTAATTTCAAAAATTATTCACAATCCGTACAATAAAAAAACAATTAGAACTATGTCGACTGCGAAATCTCTCAACAGCCACCACGCAAAACGGTTCTGTTGCACTTTAACGGTTCCCCTCGACGACAGATCCGTTACATTACTCGTGTCAACACGTATGAAACGATAAAAACTCCAACCGCTCATTAACGTCCAGCACCGCGCTTGATAAGCGTCCTTACCGTTCTTGCTGGCGCGCTGTCTTCTCCTCGCGCGCCTGCGCCTTCATCTGCTGCACCTCGATGGTGTCGGGTTTACGGCGTCGCATGTACAGCTCGTGGTTGCCCATGCACAGCGCCAAAATCCGCTTGTTAATTCGTAGCCGCGAGGCAAAGAAGACAAAGTCCGGAGCCTTCTTGTCAATGGGTTTGATAACAAATTTCTTATCGTTGAAGGAAATATTACGAATCTCACTCCAAGGGAAGCCAATCTTCGGCGTAAGTTTGTCCTCCTTCTCGTAGATGTTCAAACCGAGAGCGTCCACGCCCAGCCACAGATCGGTGCCGCGCTTGTTTTTAATGTCAAAATAGTTAACGCCGTACATCTCCAGATCCTGGGCGATCTTCAGATACTCCATCATGGCTTCCTCACGCATCATGCCCTTGTGCTCCGTCCACCAGTTCATAATGCGCTCTTCCCAGGCTTCGCGGGTCATCTTGTGCTGATCCATCACACGCTGTGGCAACAAGCGATCGTTTGACAAAAACCCTGCCAAAAAAACAATTTTAATGGATCAGTCAGTAAAAAATTTTTGGTTGAAAATTAAAGTTTTAGAGGAGCTTAAACGAACTGTATAATGATTTTAATTACCGACGTGTATAACCCATTTTTCCCATCATTGTGCAATTTCTGTTGGCAGAAGCTTCTTTCCAGTTCACAACGCACGTTTCGCATTCGTGCTTTTCGAAACAGTAACATTTCTCAATGATTCACCACCGAATCGTAATTAAATGCCCATTACCTAAAATGCGTAATCTTCTAGTGCGAGAAAAAAAACGAACTAAAATTAAATAACAAAATCTCACGATGACAGAAAAGCCAGGCATATGCGTTCGAAATCTTTCACACAAGCTTTTACTCTCACGAAACTTGAACCTTTCAAAACTGCTGTCGTTTACATAATCCCTACATGAAATGTTTTAAATTATTTAGATCTCAATGACTTTCATCTTCATTTACAAATCAAAACAGTCCGGCAATGCTGGAATCAAATTTCTGTCAGTAAATACCACCGGCACCAACAATATGAAAAGATCTTCAAAATGAACGCTAATCCGATTACGCACAAGCTGACATAACATGGTTAACGGCCTCCAATTAATCAATATTAAAAGCTCGACTTTTAACTTTTTAATGGCCGGTGCTGACAACTGCGGATACACATCATAAAGCACGGACCATCATCAATCACCCGTCACATCTTGCTCTTCTTTTACGGAAACGTGAGCGAAAACACCATATCTGCATAAATTGATATTTCACAAAACAGCCCACCCAGGAAACCATTCATTAATACTTGGAAAATATGTTTTTTAGTACAAAAAGTTTAATAAACTTTGTAAACGGATCATATAATTTCAAAAAGATTCGTCAGGCTAATTACACGAAAATTAGATGATCTAGCAGTCACGTGACTTCGTGAGTCGGATTTACTGGAATACTCATTCCCGGTATTAAACGTAAGACGTAAATCGATGTGTAACAAAACTCCGCCTTGATCACATCTTCACCTTACGTAAAAACCGATCACAATCGTTAAAAATACCGAAGCATTTCCCACACAATTCGTGACACATAAAGATGCCGCTTCGAAAAAACGCCTGCGTCAAATTAAATCAATCATACTCACACAAAAATGTACAGAGCCCACATTCCTACAGTTCTATTCGCATGATTTTGTAATCAAATTTTTAAAAGCAAGCAACAAAAAAAACAACAAAAAAAACAAGATGACAAAAAAGGAAAAAAGCAAGCCAAGTCGATAACTGAAATAATCAGTTCGTGCTTCGGTTCGAAATAATTGAATTCTTTGAAGCCTGCGTGACTATTGTAAACACCGTTTTATAACTCATTTACCGGCTGGATGCATGTCCTTATTATGATCGCCATATTTAGCTTGGCAGGCGTAGGAGGCCAGCAGGACGGAGCTCTCCGGCGGACAGTAAATTTCATCATTTAATATGGCGTTTTTCACTTGCAGATAAAATAATCTGAGAGTAATATCCTGTATAATCTCCTCACTGACGTCTTCGGGGAAGAATTTGGAACGGAATTTAAACTGCAGCGGCACCTCCTTTTTGATATCCTGACTGAGCACCTTCTTATTCAATTTGAGCCATGTCGAGAATCCATCACGATCCACATACTGCAGTCCAAAGAACCAAATCTCCCGCAGACCAATTGTCTTCACCACCTGCACAAAAACAGAACTCTAGCAATCATATATCTGCTAGGAACATACGAGTACAAAAACATCCACTCATAATCTGATACTAAATGTGTCAAAATTAGGACCTAGTTGTTAAACAATTCAAATATCTATACAATTTTTTATGAACTTACGGCCTGAGAACCTCTAATTAGAAAACTTCCAAAACAGCTTTTCACCACAAGCTGATGGTGGGTTTTATAATTCAAAATCTAATTTCATTTTCTCTACGCTTTTCTTTGGTTCACTGTTGCCACAAGCGGTGAGGCACTTGTCAGTACCTCATAAGGTCCTAATATTTTTAAGCCATTTCACTACGCTAATACGCAAACGAATTTTATTTAAATTGTTAGCAACTCATTGAAGGTGTTGTGTACAACTGTACTGTACAATTATGTCGTAACAAGAAGCAAACGGTACAAGGATCAAGTTCTGTCGGTCTGACAACATTATCGGGCACAAGAAAGCTTTGATAATTCTACAGCTGAAATCGTAATTATCATCAGCATAAATAATAACTCAACATAACACAATTGCGTAACGAATACCCCATTGTACCTTCGCTGAATTGCAAAAGATTCAACTATACAATTCAGATATTTACCTAATTTTGCTTTATCAAATCCGCCCATGTCGAGTCACTTCCACAGTAACTTAAAAAGAGATTATAAATCTAAATTTATGACTTTTAGGCTGATTCATTTCACGCTTACCAACTCAACAGTTTTTCTGTACAGTCAAAATACTTCACTCAATTGGGTTTTATTGCAGTATTATTATATTCACAGCCAGACCCATGCAAATTTGATCTGCGAGAATTCGCAATAATAAAATATTAATGCAAAACTGCGCAAATTAATAACCCTCCTTAAATTTCCAGCCAGAAAAAAACTTTAATTAAATCATCGTAAAATTACCCAAATCATAAGTTCAAATTCAACAAGAATGTGATACGCTGCTTCAGATTTAAATTTTATTATCTGCAACCACCACTGTACTAGCATAATATATATATATATATATATATTATAATAAATTTAATTTTTCCATGAACTGTTTTTTTATAATTTACAGTTTAAATTTATTAAGTTATCCGCCAGACAGATAGCAACAGATCTGGGTCAAGATCGTCAGAAGCAATTGGCTAGTGGCACTTGGCATCTCATTAATCTTTAACTACGAGCCGCACTAAAAAACACAACGCACACGCATCTGCCGCTCACACACCGCCGCGTTAAACCGCCCTGCACTGCATTTTGAATTAACTGACATAAAAAAGATGCTCGCATATTCAGCAGCGATGCTGCAACTGCCAGTGCATTATGACGGCTGTCGAATGGCGCGATGCAGAAAATGCAACGGCTTTGACAACAAGGAAGTCAGTGCGTAAAAAACCAACGCTGTGATGGTTTCAGAAAAACACGATATGAAGAGACAGGTGAGTACATTTTCCGATCGACCACCTAATACCCCATATCGATAACACTATGAACCAATACTTTTTTCACTACTCTGTTATTTACCCTACAGCTTAAATTCCAGCAATCACAAGGCAGGAAAAAACTCAACAGAAAAAAATCAAAAATTAAAAGACGAGCGCTCTCACATGCAGCAAAGAACCGCCTTTTTCTAAATTATTTTCTGAAATAAAAATATAAAATAAACTTGAACTGGCAAAAGTTAAAGTATGTATATCTAATTCTCTGCAGCAATGTACCTGATCGAATAATTGTTTGCCCGTGGTGCTCTGCTGGATGGCGAACTCCAGCTCGGCATCCATGGTGGTAACGCGTACATTGACGGATTTAGGCATGGTGGCGGTGAGGGATTTGGGTAGAATAAAAGGATAAAAAAACCCAGGGACAACCTCCCGTGGTGATACGAATAATATCCGCGAGCAATTGATCAATCAGGCCGCGATGGCATTGGGAACAAATGAACCAACCTAGAACCTTCCCAAAGACCGGAGAAATTTTCGTGCTTTGATACACACGATCCGACCTGCGCTAAAATGAGGAAATGGTATAAAGTAAAACGGCTTTATTATGGCTAATGGTTGATATGAGTCACGGTGACTCGACCAGAAGCGAGCATGCCGTTGAAGCGTGGATGTGGCAGTCGAATCTGTTCTTTACAGAAAGGCAGTTTTAGGCGGTAACAGGTTGTCTTGTAGTCGCGCATTAATTAACCGATTCGCGTTACTCGGTCCACAGGTCCGTGTCGAATCGTCAAACGGTAACGCCCCCGTGAAACACCTGTTATTAGAGGAAAAGGCGGTGACCGAGATATTAGTAATAACTTTTAGATTAAATCTGCACTGATTCTTGTGCAATACGAGATATTAATTTTTAAAAAAACAGATTTTTCTTTATGGAGCATTTAAATCAGTCTAAATTATGGGCCTCGTACGGCACATACTACTTGTTTTCTTATTAGGAGTTTTTCGCAGTTTGCATTCGGCTCCTGGTGTACTGGTTGCTTTATCAGTCGCAACGAGGACCACCCAGAGGTGGCACTGGCTGTTGCACCCTAGGTGTACTAGTAAAGTAACGCAGAGCTGAGCACAAGTGATTTACATTTTATTTTCCAACGTTTGTTTGGGTTCGTGCCAGAGAAGTGTTCTGCCTACGAAGCATCACGGTGGAATTTGCCTTCGGTCTAATTTCTCATTTGGGTGAAAATTTGTACTTATTGAACCTAGATTGTGCGGCATCTGAAACGTTTCAGTTTTCTAAACTTCCGGAAAGTTTAAATCTCGTTCTGTATTTGTTACAATCAAGTTGATTCGATAATTTGCTCATAACCACGGTGCGTACGAGAGCGGAAACTGCTGTTTGCCTGTACATTGTAAAATATTTCTTTTTGTGTAAATTTTTAGTTTATAATTTTTATTTTCCCGATATAGCGCTAAGGTTATATTGCGATTTTGCTTATCTGATTTGTTTTTGATCTTTAAAAGATCTACGGTTGTGTACGTTAGTTTACCTGCGCTGTCCTTTGAAGGTGGAAAATGATGGATTTTGCGACGATTCAAGGATACTCGGACAGTGAGCTGTACAATCAGCTGAAGAAGCATGGCTTGGACAGACCTGTTAATGGTAAAATATAAGTAATTAATTAAGTACTGTACTTCATAAATATTGTAGGTATGTTAGGAAAAGAATTAATTATTGCGGTTTTCTTTTTTAATTTCAAGTTGCCGATTGGGATGCAAAACTTTTATTTTAGTTCTATTTAATTAATTTTTATAATAAATTTAGCTTTAACTAAATTTGATGTTTTGCTGCAAAACTAACAGGCAATACCAGGAAAATATTGGAAAAGAAGCTAGCCAGCATATTAGGAGTGCCGACGCAAGGCAGCTCACCCGGCAGCGAGGAATACGAAGAAGTCTACGATGAGCCAGAAGGAGATGCCACATTTGACGAGAGTTTTTCCGGGTAAGTCTTTACAGCGTTTTCATATGTGAGAATTCATCGGACAATACCGGTATTTAAAAAAAATTTTTGGTGATTAATTCCGTAATGTAATGCTAAGCGAGCACAATGCAGATGTGTAATTTGAGAAGGTTGTTTTTCTTACTTGATATTTATCAAATAAACGCGCTGCTTGTGCGGCAATTCCGACGCGGCTATCGGTATTTTCTGTCAGTTTTTCCAGATTGAGCGTTCTTAAGCTCGTTTAGTGGTGGCTTTCGTTATTAAAAAATTATGTCTGGGGAAACTATTTTGTGAACGAGTAACGTAATTTTAAATTGGTTTTACATGTCTCTGATAATTCAAAAAATGATACGAGGATAATATTGTATCGTTTTAGGGTTTTGGTTGATTTGTCTGAAATTCTGAATACTTGATCGGTTTTATTTTGGTTAGCTCGCTTGATGTACAGGGTTGGTGAGATCACAGTTAATACGGGTATGGAAAAAATGAAATCACATACGTTTGAAAAGAAGTCCTAATCAGCTTGTTGCATTACGCAGTATTAGAGAAGCAGTAGAAATCGAACCTTTAAATTTGTCAGGGATTGTTTTATCAAATTTTGGACACCGAAGGATGGTATGTTGATCTGTTGTAAACTGACAGCACACTATTTTCTACAGCGGTAATGGTGACTCGATCCGCCGCCGTGGTCGTCAAGGCCACGATACCTTCGGCAATTCGTTCTACGTGGAGGAACTGGACGCCCGCCCCACGGAGATTCTGCGTGCACGCCGTGCCTCCGAGGTAGAACACATGGCGGAGGAGCTGGCCAAGTTGGAGAAGAAATGCGAGAAAATCGGCGGCGGTCCCGGCGCGGCCAAAGGCACGGGTAAGGGCCTCATCGTCCTGGCCATTCTCATCGCCATCGGGATCTTCTTCGTGATCACCTACATCACCGGACAGGAGAACGCCGACGAGATCATCATCGGCAAAGTGCCGCATGTCCAGGTGAACACCAACACCGGCGAGGCCAAGATCCCCCATAATAAAGGGCCCGGTATCCCCGGCGAGGATCCGCCCGTGTAGATTGGATGCGCAATTGTTTGGCTCTGAAGGTTTCCTTGATTCCTCTGTGTCCTAGCAGATTGTTTTACCTGGGTTTCTCGTGGGTTATTTTGATGGTTGGGCGCCATTTTCACGTTTATGGTTGATTTTTAGCGGTAGTGTAGTCCTTTCGTTTCATTTGGGATTTGTTAGCTGTTTCATTGCTTACTTATGTTTTTCGCAATAAACCCGATAGAATTCAGTATTGAATTTTGCCGTTTCCGCTATGTGGCTATGTGTTGGTTTCCATTAAAAGCTCGGCAAGGGTTGAGTCTTTTTCTTCCACAAAAATAACAGAAGGATAAACCAAACCATAAAGGCGGCTAAAAATTTGGGTTTCGTCTTTGCTCAACTCAGACAGTAACTGATTAACTACTGTAAAAATTCTCCATAAAATTTTAAGGACATCACAACGAAACTGCAAGCATACAGCCATAATCTCCAGCAAAACCAATAAACTGAAATATGGAATGCTTGTTTTTAAGAATCTTTGGCCAGCGCTTCGGGAATAGGCAGCACAAAACCGGGTTTTGGCGGAACACCTTGACGCGGTTTACCCAGTGCACCCGATATTATGGCAATGGCGGCCTCCATAGTCTTGGCTCGCTGATACGGCGTGCCCAGTTCGGGATTCACTTCCACCAGGTCCATCGCGCTTAGTTGACCTAAGGAAAACATTTGGTTACAACCCAAACCGGCCGGAAAAAAAATCACAGCTCTGCTAAATGTGAAATAATGTCAAATTTCTGTTTCGCCAAACGGCACGATTTATTCACGGACGTACTGTAACACCATACCTGGGCAACATAGATATTTTCTTGCTGCACACTGTGCACAGTGATGCACTACACTACGACTTAGCACTGCACTACACTGCGACTTAGATTTAAAGTAAAATGTTCAGGGCAATATAGAATACACGAAATTTTTAATATAAACTGAGCGGTGCAATGAAAAGCCCTTTATAGCGCCCTTATCTTCAAAACGTGCTACGTACTCGTACAACCTCAATGTGCAAATTATGCTGCGATACGAATTAAAGGTTCCCGGCGAGGGAATTTTTCTCTGTAAGAATGCATCGGGACTTCCGATAATATGCCATAACTCTGTGCAGCTGCATTTTTAAGTGTGGGGGTTTCAAAATTACCGCTTTGATGTACGTGCTCCACAATCTGCAGCCCTTCGCGTAAAGTTAATCCTCCCATAACCGGTGTACCGGTGCTGGCCGCCTCATTTGGATCCAGGGCATCGATATCGTAGCTTAGGTGTAACGGTAAATCACCTCTGCAAAGACAACACTAAAATGATTGGCCAACGTTGATGGATCCGAAATGTCGGTGTTTTTGCAACTGGTAAAAATACGTGGAAGAAAACTGATGACGTATAATAAATTTTATTGCGCTATTTTACTGGCAAAATCCGGTAGCTGAATAGTTTATTAATTTTATGAACGCATCTATCTGCCCAGTGACTACGATATTCCACTATAAGATAAGTACTTATTCATATTCATTAAACTGCACTCGCTAATGCATCGAATATTAGCGAACGCTTCGAGTATGTTAGAGCACAGAGTACTAACAGAATTTAAAAGATTATTACTGTCAGTAATTACTTGATTATTTTATAATGTATTATTATATATACAGAAATAAGTAGAATAATATTTTGTGATCCTATAATTCCATTCATTATGGCGCACCGTGGATTAATGGCATGCAACGCTCGTTCAACGCACTGTTGTACACCCAATTTGTCGACATCCCGCATATGGAAATAGGTGACATTCAACTTTTCTAGCAGGTAACTAGACCGGAAAGAAAAGTGCAATGGAGAGAACACCGGCATTAAAGGGAAACGGAAGTGCGGACGATTTGGCTTACTATTCATCTGGGTCCAGAGCACGAAGGCCAATGTATGCGATGCGATCAGCTGTTAAACTGCAAAGTAGCGAATGCCCGTTAACCAACAATATGAGCTTGCAGCAATATATCAACAACTCAACATAATGTACGTTTTGACGATATTAATAGTTGTCAATAACAAACTACAGTGTTAAAACGGTAACACAATTCGTATTATTCAGAAACGGATGGATATACTGTAAATGTGGTTGCGAGGTATTTGCAAACACAAGAATTAACCAACCATCGACATCTACAATGCATGGTATTAAAAAGATCCAAATTGATTAATTTTAAAGCATAATTATTTTTATAATAAATTTAAATGATAATTATTTTAGCGGTGTTGAATTGTGGAACTGTATTTAAGAATTCGAGTAGTACGAAAGTTATTCAACAAAAGATCTCAAAAGAACCCGAAAATATTCAGCTTCTAATTATAAAATTTGAAGTGCAGTTTCGGCGTTGCTTGATTCTCAGACATTATGAGTTTGCCACTACTCTACGAATTCAGCACATTTCAGTACGTGCGGTGTTCGGAACTACAGAATACTACCGTATGCTGCGGACTTTTATTGGCATGTCTTTAGCGCCCTGGAAAAACTTCATAGACACAAAAATTTCAAAAACAGAAAATGCGTATTACGGATAATTATTACTGCAAGTAATTTTGTTTCACGGCATGGCATAATTACGTGATACAAGCATTTAGGCGTAACCGTTATCGTTGGTAGAGTTGAACCTGGCATATAAATGTACTTTATTACGTTAACTATAGTACTGTAGTACATACTACATACCATGGTCGGACCCATTCCATGCCGGGCATACCGTGGGGAATGCAGTTCATGGTCTCGTGCAGCAGGAAGGAAACGGGACATCCGTGCAGATTACCAGTATAGGTGGTCAGCGGAGTGTTAATATCGGCGTGCGCGTCCACCCACAACACGCAGATAGGAGATGTGGTGCCGACGTGCTGCTTCCGTACATCCCGGATGGCCTGGGCGTGGCCCAAGATACTACCGATGGCTGTCGCGTGGTCCCCTCCCAACATTACCGGAACGCCTTGGTCTTTGATTATCATGTCCATTTTTCCGGCAATCTGCATTTAATGACCAGAAACAGGGTGTTGCGCTCAACTTTAATCAACGGTAGCGCTTTACACAAGTTCAAACATTCATGCACAAACTGACAAATATATTAAAAATCGTACAACGAGGATGCAGAAATTGTAATGTTTCTTAGCTGGAGCTATTGTCGCGCTTTGGTCGTAGGAATGAGTTATCATTCTACCACAGCAATATCAAGATGTGACAATGCGGCGATGCTTGCTAAAATAAAGGCGAACGCTCTCAGTCAAGACTGCCAAAATTTCTGAGTAAGTACCAAAATTTCAGCAACTAATAGGAGCCAAAATGTTTGCATAAGCTTTATAATTCAAATGGCAGAGAGAAAACACTATAAAAATAGAAAAATTCAGAAGTGACTGTTTATTTTTACATCTGAAGTAATTTTATATTTTGATTGTAAAATTTGTGTTTGACTTTTAGATGTTTTCGGTACTCGTAGATAATCTTTATACACAATTCAGTGCACCTCCTGGACTGGGTTACGTAAGGTGATAGCGTACAAGCACGTCGCACGAACTAATAATATTATTGGCAGTCAATATTTATAAAAATATTGCTATACATATTGAAAAAGTATGCCATTCTTGTTACAAATCATCTGGAAACCAGCAAGTTAGTTTTACACACCATTTTGCATCCGTTGCCGACGGTGCGGCAGTATTTGACTTTCTTCCACGGATCATCCGACGCCACCGCTTCAATCGCCACATCACCGTAATCCTTGGCGGTTATTCCACAGTCACTCAGCTGCTGGAACAAGCCGGCTTCACGGATAGCGTTAGGTCCATCGCGTACTCCTTCCTTGCCCTGTCGGCACATTTATTGCCCGATTATAAAAACAATAATAATATAAAAAAATAATACAATCTGCTGATTAACCAAAAAAAAGCTCTGTACTAATACTGAATTAAACAATTAAATTTAAACGTTGCGATTTTCCGATTGCACAGGTCAGTCCGCAATTAAAGGCCTACGGTATGCATCCTGACAGGCTGACAGCCACAGTACTACAATATGATATTAGTCCCATATTACTCGGACGCATACGTAAACAAATCGCTATAAATTATGTGTACATTAAAACCGTACAGTAAGTAATTTGGAACCGCGGGTGTTCAATGTACTCAGGTTTTACTGTATAAGTAATAATATTATGTTGTCACATACACATGTACTTTGTACTTATGTACGGACTCCTTTATGCACTACAGCCGCTCTGCGACGACAGTCCATTGACAATTTTGCGAATGTCAATAATCAAAACGTATAAAAATTGTTGCGTTAGAGTTTAATTTAATTGAATCATTTGAATGTATGGGCATGTTTCAGCAGGTTGAATCATATGAATAACGGTGTCCTTAAACTTCGGCAATGATCAAATTAAATTCGCATGCTAATTCTGACTGAAGCCATTGCAGAAGGAACTGCACAAGTACCTGTCCCCGATTCATCAAAGCCCCGAATATTCCAGCAAACTTCGGATTCGTGTACTCCGATCGCAGTCCATGTATTCCGCGCTTAGAAATATGGAAGATTGTCCGCAGTCCAGCAGCCATGTTACTGTTCGGTTGTGAATTAAGTGAGAATGGTATAATCGATAGATTATGCAAGCAACGTTTGCGGCGGACTATCCAGTCACTACTTAACTAAACGCAGAACTTTGTGAAAATTAATTCCACGTTAATTTTGTACTGCACACATAAGTATGGCACTGATAACTTCGGTACACTGCGCAATTTGAAGAATTCGCCCAAACAGCTGATTACGGCAGATAGACGGAAACACCAGCCTTTTATCAGATAAAAGCCTGTGCCCGCTGCGTGACGTCACCATTGAATGTGGCTTTGATATCGCTTAACACTGTGCTAGCGGCAACATTCACAATGATTACACAAATGAAATCAGATTTTCATTTTTGGGACACATTCTTTGTCAGATATGATAACTTTTGTATACGGAATGACGGAATAAAATATGAATAACAATCAATAAGTCAACACAGCAGACATTCCGTGACGCTGCATTTATTTATAGATTGTAGTCACTGCTTTCATTTGCTTGCGCTATATTATAACATTTAACACAAGCCAACACCGTGCATAAAACATTCAACCAAAAACGTCTCGAATTCCAAAAAACGTATTATCTACGATGCAACAAATATTTATAAATATGTGTCAAACAATAAATATTCCACATACATGGGATGTGTTAAAGTAAGCCTAATCTGGAATAATAGATTATCTGATCGCAAAAAATAATGGTGCAAAATTAGCAAAGCGCTACAGAAAGTTCAGCGCGCTACAACATTATCACATTATCGCTCCGCTGCTTAATTTCGTCTGATCTTTAATCATCGGTGAAATCCTCGACACGCTTGGATTTGACACTGGTTTGACGTAATAAGAGGTCTTCCACAGTTTCCGGCATGGGATGACCTTTCGTTTCCGGTAACAAGTAGGAGATGAGTGCGGCAGCGCCAGCCATAACCCCGCACGTTATCATTGGCAAATAATCGGTGGTATAGTTTCCCTAAAAGTTAATAACACACGCTTGTTGTGTCGAATAAACTGGTTAGGAATTAAATAATTGTAGTCTTTCAAATCTGCAGTTGCTTAAACGCTTTTCAATGACAATTGGTTGCAAATTGACTATCCAAAGCTGCTTTATCAAAATAAGTCTTTTTCTGGGTAATAATTGCCAGAAAATAAACAAACTCACAGCGTTAGAATTATTGAGCGGTGTGTTTCTTTTGGAACAGTTGCATCAGTGTAAAGAATCTATGGTCATTGTGAGGTGGTTAGATGTTTACGTTTTCCGAGTTACTGCAAAAATGTCAGTATCGTAGTGCAATGCATATAACTGTGTATTATAAAGAAAGAGTCCACAATAATTGTGAAGTAAAGAATAATTGCATATTTGTGTGTTAAAAAGTAAGCGCGCATACTTATTTACCGCGGCCGGTCGACGTCCATACTTAACGTTTTAATCTGCACTTGTTTAAAGGTGTTTCATACCGGTGAAATGTAATTTTATTAATTTTAGTAGCAAACAATTAATCAACGTATATTTAAGTGGCGCTTTTCTCTTTGAGTGATGGCTGGCTGCGCGGGATTTCGGCTACTGATTACAAGCGATCATTTCTGAGCTACGCCTGTGATGTTACAGTTACTCGCTAGTACGAGTACCAAAACTTTTTCGGATACGGAAAGACAGAAAATTTTTCGTTGACAAGCACTTACTAGTAACAGTAACTGGGGCGCCAGGACACCCCCCAGTCGCATACCGATGCCGCACACGCCCAGTCCATTATTGCGCACCACAGTGGGGAACAATTCCGACGCATAGGGGATCATCATGTTGAACATCCCATGCGACACCGCCCGGGCGATCTGAGCGAACACCGTCTTAGCGATCATGGCGGCGTGCGAGTGCAGCGGGATGGAGGCGGCGATCAGGCACAGCACACCGGAAAGACCGGATGTGTAAATCAATGGCACACGGCATCCATATCTGCAGATAACGTTGTTTTCACACGTTAGAATTCTGGATCAAGTCAGGCATGTTTTTTGCACTGATATGTACAAAAGATAGGAAGTATTTCTGAAGTATATTGACCATGATGGCCATCATATTTTCATTACAAACGTGACATATTAGTCTAGTCTGCCACGATAACCGGAAGGCACAATTAACAGCAACTAACAAATTGCGAACTTATGTAGAAAAGTGGCGCTGTAGTGTTTTTCTACAGAATGTCGAAATTGTAACACTGTTTTCTGTTATACTGAAAAGTTTGAAAACTTCAAAACTGAAGGCTGAGCAGCCTGCTGACCATGCTAAGTAGTAATTATTATAAGCCTTAGCTGTAATTATTTTTTGCTATTATATATACTTCAGGGTCTTCTAATAAACGTCATATTTATACACAACAGAAACAATGTTAAATGACATCGAGTACACAGCTGCTGACAAAACACCTGTTCATTATTAGCAGCACCCACGTACTTGGACACCAGCAGCATTGTTATCAGCGTTATGGGAACGTCCACCAACCCGCCAATGGCCAGGTTCCAGTATTTACTCCCAAACCAATCGGACAATGAAAACGATATGGCATAGTAGCAAATTGCGCCGGTAAACCTGTACGATAACATAGTTATTAGCTATTGCAATACTAACGCAAATCAATACGTACAAAATTTTGCAGTGTCGAGCATACATTGTACTAACCTTACCAGATAAAGGTCATACACAAGCAACGCTTCCGGAGTTGCGCGCTGGTGAAGAGATTCCACATGGAATGCGACGCTTTGTCGTCAATTTCCTCATCTTTCTGGTGCCACATAACCAAATAACTCATACAATCGCTAATTCGTTTCGTTAGCTGCACTCCATTAAACCGCATGATTTTGTGGACAATGTTGCTGGCATGCTCGAAGCGGTAGTTGATGTACAGCCATCGGAGAGATTCATGCACGAGGCTAAATGAAAGCAAATATAATAATCTGAAGATGTTCAGTTATAATAAAATAAGAAAAACTACTATTCACATTTTCGATAAGAAAAAATACTATTCACAAATGCAGATAAAATGTTTGTATGAACTTCCTTAAAGAATCTACCACTTTCTAGTTCCACTATCTATGCCTTCTTTCTCGGTGCTCTTTATATGATTAGTAAGACGATTTCGTAATTGATGGTGAAGTTAAATGCTGGTAACATTGCCAAAACTGTAATCAAACAATTTGGTACAAACGATAAGCAGCTGTAAACCAAAAACGACGGAAACCACAATTGTTTCTTAGCGAAGGAAGTGGTCTTCAATGTGAGATTTACAATCTTGTATGGCGCTCCTTTTGCTAGCCACTACTCTACAATTCTGCACATTGTCGGCTAACGTGTTCTGCCTTGCACTTTGCACTCGTATATACGCACAAAATGTATGCGACGGCAATGAGGACGGTGAGAACGACGAAAAGCTGTAAGTATCTCCAATTCGGGATTAAATATGCAAAACCGGCCAGGAGAACGATCCCGATAGCGAAAACAAACTGTGACGCCACGCCGGCCGACTCGCGGTAGTCTCGTGGAAAAGACTCCATCATCAGTGTAAAGGCGCTCATGGATCCGCCCTGCGGTTATGCATGCAGGCTTAATAAAGTAAACAGTTAGTAAAAACTCACAAGGACTGCACTTTTCACAACTCCAAACAGCACATGTACAAGAATTTATTTTACGCTGAATTGTATAAGAAATTTCTGCAGTAAGTTTTCGAAAAGGTTGCTCATGTGTGTTATTCTTTTATGTTAGAGTTCATTGTTTCCGGTCGCTGAAAAATAAAATCAAAATTCGATGAAAAAATTACGCATTACATGTAATGAATTTTGTAAAATTAACTTTTATCCAGTGCTTTGAAATCAAAACACATTTTCAGAAGAGCTTTCGCTTAAGCCAGTAAATTGTCGCATCTTACTTGTAAACATATTCCCAGGATTGTGCGGGATATTGCAAACAATATTAAATGCGGTGCAAATGCAGCGGCTATCCCGGCAGCTAAGCCCATTGTGGATGCGGCAATAATTGAGCGTTTCCGGCCAAATTTATCGGCAAGGATGCCAAAGACTGCTCCGCCCACCATCGAGCCTACAGAATTCAACCACTACTGATAGAAAATCAAAGATAAGTGTTCAATTCGTAAATACAACACACTGATAAGAACGGAAATTCACACTTAATTAACCACGCAATATAAACATTTTAAATACTGTCTTCAGTAATTTGACGACTCTTATTTGCAGAAGTGTAGTGTAAACCTGGGACCTCAAATGTACATTTCATGCAATATGAAATTAGTGAATCGGACGCTTATTTATGTGGAAAATGATTAGTTTTAAAACAGTAACCATCGAAGAGGCTCCAGCACCTTTCATATGTTTTATATTCAACAAACAATTAAAAATGCAGAATATATGTACTAATAACTGTGGCATGCGCGGATCCCGAAAACTGAAATCAGTTTACAAACAGCGCGGGCACAGTGATGACCTGCAGCGCAATACGTGGCAATATAAAGCAATTTTCTATTTTGCAAATTTTTGCTGATATGTATGTCACGTAAAGCTTACCGGCAAAATACATGGTGTTGCATAAACTGACCAACCAGTAATCCTCGCAGATCAAGTCAAACTGGAAATAAAAAATTATAATAATAACATATTTATTCTGTATTGCTCTCGTTAAAAAAACAATCCCTGTTAATTCTTTTATACACTGTTTCTCACAAAATCGTTTTGAAGTTTGCGTACAATAAACTTTATTAGCACAAAAAATCGGATCCCGTACATTTCATGATTAAATACGAGTACCATCACCGGTCAAACTGCTATATAAACAACTCGTATCTATAATTAGCATGTCGGTATTTTAGAATCAAGACGTTACCTCGCCGACTATAGACGACTCGCCTTCATTTCCGTGCATATATCGCTTCCCTTCGCAATTAACCGAACACCACAGAGAATTATTTCCGTACGTATCATTCCCCGCCATAACCGAAGTCGAATCCACTTCCGGCCGCTTTTTTGTACATGTCCGAATATCGTAGTCTTTAAAGGAGATTTCGCCGGCACAGCCCTCTCGTAACGAAAAATTCGACGCCGGGCAATATATTCCTGTTGGTTTATCCCCAAGAAAAATCATAGCGAGATTATTAAATGACAGTGGAATGTACTGGAATGTCAGGAGGAAGAAGATCATAATCTGATAACGGCCCGGCTGGCCTAACTGACTTAGCAAAGTATCCACACTCTGCCGAGTCATGGTCGTAAAACTTACAAAAATAGCTAATGCAGAAAATTACTATTAATTAAAAACTGAATTACCGGCGCAGAATCGCATAGCGCGTTAGCTGGGCTTTTCCGGCTTCTGCCAGGGCGCTCGCTCGAGATTACTGCCACTAATTTTCCGGGTATACTGCGTTCGCCATGTGGTTGATAGTGGGGACATACAATTGTATATGCAATATTAAGTATGCACGTAGGAGCGGAAGATAAATGGGTATGAGCAAAGTCCACACCTTTATTGTGGCACATGTGTACCTGTGTGTAAACGCTGATAAAGAGCGATTATTCATCCATAGTGTTACGCTTTAGTGGATACTGCTAAGGCCGCGAGCGATAACACTAGCGTTATTAATACCATAAAAAATTACAAGCATTAATAGTATTGCATCAGGGTGTGTTAACAGAAATCTTGCAGTACGTTCTAAATATCTCCTGGACTTAGATACGCGTTTTGGGTCGGCATTCAGCCCACTCTGCCTTTTTTGGCATTATGCTAACAGCAACAATTTGCATAATTTTTACAGAACCAACTAATTGTAAGGAGTCAGCAATACTTTAAATGTAAAGCCACTGCCTAAATGAATGTGTGAAAATCGTTAATTTTGAAGTTAAAATAACCAATTAACGTTAACCATTTATTCAAAAATTTAACAACTTATTCTTTCGCTTCGCATACATGACTTTAGAGATATTCCATCAACATGAATTACGAAACACAAAAAACAATTTTCGAAATAACATTATTTTGAAGCAAACTACAAGGTTAATGTTTGACATACAAATTACATATAGTGTGGTCAGCAATGCACGTAATTTAGTTTCAGGTTGAGGCTTACAAAATACGTAAAAGCTTTAATATGTACTCCATCACATAAAATGAAACACAGGCTCTGTAAAACGCGAATGTTGGCTGGTACTGGATACCATTTGAAAAAAACCAATAAACAAATATATTAAGAAATACATAAACGAAAACCAAGTAAAACAATTTCGGAAGATAAATAAAATTAAAATAAACTTTTCAAAAAATTCAAACAGAATTGAGCAACATTTTGAATATTAAGCAAAGCATTCACTGAAATTTATCAAACTTTCCCCTTCAAACTATCTTTTTCCGTTTCTCCACCATGTCACATACACGCCAGAACTGGGTCTGGGAGTATTTTAGCTGGGCATCCGCTTCCGCGGCGATGTGCTCCTTGGCAGCGGCATCCGTCAGCCCCGATAAATTGATGTGGATATTCCACACTGCTCCTGCTACCGCCGTCTCGATACTCTTGGCGCCCACTTGCAGATCGGAAATGGCGGTGATGTTGGCCAGGGCGGCCAATTCTTCCATTGCGCGCCAGACGGAATTGGCCGCTTTCGCCGTCTCCATCGGGACATTGATGGCCTCCATGGTGGCGCGCTGGATGGCTTGTTCTTTGGCGGTCTTTTCTTCAGGCGAAGTCGCCGGCAAGCGGTTAGCTTCCTGTAATAAAAGCGCTTGTCTTCTTGTTTGTAAGACTAACTGTATCATGTGTTACTTTTCGACGATCGAATCTGTCATTTAAAGTTCTCAGACGAACCAGCCGGCGGAACTAGCAGTCTGTATAAATATGTCTTTGAATTCTTCAAAATCCAAAGAGGAAGAAAAAACTAAAAATTTTCCGAAACGTCTGCTACAGCAGCGCATCACCGTATACAAGCGGAGCGACCATATCAGCCATTAATAACACAAACAACTACGACAACCCGGAACCCACTAATCTGCAAATCACTCCACCAAGACCTTTCAATAGCCAGGCTGGAAACTAACAACTACTCCAGAATAACAACACGTGCGAGCTTGGTGTCACTGCCTTATGGTGAAAAAATTAAACTCCAAGAAACAATTATTAGCTTATTAGTACAAATCGCCTCGCACATTAAACGCAATAGTTTCTGCAACAAAATGCTCATTTCTCTGTTTCTATGACCCTACACATGCCTTATTCCACAGGCTTACATGTGGTATTCTCGGCAATCAGCTGTTCCACTGTATTACAATTAGCACGACGGAGAAACCGTAAACAAAAGTTTTGTGCGGATAATTAAGATTTTCTTATAAAGAAAATGGAAGGCACGTACTAGAATGGAGTTGAAGGCTTTCGTATCTTGATCAACGAGCAACAGCAGTCGATTCATGGCAACGTGGAAGACCGGCGTTAAACGCCGCATATCGGTTTCCATCGCTTCGAATTTCTTGTTGCCGTGGGTCAGCAGGCCCACCATGCGACATAATCCAGCACCCTAACATCCCCAAAACTCTGTTAACTTACAAGGATTAATATTTACTAGAAGCAGCAAAGCGCTCTGTTTAATCCTTCCGAAACTAGAAGAAAATCATCAGGTGTTGTCACTGTTGACACCAATATGGTGTGCTAATATGGCGCGTAAATTCGTTTGTAATTTATATTTGGAAAGAAAAAGGAACGGCGTTAGCAGTTCCAAGATCAGGACCGAAAACCAAACCGCTTACCATGCTTCCTATGAGTGCAGCTACCGATCCACCTCCCGGCGCCGGCTTCCGAGCAGCCACCTCGTTTACGAATTCTTTAACGGTCAAATACAGCAGAGGACTCTCGTTCTTGGAATTATCAACCGCGTATTCGATAATTCTGGTCTTATAGTCGAAACGACTCAGCGTGTTCAATCCAAGACGATTTACGGCCTGTAACACAAGCAAATCATAAGTAATTATTTGACACTTGACAGTATTTACGCAGAATATCTGACGCTTTATTGTACATAAGAAATTGTCAATAACAAACTGTTTCACAAGAAGTAGTGCAGTGGCCTGGCTAGTTGCACTCGCGTCAAAAAATCAAAAAAACTTAGTAATGCTGCTTAAATGGCAGCGCAGTAGCGCAGTTTAACCCTTAAGTTTTTATCCCGATCAGCTGTACCGAAAGGTTTGCGGCTTTTGCACTAATCATTCTGATCGTATTCGAAACCTTTGTCTAAATGGAACTTCCAATTAAATGGAAGGAAGGTACTGTTAAAAATAAAAAAAGCACCCCCTACCAGCTGAACTTTCTGCTCTTCCTCCAGCACAAACAAATTTTCCTTTTCGATAAAGTAATCAGCCGCCTGAAGAATTGGTTTCAAGGGTATTAATCCCACCAATTCCGAGCCAATGACGGGCAGTTTCAGTTCCCCGGCATCGTGGAGCGCCGCTTCATACACCTCATGCAGCGTGGTGACATCCAGATCCGTCAGGTTGGTGGAGATCTGCGCAATCTTTCCCTCTTCATACCACCAACCCAGTCCCTGGACGCTCTTTAGCCGACCGGGCTCTTTGGGACCGCGACCCTGCTCACGGATATTCAAAGCGATACGATGGGCTTGCTCTTTTGTTGATAGAAGATTGATGTTGTAAGCGGCGAGAAATTTGCGGGCGCCGGCAATGGTTGCGCCCCACCGGGGAACGAAGGTGGTCGGGCCAAAATCGGGTGTCCATTCGGGCTTCTTCAGCTAAAAAAATATAACTGAAAGCATTTTCCTCAAAGATCGTGATTATAAAATAATAAAAAAACGTGCGAATTAAGTTTTGTAAACAACAAAAACTATTCCGTGCACACATATATATTTTAAGCAATCGTCCTAACAGCAGGAGCATCGATCAGAAATGCATATCGGCATGTTTTGGAAGTCCATTACTCTACGATCCTCAGTAAGTAAACGTACAGTACTAGTAAACAGGCGCACAATGAAAATCAATAAGTACTTTGTAGAATGAAATCTTATTACTGTACACCGTATTGTTTAAATACCATCTCTCAAATTCCACTCAATATTTCACTCAATATTCTTTTTGACAGTTATAACATGTACAGTACACCTCAAAATTATATTCTCAAAAAATTAATACGTAATTTAGTTTCTCAGAAAGCTATTTGGTTTTCGTACCTTTTCTGCCAATCCTTCATACTCACCAGCCCGAATCTGTGGCACTTGTTTTCGGTAATCGCGATCGGAAGCAAAACCATACATATATACTAAAAAAAAACAGGAATATTAAACTGATGTAATATTGGTCAAAACGAAACATTACATATGTACCGTGATACCAAAAGGATGAACCGCTAAGCTGCTCAAAATCAAAATCAACAAAATCATTGAAATCGAAAAGGGGAAATTAAAATTAATTAATTAACAAAAACTCGGTGTCGATTGTCGAAGTATTCGACAATTACCAACCTGGAACGTTCAGATCTTCACCCAGCCGTTTCGCGAACCGATTAGCACACTCCACACAGTCCTCCATCGTGCTGTTGGCCACGGGAATGAACGGACAGACATCCAGCGCACCCAGCCGCGGATGCTCCCCGGAATGCTTGGTCATATCAATCAGCGTGTAGGCCACTTTCGCCGCGGCCAGTGCGGCTTCCACCACATTCTCCGCATTCCCGACGAACGTGTACACCGTGCGATTCGTCGATTTGCCCGGATCCACGTCCAGCAACGACACACCGGGCACGCTGCGCACCGCCTTACTGATGGCTTCAATCACCTGCAATGCAATGTATCACGCGGAGAACAGGAATGGTGGCGCAGAACGGGCTTACATCGGGACGACGACCTTCGGAGAAGTTTGGTACACACTCGATGATCTGCGCCATTTTACGCTGTATGTCGAGCAGTAAGGGGCGTGTGACGATGGTGCGGAGTGGAATGTATGCGGTGGGCTGCGTAAAAATGGTGGATAAGGTGTGGAGCGATAGCAGCATTATCGCACAGAACGATCTGATCGTTCCGTTTCCAAATCAAACGACATGATCGGAAAAATAAATTCGCGGTTTCAAATTTATCGCAGTTCACAACTACAACGCACAGTCTGCGATCACAGCTGGTCCAGGCAAGCGTTTTAGATGTACTGCCTCACTGAGGCGACTGGCCTTGCGTTATCTTCAGATTGAGCCACCCGGCAGCGGTTGCCTGCTGGTGTAGCTTCCTGCTCCGAATGGCAGTTGAACAGAAAATTTATGTTGCCATTTTGTTTGTCAGCTTTTGATAAACCGCTCTTTGAATATAAAAATATGTCAATAAGTTGAGTGTAAAAGTGACAGTTTATGCTGTATTCGTGTTAGATTTTATGTTTTTATTGTTTTATCATTTTATGTTTTTATTATGTATGGATCGTCGAATGCCAGAAGGCCTCCGCTATCTAGCGATCAAGTACAGCAGGCGAAAACCAAAGACTGGAAAGTGCGTCGCGTACTGCGATTAGTGCAGTCGCGACAGCAAGCCAATAAATTTGCGGGCTGTATGAGGGAACGATTCTGGAAGGAAACTAATCTTATCATTCAAGCGCTGGAAGCAGCCAGAGCGGAAGAATTGGAGGTCTTACAGGAGCTGAACAGGCGCCGTTTGGAAGCGGAACAGCAGAAAGTAAGCAGGCTGCACGACCTTGTCCTGGTTAGACCTTGGGAAAATTTAAAAATCACAGTATTTCCAAGGAACGGTTAAAATAATTCGTATTCTGGTGGTAAAAAAATAAGAAAGTTTTTATTAATACTTTAAAGTGATCCGAATTTTTTTAAGCTTAACATAAATAAAGTCATGAATTAGAGACAAAAAAATTAGTATCTGACAAAGCCCAAAAATTGAAGGAAATTTGTTTTCGAAAAAAAATAATTGTGCCATTGCGCCAGCTGAAATGATTTTCATGTTAATTTTCGTGCAGAGAATGTAGTTTCCAAGCGTTGTTCAGCAGCTGTCCTGTGGGTTCTATAGAGAGAAAATGAAAGATTGCAAGCGATTGAAAAGGAAGAGCGCGAAGAAACTCTAAGAGCGGATAGAAAGCGCATCGCTGAGTTTTACGATGAACGGGCCAAAGAACGTCAAGAAAAGGCACTGCAAGAGGAACGTCGACGAAGACAACTCGCACAGGAGCAGCGCAATGAAATTCCCGCACGCGTGCGAGATAATCGGCGTATGGAGGATCAGCTAGCGTTCATCCGCCGCGAGCACTATCGACAGTCCAAACTACCCGTGCAGACGGAAGAGATTCCCACCGTCACCCGTGAGGCACTGCAACCGCGCAATGGAATTCCTCAGCCGACGCCGTTCGTCATGGCAGTCTCCGGAAGTGGATTAACCTTGTCACCGGCCAGCAGCTATGCGGAGCCATCACCATCGAGATCTGCGGGATTGGTGGTGTCTCAGCGTGACGATGCGAATCTGACGGTGGAGGACGAGGATCTCAGTATGTCGATGGGATCGATTATCTCGCTGGATAAGGAAAATATGCAGCCGGTGTCCGTCAGTGAGGATTCACGAAGACCACGGGCGGAAGAGAATATCGTCGAAAAGGTTTGCAGATTTTGTTTGGTGAACTTGATAGCTTTTTTGCTTCAGGCACTTTTAATTTTCTTGCTTAAGCGAGCCACGTAATTTTTAATTCCTTCCTTTTTATTTTGAATTTCTTAATTTTTCCGTTAATTTCTACATGCTGAACATTTATCTGTTAAAGCCGAGAGTACTAGTATCTGTTGTTTCCGGGGTGCAGGCATAAGGCTGGGCTTAAAATGAATTTTAAGTTTTGGCAGACTTATTTTGAAAAAAACTGATATCTCTGATAGTACATAAACGAAATAAAACTTTATGCCGTCAAAGTTATTCATTGTTAATTTGGAGGTGCGCTTAATGTTTGACAATGTGCCATTACACTACATTACACTATTATCGTACACTATTATCGTTCGGTTTTTTCATGCAAGTAAGCAATAAATCAAGCTTGATGCCTAGCCGCCTGTCTGTACCTCGGGGATAAGTGGTGGGCTTTGTTTGTCTACAGTTTATACGCTGGATTTTACGCAGTTTACACGCATACTGGCATTTAACGATAAATAGTGAATACTAACTTATTGGCACCGCTACAACAACGCTGAGTCGCTGCCAGCATTGGCCAGAATGGCTCAGGTGCATGCCCAATGTATTATGAGTCTGTGACCAAATTATGTCATCAAATTTCTTGAAAGTTATTGCGAAAAAATTTGTGAAGAGGTTGGCTGGTGTTTGCTTTAACTAATGCATTTGCAGAGCTCCCGACAGTTATCGGTAAGCAGTGGAAGTGACTCCTTCCGGTCGACGACCTCCGACGCGCTTCTACAGATTCTTCGCTTCCCTGCATGTGAGCTTTCCCCGCCAAAAACCCGACACGACACACGATGGTCCCCGCGCAAGCTCCCTATCCATAAATCTCCCGCAGCCAGCCCACGGAAATCCATCCCCCGCGCGCAGCCTTTCGTTGCCCGCTCGCAGAAACGATCTCCTGTTTTGTCGAAACGCCGCACTCCTCCGTCATCTCCGCCCCGGTACCCCCTTCCGGAAAATGTTCAGATTAACCTGGATAACATCATGCATGCCCTGACGCTGCTTGATGACCATTTGAAGGACTTTGAGGCGAATTCCTCCGCTCTGTCCATTAGTTCCGGTCCGTTGTCGCTGGCGGACACGGGCCATCCGTCCAGCGATAGCTGGTTAAGTCAGCAGACGCTCTCGCACTCGTCCTTCCACAGCACCGGTTTAACGGCGGAGAGCGGTAGCATATTCTCTCGATTGAGCATGACACCGACTAGTTTACTGGAGGATTCGTTGTTGTCGCAGAATGGCATGTCGGTCATCAGCGACGGCCAACTGGATGACTGATACGCTGGATTTGATCTTTTTATTTGTTGTTATTGTTTTAAATTTTAATTTATAATGGAAGTTGGAACTGTCTTTAGCCAATTGTCACGCTTTACATTATGATCACCGAAGTGTATACCTACCGTGATGTAATTAGCAGCATCGCGTGAACGATTTGCAAGGTACAATATATTCTACACATAGCTTCTGATGCTGATAGATATGCAACAGCACCAGTGCTGTCAGTATTTGAAGAAAAAAACATTTGTACCCGTCCAGAAATTACATTACATGAAATAAAAAAGATCAGGATGTCATCTGCTCTATGACAAATTAATATCTACGTTTCTATTGCATACGTACGTACGTATCAAGATTCAGATCTATATTGCCACGAATGGGATACACCAGAGCCGGCAAACCAGAAAAGACTGACCAAAACCAATATTATATTCTGAAAGCCCGTAGTCGAAAACCCGGCCAGATGGTATTCATTTCTTTTAAAACCTCTCCCGCTTCGAGCGCCACAGCGGAAGAGGTTTGACTACCTTCACCAAATGTAACTAAATTATTATAATAATAATTATCATCGTGGTATTTTTAACCAGGCAATGTTGCCACGTAAACCAAATAAAATATAGTTAAAAAATGAAAGTATTTTCCACTAATTAAAATATCAGAATCAGTTTAATTAGCAGACCGTTGGGCGTTGGCGTTATTGCAACAAGAACGACTACATATCCAACGTTGTCGTCGAGGACAATTCTAAACAAGTGCCGGCCAAGCAGCGACAGACAGAACTACCGCCACTGTTCAGTGCACAAGCCCGTTAGTTGACCGAAATACCACTAAATTCTAGTTAAAATAGCCCGCTAAGCCAGTGGCCGAACTGCCACTACGGATAGCTATGTGAGCGGTTGACCGAGCTGTCATTACTGTCCGATGCCGAGTGACCGAGTGAGCGAGTGACCGAGCTGTCACTACTTTTCAGTGTAAAAAGCCCGTTAGGGAACGAGTGACCGAGTTACCACTACTGTCCAGTGCACAGAGCCCGGTAGGAGAGCGGGTGACCGCGCTGTCACTAATGTCCGGCGCCGAAAGTCCGCTAGGTCAGCGGGTGACCGGGCTACCACTGCTGTCCGGCGCAAAGAGCCCGTTCGGTGATGGAGTGCTGAGCTGCCACTACTGTGCACAGGTCCCGGAAGTTGAGCGGGTGACCGAGCTGTCACTGCTGTCCGGCGCAGAAAGCCCGGGAAGTGATCAGGTGACCGAGCTGTCACTACTGTCCAGTGTACAAAGACCGTTAGGTGAGCGCATAAGCGCCTTAATCTCTGTACCGCAGAAGCATTTAACTGTACGCAATCACCTCGTGAATGCGTACACCGTTGTTTCGGAACTGGAGATTTTAAACCTTTTGATGGTAAAGTTGTGCACATCTAAAGAAACAAAGAAAGATACACTCGAAATTGCTAGATTTTTGTATCCTTAGTAAGGTTTTATTAATCTTTTCTGCTGAAAGTACGCGAGAGAATTGTTTTTCTCTGTTTACATACACATAGATTGATGCAATTTTGTATGTGAACTAATGAAATCCATGTATTTTATGCATTGCACAGTATGTGCAGAGCATTTCATAGTGGGGCAGTGCCCCTAGTCTACAGTCACCCCTTTGGGGGGCTGGGGGTAGCTAATTTGAATTCCGTACACCCCTGAATTACGTACGAAATTTTCCGTACGGAGCTGTACGTATTTCAGAGGTTTCACTGTACAAAGCCCGTTAGGGGAGCGGGTGACCGAGCTATCACTGCTGTCCGGCGCAGAAAGCCCGGGAGGTAAGCAGGTGACCGAGCGGTCACTACTGTCCAGTGTACAAAGTCCGTTAGGTGAGCAGGTGACCGAGCTTTCACTGCTGTCCGGCGCAGAAAGCCCGGAGGTGAGCGGGTGACCGAGCTGCCAGTGGCGGCTGTCACTACTGTCCAGTGTACAAAGTCCGTTAGGTGAGCGGGTGACCGAGCTACCACTGCTGTCCGGCGCAGAAAGCCCGGGTGGTGAGCGGGTGACCGAGCTGTCATTATTGTACAGTGTACATGAGTGACCGAGCTACCACTACTGTCCGGCGAACGGAACCGGTTAGCTAAGGAAGTAATCGAGCCACCACTACTGACCGGACATACACCGCTGGGCACACACCAACTTCCAGTGAAAAGAGCCAGTGAAGTGATGAGTTACCGAACTAGTGATCTAGTGCACTATCACTGTTTCGAATTTCACACCTTATAGACTGATATTTCGGCTTTCTTTTCGGGTAGGGGATATCATAAAATTATCTGTATGTACAGCGAAAGGGAATGGTTTCAAGGTCGAGAGAATCATGAACTGATTTTCATAGAAAATTCGTTTTTGCCCTATTGCATGTACCGATCATGTTTCGACGAATACACTGATGTTAATCTAATAAATATTCATTCAAATTCAAATAAAATGGCCTTGGACCACAAGAAACGCGGAGGCGAAGCCGAGGCTGTTTCTTGTATAGATATATTATATTGGCAACAGAACTCATATTGGCTCGCAAACTACGAACAACCTGAACCGATCCCAGAGTTAGCCATCGCACTACCATATTCTCCATCGCTTCCTAGCGCGATTTATGCAGTCATCTGCAAATCGCAACGTATAAAAAATCGCTGCGGCATGCCTGCTTGCTTCAGTTGAAACAAAACCAAAGAACTCAGAACATGAACAGCAAAAATCATACTTCGCTGCTCATGTTGACACGAACCAAGAAGGTGAGTACGTTAACTGTGTCATTATGAGAGCCTATTTTGTTTTAGTATTCAGTTTTGTGATTATACGTGATACTTATTACAGGTACTTGAAAAACAGAGTACATCCAGATGAAACGCTGGTTGCCCCATTCCGCAGATGGACCGTTATCAAAACGTAATAATGGAATACAGTCTGCACCTTAAAAACGTTTAATATAATATATCTATCTGTATTTACGATCGTTAATCTGATGTTCTCTCACGCACAGCGGCCACAGCCCCGTAGGCAGATACGTACACATTCAGTGCACACTACACCGCACGATTTGGCCCATCTCGCAACACTCATTCAACGAAACATTTAATTAATATTTCAGTTTCAGACTCTTGTCTCTCATTTAAACACTATTTTAGTTTTCGACTCTTAATGACACCAGCACGTATTCCGGAAATTTCTCCACCATACTTTCTAAGCTCCGGGCGGTGCTCTTTCACCTACAACAAAGACCATGTCCAACAGTCGTTCTTAAACAAACACCAAATTTTCAGTTACTGTACAAACCTGTCCTTTCCGACTGATCAGAGCTTTGCGGTATTTCATGCGGTGTTTGACACGCGGGTTGCGGTACTCCTTCTTCCTGTACGGTGTAATTCCTTTATTCTTGGCAATTTGATAGGTCACGGCACGCTTGACATCGCCCGCATTCGGGTTTTCTTCATCCACTTCCATTTCATCATCATCCTCAGCGGACGCGGGCGTTTCCTTTACTCGTTGTGATAAAGGCTTTTCTTTCTGTAAACCCAGAAAAATTGATAACCTTTGCATCTCCACAAAGTCAGACAAAAATTCAACATAATTCTGCAAAGAACAAGGTTGCAAAGAAGATCTAAGTTAGCATCACGCATACCGTTATTGCAGGCTTTGCAGCAATATCATCCATAAACTTGACCCTTTTCTCTGTCAAAAGTGTTTTCATTGCTTTCCGCCTGAGGGATTGTAGTTTCTGTCCGTTTTTCAAGGCGGCAACGGCTCGCTTCATTTCGGCGGAATATAACTTATCCAGCGGCTCCAGTTTAATAAACAACTGTAAAATACACAAAATGAAGACGCTAATTACGAATCAACCGTTGTAGGAAAACACTTACTTTACGGAAATCCACTAACCGCCGCGTAACCGGATGATTATCCATTGAAACCCTCTTGGCTTTCAGGGACAAATAAAATGCAATATTCTGACAATACCTACACCAAAAAAAGAATAAGGAATAATTTTTTAATTATTCAAGGAAAACCAATAATCAAGGTTTCAACGAAGCATGACAAATAGTTTATTTTAATCAAATCGTACATTACAATATTTGTCTGCTGCGATGTGCAAATGCGTAATTAAGCTATAAATTGAAGTACTTATATCTGTCGCTTTACTTGTAACTGTAAGCTGCTAAGATACCAATCGCATCGTTATACAGAAAAAAATATCGCAGCGGTACTCACCCTAAAACCAACTGATATTTCGTTTTAACGTATCGCTCCGCGCGATCAGTTAAAGCGTTCTGATCAGTTTTGGTGACTGCAGAAAACAAAGGATTCCAAATTTCCGTGAGCTCCGACATCTGCAAAGTACCGCAGCCTTCAAATCAATACCATATACAATCGGGAATACGTGGCCACCTATTTTCATTCCGTATAAACACAGAACAGTTGTACGCTACGGTAATATCATCGTAAAACGTGACAGGAAAATACGATACTCCGGTAACATTGTTTTCCGTTCCCAACCTTTCGTTTTCCATCAGCGATTAGGTCCAGCAATTCTGGAGATTCTTGCTTCAATCGCTCCATCTTCTCCAATTCTGTCAGCTTGGAAATATCCAGCGCTGTGGTTTCAGTCACAACCGGCGCATCCAGCGCTTCATTTGTTGAAGGTGTTTCCAGTGGCTACGACATCCACACAAACTGATGCATGGATACCACAACAAAGAACGGAAGAAGAGATTTACCGCTAATCCGGTAAGACCAAAGTCGTCTTCGGTCAGCTCAGCCGTCATCTTGGCGCGCAGTTCACGCGCTTCGCGTTCCTCTTCCTCTGCTTCTTCGGCATCGCTACCCAGAAACTTTCCGTGGTCCTTATCGACGAAATCCGTCTGATAATACGCGGAGCGCTTGGTGCCCCAAGCGGATCGATTTGGAAGACCTGGATTCAAGAAATGTAAGCGTAACAAAACTTGGAAAGAAGGACTTAACTCACTAAGATAAGCGTCCAGATGAATGCACGAGGAACGCGTAAACACTTATTTTGACCATTAGAGTACAGTATTGTAACTGAACAATTGCTACGCTAAAGGTAAGCAGTGTACATACATACAACACACAACTATTCCGCAACAAAAAGCCACAACAAACAGAACACACCAACACAGTGATACGTAATTAACACCGACGCAGTCTTGAAATACCAAAACTCAGCAACAGCAGATAAAAAATGTGAATCCCACAAATTACAATATCTTTGGGTAAAATCTAATTAGGAGGCCGTCATTCATTAATTACTTCGAAAAAAAACGATATGTAGAATTTAGTAACAAACGTTCGCGTGAATGTTCTCCTGGATAAAAATGTGCTTGGAAGTTTCCTATTTGAAATCTGGGAATTCTACCTTCTTCTTCATCATTCTGGGCATCCTCCTCACTATCGTCTTCTTCATCTTCGGAAGATTCGCCGCCGACGGGAAGGACTTCTTCCTACAAACAAACTCAGCAGGTAAAAAATGTAAATAATTTGAAACAGCTGCAATGCAACATCTCCAGAACTGCTCACGGAAAACAATCCACAATTTCGTAGTGAGTTTTACCATCGGTGTACCCGCTGCACGTACCGGAATATGCAGTGCTTATTATTTAAATAAGTTGTGCTTATAACTCATTTCACGCACTGCGCAGTGAAATTAGTGAGAAATTATGTGAAACTAATGTTCACCGGAAATGCGATTGCAAAGTCAAAATATGATCTCATAACCGTAGTTTTGTCGAATTTACCAAACTGAGAGCCCGCATTATAATTTCATAACGTGAAAAATCCCTTTTATGAACTTCGCATAAGCTGAAGACCGGTAAACGCTATGAAGTGAAAACGTGCACAACGAAACAGAAACAATCATACCTCATTATCGGATTCGTCTTCTTCTTCAAACTGGAAACCGCTGGCCATGTTATCCTATCACAAATAAAAGAATTTAAAAACGACTATGTCTATAAACCGCAGAACAGCATAGTAGCCGAAAATAATCACGAAAACCTTGTGCTTTTGCTGATGGTGCCGATCGACATCGTCGTAAATGAAGTCTTCCGCATCGGGGTCCACAAAGCCGTCATCCTTTTCCATGACATTCTCGCCAGCTGTGACTTTCTTCGGGCCACGAGCTTTCTTCTTCGCTTCTAGTCGAAGCTCCTTTTGGCTATAACGCACAGATAATGAATAAATTAATTAAAAACGAATAAAGGTATGAAGAGTCCGAAAAAGATCATCACGACTCACTTCTTTCGCGCAAATTTTCCCATTTCTGACGGTACGCGGGGCGCTGCTTAGGGAGAATATAGCATCGAAATCAAACGCGGAGTTTTCTCAAATGGGGGTTTTATCAGTCCAGTACGCTGCCAACTTCTCAACAATCACTTATCCAAAACTACACAATCAATCACTTATTACCTATAAAAATTTAATAGAAAACAAGAAAAAACTAAGTAAACAGAAACTAACGAAATGTGACGAAGTCTTTTGCAAAGTTTGCAAAGCAAGCCATCACAATCAGCGTAGGAGGGTAACATCTAACGGGTAGCGAATACCTGGAAATATGCTAGTAACGGGGCGAAGTGTTTTAACAGGGCCCATCCATTCAAAGTTGCATACTAAATGCATTATATCTATGAACACCTTTTTTGGTGGCAGTGCTCGCGATGCCGCTTCTAGAATGAATCATAGCTTTTCACATTCCGTACCAGACAGACATCGTGCCAGTGGCGGGGAAGAGAGAAAATTTTTATTTCGTGTTTCGACAAGATTTCTCTTGTATGAACTTCCTTCTTTCGTTTTGTATTCCCTTCGGACCGCGTCCGCTCGAAATTATTTCATCTGACCGCATAAATGCGGTTTTATAATTTTTATTTCTTTTAAAATCTAATCCGGTGGAGCTTATGGTTACTGTAACTCGGTTGAAGAACTTTTTTCTTTATTGACCTGTTTTCTCAACCATGAATTCGGAAATGGATGGTCTAGCGCCGCAACCCGCTGCTCCCAAGAAATCCCGAAAACGCGGGCTCTCGACAGATTCTGAACCGCAAATTGTGCCAATCATTCCGGGCCCGACGAAACAGAAACCAAGTGGAAGTGGTATTCGCAAGGGTTCTCCTAAAAAGAAAGCCAAAAGTTCGCGCTCCGAGCATAAGCACCAACCAGAGGCTTCTTCCCATGAAAATGTTACCCAGGCGCCTGTCCCCGAAACTCCGCCGGTCGTGCCCCTGCCGCCTCTCACCTCCGAGTTCTTAGAAATTGATACCGTGTACTACGATTTAGGCTACATTGTCCGCGACGTGAACACGGCCATTCCGGAAAATCTGTGGCGGACTAAAATCTGTCGTTTCTCCTTCCTAATCTCCCCGGATGCGTCGTCCGCTAAAGATATTGAAGCTATGAATGATATGCCGTATCTTCGTCTGCTCTGCACGGCGTCGGAGGCTCCCAGCATGTTGCTGCTCCCGGACAATAATGTGGTGCGATGTATTAAGGGCCGTCTGCAGTTTAATTACAGTGGCAACGCGGTGGATGTGATCGAAGCACTGCGACACTATGTTCCTGCATATATGGCGGAGCGTCTGGGATGTGATATTGACTTGCCGCCGCTTCCTCTTAGAACTCTGAAAGGCGACTTTTTCTTAGGCAAGTGAAAACCAGATATTATTAATGTATTCACAAGCCGAGCGTCATTCACAAAAATATGTTCAAAAAAATTAGAAATATGACGATACAGTAGGTCATTGTTTCACTGTATGATATGTATCGAGTTTTTTATGTATGGAAGTACGTTACTTTGTCACGGTGAGTTTTCTGTGAAATATTTACAGTATTTTTGAATTCTTACAGAATGCGTCAGATTAATATAATTTATTATTAATTTGTTAAAGGGATCACCAGATTATGTGTTAAATGTAATTTCTTGAAAAATAAAGATATTGTTTGAGAAATTGTTTAAATCGTTTATAAAATTAATTAACTTGTAGTTGCTTTTTGACAGGTGGGGGAAGGCATCCATGGAAGAACCGTCCGCGTATGCTTTATGGTTTGACCAAATCGAAGGAGTTGTATTTTGTGGGACAATTCGATGAAAGCAGCCACCAAATGAACATCGATGTATATCTCGCCGAAGACTTTTTCAAACACGACGAGGAGTATTCCGAAGCAGCGGAAAGTCACCACGACATTATACAGACCAAACGCGTGCGATTACTCATGGAAATGGGCAAAGAAATTGTTGTCAAAGGTATTTTGACTACGCTCTAAATTTGCAGTTTTTCCATACTCGTTTGTAGACACTTTGCGCGCGTTTGGTTTTCTTTTTCTTATTAATTTTTGCTTTTTTTATTAATTGAAGCTTTGGCCGTGTGCTTCGATTATTTTGTTTTGTATTTCAATCGTAGACAATCCATTATTAGAGATGTTGTTTGTGGAAAAAGGCTACGTTCCATCGCGCGAGAATGTCCAGGCAAAGCTGCTGGGCGATCACATTAGCCCGCATGATTTGGTTAGTCTGTTCCATCACGTTCAAGCCGTTCATGCTGATCAGACGATTCTCAGCACTCCCAAACCACAGCATTCCCGGCTAAAGTTGCAAATGCACACTTATCAGCAGCGGGCTGTTTCTTGGATGATCACAAAAGAACAGACAATTATGAAGAATCTATGTAAGTGTAAAAGTATAATGTGATCCTGTGTATGTTGCTGAAATTTAGTGGTTCACTGGTCGTCAGGTTTCCCTCATCCACTTTATTTTCCGATCGAGACGTCGGATGGTTATCAATTGTATATGCATGCGTCCACGGGAAGGTTCGTATTGTTAGGATTGTAATGGTTAAGATAATGTTAATGATTTATTGGTGATACTGAAATGCACCGTTGAGTTGGTTTAGTTATGACGTACGTATGGCAACTTCTTCAGTAGTACTCATGTTTGTGTTTATTAAATCATTGTTGATTCTGAATTCTCTTTGTAGGTTAAGCGAAACCCACCCGGCAGTTCCGGCATCACTGGGTGGAATTTTGGCCGATGAAATGGGTTTGGGAAAAACGCTGGAAACGATTTCCTTGATATTGGCGAATCCCTCACCGCTTTCCAAACCAAAGAATCCACAGAGTACGATCGTGAGAAGCGATTTTTTTGGATATCCTCGCAATGTGATGGTTTAATTTCAGGCGCAGAGGTTGACGAACCAGCACTGCCTGGTGAATGGGACTGCAAATGTATCGACAGAGGCGTGCCGTTAGAGTCAATGACGGCACAGAAGATCCCTAGAATTTCCTGCAATCTTTGCGGTGTTACTCGTCATAAGACCTGCTTTGAAGATCCATATCGCCCAAAGAATGTTAAATATTTGTGCGGGAAATGCCAACGAAATCATGTAAGCGTTTAACATTTAATGTGGTTATGGAATCCGTATTTTGCAGTGGTGTGCTTCAAAATCTTGGTTTTTTTACCGGGAGTTTGCCTGGAAATGCTTTCCAATGAGTTGATGTGTCATGAATGGAAATTGCCGTTTTTTGTTGTAGCGTATTTTGTGTAAAACCACACTCGTTGTGGCGCCGGCAGCGATTATACCGCAGTGGCAGAACGAAATTGAAAAGTCTGCACGAGGCCTTACAGTGTTCCAGTACCAGGGAGTTGCGGTCACTCCTGAACTTTCTCCGTGGGAAATGGCTTCGTACGACATTGTGCTAGCCAGTTATGAGATACTCTCAAGTGAAATCCTGTATTTCCACGCCGAAGTACGGAAGGAATCGTAAGTGTTGAGAAAAAACTGATACTGATTTATAATATTTTAAGAGAAATTGTTATGGTACAAGTACATTCGTTTTGTTTACAGGTTACGCAAAGGAATTCGGCGCCGTATAGTCCGCAGTCCATTATTAGCCATCCGCTTTTGGCGATTCGTCCTGGATGAAGCGCAGATGGTGGAAAGCCAGACGTCGAACTACGCGGAAATGGCCATGAAAATTCACGCGCAATTTTACTGGGCTGTTACCGGGACGCCGATCCAGCGCGGTGTGGCGGATCTGCAAGCTCTTTTCAGTTTTATTGAATTCGCTCCCTGGTCCATCTGGAAATGCTTCAGTGAGTATGTCGCCGGGCCGTTTAAAGCCGATATCCGGGAACCCCTACAGGATCTCCTGGGCGAGTGTATGTGGCGGTTGGAGAAAAGCAGCGTGGAGAATGAAATGGATCTGCCGCCGTGCACTGTGCAGTTGCATAAGCTGACCTTCTCCGGTATTGAAATGCAGTTGTACCAGCAAGTCTACCGGGACTGCATTAAAATGGTGACGACGAAGCTGCGTCAAGGACGTTACCGGAATAAAGATATCTATGACAAGAAAGTCAGTGAATTGGACTGGGATCTGGTGAAGACGCTGCGCACGTGGATGGGACACTTGGAGAAATTGTGCACATCACCAACCAGAGTGAAGTACTTCTTCCGAGAAACTAAAAAGAAAAAGGACGAAGAAAAAAATCCAGAGGATGAGTAAGTTGACAGTAATTCATCTTCGGTTGTTGTGCGGATTTTAATCAGATTACTTTCGCTTCACGGGTGTTTTTCGTTTAGGAACGATTCATTGAAACGGATGGTTAAAACGCTGCTTGAGAAAGCGAAATTGGAGTTTACGACGACGTTACGTACTTGTATTTTGGCTTGCGATGGTAGGTTATCTATGTATATTTCCCGCGGAAAATGCGCACACCATTTCTTTATGTGGCATTTAAATAGCAGTTATTTTCCAAGGGTTCGTAATTGTGGATTTCAGGTGCTGCTGGGATTTATTGGTTGATGGAGAAGTACCCCGAAGCTGCAGAAATGTATCGCGAAGCGAAACGTTTGTGGACAGATAATGAGCAGTTCGTGAAAGTGGATATTGGACAAAAAATGCATATCTTGAGTAATTTGGGTGAACTGCTGGCGCAACATCGGGATGCGATCCCACCTACCCTCGAAGACGATCAACTTCTTGATCAAGTATGCTGTCGGCGGGAAATTGTTTTTGTTGTGATTGTTAACTGATATTTGTGTAGGCCGACGCTTTGAAAGTTGATTTTCTTGGGAAGAATAAGCTGCGCAGAGAGAACGCTACCAAGGAAGTGCATGATGCTTGGTTCGTGTCCAGTCCCGCCGGGGATGGGCAGAAAATTGAAGTGCGTCACGATACGAAAACTCTGCAAAAGGTGTGTCAGTTGGAATTTAGAGTCCATATGGTGCATATTATTTTTATGAAAATGAGGTGACATTCCGTATTTAAATAGGCTATCCTTCCGGTATATTCGGCATTGCGGTGTGTTGCGAATTGCCAGCAAGATGCGGTGGAGTTGGTGCAGGAGTGTAAACTAGCTGCCCTGGGAGGTCTTTCTGCGGATGCGAAACACACCCGACTAGGCCGCAGCCGAGCCATGGATTCGTACGAGCAAAACTGAAAATTTGTGTAATTTTAAGGAAAAGTAATTTTGGTTTTTGTACAGTGCGTATCAGACGCTGGATGGTCTGAAATTTGTCCTGCAAGGACGCTGGTCCATCATCCTGGAAGAGCGTGAGAAGATTATGGAACTGGTCAAGGAAGTGATGGAGTACAGTATGAAGGAAGACGAAAGCTTTATAATCGAATGCGCGGCTTGTCACCTGACGAACAGTATATCGATTAATAAACGGTAAGAAAAAGTATCTTTTAGTGCAGATCGGTTAAAATCAGATATTGTTGAAAATAATTCATTGCATATATCTTGTGTGTTTGTCGTTTCAAATACAAAATGTTGCTGTTTACTGCGGATGAAGAAAAGTTTCTGTGCACGTGCAGATGCCGTCTCTGTGTACTGGAAAAGGCTTTTACTGGATACGAAGATCTCATTTTCCGAACTGTGATCGAATTAATTGACGATGATGATGACGCCGAGCTGACCGATCGACAACGCAAACAGAAAATGGATAAGAAGAATTTGGAAGGTGAAGGGCGCGTATCGAACCGAGCGGACAGTGATTTTGAGAAAGTCTGCAAAACAATCTCCACGTATCTGCGTCAGAAGCGCTACTTGAATGGTGACAAGAAAAGGAAATATATCAAAGGTACGACATGAAGCGAACTGTCTCAAAATTTGGTTATTGATATTATTATGTTTTTCGCCAGATTATACTGAGTGCGAAGCGGAATGGAAGCATTTCCAGCTGGTTTTGGATCTGCTGAAAAAGGAGCAAATTGTACGAGTCACTTTTTGCCACAGTTAAAGATTTTCCGCCTTATTGTTATGCATTTTTGCAGTGCTGTTCGAGTCTATACCAGACGCTGTGGACCGAAGTTAGCACCTGTGATGAACTGCGCCAAAGTCTAATGCGACTGCGTTTTGCCACGGAAGATGAGATGGCTGTGTGCTCCAGCCTGACGAAACCCAAGCAGAAAGAATTCATGGAATTTCGCTCTATTCTGAATCCATCCGATAAGAATCTGCAGCGTCATCTGGGATCATTCCAAGCGATGTCCAAAGAATATTCGCGGCGTCTCGGTGGTGATATTTCCCGATTCAAATACATTCAGAATATGCACGATGTAAACAGGCCTGTTTAATTTGAAGTTATTAACTTTTTACTTAATTACGGCGTTATTTCGATTAGGGCTACGTTAACGAAGGTCAGGTGCAGCAGCGCGAATGCTGTGTGTGTTATGATGCGGTGGGAAAAGACTGGGCTTTGTTTCCGTGCGCTCACATTATCTGCCGGACCTGCCTGTAAGTCGCTACATCGTCGCATGGAAAGCTGTTAAACTTTCAGAATTTCGGCTGTTTTAACTTGAAGTTAAAATTTAGTGTTTAATTTTTTTATTGTTTAGCAAAATGATGGAAAAAGAAGCCGCTAACCAGCATATGAGTCGGACGCAGTGTCCGCTCTGCCGGAAACTCGCCACGAAACATGAAATTGTCCAGGCCAACGGTGTACAGCGTCAACTTTCGCCAGTAAAAACGCAGTATTTCGATACATTATGTTTGGTGAGTAAAACTAATTGCGCTTTGACTTAGTACTCGATTTTATCTCCGGTCAAATTTTTTGCAGAAAGGCGCGCCGCAGAAAATGGAAGCGGTAGTGCGCGAAATTTTCCGCCTTAACGGTGTCGATCCGGATGCGAAAATTCTAATTTTTTCTGATTATACGGAGAGTCTTGAAGATTACACGAAGATTCTCGTTCGCAACGGTCTGACGGCTATATATGTCAAAGCCAAAGCTGGCATTCCTGTAAGCAGGAAATTTCGGCAAAAATTTGAATTATGTAACGTATTGTATAACGCAACCCGAAATTTGTTTTGTAGGTTGCTATAGAGAAGCTGCGAAGTGGGCGAGTAAAGATTCTTCTCATGCCGATTTCCATGGGCGGCAAGGGTCTGACCATTATTGAAGCGACGCATTTGTTCTTCCTGGAGCCAATTATGAATAAAGCAGCGGAATTGCAGGCTATTGGGCGCATCCATCGTATGGGGCAGACAAAGTAGGATTATTTTGAAACTTTTTCTGGTTTTCTTGAGGTGATAAGCCAGGTGACATAAAAATGAGCCTGGACAGTGATTGAAATTAAATAAATTTCAGCATTGAGAAAACAACCAAAATCTTGCATTTTTATGCTTGTTTAAAAAGTTATGTACAATTTTTTCAAGTTTTCATTGGTGTTATTAGACCGACTTTCGTTCACAAGTTCATCGTGGAGCAGACGATCGAAGAGCAGATCCATCAGATGATATCGACCATGGGCGAAGAGGGCAATCTGCTGCAGCAGGATTTGACGCTGCGCCAGACCTTGGATCTCTTGAAAAGCGCCGGTTTCCATGGACCGGATGCGGCGGATGGTGATATCTGGAATATTGAGGCGGGGACGGTGGAAAACGAGGGGGTGATATATATTGAAGAGGACGACGATATGGACAATCAGCCCAGCACTTCGGGGATGTGATCTTGTTCCGGATATACTTGGAGTCTGTTGGAGAGCTGAATCTCTACCAATTTTTTTACCTTATACACCGTCTTTTTTGAGCTTTCCAATAGTTATGTGAGCAGTTTTTGTCGCATACTGGCTCGTTTAATTGTTTATAAAAAATCGTTGGCAAAACGTACAGGCGTTGTTTTGGTGGGGTTATGATGATTCATGGGAGATTAGGAGTTGTATAAGTCTGATATTTTGTAGTTTCTTTCGAAATGATGCTCTTTTCTCTTCAGAGACCAGAAATGACATAAAAGTTTTCGCATACGACGAACGTGATTAAAAACAGCAGTTTCCTTGAAATTTAATGTATTTTGCGATTTGTCGAATTGTTTCTCTGGAAGTTCAAAATTTATCCAGTACAGATAAGAGTGAAATCCAACTTGTTGATTAAGGACTGACACTTCACAGAATCCTGCGGATATTGCGGTGCAGTCGTCGTAAGGTCAGTTTAAGCGTTTGCTGGGATCCCAACGATCTGCTGTAGTTTTCCAGTGCAGCGCAATTCTATGCACTTTGCAGTTAACTGTAAGAGTATCCGTTATCCTAAAAGCTTTAATAACGAGATTGCCTTAACCGCTACATTATGCCGGGTATGCGGTTTAAATACCTGAATACAGTACCGGGAATAGCAAAATAATTTTTATTAGAATATTAAAGCGGCATCGGAAGTGTATGTAGTAAGTCCCAGTGTAAAACTTTCCCTTGTCCCTGCAGTACTGTATGTCGAACTGTAAGCTTACGTATCAATAGTTTTGTTGAAAAAGTTTTACATTAATAAATCCGGGGTTATTCATAATTATTACCTGCACAACATGCATGGTGTTTTTTACTCGCACAAAGAAATTTCAATGAGTTTACTTACGGCCGCGCCGGCACACCGCACGGCTGCCGGCATACGGGCCCTTTCCGGTAAAGTTTCATGAATTCAAATCCGATACGTTTGCCGGTTTACGAGGGTCAGGACAGTGCGGCGCGTTTAATAAAATGAATGCGTAAATTTTGTTAATTAATTGTTCCGACTATTTGAGAATTCCAGAAGTTATTCATTCTTTTAGTGTACACGCAAACAGTTTTGTAAATTCAGCACAGTGTGATAGAAATAATCTCCAGATAATGGTTTCCGAAAAGCGGCGAAGAAAATACATTTCGACATGGTAGTCTTGCTTGCTGAGTGTTATAACTTGCCTGCATGCAGAAGGCCTGCAGTGCCAAACGCCAGAATGGCGTTGGAACGCCTGCGTGTAGCAGACGTTCGCAGCGGGTACCCGCCTACGGGTTCGGCAATCCGAGTTCAGTGGACTGGAAGCTGGAGTTCAGAGGACTTTAACAGCCGGAGCCTGTCATCCCTCTCAGGTTGTCCGGGAATGTGACTCCTGACAGCAGAAATGCGATACCGCACCAGCACTCCGGATGCTGGTGTTAAAGCAGTAAGGAATGTAAAATCCAAAAAATATGCCAGGCCCTAACCGGGCCATCAAAAATAAAAGAAAAGGGAAATCAATGGGATGGGTCTTAAATGTGCGGTTTTTTGAAATCAAAATTTTACTGTATTGTGGTTGCAACTGGTGAAGTTCTCAATCAGATGTCCAGTGGGGATCCAGTGCGTGGTAGATGTTTTGTTTTGTGGACATGGGTGTTGGTACTTGGTAGCATCAACACGCATACCTTTAAATGTTAACTGATATTTGCACAGATAATAATTACGTCCATATTTGCTTATTTTGCCACTTTATCGGCAGCGAAAATAAAATGAAAGTACAAAACACAGCTGTCCTTGATTTCTGCAGTACATCAAGAATCATTAATTATTTAATATCCAGAAGCCAAAAAAATACCAAGATACGGTAAACATTATCTTCGCCCGGCATCCCAAATGTTACGTATAAAAAGGTTTGTTTTGGCTACGTTGAAGTTTTGAACATATAGACCAACGAATATCTTCAGCAATCGTATTACCGGCATTTTACCGCTCGGCACCAAACATGACCCCGCCGCAGTTTGTTAGAAGTTGGCTAAGGTCACCCGGTCATGTCTGTAGTGAATCCATCTAACATATGAGTAGGTATTAACGCATGCAAGTATGCATTAATAAAACGTTTGATGTTTCACAGATTTGGACGATATTGCAATTATTACAATCACAACAGTTGCGATTAGCTTGAAAAATTGAATGTTGTAACAATGACAAAAACTATGGAAAGATTTGTTGTATTAGAAAAGACATTAGAAGACAGAGGTTAGATAGAGTACCTGTCTTCCTAATACCGTAGCCGAAGGATCAAGTCGGAATTAACTCGTGTGCAGCATTTGTTCTTGGTAAGCGAAGCGCACAAGTGGCACGCGAGACAAACTGCATCTTTCTAATTTTCCTTAACGAAGGACAAGGAGCTCAGCAGCTGTCATGAGCGGGATTATGAAAATGCTAAAAGCGTCTTATTGTTGTCAATCGGCATTTGGCTACCCGGGCGCACTGCACTGCGCCGGCATATCGGAACCGGCAAGAAATTGGAGCAACAGATGATTATTGCCCGTGTGTGCAGTGATCAGTTAGCGCACGTGCCACCTGCTCAGTGCTCACCAAAACGCCAATATGGCCTTGGTTGCTTATTATTATTACTCGGCAGCTGTTCCGTGGATTGCATGTGCCGGTCAGCAGATCTGCAAATTAACTCATAAAAACACAAGAAACGTATGGCGTGTGGAAAATGATGACGAAGATTGACCATATGCACGTGTATAAATCAATGACGTTGTGCCGACAATCGTTGATACTGTAATTACTGGTTTGTCTCAAATATCAATCTTGAGACACGGTTTTTTAGTAAGGTATTTATACTCGTGCGGTGCGACTACGACTAGTACACCAACGGTTACAAAAATGCAAAACATGAAGGAGTAGAGGTATTTATTTAAAATAGACCACAGAGACAGAGAAACCACGTTTTAACACGGCTTTTTATGTATTAATATACCTATATGCACTGGATTTTCCAAAGTGCAGTTTACTAAATTTACCTTCTGTTTTACGAAAAAGTAGTAACTAATATATGATTTACTATCAAAGTCAGTTGTAAGGTCGACCCCAAGTAATTTGAGCGCTCCTTAATCAGGGTAAAACAAATACATAAAATTAAGTATGCTCCAGCGATGCTTGTATCTGTATGGTAGTATTAACTACTCGTAGATTCTGCAATACTATCGACACATCACGCAATACGCACTGACTTCGCATTTATTAATTTATTGCAATAATATTATTATTAATTTTAGCGTTTTCCTTGTAGTACTGAAATATTAGCAGTAGCATTACTACACAACATACAAATAGTGCCATTTAACCCAGCTAGCTTTTATTAGCTTACTCAAAAATCGAAGCAGCTACCCATTTTGATCAGTACTTTATTCCTAGTTTCGTTAGTGTGAATGCCAATTATGCCCATACCAGTGGCAGTTACGATATCCACCTATACGCGTTTACACCAGTGTTAGGTACATCTGCTAATTTTGTATCGCTTTAATTGTCAATGAAAAGTTGAATTCGCAATCCATTTGTAATACGAATGTAATGGCCAATGGATTACTGCAGCCGGAATAATAGGGACAATAGCGAGTACTTTGTACAACTGTATATTAATGCATAAAGCGGAATACAACAGAAATACCTTTATATGTACGAGTACCTTATTCGTAGATTGGTGCAGACCGGTGCATATACTGCATATTACACGGGCATATTTGGAGCAGATGTTCCAAAATGTTCGTCGGGGCTCATTTCTCGAGTATCATTCTCCAACACCTCAAGCAGAACCGTACACAAATACACAGCGATGACAGCGGGGAATGACCGCTGGTCAGTGCTGCACGGCTGCACGCTAGAGCAGTGGCTCGTGGACGACCCGCGTCGCCAACTGTTGCGCCGTCAATTACCGAGAGGCCTGCAGCAGGCACACGACCACTCAATCAGCGCTATTCTCTAATTTCATCTGTCAATACTTGCACAGCGGACAGATGCGGGCAACAGCTGACCACTGGTCAGTGCGGGTATATAAATTGCTGCGGCTGGCAGATCGGCGAGTTTAGTCGGCAGTTTCATTCACTCTCAAGTTGTCGGCATCCACACGTCTGCGTCTGCAGAAACTTTGTGGACAGTTTTCTGCAGATTATTATCCGTAGTTGCTTCCAGAATTTTTTGCCACCGATCACGCGCAGCCAGGCTTATTTTTATTTGATACCGTGGAAAGTTTATTACAATGGACTGGTAAGTGCATGCATGATCACTTTTCTAATGGTAAACCGTAAAAGTTTTTTTCCGGTTGGTTTCGTTTAACGAATACAATTACCATTTGGTTTACGTAATGTACATACTGTGTATACTTCGTGTGTGCGCTGCTCAACGGAAACGTTTGTTTGAAATCTGAATCGCCCGTGCGTAGCGTTAACGCTGTATTAACAAAATCATTGTCCAGAATAAACTCTCGAACAAATTGCTTTTCTATTGATTGCCTGGGATAATTAAATGAAACAGCAAACGTGAATTTAATTGGCGAAAAGCCATAAACATTAGAGGGAACTGCCGGGAGTAACGTGATCCGGCACGAGACTGTCCGCGTGCACATTATCGGAAGTCTGTGTACACTCGCATCACCAATCTGCCGGCAATTATCCCCATTCATTTATCTATTATAATTAATGACCTTCCGCGCTTTCCTAGAGATCCCCGGGTGATGCTCACGAGTTTGCTCTAATTAGCGCCGGAATAAATCAGGGCGATTTGTAATTTTGCACGATTAAGGTTATCGGAAAATATTTATCGACGCAGGATTTCCCAGTTGTGCTGTACATCACGAAGTCAACAAGGCTAATCGATTACTACATATTAACGGCCGATATAATAACGCGCGCCAAGTATAGCCAATCCGCGCTGCGCTGCTTGCCTCGGAGGCGGGGTCATACTGGGCGATATAAAGCGAGCGTTGCGGTGTCTCTTGATAACGCATTCGATCAACGATGTAAAACCAGGTTGTAATATTTTTCTCCGTTTTTCTTTTCACAGTTTACCGTTCCCGCTGAAAACGATGGCGACGAAAAAGCCGTCGAAACCGCTGATTAAGATGTGCAAGCTGATCTCCCGTGTGGGGAAGGTGCTGAAGCGCTCGGAGCAGGCCCATCCCGTTATCAAAGTGGCTTGCTGTATGGACGATGCCCCGGTCAAGACGGCGCTCCCTTCGCTGCCCACGGCGCCGGTATCGGCGCCCATTCCCGTCCAGAAACAGTTGCTGGCCATTCCTCATATTACCGTACCGGATAATCATGGGGATGGGGAATCACCGGTGCCCAGTCCCCGTGCGGCATCCTTCCCGCCGACACCGGATCATATTAAGTTCAATAGCAACTGGGATTGGGAAGAGGAGAATTCCTTCTTCCCGGCCACTCGCGAGGAGGTGGTGGAAGTACGGGATTGGGCCATTGATTTCGCTGATCTGGATGTTGGGATGAAGATGTGCAAAAATTCTACCGGAGAAATTTACCGGTAAGTTTATAGCGTAATAAAAATGGTACTCGTACCAGTAGTTGAGCATTATAATTGCTGATATTATGACTACCTGCGTTAGTATGTTTCCACATTATTACCCAGTTGGCTCGTTTTTATATGGCTTAATTTAATGCTACTCGTATCTGTTCAGAGTGTTCCTATATCTTTTCCGTTTGTAAATTTCTGGTATGTTTGTTGTATTGAAAAGTAAACGCGTACATTACCGAAGATCCTTATTCTGAGTAAATATTGCTTGCAAGATTTGTTGTTTCTTAAATCAGATTTTTCATTATAGTAATGATTTACGCAGTTTAAGAAATTTGTAAAAAAGAGAAAATTTTTTGAAAGCACTGGAATGTAATCTTGTGACATTTTTGTAATTTTTTCGGTCGTTTACTGTTTACAGCGGACGGTGGCATGGGAATGTGTTAATTTACAAGCACCAGGATTCCAGTGCCGTTGAGCAATTTATGTCGGATGTGGAGAATTTCTCTAAAATTCGCCACGAAAATGTGCTGTTATTCATGGCGGCATCGGTGGATAACGCGAATGAATTGGCTATTGTCATGCAACCGCCCAAACACGGTGAAAGCCTACACCGGCTGCTGGCATCGCCGCGGCGCTTAAACAAACTTCCGCATACACTGAAATGGAGCATTGCCCATCAAATAGCCCAAACCATCAGCTACCTGCACGCCAAAGATATTCTCGTTGGACCGGCACTGCACAGTGGAAATATTTTCCTTGAATCCAAGATCAAATTGAGCTTGGTGGATTTCGGATTTGGCTCCGATATGTAAGTAATCGAATTCTAATATATGCTTACTTATACGAATATAATAATTTATCATAAATCCAGTTAAGGTATATATATATATTTTAAAATTATCTTTCAATCCTGTAATAATAGAACCAGAAAAAATAAAAACAGAAAAAATAAATTAAACAATTAATTAATTAATTTTAATTTTAAACAAATCCGTTATACCAGGTATCGTAAATTAGTATGATATGACCAGGATTGCAGTAAGCCAAAACTTGATCCTAACAGGAGCACGGAAAAAATTTCCAGTTACTGCAGTGTTTTTCGAATCCAGTTGTAACTATGGCATACCGGTATTTTTGGGTTAAAAACAATTTCACGCAGTTTCCTTGTTGTTACGGAAATATATCCCGCATGAGCGCACACGCTACGCACGTGTTGAAGTGGTGAATCGGCTGCAGCGCGATACATTTTTGCACTTTGTACCGGTGTATCCAGCAACGCTTGTTTGGAAATTTAATACGTTGAGCATAGTTTCGAAACGAGAGCAAAAAAATCCAAACAATCGTAGCGGGATTGTTATCATAGTTTTCCGTTGTAAAAGCATGTGGTCGTTCATGTGCCCCGATACTTAGCCTTTGCTACCGCGACCGCAGCGGTGAAGGTCAAAGGGCAATATTTCATGAGCCTCCTTTAGTAACTGAGCGCTGTATATGGGTTACAAACTTGCAATACCGCTTGCCTCATCAAATTTTAAAACTTTCCCAATGCATCGATTATAATACATTCACACAGCACAACAATTTTCGCAAAACTTGTTTAAATGTAACAATTACTGATAATTATAACATAACTACAGCAAAAAAAGTAAATAACAAAAATTTTAAATAATTTTTATATGGTAAATTTTTTTGAATGGTAAAATAAGAAAGAGGTTATTTACGTAATTCGGCAATATGTAGAGCACATATAAAATTTTGCTTGGTTTTCGTGTACAGTTATTTGAAATTTTTATTCAAGCGGTGATAACTAATTTTTTATGGTTTAATAGGTTTTCGCGGGATGCATCGCAAAACTATTTGGCTTCATATCTGGCACCGGAACTGGCCACTTTGGAAGGCCACCCCTCCAGCATGAACATTCCCGAATTGAAATCCCACTGGACAGAAGCGTGCGACAGTTTCGCCTTCGGCTCATTGTTATACGAAGTATTTATGGAAGAAAAACCCTTTGCCAATCTGACGCCGGCCCAGCTAATTGAATCATTACACAGCGGTGCGGCGATGAAGATGGTGGAGCGCGTAGAAATACCGCCAACCATCCAGAAAATCATCAGCCAATGCTGGCATGCCGTACCGGCTAAGCGGCCCACTTTTGTGGAGATTGTACAGTTGGCATCCAAGCGGAAGGTCTTTATGCTGGGCCGGCATAGTTCATCGCAGCCGGATAATCTGGATATGCTCAGTGTCTCACATTCCAAATCCTTCGGCTAAATTATTATAGACGTTTGTTGATTTAAGGAAAAATGTGTTTCTCATGTATATATTTGTTCTCTCTATTTTTATGCCATGAATGAAGCTCGTTGTAAATTTTTGTACATGTGCGAGTATATTTTTTGTCTGTGTATATTGTACATGTGTGTATTATGGATGGCGTCGTTTTGGTTGGGATTTTCCACTGTGCAATCACAGCTTTGTGGTTCATTCGAAACGGAAATTAATGAATTCAATGACAGCTGAAAATAAAATACTGGAAATGATCATTCCGGAAATTTTCCCGTTAAGCTCGACAAAGAGCAGCCTGCTTCGGAAAAACCTTCCACTTTAAATTTTGACCCAGAATTTATTAGCACTAAATACATGTACACATATATTACAAGAACACTGGCTTTCATTAGTGAAAAGACGAACCGAAAAAACAATCGAAAGTTCGGAAAGTTCATAGTACGGCGTGTACAAAAACAGCCTTGTCAAATACGGGTACAATACACGAATATGAAATTAATCTTTCATAAATCAACTGCAACCTTTTGCAGATGCTATGTGTACCTTCACTAGATTTACTTTAAAAATTCTTATACTCACTTCAAAATTTAAAAACGATCGTTTGATTATTCTACTTTTCTATGGACGCACGTAAAGTAAAAAAACATAAGATCCATAAAACGATTAATAATTCTTAAATTATATTAACTATTTAGCAAAACTATTTAGCAAAAAGTCATTGAATAATTCAACTGAAGGTTGAGCCTCGCTCGCGTATCCGCGAATATTACCCGTCCACTTTTGGTAACCTTTCCCATGAACCCAACATTAAGTGTAGGGAAACGGGACAGCCGCTCACTTCTTTTTTGATCTTACACAATACCAACCCGGAATACGTTTTGCAGTAATTTCTAAATTTAGACACGCACAAATGAGATTGGGAAAATGTCCCCGCTGTATGGGCCTGGTGAATGGGTGTTTTTTTATCCCTTCCCGGATGCTGAGAGTGTGGAGTTGAAAGGGAAAGTGCATTAGGCCTGCATAACAATAGGCGACCCGGCATCTTAAAGCGCAGCAAATTAGCTCCACGAAAGCCATGTACTCGTGGATGTGTATATACGAGTGTATACAATCTGTACTGTGCACATCCCATCAATCCACCGAGGTCGCACTCTCCTGTCAATAATTCTCCCGTTATGTTTAAGCATTCCCGGTTGAGCCACTCTGTATCGTGTACACGTATGTGTGTGCGTGCGTCGACATTTGTTGAAGAGAGTTAGCGCGCGCCCCGGTCGACCGGTCGGGATCGGGACACAAGTATCGCGCTCAATTAGCTATTCATCCGCACAGCAAATCACTGAGCTGTATCCGGTTGGCGATTGTGGTGGCCGCATGGGGAGCCGGAAGATGGCGATGGTCGGGAAAAAATGTGTCCCGACTCCCGCGACTCATATTTCGCAAATATACATTCATATAAAAACGCCTGACCTCTTTCGGAATGTGTACTGACGCAGAAATCGGTTAGAAATAACCGGCACAGTTGGCTTAATTTGCAGCCCTTTTTCTTTCGGAAATTGCATAAAACATTTGCTAAAAATTTCCGATCAGTTCTGTCACTTCTGTGTTATGCTATTTTTGCAAACTGACGTAAATAAATTTAAGTTACCCTGTCCGTTCGTATTTTGACGTAATTTAGCGGTTTGTTCAAAACGCTGATAGGACCCATGTCAGTGCAGCCGAAATATTGTTTGAACGCAGCTTTCCGTAGTTCCTGACGCTGAACTTGTATATTATCATACATTATGGTACGTAGTTTTCTTATCAGCAGAATAAGCGGTCGCTAACCTCGCTATCAGCGATAGAAAATGCTGTGTTTGTATTTTCATATTAGCTCATTCCATACCTGAATAGCAAATAGACCGGCTGGTACGTCACAGTGCACCCTCCATTCTTAATTAGCGTGTAACAGAAAAAATGACGGGCATCGTAGAATAATGGCTGAGTTTCTATCTCGTCGCTCATGCATTTTGCCTAGAAGGGGGAATTTCTGATTCTCTTGGCATTGATGGCAATACAAAGTTTTATTCCAACTTTTTGTCAGGAACTTGTAGCTTTAATCTTTCCCACAGCAGCATCACTACTATTAAACGTAAACAATTTGTGGTTCACTTTTGTGCGAAAAATTTTTCGGAAATAAGTACATAAACCCGCACACATAAAATTCAGTGTCACTCATTTAGATATTTCGTATTTTGTTGGATCACCGTTATTTATTATGCAAAAATCAATATAAAATTTTTTATTACTTATTATAAGTGTCAACAGAATTGTATAACCTTTTTGAACATAACAGAATTATATAACCTTTTTGACCATACCATGATATACGAGTATGTACGTTATAGCTAATAATTAATTATTTTCGCAGTTTCCTCATTCCTCCACTCATCACCGCCACCAGCCGGCAGACTGGACGCCTGGTGAACTGACGGCGGGAAGAATGACGTGGGTCTAACAAGCAGCGGCCTGGACCTCATTTCCGATATCGTTTTGGGGAAACAGCCACTGCGCTGACGAAAAAGCCGGGTGCCCATTATGACGGGGGATCCGTGTAGCACACAAATGTCGTGCGCCGGTGTTCAGCGCATCACGCACACACAAGCACACATACAGCCGTCGACGTAATCGGCCGCATATATCCAGGCACCGGTTGTGCAGCCGGCCACTTGGTCGCCGATATCAATCACACTTTGCCGTTGGATAAATCGGGGAAACTACTCGTGCATAGGAAAACTGCGCGGCTAAAGGTGTCAAAACGCTGTCTTCCGGTAATATTACACACGTAAAACGCATAAGTAATCGGGCCGAAACGCCATATAGATTTCTTCGCCGAAGTGGCGGAAGTCCGTGTTTAATTCTGGAATGTGTGGTAGTACCATATTTAAACCGACACCATACGGATTTTATGCGCAGCGGAAATGGGCAATAAAAACAGAAATAAATTTCTGCGTAGTTGGAAAATGACGATTATGGTCAGAAAATAAAATTTGTAAGGGGAAAATAAACACCGCCAGCATAATGCACTTATATTTTTATGTGAATTTCGTGGAAACAATTAAATTTGGCTATATTCGGCGTCTACGTGACCGCTCTATTTTGGGGGTGTCTTTTGTGAGTTTTGCCGGCAAAAATAAAGAACCTATGTTTGTTTACATCGCGCACGAACAAACCGCTGTAGTGTGTCCTTTGAACCAAGTCGGCATATTACGGCGTCGCTGACGTCAAGATGGATGTGGCGCTTTTTAGAGCGGATATGCCGGAATAATCTCATTAATAAGGCACGGGATCACCGGTATTACGACAGCGTTTCACAGTGGGCGCTGCCATTGTAAACAGCATTAAACATTTCTGTCTTGACGCCTGTAGATGGCAGACACGAGTGAACTAGCCCGTGATTTCCCGAAATACTCACCCGGTACTCGCTAAAAAATTGGTTTTTAAGATTTAATGACTGTTCATTTAAGCGGATCCGGAAAATAGTAAAAAGTAAGGTATTATAACAGACTTTCGGTTGTTACTACTTGATCCAAGTTGACCATATGCAGCAAAAGCACTACCCGTAATAGTAAACACAAATAAGAGCATCTTCTATGTAACTGCCAAATTTTTTGTTATCGGTTAAAGGAATTTTTGTATTGTTGTGTCTGTTGAGTCTAGCGTTGGTACGTACCAATAAAAGTACTTGTAGCACGTTTTACCAGGTTAATGACTGAAGTTTCTACGTCTCTTACTATATATACATCTATGTATATACTGTACACTCGTACGCGCATATACACAGTGTGTACGTTTAGCCTACTTTCTACGTCACAAATATTTCTATAATTTTAGTCTTACTTTTAATAATTTTGCATCGATTTAACAGTTTAACCTTTAATTACTAGAATTTAACATTTTAGGATAATCTTCAATTTCCGATTGATATTCTCCGGTAAATTGCCGGATAGTAGACTTAAAATTGTTTGGGTATTCAGCACTATAGTGCGTGATTTTTGTCCCTGTTTTATAGTGACGTTGGTTTGTGAATCAGCCAAACATTTCCCTACGTACAGATACTCCGTCTTTGTTTGTATTTGGCGGAACAGTGTGTAGTTTGTGCTAGACTGTGTCCCAGATACAAACCTGCTGCATCAGCTACACACACCGGCATGACGTCCACGGAGCAGGTAAAACTACAAAGGTCAGCATGTCAACAATGCCCAGTACGCTCATCAGCACATGATATAGGGACTTCTTCACGTGCTGCGTTTGTTGACACACACCACAACAATTCCCGTTCCGTACCGAGTCACCCGTGCCGGTGTTGGATCTTTTGTTTGTCCGCAGCGGCCAAAATGGCCGAGCACAGCAGAAGATTACAGCGCCGGTGACGTAAGCGGCAGTGTACCGGCACATCCGGTGCGGTGCTATATTGGGCAACTGGCAACTGCACCGGGCGTCCCGCTAATCAATTGAATTCGGACCATAACAACGTAGGCGTCATTGATGTGCTTCCCCCGAGCATCACGAGTCAGGTTGAGGTGTGAAAAGTCAAATATTGTTCACAACTTCAGCAATCAACACCATATATCCGCTCAATGAAACAGTTGGAAGCGAAAATCCAACGCGCCAGTACTAATCAAGTATTACAAGCCGCAAGGTGCTACTTCGCCCGAGATTGAGATGCCCATTAAAACTGTAATAAATACATAATTACATACATCCTTGCCTAAGCTATTCTTTAGGCACCGTGCACCATAATTTCGTTTACGAAATTTTCGATCCATTTCATCAGCGGAAAATCTGAACGGCTAATATTTAATAAGAAAAAATATTTTGAAATGTAGGAAACGTTAATGAACGCAAAATTAGTGTTAAGCTGTACAAACATTCAAGATGTTACGGAGAAGCTTTAATCACGCCCACTCACTACAATTTCTCCGCATACGTAAACACTAAACAGATCCAACATCTTCTTACGAGTACCGTATCCGGCGTATCTGTATAACTGCAGTGAAAGGAAACATGTTTAATCTTCGATTCCTTACCTTCGATCATTACTGGTAACGTTCGCACTAAGGAGCATACAAATGATTAAAACTAAACTTTGCAAAACAAATGATTAAAACTAAACGAAAGGTAACATTCGTTGACATAAACTAAACGAAAGGTAACATAAACTAAACGAAAGGTAACATTCGATATGGAACGAATCAGATCTGCAACGAACTGGTACAATCGGTACATCGATCGCTAGTTTCGCGATGTTTTTTTTCTCAATATCAAAGGCAGATCAACCAGCAAAATTTTTCAATAACTTGTTACTTTACACATCTCTGAAATGAACTCGCCGACACCGGAATTTAAATATATCAAACAATCTGTCCAATACGTAATGTGCACAGATATCTGTACAACCAATTTGTATCCCGCTGCACTGCACACTAAAGAACGGGTAAAAAAATCTCCATTTTGATGTGATGCATGATAAACGGCATTCATCTTGCAGCTTTCAGCGCGGAAATGGCAGCGGAAGCGCCGAGGTTGTGTGTGGGCAGAGGGATGTATTCTTTTCCTTCCTCCTCTAAGATCAGCGGGCCCAAAGCCGAGGAAATTTGCAGAGGAATATCCTGAGAGGAAATAAAATGTACAGTAATCACGCGCTAGTTTTTCATAACCACACTGAATCATAAAAATCTGCAAGGCCAGCAAGGATACATTCAAAGACAAGTATACATTCAAACAAACAGAATATTCTCAAGCAAACAGTGCAAAAAGAAAACAAAGTTATGCATATCACGAATTAACTCTGAGGAAGAGGTACACTGCTTGAAACATCTCGATATGTAGTTACTATGTACTATAATCAAAAGCCCAGATTCTACGATACAAATTATTACAACCACTAACAACCAACCTGATGCTTGATAATGAACTCTAATAACTTCTCCGAGGTGGACCGATTCTCACTTTCCACTCTCTCCAAACTAGAAGATAAAGAGACATACAATTTAGCAGTGTTACAATCATATTGTTTGAAACAATAACATTCTCATACTTCTCGTGCGAGAACAACTGATTGTCCACAATCCGCCGACAGATCTCATCGCACAACGTGGCCGAAAACACCGGAATGCCGTACGAGCAATCCAGTAACACCCAGTCATCCGCGTTCACCATTTCCATGGGCTCGTTTGGGGCCGCAACGTCGCCTTCTCCGACACTGTCCGCATCACTGGCGCCGCCATTCTTCCGTTGGTACGACATGTTCAGCAGGGTGATGTATCCACAGGTTACATCCAGCTGCAGTTCCTTCCGCAAAGCCAGCACCGCTGGATGCGATTCGAAGCTGGATGGTGACACATTCTCCGCTGATTTTCGAGGAAACGGCACGTACATGAGCTGTGGATCCTGAATGTTCCCGTACGTTTGCAGCATGATGGGATGATGTTTCAGGGCGTCGTTGGTCAACGCGAGGGCGATGCTGGACGGAATGACAGAGGAATCGTGACCCCATGGAGTTAGTAATAAATACTCATATTTCTACAAAAGGAAATATTAATACGAGCAAATACAAGCAAATAAATACGCGCAAATAATCATTAATACGAGCAAATTTTTCAGTTAATAACACCGACAACCATTTTCAATGTGCAATGTCAATAGAATTGTGGGTACCATGCATTCTTACGTAAAACTGTGCTGGCAAAGTTCTTAGAACTTCACCCCGTCGGTAGACGACGGTGAATGGATGCGATGCGGCTAGACTGTAAATATACAGTTTGAACCAAATCGTATGGGCTTCCGGCACCGGACTGCCGATGTGCGGCGGAATGAGAGGGCAAACAGGACGGGCTTCGTTGCTCATAGGCGCCAGGGACACCAATAATCTAAAATTAAAAGCCTCAGATGACAATTAATTCGTATATATAGAATTTCCCGCAACACATTCATTTCATCGATTTCCACGGATTAACTACGTCAGCAGAAATTCCACCGATTTTGATAAGATATTCATGAATTGTAAAAAGATGCATAACGCTGCAAGACGATCGGACGTTCTGTTCACATGAGTCTAGTGATTAGTAAGTAGTACTAATCACTAGACAGATAGTGGTACTAATTTTAGTACCACTGTCTGGGAGCACGTAAAAAGTAAAACTTACCCATCCCTGAAAGAAAGAAATCCAAAAATTTTTCATGAACAGTGCATTTACGAGTGCATGATGGAAAAACGATAAAGGTTGGACGCGTTTGTTTTCAGTGCAAATCTAAATATATTTAGAGAAAAACGTTAACGCAACAATATTGTTTTTATAATTTAATCTGTATACGAGAACAGTGCAGATATCCAGTTGTGGAAAATTCGGACGTTCACAGCCTTTGAACTATGACTCAACAAAATCCCACCAAAAATATGGAATTATTGATTGTCCATTATCCGTACCAGCTTAGAATTATTCTAAAACACTGATTGATCTGTTACCCTTTCGTATTTCTACTAATGATGTGTAAGCTATTATTACCTACCAAATTCACAGAAACTGCGAAACAGCTCTTCCAGCTCATTAACCAATTTCAGATACATAAACTTTAAGGTACGTATATTTTAGGCCAAACTCCGCTGATTTCATACCTAGGACTTACGAGTAATTTTTCTTGAGTACTCGATTTAATGATGCCTTGTCCAAACCACGTAAACTTTCGCAGCGCAGCAAATCCAACCCTAATCCATTCCCCACATCGCCGTAAACAGGATCACCGATATGCAATGCAGGATTATGACGCAAAAAGCGTAACAGTTTGCGCAGGTTGATCGCATGATCGAAATAACGTTTCGCTTCACCCTGGATTTCTTCTTCAATCATCACCTGTATAATTTCGGGAACAGTAATAAAAAAATTAATATGGTAAAATTTATATTATATTTCCATGGCTAGGCACCTTTTCCAGTTCGCCCAATAAAGAATCAATGCTCTCATCCGCTAGTTTGCCAACCTCAAACATGGTCACGGCATGATTTTTCAATCCCTACAATGAAGAACGCAAAATAACATCACAAATCAACCTTGAAGCTGTGATTAGAATCACTCCATCATATTAGGGAGTAAATTATAAAGCGCGCACAGAAGGACAAATGCCCTTGCTCTCGTACAAGAACACTTTCTGTCACACCCGTCATTTTTTGGCATTACAAAAATTCGGATAAAGGGAAGCTAAGTATATATAAGGGAAAGAATTTTACTACCTATCTACATTTCACTAGTTACTCACGTAAGCAACACATCCGTATGCACATTTACGCAGTTGTGCATATGCTTATTTTACCAATATCAACAAAATTGTCCTACCGGAGAGAGATTTCCCATCATTAGGAAGGCCGTCAGCGTCGAATCGAACATGAATCCAATCCTCTTGGACACCGGTCCCAATCCGGGCGTCACCGGTTCATCGTCAACACTACTCAGCAACGGACTCGCCGAGGGAGAAGCGGAGCGTTCATCCACGGTGCCCATATCGGTTAACGAACCGGTCTCCTCCGCATCCTTCTTCGTTTGGACGAATTCGTCTTCCCACGATGGATGCAGTCTAACTTGGCCTTTGTCCATCCCTTTTCCTGTGCCGACAGGGACTTGACGTCATCCTGTAGAATGCATCCGATCTGCACTACCCACCACGGTTCAATGGTGGCATCGTCCACGGGAACCGTGGGCATCACATCGGAAGAGCTTCTTGGGCAATTTTCTCAATGTACTGGTTGCGACCGATGCCCATAATGCGAAGAACATCGCAGTTGGGCAGCTGGCGTACTTCTTACCCAGTCCATCCCATTTCATCTGGCGCTGAACGGCAAAATGCACAACAAAACGATTATATTCCCGCTCGTTGCCTCCGAAATGCTGGCGAATATCCTGTGGCAGACGCGACCATGGAGTGTTCTTGGAGATCACCACCTCCAGCTTGCTGTCCATGGTTGGCGTCGATGCGGAATGCTGAAATGCCTGTTTCCGTGCTGCGCAGTGTGCCTCGAAGAAGTTGTCAGGCTGTCAGGTGACTGGATGTCTGGATTCATAAAACTCCTTAGCATCGAAACCTACTGGAGCAGTAAAAAGTAAAAACCATGCCAAAAGCTTTCGTACTGACTACTGAATAATAGTGAATATTATAAAACTGGCTGGGCGCTGCACAGTATAGTACAAAATTACGTTTAAAATTCAGGAACAAAACAAAACCGAAAAGTACACAATCCAAATACTTGTGCACGACGAGCACGAATAGCAAATGTTGGTGTCTCATACTATGATTGTTGTTATCTCCTGCGGCAGTCCTGCCCGAGCCACTGTACCACACTAGGCACTGGATTGTATCCTGGTTGCATGCTGTTTACAACCAGTATACAGTTCAGTCGACGTCGGGTGAAAAGTGATAACTCAACACTACTTAATTAATTTTGCATTTCTGCAGCACTGTATTTTGTTTGTTGAAAGTTCACTGCGAAAAGATCTATATACAGTATTTTGAGTATGACTGCTTGATGTTAGGATCGCATCAGTCCGGAATACATACAAGTAGATACAACATGGGAACACGATCCGGATTATTGGGAAATCTTTCGATTGCGACATTGATCACCGTGCTGTTTCGACTGTTTTTTGCTTCTGAATTCTCGTTCATTGCATGCTTTGCAGGTATCGTATATCATTCGTAGGTTTGGCGTCAGTACGAGATATGCTTGGGCAATGGGCATGCAACTTATCGCATGATCGTGGGACGAACGGGAATACAATTAGTACTGTAATCGTTTTGGTTTATGTTTGCAGTGTTTTCGGTGGCTTTCACGGCAACTACGGTGTTGGACATTGCATCCCGCGATGTCGCACGTTCTCATTCTCTCCGTTCCGCTCTGGACCAGTATTTCGCGTTAAACTTTCTGAACCTTCTCGGATGGATTTTCTACAAAATCCTGTTGAAAGATACTAAAAACATCCAACAAACCCAAACTCGCACTCTTCTTGGATTTCTCCGCGCCAATAGCACGTCGGAATTCGGCATGCAGCATCATTCCTCTTCAGTAAAGAATACGGAAGATTTTCGCCGCCAGTTTCCCCTGACGACAGACGCGGATTACGAGTCGTCCGTCCAGCGCATGATGGACGGCGCACGGAATGTTTTGACGAGCAAACAGCCCGTCGTCTTCGCAGTGACGTCAGGCACGTCGGGGCGGAGCAACATCCTGCCGTTCTTACGGAAACAGCGGGCTGTGTTTTTCTTCCGCGGCATCACGGTGATGAGCCATATCATGATGAAGCATTTTCCTCAGACCAAATGTTTACGAAAGGTGTGACGATTATTCATAGTAGAGCTTTATAACTTGTAGCCTGGTACATGCAGCTACTGTGTAGGCTTAACGCTTTTCTGTGGTATTTTTTGCCAGATGAATTTATGGCTTCCTTCTCTTTAGGTAATCAAGCAAGCGAGCGAAGCGAGCTTGCGTTATTATAGATGAGATTTGAGTTTTCTGTGACACGGAGACCTCGAACCCGGGTTCCTGGGTTCGCCGCTGACTTTTTGCTGCTAACCTGCACAACTCGACACGCTGAGTCGAATGGCATCGAAGAACCCAAGAACCCGGGTTCGAGGTCGCTGGGTCCCCGAGGTCGCCACCGGGATTTTGCACTTTTCTGGTACAGTTTAATGTGGCGAGTCTAACCGAAGTACCCGGGGTCGAGGTCGCTGGGTCCCCGAGGTCGCCACCGGGATTTTGCACTTTTCTGGTACAGTTTAATGTAGCAAGTCTAACCCAGTCCCCGGGTTCGAGGTCTCGGGTTCCCCGAGGTCGCCACCGGGATTTTGCACTTTTCTGGTACAGTTTAATGTGGCGAGTCCAACCGAAGTATCCGGGTTGGTTTGTAAATGACTTTTGATGTACGAAAAGGATAATCTAGGATTTTATTATGCTGCTTTTGCAGAAGTTGTATGTAGCTTATGCATGCAATTATCTTAAAATATTACTCAAAGTATTTTTTAGAATTTCTTTAAAATAAATTTCTAAATATTACTAAGATGTTTCTAAAAATGGTTGAATATTTTTAAAAACTGCTAAATTTATCTAAATATTTCAACCTTTTCTGCAAAAGATTTCCAGTAGTTCCTTATATATTTCTAAATATTTCTGGAAATGTTTTTAAATACTAAAAAATATTTTCAAATATTTTTAAAAATACTGCATATCTAAAAAAGTTAAATAAATTTAAATAATTTGTTAATCTTAAAAACAAATTCAGTGTTTCTAACCAGGGTCCCGTCACCGGATGTTAATTCAAAAAATTTTGATCTTTTGAAAGACAGATGAATGTTAGACTAAACGAAAAAAATGTCTCATTTGCTGTGGTCAATTGTCGTGGCCAAAACACAATTTTACAACAAATTCTACGCTATGCTTTGGTTTATATATATATGGACAATGCACCGCATCATACGTTGTGACGTTTAACTGAACAACTTGTACGGGGCCAGTTTAAGTACTCTTAACAAATCATGAAAGGGGCAGCGCTAACCCCTCTGGACTGAAAAAAGAAGTGTTAACTGTACCTTCTCCCAAAAGGGTGAACAATGACTACAGTGCACTTCATAAACTCATATTTTCATTCATATTTTGCATCCAAAGCCACATAGTGCTATGTGTAGATATTGTGCAACATCATTTTGATGTTCCAGACATAAGTTTTGAATAAACTTTTTAATAAAGATTTCGAAGTCCAAGGATAAAGTTCTGAACGAGCGTTTGAATTAAATTAGTATTTTTAAACATTTCTAAGAATATTTCCAAATATAATTAACAAATGTTAGTAAAAATAATTCCAAATATTGCTAAATTCATTTAAATTGCTTTAAATATTTCTAAAAATATTCTCAAAGATTTCTGATATTTTCATATGTATTTCTAAGTGTTACTAAAAATATTTCTAAAGATATTCTATGAATATTTCTAAAAACTTTTCTACATACTTTTGAATATTGCTAAATTCTCCTAAATATTCTTAAATATTTTTAAAATGCTTCTAAATATTTTAAAATAACTTTTTACCTATTTCTAAATATTTCTGGAAGACGCTGAATTCTTTTGAATGTTTCTAATTATTTCTAAATATATTTCTAAAGATGCCAAATTTTTCTATTTATATTTCTAAATGTTTCTAGAAATAATTTTAAACTTTTTGAAAAATACTTCCAACAATTTCCACATGTTTTTAAACATTGCTAATTTCTTCTACATATTTCTGAATATAGTTCTAAATATTTGTAAGTATTTCTGATTATATTTCTAGATATTTTTAAATATTTCTGAATATTTCTCAATTTATTTCTGAATATTTCCGAATATTTTTAAGGAAACCGTTATGGGCAACTCCTAAAATCCTTGTTTATTATAGGCACCCCATTTCGCAGAGTGTTTATTTTAGGCACCCGTTCTGAATTAATAATTATTATGTCCAATATTATTTGAACGTAATATTATTTGCATATTCCGACTTTAAATCATCATTGTTTTATACTGTTGTTAAATTGTTATGAACTTAAAAGCTTACCATGTGCAAAAGGTCAGTGTTAAGAATAATGTTTAATGGAAGGGGCAATCGAAACTTCTGATTTAGAAGTCGTTATCACTGATATAGTATTCCCATCTCTAGAAAATATCGAACACCAGAAGGATGCAAACCCTTCTTTCGAGGAATTTGAGAAAGATCTTCAGGCATTTTCTTGTCGACTCACTTGGCAGCACCGTTTTGTACAGTGAGTTATATCCTATTTAAATCGGATGCAACTCGCCGAATGAAAAAAATGCCAAGTTGACTCGACAGTACAGATACAGTGCTTCCCAGATGCATATATCGTTAAGGTATATCTTACGTTAGCCGGCATCGCAACCTTGACGTCTTGGTAGTAATTAAGATTGTTTGATGAAATGATAATGATGATATTTGCGTTATTCCACATTCTACATTATGTACAATAATTTTACAAATCTTTGCCCCACTTTCAGCACTTCCCCACATTGGAGGTGGCATCTTGATTCTTTAATCATCCGTAATATGTTCTGCTGATTTGTTTTTATCGAGAAAACATTAAATAATCATGTTTATCGATAGCAGTTAGTTTTCGAATAAAACAAAGAATTTAAGGCTGTCGGTATACTCGTATCTCCGACATATCGGTGCAATATTATAATTTTGCACAACGTAACTGAGGCTTACAGTCGTATTTAATGTTGTCATAATATTATGTACCACGGGAAATATTACTCTTTAAGAAAATAATTTTGAGACAAGTCATTACTTGCATTAACACTAAAAACATTCATACAGTGTTACTGGGTTTAAAAATTAACATACTAATCATTTTGCACGTTGCTTCGTGCGCCATTTCTTTTGTTTATTTGCCGAATTAAGCAAAAAATGCTAAGGGCTTGCACTCCTACGCCTACATACAGCTGCAATATGGGAGCCATCCTTGATGCTATCTTTGTTTTTGCAAAAAATGTCTATATGTCGCTCGCTTGCTTGCCCTTAGGGCTGCTGAGACCTATACTAGTGTACTTAATGTCCTTATGCGGTGCATAAGCCCGTTGACGTTATGCAGTTAAATCCATTTCTTCCTCTCCTTTTTTTAAATATTCTCTCCGTGATCTCACGTTATATTAAAAAAGTTGGATTGTTTGTTAAGCAACATGTAGTGAAGATTTGCAACAATATTACCTTTACATTTTTTTTGACAAATCCGTTTGTAAATCTGTTAGCCGCTGTTAGTGTATACTTTTGGTGATGTCTGCCGTATAATACTCGTGAATATTTACGTGATATTATATGGAGATTTAACATGAAGCAAGTTTTAAAAATGCATTATAAGTCTATTACTTTTTTATGACAGGTGGTTGCCTTTTTGGTAGGGTGTTAAATTCTTTTATTCGCCACGATGGCGGACATCCCCAGCCGGCATCCCGATTGGCCCGAATTCTTCCTCCCCGACATCCACAAAATCCATTCTCCATTTGTACAGCACGCCGAAAGTGGGATATGATATTGCATCGGAACCGGATGCCCTGTACGTGCATCTGCTTTTCGCTTTAAAGGACCGCGAAATCGGTCTGATCGAGGCCAACTTTGCGTCACTCGTCTACTATGCTTTCCAGTTTTTGGAAGCAAATAAAGACGATTTAATTGATAATATACGGAAAGGAAGAGTGAAGTCCGGTTTGAGTTTTACACCTGAAATTCGCGTTGAACTGGAAAAGCTGTTGACTCCGGATGAACAGCGTGCTGATGATATCACCGATGCGTTTGCTAACGGTACTGTATTTTACCCTGCTAATGCTGTCTTTGCTCGTTTCCTGGTTATTCCAGTGACAGTATTTCTTATTCTTACTTACGCCGACTACAACCATGGCGACGTTAAGATTTTCGTTTTGTGGCAAGTCTGATTTTGCATTTCAGGCAGTGTTGGAATTGCCAAACGACTTTGGCCAAAAATGGCTCTGGTACTGTGCGTGGATTCCGGTGCCTTTGGAAATTACGGGCAGGTTTTACGCGAGAAATATTGTGAAGGTGCGACAAAATTTTCTACATATTGCTGGAAACACTTCGTACACGAAACTTTAATATTTCCCCAGGTGTTCCATTGTATTCTCCGTTGTACGCTGCAACCGAAGGATTAATTGGGTTGAACGTTTGGCCTTTACATTGTCCATCTCGCTATCTGCTTATGCCGACTGCTATGTTTTTTGAATTTATACCGCTCGATCGAATGGATGAGCTGCAGCCAGAAACGCTGTTACTCCATCAGGTTAGGATTTGTAGTATTTCGGCGTTGTTTCATTACCAATCGGAATTGCTTATGCCGTTCTGCGTTGAAATGCACAGCGTGATGCATGTGATGCAACTGTAGAAGTTCATTTCTTAACATTTTTTCTCTGTTTGTCAACATTAACCAAACAGTGTCATGAAGACCATTACACGAGTAGTTGGTACGAGACTACGGTATACAAAAAAAGTATAAAAATACAGAAATAAAGTTATTTTACGATATAGAGTTAAACATGAGATGCCGTCAACATGTTGACAGGTAAAATGCGGAGAACCGTATGAAGTCGTACTGACCAATGCCAGTGGCTTATGCCGGTTCAGGTTTGGCGATGTGGTGCGGGTTATCGATTTCGTTAACCAGTGTCCCGTTGTGGAATTTTTATACAGGTGTGTGAACGTATACCGTACATATTAAATATCGAAATGCTGTCTGTTTGGCAATCGTGGGAATTTTGGTTTCATAACTTTTGTTAGGCAACCGAAAACCTCCCATTTACTGCAGCTGCATACTTGTGGTAAATTGATAGCAGGAGTATTGAAAATGTGTTTTTTATAGAAAAGGACAACTGCTGAACGTTAGAGGCGAAAAAACATCGGAGAAAGCATTATATGATGCACTGATGACAGCTGCGCGGGATGTGGGCGCGGAACTGGTTGATTACACCACTTGCGAAAGCGTTTTACTTGGAGAACTGAAATACCAAGGTAAAATAACCCGTGAAACTCCTGCGCAGATCTTTTAAATTGAGTATTTGCAGATCAATCCCGGAAGTTGCCGTTTTATGCGATATTTATTGAGTTTAGCGATGTGCGGAAAATGTGGGCAGCAAGCGAAATGCGAGATCTGGCAGCAAAGGTGCGTATTTGTTTACAAGTTTTTCAGATCTTGCAATTGTGTTAATAATTTGGCATTGCTGTTGGTTATTTATTTTTTGTGCAAGTATGGTAAATGTGATATATAATGTTCATAAAATCGTTGTTCAGCTTACCAAAAATATTGAAATTATTCTTTACTGCCTTGTGTAAATAGAAAAATGTGTAAATAGAAAATTTAATTAGAATTTAAATAGAATTTACAGATATAAATATACATAATGTTAATTTGAACTGAACAGATCACAAGATATTAATTGTGATATTTGTGTAGATTGACGAAGCCCTCCAAGATTCATCTTATGTTTACAAATCGTTTCGGACTAAAAACGCTGTGGGACTCCCGGAAGTATATGTTCTACGTTCTGGTGCCTTTTCTGCTTTGCGGGCATTTTTGCTAACGAATTCCGAGGCCTCTGCCAACCAGATAAAAATTCCGCGAGTTATGAAGAAGACCCAGTCGGTCGAGTTCTTGCTGAACAAAATTGTTAAAGATTGATACGCCTGCTGTTATGATGGTCTATCATTACGAACATGATTCTGTGGTTACTGTGATATCGGTTTATTACGACTTTTTACATGAATTGTTTGGAATACCCTGTTATTGGCAGTAAGAAAATAACAAACAAAATTGTCCAAAGCAGACCTACAAGGAACAATTAATCTTTCGATGCGTGCAAATTACAGTGGGATCTTCATTAATAAAATTCCATACGTATGATTGTAACATGTTAAATGATTAATACGTATTCCAATTTAGTGATATTAGATTCACGACGGCAGCAGTGATGGATGGGAATTCCTCTGCACGGTCACCGTGGTGCAAATTGTCGGTACGATTTCTGACCTTTTCATGCTACAGTTGACTATCCGCCTCCACAATATTCGACCACCATCCATGTACTCTTGGCTGATGAAAATGAAAAATACCTGCAAGGTATGAACAACACGTGTCGAACAACAGCCATCGCGTCAATTACTTGAATACGTTCAGAAAGATTGGGGTAAAGTCAAAAATCTGATATACAATACACCGTAATTATCGAACTGGAGCCCCAGGGTTACAAATATTTCAAACGCCTCATGGGGTGGGCTCCAATTACGGGCATGGGCTTGTATTTCGGAGGGGGCTTCAGTTTTTCAAACTAACTTGTTTGGCATTCGCTAACATGGGCTATATAGCATTTAATTAAGCCCATGGGCTTATATTTCGGGGGGAGCTTATAATTTTCAAATGACCTGAAGGGTGGGCTCTGATTACGGGGGGAGCTTCTATTTCGGGGGGGGGGCTTATAATTCGATAATTACGGCAAGTAGTGTAGTCGTGTTATCACGCGATTCCCATATTTTATTGACACCGATTGTGTCATGCAACCGCGATTCACGTTCACGTGTACAGCAATCTCTAAAATTTCACATTAAACATAGTCACTTAATCTAACTCGCCAAAAATCACAAGCTAAGATCGTTTTCTGAATTAAAAAGTTTAAATTATGTAGCTGGTGCATCGTAGATTGCAGGTTTGCAAGCTTATAAAATTAATGGTTGCCGGTTATAATAATGTCAATAAGGTTTGAGGAAACTTATAGTCGAACTTATCTAAGTGTCACTCGTAAATATTGTTGCTAATTATATATACCGGGTTGGCAGCATATCCGATAATTAGAAGCGTTCGTGTCCACATCAGTAAACGGAACTCATGCCGCCAGACATCCGGGAAAAAGTTAATAAGGACCGGCGCCGGCAACATGCACAGGCAGTACCATAAAAAGGAGCAACATAACGCTTTGGCCAAGGCAACGCGCTTTCGCATTGCTTCCCGTTGACGCTTCGCCTCTCGCTTGCACAATTTCTGTTGTAAAAACACCGTCATGTACATTGCACCCAGAAGCGCAATGGGAAAATACGTAGACACAATCCCAACACTTTGAAAAAAGTGTCCACTAATTTGCACGGTCCCACAAGCTCCGGTCGGCTGCATTCCCAGCACCACGCCCACATTGAAATACATCGGGACACTGCAGGCTAACGAGATTATCCATGCAGTAGTGATACCCAGCGCCAGGGCCCATCTGGTCGTGACCTTTCCATAATGCAGCGGTAAGACGATGGCGACAAACCGGTTACCGGCTAACAGCACTGCGGACCAATTGCCCACAAAAACAAAAAGTATTTGTGTAAACTGCACGAAACGACAGTCGATGAGCGTGTATCGGCCACTTTGGATTTGGAGAATTGTAACGTTCTGTACCGGATTTAGAATACTACAGATGATAAAGTCAATTAGCTGGGAATGGGAGATCATAATGCCGGAACCGGTGCGAAATTTGTTTAAGATGACCATGATCATGAATAAGAGTAAGGTCAACACCGCGCCAACAATACCGAATGCCGTGGTTAGTGCGAACCAGGCCTTCAATTCCTGTGGGCTGACCAAATGGAGGCTCCGGTTGCCGAACACATGCACAGGCGTAATACCGGGATACGAAGTGTTTGTAAAATATGTGTATGCCATTTGCAATTTTAATTTCCTGGAGTACACTGATCAAGCCTGAATCTAATGACCTCAGTTCAGTATAACGAACACCCAGGGTTGAGATAACATACCTCCATAGGTAATCTGTTGGGCATGCGTGGAAACTGGGAATATCTTAATAAGGATGTCACAAAATTCCCATTCAGCATATAGACATATCGTATGCACATGCGATACTTATCAATGCTTTAACGGGCAGTGCGCAGCCCGCGTCGGCAATATTAATCCTGGAATCTCGGTACGCTTGCCTGTAAGCGAAGATGATCGCCTCATATTTACATGCGCCTACGCACCCACTGTACACGACGAGCATAGAACATATTGAATCCCGGGTATGGTAATTCTACATTAATTCAAAAGGCATGTCGTTAACAGGACAACTTCAATGATGCATTAGAACGACACGTTTAATTTGCACAGATCACTTCTGCTACCTTTACGATTCAGATGCTCAGCTGCACGGTCAGATAACACAAGTACGAGTATTTACTGATCTTCGAGAAATATACAGCATTATCTATTTTGATCCTATAAATTATTATCGGTACAATAATTGAGTTTGCCAGGACTGCAGAATTCAGGTATAAAATGGTGCACAAGCAAGTAAGCAGCCTTTGTCCATGGCCTGGCCATGAAAGTAATACTAAATACTTAGCCAAAACAACATACTGTTTATCGTTATATAGAATAGATACAATCTCCACATTTATTTTATTTTTATATTTTTACATTAAGTTTTTCAACCAAATCGTTTGCTGTAATAATCCCGTAACTGTACAGTGCGACTGCATACGTCTGGATTCTGGATCGCTAAAAAAGTAAAAATGAAAATTTGTGCATTTAATTTGAAATACAAATATTTACAAACTTTTTCGCATTGGCAGTGTTTGGCACTGTAGTGTATGTACGCTGGATTTGGCAAGAGAAACTGGGATGTAGCCTACATTCTACGTTGTTTATTCTATTTACATCGGGGCAGGTACAGAACTTCGGTTTAAGTGGTGTTTCTTGGCATCGCTCTACCTGCAGCTTGTAAAACCATCTCGAAATATCTGACTTTGTACAAAATACGATAACCGAGAACTGCCATATTAAATTGTTTACACAGCAAACTTATGAGCAGTATAAGATCAGAGAGGCAATAAATACTAATTAAATTTAATTGGACAATCAACCAGCATTCCAGAATAAAACTAAACTAGTAGCTAAAAAGTAATCATCACTGATCACTATTCTTTTAGAACTCATCAGCCAAATGTCAGAAACAATTAGCCAATTTCAATTACGCAGAAATATATGTTTCATCATAAAAAAATGCGCAGACGGTAAAAATCGTTGTAGAACAGTTTAAGTAAAAAACTCACGGCAGAATGCTAGACTCGCAAAATAAAGTATTTCAACACTAGCAGTACAAGCCAAACAAGCACAGGGCGGAAATTTCAGAATCACAGAACATAATGCATTTACAGTGGCAGCAGCCCTATTTCTCCACCTGCAGCTCCGGGAAGGGCCGAGTGAGAACAATTATTCCCCGCTCCGTGGATACCGTCTCCAGCTCCGTCGTCGGCTGCACGACCCGATGAGAGGGTTCTATTCCGGTGATGTACTCGATGGCGTACGTGCCCATCTGGTGCGAGGCAGGCGGTGGAAGATAGACACGGTTCTCCTTGCCGTTGTTGACCACTGCGTCGTACTCGGGCGGAGGATCCCAGGCCAGCGGCGCTGGACCACAGATTCGCGAACAGGATGACACGGAGATGGTCGCGCTGGTCGGCGATCGGAGCGGAGTGCCGCGACGACGACGGTACCGGATAATGAAGACGTAGACGAATGTTGCTGCAGATCCGACGAGAACAGCCAGGATGACGGCATAAGCGATTTGGGTAGAGGATGCAGGCATGTTTTCACTGGATAATCGTGCAGATTGATGTACAGTACTTCGTACTTATTATCGCGTCTAAAAACTTTGCGGCGACGGGTGACTATTGCTTGATAACCAGAAATATTCAAAACTACTTGTAAATAAAATACTGAAACACAAGCAGTGATAAGATTTATTACGCTACTGCAGTATCTGAATCCGTCTGCTCATGCTAAAAATTTTCGAAATTTTCGACTGGACAGTCAAGTCCACAATTTTTAAGCGGAAGTGGCGTACCGTGCCGAGCTTACTGAATAATTTTCAAATTTAGGGGCGGTAGCGATTTAGTACCGCTTCGTGTTTAACACTTCCTGTTCCAGCCAGTTTATTTCTGATAACTAAATTCTGTTATGCATATAGCACTTTTAAAAAGTTTTAAAAAGTACCGTATCTTAATTTTCTAAAAATAAAGAAAAGATTTCCGAAATGTAGGAAGACCAAAACAGAATTCCATCAGGCAGGCAGACTCAGCGCGCAACTCCGTGGGCACCCAAGGACAGTCCAATATATGATAGCCTCGACGCGCTACGTTTGAAGCGCAAAACAGCCTCGAAAATGCATTTAGGGAATTTTAGTCTTCCAACTTCTTAGGCTGCAAAAACCTGTTAACTAGTTCTACTCTAGCCAACGGATCCAGCATGTTATCTAGTCGCTAATCTTCTTATTTATGTTTCACAGCTTGCTACTCTTTGTTTTTTGAAATGGATGGCAGTGACGAATGGAATCCTTTGGCCCGGGCACTCCGCAAACAGCAGCAGACGGCGCCGACCAGTTATTCGAGAATTCCCGAACCATCAGACCCGTATCGTCGACGTAGTCGGTCGCCTTCGCCACGGTGCGTGGAAGGTTTTCGAAGTTTTGTAATATGTGGCGTCTAGTTGGTCAAGTGGTTTACTGTTTTTTAGTTCGCTTAATTCGCACGGAGTCGATAGCCGCAGTGATTTTCCACAGGTAAGAAAGCCACAAGCTGAAGAACTTCGCTTATCGTTGTTTCTCGTTAAGAAACAACAATCTTACAACATGCTCAAAATTGTTTGACAAACCTTTTCTAACATAATGGTTTTAGGATCGATATCGCGAACCACGATCGGCTTATTCGCAAGGTCTGTACGAATTCTGTTTTCTGCTTGCGCGCTTTCTGCTTTTGCAGTTATGTATAACTATAACTACAAGCTATGTATTGGCACACAAGATAATAAATTATATGATCAGTACGAAATACGGTTCAAATACCGTAATTAAGTAATTCCGTATGAAAAATTTCTTATAATTTATGGTTGTGAAGTTTCTTGTAGTATATTACAGTACAAGTATATTATTTTATCTGCCGCTTGCAAGTGAAAGATACTGTCTGCCATTTCGCTGTAGATTTTGAGCAGAATTTATTGAAGTGCATTTAATCATTTAATCGTATATTCGTGACATACTGGAGGTTACAACGTGACTGTTTTGTTGCAGGTCGTAAATTCTTAGCGCTAAAATGATTGTTAATTTTTAGTTCCAGTGGACTCGCATTATCAGCGTCGGGACCACCAGGGCCAGCCTGCGTACCCATCCGATCAACGCTCCCCTGTGCAACAGCGTGATTTGTCTCGCGCATCGGACAGGCGCCCGTTATTAGACGATTTCTATGCGTTTCGTCCCGCTCTCGTCTCGCGTGGCCCGGAACCCATCCATTCCGAGTATCAACCCATCCGCCGACGGGATCCATCCCCGCCGCTGCGCCAACCGCCAGCCTCTTCGGATTACCAACCCTTTCCACTGAGTGGTGGCCCCGATCGTCGTCATCATAACGAGAACTTCGCTCCCATTCACACTTATGAAAACCGACCTGATCAGAGAAAGCGCGGATTAGAGGATGAGTTTGATCGCGTTCCGAGGCGGGGAGATCTGCGGGATAATGATTTGCCTGGGCAGAGGAAACTCTTTCAGGATGCCGTCCGATCGGCATTGTTGATGGATGTCGATGATCGCTTGCCGCCAAAACCGACGTTCAATGAGCCGCGGAGTGCTCGAGATGATTATCCACAGTCTGATGGACGATTCCCAGATATCCATGTGGCAAGGAGTGAACCAAACAGCCTGATGGATAATTATCCGCCACTTGAGAGACGATATCAACAAGACGTTCGTCCCTCTAAGACTGAATTAGTCCGATCACGGGACGGATATCCACAGCCCGAACGGCACATGCATGGAGATTTGCGCCCAGCAGAAAATGAATTTCCTGGGCCACGGGGCGATTTCTCTTCGCCGGAAAACCGATTCCAGGGGAATCTTCAACCTGTAAGGACTGAATTGCCGCGACCAACACAAAGTTATTCGCATCCAGAACAGCTATTGCGCGAAGACGTCCGTCCAACTGCGGCGGAAGCCGGATTGTCAAGGCCGAGTGATGGTTATTCGCAATCTGAAAAGCGATTCCCCGAAGATTTTAGAACAACAGAAAGTGATGTACAAAGGCCAAGGGATGATTATTCTCAAGCGCCTCTGGAAGGCTTTCCAACAGCGCATCCAGTAAATTCAACGGCATTGGGCACGGAGATCCCGAAGGGGGTACCCGTTGCGATGGAATCAGCGCCGCTGCGAGGACAGCTCGCTTCTGCACCACTGGTTGCAGAAAAAGTTTCCAGACCCGTGGTGCCGGAAGAACGAAGCTTCATGGCACTGCAACGGGCGGTGCGGGTCTCTAAAGAAGAGGCTGAGAAGCGTGTTGAGGAGCAGAAAAGCAATGGATTCGGACTTTCGAAGAAAGATAAGATTCCGGTGACACCTGTTAAGCAGTCACCACAAACGCAGTTAAGCAGCACGGTGACATCTGTTATGCAGCAGTCACCAAGCAAACCACAAACGGAGAGCAAAGTTGAACCTGTTGTTCCAAAAGGCTTGCAGCAACCAGGAGCGAGCAAGCCAGGTCCACCCCCGGCTCCGCTGTTTCCGTCTGCAGGGAACATTCAAAGCGCCGCAGCAAAGAGCACCACGGAATCTAAGGTGGAAAATGTTTTTTTTGCTCTGTTATAAGTGACTGACGGTACTATCCTATTTTGCAGGGATGGGTCGATACTTATCCAGAAACGGAGGAAACAGTTCCAGAGGAGCCCACCGCGCCAGTTTATACAGCACCTAAACCAAGCCCCCCAAAGGTTGGTGTTTGTTAATATTATGATAATAGCGTATTTGTTGCTGACATTTTGGTATTTTCACCTTGTAGTCAAAGCCGCTAGTGTCTCTTCTTCCGGAACCAGCTCCGTTGTTTCCTCTTCTTCGCTCCGAGAAGGCAGCACTATTGCATTATCCATCTGATGAGCCGGTATTGCGCATGGATGCCTGTCCGACTGGTTTGGATAATCCTTTGCTACAGGCGTCGCCACCGCCGCTTTGTCGTCCCGGGATGTCGAATCCATTGCTGGATTTCCCGCGAAAGCCGCTATTGCCTATGTTTGGTCAGCCGTTGATAGCTGAGTTACCACGTCAGCAAATTAACCGAACAATGGATTACGGTGACACTGATTACCGACGTCCCGAACCATACAACGACCGGGACAGGGAATATTATGACAGGAGGAACGGACATGAGCAGCGAGTTGGGGAAATGCACGGTGGATACCATACAACAGCAGAGGAGCGGTACAGCTCGAATTCTCCATATAAAATTTTCGACGGCATGGTTTTTTTAAAATAATACATTTATCTTTTATTTTCTGAAATGCCTCAGTTTTTTTGAAACCTGTTACGATAAACATTATGGTGACATATCGAATATTTTCTGACATTGAGTTATAATAGTGAACGGCTAATTTATTCTAGATATGGATATGACGAGAGGAGAGGAGGAGATTTTCGGCCAGTGGATGATCGCGATGGTTACAGACATGAACCGCGTGATGATTACCGTTATCCGGCCGAGCAACGGAGACCGGATCCACCGCGTCCGCTTGATGGCTCGGATGCGCCGAGAGCCAGACCAGAAGACCCGGCTTTGGAAGAATTTTATCAGCAACTGGCAGCACGGTCGTCATCTTTTGCTGGGGATATTTTTGCTGTTAATGATCAGCTACCGCCGCGGCGTTCGATTGGTGATCCTACTGGATCTCGTAATGAAAGTGTCCGAAATGCGGAATCGGTACGGAACTCTTCTTTTGTTAGTATTTTTTAATGTTGTAACATTTGACATACGATTCACGCCCGCATATAGCGTTAAACAATAGAATTGATTTCTTTATCTGATGAATTTACATCTCATAGGCTTTAGCATAGTTGTTTTTGGTCTTCGCTCTGCTCGACTGATTTTTTTCCCTACCTTAATCATTGAAGTTGATTGATCAACAAAGCACTATCAGCGTGAAATTTAAGCCAACTCAGTTGGATAAAGTGAAGGTTTTCAAGGCCTTTTGTAGGACCGGCCCAATCAGGTTCATGCGCAACAGGAAACAGGATCTCACAGTGAGCCTACGGGCAGCTCTCCCTCCGTTAACAAGCTGCTCCTCAATTTAATAGTGGCTTTGGCGGTTAGTTGCTTGCTGTTTGTTTCTCGTTCGAAATTTAGTTTGAGATGCTAGGTTATATGTTTTCCCAAATCAGCTAGCGGGTGTTCGGTGATTCTCATCATCTCAGAAGCGGAAATAGTGTTTTCTCTTTCTGATTATTGTCGCATGAATCATTCGTAGGAGAATGATCGTCAAACTGGTCAACGGCACAATGCCATGACGTCCCCTGACGAAATACAGACGGTCGAGATGGAAGACGCTTTCTCTTCCGGTGCAAATCAGCCGAATTCTGGGGCGGACAGTAGAGCAGATTCTCAGGTTAGCGCAGCTCGGACAATTATTAACTGGTTAATTTCCGGGCTTGTGTTAATGTACAGATATTGTTCATACTTTATGTTATTTGACAGCAAGATGCTGTGTTGCTTGAAGCGTAAATTGATGATCTTGAAGACGATTTAGGCTTGTAGATTTTTTTTTATCAACGTACTTTTAAGTTTTATGTACGTTGATAATAAAAAATGTATGTATTATGTACTTCTTTCAGTTGTACAAACATCCTTTCCAAAATTATGATTTAAGGTATATCGGCTTGAAGTCTTGAAGTCTCGAACGGCTTTGGAGGCTGCGGAATCTATAAATAACTACAGTATATATAATATGTACTGCTTCTTCGTAGACGAAAAAGCTTAAGTAAATTTGATATGCTATTGTACTACAACAACTACATGATTTCAGTAAACCTCGTGTTATGTTTTTAATTTGGTTGACTTTGAATTATTGCCGATTTGCGATGTGCACCCATTTGTTTTTAGACTCCTCGATGGGTGGAAGGTTTCTCCGTATCGGACTCTGTGTCGCCGCCCACGAAACGAGCTAATATAGCGTCGCGGTCCTGTCGTGTTTGTAATGTGGACTTTGGTAGTAGTGAAGAGCTGGTGGCGCACATCAGGACACGGGAGCACATTCAGGCCTGCGGTCCAGTGAAACCGACCACCGTGGATTCATCCCAGTTCCGACCGGTTGGCGGGCGATATTATTATTGATGCGGTGCTTCTTTCTACCTCTATGATTTACACCATGTGAATTAATTGATTGTGTACAGGTTTTGGGAGTTTGAACTCTGAATGCATTAAGTTTTTGTCGAAGATTGCGTTCGAAGAGGCATTCACATTGTACTTTTTAAGTTATGAAATCACGCATATATACATTGAATTTAGGTTTCGGTTCTCTGTTATTTTCATTTCAACAGCATGTTAGGTGGTTTGTTGGTTGTGAGTTTTGGCGGTTTAATTTCACACCATCGTGAAAATAAAGTTGCATTGCGCCTTTACCCATGTGCCACCACCCTTGCGTGATCCCGCTTTACAATAACGTTGGAACGTTAGTTCTTTGCAGGAAACTTGGCACTACAACCATTGTTTATCGAATTTTTTATGGCTACCGATTTACGGTTGACCGTTGGCGGGTATGAGGCGATCAAAACATATGTTGCAGAAAAACCAGCATACCGATGATCAAGGAAAAAATGTCAGTTTTTAAATTCTATCTTCACACACTGATAAACAGTCTAAATTGCATTCTGATATGCTACATATATGGGTGTAAAGACTGACGAGTGGAGCTCAGAAAGTTAGGTATGGTAATTTCTTCACCGTCCCACCGCTGTATTAATGATATAGTAAATCAAATTTTACCAAGAATAAAAATTAATAATGTTATCGGAAAACTACTTCGGGCTTCTCTTTTCTGCTGTCGATTTCCTCGTGTGCGCTGAAATAACCAGTAATCTCGTATCGCATGACCTCGTCGCATCCGTACCGCCCCAGGTCGAACGCTGCTGAAGCAATACGCACCATTTTCCCAAGTACGCGATCTGGTACCAGTAACTTCCAATTGCTGCAAAGTCCGAACGTCGAAGGTTCTCCGTTTGCTTTTCAAACGTTACAACGCGTCGACGACGGAATCTACCATTTTATAGCATTTCACTACATTTTCACTCTGTCGAATTTGTCGAATGAGACCGTAAGCAGCCTTGTGCAGACTTCAACTGAGAAGGCTGTGATCTGCGCTGCACGGGGAAACATTGCTGATTACACTCATTACACTGATTACAGACAGAAATGTTGTCGGCACTGGTTTTGGATGAGTGCCACTGTGTAGTGGATGTTGTGCGAAGCGGCGGACTTCCGCAGCGCGGAATGGTGTGGGATGTGATTCCCGGGCAGGGCGTCATGGTGGACTTCGACTACGCTGACCAAAATCGCCAACTGGTGCCGTTCGATCAGTGCTTCAAGCCGCCCATGCGACGCGATACCTACAAATTCATTCGTGGTGACACTGTGTCGGTGCTGCTTCAACGTTCCTCGGACAAACCATGGTGCTGGTATCCGGCCGTCTTCCTGGCCCATCTGACGCAGAGGACGGTCTTTGTGGAAGTGAACTTCAACGGGAAACTGAAGCTTGAAGTGGTGGAGAATTGCCAGGCTCGGAAAGCGCCCACCGAGTACCAACCGCTGACAGGAAATGCGCTTTACAAGCATGTAGTGCGCGATCGAACTAGCGCCCGTCGGACGGAGGCGGATAAGCAGTTCTGGGAGAAATGGGGTACAAACGGCCTGGGATATGAGGGAGATAAAATTAAATACACGTCAACATCGAATCAGCCATCCCCTCACCGTCACGCTGTACGTTGTTGTCGTTGCATGATCACATCTTGTTTTTTTCTTAACCTTATGGTCTTATGCGGCAGTTTACAAGTTAGAGTATTCACTAGATACTGCAGGTACTGTATTGTACAAATTACGAGCATGCTGTAGCACCACAGTATAAGGGTTAGCAATTCACGTGCACAGGTGAGCGTCAACACGCTCACAACGACATTATTACAGTGTTATAGTTTCGATAAATTAAAAAAGACTGTTAATTTTCAGTTTTTAAATTTTATTCGTAATTTATGGGGGAACGCAACTGCAACACAAAATCAAAAACCATTATCTTTCAGAGAGTTCTTTTCTCGATAATAATGCGCTACAGAAAAGAAACGCCGTCCATAAAGAAGACCGCGAATACAATTCTGGTAAGCTTCATTTTTTTAATAGATGATTAACAATTGTTGTAAATAGTTATGTAACGGAGCTTCAATTACTTACCTAAACTATGCATTAATTTACAACTTCTTGTACTTCTCGTGTTTTACTCTACACAAGTGCTTTTACATGACCTTTGTCAACGTTAATGTGCCACACTGGAACTTTTACGAAATTCAGGAGGTCACTGGTGGCATCGATCTGGACGAAAATCAGTGCAGTATCACGGAATTACCGGTGGATTTATTGAACGCGGTATTTACCCACTTGAGCGTCTACGACCAACTGAAATGTCGCAGTGTCTGTCATACCTGGGATGTCCTTGTGGCGTCGTTGCTGTCCTACCGGTTGGAGTTAAATGTGGACACATGCGGTGAGCGACTTCTGACCATTCGCCTGCATAAACTGCTTCTACCAGCCACCAATGTGCTGATTCTGACCGGCAATCGGACACACGTGAGCGGCTACCTGCCACTGCGCATTCTGCGAAAGATGCTGCAGCTGAACGGTGTCAAAGTGTCACGCATCGTGCTGGTCAATTTATTAGTGACCATAATCGATGTGTACGATTATTGGAGCGGTGGAAATTTCCTGCCCCTGCTGCCACTGTGGGCGGATGTGTGTGAGAAATTAACGGTAATCGAGGTGGATGTGATGCTGTTTTCCATACATCAGGCGAAGTCATCCACGGTGACCTATCGGGTGAAACGGCAGTCGATTAACTTGAAACGCGACGAGTGTGTGGGTACAGTTTTGGAAAGTTGGTACCCGGGAGTTAGTAAGGAAGACTTGGTCAATACAGAGAGAAAGTTGCGCACCGAGTGGGATAATCCTGACCATAAACATCGGAAAAATATGTTTTCGGTAATACAAACACCCAAGTATAATTTGTGCTTGCATGTCGGATTTGCATGAATATTATCAGCTGACTTGTAAGATGCGGTATGAATTAATTCTTTTACCGTTGTTTTGTTTGCTGCAGATGATCAAGGTGTATCAGTCAGGAGACGAGGGGTTTGCTTCGTTCAGCGGTTATGACAGCATCCCTGATAATCTACCACCACTGTCATCCCTGCGCAAATCCACTGTTTGGTTCCTGAAGACACGCTATTTGGATGCCGGCAGTAACTGACGAAATGTTGGTAAATATTGTATTTGGTCACAATTAAACCAAACTTGGCGATGCTCACAATCCGCTGAAAGCACTGCGTCGGTTGTTTTGATGGAGTGCAGCGTTTAATTGTCATATAGATATATTGTACTAACGTACTCGTGTATCTGCATAGCTTGCTGCGCGAAACTACAGCAATATGGCTTCCAAAATTTGGCTTTGTAAAATGTAAATGACCGATTATTCTGAAACTTAAATTTTGCCGTATTCTGTTTACCTTATTTCTCTGTTTACTTTATTTACTGTTTACTTTCTTTCGCAATTTTTTGCTCTTTACTGATGGTATACAACTAATACAAGCACATGTCCGATATTTTTATTTGGTAGCATTCTTGCATGATACATTGTTTTCGATGGCTCCATCGCAGCACTTGTGTACTAACTGCTTGATTCCATTTTTTTACCCCCGTTAATTGGTCAAATGATCCTAATCACCCTAATGTGCAGTAAATCAGCCATCGATGGCGCAGTGTTCCCACTACTTGCCAAGGGAGATGTCGCATTTGCTCGTTGAATGATGTTTATAAGACGTTATAATGCATATTATTATGAATTATTTATGTTGTGTATAAAGCATATTGTATTAACGAAAAAACGAAAACAAACACATTTGGAAAAAAATCATGTATGTACTCTGTACAGTGGTTTAACTTATTTAATACGGTAAAATAATAAAAATAATGACATGACTGTGCGCCATGTGGACGGTTACGTTACCAACATTATTATTCATAAGAACATTTCCTGATTCTAATTGCACGGTTATTTGCACCAGTGACAGGCTTCCTGCCGCTTCCAGTTTAATTTTCCACAGTTTCTGTATCTTCCCGGCAGATTGATCTCTCCTGGGTGAGACGGATCTTCCTTTGTGTTTACTAGTACATTTATGCTTCTGGGTTTTTAACAAAATCAGGAATATTTCTGCGACTTCTTATTTATCGGAAAAATCGGAGTTAAGCACCCGTAAGTCCACAGATACTCGCGCGGTAAGTAATTGGGGAACATTGATTCCGGTTTCGCGATGCATTACGCACTGGTACCATATTGACATATTCCAATCACCTTCCGTTCGCAGTTTGTTTCCGGTTTTTCGCTTTGATTTCCGTAAACTCATACGTCTAATACAATTTCAAGATTGAGAGATCCCTGAAGTCTTGCGTAGTTTTCGGCTCGTGCGTCTGTTCATCGGTGAGCACTAGGCAGCACGCATAGGCTTGCAGTGGTGGTGCTTTGGCCCGTTTTGGGGCAGCTTCAAGGGAAGTAGATTCAGGGATGAGGGCTTTTCGCATTGGAAATATCCGTAAACGGCGTTACCCTGTCGAAATTTAAAACCCTTGCTTTGATTGATTGCAGATACTGTAAATGATTTACTATTGGAGGGTTTTACAGAAAGCCGAAGCTCTGCTGTTTGCGTAGTACTTATCGTTAGTAACTTAGATGATGCAACTCAGGGGCCGTAAATTTCGGTTTTTCGTCATTTTTACGTTTTACACTTATTCATATAGTAAATTTATCCGACTGTGGCAAATGCTATTCTACATGTTTCTTTTTTTATTGTTTAGATTGAATCGCGTGAGAATGTCGTTTGACGGATCGGAGGATTTGGCAGCGGTAATGGACTCGGATCTGCAGGATTTCATCCAGGTGCAGCAGCAGAAAGCGCAGCTGCAGAGTTCGGCGCATAAACTGACGGATATGTGCTGGGATCGGTGTATCGGGGATAAGCCGTCCTCTAAGCTGGACGGCAAGACGGAGGTCTGCCTGAGTAACTGCGTCGAGCGTTTTATTGATGCCTCCATGTTTTTGGTCAACAGACTGCAGAAGAATTTGGCATCTCATACCTGATTGATGTCGTTCTTAAAAGTTTGTTCTTTTACTGATTTGTATTATGACTGGCTCGCTGCGAGCCTTCGACGGGTGTTTGGAATGATGGTGTTGTGTATCTGAATGTTTTAATGTGGGGTGTGGAAGTTGTGCTCTTTTGTAAGTTCTTATTGGAATTTGGTGCGGATGTTGTGTGCATAAACTACGAATTATGAAAGCTGTTTTTTGTTGTTCAGACATCAGATTTATCATGCTGTAATCGTGCACACTCTTGTTCATCTGTCATCCCTTAAACGGAGTGCTGTCGCAGATATTTCCGTTAATTACGGGGAAAATTACATATTAACGCGTACAGTGTAATCGTACTTAATCGGCAAGTTTACAAATTTCAACTTTATACACGATTTTCTTTCAGTTCGGCATTCAGCATGAGCGAAAAATCATTAAACTAATAACTATGTTAAATAGACATGAAAGGGCAACAAATGCAAAATTAACCAATAAAATGTTAATTGCAGAAATCACAGCATCAAAATACAAAAAATTTTCTGTGCAGGAACTGTTTACACTTCACACTGACGGGACCTTTGGCAATGAATCCATAATATGCAAAATTTCCGATATTTCTGCAAAACCAGAAGTACTGTTAACTTATCCGGCCAAAAGAAGGAACTATTCTTACTAATTCCTGATTTTTTAATTTCTTTTCACGCATAACATAATGAAACTAACCATAAAACGGTCGTGTCAGGCGCAGTTACATACGAATAAATTTTTGCATACTGGAGTATATTTTTCCTCAGTCACATACCGTGCTTTAAAATGAGCATCTTTTCCAAACTCATGCTAAACACATGAGACCGTAGATGCCCGTCCTTCTCTAGCTTCATGGATACCGCGATTCGGAAATCGGTGGCCTCTTGTTCGGACGGAGAGCGAAGATTCATTTCCGGTCTCCACTTTAACTCGGTCAATCTGGAAACTGCAGACAACATTTCAGGCCGCCCCTGATAAATCTCCAGCATTATTATTTTGTACTCAACTTACTTCGAAAACCGCCCTGCAGAAAAACTTGGGCAAATTGCGGCGTCGACTGGTAAACTTTGCTCAAGCTTGCCGCATGTTCTGTTGAAAGACAAAAAAATTATCAACTTTATCGCTGTCACAAGAACGGGAAATTTATTTACCATCCTGTCCGTTTTACCTTTTGGAAATCCCAGTTGCTGCAGCTCGTTCGAAAAGACTTCTGCGCTGACATTATACTTGACAGCACTGGATAAGAAGAATTCCACAGCAGCGATAACGATTTTGCTGTCTTCCAATGCTGCCAGAAATGAAGAAAGTTTGCACATGTTCATTTAAGCCAAAAACTGTCAACAATTCTCACATAATTTAGCATCTTGACAAATTTTCCCAGCGGCTTCGGACTATAAAGAAAGCCATCAAATCCAGACTACACAACTCCAGTGATAAAAATATTTACCGCTTCCGACATCTCCAGCAGAGTTTTCGCTACCTCCTGCGCGAGCTGCCGCATTTTGATGGATGTCTACACACATCACAATGAAGCAGTGCAATAATGCCAGATTTAAATTTATTCCTTAGTGGAACTTAACTTACAATTAAATATGAGCTACGCAAAACAAATTTTTAAAAAAACGCATAACGCAGCTTAAAATTATCGCATACAAAGGATTTTGCAGACTGAATGGCTTCTATAAATTCTTAAAAAACCCAACGAAAGTATTACATATAAATGAAAAGTGTAGTAGACAGAAATTCCACTAAAACGTTAATCAAAAATTTAAAATACAACCAACCGTAATAAAATAATACATTTAAAATACAATTTAAATTTAAAATACATTTTAAAATACAACAATTTAAAATACAATACCATTCTTCACACGACATACTTACCAATTTCGTTAACAGAGAAATCGCCGCCAGAGCCCAGTCCGGGCAATCAAGATCTCCGCAAAACCGGAATTTCTGTAAAAGAAGAAAACAACAGCGAATTAAAAAATTCCGTTTTTGTTCGGTGCACGGTTAATTACCGAACTTAGGAAACGAACAGAAATCGAAAAGTCTTCTGTCTGGGCACGAGAGGATTATTATAATTATCAAAATCAAACATTCAACCAAATTAAAATGTCAAAAACGCTACAAGAGGGGAAGCCTGGTATGGCAATAAATTAGGAAACAAGCAGAAGAATGATCAAACTCAAGGAACACAGACACGGTATAGTGACTGTAGTCGGTTTTGTAGAATTTTTTGAAATATAAGTCTGCATGTCCGGTAGCCTTTGACTTACTTTGTGAAGATCTTTAGTTCCTGAATTAACAAATACACAAAAAAAACAGCGAACTCGAAACAAATAATGATAACAGTTAACAGTGTAACACTGTCAAGTGTCAACATAACAAGAGACAACATTGTCAACAATCACAACATCATAACAGTAAGCTCCTACTGACTTACAGAACTGCAGCCTTAATCACTTACTCCACATTAGAAACTTGGGATTTTGAGTGTCAGCCAAATCCAAAGTTATTGTAATGTAATTTTTAATTAAAGATAATGTTATAAGAAATAAGTAATAAATGTTAATAAATTATGAGACGCCAGACGCCAGAGGCCCAAGCCAAACGCTTCTCACTGCATACGCAGTACGCACGTACCATTGTTTACAAACGTCCGAAACAAAACAATTTCACAAGATCCGCTGAAATAATAAATCTAACGGGATAGTGGCAAATTCGAAGAGTCAAAAGCCAAAGTTCGAAACACACAAAAAATTAAAAATACAATTCAAAAGTGAAAACTGAAAAAGAAAGTTTTCCAACTTTTCCACCAGAAAAACTACACACTTCCTGGGCCCTGAACTAGTTTATGCGCTAGTTTACAGTACTGTCGTGTACGAAACTCTTCCCTCGTACGGTAGACTGCGACATCTTTCTGAGCGCCCCTACAAATAACAATTGATTTGGTTTTATTATTTTAACATTTTAGTTGGTACTTAAATTTAGAACTTACTGGACAACTGCCGTTGGATAACTCTGAACCCGCCGATTGTTATTATGGAAACATTTTATCAACGGAAGCGCCGACGTATTGACCTTTTTGCCACCACAAAATTCTGGGACTGTGCATGCTTAAATACCACACGGGAGCCACAGATCTTACTGCCCTCCACTCCGTCACGGCCGATCTGCAGAGTCCGAAGCGCAGTTCCAGTGCGACAGAATCGACCAAAAGCCCACGTCCACTGAAGAGTTCGGTTAATCGGGATATTCCGTACATGTCGATTATCAACAAGCTACCAGGTGGGAAGGCGATCGGATCGGGTCCAAAGGCGGCGGAATTAATTATGAGAAAAATATGATTTAAATGTTATATCTGTTCGGGCGTCGTGGCTAACAAGCTCATAACTTCGTTCACCCTTATTGTTAGCACCACCACCGCCCGACGCGCTTACCATCTACTCAGCCAATCGTCTGCCGCCGGCTGTTTGATTATGGTGACCCTTTCGATTGCAAATTGGCAGCCACGGTGACCCTGCTGATCTGCGCCGCGGTTCTGCTGGTCTTTCCATGGCCTCCTTCGCCATCAACCATATTGACATTACCCCACAATACGCCGGCATTCTCATGGGAATTACCAATACTATCGGCGCTGTGCCGGGAATCTTCGGTACCGGTCCCTACCTGGTGCGTACCCTGCCACAATCTGGTTCAGTAGTCCATTGTCTTCCATCTTCCATGGGCACGTCACGGCCGGCATTTTCACCCGACGGTGTCTTCTACGCTTATTGCGCCTCGGGAGAACTAGCTGCAGCCCTGGATATAGAATAAACCGCAGACAGCGCAGCATCAGCTAGCTGACCGAAGATGACATATTGGGAATCCCTTCCACCATGAATCCGTGTATTCTTTTTGTGTCTGTTTCTTCCACAGAAACCGGAATAATTACTGATATATTTCGTAGCCGGTGGCAGTTTACTTGCTTTTAAATTTTATTTGTTTTGATGTGCTATTGAACTTCGAAATTACCGTCAGCATGTTGGGGCGCCTACTTTCCGAGAAGCGCTGCAAATTTGCAATCCTCAGTATTTTCTACGTGCGGTATATAAAATGTTCACTTCTTCAGATGGTTTACGGAGAAAAAAGATTGTGATACGAGCAGTCGCACTAAATTTGCATCAAAGCACGCATTTTAGCAAGTACGCGTAGTAAAACAAATGAAGTAACACTGGGACTAATAATGTTGCGACGCTTCTGACGTTCGGACTTCATGCCAGCGCTGTCCGGCAATCGGCATTGCATTAATCCAGATAAAGTGCATGATTAAAGATAATTAATGTGATATCACCTACGCGGTAATCTTTGCGCAAACGGTGCATTCAAAACATCGGTGCACATATTTGGTCCACATTTTGTGCGATTTGCAGTATCAGATAATACGATGTTCACTCGGCGGCTGGCATGCATTCACAGACGCCTTTGATTAAACATTTTTATTTGTTGAGCATCTACACTAGAGCCTTATTTGAGTGATCTAACTTGATTGGTTCATTGACGGCTACTGCAAGTTCACGACTATCGGAACCCTTGCACCACGATGTCCCATATAAACGTGGATAACATTCATGGCACCGGATTCGTAGCCGAGAACCAGAGTCATTTCGAAGTCCGTGCCTACGGATGGGGCACCCGATTTCGTTTGGCCAACGCAGGTCAACCCGACCATTCCTTCCACGCTCCCATTCCTGTACCGACACGTCGGGATGGGCGCTGCCCGTATGTGGAAAGTGTCACGCTTCATTATCTGCTGGACGGGGCCACGATCTTAGGTGTGGATTTGTGGGATGGCCCAACCAAAATTGGTGCTCATGATTCCATGTCTATTAAAACCGGCACCGTGTACACATGGTCTGTACACCAGGTTATCAATTATGGACTGAATGTATCCGTTTCCGTTAGATTTCATGACAGTAAAACAATTACTTTTCATGCTGCATCGGCGCAATATTACTTTGTGTAAGCGTCTTCAAATTTAAAGCAATTTGTTTCTGTACATTCCCGATTTTCGAATATGCTGTGATTTTCGAATATGCTGTAAACCGATCAGCTACAGTGGTGCACTTTCTAGTCAGAACCGTTAGGTCAAGGTGGACATGGAAACTTGATAAGCACAATAATACGAATATATCAGGATGTTGAGCGAAATGCGGCGCAACTTTGAAAAAGTTTGATTACGAATGCATATACCTTCAAAGGTTTTGCAAAATGCCAGTAAATTTAAGCGGGAAAGCGGTGTCCTCACGAAAGCTTTAAATTAACTTTTAAAAGGGATCAGTAAGCAGACTTATTCATAACTTCTTCGATTGTCAATCGTATCCCCTGCATGTCGGATGCAGAAAGCTGCTTGTCGCCCATCTCCAGGATGACCGTCGCATATGTCAGAACTCCAGTAATTATCTGCGTAGCCAAAACAGATTATTAGCTGGTTACTACCTGTTGATTTTAAGACCGTAACACGCTCCCACCGTCACAATAAATGTCCGGTTGATTGGAAAAACGCTTCCAACGGTAAATCCAAGGTGTGCAGATCGCAAACGGCTCAGATGAAAGTATACATCTAGTTTGTCGTCTTTACTGCTTAACCAGTTACGATGTAGAGCTTGTTCAATGCGTGGAAGGATTTTCTGAGCCTTTAAAGCAACATTCACGAGGTACGTGCTAAGGGTTTGCCATGAGACTCTCACCCTATCACACTTGCAGCGAAATACTAACCGAACTGAATGCAGCTGCCGTTTGCCAGCAAAGGTAACAAGACATATATATACAAAACAGACTACTGAAACAATTACAAATTTTCTCGCAATGCAACTAACAATCACATGCTCGTGCATGCTGCTTCGAAACATTGGCGACTGCCTTACCTTTTCGTTGACGAACAAAAACCGAAAGGTCATCAATGACAACCAGAAGATTCCTTCCAGCAATACAATTTGCGCCGCACTGACTTTCGTTCCTTGTTTGATAGCGTCTATACTTCGCAGAATGGAAAGGACATGGTATGAGTACAGCAGAAACGTTATCCACGACAGGCTGGCATCCAAATCCCGCACCTGCTCACTCAGCCGAAAATGATCAACCAAACTATCCATGCACATTTCAACCATAGCACTGGGTTTATCCTTCAGCACTTTCTTAGCGTATTTCCCGAAAAGTACACCACTGGCTATGCAAATTTCGAATACAACAGTTTCAGACAAGAAATTGCTCAAACCATTAAAATTGCTGGTTATTTGCATGCACCAACTCAGAATTCGACAAATGACCGGGTATTTAGTTAATCCCAGATCAGCATAGAGAGCTTTATTTGCCATAAAGAAGGATTCCGATCCTTGCAGATCGCTAAATGTACGGGCACCATGCCATGAAATGCTTATTACTGATAAGGTCACGAAGCAGAGCGTTAGCGCAATTGTTTCCTTTCTAGTGAGGTTGCCCTTAAGCTGCTCATCCAGTTGGGTGATCATCTCCACCAGTTTGTCGTATATCAACATAAAGTAGATTGTACCCACCGCAACAACGATGTACTTTAAGACGCGCGTACCCATTAAAACGACACTGGCGGCGCTGATGTCAATTCCCGAACCATTGTCGTTTGCCGGTAATCCAGTGACGACTGCGCCGTATAAGCGGTACCCGTACATAAGGATCATGGAGGACAATAGAAGTCCCACCCAACACAAATGGACGGTGCGCATAAGAAACAGTATGAAATTTGGGACTTTGCATTTTGTGTTTTCCGCTGCAGGGTGTGGCCGTTTTGACAAGCATCCGTAACCAAAACATTTTAACACGAACAAAAAAGGAGCGACACGGTAAGCTATAAAGCCACGCTTTAGTTTCGTCTGCATTTTAACTAATGGTAATTTGTTTCTGTTTTGCTATCCAAAACATTAAACGATGCACATCGAAAGAAGAGGACGTCGTTGTCGCAACTCGCAGAAGTGTGATATCCAGGCTCTTTCATAAGAGTTATCTACAGCTGCAAGCCTTACAGCTACTCTAGTGTTAGTTTGTTATGTAGTAATTGGCCGCGTTGCGTTACTTTCCAAAAATTAATGCTGACACTACGCTGACTAGAGTACAGTATAATTCTCAGAAGTTCAAAAACATGTTTAAATTGTAAAATCGATAAGGATCAGTTACTTCGCTGGTATACATATTAACACTCTTGGTATTTAAATTTCGAACTGCACTATTATACATTAGATCTGTCATGTAAATAATAAAATTTTTAAACGCTTTGAATATTACTAATTGGCATTTTATCCTGTAACGCTCGGACATCGTGCTAAGAGCTGACGAGTCTCAAAAGCGTTATTATTATGCCGAAACAACAGAAAGGAAAAAGGTCAACCTGATTTTCGAGTAGTCTAGTGATTGCGCGATGCAGTTTTTAAGCCCTCACTGGAAGGAAATTGCCATTGTTAAGTCTAGCAAATATGAGATGCCGTTATCTGTAAGTATAAGTATATATGCGACTAATACGAGTACAATAGCAATAATGCTATCTGCATTTTGTGTGGATATCGTTATCATGCTGCGTGGTTATCGTTACTGCTGACACTGTGTTTGTTTTCGACTTTAAGGATCAATTAAGAAGAAAGTCAAAATTGTACTGTTACCATCACTCGAATCGATACAAACTAACGGCAACGAAATACGAAATTCGACTAACACTTATTAGATAGAGGATTCAGATTTTTCCCCGTTAATTCTGCTTTCATTTTCCCTGACCAACGGCATCCTACCTTCTTGTTGATTTTGGTTTGAGTTATTTTTTTACAAAGACAAAATGCCGAAACTGTTTAATGCCCGTATTACCACCGTCGACGCAGAAATGGAGTTTGATGTTAAGGAGAGTGTTACCGGCAAAGAGCTTTTCGATCAGGTTAACCAACACTTTTGGCAGTTATGAGTAATACGAGTACGTATACAAATTGGAACGAAGATACTTTTCTAGTAAATGAGTTTTAGTTAGTTACGTATCAATCCACGTTCCGGTTTTCCATGAGGAAATTGATCGCGCAATGTGGATGCATCGTACAATATGGCGGCATGTTTCGGGTACTTTTAGGTGTCAAAAGTGATTGGTCTCCGCGAGATTTGGTATTTTGGCCTGCAGTACACCGACACCGAAGGGGATGTTACATGGATTAAGCTAAATAAAAGAATCACAGATCATAAATTCACACCTTCGCTGCCCTTTATGTTTCGCGTCAAATTCTTCCCGGAAAATGTTAATGACATTATAACCGACACCACTTTGAAATTGTTTTATCTGCAAGTCAAGCATTCGATCGTCAATGACCAATTGTACTGTCCACCGGAAACTAGCATTCTCCTAGCGTCATTCGCCTGTCAAGCAAAATATGGCAACTACAATAAGGAGACCCATCCGGCAGGTAGACGATACAAAACGTATAAATTAACATTCTAACTGGTACGAGATAAAAAAGACAATAAATATTCGACAGTATTAATACGAATTACGTATTGGCTCAGTTTGCAAAACTACAGGATATCTTGCGAGTGACCACTTGCTGCCGCAAAATGCTCGAAATCAAGTGAAAACGGGGCAAGACAACGAACACTTAATCAAAAAATGGTGGACGGAACTGAAGGATTTATCGCGTGAAGAAGCCATGCTGGAATATCTGAGGATTGCACAGAATTTGGACATGTACGGGGTCAGTTATTTCCCGGTCAAAAACAAACACGGCGCCGAATTGTGGTTAGGTGTTCATGCCCAAGGGGTATACGTGTATGAGAAGCAAGATACTTTGCATCCCAAAGTCAAATTAGGATGGGACGAAATACGGAACGTTTCGTTTAACGACAAGCAGCTTATCATAAAGAACAATGATAAGTCTATTGCCGACGTCGTGTACATTACACTGCGACATCAGATTTCCAAACGGATTCTGGCATTAATAATGGGCAATCATGAGTTGTACATGCGCCGTCGCCAACCGGACACCGTCGAGATACAGCAGATGAAAATGACGGTTAAAGAGGAGAAGTTAGCCCAAAAGCAGGAACGGTAAATTTTGCTGGCTTACAACCAAAATCTGCTTTCGTAATAAACAAAATACGTGACGTTTTGTTCCTCATTTCTTCAGTTGAAAGGCTTTTTTCCAGAGAGCGTCTGCTGCGTGAAGTACAAGCGCGAGAAGAAGCGGAACGTGAGGCACGCAATTATCAGAATCAGATTCGTATTCTGCAAGATGAACTCCGTTCACGTAATGCGCGTACGTCACTCGTCACTAGTTAAAGCATTGATTGTCTGAGTACCGCAGCCCAGTTGTCAACAAGGGTGACAACAAGTGCAGCGCTATCAATACATGACCTTTTGTTTGTTATAGAACCACCCGAAGGAGCCTTGCCCTATCCCATGCCAGTTCCATCTCATGTCCCATGGAGTGGAGCAACGCCGCCATAAATTAATGATATCATGACGCTAAGGTTATCCAGGCTTGCTCCTGTGGCACAAGGTGCCAAATTAAAATGTAACCTGCTTAGTGAACACTGAACACAGTGATGGAAAGATATTAATTTTGTCAATCCTTCTGCAAATAGTTTTATTTCTTCCTATGGGTGCGGTACCGTTCTCCTGCATGAAGGGTAGAGGCAGTACTAAGCTGCGTCAACATTTAAAAATTTTATTCCTGCCAGTCATATTTGTGCTTATTGAAAGTATATTGCGACTGCTCACCGTTGCGTATTTTGGTTGTATTGTTCAGAAAAAAAGAGGACTTCCGTACCCCCGAGAACGGTCAGCGTGAAATACGCTGATCGAAAATCCTAAATGAAAGATTTACTGTACTGTACTTACAAAAAATTCAAAAGCCCAGTACTCACTACTACAAAGTACTTACGGACGTTACGGTACTGACTTATACGATATATTCATGTTACTGGTTACTCTAGGTATAGCAAATAATAAACAATTTGTTGCTCCTGTTGTTGTTAGCAGTTAGTTGTTACTTGTTACTTGTTAGTAGTTAATAATTTGTAATACGCCGGCTGTCGGCCCACTGGCAAGCGTTTTTAAAATGGAAAGTTTTATTAGCAAGGAAAACTGGAAATGGACTGGGGTAAATGGTAGTGGAATCACCGTTCAAGTCAGCTGTCGGCTGTATGATCCTGCCACAGCGCCGAATGCATTTCTGACGTGAAATGAAAATCCACTTTTTCTGGCACAATTCACCATAGCTGTCAGTCAGCTGGAGAAATTCAATGTGGTTCCCAAGTACCACCATAGCTTCAGCCACATTATCCTATTCGAATAGTTTTTTATTCTCCTAAAAATGGATAAAATGATACGATTGTTCTGTCGGCATGCACAGCTGCAGCAAGGATTCCGCGCAAGGTACGAACGAACGAGTTTGGCATGTGCAGTTTGGAATGCGTGCGCCTTTAAAATTAATTCATTTTGGTTTTCATCCGCTTCCAGGTTCCACGCTCAAACATGTGCGCTCGCACAGATCCCGCACGCATCTGCGAAACCGTCTCCGGAGCAGTCAACGCCAGGTTAGACTAAATTTCGCATACATTGCTGGTAGTGGTGGGAGAATGTGCGAGGAAAATCTTTAAACAGCGAATGAATATTGCAGAGATTGCCAGAAGGAATCTCTCCAAAATCCTCATTGCCAATCGAGGCGAAATCGCCTGTCGTATCATACGAACAGCCCGAAAGATGGGCATCGACACGGTGGCGGTTTACAGCGATCCGGATCGTGCGTCCTTACATGTTGACATGGTAAGACTACCGATCTGTTGGTGCCGTATTTGTCAGACTTGTTTTTCGAAATCAGAACTTTGCAGTCAGTGTTGCAATAATAGCGATCTAGCCGATTTTTAATAAGCGCGTTCGTTCGTGATATAAATTTTTGGCGTTATTTTTTCCTGTATTTGCACAGGTGCCTTTTACCACAAATGGGCACTGCTTTTTTCGCTTGCAGGTTATTTTTAGAAATTTTAATGTTTTAATATTTATTTTGTGTTTTAATAATTTTTTTTGTAATTTTTAATTGTAGCTTAATTTTATCATTATCGAAATATCTTGGTAGACGTAACTTTTGAATGCATATCATCTTTCTGCTCATGAATAAGTACTTCATTTTCGAATGTGTCTGATAAAAGTGCAATTTTTGCATGCGTTTTTGAATTTTTTAGTTTGTAGAATTAGCTCTTTATCGGCTTATTCTTTATCTTTATCGGCTTATTAAATTTTAGAAATAAAATTTTAGTCACCGAAATGTTAGCCAGTCATACCCATATTTGTGCGTAATATAGTACATATAGAAGCATTTTTCACCACAAAATACAATCTGATTATTTTGAAAATTGTGATTGATTGGTTGTACAGGCGGATGAAGCGTACCGCATCGGTCCAGCATCAACCAACGAAAGTTACCTGAACGCCAAGCGCATCATCGACGCAGCTCTAAACAGCGGCGCTCAAGCCATCCATCCGGGCTACGGATTTCTCAGTCAGAGTCCGGAATTCGCTCAGCTCTGTGCTGATAATGATATCGTCTTCATTGGACCTTCGCCGCGCTCCATTCGCGACATGGGCATTAAAAGCACTTCCAAAACTTTGATGGAGGCAGCCGGCGTCCCGGTGATACAGGGATACCATGGTGATGATCAGAATGTGGAGAGACTGCGAGCGGAAGCGAAAAAGATCGGGTTTCCGGTTATGATCAAGGCCTTCCGTGGCGGCGGTGGCAAGGTAAATACAATGGAAGCGGAGTATTAAAATGGAAGTATATCCAGGTCGGAAACTGTGGGGAATTGTTTTCCATAGGGAATGCGAGTAGCCATGCATGAAGGGGAGTTTGATCAGCAGCTGGAATCAGCCAAACGGGAATCCATCAAATCGTTTGGAGATGATGCTATGCTGGTGGAAAAATATGTCCAGCGGCCAAGGTATCCTAAAACGTTTCTGAAAAGTTATTTCCAGTATACTGGTTTTCCTGGGTGTTTAAATTTTTGCGATATAGCGTCGATTAAATTTTTTCATCTGCTGAAATCTGAATAAATGATTGACTAGCACATATCAGAAGTTTTAAATTATTACCATTGACTTGATTATGAATTTAATGCTTTCAGTTTCGTGATTTTTTGTATCTTCAGATACGTACATAAGTTTTGGCTGCTGTTTGATGCCTTTTTTTATCCATAATCCGTCATCATTGACAGTTTGGATGCGTAATTACTAAATTTGATTAGTCTGCTGATTATCTTGTGTTTTGTGAACTTGGAAACTTGCACCTTGTGTTTTGTATCCTTCGCAGTTTATCGTGTTCCGTAGCAGATATTAGTAGTTCATACTTTCCTGGTTAGTGGTTACCATTCCATCTGCTTGATTTGCTAGGCATGTGGAAGTCCAGGTCTTCGGTGATCACTACGGGAACTGTGTATACCTCTTCGAGCGCGACTGCTCCGTCCAGCGACGCCATCAGAAAATCATCGAAGAAGCACCGGCTCCGGGCATCAGCTGGGAAACGCGTAAATCTATCGGCGAAGCCGCCGTACGTGCTGCTAAAGCCGTGGATTACGTGGGCGCCGGAACCGTGGAATTTATCCTGGATTCCAAACAACATGCGTTTTATTTCATGGAAATGAACACCCGCCTGCAGGTGGAGCATCCCGTTACGGAAATGATCACCGGCACTGATCTCGTGGCCTGGCAGCTGAAAGTGGCAGCGGGAGAGCCGTTACCGATGCAGCAGAAGGATCTGCGCATTAACGGGCACTCCTTTGAAGCGCGCGTGTATGCGGAGAATCCCGAGGATAATTTTATGCCCGGCGCTGGCCCGCTGACGCATTTGAGTGTCGATTTTGATCCAGCGCAGTTTGGCGGCACCGTCAGGGTGGAGAGTGGAGTACGACAAGGCGACGAGGTTTGAAAATGATCCTTTTGATATTTTATTTGTTTCCTGTTACATCGTAACTTACTGTACAGATACATATGTGTGCTTGACGTTGCCTGTTTTAGGTCTCGGTACATTATGATCCTATGATTGCCAAACTAGTTGTCTGGGGAGAAGATCGAGCGACCGCCTTGCAGAAACTTAGAAATTTGCTCAACGGATACCATGTGAGTTTTTAAATTGCATTTTCAGATTTGCGCAGAGTTTCGGTGATTTTTCTGGTTCAGCCATACAGTAAGGTTTTTTTGTCAAAACAATTCTGTTGAAACTAAAAATAAACATGTTTACTCTCTTTACGAACTCTTGGTTTTGTGCTTGTTAATAAACGCTTCTTTTGCAGATTTCCGGTTTGCCGACGAATATCAACTTCCTTGCGCGTTTATGCGACAATCCGTCCTTTCAAGCAGCGGAAGTCCACACCGACTTCATAAAAGAGCATTTTAAAGAACTATTCCCCGATGCATCGTCAGCGGACCCCACTTCTCTAGCAGAAGCAGCCCTGGGTGTTTTGTTATCCTCCTCGGCCGCATCGCGTGCCCCCGTGGATTTGTTCTCCGATCCCTTTGATGTTGAGAAGAACTGGAGGATGAACCATGCACCGACACGGAATGTCCGACTACGTGCGGGAGGCAAAGATTATGACGTACAGGTGGTGTCGGGTGCCGGTGGGAAGTATGTGTTAAAGTGTCTTGGGAAGGAGATGGTGGTGGAGGGGCAGGGTGCGGAGAAGGATGGGGCCTGGGAGATTAAAGCGCTGGTGGACGGACGGGGCAGTCGATTTAAGTTGGTCTCCAGTGATGGACAAATACAGTTGTTCCGAAAGGTAGAGTACGATACCTATACTGCTTTCGAAATTTTAATTGGCATTATTTTTTCATTAACGTTTGTAAAATCGTATAACTTAGCAGATTTGGTGTAATGCACAGAGTATTACGTGGCTATTAATCATGTGTTTATAATGATTTCAAAATCGTGCCAACTACTTACTTATGTATTTCTTACGTATGAACTATACCTTATAATACGTGCTATGAATAGTTACTTACTTAAGTTTTGCTGTAATCCATATTTCGTATGCAGGAAGTGTTTTGATTTGCACGCCATGAGTGCTGTTTGTCTCACCTGGATAATTATTATTGTGCTTTATCAACATCATTTCAGCTTTTAAGCGTATTTCTAGGGCCTTTAACTGGTCTTTGGTACTTCATAGAACGGAAGCACGACATATGATCTGCCTGCACACAAATACGAATCTCTCCTGTCGCATGGTCAAGGCGGTGCCGGCGAAGCCATAGCGCCGATGCCGGGCGTCGTGGAAAAGATCCTGGTTCAGCCCGGTCAGAATGTCAGTGCCGGTGATCCGCTGATTGTCATGATTGCTATGAAGATGGAGGTAGGCGCTCTGGGACCAAATTACGTTCAGGCTTGGATAGAAAATATAATTCCCAATTATCACTTGATATTATGATTAAATGCTGAATGTGTGTTGTTTTTGTTGGATAATAGTGATACTTTGACTGTACATATTTCTTAGCTGTCCACTGAATGATTTTGCTTTGTAGTATGTAATCAAGGCTCCCAAGGCCGGAGTGATCAAGAAGGTGGCCTATAAGCCCGGAGATAATGTCAAGAAAGGCGATCAGCTAGTGTACTACGAGGAATCGGAAACCGGAACGGACAAGGGAAAAAATTCTCAAAATAATTAGTGCTGGACCGCTGGTTATTGGTTTCGTTGAAAACTGTATCAAGAGTTTTATTGACTTCCGGTCTGTTTGAAAATTTTACTCTTTTATTGTTACCAAATATGGTTATTGCTGGATGCTTGCTGCTTACGGCTATTTGGTCGTTGTTGATATGCATTGGATCACTAAGCATTTACGAGTAAAGAAAGTTGTTTGCGTACATGATTCAGTTCGCAGCTTTAGCCTGTAAAATCCAGCTTGAATAATACGTAGCATAACCAGTTTTTCGGTTTTATGTTCAGCGAACCGAATTAAGCTACTGCTTTATCCTGGTTTGCATTTCGGACTTTTGAATACCAATTTAGTATTTACAAAACCACCATGTGAGTAGTTTAATTACTTTTTTAATACATACAAAGGTTTTCGTTTTACACTTCACACTGCGTATAAACTACGTGGAGAATGCAGAATACTGTAGATCTTAATTATTAATACTGTAATTAATACGCTGTTGGTCTTGAATCTGGTAGGATATAAGTTTGTAACCGGCATCGGCACTATCAAAATATTAAATCGTCGACTGCTTTACATTGCACATTCTAAAATTAAGCCAATGCAATTTTATCAAGCGCACATAAAAACAACAGATAAAATACGAAGTTTACAATTCAGAGTTATAAATGCAACCTGTACAGTGCATGTTGTGCAAGTGTTGTTGATGATTCATTTGAATAAGTACTTACTCATAAAAACACATTCGTGACAATTCCTCCGTAGAGGAATTGAATACGTAGGCGGTGGTTATATCATTATTACATAATAAAAATATGCAGTGAAAAATTTGAAAAAAAAGCTACATTTTACCGTCTCACCGAATTTCTTTTCCGCGACTGCAGTATTTTACAAAGGAAGCCTAAATAGATCGAAAAAGTGCACCCATACCACCGGAACATCGCTTCCAGTGTTCCCTTTCATTATGGCTACACCGGTGACATGGGTGCAGTTTTCGATCTATTTGGGCTTCCTTTGTAAAACACTGCAGTCGTGCAAAAGAAATTCGGTGTGGATATTGGAGAGGAAAATACAAACTTCACTGATGCCATTTACATCGGAACCATGCGTTCATCTGCGTACGAGTTGTCCAGTTCCAACGTGGATTTTCTAGGGTAGAATTTCGGAATGCCTGAACTATTCTGATGTATAGCAATACGTTATTTTGACATGCACTGTTCATTCTGGACACAGCATTCTTGTCCTGGGAAACGAGCAATTAAGTGTTCCAGTTCAATAATTTTTTTCTGAGCGCAGATAGTATGGAGAGTGAGGTGAGTCGTCCGCTAATACTGTCGCAGGACAATAAGAATGCAAGCCTGCTGCCCTACGTGTATGATTGTTGTTGGAATACCGACCATCTAGCTTTGCGATACATGTACTGATGTACAGCATCTCTTCACTACTCAAAGGGAATCCGACAGAGAATCGGCAACTGAACAGACAGGATTGAGGCTAACCTTTAGTGTCCTTTACTTTCCATCTTTTCCGCGTTAGAGGATAGACAGACGCAAAAGCTCAGAACAGACAGAATCATTCTGACCTTTCACTTAGAGAGTTCTGACCTTTCAGTTACACGCTGGATCCTATACTAATATAATATATAGACAGACTACGTCTGCCATATGTTATATTAGGCTTGCCCGTTTCAACCGTGCAGCGCCTACGTAAAACAAGAGCCACACGAATTGAACCACATAGCGCATAAGCATAAAGTTTTCCCTCACATGATGCCAACAGCCAACACGTCGGCTGGCGGTGTCAGTGCCACTATAAAAGCCACCGCAAATTCCAGAAATTTATAGAAACTTCTGTTATTCTGTGTTTGCATGCTTGTTTAGCCTTCTACATACCGAATGAACTGCATGACCCGCAGATAATCGTGTGCGATGACATCAGTGAGTTATAACTGGCATTCTGGCTTGCTCGACCATACGATCGAGTATTGAATAAGTACTAGTATTTCTTGGCAAAGCAGTTTCAGTATTTTCATCTCCATCAGTCTGCTGTCTCCTGAAAGTGAGGCTTTCCTCCGTTTGAATAGTTCGTCGTACACACGTAATATTTCAACATCCGCGAATACTTGATAATTATGGCTGACCAGAGACGTGGTCGTGAAGGAAATCAGCGTGGTGGGTATAACAACCGCGGTGGACGTGGTCGAGGAAGTAATTATGGACCACCTATCCCGTCCACTGCCCGCAACCCAGCGCCAGCCCCGTCTCGTTCTGCCCGTCCACCTGGTCCCAATGTGAACATTCCGGCGAGCCATCCCGCTCCTCGCATTATTTCTTCCCAGCAAGGAACAGGACCACTGCCCAACGCATCCGGTGGGGCCAGCTTTTGGAATCGAGGCCCTGCTCCAGCGGCCGCCACTGCTCCCTCAGCTTGGTCCTCTCAATCCTCGGTAAGTAATGAAGATTTCAGAGGAAATACTGGTTTCTCTATTTAGACAATAATTTTGTTATCTATGTTCTATTAAATACACGTGCTATGCGTTTCTTGTAGTCTGTACTGCACATTTGGTAGGAGAAAAATGTATTGTGAAAACAGTGAAATGATATGGTTCTGTGTATTAAACGTCTAAATAAAAAATTTAATGGTCGAGTCACGAGTGGTCAGTTTAAGACTCCAGAGTAGATTTAATTTTAAACTGTGCAGCGTGTGTTTGTACTGTAGAAAGAGTTTTTTGGAATAATAATTTACGTTACCATTATGATTAGAACAGATTATGATTTAGTACTGAGGCTGTTAGAATTTTGTTCTTCTTGTGTTTAATCGTGGAGCTTGTGCAGGACCATGTGCAGAAGCAGCGATAACAGAGACTTTTAAATTTTCTGCATGTTCAAGCATCTGAGAGTTACGAGTATCCTACGACAAAAACGCTGTAAACAGTAAAATATTTTCTCCGGTCAAAATCATTGAAGATATTTCGTCTTAAAATTAGATTCGGTCGGTTGCTCCATCCAGCGTGACCAGTCCGAGTGCGGCCGCACCTTCACCGGCAGTAAACATGGAGGCACTGAATCTGGGAGAGGCCAGTACATCCGGACAAGCGACAAACAGGTCCAGCGCTGTTGCGACGTCAAGTGCAGGAACTGGCGCTTCGACAGATTCATTGAAAACTGATGACAATTTACGAAAACCAATGCGTCGACCACTGTCTGGCGGCTTTGCTACGAGCAAGCCTGGTTCACGCAAGATCATGCTAAAGGTCAACCATTATCCGCTCTACATTACGGATAAGAAAGGTATGCTCCACTGCTATGCGCTGGGTATGTCGGCACGATGTGGTGAACGGACGGTGCGCACTCCACTGCCAGCCGCCATGAAGCGTCATATTATGAAAGAATTTCGCCGGCTCAATCCACGAATGGTTCTCGGGCAAGGACGCGGCGGAGAGATTGCGTATAATAAAGCGGATGAAATCTTCGCCGGGTTTCTGCTGGCCAATGTGACGGAGGGAGCCGTAGAATCGTTCACGTTCGATACGACCATGCCGGATGATCAACGCACGTACACGTGTACGGTGGAGTTGCAGAAGAGATGGAGCGAACGAATGAGCAATGTTATCGGCGCGTTTCAAAGTGGAAATCTGGGTACGACACCCGCGGAGGATTATATACGGCCTGTGGATACTATTCTAAGGCAGGCCATGCTGGTGGACACTCTGCTAACGGTGGAGATTGGGCGCAGCTTGTACATTCCAGAACAGACCTTTCAGCTGCGCGATGGAAGGGTGGCCATTTCCAAATTATTCGCGGTGCGCAAAAGAGAATTAAAAATGAATCATAAAGTGCAATTGTTTAAATGTACAGTAAAGTATAAATAAAATTTTCATGCGAGTGCTGTACAAACTTACCGGGGTTAACACCGTAATAAGAAGCGCAATAATCTGGTCTTGTTCACAGAGCGTGCGCCCATCTGCTGCCATGCATGGCCTTGCCGCTGTTTTACTGACATCCGGCTCAGCGTTCTATAAAGAACAGCCTCTTCTGCAGTTCTGTAAAGATTTGGGAGGAAAATTGTCCTATGGATCGGATTTCCGTCTCCCGGTTAGGTTCGCGCGGGAGATTAGCGAGAAAGAACTGCAGGGACTCAAGGTGGAAGTGCCAACGCGTGATTCCCGTACCCGACAAGAGTACCAGAAAACGTACACTATCCGACGGATCCGCGATGAAGGCGCTGCGGCCCCTGCATTAGCATTTAATCACAATGGGGAACATTTCACAGTTGCGGACTATTACACTCGCGTTCTTCACAGACGTATTCAGTTTCCTAGTCTACAAGTTGTTGAGGTATGTACGCAGGTACTTATTATATTGTGCACTCGTACGTATGTACAGCGCATAAATTTTATTAATAATAATTATTTTAAAATTTTATTTAGGTATATCATTACGGTAAGAGTCAACAAACTGTTTTTCGTGAAACGCTGCCGTTACAGAGTTGTAGGGCATGAAACGATAGTTATGGTATTTGTATGATTTATTATTTTGATGCTGGAAGTTTTCAGCCTTGATATCACGAGAGTGCTGGAGTACGTAGTGTTTATTATGTCTTAATCCTATTATCGTTCTACGATAAATGTGTATCAAGTTGCACAATTGATAAAAACATGTTGGTATATCTTATAGATGACGAACGGTGCCTTCATCCCGATGGAATACTGCGTGGTAAAGAAAAACCAGCAGCTCCTGGATCGAGTCGCTTCGTTGGTGGCGGAGGAAATGGTCAAGAGATTTTCCAAAGCCGGTAAGCTGTGAGCTCGGTACGCTTAGTGACAGTATTGCGTCACATCTTTACACAATTACAGCTCCCCTACGTATGCAAGATGTCCAGACACTGCGAATGCAGCTAATTAATGACACCAACCCAGTTTTGAACAGCTTCTCCTTGGGAATTGGTGGAGAAATGCTGGAGGTTGAAGGACATGTCCTCCGGCCGCCCACCGTGAGTCAGCGTAATCGCTCACGACCTATTGAAGATGGAAGCTGGCGAGCGGATGGGGATCCAGTTGAAAGCCCTGTGCATCTTGACAAGTGGACGTTATGTTACATTGACTGCTATGAGGTCCAGAATTTTGTTTCGGATTTACAGCAGATCGGTGGCCGAATGGGGATCCGAATCAATACACCACAAGATGTCAGCCATATTCCCGGACAGGAAATAGAAGGCTTTATCAATTGGCTACGTCCTCAAAATGTTCAGCTGGTGATTTTCATTGAGAACTGCAAGAAAAAGGCATCACCGTGGCATTCGATTATTAAACGCTGCTGTGAAAGTGGATCGCAGACCGGGATTAAGTCTCAGTTCATCGTCAGAATGGTAGCCGAAAGGACTCCAAATTTGGCAAATGTTCTGCGGAAAATTAACGTAAAACTCGGAGGTCTGAATTTCAAGTTCAGTCGCCCTGTATTTCTGAAAGGAGTTAAGGTTGGTGTGCAGTCCGTGCTTTTTGTTGCCGGTTGTATTAGAACAAATTTGATATCTGGTTATAATATTATCATTAGTGTTTGTATAGTTTTAATGAAAATTTAGCATATGCGTCTTTTGCAGACGATGATCATTGGTGCGGACGTTACCCATCCAAAAGGTACTGATTAAATCCTTTATTTCTTGTGAATTCCCTGACAAATCATTCCGCACTGTTTGTTTTATCAGGCGCTGGTCTTCGTAAACGTCCATCGGTTGCTGCTGTGGTGGCCAATACGGATGAGGATTTTGTGCGTTACAAAGCGGTTTTGGAACCTCAAATCGGCGAACGCGGACGATTGCAGGTAATTTAAAATTTTCATATATACCTATTACCGGAGATTATCTCGTGAAGATGCTGGATATATCTTTGCTGTATGTTTTACAGGAAATAATTCCAAATTTTGGCGCTGTTATGAAGAAACTGTTTGAAAAATACGGAGATATTCCACCTCAGCGAATTATCTACTTCCGTGACGGTATCAGTGAAGGGCAGTATAGTCAGGTACAGCACCAGAATTATTATGTCTTCTACATACTGCACAAATACAGTTAATATGCATTTGGAACTTACATACTCTTCATCACAAAATTAGGCTTTAACAACGGAAATGATTGGATTAGTGGATGCGTGCCAACGAATATACAAAATAGTTCCGCCCATCACTATGATCATTGTGACAAAACGGCATCAGACACGTTTATCCTGTGCGGATAAAAAAGACGAACGGGGAGCCGGACAGAATGTTCCCGCCGGTAATCATATGCCGCTTTCAAGGTGGAATAACCTTTTTTTACCGATTGTGTTATGAAATAATATAGGCACGGTTGCTGATAAGGGCATCTGTTCGGATTTGACATTCGATTGGTATCAGGCGACTCATCACGGAATTCAGGTAAGCTCTGGAGCACTGCAAAGTGAAGAGGGAATATCGTAAAATACTGTTTGTCTTCTTTTTATCGAGTTGCATCTGTATGCCATCTTTGCAGGGAACGTCGCGACCGGCTCATTACGTTGTTATGGTTGACGAGAGCAATTTCACGGCTGATCAGCTGCAGGAACTGGCGTTTGCGTTGGCCCATGGTTATCAGCGAGCCACGCGCAGTGTCTCACTGCCGGCACCGGTCTACTATGCGCATCTGGCCGCTGAAAGAGCTAAGCAAATTTTGGGACAGGAAGAGTAGGTTAAATTTTGAGGCGGGAACTTTTTGTTTCATTAAGAAGCAGTTCTGATGTTCAAAAGTGTGATTTACAGATATCCGCCTTTGGCTTCGGATAATCCGGAAACCGTTAGCGTCGCTCTGCAGCGAATCCGCGAAACGCTGAAGATTAATACCGACGGGATGTACTGGCTGTAATGTTACGTGGGATTTGTTTGGCTTTCGGACTTATTACGTATTTTGCGCTTGTGTTTGCATGTCGTTGGGACCGTACTGGTTTTATGAAATGTTTTAGCATTTCATAATATACGCTTATTTTATTCTAAACGCATTAAGTAGTGACCAATCCCAAGTTCATAATCAAATTTTGTCATCACTTATGTTTGTTTTTGTTTAGCTTACAAATCTATTCTTTACGTACTCGTAAAACTTTTGTGCTACTTACTATTTTTGCACTTTATGATAGATAGGAATTTCTGTTAAGCAGTGCCATTTTCGATTATTGCATTTTATGGTGCTTTTGATTTACTGCGAATAAAACACTAGGATTTTTTACGCTCTGTGGGAAAATTGTGTAGTTTCGTTACGATACATGTAATTCTATTCGAAACCCCAAATAAAATGGCTTTCATTAAGTGCTTTTGCCTTTATATATAAAACGGTGCATAGAAGCTGCATTAAAGGGGTTTTGTTGGATGTTCGAGACGACTTCGGAGGGTCTGCAGCTTCAACAGATCTTCGTTGGCTTTAACCAAGGCTCTTTGGGGTTCCGTGGCCCCCTCCGAGATTGTGCTGTTGCTCATTTGGGCTATTAGATTCTGAATCTGGTGACGGATGTCGTCAATGTCCGATGTTTTATCGCCCGCGCTCAACGCCGTAGAATGGGTGCGGTTGCGGTTGACCGTCGATCGACGGGTATGAATCTGTTCTGTGCCAGGGGAATCGCCTGCCATGGCAAACGGTGGTCGGACAGGTGGGAGCGTCAAGTCACCGGACAGGATCCGCACTGACCTTTCGTACTGCTGCCGGCGTGTTTCGTTTCGCCACTGATCTTCCACATCCTGCTTACTGTGATCGAAGGTCAAATACAGTTTTACGAAGGTTAGATACGATGTGTGCACGCTAGCAGAAGAATTATGTACATATATATACTGATATATATACTGATATATATATATATATACTATATATATATACTGATATATATATATATACACATATATATATACTGATATATATATACTGATATATAATATATATATATATATACTGATATATATACTGATATATATATATACTGATATATAAGAATTATGTACATATATACTGATAGCTTTACAGTAATTTCACAAAAAGTCAGTCAGCGATAAGGTGGTTATGTCGTAATAATTATTCAATTAAAAGAAAACTGAGCATTTTGTCAGACTTGCAACACATTGAAAAGGCAGGCTTTTTCAGATTTGATACTTACCGCATGCGTTCAATTTCTCTGAGGGCAGTGGCCCTGCGAATTTGCTCCTGTCGCTGCTTTTGTAAATTACGAGCCTTATTTCGTAAAGTTGTTTCACTTGGAATCGGAGCTTTGCGCAGTTTAATGCGGTCATCACGGGAGAGAAAAGCAGCACTGTATCAAACACACGATTAAAACTGAGCCTCGGCGAAAACTTTAAAAATTGTGTTCGAGCAGACTGCGAATTGTACAGTTTACCTTCGCTGCATAACCAGACGCCGACTAAATGCCGGTTTTTTCCGGGATTCGTGTTTGTGCCAAGTTGAGTGCGTTTGTGATGGAGAATCCCAGAGCTCATACTGGCGCCCATTGTACTCCGCTGCTTCCAGGGAGTCTAGTCGTACGGTATTCGAGTTAAGACGGTACAAAAGTTCTTGACAAAGCTTACTGCTAGTTATGCGTACATAAAGATATGCCAGTTAGGAAATGTGTAATGTTTTGTCTTTTTAAATATCCGAAGCACGGAATGGAAAATTATACTGTAGTTACCACGTTTCGTTGTGTATTCATGCCGTGGTTTCGGATGAATGTCGTATTTGGCCAGCCATTTTAGAATATGCCCGCAACCTTGTTTGCACACTTCGGGAGGTGGTTCGATTAGAGGATTGCCGGACAGATGCAAGCCGCTTAATTCACGACAGTAAGCTGCGAAGTGCGAACATAAATTTTCTTAATTAGAAGCGTAAATGTTTGTGTACGTACTTATTTACATTTGCAAACTATAGAGCACAGCAACCGCATGCAATAAAATTACTTATAATTTTGAAAATTGAAAATTGAACGGCTGTACTCGTATACTATTACCATAATCTCGAAATCTTAAATACGAATCCCGAAATGCAGAGGTCACAAAAAACAGGACATTCAGTATAAAATTTAATAGCGTATGCTTTACCTAGTGTAACTGGCAAACGTGTGAGACAATTATTGTCCAGCAGCAGACATCGCAGATCGTGCAAGCGACCAATTTCCTCCGGGAGTTCATGCAGCTGATTGTCACGCAGATCCAGCCATTGGAGATTCGGGAGGCGAGAAAACAGTTCCATTGGCAATGTTCCCAGTTTGTTGTGGCTTAAATATAAATACTGATTTCGTATTACAGGGTACACACGCTTTTATCCTGAGCTTCTAACTTAAATTAGGTTAAAGTCTGAGTTTTAGAAATCTTAATTTTAGAAATTATTAGAATTACTTGTAATCCGGGAAAGGAGTAGCTGACTAAATGATCTGGGATGGAGAGCAGATGGTGGTTGCTGAGATCGACGAACGTCGTTTCCGCATCCAGAAACTCCATTTTACGAGCGAGCGAGACGCTCCGTAAAGACTGGATGCCAGTAATCAAGCGACGTACACAGTAACACAGTTAACCAAAGCCTATCGGAAAAACTTCCGTCGTGTACCCGGGAAAGCCATTCAGAATGCGTACTAAAGACTAAAAGGTTCAAAATTCCAGTTGTTATTATTCTTTCTATTATATATATCTTGCAAGATTGAAAAATATGCACTGATATGATACTGAGAGAAGTGTTCGCCATGGGCAGATAATAAACAGTATTGCTTACCCCCGGCCGATTTCAGTTAAATCAGTACTTTATCCATTTCACTGCCTATCGTACCGTAAATTAAATTGACTAACATGTGAATTAATAAGAAGATTACAGGTACACACAGCTGCATACATACAAAAGTATAATACTTACTTTAACCAAGAGGTACAGCGCTTCACTTTACGTATTTTGCATTTTACCTTATTGAGAGTGCCCCTTAACATTTTGTTGTGAATTGTAGTTAACACCTAACAACAATAAAGACTTGGATATTTAGTGATTCCAGTATGTACACTAATGTTGGTCTTTAGTTTGCTCGAATTTGTTCAAGGCTTGTCTATCTTATCTACGGGTTTGCACCTCCGCTTAAAATAATATCGTTCTGGTAACTAAGCGATAATGGTACTTACTGACATATCCGTACGTAGATGCATCTACTACCCACCTAGAATTTCCTACAAACAACAGCTCGCTAGACGCATATCATGGCATATGTACAAACAGTAAATATTGACAGCAAATAAGGTCATTGTAGGTACCTAACATTGGAAAATCGAGCGGCTATCTTTTGACAGCTTCCGGCACTTTTCGCACACCCCATTGTACAGCATCTCTGGCGGCCTGTCGTAGATCACTCCACGCCACAATAAACAACACGGGATCCACGGCCGTATGCAGTAGCTTAAGGGTCACAGCTGCTTCCATAAACGTCACATTCGGAAAATACTTCATCGCCACAAAATACGCGTTGGTCGGCGTCCAGCACACAGTTGTACTAACGGTCAACAGTGTCAACACCATAAACGAATGCACCGACTTTGTGGATCCTCTCGCTTCATCAGTGCTAGACCTCAGCGTGATTTCTTTTATTTTTTTACGGCGTTGCCGCCGTTTCCATAATGCAAAGGGATAGAAGAGTAAAATTACCACTTCCGGCACGATACTGAGCGTAATCGTCACCGTGATACTCCAGTACTCCATTTTCGGGTCGCCGGTGCTGAATGTACATAGAAAATTATTTTGCCGAGTACGGAAGTACAGACCTTCCATGAACAGACCCGGTACGACGACCACGTGGATGAATAACCATGTACCGGCACAGAGAACCCCAGCGAGCTTCTTGGTGTGCCGATGCCGGTAAGACATAGGATAGCACAGCGCCCAAATGCGGTTTAATGCTACCAGCATGTGGAACGATGGTAAAGATGTGCCGATGGTTTGCTTTAAATACAAGTATACCATACAGAAGGTATCACCTTTGCCATGGACAACATAATCCCGTACAACAAAGAGTAATGGATTCTGGAAGACTGCATTGAGAATCTGGCTGATGGTGATCGTTAGGATGTAGATGCTGAAGACTGTGCGGAGATATCGGCGACGGAGGAACAAATAAAGAAGAAATCCGTTTAAAATATACACGGCAACGCAGATAAGTGATGTGCACGTTTGTAATGAATTCCATGTGGAGAGCACCGATGGAATGATTAACAGCGCCACCGAGGTGTTATTCATTTATTCTGGCGAATAAGAAAACAATCCTAAAGTCCCAGAATAGACTATCCAAAAATATTAATAAAATCACGAATAATTTATTCAATTAAAAGCCGTATGCAGATGCGTGAGACGGAAGTATGGTCGAGAAAAACAATTGCTAACCAGACAACTGCTAACCGACAAACGACATGATCACTATCGCCAGTTAAAGCAAGCGTCATAATTTTTTATAATAAAGCAAAAGCATAACGGAGAAAAGCGCAACTATAAAAGCGAAATGGAGAAATGCATTTGCATAAATGCAGCTGGAAAAAAAAGAAACTATCAGCTGCCTTTCTGTTTGTTACCTCTCATCAAAGACGACTGGCTACGAAATACTCAAATAATATATTAACATAATAATGTACTTTAATGGCCGGAATTCGGAACCGGTTCAGACAGCAGCCAAAAACGTGGACGTGCGGGTGTGCGCTTAACTAAGCGTAAACGCTTTCGACATCTACAACTCGAAAGCGTAAACGATTATTCAGTGTCAGGAAAAGTTCCAGTTGCTGGTAAAGAATCACCACTAAACGTGAATGCGTGAAAGACTACTTGAAACTGTCGTTAACAAAAACGTTTATGTAAGGGCTGTCAAGTTGACCGAGATACACATCCGACAAACGGTGCCTCATCGGTAAGTGTCGTATCCTGTCCGTGCCGCACGACAGGTGCGAAGACGTGGATTAATGGAACGTAGACCAGTGACGGTAGCACGCAAAGAATCTACTACCTAGTATCTACTACCTAGTTTGTTTGCGAAAATATCATAAGAGCCTAGAGGTAACAGTTAATACAAGAAAACGTGTCATCTTCCTATCCGGCTTAGGTGGAAACCTGTAAACTGGGCACACAAGGGTTCGTTCTATGCACCAGTAATGTCGATCAAGGAGAAACCGTATTCGTCTTAGTAATACATGTTCATCGATTGATTGTCAATTTTTCTTCCCCGTAAATAAAGGGAGCAAAATAAAAATCACGCTTTACATAATAAGACAGAATTATACGGGTCACGATTATTTTATTGTGCCAAACTGTAAATGGAGAGTCACCGACTCACCCTAGTCAGTATTCGTATGGGCGGCACGTAAAAACGCGCATTTAATATTCGTTTAACGACGCTGTAGGCTTGTTCACTTCTTTCAAATGTAGAGATACGGCAATTACGACTAGTCATTTCACCAAGTACGACTTAACTGACGTAACGGCGCTAACCACATACCAGAGGTAAATAATCTTTTAAACCTTAAATACAGCAACAGCCGCAATAACAAGGGAACTCTGCAAAAAAAACCAGTTCTAGCGGGGACAAAATCTACAGCGCCTTTACGTTCTGGCACGCTCGAATATTTAAAGCGAAGGGGGTAACACATAGTAGCAACTAAAACCACCAACGAAGGGTATGTAACACAATGTTGGCGACAACACGAGACAGTTGACATTGATCCATGAACGTTGTGTTGGTTCGTGACCTTTCGCTTTCGTTGTGCGTGCTACGGTAGACTGTGTTCTCGATTCTTTCCTATGATGTTTCTAACATTGGCCTGTCTGCACAGGCCGCAGTCCCATCCCCACAGGCAGATCAAACTTGCACTGCAAAGCTAAAGCATGACCAATTTAACAGGGCGATTTTTTATTTGAAGTGCATGAAAATCCACCGGCGAATTCGCTAGTCCTTCATAAGGGCATAACGGACTTATACGCAAAGCGTTCAATTGCAGAAGCATTACCGTAAACCCACCACCCGGTTCTACCATGCATAGCCGTCATCCGTAAAACAGTTCTGTACGACTTGCCCATAATGTTTTATGCACCTAATATGACGCCCCGTTTGCACTACCTACGATTATAAAGTGCAGTAATCTAGGAGGTACTAGTTCATCTAACTGCCAAAAACTTTCTGTCGTAAGTTGTGAATTATGGGTAGTTTTATTATTATCGTTAGTTTATGTAATTATAAAATTAGGTAGTGTTGTGTATTATACGTAGAGTAGTTCATATAATGCAGTCGCCGCCAATCTGCTAATTCACATAATAATTATTTGTTCAGAATTTCGAATCTGCAATATTTCTCGTGATATTTGTTGAAATCGATTTGACAACATCCAAAAAAAACTGAATAACCTGAAATCATCTCTCGATTTTGTGAGTACGAAGTACATATAAATTACGCTCGCACTGATCAGCATCTGCAATCACACGTCAGTGACGTCACACCGGTTCGATAGAACAAGTACTTACAGTTACGCAGTAAAAATAATTAGTACCGTACTTTTCAAATTTTAAAACTTTTAATGGAAATAAATCCCCATGGTGTACGGTATACGTACATGTATAGAATATGACACCGTAAATACTGCAGTCTGCCCTGATATTTTAGTTTGAGAAGAAAATCAGCTATACATTTATTTCCGGTATTGAAAAATAATTTGGGACTGTGGGCTGTACTTGTGGTTAATTTTATGTCCATCCTATTTTGATTTTCCTTGCGTTAAACTATCGCAAGTAATAGCCGAATACCATTTTCCCACTTGTTGCCTAGAGTAGCTGGGAAAATGGCACCATATGCTGTTGCCATTTTGCCTGGGAGCAAAAACATGTCGTCACAACATTGCACTGCAGCGAGACCAACGTAATGCACCCTTTCAGTTTAGCTGAATCGCTGCATTCTACCGGCTGCTCACTGGTGATGACAACTGTTCCTATCATTCCGCACCAAATTAAAGCAACCAATCTAATCATCGCTCAGAGAGACAGAGAGCTGCGTAACTATTCCAGTCTGCCAAAATGAAAATTCGCTGCTGTATCGGATTACTCTGACTGCAGACCCGTCCCGAGCGATGAGCAACAATTTGAAAAATGTTCAAATTTAAATGTCGTGCGTTACGGGTGGTTCGGGGTCTGAACTCTGAAGGTTTAAAAGTACAGCCGCAGAGAGAGAATTCCGAACGGGTTATAATTATTCTGGCACACATATTCTCCGATGATCCATATTTTCACACACAACAGCATAACAGACACACAGAGACACTGCAAGCCAGTCATTCAAACGATGTTGGACCATCTCCAGATGGTTCTGCAGATCCGTAGCTAAAATTAAAACAGTTACCAGCCAGCTGAGGATGCTCATGAAGAGCGATGGGTAAAATGCGCGCTGATTATTCTATGCTGTGCTTTGGAAGCTAAGCCATATTAACGAAAACTCCATTCCAAGCAGTTTCCCTTCTCCCGTCCTCTAAACGCTAGCAGGTTGCCAACACAGTGGCCAAAGATCAAGTGGTCTTTCTGCGGAAATTATTCCCTCCTTTCAAAGTTATAATCCATCATGCCGCGAGCTTTTTTATTCTCAGCCAAACGGTATTCTGCTGGTCGACGGACGTTCCGTGAAACGCCGTGCAGTAACCATAAACCGGATGACACACCGTCGATTAATCCAATCATAATTAAACCCAGCACGGAGAATTTCTTCGGTGGAGTTTTTAACGTCATCTTTCCTGCGCACCTGGTGATTGAGCCCAGTCAGCCATTGGCTAGCTTACCTGTGAATGTCGCCGGACAGACGGGTGTCGTTGACACTGTGACCACTGATAGCGATCAACCGGTTGTGAGCGACACGGATACAATTCAACGTGATAAAGAGAGGGGGAATAATACGGTCCAACGGCGACATAAAGTCAAACGACCCCCAACAGGCAGCGAGAATGGCAGTGTTCCCGGGGCGCATGTGTGTCCGGATTGCGGGAAATGCTATACAACAGCCAGTAATTTGACACGGCATCGGCAAACTCATCGGAGTATTTCGGATAAAAAAGCTCGAAAATGTCCGTATTGTGATCGCATCTACGTGTCTTCGCCCGCATATAACATGGTAGGTCAAATTTAAAGCAGTAGGTATATTATTTTCATAATAATCAATTACGTAACTTGTATTAGAACTTTTTAGTTTTTTACATATTTCAGTTCTGTTGTGTATAATAAAAAATTTCTGTGACCTTTTGTTTAAGCGTGCAATGGTTAGTTAATTTTTCTTCTGGTAATTTATTGGGCCTAATGAATAACCTTAAAAAATAAAAATATAATTTGCCGTAAAATTTGGTAAATGTAGAGTGGTAGTTGCAGTTAATGTAGTTGAACTAAAATAGTAATTCATTTTATGTAGTTATCATGTGCTAAACCCTTTTGAATTATTGTGGCGGCATATTGCTATAAGCCACATAACATTTTAATTTCAAGCAAATTAAGAATTATAACAATTTCAAAAATGCCTACCAGTAGCTTGAAACCGCAAGAACAGAACGTATACTGTACTTGTTTATCTATAGAAGTAGCGTAATGAAATTACACCACTGAATATACAGTCTATACAAGCCCGTCCGGAGTTAGAGCACGATAAAGAACAGCTAACGCATAATAAGCGCGATGTTAGCGCTTAGTCGATAGCCACTGCACTACAGTTGGCGCAACTCGTTAATTTACATTGTTCGCTGTTCTCTATCGTGCTCTAACTCCGGACCGGCTTGTACAGATACGGATGCGTACTGCGCATTTCAACCGAACTGGAAAGTTACATGCGAAGTTCGAGTGAGTCTATTTAAAATATAACTATAATCTTTATGTTTACGTAATCGGACAACTAAAAATTATTTTCGACTGCCCTGTAGTTTGAATTGAAATAAAATGGCAAAAATGTTACCTGGAAAGAACGGTACATGCTGTAGATATCGATGTCATCTACGTATGATGCTGTATGAAGTCTTTTGCTGTTCCGGTCCTTTCGCAAAACAGTTTCCTATTGATTGACTTGATAATGAAGAATTAATAAGGTTAAATCGATACTTATGATCCAAGTAAAAATTTGCGCACGAAGAAAACGTTTTCCTAACAGTTTCATAGGTGAAAGTTTTCCTAACAAGAATGAAGAAGCCCTGCTCTACGAGTAATTGTGGCCAGAATAAAAACAAGCAGCAGAACCGCATGCAGGGGATTACCATTTATTGGCATTCACAAACCCCCGATGACGCGTTCCAATATCAAATTAATATAATGGGAAAATAAAAAAATTCTAACGAGGTTGTTTGCGCTGGTTGAGCCTCGCATAGATAATAGGTCCTAAGATTACTAACCGAAACAGAAAGGCCACTTGTACAGTAGTAGTACGTTTATTGAATATTTTGTCGGCGACTGTGCTGTGTTAATCGATAAAATTAATAATTATATAACAGTAATAATAACAATTTCGTTGACGATGAGTTCCGGTGCATAAGCCTATTGTGACCATAAAGCATAAGGGCATGCGCAGCAACCGGTGCAGCCACTGGTCGACTGCAGTCCATGCACCAGCTTTTAAGGTCCCAGGTCTGATTTATCCCAATTGCAAAACCTGTTGAATACTTTTAAAATTTTGTAAAAGTTGTCAAATTTTGTGGAAGACATAACATCTTGTGACTCGAACTGTGTGTTTTCAGCATGTGCAGACGCATGTCCAAAGTTGCGAGTGCCCATACTGCAAAAAGCGATTTAGCCGGCAGTGGTTGCTTCAGGTAATGCTCACAAGTCAGTAACTAATTCTTCTTATTTATTTTATGTTGATATATATACGCATATCGTGTAATTATTACATGTTATCATGACATGCATCGTTTCCGTAATCGAAACAAGCACTTCTTTAAAGGCAACGTCGGCAAGTAACGTAAGCGATACTGAAGTATTCATTCGGCTTGTGCAGGGACACATGCGAACACATACGGGAGAGAAACCATTCCAGTGTAAACTGTGCAATAAACAGTTTGCCGATAAATCCAACTTACGAGCTCATACACAGGTAAATAAGCAAACGTTTGTTTATATGATTACGAAAGTAAGTACTGTACTTCGAGTGTACCGTATATCGACTGACCTTAATCATCACCATAACTTATGTGTCACATGGCCGGTAATGACACATACTGGTCAGGTGGTACGGATTATTTTGAAATGGTTGCAACTGGTTGCTCATAAGGAATTTGATTTGCAGACCCATTCGGCGGAACGACCTCATGTATGCTCCGTGTGCGGAAAGTCTTTCGCACTAAAAAGCTACCTGACAAAGCATGAGGAAGCCTCCTGTAATCCCAGCAAGTCATAAGAGAAACTAGTCCGTCGCTTTATGTTGGAAAGAATATTGTTGTTTTGTTATCTTTTAATTCATTTTGTTCAGTTCAGGGATCGGCATTCCTTGCCAGTTAACTGTCATTATTGGTAATGAGCGTGGCTTGAATTACTCGCACCGAATGTAGCATTACGGCCAAATTAATCAGTCGAATAGCTTCTCCGGTTACGTGGATATGATTAACGATGATTATTATAGTATTTAAAAAAACAAATAGTAAAATTTTCAGTATGGGCTATTTATTCACCCCGAAATTTCTGAAAGATGAAATAAAGTGGCAGGTCACGGTCATCGAATATGCGTGGTCTAAACGTGTCGTCAGAATGCTCGATTTCGGTGTATTCATAGTTTGTTGCGAAAAGGAGCCAGCCAGTCATTCGAATACAGTACTTTTTGCTACATTGGCTAGCTACATTGGCTAACAACATCCCTTGACAGATTCCGTAAACCTGATCCATAGTACCTCGTAGGATCACGATATTTCCAGGTAGCCAACAATGAATAATATTGTAATGTAGTGTAAACATTATAGTGTTAATCAGAATCAGACATCAGCTACTCGTGCAGTTTAAATGGGTGAGCAAAGCCATCTCTTCGCGGGATCGACTGACAATATTTACTGATCTTTCAATATTTACTGCTGGTCTATTCCTAATGCTATTTATCCAATACTGGTTTACTTATTTATTTAGTACAGACGAATATTTGTGGTGCACGTGCTATTCGGAACCGACAAGCACTTGTCGATCGGAGATCTGGAATTACAAAGTAAAAGCTGTTATCATCACGAACTTTGAGGAAGCCATAAGTGACTGCAACAAGCTTGGCTAATACTGCTCCTTTTCGTATAGCATCGTACCGCAGCAAGATCTATAGCTATAGATCTTACTCTACTATAGTAGAGTAGAGCACCAAAATAGTAATTGTAAGTGAACAAGTGTAAGTGAACCTTGTCTGGATTGGCACGTTGTGATCCTGGGTTCATTCTCATTGATTGACGCAACCTTCGTAATTTTGTATCGAGGTATATTGCGGAAGTGGCTAATGCTGTGCTTTTAATAAATGACCAAAACAATTCGAAGCAGTACTTTTAAGCTAATACAGCACGCACCATCTACTTACAGTATAATGACAATTTCCGGCCTAGCCTTACATGAATAAAAACCGCACGCCTTACCAAGAAAGCAGTTTGGGTGGTTTCCCGCACCAAATTCGGAATGCTACTACAATGATTTGCATTGATGGTTGCTTTATTTTTCGCTATCCGCAAATTTCCATGATCATACTTAAAAAATATGCCCGTGTTAAGCAACGAATCTTTGCTGAACGCTACAAACTCCAGCTCGGCACTGCCGACGTGGATAGTCTACAAAACCACGCTGGACGTATGGCTGGGAGTAGTTGCAGTTCTTATTGGTATCGGGACTGTACTCAACCTGCCATTGTTTCTCACTATTGCAACCAGTGACAAACTGAATACCGGCTCCGGAGCACTGATTGCACATCTGTTGTTCCTTGAGTCCATGTTGTGCGCTGTGTGGAACCCCATCATTTGTATTTCCATGTACACCGCCCACATAACGCCGTTATCCAATACATTCTGCCAGTATTCCCTCTTTGGCTACTATATTTTTCTGCACTGCGCTAATTGGTCAACTCTGCTACTGGCTATCAACCGATTTGTCGCCATCATGTTTCCCCATCAGTACAGCAAGTTTTCTAATAAACCGGCACTTTTATCCAGCATGTCCTTTGCTTGGATTGTAGCCATTGCTTTTAACATGCCGGGTTTTCTGGGGATCAGTGGCAATTATCGTCCGATCCCACCGTGGGGTGGATGTGGGATGAAGGTCACCATGCTGTGGTTTAATTCTCTCACGACCGCTGCTTTAACGTCGCTTCCAGTTTCAGGAATAGGATTAGCCTACATTAGTATGTTTGTCAAAATGGGCGTTGCGTGGTGTCTGAGTCGAAATGCGCTCGTGACTCCTCATAAAAACGCTGGAACGAAAGCAGACGGTGCGGACAATCAGCCATCCAGGAATTTACTGCGCAAAAGATATGACAGTGTGAAAATGTTGTTCATTTCGTACCTGTGGTATTCACTTTGCTATTTGCTGCCTCCAATTGCGTCCAGCGTATATACTCAAGCTTATGCCTCGATGCCGGCATTGCAACTTGCGTTTCGTGGGATCGCGTTAATGGGTTACGCATTGAACCCAGTAAGGAACTTGAACTTTTAGTTTATCTGCAAACTGCACTAAAATAACACTTGTACAGCGTTGTACTAAGATAACGCTTAAAACATACGAGAACACATCCCCTGATATTAAGAAATATATTTCTGGTTTACAGTATTACTGTTGTTGAACTGGTGTGAAGCAGACGCTTTGCTAATACATGTAAAGTAGACTGCATTTTTTAACAGGTGATTTACATTAGCATGAACCAAGACTATCGAAAGCGTCTTCTCAAGATGCTTTTTGGGAATCAGCGATATAGTGGTACTAATACACTAACCACCACCAGAGCGCAGAGTCAAGCGGACCCCGCCGGAACGTCAAGCAAGGACTGATTAATACAGTTATAATTCGTTACGCGATGTCTATAACAAATGCAGCACATAGTTTGCACAATTCCTATAGGCCATAATAATGCCTTTTAATACTGCGCTGGGCGTTAGTGCACCGTTACGCTGGCTGTGACACTTTTGCATGGAATTTTAAGGAACATACGATACGCAATGATCCGCGGTTTCGGAATTCCGGGCACCGCTTGTTTTCCAGTCAGCAGACTTGTCTATACGATTCTTGCTGTAAACGCATATTCCAGATTAAATTGACAAGCCTTGTGTACTTTACGTGAGACACAGATGTTATTAGTGCGGGATCTATAACGTGATTACTTATTTTTTTAATATATATTTTACTAGTTCGTGCTCCAGGAGAAAACCCCATTCCCATTGACGTCAGAAAAGGATCAATAGTATGCGATCAGTGACTGTGTTGTGCTTAACTATTCACTTTGTTTTCATACATACGGTTGCTCAGGTTTGAATTAACGGGAAAACACTCGGCATTAGCGTTCTCATATTTGTCGGCCACTTTTTGCAAACCAGTTAGGTGTGAGAGTAGAAATAGTGAGGTTAATAATTCGTGCTGCGGAATCAAAGTAATTCTCGTAAAAACTGTTAAGCATTTGTACACAGTGTATCGCGGATTAATACATCTGGGCAGTGTGGCGTTGCGGTGTTGTTGCGATGTTTTCCCACAAATCCCGAACGCTGCCGGTATAACGATCTCTTTACAAAGAAATCGTGACCAAAGTATCCAATACGGCAGTATCGAGTGGTCTCTTTCGTTCTTAATTAAGAACGAAGGAGACCACTCAATATTGACGTATGGGATACTTCAGTCACGGAAGTAGCTAATTCGGTTCTTTCGTTGATTAACCGGAAGAGAAAATACACGAGCGCTGCTGTTTGTAACCCTGCGTCCTACTCATTAGCACGCACTGTTAATGACAGCCGGAATGCGCCGCTTTCCAATTTTGAGCAAGCCATGAGATTATAAAATTATCCACATCTTGAACTGCTGAAGTACTGCAACGAGAAGGCATATATCTCACTGGAAAATGTTCCTCTCAAGCAATTGCAAGGTCACATGCCGATATGCAGACACGTAGCATTTCATCATGGTAGTTTTAATGCTGTTCGCTAACAATTCCATTTCCAACAATTCCGCTGCCATTTTCGAAAACCAAAGTTCGTTAGTACCAGCCTGGATAATTTACTCAACCACGCTGCAAGTCTGGGTCGCGATAATTGGAATTCTGGCGATCATTGGCACTTCTCTCAATGTGCCATTATTTGTCACCATCGCCACCGGCAGTAAACTGAATACCGGATCGGGCGCGTTAATTGCGCATCTGTTGTTTATTGAATCGATGCTGTGTTCTGTATGGAATCCCATTATCTGCATCTCCATGTACACAGCCCATATAAAACCATTGTCCCACACATTCTGCCAGTATGCACTCTTCGGCTACTATATTTTTCTGCACTGCGCTAATTGGTCAACGCTGCTCTTGGCCATTAACCGATTTGTCGCCATCATGTTTCCCCACCAGTACAGCAAAGTTTCGAGTAAACCAGCGCTTTTATTCAGCATGTCTTTCGGTTGGATGGTAGCCATTGGTTTTAATCTACCGGGATTTCTTGGTGTGAGTGGGGATTACGTGCCCATTCCGCCGTGGGGCGGGTGTGGGACAAAGGTCACCGCGCAATTCGCCTGGTTTAACGCGCTGCTGACCGGTGTACTGACATCCATTCCGGTTTCGGGAGTGGGTCTAGCGTATATTGTCATGTTCGTCAAAATCGGTGTGGTGTGGTGTCGAAATCGCAATGCGGTTGTCACAAAGCAGAAGGACGATAGTAGCGCGGGCGCCCGCCACGATCGTAGCGTGCTGCAGAAAAGACGTTTCGACAGCGCCAAAATGTTATTTATTTCGTATCTGTGGTATTCGTTGTGTTATTTACCGGCGCCCATTGCATCAAGCGTCTATCCCCAAGCTTATGCTTCGATGCCTGCTTTGCAGTTGGCGCTCCGCGGAGTTTTATTAATGGGATACGCTTTTAATCCAGTAAGTTATGCAGTGCTTTATTCACTAGTACAGTAAGTATAATAATAGTATTATACAATTTTATACGAGCACATCTGTGTAGTGTACTTGAAGAGGACATTTTAGCTTTTACGGATATATATGCAAAAAACTGTTTTCTACAATATATAAGTAAATTTTTGCTTTACTTAGGTCATCTATATTGCCATGAATTCGGAATACCGCAAACGACTTTTTAAGCTTCTCCACATCACTGGCGACCACTTCACCAGCCATCCAACCCGAACCGCTACCGTAGCCAAGAGCCAAGTTGATTCTGCATGGACTGGCAGAGATTAGCTGATTCAATGGGACTCACTCGTCTGCATCTGCGGCCTACGCCATCGACCAGATTAAGCTATTTCGCTCAGCGCGCTTATACTTTTAATTATGTTATTACAATACAGTTTAGACTGTTTACAATCATGTATAGTGGCTCGGACCGGAAATACAGAATTTTTAGTGCATCCAGTATGTTGTTGTAGAGTAAGATGACGGCAGCTGGTTATAGGTCACAACAACCTGATGTCCGACTATAAGGCAATTAAAGAACACGGTAGCATTTCTTAAGCTTCGCGTGTTTATTCCACAGTTTTTCCCCATCTTACATTATTCCTCTGTAGCGAGACATCCAAAGCTTGGGAGATACCCGTCTCATTTGCTATTCCCCACCTCAATTTTTTATTTTACCTTAGACGGGACATTCCGTCAGTGTACGGTAAATGGCAGCATTCTTAATGAATTCAGGTAGGTGCAGCACATGCATCGTGTATTTTGTTTACTCATGTGGTTCATTTTTGCTTAAAACTAGGTTTTTTGTTGTTTCCATTCTAATCCCGTTACACTTATCACGGAAAGCGTCTCAAAAAATTTGCACATAGTTGCTTCATTTTCAGACGCTTCGTGCATGAAGTCGGTCAGGTGTTTTTCGGAATTTTAATTGGTATTATCCAATTTGGATAAAATTTATCGTTACCTAAGTACCTGTATTGAGTAGATATTATTATACCGAAAGAATATGTTACATTTGATTTAAGTACAGACGCATTAGTGAGTTGCCAAGGATATGGATTTGCAGACAGCTCTGCCTGCTCTGGTACAATGTCTTTTCTGCGAGATTATCCAGTTGTTGCCAAAGTCAGTTGAGTACGCCGAATCACAAATGTTCGGTTTCACATGTACAAATCTCCAATCTTTTATTCGAGTAAGTTGAAAATTTGTCTACGAGTATTATCTCATGTTTGCCAAATTTTATAAAACTATGTAACGATCACGCGAGATCGCCTCCTGCAGGACAACGTGCCAGTTTTGCGAAATATGCCATGCTTTCCGCAGGCGCTGGTAGTTCCCAGTTTCCATTGGCCAAATACGATTACTAAGAAAACAAAGGTCGCTTCCTTACCGAGCCACGGCCACCAGGAACGGCACGGTTGTTTGTTGCTTACACAACATTTGCGCTTCTGCTTGTATGCCGGCTTCGTGTGAACTGTTTTTATCTCAAGAGCATCGACGACACAGTGGCCCAGACGTTAGCCAAAAAACTGATCAAAAACCAGATAAAAACCATTTACTGAAATATCGATTGTTTGTTCTCAGTTTACCAGAATAACAACGTTCCACCTAGTTTGTTAGCTCTACCGGGATACTCTTCCATTCCCATTTTGGTCGGCCACGCTGAGGTTACATTCTGTTTTTTAGCATAAACGCTTTTTAAAATGTTTGCCGCTGTTATTATATTAACAATTTTACCATGCATTATACAGGGAAGACCACAATCGGTAAGGCGAAAACTTTCGTTGTAACACGACACCTTCCGTAGCGTTATCTTGTAAGCGTCGAAAATTTGTAATTACTTACAAACACTGTTTTCATAACTGGTAATAAAATAAATTATCAGGTAAGATATAATAACAATAACTCGTCATTGGGGCTTTCACTTTTACGCATGAAACAGTAAAGGTCACAGAAACACCGTTTTGTTATCGTTGTGAAATAAAGTAGATTTTAAAGTTTTACTGCCGAAATTCATCCGCAGTGTTAAAAATCTTACGGCGCCAGTTGACGACAAAAGCCTTTGCATTTTCTAAATGAAGATGATGAATCGTTGGGTGAATTATGAAGCATGGACTATGTTTCAGCTTACATTTCTTTATTGTAGAACAGAAATTTATTTGCAGTCTAAAACTATGTTTTAGTGAATATCGTGGTTGTCGACTGGGCGCATACGAGTATATGATTTGCGTAGTTAAATTTACTTACGCAGCGATGTGCAGAATAAATATTACGAATTTCATTAGAATAAATATTACGAATATTACGAATTTCGTTTTAGAGATGGGGTCATGCAGGACTCAGGAGTAGAGTATATATTCACGTCATTCCAATCAACACGTCGTATACGTAACTTAGTACAAGAAATTTTTAAGCTTGCTATAATATTATCAGTACTGTTGTACGAAAAACTGCTTCACAGTTCTGTATAAAGCACTATAAAAATTTTAAGCACTATAAAAATTTTGAGTAGTTTAAAATTTTTAAATCTTCGCGGCCTAGTTTTGTGCCTAGACAAATTAAATAATTTTGCTATTTTGGCTCACCAGAAACTAAAAAAATTTGGCATTGATACGGCAGGCATTTGGAAGACATTTTTCTACACGCAAAATGCAGCATATTGCGTACAATTTTCGAATAAAGAAGTTTTTACTACACTTAGAGCAGCAATACTCATTTTATTTACAAAGTACAGATTCTGTAAATGAAAGGTGCAAAAGTTTACTTATGTGAACAAAGGGAAAGGTTTTGGTACCACTTTTATGTGACCGCTGGATTAATAAGCGGTTGTTGATTTTAGTGAAGAACGTAAGGAATAAGTTGTAAATTAAATAGGTACCCACTTTGAATTGCGTAATACTAATATAAGTTTTAAGTTTAAGCGTTCGGTTTTGTCAAGCTTTCGACAAAAGTCAAAAACAGTAAGTCATTTGTATCGATTGTATCGATAATACAAGGGTTATTTTAACGTACAAGGCGAATAGCTCTGAATAATTACTGACGTTGGATAAAAAGCAACAACAACAAATTCCAAAAATTTCATATTATATTTCACGTGCATAGGAATGACCGAGCTGCATCCTTTATGCACTTTAACTTCATGTACACAACAGAACGAACCGATGAAAAATGTAAATTATAGTCTAAAAATAAAATTAATTGAAGCCTAGTACCGCTTGTATCTGTAAGGTAATGTATGCGTGCATGCGTGCGTCGCCGAGTAAACCGGTCGAATAATTCGTTTATAATGATGTTTATCAACGTCAGTATTACATATGTATTACTTGTGTACGGCTTTTTACAGTATTCCTACTCCTTCAACGCCCATAATCAGGCCCAGGCCAGCGCCGCATCCCAGCTGAGCTATCAGTTTTCCCACTCGTTCCCGCCGGCGCCGGCACCGTGCCAGTCATCCTGCGGCTCACCATGCGGTAGTCCATGTGGCGGCGGCAGCGGAGGCGGAAGCGGCGGCGGTCAACAGCAGTCCTACCAGCAGCCATCCCAGCCGTCTTACCAGCAACAACAACCGGCACCCGCTCCCCAGGCCACCAGTCTGACCATTAACCTGGTGTGCTCACCCGGCAACGGTTGTCAACAGGCGCCGGCACCTTCACCACCTTCGCCCAGCTTCCAGTTCAGCGGATCGTCCAGCGCCAGCGCCAATGCCCAGTCGAATTGCGGATTTTCTATGCAGGGATGCGGCAAAAAATAAAATTCGCGGAACGTACGAATGGGCGAATTAGAACGTACCAACGAGCAAATCAGTGATTACATACAATGCATTTATTTAATTGTGGTTTGAATTTTTATAGTAGACGTATTAATTAATGGTAAGAATTAGTTCCTTTATTTGATTCCTAATGCTAAAACATTTACCGTGAAAATTACCGGCTGACTTCCGACGAGCTTTGCTATGTAATATGTGCCGCAAAATTAAACCGTGTATGTGCCAATAAAATCGAAATGCTGAGAAACTCGCCCGACATAACTATGGCCATTCTATTAGTCTCAAAAGGCAATTACGCGTATATGTATATCCCACTATGTAGATTAAAAGCCATTTTACTGAATTAAAAATGATTGAAAGGTGCCGCAGCGTCCCATAGGCGAGCGATCCCGAGTTGCGCTAATGAGCCGCAGCGGGCCGGTTAAACTTCTCCACCAATTACATTTTACTCCACATTTCATAATGAACATCCGCCATGCATGTACATATTTGAGTATGGCAGTAATAAAGAAAATTGCTCTGACGCAATTCGATTGAATTGCCTCGTTGTGGATAATATATACATAATATACACACACATCGCTGAACGGCGTCCGACCGTTGCGGATTCGCACGCGTTGTACTCTGTACATGGCGGCACGATATACATTATTGTTTACGGTATCTGGCGTGCAGGCAAAAAGAGCAATAATCTCAGGCGATCTGCCCCTTAATTAGCACCTTCAGTAATACGGCTTGATGCTGCTGTTGACCGTGATCCCCGAACGGAGGAATCGGGCGTGAAAGTTGAAGCCGCAGTGGCGGAATAATCAGATACCGGATACGCCGCGACACTGATCATCACACGTCTCCTAACAATGATACTGACATATATATACTGTTCCTCGTATATATACCCCGCTGCACACAAGACTATGTCTAGCGGGAAATGATCTCGCGGTCAAGTCGTACACAATTCCTGTTGGCTGGCGTATGATATTAGCTTCATGACAAAAGTTTTTTTCCGGTTGCATGTGCAGTAATTATATACAATTCCCGTATACGACGCGCGACGAGACTGTTGAACTCAGCCGGCGAGCACACCATTAGTAACGCACGACCGAGATTGGTGGAAAGGTCGTTTAATCAGTCAAATGGGTCGATGGTACGTCTTAATCCCCGTATTCCCGACCGGCGTATTCAAGATTGGAGTCAGCATGTTTAAGCCGGCCGTTCACCGGTGATTTCCTTGTGATGTTGTTTTAATGCGTTTTCTGATAACTGTTTTTAGCACAATTCCGCATACCGCCATTTAATTTGGATCTTTAACCTGCTGTCCTTTTGCTCAACGTTTCTAGTTTTTAAATGCATTAATACTTTTTCGGATGCGGGGAAATGGATTTGAATTACACGGAAATCAAGGAGAACGAAGCGGAAGCGTATTCCCGGCATGTGCATATCGCTATACTATTCACCTTATCCGGGTTGGCCATTGTCGGCAACTGTGTCGTCCTGGCCATCCTCACCCGCAATCGCTCCCGGCAAAAACAATTAACACCTATTGATTATCTGTTATTGCACTTAGCCGCCGCGGATGTGCTGGTGGCGGTGTTCTGCCTGTTCACCGATGGCATGTGGAAGGTGACCTATTCCTGGCTGGGTGGGGATTTCCTCTGCAAGGTGGTCAAATTTATGCAGATGCTTGCGTTGTATGCCAGTACGTTTGTGACCGCGGCGATTGCGGTGGATCGGTGTATGGCTATAAGGTTCCCGCTCAAGAGGGTGGATCATAAAAAACTAATTAAGCGCGTAATGTCCAGTTGTTGGCTGGCGGCTACGATCTGCAGTTTACCGCAGGTGAGTTTGTGAGAAGGACGCACTACTCGTAATGCATATAATTAGAAGTTCTATTTGGTTAAATTTAAACTGCGTGTTTTTCTAAGCGCTGTACAATTTGTATACATAGGTAGATACAGATATAGGTCTTGCGTGCTGACGTGAAACAATGGATGTTGCATAACACTGTTGACCTTGTATGTATGTTCAGCACAGTTAAATAACGCTCTGGATATAACCTTACTGCGCGTAAAAAGCAAAAGAATTATATGTTAAATAATTGACCGTCGAGAGCTGAATCACGTGGTCAGGTTTATTTCTGCGTAAACCGTAATTGCATCGTGTTGGGCACGTTCTATAAAGTTATAAACCGCTGGCACCGTGCGTATGTTGCAAAGCAAACTGTTTTGACGTACTAGCTGCAGTGCCTGGTAGTAAAAAGCCAATTATCCCCCTCCAAATTAGAGCTGTATTACCTCCGTGTAGCATTATGATTAAGCACTATGTATTTTCGGTGAGATTAGCGCTCTACCAGTAATTTTGTTGTCGTGGTACAGTTGCTGATTTTCCGTGTACTCCGGGCCCCGGGATTATCGGAAGAAGATCGGTTCGAGCAGTGCGTGACATTTGGCGCGTACACAACATACTGGCAGGAGCCGGCATACATCTTGTTCACCTTTTCCGCCATGTTTGCTGTACCCTTGATGGTCATTTTTATTAGCTATTTCCTTATCGTACTCAAGCTAAAATTTGCATCGACGAGCACGGGACCAAATGCTGGTAAGCGCATTAAAAATGCAACAAGTGCCACAGATTTTTCAAGAAAATTATTTTTCAATAAAAGAGGCTATTCTACATAATACATGTATATTTGATCATGTGTATGTGCATTGATGCATCTCATGAATTGCTTTACTTCCTGCGGGTAGTTTCACGGTCATAAAATCACACTGAAGCATAGTTAGCAAACGTGTTACTATTTAAACTGTGTCTGTACAGTAACAGTACAGCCATTGTCGTATTACACCATCAAAACATGTTTGCTTTATACTCGTAATTAAGTGATCGGATTCTTGTTGGTTGTAACTGCTACCGGCGAACGGTAATTACGTAATCCACGGAATCATCAATACTTCTATGCGATGCATTCGCGCTGGATTTCAGCGAATAAACCGTGGGTACTGCATCACATGCACGATTACTTTGAAATACAAGCTGATCGTCCATTAGAAAAACGTGTGAAAAATATTTTCCCATTCCCAACCAATCCTGGCGGAAAATTCCGAAGAAGGTTCTGTGTGTCTCTGTACTAACAAATAGCGTGATTATAACCGTAAAGAAATCAGCATCATAGAAATTATTAGCACAGCCGGTGCAGTAGTTCTATCGTTGCATCATGATCAGGTAAAGAATAATAATTATTGAACGGAAAAGGGCAAAAACTTCCAAGCATTACCAGCCGACGTAAGCGGCATAACGTAATTTGTCGTGGCCGTTCATTCATTCAGCAAGTAACGACCGCGTGGCGACCAATCAGGCGATACGATCGTGAATGAGGATCGCTCACGTTTTCTAATTGGATACGCACTTGTACGACCTCAAAGTACCGAGTGGCTCAATCACCAAGCCGATCGTTACTTCCGCTGCTCCGCATATCAAGGCTCCACTAATTTCCACACTATACCATAACAAAGGTGTCGAATGACAAAAATATATGTACGCAGATGATTCGATCTTGCAAGAGAGAAGGATAATTCCGTAATCAAAGACGACAGCTTTCTGCTTCGGCGATTCATTTCAACGAAGTAATAAGAGAATATTATGGTAATCAGTTACGCGTCGTAGTGGGTTGAATGTACGGGCGTATTCCAATAAACTCTGTTGTAAAACTGCCACACCTTTTTCATGCAGTTAATGAATGCGGCACTTCGTTCAGTTTTCGTAACTGCGAGTTTGCATATACGGTAGCTGGCGTTGCAAAGTATTACATTTGAGTTTGTTACATTTTAACTAAATGTGCATATTGGTAGGACTGACGCAGCCAATCATGCAATCCAATCGCATGTCTTCAACGAAATCTACGCACACCAATGCCAGCTTATCCAACTCCAAACGTCAGGCCTTAATGCGGAAGGCTACGATGAAGTCCTTATGGGTGTCGATACTGGTCATCCTCACATTCTTAATTTGTTGGCGTAAGCTATGCGGGTTGTCAAAGGTCACCAGCAGCATTGTTTTAATGTACCATTTTCTTGCAGTTCCTTACTACATTTCTTTACTGTACTACATTGTTGTGGAGTTTTGGTTAAAGGAATCCAGCAACGAAGCGCTGGATATGTTCCAGTACATCTTCTGCTTCGGTACGTTGCCTGAAGACCATTTTCGTGGAACTGCGCACAATGCAGTTTCGTGTTAAACTCTTCTCTGTGGTGGATGATTAATTTGGTGTTTGGCGCTACTAGGTATGACCAGTTCCGTGCTGAACCCTGTCATCTATGGAGCCTTCCACATGTCACAAGGGATACGACGCCAGAACGCCAGATTATCTCGCGGGACTCACAATCGGCGGATGCATCGGCATTGTGCCGAAGACGGGGACATTTTGTATCGGAAAACTTTAATTAAGAAGGCTAGTAACGATGTTGATGATACCGTCGTGTATACGTCTGTCTATCAGAATGGTTTATACTAGAGTATTAATGGCACATTTCAATTGCACAATTCATTTTGGCGGCAAAAAGACTTTTTATCGTACAGGAGATACTTTGTGCTTCAGTATTTTAAGTAAAACTGATCTGCTCACCATAACCGCATGCTTAACAGTATTAATGTTGTAAAGTTACCGTTTTCGCGAAATTGTTAACAATCAATCCCCAGGTACAAAAAGACAAAGCGCAAAACAAAAATTTATTTACAGAAAAGGTGCGAGTAGACATATAAATAATACTTATACTACAATTGCAAAGCAGTGGGGTTTCGAAGTGTACATAATCCGTCCAGATTCAACTGACACAGCATTTTTTGGTTGGCTAGAAAATACAAACATTCAAGCTTTGAAATAAACATTTTGTGGAAAAATTTAAGATAGGACGAATATCCAGTGATGAAAAGCGTGATAGATTAACAAGTTGCGACAGTTTTAAGGAGCAACTGATGGACCATGCAGGTTAAATCGCACTCATATTTGCATATCCACGAATACTAACCAGTTTTAATGTCTTATTCCATCATTTCAAATTCTTCAATTACGCTCTGGTTGGACAGCATTGTTTGCGTGATTTCTCCGTTAAGAAGGTCGCGGATAACCAGGACGTACGTCGCAAAGCATCCAAATAGCTGCAATACAAGGCCGCTTATCTTTGTAACTAACCAGGTAAAGAAGACATCCAACGATTCCGATTATGAATAACGTTTTTAGATATCTGTAGATAATTTTATACCGCAAGCATCAATCCACGGTCAAGGTAAAGAACAGCTCCCGCCGTTAGGCGTATAGGCGATATAGACAGTAAAGTCAATGTGTGCTTCAAATTATCCATGTTCCTCATCGCGTAAGCCTCCAAGGGACTCCCATTTGGATCCATTTCCAGCTGTTCTCGCAACGTGTTTACAAGACTGGCTACCTGCAGACAAATATTTTGATAGAAATGTAATGTGGGCAGTGGCATTGCCTTAACGCTGCGTTTATATGACATTATTGACTGGCGTGCATTAAATTACGATACTGCAGTGCTGTTTTCGTATACCCGTATCTGTGGATTCGCTAGCCGCTGCCTTTAATTGTGAACTTTCTGATGCTTTCAATAAGTACCTTTATGCTGGTGTTTATCCACTCGCAATTCAGAAAAACTGCTGTATTACAACGAAGTAGTTTTACTCTGCAGTCGTTATTTAATAAAATATTGTATATACGACGTATTGTACAACGTAATAAGTACAATACTGCACATTAAGGCGGTTAACCGAAAGGGATGAGAAAGAAAAGCGAATAGTTGTAAATTTTACATAAACTTCGGGTACTGCCACCCGAAACCTACCTGATCTTGAGTCTTGATGGCAAACACAATCGGCACAATGATTTGTGCCAAATTCCAGGCAAACGACCCAACATTTATCACGACGAGCATTGCGCTTGGTTGTTGTATGGTGAAGCCTTGGAAAAACCCTAAGATAACGGCACCATTAGCGCCTATGAAGAGGAAAAGAATTGTTGAGAAAGTCTGTTCCACAGAATCGCAACAGGCGCGCAATGCAGTTACAAAACGGTGAAACCGCCGGATGTCGTTGTCTTGTTTGCCATTAAAAGCCGCATTCCAAACATGACCTTTAGCCTCAATCGCAGAACTGAGATTGGTGATGATGGAGTTTACTGAATGAAGTTTGAGACAGAAAAGAATTATGACCAATTCTGCAACCAAGCACACGAAACTTGTTAGAGGGAACGTGGCTACTTGCCACGCCCAAAAGGGCAGAATTAGTGGTAAATCGGTGACAAATTTCGCAGGACTCCACACTTGATACTGCAGAGCGATGGCGTAGTCCACACAACCCGCTACGTAGACTGTCACATGCAGAATTGCTGTGCCAAATAAAAACAAGCGTTCGAATCTTTTTATCTTCTGCAGAATGGTAGAATAGTCGAAAGTGGTGTTTGGGAGCTGCTCAGCTGTAACGATGAACGAATGCTCCGTAGTGCAAACTGTGTGAAAATTCCGTCTTTGTCTGGCAAACATCCCAATAACGACAATAGCGACGGTTTGCTTAATAACATATTTGCCGTTTAAAATGAACTTGGTAAACGTATCGATCGTTTGACTAAAACTGCGAATCATTACCAAGGTAAAGAAGCATACAATTATCCAGTACACTGCTTTCAAGATGTTATAGACCCGTTCCTTTGCCGTAGTGACTTTCTTTTTGGTTGAGGAATCATGAGTACATTCTGTCTGATCAGAATTCAAGGTCAAAAGAAAAACGGAAAGTAGCGAATATGTGGGACCGTGAGTGTTCATGGCGCCACAACTGAACAAGTTTACCGTAAGCAACAAATTTTCACGTCTGCTAGTGCAGTGTGAGTGCATGCGGTGCGAACGGCGGAATAACTAAATCGTGCTGCCGACTGAGTACCGAGCATTCAAACTGAAATACAGTATTATTGTCATTTATTATTAGACTAAGTTGCCGATATAAGTTTGATGTACGCTAGCGCTGTACAGAGTACACAGTGCAACATAATTCAGCAACCTGCATTTACCATTGGGATAATATCGTAAATATTGATTGAATTAAGTTATCAACTTTTTATTTCTGCTTTCTGCTGAAGTTACAACAAACAGTTCACATGGGAGTAATGACGGGGCTATTACAATAATTATCATTATATTAAAAATTGCATAATTCATTTACTGCTGCCACCGCCACCGCTTGGCGCATTAAATCACAGCTAGCCTTCAGAACAAAGCAAAATTATGAACAGCAATTATCCGGCTGCAGCTGTTTCCCGTTGGTCATCGGCATTTGGTTGCTTCGAACGCTCCATATGGAACTGTTTTATAGCATCCTCTGCAAGCTCAAAAAGCCGCTTTTCGTACCCTGCAGGAGCGCAAACCCCAACTTCTCCAACTATTCGCAAAACCTTGCTATCCATATCCACGTTGCTCTCGTGATGATTATTAGACAGTAAAGTAAAGGTCACTCGTCGGAAAATCAGCTTGCTGCATGCCGAATGCATTTGTCCCACGAACTTCACGAAGCGTTGAGGGAACCAGTCATGTATCGCTGTGGATGGTGCACGTAGACGAACGTCGACATTTGACAAAATCAGTCTTTTGATGGGTGACCGCTTAAGAACCATTATCATGGTGCTGAACGCAGTGAGTACATTGTCATCGAGCTGACCAGATAAAAGAACCGTGTCCACTCGGTCACCGTAGTAGTCATTCAGACAGTGTACGAACTCCCGCACATGCTCAGTATCACGGGGAAATCGTGCTTCGTTTAAATGAATATACAGCGATCGGTGCCGGAAAGTTTCACATAGTGGAAGAAAAGCGCTGTAAAATCGACAGACTTTACGGATCTTTATTTGCTGAAAGATATCCAACATGGAGAAGATGTCGTACAGAACGTCGACCGGCATGGTGCTGAAGTGTTGCGGTAATATGTTCGCAGGACATTCCACATCGTACTGATGGCAATCGTCGTCCACCTGGGCTGCTTCCGGAAGATAAACGGTGCATGTTGTCACTCCTGTTTCCGTGATTAGTCAAAAATCTCCCTGCAAAATAGAAACGTTTCACATCTACAGACTACCGCACTACTGGCGTCCGAGGACGTGCACGTTGGTTAGGTGTTACCTGTCAGTCAAACGAGTGCTCGAAGGATCAGAGCGTCAGACTTCGGGCGTGCTCATCCAGACTTCCGGCGTTGTCTGCTGATTTATTGCTGCACTGCTGCCCACCCCCAACCGATATGCACAGTATTGCTTCCTGTTGCTTCCTAGCGTAATCTGTTGGTCGAAGAGATACGCTTTGATGGATTGGGGTGTACTGCCAACGCTTTAATACGAACACGGCAAAATTTAATTATCCTTGAGTAATCGTAGACAAACGATGAAAACGCACTGCACCAATCGATAAGAAAACAGATAGGTTTATTCATCGTGTAAGGCTAAGCAAAAATGAACCTCTGCATATGTGCTCTTTACTGAAGTGCTCATATCATTGACACAAATTCTGAATCATACTACTGATGACATCATGCTGCATGACATCATTTTTAACCGGCTTTTCTTAGCACAATAAAATATGGTGTTGACAACGTAATTGTACGGTTTAAAATAAAACTCTTAAAACCGACAAGCGCTTGATACAGTGGATTAAGGGAAGTGTGTCAGTCGAAATTTAACATGGACGAAGTTACGTTTGGCCAAAATCGAAATGAAATGAAAGCCGAAAGCCGAAATGAAAACGGCCGAAGTGAACGGTAACCGCTTTTATACTTCGCCACAGTCTATTGAAAATGCAAAATTAAAAAGGAAACCCAAACAAAAACAAAAGTTCCCGGCGAGCATGGTTCCATTAGTGCAGTGACAGTTCATATAATCCTATTGGCCGGCATGTCGTGTGCACGTGGTCACCAGAAATTACTAAACGAATCAATGGCAGTTTCAAATTTGTATATATGGTCTTATTCCATAATTTCCGACAACGCCGTCATCGCGAATAAGGTGAGCTTGTTGAGACTATGTAGATGGTCAAGTACATCAGGCACACGAGTTGCATCGTCGGGGAGGTATAGATGGCAAGCGAGTGGGCGTGGATCCATATTTTGGTAAAACCTAATTATCTGTAAAAAATATGATATTAAATTGGTGACCTTTATCACTTTTGGCTCTTCATATTTTCTTGTATTTTTAATAAAAGCATGTGAATTACATTTTTGTTGTTGTTGTCACTCCCTTCACCCTTGTAGTCCCTTACATGTATAATATGTATTAGGGTCTAACAAGAAACCCAGACAGTAAATAAACGCTGTTTTTGCTGTCCTTATCCGCGCTGACATAAAATATCTATACAAGTATGATATTTGAAATTGAAAAATATTACTTCAACTTTTCCAGCACGGTCCATGATACAAAAAGACAGGCATCGAAAGGGTCTAATAACTGCAATGTGGCATGCGCTGGACAGAAGTGTGAGGTATTCCTGTACTTTACATACCGATTCTAGGCAGCGGAAACGGGATGGATAACCGTTTTCTCTATAGAAGTACGCAACCCGGACCCAATGGTGCAATTTTGTAATATCCTGTCGCTCTGCATCCACATTTATGGCCGTTTCCACCAGATCCCATAACCGACACTCGTAGTCAGCAGCCGACACATCGACTACACCGTGTATCCTGACGCTCCATTTACCCAACCGCTCTTTTTCGCAATCAGAGAACAGCGGCATGATTACATTGTCGAAGACGAGCTTCCTGCATGGCTTGTTTGCTGACACAAAACACTTGTGAAATCCATTCGCAAGGAATCGACGAGTTCTACTGAAATAAGGGAACGCAACATCGGACACTTGCAGTTGCGCCAGAGGGGGTCGTCCTTTAAGGCCGCCTGCATAGTTGTCAATGCTGCTGCTATCCGATGAAAACCGCCGTCCAAAAGATCTCCAGACAGTATAATGGTATTAACACGATCTGTATAATGCTCATTCAGACAAGATGCGAGCTCGAAAATGTACTGAAGATTTCCGTCCGACGGCTGATTAATGCGAAGCCATATGGATTGCGGTTTGAGGGTCATATTAAGTGGCAGCAGTTTGCTCCACAACTGACACACATTACGAATTCGAGACTATTCCTGCAAGTCAAAAAACGCGAAGATTCTGGCCAGCAGGGCATCCGGCAAGGTATTTATAACGTTGTAAGGTGGTGGGTCCTCATAAAGTTGGGTTCGGCCTTCACATCCAAAAACGCGGGATTTCTTTCAAGCAGGACACCTAGCAAAACATTTGTTTAGCTATTACAGCACTTATTGATTTTTGTGTTACATTCCACTTGGGCTTGACCTGGAGATGCTGGTGGTGTGGGCTCTTTATTTCGTTGGTATGTACACATCAGGCTTTCAATTAATCGATCCGGACCGTCATCCTAATTGTAAAAACATCATTACTGCACTTCTAACTCCCAAGTTTATTTCGAAACAAGTACTGTAAGAGTGTACGCCAAGTTACTGTCTCACTGACATTGTTCCTAAAGGTCACAGTATTAGTTATTGACGCTTTTTAAGGACCGACGCGGCTGCGCGGAGATTACAGGGCTTACGCTAGTCCATAATATTTCTTTGATGTTTCTGATCCAGTCGTTATTTCCCAAACACACCACCCTGTTATCAACAAAAGCAACTGCTTTCCCTTTCTTGAAGGAATCCATGGGAAAATGTCTATTCCACAATGCTATGAACTCTTCAGTAGTACAGAAGGAAAACAACTGCGGAAGATCAAAGCACATTTTGATATAATGGAAATTCGGCATAACTAGGTTACGCATCTGGCTGGCCAAACAAACGTGATCATAAGGTACAACATGAATTTTCTCCCCAAAGACATCGATCTTCACAACAGCAATAAAGTAAAACGCCAGAAGTTCACCCGGAAGCCATACCCAGGGCCTATCGTTGCTCAGCTGTGTTTTGACGAGTACGCTTGTTGGTAGAGAAAGCTGCTTATGGGAGAGAAGTGCCCACAACTCCTCTGCATAATTATGACGCTGGAACGCTTGCCAGTAGGGTGTCCAAACGGGTGGAGTATTGGGAATGTGCTGGTCAATTAGTAGAACACCAAAGTCGTCAACATCGATGACCGTTCCTTCACAGAAGAGCCCATCCGGACCTTCGGTCTCCACCGAAAAATAATCGTGCTTTTGAGAGAACATGTCAGGTTTGAAAAAATCAAGACAATCAGATTTTGATACTGAATAAGCGTTGGTAATAAGAGCAATCGTGCTACAGCACAAATCTAACTATTGCAAGGGCAACAATTTTTGCAGTTTGTCAGCAGTTTAAGATCATTCTGAAAATTGCACGAAGAACTTTATTGGTTTTGCGCCCAATGCCGAAAGATTTCAGGTTTTGTGTATTTATTTAGGTTGTGTAGCTTCTCGAGAACGCATTGATAAGATAACAAAGTAGAGAACACTATAATGTGCGTCATTAAAATGTATTTGTAGTCTTTTTGCAATATACGAGTACGTACTGTGTAACCTGTGATTTTCATGGCTAGCCACTTTACAGATATGGGAAGCGGTTATCGAGGCTCCTCAGTTTACACAGAGTTTTCACCGTCGAAATTTGTTAACCCATTGCGAGGCTAACCGTTGAGTAAAACCTGAGCCGTTTTTCTGTGGTTCCTAACAAATAACACAATAACAATAACACTAACAATAACACAATAACAAATAACAAATAACACGGGCCGTATACCAGCCAACAGAGAAAGATGTCTGACTCTTCGTAATGAGGCAATCTATACACGGCTCGTAGATGCGCTAAACAACCACCAATTCTTCACTTACTCAAATTTACTAATAAGTTAACAAAATAACTGTACATCCGCATTATATTATGATACTATGCATCTTTTACTTACTTCTATTCACACAGCGACGGGTTCATAGCTATACAATACGCGCTCGACAACGTGGATGCGTGCATACAAAATTTGGAATGCTATTATAAGAGCAGAGGTTAAGATGACAAAGTGTCGCAGACTCGCAGTATGACAGTATCACAAAATATTCAAGCCTCAAAGCGCAAGTAATTAGAACAATTGGCATTACACTGGTCCGATGCATCCGCAGATCTGGTTTACCCACAATCAATGATGAATTCTTCGCATCCCAAATGAGAACACGGGTGTGCTGCTAAAAGAAGGCTATTCACTAGTACACCGTTTGAGGTAGTATTATTTGAAAGGTCAACTGTAGACACTATCAGTCGTCTGAGCGGAGGCCTTTTCAAAACTCCCTGCATTGTCACCAAAACCTGTATAAAATCGTTAAACGCCCCGCCATCACTAGCATTGCCCAATAAAACAATGTCGTTCACCTGTTCCGAATAATACTGACACAAACAAGATGCAAATTTCAATATCCGATCGGTGTCTCCTGGAAATCGCGGCCCGTTAACACAAAAAGCTAATGATTGCGGATTCAGGGTGGTGCACAGCGGCAGGAGTCTGCTCCACAACCGGCACACCCTACGAATGCGTGATTGCTCACATACATCCACAAAGGCAAAGATTTTTCCCAGAACTGCATCTGGCAAGGTGTTGATAATGTTCCTATCTGGTGGATACTCGGTAAGGGATTTGCATTCGGGGGTTGTATCCATCATTAGTGACGTTGCCTGGTCCAGGGGTACTTGCTTCTGACGCCATACATTAGTTTCGGCGTCCACCATAAGGGTTTCCAGTAAACGCCCGCCGTACTTATCCTAGAACAACGTAACGCCTACGTCAGGACAAGATCACCATCCTTATATATTGCTTGGTGAAAAATTATTTCGGTTGTGAAACCTACATTACATGCTATCCGTGCTTTGACTTTGTCTATCCAGTACTGGCTTCCTAAGCATATGACCTGTCCATCGGCGACTGCAACGGCTTTCCCTTGTTTGCTTCGTTCCTTGTCGAAATAATTGTTCCACAACTTCATAAACTCCTCAGTTTGCCGAAAAAGCGTTGACTGCGGGAGAAGAAAGGATGCTTTCACATAAGTGAAGCACTGTATAACTGGAATTCGTGGATGGTTGGCCAGACGGACATGATCACAGGGAACAACACGCATCTTTTGCTCGCCAAAGATTTCGGTCTTAACAACAGCAAACGCCGGCCAATTCACTGCCAACAACCTACCGGGATACCACACCCACGGCATATCTTCGCATAGCTGTGTTATGATAAAAGCGTCTACAGCGTCCAAAGTGTCCGTAGTGCTGGTGAGGAAATCTCGGGGATCACACTTAAATGCGAGAGAACAAAGTGTCATAATCGGAGGCACGTTTGGCAAGTGGTGGTCAACAAGCAGGATATCGTTTTCGTCGGCATCCACCACCGTTCCATGATAGAACAAACCGTCTGGTCCTTCGGTTTCCACGACAAAAAAATCGTTTAACGAATCATGTCGGCTTTGTCGGAACATGATGTCACAAATGCTTGTCGGGTATCAGAAAACGCACACTGGAATAAAAGGTACTTTAAAGAATTAAAGAAAACAGTGTGAACTGTGAACGTTGTTCATGAACGATGCAATATTATAATATAGTATGTAAAACATCTGTTTACGTACGATCTAATTGTGTAGTTACGATTAAGACTGCACCTAAATGCGATATCACTGAATCGGTAGCGCTTAAGGTTTGGCGTCTTAAATTGTAGTACAGTACTGTTAAATGCTGTTATCAAGCTTAGCAGGGAGATAAGATACGCAGGTCAAGAAATGCACATCGTCCGGTTGATTACAGTAGGAATGAAATTTAATGATGTCATATGTGATAATGTGATCATTATCGTTTATAGGTGCGGAACACTATTCCGGTTTTTGCGTACTGTCGTAGCAAAAAGATGGTTTGATGGCAAAAAGATGATGGCAAAAATACGCTAAAACGCGTATTTCTGGTAATAATACAAATGATTAAATAAAACAATGCTGGATGAGCTTTCGCGTTTAATTACACCGCTTAATGGTTCATACCAGGGATACCAGCATCTGCTTTATTTGCTGGTTTGCGCTTTATTTGCTGACTGGTCTGAGTTTTGAGAAGCCAATCTTCCTTGCCGCTTCTTATCGTGTCATATCGCCTTTTGCATATATTTCCTTGTTTTCTCAGTTCGAATCAAAGTTTTTTTGTCATGATTTCTTTGTACTCGTACTGTCGTACATAAATTTACTGGTTACAGATCTAGCAGGCACGAAACCGTGTAATGTGAATCAGTACTCTAGTACTCGCACACATGTACTACAGTTTCAAATTTAATAATGCGCAGCGTTAAGAAACCCTACGCTGCCAGCTAGGAGTACTAGTACTGTAGAACGCGGGAGACTGTAGTGGTTGCTAAAACTTTTAACCTAAAAGTAACCGTTTACTGCGTCTGACTTTATAATTGTTATCTTGATTTTGTTTATCCACTACCCTTTCGTTTGCCTTTAGTTTTGTTGAATCATTTTTAATAATGTCTCGCGAATTCACCTCCTTGTTACATTGATGGATACTGCCAGCAGTACAATATATTGCACTTGCTGGGCGGCTAAGCGGAAAGGAGCGTTTTCACTTCCAGTTTAAGTAATGACCGATTACCATCTATTCTGCTCGTAATGCATAGCAAAGGTTACAGGAAACTCGCGCCAGTATTGCTTTTATGAGCGAAAAGCGGAATTTTACTAGTCTTTAAAGGAGTATTAGCCATAATGCTCAAAATCTAAGCAATCGTAATATATTTCCGGTTATCATAAAAATGTGCCTAATATTGGCGACGTACATGGTGCAAGGTATTTTAACTGCAACTGCAAGCCATAAATTAAGGACAGACGATCATGATCATAAGCACTAGACGTGACTGGAGTTAAAATACGACGACCCACAATTACAGTACACGCATATTACAGTACACGCAAGGTTCTACAAATAAAGTGAACGCATAAACGATATGGAGTGTTAACTTCTAAGCGGTGGCGCGGCTTTCTGCACCAACTTTTCCAGAAGCTGCTCGTATGCTTATTTCGTAATAAATCGGAACTTATAAATTCTTGCAATTAGTTCGTCCATTACTTATGTACGTATTGTAGCCGTAATGAGAAATGAATGCGTGGTTTGTTTTTGCGCCGCTGCGTCGCTTAAAGGTCATTGTCCCACTAAGGCTGTAATTACCAATTAATATCTGGCATGCGATATAAAACTAAGAATGCATCCCTAAAGAAAAATTGTAACTTTTGATTGGATTTGTCCAGACATGGTCGAGCCAGTAATTCAGTTCGTAGTTCAAGGTAAACTGACTTGGAACAAAAGTTGTTGTTATGCCGTACGGTATTGTGCGTCAAAGTCATAGGTCGTTAAATGACACGCGAGTATCAGATTACACCGATAAACATGGATTGTGACAATTTACCGGTACCGTGGATCCCGTGCGCTTTACCGTTATACAGCTTCCTAATGACACCCCATTTTCTCAGCAAACGTATCATTTGGTGCCCTGCACTACACTTTAGGGAATCTGGAACAACAGTCCGTTAAGGAATAATATTTGGCACAGGTATTTACCGTTCTGCAGACGCGAGCAGGGTAAGTATATAAATCCAAGCGACACGCGTACATTTGCCGTGATTTCACTCTTCAACGGATCCAAATTTCCTTCCACTATCTGACCTCGAGCAGTGTATTTCGGTTTCTCCACAGTGAAAATACCTTTTTCTCAAGGATGAAGAATACCAGTATTGTCTGCGTTATATCCGTGATGTGCTTAATCGGAGTATTTCTGTCAGCATCCGCCCAGCAGTTCCAGTTCAGCCGACAATGGCGTCCCGGTAAGCGTCAGCAGTACGAAGCCATGGAGGCGAAAGAAGCCGGTTCCGGGTTGGATGCATTACTGCAGAACTATCTGCGTCCTTCGCGCTACGGTGGCTATCTTATCCTTCCGGATTCTTACTCCAGGAGCCTCGTCAACAACGCAACATAAATAGATCTGCGGCGGAGGTATTTATTCTTGCCGGCGAAAAGGTGCGGACTGTGGATGAGTGACCTTTAAATGTTCTGTCTGTGTATCCGTTTGTTTGCTGTTGTTGTGATTTTACCAGTCGTATTTGAGTGCAATACTTCCTGTTACACGTACAATTAATCGCTAGCATATTATATATTGATCTGTTTAATTTGAATATGTGACAGCTACCGTCAACATGCGGCGCATTGACATAAGGTGTTCCTTTTCGCTTCCCTAATGGAACATGCCATGGCGGCGACTAATTATGCACATTTGCGAAGCGCTATCGATTTGACTGCATGTCATTAATGAGCATGTGGTATGCATGAGTCAAGGGTAATTCTGCTTTGCTGTCCAGGACTGCTTTAATTTTATCCCGACGCGTATATAAAGTTAATAAAGTTGTGATCGGCACATCCGGCCAAACTTGTCGCTGCTTGGCACTTCCGTTTTCCTGTTTTTCTATCCAACAACACGACCACATCTGTTGCCGGTTTGGCGAAAACACGGCGCATATAATTTTATGTACAGCCGCACAAGTATTTAAAGGGCGCATGTTTTTGCGCAAATATTTCACTCTTGTGCATTCGTAATGTTCACCACATCATATTAACTAACAATAAGATTATTCTAAACATTCCGAGCACTTCCTCCATATACAGTAGTTATCTTTTCCGTCGCGACAACGATGGCGAGCGGCTGCTCAGCGTTTCAGAAATTTCTGTACTTATCCGGGCAGAAGTTCTCCGATAACCGCGCATACCAATGGGATATCGCGGCGTCTAGCCCGGAGCAGTTGGCCATGTCGGATACAGATCGGTTAGGTGTGCGGATGCGGGTTGGGATTAATTTAGGCATGATGATGCTGTTCGCTTTATGCGCGGTAGTGCAGGTACACCCAATTCCCGTAATATGTACATTTAAATAAATGTCTATGGGTGGCGTTTAATGCGTCCGCTTATGTCATATCGGGGCGCGTTATATAATCATGGCAGTTTTTACGTTTGATATGTAATTTGTGTCGTGTAGTTCAACGATCCGGATCCATACATCTGGGTGGTAAGTAACCGAAAATTAATGTTTTTTCAGATGTGGAGCATATAATTTATTTAAGCGGTTTACAAAAAAATCTCTCACATAAGTCAGTAACTAGTAACATAATGATAACCTTTCTTCATTGTAATTGTCATGTGATACGTATTAAACAATATTTCAACAGCCCATCTATGGATTCCCGTGCCTGTTGTGCTTCCAAGAAATGGTTTCACCCAGAATTCTCGGTAACCATAAACAGTAGGAATAAATTTTAGCATATTTGCTTGCTTAGTTGTCTGTATCGAGAAATTAATCGTAAGACAGATTCAAACTTACAACCAAAAGGTTAACAAACAGAAAATTAAATTTTGGGGAATGTTTTCCAGTTTTTACTGTTATTTATAGTGCCTCATATGAGAATTTGCAGTTGTTGAATAATGGATTTATTTAGCGAATGATGTCAATACGCCCAACAGAAAATTTGAAAATTGCAAAATTATAATACAGTATACAGTTCTAAATTAATGAATTGTACTTACCGTACACAGAAACGGTGTGCGGATTTCTTTTACGATCCATGCATCTGCTGTTCTGCCTGGGTGTTCTCGGTTATGTAATCGGAGAATTTGTGGAGCACAGAAGTAGTGCATCCAAGGCATTATTAATGGAGTATGGAAGGTCTGTACTCAAATAAGAAATAAAGCTGGCAGAGGAATTATTAAAAGCAAATATATCTCATGTAAGACCTTTTGCTTAACACAACACACTATTTCTGTTTTCTGCTTCTTATGCTGTTTGATTAATTTTTAATATCTGTTCAGAGAGTTTTCCGGCATTGCATTGGTTATGGGATGGCATATTATCAATTACGTGTTTCTGCATCGCGCTATGTACGTATTTACCACACATCTCTAACTTTTATTAAAATAGTGAACATTAACAACTTGTGATTACGCAGTGACTTTTACATTATTTTAGTACTACATGTAAGATACCGAAATCAGGATGCGTAATTGCGTATTTTATTAAAAATATACCAATATACGAGGGCTACTCGGAAAGTAATGATAATCAGTATCAGTTAGTAATCATAAAATTATGCACTAATTTTTTAAAAACTGTAGCATTCATAACTAGATCATAGGGCAATGGCCGTGGCCATACCGCCTAAGGTTGGCGGTTTGCAAGACTCTGAACATGGCTGGGTAGCGCTGATTTTTCACTGATCACTGAAAACGTTGCCTTAATTACTGGCCAGTTTTCATGATATTATTTTGAAAAATTGATTTGCAGAGAGAAGTGTAGAATTTTTTCATGCTGCATTGCCTGTTCTGTTGCCTTAATAAGGACCATTCTTTGCTGATGTTGCCAGCTGGTTCCAGCGAACTCGCACCGAGAAATCCGTTTTGACAACGGTGCTCAAATTTTGGAATGTTTTTTGCGTTTTCACTTTCGAAAAGTCCTCATAGTCGAAACCCTGATCGGGAAGTATTCATTTCCGACCCCGAAGCAATAGCAGAGGGTCTAAGCATTATGGAAGGAAAGGTGTCGAGGGTGTGCTGCAGCTTCTTACTGATAAAGCAGAAGAAAATGGTTTTTGACACGGTATCACCCGTGTGGTGCAATATCGCGAAAATCCACAGATAAGCACTCCGTCATTGCTTTATTTTTTTTTCTCGGCCTGGAGTAAAAGTATCGTTCCACATTATTTTTCTTAGGTTACCTTAGTCCTTTATCTGTTCGAAATATTTCCTGGCTTGAAAAAATTGTTGCGTGGCAAAAAGTTTGAAAATGATGAAGAACTGGAAGAAAATATCAGTACACCGATCTCTAAGATACCGCCTAATTTCTTTTCGAAAGCGTTTGATGAGTGGCTGTTTAGCTGTTTACGTTGTATAGAGATTAAGGGACATTGTTTTGAGAAAATACGAGGAAAGCGCTGATGCAATAAAAAATCGTGCGATAGTTATCATTACTTTCCGAGTGACCCTCGTATCTACATATGAGTACACTTATAAAGCACAGGACTACTTACTAGTAAAACATTTACGGCTGTATCTCCTGTACTTTGTATGCATGCATATACCTACGCATAATTAAGGCATTTACATATTGCTGTATCATTAATGTCTAAAATGAATTCTGCTAAAGAGCACCAGCCTCCGTCATCAATAACGCCGGTGTGAAATTTAATTTAGTTTGGTTCAAAGAAAAATGGAGGCCGGTGGGGCGTTCGTCGTATTGGTCATTGTTTTGGTTACGACGTCGTGGACTTGTTTCCGCCAAGATTACTACATGGTCAACGTTAACAGCAATGGAACCGTGGATCATGGAATGATGCGACTGTAGTCCCGCGCACTTGAAATTTGATTCTTTTAATGTGCTTTGTGTGTTCGAAACATTTGTACGCATATACTCGTATATGCGCTCAAGGATAAATGTATATTCCGGTTCTTCAAAGCCATTGCAAATGTGTGGTCACGATGGAACCAACGCAATTTAGTCAAAACTCGTGCGTATTGATGCTGCCTACTTCTGGCGACTACATGTGTGGTGCAGGGATGGGTTACTGAGTAGACAGTAAGTAGCTGTACAATAGAGGTACTATTATTAATTTTACAAATAAAGTTATCTATCAGCATTTGAAAACGTACTCATTTATTTCCCGTGATCGAAGTCATTGTTTTGTGACCACTGCACACAAATTTTGTAGACTGTTTAAAAATGTCGGCGTTTGTTTCCTCGATTTTTGGTGACCTCGGCATATTACAAGTACGTTTCGAACCGTTTAGTCGATAAAAGTGTTAATTTTTTTAGTTGTAATAAGTACGACGACCGTAAGATGGTTTGTCATCTCCAACAGGCTGGTTGCATTCCGAGTTGGAAATCGGATAAGCGCGCCACTGATAATTAAGTCTGCAATAACAGTAAAGCGCAATTAATACTACCGTTAGATTAGCACCAACGTTAGGTGTTTTAGCATAAAAAATACTAAGATCGTTTTTATTTTATCAAGTAAAATGATCATACTATTTCGCCGGCATTCGTTAATTGTGTAGCGCTAACTTTGGAAATCGACATCTTGGATCGATAAATTAAATGCCACTATGCAAGTAACAGGAAGGAAAGTTTGACTAAATGGGAATAGTTGTACGTAACTTGTATAGATATAAGTATTATTATCATCCACACTGTACAAGTAATAAGAATAAATAGCTTTGAGACATACTTGACTTTGTCGGGATTGAATTTGGCTTTGCACGGCTGCACCGGCGACCAGTCGGAGGAGCCGCGGCGTGTGGCTACCTCCCGTCCGCTCATGCATTCGAACTGTTCAATGGGGGAGAACTTGTTGCCGGGATCCTTATCAGCCACCAGTACGCGCAAATTGGCACGCTACACCGGCAGACAAATCATTTAGTCAGCTGTTCACAGATCGATTACATGCGGCCGAAATAAAAGCAAACGGACGAGTGAAGCGAGCCTGTATCTGTTGTTACTACTTTGGTTTACAAAAACTTCGACCTACATCGAAACTGCGACGGCTGGAAGATGATCCACAAATATCCTTGGAGATGATTTTGTTCACGGCCATGCTGTGTATAAAGAGAAATGTAACAATATTTCCGGCACAGCTACTTTCTAAGTAATACAACCATCAATTGAAAGAAACAACACACAGCTTCTAACACGTAAACGTTCTGCAAAAACTAAAGTAATGGTTACCTTTTAACAACTATTTTATACTTTGTGCTCATTACATTTTATGATTGAGTAGATCACCTTTATGGGAACAACTCACCTTTCGCGCTCGTCAGCCTCCAAAACTTTCGTCCACTGACTGGTGGGCTTGTATCCAGGCCAAGCTTTAGATGGAGTATCACTAAAACAACAAAAACCTGTTTAACGAATATTTTTAAGTTTTACCAAGCATCGTAGCTTTTGACTATATCTCAGGTTGTCAGTAGCACTGTTGGCGGGTAAAATTAAAAAGGTTTTCTATAAATATCGCGCCGGCTCAAACGACTATTCTTCGTAACACCTCTAAAAAGTAAACTGCAATATGACCTTTTTGTGCCCTGCTTTATGATTATCCTTATGGCCATACCAAAATATTAATATTTACTGTTTGCATTTTTGATTATTTCTTGTCAGTTCGTTTGTTACTTAAAATAATTTACAGGATGCGATTAGTGCCTTATATAATTATTTGTTTGCACTGAAATAAAAAAAGTTTCCGTAGTTCAGTGTATAAAATCCAAAATATTAGCATGCACATAATGTTAGCAAAACATACGTATCAATGGAGGCAGTAATGACGGTATCACATTTGCGAGTACTTCCGCGTCCATCACAGCGTTTGCCGGTAGTGAGAATTCCGTGGTCATTCTTCAAATCTGACAGCAAAAATTCCACTCTGGTGCCATCGCACGCCACCTGTTCGGATTATTAATTTACGTTAGTACAAATATCCAGTTTATTATGCGACATTTCCTTAATTTTGCATTGCGATACCGGCTGGATACGTATATGCTCAGAAATTAATTAGTAAAATTTTACAATGTTACAACTAAATAAAATTTTTTGTATGTGCATTACAATTCTGCAAATTGCATACATCACAATTCTGAAGCACGATAATGAAACAAAATAGCATTAAAAATCCTGCGAGAACTTACGAGGGCGACAAAGGAACACAGCGCTAATAATCGCAGCATGGTTAGCGGAAGTTGCTTAACACTACCGGTAAACTGATTAAACCGAGCGGAAGACAAGCGCACTGAGGGTGGATATTAGCTAGACGGCCGAGTTTTATAAAATTATTGCTGGCTCGGAATTTCGATAATTATCTCTTTTCGTATGATTGCCAAAAGTTTACATGAAAGCACAGACATTTATTACCGTGTTCCGTACGTCGAAGTGGGCCGATTTCCCATTTCATGGAAAGGAGAAGAAAATGTTTATTCGGAAAGAATATGAGTACCGTAGTTTATGGTTTGCTGCACACTGTAGTACATTATTCGATCAGAGAACAAGGGCAGAAGTTTTCCATGTTTTACTCATGACCTTTTCGAAATTCTAGATTCATTTATTAAAATATTGTTCTTTGCTTTTGGTACATTTTTAGCTCAGTGCAGTGGGCTTCAAAATTCCGGGCACACGGCACACTGCTTAATATGCATGCGCCCAAGGTTGCGCATGCAAATTTTAGCCCTGTAATTAAAACTTAATTTACCTCTGAATGCAGGACCTCAAAGTAAAATCTTTAATTAAAGCGGTGCGATTTTATCAGATTTAATTATTATTTGGAGACAAGCATTAAAACTTTTTACCCTGTGCCTGTCGAGTTTCGGCTGTTGTCGGTGTTTTACTCTCGGTACAGCGAAACTGTCTGGATGCCGGTCAATTTGTCTTGAACATCTGGACATTTACATCCCATTTCGGCTTATCGTCCGCAATTTCTCTGCGGTAGTGTGCCCATCATATTATTCTGCACTTGTAGCCATATATATTGCTGCAGTTCTAAAAATATCATACAAGGTACATGTTTTTGGGGTGCAGAGGTTGATTGAAATCGGTAATCGGGCTCACAGCTCATAATATTAAACATTAATACAAATTTGTATTTACTCGGGTCCAGATAATTAACATCGTACGTCCTGATATCAGGACGTCCTGATATCAGGACGACAACAAAGTGGCCGCTTTTTCGACAACAAAGTGGCCGCTTTTTCGAGGTTCCAACTAACATATAATATAAGAAAACTGACATTATAAAGTACCTGTGCTGTAGTCGTACGTCAAAAATTAATCGCAAAATCAACATCGTTTTTGCATGTGTAATTACAAGTACGTACGGTGCAGCTGCATGGCAGGTATCAAATTCCATCAGTCAAAGCTAGATCAGTGATTATGGTGTTATCAAAGAGGAGCTTTATTATACGGTGTTAAACTAACATGACCTATGAGTATGCGTAGAATTCTGTTCTGTCAGATTGCGAACTGAATGATACAAAGCCGAGATAAGCGTGACATTCAGTCAATAAACAAAAACGTGAACAGCATGCACAAGATAAAAATTATCACCTGTTCAAACCGTGTGAGATATTGATTAAATACGCAGTATCAGCGCTGCAGTTCATATAACTGATCCCTGCAGCCTCGGTGTTTTTCTATCCACTCCGGAACATCCCATCCAAGACCATGGCAATCTTGGGAAAGTTGATCTGGCTCCCGCTTTTATTAACGGTAGTCAGTGCCGTTATTTTACGGAATCACAATAATGGACCAACTCCGATTGTTATGTGGCATGGAATGGGTAAAGTTGAAGCATCTCAGTTATTTGCAGCGACCGACATCTTCGAAAACGGCAGTAGCAATGTACTGTATTCGGGAAAAAATTGCAAGTTGGACACATATGCTGACTATATAAGCATTGATAATTTTTGTAGAAAATTTGAATAATTCATGTTAATCATTCTTAACATACCAAATTATTTCTTAACATTGATAATATCACGGTGAACAAATTTTGGTAAACTAAATTTGTTAATTTCCGTAGGAGACACCTGTTGCGCGAAAGGCATTGGCGGGATAGCTAAACTCCTACAAGCTAATATCAGCGGCGTATATGTGCACTCCATCGAAATCGGCACATCTGAAGATCAGGTCAGTCACCAGTGCTCAAATTGAACTGAAGTAATTATGCGACTATCATGCAGTATGCACCATAGATAAATTCGCTTTGACCAACGTTGATTGCTCAAGGATTAATATGAATTTTTATATGCTATTAAAAATATTTTCGTGTGTTTCTTATTGTTGTGCTTCCTGTTAGGACCGTGAAAACTCCTACTTTCAAGCGGTTAATAAGCAAGTGGATACAGTGTGCAAGAATCTGTCGGCGACACCGGAACTGAAAAATGGATACCATGCTATCGGATTCAGTCAAGGAGGACAATTTCTGTGAGTTAGCACTTTATTTGTCGCGTTGTCCGGTTTTGGAAGTCTTCCTTCAGCGGTAAATATCCCATTCGGAAAAATTGCCGGTGCGCTTCGCACGCATTCGCAATCTTTTCAATTATTTTATAATACGGTGCTTAACAACTGTCATGCTTGATTCCGATTAAATTTCGAATACATATAATATTATAAAACGGCAGCTAGCGATGCCAGTTCACAACTAGCACTAGCTACTACAGAGTACTACTTTGTAATAAATTATGTGCATATAAAATTAGGAGTTGTATAGCAATATCGTAGTGTGGTGGACAACAATTACACTGGCGGATGAAGTAATAAATCAGCCCGAAGTAGTTAATTTTGATTTGCATCGAACGTACATCAGCGTCATAATTATGATCATGCCACTTTACCGTCGATTCATTTTTTTACGTGGCAAACTTATTAAAAAATGATTTAGGCGAGCTGTGGCTCAACGATGTCCGGATCCACCTATGCTGAATCTGGTATCCATGGGCGGACAGCACCAAGGGGTTTTCGGTGGGTTCGGCATGCGCGTTTTTGCCAAAAAAACAATATCAACTTATTAGCAACTTATTTATATTAAATGCTGTATTTTTGTATAGCGATAGCAGTACTTCTTAATTAATCCATGTTTAGGTATGCCTCGTTGTCCGGGCAGTACCGCAATCTGCAATCTTATGCGGAAGTTATTAGACATGGGAGCTTATACCGAGTAATATAATTACTGCATTCTTTTATAATTTATTTGATCGATAATAACAGTGCGGTTCTTTTGCAGTTATGTGCAACAAAGGCAGGTTTGGAGTTTTAATTAATATGTTCGCTTCCAGACGTTTTATGCATTCAGAGCATACTTTATAAAAAAACCTAAAAATATTACAGATTAGTGCAAGCGCAGTACTGGCATGACACTCTCAAAGAAGATGTCTACCGGAAGAAGAGCTTGTTTTTAGCCGATATCAACAACGAAGTCACAAAAAATCCTCAGTATAAAGAAAACCTTCAGAAACTAAGGAATTTCGTTATGGTAAGCTCTGCACTGACATAGAGTTTCATTTTGATGTACGTCAATACATACTAAGCTTAGCTTACCAAAATTATTACCACCATTGCTTACCATTTTTCGGAAATGCCAAGGAAATTCTATGTAGGTGAAATTTTCCAAGGATACCATGGTGGTTCCAAAAGACAGTGAGGTAAAGTGAAGTTGCCTAAATTATGCCAGTTATCTGAAATTTCGAAACAAATTATTCAAGAAAGCATTTTTTGGCAGGTCATTATAAACTGCATAAACTGTGTATCTCTACTGTTTTATAATGTAAAATTAATTTGCATAATAAATAAAGATATTGCCGTTTTGCAGTGGTTTGGATATTACTGTCCAGGACAAGTCAGCACAATATGCTCGCTGCAGAATTCGACCATATATCAGGAGGTAAAAACCTGGAAAACTTAAAAACATATTCTGTTACACGAATTAATGGTGACATGATAGTTACACATGTTTTTACAATATAGACACCTGCCGTCCGGCTACTAAACCATTTGTTTTTCTAGGATTGGTTGGGATTAAAAGCCATGGATGCCGCGAAAAAGCTGCGATTTATTGAAACAGATGGCGACCATTTGCAATTTACAACCCAATGGTTTCTAGACAATATTGTAGCACCATTCCTAACGTAAAAACTTGGGTGTTTCTAATAATTTGCAATGATGAATCGTTCATGTTGCTGTGACCATGTCAACAAAATGGTCAAGTATGTAATTTAATAAGATATTTGCGTTAATAAATGTGTTGCAAACTGTAAATTATAGAGCACGATATGGGTTAAAAAGAAAAGCATTTTTCTACATAAACCGTTATTCTGCATACCACGATGCCAGTCCAAATCGCAAACTGAAATGGCCACCTGATATTCAATGTATAAGTGTTTAATTTTATAATTTCTCAGTCACATCCAGATGCATTAATTTAAAAAAAGACAAAATTCATGCAATGCGTTTAAGGCGGGTTCAAGAAGAAAATCATTAGTGTAACTATTAGTACAACCGGCAATGAATAATAAAAATCTCGATGCACCGCCTGCATCGCGGTATTATAATCACACGTGACGTTAATGAGTGATTCATTGCGCATAAGAGGACATTTGGTCTTGCGCTGGCCATCCCCGCCCTCCTTGGCGCTGCACGTCCCGTTGATGATGCGAAATGCACCGGATGTCACCAGGCTCTGGGTGATTTTGCAGTTGAAATTGTACGGTTTCTGACCGCGTTCCCGCTTCCAGTTTTCGATGACCAGGAGGAATAAATTGGTTTTGGGAAGTGCCGTGACGTAGTAGAAGCCAGACATGCACGGACCTAAAAGAATCACCGCGGAATTGATATAAGTAACAGAACCGTCACGACGTACAGACGTATGTATAGTGAATAATGCAAACGCACAACATTTCCTACATTTTCGAAATTCGCTGTAAGTTGTAAGTGAACTTATATTATAGCGCGTCAAACGCAGAGCATGAAACGCTTTCTGTGCTTTAAAAAACTGACAATGTCTTCTGGCTTCTGTATTCATATTTGTCGTAACCATATGTCGTCGCTGCTATAAAAACAATTTTTTTAAAAACATCCATTTTTCCAATTGCATACACGCCATAACTTTGGTATGCATATTAATGTTAACGATAAGTTTAAACTCAATTGACATTGCTCTGGTCAAATGTGGATCCGGAGATAATGCAGCCACCAAACTACGATACTACTCGTACTAATGTTCAAAGCACTCGTAATACTTGCTACCAGTACGTTTTTAATACCGTCAACACAACTTTTGTCGCTTAATTTATGGCCGTTATAGAATACTTCACCGAATATAAGATGTGCTTGAAGGTAAGTACAACTAACAGAATTCCTTCGAGTAACACGAATTAGGAATGTCGTTCAACCATCTTACCGGATATATTTCCAGTAATCATTCCCGTCTCGCCCAGCACGGTCTCATTAGCCCAGTAATTAACCACATCCTGAATACACCCATAACTATTGGAAAAAGCTGGAATGGGACCCTTGAACTTATAATAGTCATCTTGCTCCTCCGGGATCATGGGGATACCCGACAACGTGACCTTTGGCGTGTACGCGGTAATAGTGCAAGTGCCTGTCGAAAAGGACGCTCGTTTCTCAAACATATCTTGCACATCGCCGATGCACAACGAATTGTACCTTGGAAGTCCACTTGTTCTTTGCGGACAAATAATTTATGCAAATACACCAGTTCCTTCATGATTTCACCCTCTTTTTTGCCTAAGGACACTTCCCGATATTTTTCTGAAAGAAAGTGAAGAAATTATTAAGGGAAAGTAGAAGAGAAAATTATTAAGGGAAATTATTAAGGGAAAGTAGAGGTTTCGGCAACATACTTTCATCCAAACTGCTGGCGTTGACAAAATCAGCGTCCGTCAGGATGAATCCTTCGTTATCAAACAGGTAACACCGGGTCTGACACATCTCTTTCATATTTGGACAGGTATATTTCATGTCTACAAGCATAGTCAGATTCAACACGCAATGTAAATGAGAACAAAATTTTTATATATATTGATTTTGGATACGTAATTAAAAATAATTAACTTACCGCAACCTTTTGCCGGAGCCGGATCGGTCGACTGCATTATATTCACAGTCTGGTCGAAAAAGTCCTTAAACAGCATATCTAAACTTGTCACCGCTTCCACACGCTCCGTGGCGCACCGGGCATGCTCGTCGTTCGCAAAGGCCGGAGCTTGACTCATGTAACAACGTTCTGGAAAACAATCACCGTTGCAGATACTTCCGATATCATGGGTACAAGAGGGAAATATACCAGAAATGCAATCCTTATCCTGGGTACATTCACAGCCGCCTTCCCATGGACCAGTAGGATTTCTCTTAAGGCATTCCGCTTGCCGTTTTAACGGCAGACCCTCGAAGACCGCCTGCGAGATGGTGATGATCTTGCCCACACCGGCTGAGTCCATGTAGGCATTGGAAATCACTGTCTTCCGCGGGGCATTCTTTGCCCGTTTAAACCATGCACGGCTAGAAACCAAAATGCTCTTTAAGACTTTGGCTGCATGTTCACAGAAGCGGAAATTATGTAGGTGTGTCACATAGAAACAGGAACGTAAATCGCATATAAAATGCATATATGTATCAAGAAATGGAGAGAGCATTGCTGTTGCCAGAAGAAAACTGCAGTGGATGTAGCGAATGTAGTGCAATGGCATCAGTCGGTCGATCGTAAGTTTGTGATGAAATTAGTTCCATGAAGGCACTGGTAGTCTACTCAGCTTTTCCAGCCGAAACCAAATTCTTTTTGCAAAATAATATTATTCGCTGTCATCTTCAGCGTTACTGTATGCAGTAGGTGTCAACCGACCAACAAAACCGTGCCAAGAAAAAATAGTAACTGGCTAGGCATAGGATTATTTCCAGAATTCTGACTTATTTTTTAAATGCAAATGCAAACGTGTAACCAGCACGTTCCATCGATTTAAGTACTAAAAATTATCCCAATACTCTTGCCGCCAGTAGAAGCCTGGGATACTGTCAAAGTTAGCGATGTGTTGCCCATTTAACATGTTTTCCGACAATGTTCACAACAGGAAGTGCCCTTACGTGGTAGGATCGTAGAGACGCGTGCTGCGATGTCCGGGATAAGTGCGGAAAACTCCCGAGCGCATCCCTACATATGTCCACTTTATCTGATCGATCCACTCGAAATCACGACCTTTCCAGTAGGTTTCGATCGGCTGGGTAATCTTCACGTCGGCCCTGAACAATAACGACGCACACTTGCTAATACAACAGAATTCGCTGCCGGCTGAATATAAAATTGTCCCGCTTAAATTATTCCAAACATTACATACTTGGCGGGTTGTTTACCGACTTGATTATCAATCGTCTGTGACCTTACCGTAGCCCCTTTTCATACTGACCGCCACCATCACACCCGGAATCCGGTTCATCTCTGGAAAATTACAAAAAAATTAATATCTAATTTAAACTTGGCTAAAGTTTTGACGCGGCTTATACTCACTCGTTAATATATTTATGAGCATCCACTGTTTTCGTATGGAGATGGTCATCAAAGAAATACTTGTTAGGATCACAGTGGCATTTCGGAGCAAAGAAAATACTGGAGTGCCGGTAGGAAATGGTTAACTGCGGATACTTGGTGTCGTTGTACCGCACATCCAGAATCTCATATACAGGATCTATAATAAGGCCAAAAAGGATCATATTAATTTATTCAACATAAATGTAATTACTTTTTTATAAATTTTCCTATTTTGTATTAATACTTTCATAATAAATTGAATTTGGCAGGGAAAGGTGCACACTGACCTTTGATCTGGGTTCGTGCGTGGGTGGTATTGTACTCAATCAGCAGATTCCAGTAGCTCTGCGTATTCTGCCGATCGTCCAGCGGTTCCTGAGCACGCCGGAAGACCATGTCGGAATTGGCGAGAACAAAGGCAAAACTGTACTCATCCCCGGCACTCGCGTAATAATACGTCACATTTTCATTATTCTACAAATTTTGACATTTAATTTTGCAGAGCGGACTCGTATGATTAAAACCTTTTTAAACTTACCCTGAAAATAGTCTGTCGTCCTTTCTCCAGATTACGCATGGCACGTTCCACGGTGCTGAAAGCCTCTGGTTTGTGGTCTTTATCCTGTTCCAGCTGGTCAATACCGATAAAGATGGGATCTTCAAGTAGCTGCGAATACATGAAAAAATTGTAAAAGGCGTGATTATTATCAAATTTTCATGAACTTACTGTACTGCTTTGTTTCAGTTTGGGATGTAGAATGGTTTCTCCTTCCCGGTTAATGATAAAAGTATAGACGGAACCCCATTGATAACGTATGAGAAAATGCTCAATTTCTTCTAAAGTTGCATCCACACCGGCAACACCGATAGTTCTATACAAAATGACGCAGATTATTATAAAATAATCGTTTTTTTCTCGTATAGCATAGACGTACGAATCGTACGAGTATATACAGTATCTTACACAAACTCAGAAAACCGACAGCAACAGCCTTTTATCGTACAATACGTTTGTCAACTGATTAATCACTTTCATTTAACAGAAGTGTACTAGTACTGAAAAGCCAAGTAAATCTAAATCATTTACAAAACTGTTGATCTGTTGTGCAAACTGATGCCAAAAAAATTTAAAAGTTTTGAGCATTCCTTCATAGCGTAAATGGTCGTCCATTGGAATTTTGTGTTCTTGTCATAATTATCAGTGATGGCATCTGTATTAGGTTTGACACGTCGCACTACGATTTTTTCTTACTTTCCCGTTATTTTGCTGACAGCCGGCACCGCATACGTTATGGCCACCCCCAATCCCCAAGCGTCCAGATACGGAGCAGTCCACAATCCCGGCCAGTCCATGGTGCGCTGAGCCAGATACGTGAAGTACGGTTTCATGTTGTTGATCAGATCTTCCCCATCTGTCAGGCGCACCATCACACCATTATTGGAGCACGACAGATTCCCGGGAAAGACTTCGCCCTCATCAACAGTCAAAAAACTGAAAATCCGTGCCTACAACGACATTATACACTGTATTCCAGTTTTAACAGGGTAGTTTTACAAGCAGTACTAAAAATTCCGAAAAAATTAGGTTCAGGTTTTTCACTGTCTTCGTGTATATATTATTTCTTTCAAAGTTTTTACAATATTTTATTGCTTTGTCCTTGTGTACTGCAAGAGATTTTCCTACAATGTTGCCATCAGTATTTCATTGTCGCACGTACCCTTGGTGTAATCAGCTGGTTTTGTTCTTTGGCAAGATCCCACACTTTGGTCCAATTATAACGGCACACCGGACCCGGAACATCTGCATATTATCCAAATTTAAATATTCCGGCAACATTCTACATTTCCAAATAAATTTCTTACAGCCTGAACGTGTGTAATATCCCGGCGCACATCGTACTTCTTCGTTATCAATGTCTAAAAATATATACGGCATTTATAAAATTGCCACTATTTCGCCGACGTCTGATGTATCGTACCTTTTCCATCGGTCACAAAAACAATAATACTTTGGCACTGCGCCCGTCCAGGCGACTTGAGAAGCTCAAAAGCCGTTCGGAAACCAATTCTGAAAACAATATTATTATCATTAAGAGAATTTCTTAGTTGGCTAATCACCGTAGATACGTAGAATATTCGTAATTTGCTGGTGGTACGACGCACCGTTTTTTTTTAACAGTGTTGGCAATTTTCAGTAAAAAATGAAAACATTCATTGTTTTATCAAATACTCTCGCACCATTTAACATGGATTTGCCACATCTATCATCTGTAATTTCGGTTTAGTCATTTCGAGGCAAATTTGACGATTAATTAGAACTGGTTCGCAATTGCGCTAATCATGAGAAAAACTCACTCAAGTTCACTTGTCCCGCCAGCCTGCAGGGCGGTGACCTTTTCTATCAGATCCTTCCTGTGAGCATTGGTGGCGGGTACGAGGGAGGTTTTTTGGCAGCCCAGCACTTTGGAATTAAACTTATGCCATCTAACAATCAACAAGACAACTTTTTAATACACAACACACCCCCATCAATAATATTACGCCGTTAAGCGCGGCCAAACTGCCTGCTGCCGCTGATGGAAGAAAATCGATTTTTGAAAAACACATTTTCCCTGGATATATATAAGCGTATATGTCAATGGCCATAGCCGCCAGTATGTGCGTGCTAAATAATTCCATTCAAGCATGCCAACATAAAGCCAGAATTACTCACGTTCCCACTGAATCCCAATAGCTTTCCCTTGCGCAAACAATATTAACAGCATCTGCAGAAAATGGCCGGTTTGTTTGCCGGTAAATGGTACTCGAATAACAAATACTGTGCAGCACTTTTCCATCGCACACATACCTTGCTTGGTTAATGTGTTAATCACAGTCACCGCCACTGATTTGGCAATATCGAATTTTTGTCCGATCATTGAGGCACTGTAAAATGGAAGATAAAAAGGTCACTCCACTGGAGCCACTGCCGGCAGCATCAAGCCGCGCTGCAATGCTTTAAAAAGGAAAATTGCCCCCGTTCAGCGGCATTCTCTCACACATCGTCTCAACGCCGGATGTGGTAAACTTGGCCAGCGGTATTGATTTTTATGTCAGTGAAATAATACACTTTCTACCTGATTAGAAAACCGGTAAAATGGGGAAACTGACAGCCGTGCTTTTTACCTGCAGTCCAGAACTATCACAACGTCTTTCGGTCCGCTTGTGGCAGCAATATACCTGCACAAAAACCAGAACGCATTACGCATCTTTATGAATGACAATATTTATGGACAGTTATTCATGCACAATACATGGATCAGCTAAGTTCTAGTTTAACCGCCACTTTAATAATAATGGTGTCAAATTTATATCCAGGTATTTCTCACCAAATCGTAACCAGAGTGCCTGTGCCCTCAAATATCTATAAAAACGCCTCATGTAAAAATAACTATGTGCATGCCAAAATTAAAAACCAAATCATCACGCATTGGGACGCCAATTTTGGTTGTTACACAAAATAAGGTCTCCTGAGTTACATAACCACTTTTAGGATAATGCAAAAGTACACAATTAAATGCACAGAATTATTGGAAGCTAATGGTATAAGCGATATGTACGATATTATATTCGTCAGTCGTCATTCATTTAAGAAAGTCAGACCTCGACGTAGCGAAGTGGCACTAGAAAGAATTCAACTGCGTCTGAATAATTGCATGTTTTAATAAAACCGTTGAAACTATTAATGTTAAAATAAATCTGTATTTTTCCATTCCACCAGTGGTTCATTAATTTATCATAATTAGTACAAGCAATCACAAATTAAGCTGAATAGTAAATCTGGACTGCATATAGCATCCGCCAATACTTCAAATCCCAAGAAATGGTTTCCAAAATCAATATATGATGACTTGTATGGGTCATTATCGGGAATAGAATTGTAGGTTGTCATCAAAAATTGTGTGCTTGGAATGAAGAAAATGCGTCATTAATTTCGTTGCAGACCAGTGAAGCAATAAAAAAGTGGATATAGACGCGTCGCCTCAAAAACGTTACGCAACTCCAGTTGATAAGCTCTCACGATATGCCACTAACCGAACTGCTCATGCAAAAGGGCACTTATCCCATTTTATTCCTGTCTATCAAAAACGCTGCCTTGTTTGATCAACACAACATAATTTGCATTTTATTCCATGCCGTCCGGGTTAAACGTCAATAATCCATAAAGACTGTAGTTTTCCAGAAGTACGTAAACAAAGTAAACAAAAGCTACGAGATTTCACCAAACCGGCATTGTTATTAAGCAACCACGCGCAAGCGTTTATTTCAACAGAAAGCAACGAGTAAAAAATTCAGTATCGCAGACCACTCTATCCTTTCCTAAAGCACAATTTTTAAAAAATATCCACTCGTTTTTAGTATATGTTCATCTAGCTTAATTTAAGCCGACTCAAAATTTAATCAATTTTATTGCAATTAAAAGATCATCAATGAAGGGCCAATGGCAATTAAATAATCATCAATTACTAACAAAAACTTTCTTTTGGTTGCATGTGTACCCTATACACTTCTACATTTCCGTAGAGTAAAAATCAACATAAGAATATTTCAGTTCAAGTCTATATGCCTCGTTTGCATAATAAGAAATTCTTCTGAATGAATAGCCTGCATGTTGTGAGTCCGTTTATACGCCATCCAAATGGCTATGACAGTGTATAAACAGATAAAAATTGACTTTAACCGGATCTGTCACATTATATATTCAGCAGGCATCCCGAGCGGCAGGCCGATTATAACATGGAGCGTAATCGGTTTTATTGGATCATATTGCCGTTCACATATAACCGCCAGCGGCCTACAAACATTTTCTACCTCGGGTAAATTTATCCGCACGTCTATACCCCAAAGGTCAACATTTCCTCCATTTCTCCTCTCCTGTAACGTCGCTGTAATGCCCCCAATCCACCCGGGAGTGCTCTCATCAGCACACGCACTGTTCACCTCAAATTCCCAACAGACATTTTTTCCAGCTTTCAACTTAATCACTTGTGTCAGCGAAAAAACTGGGCTGCTGCTGCGCACCAAGGAAAAACGATACCATTAGACCGGAGCGGAGTTTGATGAAAATACGCGACGCGTAGCGTTGGGAAGTTAGCAACGGGATAACTATGGATGCCGACAGTCGGTGTCGTGTAAAGTATTGATAATCAATTACCGGCTGCTTCTAATTTGCCTCCTTTTTAGGCGCTCAAACCAGGCCGATGCAGATATATCGGCGTAGTATATTAAGCAAATGGAATTGTCGACGCCGGTTTATTGACTAAACACTCACGCTCTGCTTGGCGTACTTCTTATATTATTATGGTGCATATTACCGGGAGGCGGCAACTACCCAACTTACCATGGACGAATTCTTGGATCATAATCGTTATAAAATCCCGCAAAATTCGTATCCCATTCGCGACCGGGATATAATCGGATCAAGCCCACGTTCGTACCGAAATACTGCCATCTGCAAGATTTCACATAACAGGGTCATTCCCAGGAATCAAACAATTCTAAATATTGCAATGTTAGACAACTCAGTATGTCAGGTTAGCAACATATTTTATTAAAGGTGTAAATAATGCAAAAATATTCAACATTTTCGGCCGACAACATTTATAAAACTGAAAACTTAACAGATTGACGAGATGCTGCAAAATGCAAACCTCAAGCTTGCAGATGCTTAGCCTTAGCACAATAAAAGAAAGTAAAGTGCGGCTGGCAAAAATGTGCATTAATTTCCCAAAACAATATAAAGATCAATATACCGACATGATCACTACAAAGGTGGACCTACGTATGCACACTACCAAAGTGCTGAACAACGAACTATCTCCAGTAGATACTGTACATACAATCACCACTGCACTACACTTCTCTTGTAAGTTGCATTTAACCCGTACATAGTTGCATTTAACCCTTTGCACTGGCCAATACAAAGTTACATAAATAAAGTGTGCTAAGTATATTTTCAAAAAGTACTCATTTCATTCCAGCTTTGTCCAGTTTATTTTGCAGATATTTCTTTTATTACCAGATGCTAAAAAAGAATGGCATTTCCACAGCTAGTGTGATTATGTTACCGTATAAATTGATCAGATTTGCGATTCTGCCGGAACACCCCATCCAGCTCAACACTGTAATAGACGGCATCGATGATTTCCTCGCTATCTCGAGGGACTTGGTCGGGGATCTTAACAGTGCTGTAATCGTGATTGACTTCCTGTTTGAAATAACTACAAACAACAAGTGAATTAGTTAATTAAGCTAATCGAGAGATTCTCAGCGCGGACAATCGAACAGCAGAGAGAGGGAGCAACGGCTCTCCCTTGTCTATATATCGTCATGACCAATACAAAACATTTACATCGGAACCGATATGGTGGTAACAACCGGCAATTTCTCCCGTTTCCTACATAACATTTTGTCTGCCGGCGCGGTCGTAATCGCCCCGGTGTACACGGCATCGATCGCACCCATGATGACCGTTATTATCGACACATAACAACCGTTTCCCGACGACTACTTACGGACTGATCTTTTTGGGTAATACGGTATGCGGTATGTCGGAGTCACGATATAAATTCAACGGCATATCCCGTAAGCGTTTGTAGCGGATGGTGGTGTTCTCGAACTTGGAGCGCAGATAGTCATCGTGCAGCTTAATGGCGTGGCTGGCAATCCGCTACGGAAATGAAAAACGCCATTTCATCTCAGCGATCAGATGAGTGCGAGTGTGTGTACTATATATGCCAATGTGTCGTCAGATCGAAAAGGGCACATTTTCTCATTTCCTCTAGCATTAATACGCCGGCACATATTGCGCACCTTGGCTGCCACTTCTTTCCGGCGGAGATAATCCTTTAAGCTGGTCTCCACGTTGTTCATCAGGGAATCGCCGTCCTTCTGCTCGAATGTGTAGTTGGCCGAATCGAACAGGGCCTGGGTCTTATCGCGACCGATGCCCAAATTGGCCAGCTGCAATGATATACATAAGAGAGGTGTAAGTTTAACGATGCCATCCATTCCACCAAACGGCTGCGCCTCACAAACGCCCCGGCTGAGTACACTTGATTAAAAAATCCAGTCAATGTCTAACGATCGCGCTCTTCGGGACCCTGTTAACATGCATGCATCCCGCGCCGGAAGTTCCGACGGGCTACCATTAACATTAATTTGTAAACGGCAATCAGTTCCTCTGACAGTTAACGCGCGTACAATCGAATAGAGAACAATCTCTATTCATTCTATGAATGTGCAGAATCTGCATTGTCAGTCCAAGTCAGTCCATATTGATTTATTCTTTTTGAGTAATACTGTGTTAACAAAACTTTTCGAATATTTTTGCAAAAACAGGCGAAGGTAAAATGCGCACTAACCGATAAAATAATATGTATCTGTACACAGTACAGTAACCTTATACGTAATCAAATGAAATCTGAAAAATTTTCTGTTTGAAATACTGCGAATATGGAGTTTGTCGCCTACGCGCATGGCACTATTAACAACAAATTGTATTAGCTTAACAATGACAGATAAATTTGTTTATTACAAATGTTTTTCAAAACGAATAGTTCTTTATAGTTCTTTACTCCGCAAGTGCTTACTTAAGGGCAAGTAGTAGTAGGGAAATCTGAAACCATGCAAGCCGCAAGCGTAACGGCAAAACTTTACGTTAATTATATACAGCGTCACTTCCATAGATCTGCATGCCCAAAATTTAATTTAGTAATAACCAGAAGTCCGAAGCAAAAACAGCAAATCCATGGAACAGCAAATCTCCCTGCATCTACAAAACTACATTTGTTCGTATTGCTGATTATGAACCTGCGTCGCGATGAATTCAGCTACCGATCATAGTACCGTACAATAATCGGAATAATCATGGCTTACGGATAAACTGATGACAAAAATTGCCTTACTTACATTAATTTTGACAAGAGCAAGCAAAACTTGGTCTACTTCAGGCAGAGTTGATTAAGGCAACATTTTGCTTAGAGCTTGATTAAAAGAAATACCGAAAAAGACATATTCCATTCTGAAGCTCATGTTCACAAAAAACCTACCAAAAACCACGAAGCTGATCAACTCACTTGTCAGCTCCAAAAGGCTCTTAACCACATCAGTATACTTGAATGTTACACAATAAACCGTGAAGAGAAAATTGAGGAACCACACGGAAAGCACGTTTTAGCACGTCCCTCTTATGTAACACAAGTAACACAAAGGTCACCGGGTCAACTTACCTCGAGAATGTAATTCTGTATGAGCGTCGCCCAGTTCTGGACATCTCCAGAGAGGGTCCCCTTGGTAGCGGCCTCTTCCGGTGACGAGCCGAATAACTCTCCATCGGCTAGCGGCCCGAACCAGGCCAACGTGAACAATATCACAGTCACGGTAACTTTCATCATGCCATATCAACCGTAGTGTAACAGTGCGACCTGGCCTGGCCGCGATGCGTAAAACATGGAGAAAAATCGATCACACCACGGCATGATCTTAATCAACGGACCAGGTAAGACGACCCCAAGATGCGGTGTGTGCGCCGTTTATACGTTATGTGAAATAACACAAAGTCACTAACAACCACAATCTAATTATCGCGCGCGGTCCCAATTGGCTTTTCTTCCGGCAAGCAGCGCGTAAACTCCAATATGTGTCGCGGCGCCCGCGGGCCCACACATTCAGGGCTCTTAAATGGGAAAATATGTCGGGAAAAAGTGATGCCTTGCATATCGTATATATTTTTCTCCTGATGCTGTTATGAATTTCTCCACACTCTCTCCTCCCGGCAAACGTGTGAGATGGCGCGACAAAAACGTCGAGCGCGAATCAATCAGGAAAAAAAGAGGAGGAGAGTAAAAGTGCGCGCCGAGCAACAGACACACACGCACACATCCACGATGGGAAAACTACATCGACGACTGCCTATAAGCTGCAGAGACGATTAGTGCGATACTCATCTGGGATTCGCCTGGCCGGCCACGCGCGCCCAACAATACATCGATAAATCAATAGTCGGATGATATTATGTTATATGTATTTTTATCTAATATATTAATGTTTCCACAAAGACGCGCGGCGCTTTTGTGCGTATGCGCTTCCTTAGCTGGCGGGGATGTTGGCGGATTTTTTGCCCTGAGTTTCTGTCTCCATTACACTGCTCATCGGGATAAGAATGAAGGGACTGCGCGCGGGAGAATACAGAGCAATCAATCACCATACATACCCGGCATAGCCCGGGCCAGTCGAATGAATTTTTAACCATGAATAGCCTAATTTTTCTTTCCACGCACATCTTCCCCGTCTTTGCCGCCAAACGATCGGGGCTCCCCCAATTGTCCATTCATAGGCGCTGCTTCTTCCGCCCGCGCGCACGGACAGGAAATACGAATACCGAACGGGACCGCCGGGTGCATAGCACGCCATGGCAATTGTTCTTTGTAGCCAAGCGTCCCGTTCCATTCGCAGTGTTTATACACTAGCACTCTAAACCCAGAAAAAGAGCTTTCAGCAACGGATAGGTGGAAATTTTATAACCTTGTGCATGCTGAGCATCATGTTAACCGTGCAATTGCAACATTCGCTTTTCAATTTTCTGAATTTTTTCACAGAAAAGAAATCGGTGACAAATTATACACTATAAATACATTAGCGATAATCACATCAGATAATGCTATTCGCTTTACGACTTACGTCACTCTGTAATTATTTTATTTCGCTGCAAAAAGTACTACAGATATAAAATGTTTGAACTTTCAGTGTAGCTAGCAACTAGTGGATGCGAGTCATACTCATAGTACTCGTAATTTCATAGTTTACATCTACTATAATTACATATATACAAGTAGTTTACAGGTTGAACAGATACTAATAATAGTTTAAAAAATCCACGTATGTTCTGGCGATAATGCAGTTAATTGACAGAAGTGTAAAACGGCATTCAGAAGGAACAAACAAAATCTTATAATATGCTGATTGCAAAATTAATATTTTCACTAACGCACGTCGTCGGTACGAGATCGAATAAATGAAAGCAAATGCAACATTGCCTTGTATTAGTTGTATAGAAGTATAAAATTTTGGTTAAAAGGTAAAAATTTGCCACATATATAAAGTGGCTCGATTTGGCTGTTTTCGAGTTCGGTGTACTTTTTTCCTGAGTATCAGAGCGAAATTATTTTCAGTCAAAGCACAAAAGCTCACCGCGCATAATACGAGAGAATCATGCAAGCATGTACATTTCTACTTGTAGGTGCTTATGTATTGTACACTGTAAGTCTGTAACTACAAGTAATCGAATATGTACAGTAAAATTTATGCATTCCTGTATTAGACATCGTCAAAACAAGGAACCACTGGAAATTTGGAATGAACACTTGCAGCGTATAAGATGCGCAAGTTAACGTTTTGTAGTTACCAAAATTACCAAGATAATGTTTGCCGGAACTTCCGGCCCGGAACATACTTATTAATTAGCCGCACGACGATCTGCTTAAAACTTTATCAGTACTTCGTGCACCGATAATTAAGTACCAAAATTAGCCGGCAAGCAAGCGATTTTTAAGCCGTGTGAACAATGTGAATGATTTTAATTCAAAAATTTACTGACGATAAGCACTTATTGTACACTAGTAGAATGTTACCACTGCCGAAACCCGTAAAACGCAAAAACCGACGATACACGCAGTGATTTCGGGAAGTCTTCAGAGTCCCGCGTAGACATAAAATTTTTTCTTCAGCCACATACAGTATCTTTGCAAAAAGGACTGTCGTTCACCGAAGTTTCCGAAAGCATGTCTTGATATGTCTTGATCAGAAGCATTTCCTCGAGGCAGAATTGCTTATAAGAAATCTGGGCACCATTTAGCAGTCGTACACGGCTTCCTACCTTGGTACTACGAAAAACAGGAAACGAACAGTTTTCCCGACACATACCAGGTTCTCGTTTCACCCTGGATTCCCCTCCAAAACCCGGAACCATGCAACTCGTATCCGAAAAATATATAAATGCATAGACACTCAGCAATGATACTTTATACCAAAAGCTCTACTGCTAAAAACTGTAAGAATACGTATAAATATCCACACATGCATTATTTCGTGGTTTCAGATTTATTTCAGGCTCCAGAAAATATGGGAAGTATTAATTATTAACACCAGTAAGTTTAAAAAAATCACTGGTACTGCACATTTCGTTGACTACTTTCGGTTTATTGCAAAGGTCATTAAAAAATGTTATAAAATCTACGCTCAGTACTTACCTAGCTTTGCAAACACCCGTCTCATTCTATCGAATTTTTTCCTCTTTTTGCTCCACGATGTTGACAACTTTTCAGATCGAGCATTCCGCTTTACGGATAAAATCGTATGTCGATAATTGGCGTAACTTCGTTCGAAAGCGATATCGCGCAAGCTCGACATAGGGACACGAGACACGAGGAAAAGGGACACGAGTTCTTCCGGTCGTTCTTCTGGTCTGTTAAAAAAACCACATTCCGCACCTACAAATTAAAAAAAAACTAGTGTCGACACTGTTTTTGATTTCGGCTATGGCATGCGATTCTGAAAATTAATATCATACGGGCCGGCAAGAAAAAATATGTAACCAATAGTGCAATAACACAGAGAAATCTGGAAGACAGTGCGCAACTGATCGGCTCTGGATATCCTGCGAGTTCGAGACGGCTGTGTAAAATCGAAAAAACCATATTCCGAAATTTAAAGGCAAATCGGAATTCTGGGAACGGTGCCGTCTGTGGTCATGTTTGATCGTTTGCCAGACTGTCCGTGAGGACGTGCGTATACTGTATCGCACCGGTACGGGGGTACCTACGTAAATCTCCCTTTCGACCAGTACGCCCTTTCGACCAGTACGAGTACCTTTATAATATGCCACCTTTTATATCGCGCAACGAATCTCCAGCCGTATCTTCCTCTCTGATTTCTGATTGATAAAGAAGCAGCGAAATTCAGCTGGAAAAGATCTATTCCATACAGTTATCAAAACTGGAAGGTCTGGTGAAGGCGCACGCCATGTTCCAAGCCGGACCGGCATGTATTCGATAATTATAACAAACAATAGGTCGTGATTCCAATTTATGTTTTTATAAAGACGACTTGCATATTCAACAATTTTCAAGCAGGTAGCATTAATTTTCCAGCAAATAGCATGTATCCCACTAGCACTTACTCTAGCCAAAGAGAACTGGGAAGATAGCGTGAAGCCGATGCACTTAGCCGTAGCGAAATGGATGAAGACAGATTACAAATTGCAGATTCCTAATTTTATGGTTAAATTAAATTAAATGATGGGATAAATGTGGGATAGACTGCTTTCTTACGTACATTCAACATTGTACAGCGGCCCTACTGCAGCCGGTTCCGGTACGTATTTAGACTCACACGAAAAATAACCGATGGCCACTTTATTTTTGCAGTAGCGTCTCGTGGTCTGTTATATAGGGCTTCTCGTCCAAGTGCGAAAAGCCTAAGGAGCCTCGAGGCGTTACGAGACTGAAGGCAAAGCCGTAAACTTGGCGCTTATGTCTACGACTTCAAGCCGTTTAACCTTAACACCAAGGCGTTGCCTTATGGATCATCGCTGTTCGGTTAATCGGTTCCGCCTACGCGGCGTATGTTGGCGAACTCTGCGGTGCCACTCGCCAAAAACAAGCGAATCAGCGACAAAACGCTGGAGACCTAAATTTCTACCGTGCACAAAGTGTAAGCTGCCGAATGGTCTTGTTTGCCAATTTTTTCCTACGGGTCCGGTTGAACAAGCTCTACGTGCACACATGTGCACTTACACATCGACGATCGTCCTATATGGCCAATACGGCTGTACGAATAGTGCAATTTTTCTCTAGCGGAAAAACACGCTGCAACAAACTGCAACGTGGTGGCTTTTACTTTTTATTTCCTTTTCTGTCAATTCTCTTCAGAGCACGCTTTTTGTCTCTATTGCACTCTTGTGTCTTAAAGGCGAACGAACGCCGATAGAGCAGTGCGTAGCATTTATCAATCCGCAGACTTCATTTCCGCCTCCCGTTCGGCCTTATCAAGCGATAACTTCTGATCATTGCAATTATTGGATTTTGTGATATATTTATTTTCAGTCTATTAATATTGCCAATATTAAACATTTACGAATATTTATTTTTATACGATTGTTTTAATCTTGTTTTGCGGGATGATGCGCAAGATCAGCTGTGGAACATTCGAATGTTTTTAAGTTTTAGCTGGATTTATCATTGAGTGATTTGCTTTCAGTCGATCCGCTCTGCTCTCGGTCGTTAAAGGACGACGTTTATGAGCAATTTGGCAACAGCGGTCAGTTGTATTTTGGAGAGCATGGAAGGCTGTTGTGTTTGTGCGGATGATACAGGAACAGAAGATAATCCTCTCGTTTATTGTGACGGAAAAGGCTGTAACGTCTGTGTACATAAAGGTACTTAATTTTACAATTAGTTCAAGATTTTCTGGAATCGAGAATTATTAATTATTAAAGAGTTAATTAAACGGATTTTGAATCCTACAGTTAGCGATAATTTGAAATTATGTAGAGTTTGAGTGCGTGATTTATACACCTGTCTGTTTACTAATTGAATTTGTATGTACTGTAATAATTTAATTTCGATGCATGTACAAGTTGAAATACGAGTACTGTACTTGAAATATTATAAGTTTACGACTGTCGGACTGCGCTGTTTCTTACAATTAGCTGTTATTGTTTAATTTATGCAAGAAACCATTACATTCTAAATAAAATTTTAGTGAAAATGCTTTTTCTTATTAACCACCGGCTGTGGTTTTCTTTGAAAGAGTCAAGAGACGCACTGGCACCGGCTAAGAATTTGCATTTTGGTCCTGTTTTTGGGTGTGGCGAGTTCTAATAATGTGTCAGGAGTTACGTTACGTAAAAGTCGCTGAATTACTTAAGCAAACCGCGCCCACCTTCCAAGTCGATTTTTGAATTACTCTATTAGAATCAGGAGTTACAATTCGATTAAAAGGTGTTCTTGTTTAATCTTGTGCACAATATAAAATGCGGCCTACGTGAAAGGCTCTAGCGAACGATGAATAAATCTTTTTGACTGTTTAATTACAATAAGTTGAAAAGAATGCTACCCGTATTACAGAATTATTTATTGTTATCAAATTATAACATGTGAAAAATATACTCCCACAGTAGTTAAAAAATCTTGATGGTGTGTTGGGAATATAGGTATATTCCTATGAATTTATTTGGTTTCTTTTGAAGAAATTTGAAGACGACTGCATTTGCAGTCGAACAATTAAGCGCTTATTAGTAAATGCCGGATTGCGCACTAAAATTTGATAATTAAGATTCAAAATACCGCAGGGAACTTACTAAACAACAGGCTACAATATAAACCGATATAATAGATTTACGCATTCAATAAAAATTTACGGGTTTTTTTTGTAAGTGATGCCCTGATTGACTTGTCAAAGATCATAATAATTTTGTTTAATAGTGCTGGCTTGTGCCTTTTTGTTGCATCGGAATATCAGATTAATAAGGTATGCACGGTTAAAAAAGCTATACACTGCAGTTTATGGTTAGAGTAACTGACACTGCTGTGAAGTTGTGGAAATCATGAAGTGGATTTTTCGCGTAATCAATGTACATAATTATTCTGAATTTTCTTTTATCGCATGAGTTGCGTTTGTTACTGCTGATGTGCTTAAAATAATTTTTAATATAAAAACTTCTGCTGCAGTGCGGTCTGTCAACGCCTAGTTTGGTATATTTTCTTAGTTATTTGTAGTTTTTGTTAAGATGATAATTTTCATAACATTGGAGAGTTTATTGTTAATTAATTGTTATTTTATTACAGAATTAGCGTGCGCGCCTATTTATGATTAATTTTTAGTACTGTACTAATACAGCACAGTATTTTGCAGTTTGTGTGAGTGCCGGGGAAATGCTTCGAGATAGCTTGATATTCAGAATTTGTCCGGAGCACGAAAAAGTAAACGTGTGGTTATTAAATTATGTGAAAGTTGAGCTTTTTCCATGTGCTTGGTTGGGCGCCTGCGCGGCACATCTGTTGATGAGTTGCGGAAATGCATGGGAATAAAAAGGTCTGTACGTCATTATATTTGGTTTTTTTCTCGATTCTTCAGGAAAACCTGTTGGTTTCTTTTGTGTGCAGCTCGATTAAAAGGTCTGCACTGCATGGCCAGTAGCTCAAGTTCGTTCGAGGTAATCCGACCAGTTGGAAGGTTTTTTCGGTTTATACTTTCAAGTATTGTTGAATGACCTCAATGTACTTTAATGTCGATGCCTCGCGCTCGACGCTGCGAGTGCAGCCAGCAACAACTGGCTCGATCGATGCGCAACGGAACCGCAAAAATGTTCTCCATCGCGGCGTGTCTTATTAGATTTTATTACATCAGTTTATAACTTTATATAGAGGCAAATAGAGAATAGACGTATATTTGGAATTCACATATAAATACTTCAACAATAATATTAGGCCACGTAATAGGGGCCCGTTAAATAAGTCTTATCTAACCGGTGTTTAGCCACGCAAAAATTTGTGTATGGTTTTTTTGATACGGTATAATATCCGCAAAACGATGTGAACTAGGTTGTCATGGAACTCTGTTTTCTGCCGACGAAGTATAACATAACTGATCTTTTTCGTGACATTCGAGTGTTTTGCGTTGTAAGGTTTCGGTCGGCTAGGTGTTAACAAATTATCGTATTAATCAAGAAAGTATAGTACCTTTATTCTTGATCCCACATAAATGCCGACAGGAAGTCACTCACAAAGTCTCAAACTAATTAAACAACTGCATAACGTAAGTAGGTAATTTACAGACAGTAGGTAATTTTAACGTTAACATGTTTAGATATTCTGCTGGTTGTAAACGTATAACCTTAAATTTTTACAAAGCAGAGTATTTTCTTTTTTGTGTGCTGTTACAGTTTAATACTGCTGGTACACTTTAATACTGTAGATTTAACGTTGTGAATCCTACGAGTTAAAGTATATACAGATAGTATTGAAAAAAAGATAACTAAAAAGCCGTTTGGTTAATCGTTTTACTTACCGATTTACGCTCAAGACAAACTACAGTACCATTTTAATGACTAATTGATCGCTGGCAGCTCAGAGTCATTTTTCTTGGTATTAGCTTATCGAAAATTTGCATGGGGAATATGGTGACTTTTGATTTCACCGAACAGAGGTCGTTTTTGTTGAATGTTTCTCCAGTTCTCACGTGAGGCTAAAAATATTTTGTACCAGAGTATTAAACAATTAACGATGTTTGAAGTAAACATCCCCTGATTGCAACGTAAATTCTGCACTAAAAAGCTACCTGATTGCACAATTAAAATATTGGAAGTGTGTTATCGATGCTGTTGGTCTCATAACACCTTGTTGTGTTGTATTGATTAAAAAGTGGTCAACGCGATCAGCCAAGGGGAGAGAGGCTAAAGGTTGTAAATGTCCGATAAGAACAATAATAGAAAAATGTTTGATTCAACGCTATTCAAACGCCTAGCGCTGTGCATGCGAAACGAAACGGAAGCGGTTTTGTTGATGGCTAATTTTCTCCTCAAGGTGACCTCGTGGGCCCTCGGCTGGGTCGAGCTACTGCTGATTAGTCAGAAATTGTATGGTTTGGCTGCGCAATTGCTTGTTTACTCATTGACTATTGTGGAGGACAAAAGATAGAAACTGCCGGTAAAGATTTTATTTTTGTTGTTTTAAGGCTGAAGTTGAAGCCTTCCTTTATTGTTTCAACGCCCGGATGATCATATAAATGCCGTAATTGGTTTTTAACAGTTTTTATTTATTTTTAATACTTCTAGTTTTGATAATGGCACTTGTTGGTTAATAATGTACAGCATATATAAACGATACCGCAGTGTATTTAGTGACTGTAGGCACTATTGACGAATCATAAATTGTGAAGAATGGCTGTTGAATTGTTTATAGTAAAGCTTGGAAGTTTTCCAGATTCAAATACACGGAATTGTCATTAATTTGTTATTAGTTGGTTTTACTAAATCATGTAAAACAAGTTTATGGCAGTTTGCGGTAAATTTTTTTGGCCCCACAATTAATCGCTTTAAAAGAGAAAAAGTGAGTATTAAAGTAGTTGGTGTGTCTTTCTGCCTTTTGCTATTTAAAAGCCGAAAGTCCGGTTTCGTCATCGCTTTCTTACAATTTTGCCTGTAGGAAAACATTGTGTGCGCATTTTTTGCCGGGATCACGCGGTGATAAATCGACCGTTCGGTTGTCAGACAAGAAAAAAATCGCTCTGCTATGTTGTTCCCATATTTTGTTTATCTGGACAGATCCCGCCCCTGATTATTGTCACACCACAACATGCACACATGAAGCAGGAGCCGTTTTTCTGACGATAAGCACTAAACAGTCGGTTTTCCTAACCCGCGCACACCGTCGTTTCCGGGCCAACATTTATTGCTAAAGTTCATTGGCTCTGTTTAAACAGCCATTGCTGCGATTTGAATTTCTGCGTTTTCTTTTCCGAGTGAAAATTGCTGATGGTGTTCTTTCTCTCTGTCTCTCGCTCTTTCTGTCTGTAGGTGCCTCTCTAGATCTCTCTGCCGGTTAAAACCAGGCGTGTTGAGTGGCAATTTTAAAAAGAACCAGTCAACTCTTGGCACGCGTTGCCTGTAAGTAATTGTTCGATAAATATGAATGTTTGAATTTTGCACGACTATTTTTTATGTAATGTGGAGTAGTGCTCATTGTGAGGTCGCGGTGCACTGTACGGCTGTGCCGATCGATAACGTTGGGACGTTGCCGATCAATTTTTATGATAACGCCTGCACCGCTTTGTCGGCAGGATCGATACTGCCTGACCGGGAAATTTAATGTACAGCTACAAACTGTAAACACCGTATATCGTACGCAGTTATTCTTGCTTTTTTTTTATATTTGGTGTTTCCTTTTTGTTTTCCCTTTTGTGGAAGCAGTTTTCCATTAATTATCCTGCATGCGTAAAGTTGTACAATGTACATACATCGCTTTTGCTTTTCTGTGCCGTCACTGGCACTACCGGTTTAATTAGCACTTTATCGTTAAATATTTGAATCCATGCCTACTTCGAATGGTTATTAGTTTGTTATTAATAATAATAATTTGCAGTTATCTTAGTACAGTACTTATTTGATGCTGTTCCATTTTTTACTACGATCTAATTTTTAATAAAACAAGCTATGCCTATCTACTCGTATCACATTTCTTGCGTTTTAAATGAATTGGGATTCACGCATTTCATAAAAATTTTGTCGATAATAACCTTGTCTGGTGCATAGTAATTTCTTGTTAGGCATATCCGAAATTTTAAACTTCGTAAATTTAAAGCAAGAAGTCATGAAATATATTCTTAGTTTTGGGATTGTTATTTTACGGGCGACTGACAGCATCTAAATCCTGATGGAGCCGTTAAATTGCATTAGAATTTGACATGTTATTTTAGATGCTGATAGAGTAGAGCAAAAATTCCATTTAATATTCCACCCCGTTGTCCTGATTCCTCCCGACTTAAAAACTGTGTTATCACGCATCTCACTTTGCTAATCGATGGAATGTAGGCCGCTTTTGTGGCGCGACTCACGCGGCGCGGAAAAAGGAAATGATACTCAGACGAGGGGATGGAGATTCTAGACGTCGCACAAGTGACAACACGTTTAAATTGTGTAACAGCACTGTTACAGCAGTACCGACTACCGATGCCCGTAACGCCATAAGTCACAAATTTATACGGGTTACAGACTTTTATAAGAAACAAGGGAGAATTGATATACTTTCACACGCCTTACTGTGTACGTAGCCTGTACGTGAAAAATGTTTATTTTTTGAATTTGGCGCAGTATCTGCGCATACAAATGCATTTAGTATCAAATTATGGTTTAAAAGAAAAATAGCAAATCGCTATCGAAAATCTGACTGTGATACGGCAGAAAAGTTTCCGTAATTTATGAATTGCTGAAATATACTAGTGATATGTTGCAATCTGTTTTAAATTTGCAGTTTTGCGTACCTCCGATTTTGTTTCGTTTACTTTCGTTTATGAAGATGCAGTCTGCAGTCACTCTGCACTACGGCGGAAGTGGTCAGTTTTTTCGATGTGAAGATGCTGAGGTTTGAAGCGTTACGCCTGACGGTGCGAGTTTCCTTGGGGGGCGTGGCATTAAATCGTGGCGGTAGGCCGTAGGACCGTCTTCACTTGAAGCGGCAACCGTTTTACCGTACCATGGAGTATGGACATTGGGCAGCCGGCAGCTGTTATTTGGCCTGTTCCATTCAGCCTGGCCGCCATGAACTGTTACCGAACCGAAACCGCTGGCACCATACTGCCTTCGTGATTTGATATCAGATGGTTTTTCTCGTAAAACGCTCGCTGGCGGTAAAAACCTAAATTTAATCTGTATTTCGCTCGAGCGCCCCATTGGGATCCAGATTGCAGATTGTGTACTTATTCCGTATGAGAAACACGAAAATTTCTTATAGAAAATAAGTATTTTAGGTAATTAAATTTATTACGCCAGTGGACTTTCGACATTCGAATGCATGTTACCGATGTATTAGCGGTAATTTTATTACTCATTTAATCATTTTGATAACATTGTGCTAATGCTGCGATAACAGGTGGGTGACTTATAACTTATGTAGATCAGCTTACCATTAAGTTTTCAAGTTTTAATGAAGAGTTCGAACGTTTGAGCCCAGTAGCGTCGAATGTTGCCAAATGCGGATAGATTGCGGCGCATTGCGCGATCGATTTTCTGTGGAAGTGCTTGTATGCAGTTTTATTTGATATGCTTTATGGCGTTCGTTAATATCATTCTAATTAGTGCGTACAACTTGAATGAAAATCCATTGATAAATGTCGATTACGCAAAATGGCCCTCACTCGTACAGCCGGGATGCGTCATCGGGTTTTTGTGCAGTACGAATTTGTCCGCGATTTTTTACCGCAATTTTTTAATTCATTCTGGCATAACGCCAGCATTGGCAAGTGAGCGGATGGCAGTTGTCTCGCGTCTGTTGCTCCGTGCCATCTGAAAAGTCTATACTTCTACTGCAGCATTTCTTGATTTTCCGCTAAGATAACCGTTTGAATGGCCATGCCAATGACCGTATCCTTTTCATTCTGTTGTAAAGATTGGAACGCTGGTTGTCATTTTTGTTCGCATGCACAGATACGAGGTTAAATCCGGGATCGTATCGATCGTAATCAGCTGGATTTAGAATTCTGGTCAGTTCAGTTAGGACGCTCGTGTCGCCGACCATGTACCGGTTAATTTGAATGGATATTGTATAGCCGTACACAGGGAATTCGTGGCCGGCGGCTGTATCAGCGTACGGCGTATCAAGGTGCCGTACATATTCTTTGAAAATTTCGAAGACTTTTTGGCAGAAGAATCTGCCCGATATCAACCTTTGCATTGGAGTAAGCAGAATTGTTGTAAATTTAGCACAGACACGTACATCTCACAATGTGAGCTGGCTGGTGCGAGTTGAAAGGGTAAAGTGCTTTCTGTCCGATTTTCGATAAAGCTACTCAATAAAGTCCGCTGGCTCATGTGTGCTTGGCAGACGACTGCACAGCCGTGAAAATTGGCAAAGTTACTAACGAACTTTTTGTTGCTTTTTCTGTACAGCATGCTATGGAATTCGGGCCATTCCCACAGGAGACTGGTTTTGTTCCAAGTGCGCATACTTGCGGAATACGGCTGTGGGTTCGTCGAGTTCCTCCAATGCTGACGCGGGTTCCCCGACTGTGGTAAGTGCTGGCAACGCAGTTTAGGCGTGCACTAACTGGTGAAGTTAGCTGTGGATGTGCTTTTAAGTGCTATTTGATAAGCGACATCGTAAAATATGGGTAAAAAGCGGTGGTTGGGGAAATATGTTTGTGTATTGGCGTTTTTGCTGTTTCATGGTACGAACCGTACGATAATCATTTTCCCAATACGTGCCGCTTAAATGCTTGATTGATTGGAATGCATCTTGCTGTGTGGGTTGTGGGCGATATATAAAAAACTGGGGTGTGTGTGGTACTTGCAAATTGTGCGGACAAAATTAATGACAATAGCATTTAGGTACATTTAACCCAGCTTTGTCAACAAATTGGAAATCATCCTTTGCTGCATTTAGGTGTTTTCAATAATTTAATATTGTTTTTTTAATCACTGTTTCAACCGTAGTGTAATAGATAGTTCTGCATTATAAGAACATGGTTTTGCATAACATACAGTAGATATGAAAATAGCACTGAAATGACTGAATAAATCAAATCTTCAGCAAATATAATACTAAAAATAAAATTGTTTTGAATATAAATTGAAGTCGGCGGAGATTTGAATTTTGAGAGCTTCTGTAGTTTTGCTTTGCTGAGTATCGCATGTTTTCAGTGTTGTCAGCGATTAGGTGTACGGTGTGCTCCGTCGACACTTACAAAAAGAACAGTTGCGGTTAAGGGTTTTAGAACGGCTTCTGCGAAGAGTGGTTCGGAGAAATTTTTTTCGACACACATGCTGTGAATGGATTGACTGCGAAGCTTTGAGATGCCAGATTTGACCTAGAATCCGGCAGTGCGGTTTTGTTCCCTGTCAGGTAGTTGGTGAGCGAAAGAGAGCGCGGAGTGTGTGCGCGCGTCGAGTGTAAAGCGTTTTTGATTGAGGGCTCTCGTTGGTCATTGGCAGGTTGGCTGTGGTGTGTTGTGCGTGTTGTGTGTAGTGTTGTTTCGCGCTTTTCGGTTCGAGCGATGCGGCCATGCGTAGATACTGGCCTTGTGAATGCTTGATTAAATCTTGAAGTGATTTTTTCCCTCGGCCATCGCCAGGCGAAATCAGCAGTCGCAGCTGTTTGTCAGTAGGTTTAAAAATATATTTCTGTACGTTGGTGTTCGGCGCTGTGTCTTGTCTCTCTCTCTCTCGCTGCTGAAGAAGAGCGGCATTTCGGAGAGTGTGGAGGGGTAAAAAAACAACACAGCTGCTGCTGCTTGTCACGTTGGCTGCCGTTGTTAACCGACCTGTTTTCTGACCAGCGCCAACGGACTTAATTATTTGGTGAATCACTTATTCACTCGGAATCGATAATGAGTGACCAATGCCGAAGCGGAATTGATAATGAAGGCAGATGCGTAATAATGGGGCGTGCAACTGTTCTTTGAAAAGATTAATTGCTGTAAAGTACTATCTTGGTGCTCAATCTATTTGACACGTTTTTCCGGTTCTGGTAAAAATTTTCCACGTTTTATTTCGTGGTTAGAAATATAGTTATATACGTTATAAACCAAATGGTTTCAATTTTTCACTGAGATAGTAAGTCTGCGATTTTAATTGTTGTGTGCTCATTGAAAGTGTGATGCCGTATCTTTTATCTTCACCGGTGTTTACCTAAGAATTTCCCGTTACCCGCGTTAATGTATAGAAGAAAATCTGAATTTACCATGATCCATGAGAATTTTCCCAGGATATTACTCTAGTTACGAGAAATAGTCATTGCTGTACACCTGGATAAACGCCAGCTACTGTATCGGTCTGGCAGATTAAACTGCCGCGGAACAGAGGATTTCGGAATTAATAATATTGATTACTTGCGGCTGGCACGTAGTTTTCGGAGAAGCTAATTACAAAGGCTCCAGTGATTGCATAAGAGTGCTGATCCAGATAGAGTTGCCCTTATGTTTGCCATTCAGCGCGGTGGCATTACGATCCCACACAGCAGCCCGCAGGGACGTGAACCAGAGGAAACAGCACCTGGATTGCGTGGTGTGGACGACACAGTCCCTGATTGGCAAGCCAAGCAGGCGCGACAGTTGCATCCTGTTGTGGCAATGTCTTTGGGAGTGTAATTATAGGCGTCTCTTAGGCGAAGATGGAAGAGTAATCATACTTGTGAATTTGCGAAACCGCTTCAACTTCAAGCTCAAACTCAAGTTCAAGTCAAAAAAGTAATACACGCTAGGCTTTGGCCCGCCGAAACATGAGTTTGAACTTGCAAAACGCAACTTGTGCAAGTTTCAGCTCAAGTTGGAGGGCCCTCCAACTTGGGTAACTTTCGAATGCCTGCAGTTTGTTAACCGCTGGATCAAGAACTTGAACTCTAGCAAGTTTTAAAAAGGAAAAACATTTTTCTGTTACTTTGCTGCTTGTTTACAAGTTTGGTTCAAAGTAGTTCGACTCCTATAAATAATCTACGGGCAGCACCGACGGCATGGTTTTTCTCGTCAACGCTGTCTCTACCAGCCTCTGGCGTCGGCAGCTACCTACTTGGCTTATCGCTGCCACTGTTGATTTTTGAATCGTTACGCGACATTTACTTTTATTTAAGCCCTACATTGAATGTCGAAAGAAAGAAGAAATTCCAACAATTTTTTTGATCCTATGGGAGTCTGGTTTTATGCACAAAAAATGCTCGCAGGCCAAGTGGAATTTATCATAGAATCTCTACGGACGACGGGGTAGTCCGCATGAGCATTTCATAGAGTGCTATGGTAAAATTCATTCGCTAATAAAAAGCTTCACTGACCACTAATTCCCTCTCTCTTGATATCAGAAAACACTCTGAGATTTCTTTTCCGTTTAACTTGTTGCGTGATTTGTTTTTAAATACTGAAGAATGGACTAAAGCAGCCCGGAAACCTTCGGTGCTTTCTCTTGCAAGGCAACATTACTACCGCTTGCGGGCTGAGGTTACTAAGAATGGTTAACTTAAAATTTAGTTTGGTGTTCGCAAAATCAGGAATGCACAAGTTCAGACTACAACTCAACTTCAAATTCAAGTCTGGAACCTGAATTTGAGTTTGTGTTTGAACTTGAGAAGCTCTCGCAAATTCCCTAATAACATTAGCAGGGCTCATGTGACAAGGGCGAGAAAAGGAATTAGGATCAACGAACACCGCCGATTTACGCGGCTGGTAGTAGTATTAGCCGGGAATGACGGGAAGCACTGTTGTGTCAGTGTATGCTTTCTTTTTTTCTCGACACTAATACTGCTGTTTCGCCGGATTGTGTGTGCACGTTTAAGTGATCGATTTTTGCTTGTTGTAATTTTCTCAGTGGACCTTCGTGCCGCTTCGTAATTTTTATTGCCCCGATAATCCTCAACAGTAGTTTGATCAGAAGAATTCCGCACAGCGGTTAAAATTAGTGTATTTATGGTTGTTAGATAATTGCCGTTTATTTTTAACACATGTTGCGGGTGTGTTGGTCCACATAAAGTTCTGGCCAACTGCGAGAGTAGGCACTAGGCACAGAACTTCCAGTCGCGCTGGCAATGATGGGTTTGATAACCCTGATACTTTCTGTAGTAAAAATAATCTGGCAGGGTTTGTAGCGGAGAGAAAGTCCATTTTGATGTTAACTGGGTTGGCGTGTGGATTTGTTGCTTTTTATATTTTGTTTTCGCGTTCGTTGCGAGTACGACGGCTGACTACCGGACTATTTTCTGTGATGTGCTAACGTGCTTGTGTTTGATTATCATACGGTACTACTGCTGGAATATTCGGATACTCTTCGGCACAGCGGTGGTTACGGATTATTACCTAATTGAGATAACAATGTTGCTGCTGACGCTTTCGCGCTAGTTTATGGCTTTCTACTTCATTAAAGCTTCGATTATTTCTGGATAGTCAGGATCATCTGTTGTAGAACTGCGAACTGTGTCCATCTAAAGAGGGCGCTTTCAAACCTACCGCATCGGGAAAGTGGGCCCATGTGATTTGTGCGTTGTATATCAAGGAAGCGACGTTTGGGGATACGGATGTTATGGAACCTATTGTAACAACAACCTTACCCAGGGAAATTTTTCAACGGGTGGGTATAAATTTACTAGACCCAGTTATATTCCCATAATTATTTCACATGATGTTCCCTTTTATTTTCATGCTGTTTGGGGCAGCTTCTTTAATTAAGCCCATAGGCTCGTTCAAATAGGAATGAGATTAATTTGTGATGTTTGTGTTTTTGATTTTACTGTACGGGTTGTTCGGCGCTATATAAAATATCTGGGCGTTCGTGAATAATTAATCAAACGTGGATGTTTCCTGGTAATTTTCTTGTTATTCGAAACACAAATGATTGCTCTTGTAACTTGATAATGTGTGTTACCAGAGCGGATGGCATCATGACTCTGGCTTACAATGGAAATTTTTTTATAGACTTGCTACATTTGTCTGGAGGAATCGTCGAAAAACGACGCATCAGCCGGTGCGAGTGCTGTTTGTGAGAAGAACGGCTGTCGTAAGGCGTTTCACGTGACTTGGTAAGGGTTTAGTTTTGTACAGGCGATAGCCATCAGACATCTACGTTGGACTTTGTTGTTACGACGACGATCTATCAAATTGGGTAATGGCTAATTATCTGTCGGTCTTGATCGATTTTCATAGTGCGCAGAAGAAAGGATTACTGTGTGAGATTACCAAGAAGAATAACAAGCAGCAGGTTGTTTATTCGGGCTTCTGCGGCGAACACATTCCACCAGAGGAAAGTGGAGTAAGTGCAAATTGCGTGCGTTGTTAAGTTGTGTACGTGAGTGAATACAGACAAGGTGTTTCTGATAGTTTGGTGTTCTCTGACAGTGTAGTTGTTGACGATTTGATTGAGGTAATTTTGTTGTTACCTGTTCAGTAAAAGCTGATTTGTATTTCTTCTGGCGCGTAACTTAGTGATTTGCTTTTGGCCGTTTTTTTATAATTTAATGGCATTCTAATCCGATCAGTTGATTTTATTAAAAATGTTAAATACATTACAATACATTAATTTATTCGCAGTGTAGTAAAACAGTACTTATCTTATCATGCTAACTGACATCCACGCATTTTCAGACCATTGCTGGGGATCGCTATCGAAAGATACCCGCTTACCCCCGCATATCCGAGCCCGGCTGCGAACGCGCCTCGTCCAGTTCCGGATACTCTACGCCGAACAATCCCGAAAAGTCCCCGCAACCTCCTCCGTCGACGACGGATCCGCCTTCAAACAGCATCCCAGTTGTGGATAACAGCGCCAGCAACACGTCCGTGGACAATCAGCGTTCTTCCTCCATCAAATCCACGGCCTCCGTGGGTTCTTCGGGTACCACGGAGAGCGCGGACAGCGGTATTCAGACCACCGTCTCGGAGTTGCAGCCGGTGGTGGTCGAAGAGAAGCAGGCCATCCGGAAGCCCCATAAAAAGTCCTTAATGGCTAGGATGGACAATGCGGGCATTATGGTCAATCCCGCACCGTCACCCGTGGCCGCGTCGCCCTCACAACCGCCCCAGATAACATTCCCCTATGCGCCCATGAACCCGACACATCCGCCTCCGATGCCAAATGACTCGGGTGCTCGGTATCAGGTGGCTAATCCCTTTGCGGATATGCCCGTCCAGTATGATCTCTCCCGACCACCAATGCTCGTGGGTAAAGCGCCGGAGATGATGCAGCATGTGAAAATGATGAGCACCGGGACGCCGCCCCCGCTGGTGGCCAATATGCCTCTTCCCCGGAAACGACCGCTAACGCCGTCGATACTGGACAGTGAGACGTTGACCATTAGTTCGCTGATTGAGCGGACGATAGAGCGCGCCACCACCAGCACGACAACACTACCGCCGGTGGTTATGCCTTTTACCACCGGTGTCCGGCCGCCGTATATACCGGACGATAAGGGAATGGCACCCTCACCGGGTGGGGATTCTGGAGGCCAGAAGAAACCCAAGAAGGCCGCCAAGGAAAGCAAAACCGATCCGAGACGGGCAGGGAATACAGCCACGATTAAGGACCTGCTAGCGAATACGAATTTGTCCCCGGTTAGTGGCCAGCCGAGTGGACATCCGTCGCCGCAGTCGGAGATGTTCATGCAGCATCAGCAGCAGATGATGGCAACAATGAATTCGCAGAAAATGCAAATAGGTGGTGTACAATCGACGCCACCCAGGGGCACTCCAGTGGATATGGAACGAAATAGTCAGGGTGGAAATTCCTCTTCGCCGTTTTCCAGAACGGAGAAGCCTGTCTCGCCAAAGATGATTAACGTGGCAAGGGTGCATGACGATCGGCATCGGACTGCTGTGGAGAAAGTGCAGCATTACCTGTAAGTTTTTTCCTATAGACTATCTAGAATATGCGGATCTGTTTTTTGGTAATTTCCTAAACTGTTATTTACATACCGCTCTGTAAGATTTGATTTCAGAGACAAGCGAACGTCACCATAGTTTTTGCAGTTTAGACGAGTTCGATAAATCTGATATTTTGAAACACATCCGGCATTCGTTATTTGAGGAATGTGTCGCTTAACTGGGAAAGCGCAATGGTTTTAACCTTTGATCGCCAGCTGTAATGAAATCTTGTCTCGATTATAGAACCAATCAGAGCGGTCCGGAAATACCAGTGATGAACAACCAGCCTCTTGCCCTTACCACGGCACAAGCGCCCTCCAGCGGCGGCTCCAAATCTAAGCGGAAATCCCAGGATGAGCGCCCTTCGCGTGCTGTACATTCCGCGACGAAAGCCAGTAAGTGATTGGTTTATGGGAAGACTGCAAGTGTTTCGTTTTTATTTTCGGGGATGTTTATTGTGTAATCGGCTGACATGATTGGCTCTGATGTTTACCTGTCAGACAATGTGTCTGTGTTAATGCCAATTTTGCTCATTTGTCTCTTGTTCTGTGCGGTGGTATTTTCGCGAAAAGATCCGGGGGCGGATGGCATGTAAGGTGAACCGCAGATGAAAGCGAGGTTGAATTATTGAGATAGCGCGCGATGCGTTCGATTGAATGGCTGCAGGTGGAAATCAGTTGGTCTCGTCTAATGGGAGTTCGTTGGCATTGGGGGTTTTTGTTTCGCTGAAAGTCGGTTTTGGAAGCTTTCTTTGCATGGAATGATTGACTGGTTTATTAAGAATTCTACGGTTGTTCGGTTCGCTTTCATCTGCTTATAATTAATGTAGGATATGTTTCGAATGAATAATTTTGTTTTGCATTACGAAAATGGTAGGTCTTACCGCTCTTACGTAAACCATTGAATATTGAAAATAAACAATTAGTGGCAGGAATCTAAATTATCTTCTTACGGTACAACTTGTACATTGGTTTTTATTGCTGGGAAATTCGCCGACTTCTGACAGTTCACAAGGGTTATCCTCTATTTTAATTTCTCAGCCGGGGATTTCAGAGTTGTTTTTTAACTTTGAATCCTGTACCTTTGAATCCTGTACCGACTTTGAATCGGAACTTAGAGCATCTTTTGGGGAGGGATCATTAAATTAAAGCGCATAATGAACAGTATTTAAATATCTATAATTTTTGTATGTGTTTGTTTCACATTTTTGCTGACGTGGATCTGAATGATTTATATTACAGATCCTAGCCAGCCGGAAGAAACACACCTCTCCACACCTGTCCCGGCTAAAACCGAAATGGGCCGAAAGAGCAACGGCTACGTGAACGGCACCGGTCCTAACGCCTCCACAGCCGCCCCGCCCGACGAAGAGATGGATGCAACGTGAGTGATGCTGTGTTAGTTGCATGACTGGTTTTTTTCATCGTCTCTTCATTCAGTGATTATGCCGACGATTACGCATTTAACCTGCTTACTATGGGTTGGATAATTGCAGTGCCGCGCAGGCCTTCGATACGCTGATGATGGCCCTGTCGACCTTTGGCACGACAGCGGCGCATCAAACCGGAGCGGCTATTCATCCAACCGGTAAGCTGTCTGCCGTTCAGCCATTTGTGATATTTCACACCGGAGGGCATTTGGCAGAACTGATTTTATTGGATCGTAAATATTGTTTATGATTGTCTTTCTTTGCCGTGGTGTGGCTTAATTAACTGTACGTGCTGTAAATTGCATAATATAGTTGAGTAAACTAGATCCAGTTGCAAAAAGGCATAGTTACCTAACTAAATGTTTATGCGTTAGCTTCGAAATTCCGTAAGATACAACGTTCGCATTATAGTCGCCACCACGCTTGACGGATTCTTTCGGATGCAGAAGGAATTAAATATGTTGAAGGAAAAAGTTGGTCAACTGGAAGGACTAAAAGCCTTCTACCTAACACAAGTGCAAGCTTTGCGAAGCCTAACAGAGAAACATGTGGCAGCGGATGGCGGGGGCCTATCCGTGGTGCAGCCAACCATGCCCGAAGAGGTGGCGCGGTTATTGAGTGTGCTGGAGCCGCACGATGAGGCGGCCAGTAACACGCAGCGACGGGGTAAGTGGTTCGATGACTTTAATCTAATATTGTACGCAAGAACATCTGACGATATGTCGAATAATTGATGTGATCTACAGAGCACCTTGGGATGTTGATTAAATAATTCCCAGATTTAGTGAAACGCCTAATTGGATTTTGTTGTGATTTCGTTTCATTTCTCATGGAGCATTCCTCCTACTTTAAAGTTTCTAAATTTTAGATGCTGATAACGCTTGTTTTTGCTCAGACTTCAATAAATTGGGGTTTTGTTTAGGACCACCACATGAGAGCGCTTCGGATGGCCTTTTAGCTCGTCTTCACGAGCCAGCCGCCCGTGATCCCGTACATCGTTCTTCCCGTGACTCATCCCGTCCCGAGAGTCGCGCCCAAACTGCCACTAGCGCCTCCTCCCTTCCCCCGCCGCCGTCGTCCGTCCCACTCTACCCGCACCCTCCCAACGCCCACCTACAAACGGCGTCGTCCCCCTCCCAGACACCGAAACCCTATCCCCGCTCGAGGACCAGTGAGAGGGAACGCGAAAGGGAGAAGGAACAGCGGGACACGGCAACTAGCTACGCAATGACCAACGGCTATCCCGGGCAGCCTCCGTCCAACGCTTCCTCGTCCTCGTCGTCCAATCGGCGGGGTCATTATGCTCATCTGGAGGGCATGGACGGGATACCGTCGGGCGTAATATCGACGCCGGCGCCGGTGGCCTCCACACCGCAGCTGCTGATGCCCAATGTGGCTGGGACGCAGTTTCTGCTGCCAGGGCAGCAGTTTTATCCGATGCAAATGGTAAGAAAATTAATTCGTTACTGTAGTCAGTGGTCAGATTAGCATTTATGTACAGATAGATAAAATCTCGATAAACAGCCGTACGCTCTGCATAGTAATAACAATTTTCTCTTTCCAGGATCCTCAACGTTTGATGGCTATGATGCCTGGCCAGGCTTTCTTTCCGCCCGCCCTGTATGGAGCCCCGGGAATGGGTGGTTTCATTCCGGCACAAAATATTTCAGGTAATTTTATACGATTGATACGTGTGATTCGAATGAAATTGAATTTTACATTAAGTGGTATTTTAATCATAAACTGTAATTTGCTTTGGTGGTTCCGTAGATTACACAGGACTTGGCAGGATGCACACGCCAACAACGCGGTATCCTCCTGAGGACGGCAGCCACAACAGTGGATCACAGCACCCGCATAGCAGTATGAAACGCGAATACGAAGCGCGCGAAACCAGTTGAAAAGACGACAGCTGTGCCAGCGTTCTTTGATTTTTCCATTGATACCCGGTTAATGTGGAAGGCGTTCTTTCGCACCGTTATGGTTTCATGGATGGATTTTCGTGATTTGTATGGAAAATATGGATAGACGAGTTTGTACAGAATCCAGATTGGGAAGACAACGGGCAGAAGAGTGTGGATGGTATGCGCGATCTTTCCGTGTATTTTGTGCAAAGACTGATTATTTCGCGTGGTTGGTCCGGGATATGTGTATTGGATTTTTTAATTAATTTTTGATTTTATTAAAACTATTTTTTGTTTTGTTTTGTTTGAAGTTTTCCTGGAGAAAAATAATCCTTTGTTCCGTATTTGGTTTTTATTGGAGCTGTGTGTGTTGGATGGTTTTTTTCTGCTGGAATTGATTGGATTTCTAAAGAGTTTTTGGGATGGTTTTTCTTGGATTATTATTAATGCTGTCTGGGGTGAACTGTAACCAATGATCACTGCCCTTTTAATTAAAATGTTTGTTTGGTCACGTTGCTTGCTGGTTTGCAATCTGTATAAAGTCATCGATTTTTTCTACGGCAAATCGTACGAGTATACTTAAAGACCTATAAGAGCATCGCATTCGAACTGCGATTTAATACTTTGACATGTTTTCGCAACAATTTGATATACTGGCATATTCGAAACAAACTATTTTAGATGACTTATTTAATAGCAGAAAAATGAACAACAGTGGTTTTCTTACTTTCCATTAGAAAGAAAAATACTTTGGTTTGGCGGCAACTTTGGCCGTGCCTGTGCAATACAAATTATACAACTACCCAGTGGCAGCCACCCAGGGATGGCAGCATGAGAGCGCGTTCAAAGAATGTTTTTCCGCTGCAGCTACGTTTTCACTTTTCAGTTATGATGAGTTACGCTTTGTGCTTTCCGTTGTCTTTGCTTTTTGCGCGAAACCAGAGTGTTTTCCGAAGACAGTAATTGAGATCACTGTTTATGGCACTGCCTTCGCCACTTTGTAATAATGGAGCAAATGGAATCACCAGGTTTCGCAGAGGAATATTCTTCCTCTGCGATTGCGAGTGATGGCGGAGACCTCAGCAGTGACTTGAGCCTCCCTGCCAGTTTATTTTCTTCATCCCGAATCGACACTCCGCGTACGCGCACCAAAGAGATTTCAGGCTTACCGCTTAGCGCGGAAGAATCCAGCAGTGATAATTTTTTGCCACAAGAAGTCAGCGATCGTATGGCACTGGCGATACAAGCCGTCGAATCAGGCAACCTCTCGCAGTACGCAGCTGCCAAACGATACCACGTTCCATACACCACGCTGTGGGAAAAGCTGAAAGGGATCCAACGAGGGACGCTAGGAGCTCATAAAAGGAAGTTCACGGACGCGGAAGAAAATTACATAGAAAGTCTGCTGTTGAAATGTGCCGAAAATGGTTTGCCATTGGACCGTCGAATTTTGCAGCGGATTGTTCCATTGCTGGCCAAATCTAAAGGTACGAACTACGAAGTTCAAACTTCAAGTATGACAGTTATGTTTTTGTTATTGTGACGATCCCCATAGTAGGCCCATACGTTTCCTATATCAAGCCGTCTGAATATCTATAAAGTATGATAATTTGAATGTACAATTTAAAAGACAACTTTTGCTGTTTTAAAGTGTTTTGCTGTTTTGCCGTATTTAAAATTAATACTGCGATGAGTGCGAAGTACTAGTTAAACCTGTTTTGATTAAGTATTATTATTGCGAGTTAATGCATGCACTGTTTCGGGTTTCAGAATAAACGCATTTTAGATTGTTGTCAGTTTCGCGTGGCATTAAATTCTCGACATGATAATAAATAGAAAGAATGAAAGATAGATAAAAATAAAATTGAAGTACTTGTTTTGTTTGAGCAGACGTCTCCAGTGTTTTCATAATGTGTTCGAGTATGCAAATCCTAGTTTTTCTATTTTCGGAACAGTTTTCTGCTTCGTACAGACGTGCCAGAGCATCGTAAACTCTTCACCAAATTCTGGTACCGAAAATTCCTTGAAAGGCATCCCAGGCTGGCCCAGCGAATTAAGCCTGATCTGTCCAAAAAGAAGAAAACGAAAGAATGGACCGTGGCGAATCGGGAGGGGTGGATACAACGGCTGACGGCATTGCATCATGATGGACTGCTGGATGATCCAGCCGGCATCTGGAATTTCGACGAGTCGGCGTTTGAGGTTGCAGATGGAGCGATATCCGTGTATGCCAGTGAGGGTGTTCAGCCTCTACAGGTTCTTTCTTACTGCGATGGCTGTGACCGTGATTTGATAACCGTGCTTTCGGGAGGGAATGCTGCCGGAGAAATTGTGCGGCCTTTGATCCTTTTCGATGGAAAATCTGTCCATGCGTCTAATTCCCCCGGGACCAACAACAAGCATAATAACGTTTGTGAACCGTTGAACGTGATGGATGATGCCACCTTCTCCACTTATGTCAGAGAGAAAATCATCCCCCGAATGACATCGGCGAAGGTACGGTGTTATTTGTCGAAATCGAGAACTGTTGTAATTAGCGAACGATCACTTTGTTTTTAATTACGATTTATAGATATGAGCTTGAATTATAATTTGGTTGTTGCTGCTTTTTTTCAGAATGTTGTTTTCCTCGACGGACATAGCTCCCATATGTTCAGTCTGGAGTTCCTGGCGGAGTGTGTGAAGTCGGGAAAACACATCAGCATCGTTACACTTCCTTCGGGCCAGGCAGGGAAGCTGCGACCAAGGGATCTCAAAATGTGCGGCCCTGTTAAAAATTACTGGAAGGACTACTTACGGCAGCTGTCGCCGACTTCTATGGAAGAGGTTTGATTCCAGTCTGCTAAATTGACTTTTAATTGATACGAGTACAGCAAAGTAGTTGTCCGTTACTTTCTGATTATTTGATTTGTATGCTCCTGATGGGATTTAAATTTTGTTACGGTGTAAGTCTTATCATTTACGAAACGTCAATTTTGTCGTAGGTCAACAGACAGAATTTCGCCAGTCATATTGTAAAGAAATGGAATGACTTGAATATGGCGAAGAATGTTGTTTCGGGATTTGTTTCTTGTGGAATTTATCCGTTTGATCTGGATGTAGCCGGTCGAGCCTATCCGGAGCCAACTCCTAGTCAATTTCTCTCGGACGTGACCATCGATGTGGCCAAAGTGTATGCCGCTGAACTAGAAGGAGCGCGTCGTCATTTGCAGAAAATTCCTTTTTTGACTGAAGCCGCAGTCGACAGAATCATAGCGTTTGCCATTGCCCAAGCAGAAGACTGATGTGATGTCGCACCGGAAAATAGCTGTTGCGCACTTCATCAGTGAATGTGAACAGCTTGTCATCGATACACCTGCTCCAAATCTAGAAATATCACTGTTGTTCGCAGGCGAAACCGAAGGTTCTTCGTTATCAGTTAGTGCTACTGCAAACTTGACTGCAAATCAGTGTGTACATTTTTTCTTGGATTTTGTTGATTGGTGCTTTGTTCTCACGTCAGTATAAATGAATATATGGGCGATATACTTTGTTGTTATTGGACTGTTTTTAAAATAAACTTTTTTTGACATGCCGTGATTATTCGCCGCCGGACTGTGTTTGGTATCTTAATGTACTGCAGTAGTGTCGAAGTCCTGTAGAAGTAATTCATTCAGTACAACTCTGTACAAGCATACTCTGCACGCTGTTGAAAATTACTTACCAATTTTAAACCTTTTTTACATAGATGTGGAGTTTCACCTAGGATGATAGTATCTAGGAGTTAGGACCATTCTAGCCTAGGTACAATTCTCAGATTAAGTTTTCGATTTTTAAATATCTGGGTATCAACCTTTGCAGCTTCTCAAATGTACAATTAAGCGATCGGGTAAGAAACGTCGGCCACACCGCTCACATTGCGCCAAATTGTTCTTGAAAGCTTCGTATGCCTGGGCATTGATCTGTTCCATTGTCGCACGACTCCCTGTAATAAAAAATCAGCCTTTTTATTGGGGATACAGTCAGGTCGTTATTGGGAATCATGATCGAGTTCATATCTCTATTTTTTATTTTATAAATGTAAGTGTATACGTAACTATCGTTACAAACCAGAAGCTGCAAACGGTGGGTTTACTTCAGTACAAAATATTATGTAATTACAGTACTAAGTACATGCAGTAAGTAATTTTATAAATTATACGAGTAGTCGTTCACAGAATAGAGAACGGTACATATGTCAAGGAAAATTTACCGAGTAGTGCCGTATCAGGTTTTTTGGGTTCCTCTTTTCGGAGATGCGCCGGCTGTTGACTGTTCTGCGTTCTCCATTTGTCTAAGCACTGTCGCTCATGAATACCAATCGATGTCCTGCCGAATTCCCTACCGCAGATGTAACACACCACCGTCGGTGGACCCTGTCCCATGGAGCCACGCGGTTCCTGGACAGTGACCTTTCGGTTCCCTCCACCGGAAGCCATACTTTTTGACATGCCCGTACTTGGCGCAGCTATCCCTCTTCCCCGCACAGAGCCCTTCCCGGCCATCGCCGCACGCGGACTTAACAGAGTGCTGGTGATCGGCGCTGCGCTGACACTGGCGCGTTTTTGCGCGGAAATAAACTGCCGGATTCTGCTGGCCTCCACCGACTCCACGCGACTGGATGGCCGGGCGGTGCTGCCGCCGCCTTTACGGAGGATAATCTTTTTGTGACGCGAGAAACCGGGTGGTTTGGGGAGAAAGGTCACCACCCCCGGGCGGCAGGCTTTCTGGTGATGGGCTAAACTTTTTGGTAGGAAGCGTCGTCCGCAAATCTCGCATTGTACGAGGTTGGCATCCTTGGCCGCTTGATACGCCGCCTCGTTGAATTCTTGAATTGCCTGGCGGTCCGACTGCCCAGCGAGGGGGAGGGATTTCTGAGGTGGGCGGGGCTCTGGGCGACGCTCTTTCTTGGGGAGCTTGTTGTTCTCGTTGCGCCATTTCTATATGGTTATCGACGACAGAAAAACTGAATCCAAGAGAAGAAAATTTATTTCTAAAGTACTTATAAAAAAACATCACACTGTTGCGGGTTTAAGGCTTTCTGAAGTACCTCGAGGCATTTGGGAATGTGGATGTCGATGCTGAGACTACCATACTCTCGACCGCAGATATAACAGACGATCATACGTGGGTTCATTCATATGATCAATTAATTCCACTGCAAGAAAATAATTCCTGACCGTTTATACAAGCAGCTTGTCCAGTGGCTTACCCCGGTTGCATTCAATAAATAATTATACTTTCAGGCTTTATGAAAACTTCACGCGTAATCACCATACCAGTTCTTATAGAGTACGCATGTTCTTTCAATTATAAAAAATTAATAAGAAAAGTTAACTAATATTGCATTTCGTGATTACAAAGCATTATACAGCTGCATGCATAGTTTAATACTGTCTTAAGCTTAACTTGTGTTCTTACCGTAATATTAATAAAAAAATGCGGAAGTATTTGTGTTCTCAGAATTCTTGGGCATCGTAATTCAACGTAAAGGCACTGGCAGTAACCGAAATTTGGGGAATTGTGTGTAGTTGTACTTGTATCTATATAATTATTATATAATCTAGCACGCTAATTTTTAATCATTCTCGCCTGTCGTTTGATCCAAAATTTTATTGTGAAATTGTCGATCTCATGAGACATTTGAGTTTATTGTATTTGTTTTTGAGTATTGATCTGTACATTTACTGTGCTGGGTTAAGTATCTTTTTTCGGGAATTCTGTACGTTTTCCCATGTTTTGCTGAATGCTGTGATGAGCCCTTCGCTACACCAACCGGAAGTCGCCAGGTTACGGCTGACGTACGTCCAGATGAAACTTTTAACTGATTGTACGCACTACGCAGCACCCGTACGAGACGTCGAGACGTACCGCCGGTCGAGCGTGCGTGCCGGAAAAAAGCCAAACAGTTGTGAGTCGACACTCTTGACAGTCCACAATTTTCATCCCTTTATTTTAGTAAGTAACAACTTCGCTAATCGAGCATAAACTCATCCTTATAAACTCTTTGTACCTTCGCCTTTTCCTTTTTTTCGGAGTTTTTTATCGTAAACTTGAAGATTGTTACAGAGCTGTAGCCATGGCTGAAGGGAAAGGCATTCGTGATCAGCTGTTGCTGGATGTGCAATCCCCGCCTGAGCATGCACTGGGCAAAGTCACTGTTGTCGGCGTTGGACAGGTGAAGCCAGGAACCGGAATGAGTTTTCTGATCATTTGCATTTTAAATGGCGATAATTTATATCGGGTTACTTTTTGCCTGTGACAGGTCGGCATGGCCATCGCCTTTTCAATTATTAATAAGGTAAGTCTGAACGATGGAGTTGGCGGGATTTTCCCGGCCAATTTCCCCAATCAGATGGAACTTTTAATCTAGATCTGATCACAACGTTATTAAGTGCTTATATTCGTAAGTCTGATAATTTTTTTACGCTTATATTTTAATGTTTAATTGCAATACATGTGGTAAATACATTTGGTAAATAGTAAATACATGTTTGAATTATACAGTTGAGAAAACAATTTTTTCCGTTGTATCTCGAGCTGTGTCAAGGTTGAATTTTTATTGGTGTTTCGAAAATGTTTTAGCGACTTGCTGGGGAGTTATGTCTCGTGGATATGGATGAGAAAAAACTGAAAGGCGAATTAATGGATTTGCAGGTTGGAATGCTACAGCAGTTTATTGTTAATTGAATTTGTACCAATATCTGGCGTGCATTAGCATAATTTTGTTGACTTTTTCGTAGCATGGTCTGCATTTTGTTTCCCATATGACACTGCAAGCCAGCGTTAACTACGACATTACAGCCGGATCAAAATTATGCATCATCTGTGCCGGAGCGCGGCAGCGCGAAGGAGAGGATCGACGGGCGCTGCTTGAGCGAAATATTGCTGTTTTTAAAGGTACAGATATTAGAATATAATAACAGAGGGAAATTAGTAAAATAATTGTTTACTCGTGTAATAGTCGTATAGTATAAATTATAATTATTAGTTCATAGTGTTTTTTATGTTACAAACACTGTATTTGTATTATGTGAAATTCTTGATTTTTTTGCTCCTGTTGACTTGTGCGACACGATTACGCTGACATGCAAACTCGTATGGCCTTCACTGTGGTTCATACGTAATTCTGCAATGATGCCCTGACGCCAGGTTCCCAGAATACAATTATGCAGTTACTTTTTAAGCAGTAAAATCTATCGAAACACCGATTAACTTTTGGTGACCACTCCGTACACACCCTTTCACACCCTTTTACTCCGTGCACAACCTTTTTGCGCTTCCTTTCATTCCGTACACAACCTTTTAAATTTTTTTAATTTTTTCACAGCAGAGTTATTTCTGGAATAAAAAAAACGCGCAATCTCGACCGTTTTTTGGATTTTGAACAGCAACGTTTTTCACCCTAATCTCCGCAAGATCTGCTCCGTAACACTTGTATATTCAATCTTCGCTTGCCACGTGAGTTGTTTGTCGACGCTGCCATACACCAGGACGTCTTCGTCGGAACGGTCCCATGATGTTGCAAAACGTAGTAATATTTTTTTTTCGTTTTGCTTTTCTGTAGTAATATAGATTACAAATATTTAAGTATAATACCTATATATAAATAAATATATATAAAAGTTTGGTAGTGCACCGAGTGAATGGTAGTGCGCAAAAAGGTTGTGCACGGAATGAAAGGGAGTGCAAAAGTGTTGTGTACGGAGTGAAAGGGTGTGAAAGGGTGTGTACGGAGTGGTCACCTTAACTTTTTTACGCGCACTTTTTTGATGTATTAGCTGTATTTTGTGATGCTTTGATTTTTCGGCATTGAGCGGTTTAATGATTACTCTAGAATTTTATTCGTAGAAACCTCAAAATTAAGAATACCTCGATGGAAGGGTTTCCATACTTTGGTATTTGCTTTCTTTCCGTCTGCTCCGTTGTTCGTTATACGGCTCTTTCCCTGGCCTGTCTTTATAAGTGTGCATTCCGCCTTCGTGTATTAATAGCATCCAGACGCAAGTCTGGAAAACGTTTTCTGCGAAACCTATCCAAAAGGCTGTATGGCAAGCACTCTTCTCGGCAATCACTTGCGTGCTGTGCCATAAAAGCCTCCGTGATAAATTCAAGGTCGAATTGCAAGGGCATTGGCTTATTGAAATTTCAAATGTTATTTCCGCTTAGAGAGACACACGGTTCATTTGTAGAGGATCGATGGCATCCAAGTAATCCTTATCGGATACGAGATTGAGGCTCGCCGGAGCTAGCATGTCAGTCAGACAACATCGACTAGACAAAGACATAAATTTATATCGATTCTATATGATTGGAGCTGTGTGAACCAAGATTTCGGTGGAGGCGACTGAAAATGCTACTGCATCACAGTCAGTTATAAATTGATAATAATATCCATCCGGCATGTCTGAGCCTCCTTCGAATTCGAAAATTTTGTTGTTTCCAATTTTTTTCGAAAGGTTATTTTTTCCGAAAATTGATTTTAGTTTGTAGACTACATTTAATTTAATTTTCTTCAATTTTGTGTTGGCAGCAAAGCAAAAAGTCGATATTGAACTGTTATTACGATTAAGTAAAAAAAGTACTGTAGAAGTGTTTTTTTGGAAACAAACAAGAACATATCGTACGTACAAAATATTTCGAAAAATATTCCTGGAAGAACGATTGGTAACAGATAACGGTTGAATCAGGCAAAATTATCCAGTTTTCTGATTTTACAGGCATTATTCCCCAGCTTGTCAAGTACAGTCCCGACACGATCCTACTGGTGGTCTCTAATCCGGTGGACGTCATGTCTTATGTGGCTTGGAAAATCAGTGGATTTCCTCACCATCGCGTTTTTGGCTCAGGGACATCGCTAGACTCTAGCCGTCTGCGCCATTATATGAGCGAGCGTCTGAACATTGACGTCAGCAGCTGTCATGGGTTTGTCATCGGGGAGCATGGAGAATCAAGCGGTAATGCACAAAATTAATACCACCAAATGAATGGCGGCTACTGATGAAAAGCTTTACGCTTTTGGGTTATTTATGGGAAAAATACCTAGCCAAAATTATTTAATCAAAAAATTACGTGAATATTGTGTGTGGTATAATACGTCAATATATTGTTTTTTTTTATAAAAATTACGAGAATATTGTTTCTTATATTTAATAAAAAAAATACGATCGGGTAGCAGAACGAGTTCGACCACCGTTGTGCTCACAATTACGGAAACTCGCGGTAACGCGGTGACGTCGTCGCGCGCAATCGGTAAAGTTGTGCTGTATTATATATAGTGCATGAAAAGCTTCATGGTAGCTTTGAATTCACTGTTTAACATGTACTGGAACTTTACTGGTTTTTTTATGTTATGGTTTTAAATTTGTTTGATGGGGCTGCGGAAAATGTTTTGGGTACTCACTGTTCTGGTAGTTCTGTACTTACTAATCATGAAAGAGCAACATTTACTTACTTTGCAGTTGTGGTTTGGAGCGGTGTGAATGTTGGAGGTGTACGTTTAATTGATCTGAACAAAGACGTTGGAACCGATAAAGATCCCGAACGATGGTTGGACATTCATAAACAAATTGTTGACAGGTGTGTTAGAAGAATCTATTTTTTGTTACGTTAACAGAATTCACACAGGATTTAAGTGCAGCACTTAATGACATTTCACTGCTAAAACGTTTTTGATAGTCTTTGACGAATTTGTATTGCAGTGCAACGGAAGTGATCAAACTGAAAGGCTACACTTCCTGGGCCATTGGGATGTGCGTGGGACGTTTAGCCGAAGCGTTACTGCGCAATCAGCGCAGCATCTACCCGTTGTCGACCATGGCCAAAGGTTTCCATGGTATTGAGCAGGAAGTATACGTCAGCCTGCCGGCGGTGCTGGCCGAGAACGGTATCAACGCAGTGGTTAATATCACGCTGACCGATCATGAGAAGGAGCACTTACACAAATCCGCCAACGAGCTGCATGAATTGTTCAAGTCTGCCAACCTGTGAGGAGGAAAGATTGTTATGAGGATTGGCGTCAGGTTAAATTTGATATAGCCGGCATCTCGCGTTTTCATGTGTGGCTTTCCTGGATGTGCTCGAAGAATAATTTATTAAATTAATTGTGGTTGGGCTTTTGTGTGAATTGTGTCTTGTTAGTGACGGAGCGTCTTCTTGTTATTGTTAGTGATGGCTGCTCGTGTTTAAATAAGAATGCCGTATTATTGTCAGTCTGTTAATGTATTTGTGACGCGAAAGACTGACATTTCATTTACAATTAGCTTAAGAGTCTGATGTTATGGGGAAAGTTTTTCCATACTAATAATATGATTGTCAGGAGGACGTGCGCATTGTTTTCTAACAATGTGTTTTGTTAGAACAATTTTAATCGTAATGTATCTCAAAATAAATGAAATTACATCCTACTGTGACGTCGTTCTTTGCATAATGCTCGAAATTCGAATAAAGAATACGCTGTGACACTCAACAAGAAATCAATAAATGGCAGGGAACAGCTCAGATGAAAAACATTAAAGTCTAAAAAATGCTGAGTTAATGAGGAACTGCTCGTACAGTGTAAGGTGTATTAAAAGACGACCTTGGCAATTGTGACTTGTGAGCGGAAAATCGGCCAAAAACGAACACATATTGTACTCAAGAACTACAAAATAATTATATATATTCTGCGTGTGTATTGTGTACCTGTATCTATATTACTCGTACTTACGTATTGTGCGTGTCGCCGTGCCGGTGCTTGAAAACGTTAAACTATCACTAGCCATTTTTACGATACCAACCATCACCAGGAAATTGTCCTCATTAAAATCCAACTCTTCAAATTTAGTTGTAATAATTTCGCAAGAGGGGTATTTATCGACCCTTTTACTTCATGGCTCATGCCCAGTTGCCCAGTGCCCAGTGCCCACTAGTCTACTACATACATGCTGTATATGTGGCCGAATATTTTTATCAGTTTAGCATTCGCAGCCTCAGTACCAAAAACATATATTATATACGTTATCGGTAGTTTTTCTGTAAATAATATTCTGCCATGGTGCAACTACATACTTCACTTCAAAGACGGTAAAAGGTGTTTGCACTACGATAATACAAATTACAAAAATTCGTGCTGTTATTGCGGCTTACATTGTAACTGTGAACGTTATTAATTAGGCCAGCAAATTCATCCGCATGCATTAACAGTAAGTTGTTAATGGATATGACCCCCAAGTTATCTAAGTACAATAATTAGAGACATAACGTTTGACATGACATTAATTGAGACATACATATCTAAGTACAATAATCTGAGACATAATTTCTCGTATAAACTATGGAAACTGTTAATTTAAAGTGTGTAGTAACCTCTAATTATGCAGTTTTTACATCATGCAGCTTACCATGATGCACATAGCGCGCCAGTTTATGTCCAACTGATTAAGACCAAATAACAACAATCATACAACAACAATCATAACAAGGCACAAGTCCCAAACCAAATAATATAACTTCAGAATTAAGCGTTAAAATGCAAAAAATTGGGTAAAACCGTAAAAACAAGAATCTTAAACAAAAAGAACAAGATAAAAATACTTCATTTCGTTCCCACCCCAACAGCTGCCGTCGAAGCCAATAAAATGCCTTTATTGCGTAAAGATTTGATTACTGATCCAAATATTTTGGCAACGCGAAGGCATGCTGTAGCCGATGTATCCCGACGTTTGTCGATGATTACATAATCCATATGCATGTACGCCACTAATGGCTCTCCGGGATCATCGACAAAGACATTGTTTATTCATACCGATTCACCATAATGTATCGCCATGGCTCAACGACACGATATGGCGAACAACATAAAGCCCGCCCTTGGAAAATCCTGTCAAAGTGTCACTTAACCTTTGGAAAACTCTTCGACCCGGCATCCAGGTGGATGTATGGTTCTGTCTGTAAGCCGGTATGATGCGTCATACATCCATAAATCGATCTGAGCAGGTAATATAGCGCGGAATAAACTTTCTTAAGCTTGTATTTGATAATAATATTATTACGAATGCACCATAAAGTAGGCCAGGTACAGTACTACACTTTTACCTTTTACAGCGTACGTTTAACACTTGAAAAAATACTGTATGATTACCAGCATTCTGAATTCAGATGCACACATTCAAATGCACACACCATATCAAATTAACTTAGAATGGCTTTGTGGCTGATAAATCGGTTTGGATTATCCGCTTGCGGCAAATAAGTTCTGTTGTACTGTGCTTTAAGTTCTGCCACAAATATGGGCATGGAGCCAAAAGATTTTGGAGTGTTTCGGGACATATTTGTAAGTTCCGGTATATTAATTCGACAAATGGGCTAAGCACTCTTACAAGTTACAATCCCATGGTTTTGCTCTACTATCGCGAAGTAGATTTGCACAATTCGTATTAGCAAATTTTGTAATAGCGACCGCCTTTCCACGTGTCAAATCGGGTAAACTCGTAAGTAGTACTAAACGGATAAAGGTCATCGGATAAAGGTTCTCGGGAGTGTTCGCCCAGTTGCGTGACTTCACTAACAATGAAGCCGCCAGTTTAGTAAAGTAATACGTACAGTCAGACTTAAGAGAGTAAGTACTAATTTAGTAAGTTTGGTTGCAGAAAAAATTTGCCCAAGATGAACATGGGTCGATGACTTTTTGGTAATTTGTTGCAACAGCCCTTTTAACACTTCCTAATCTAATCTACCGCTGAATGGGAAACTAATAATTTTGCTTACTCCTTGTATTTTTGTAATTTTAGTCATCTTCTAACTCCTTTAACAGTGTGTTTAATTCTATATACAGCCCTGCCGGGCCAAGTTGGGGCAGTTTTTTCGAAAAATAACTACATGTCTGCCGTCAGTAAATAAATAAATATTTATTTTCAACTTTATTGCCGAAGGTGTTAGGCATCTTTTGGATTATAGGTCTCTTTGTTTAGAAGGTGCTTACAATCACAGTGAGGTGAAAACTAAAGTTGACCAACTTCAAAATACCACTAAACCCGTATGGAGTGACAGCTTCCCTCCCACTCATTATTTTTTTAAAAATTCCGTTGAAACCGTAGTCTAAAGGTGATAGACCAAAGTTGATCATCATTCAGTTCTCCTGTGGGAAGTGCTTGACAACAGGCGATTTCAGCCATAGCCTCTATGGCCTTTGCACTCCGTCGGCGAGCACCGTCAGAGTGAAGGGTGACCTTATCCTCGACCTCGCCGCGCAGCCGCAGAATGCCAGAGAGAGCCGTGTCCGATAAAATCTCGTTCCCAAAGCACTAAGCGTCAGCTCCATGTTTTCAATTCTTGTAAGAAGCCGAAGACACTCGTCTCCAACAAACTTCGCCAGCCATCTCAAGGTTTTGTTGCTACAGCTTTGCTGGTTTTTTCTTCCACAGTTCTGGCACTCCCAACTCCCCGCCTATGAGGCAGGAATTTCTCCGCGCATCAAAGTGGACTAACAGGACCCATGACTTACTCATAGAGAGTAATAGTTATAGGTCACCTCAATCTATGCGCTAGGCAACCACATTCCTCGTTAGGCCACTTTTAACATGCAAGTCTATGGGAGGTGTTCCTTGTTGTAAGGCTAAGTCAACAACCGATTGCTCAAGAATTTTGTTCTGACCCGTGACAAATACCTTATTGGTCACTCAACAGTTTGCAGAAAATCTCACGCAAAAATATCGATCGGTGAATTTGTTAGAGAGACAGTTGTAAGGATCCCTCAAAGGACTACTACCTCTCCCCCTAAATCAACCTTCGGCTCCCTACTGTCAAATCAAAAAACCCTGATTTTAGTGTTTTTGGATTGGCGATAAAAAGTTACACCGGAATAGTTTATACATAAAAACAAAGCAAATTATGGAAATATTTGCCAATTGTTTTACAAAAGTGCCCCAACTTGGCCCGGCAGGGCTGTATCTAGATCTACATACAGCGTACAGTCTGTAAGGTTCACTTGTAATAAAATTCTGCGGACGACACTCTCCTTCGGGATGCGGTGAGGGTATATAACGACATAAGTAAAGGTACGAGTATCGGAGTATGTAAAGTAAAGTATGTTTTCATGTTCCAACCTGTTTTGTATTTTGTCAACTTTACAAACATCCAGTTGTATACAAACCGAGTCATGCCCGTAAAACATCATAATAATTTACGTACAAATCGTAGAAAGCGTTTTTTTCTGATTTTCTATCGCGAAGATTTGTGGAAGTAGGAAGCTGAATGAATTCGATTTGATGCCAGAGTATAACGTAGGAGCTGTCTAATTGACGGATTGTAAGTGCTTGTACGAGTCTTTCACTCTTTCTAGTAAAATTGCGGGATCAGACTTACTTGAGCTGCATTCTCTACTCTCCAGAGAGCTGGTTATAAAAAGCAGAGCCATGGCAGCGACAGCGAAATCCTCCGTAGCTGACACTATTCAGTTTCGGGAACTGGCTGCACTATGCGACACATTGGCGAAGTTGCCCGTGAAGGAGAAGAAGCGCAGCACCCTCGCTCTGTTTCTCAAACGATGGCGAAACGAGTACGATCGTATCTATCCCAATCATCCGCAGCCACCCCCGGAGACGTTCTTTCCCTTTCTCCGTTTGCTGATGCCGTGGGCCGACAAGGAGCGACCCGTGTACGGGATCAAGGAGAACACGCTGGCCAGGTTGTACATCGAAGAACTGGGACTGACACCCAGTGGAGAACCGGCGCAGCAGTTACTGCACTGGAAGAAGAATAAACCCAGGGTAAGCGCGATCACCGTTTATGGCAGAGGGTAGTGAATTTGTGGTTGTTTATTAGCTTCCTTAGACTTTGGTTGCTGCATTTCAGCTTTCTGATATGATCGAATTCTGGACTATGCATTTATAAAATTTACAGGGTGTTCGAAATTTTTATGCGATTTTATAAATTAGCCAAGTTAGTTATAAATTGTTAGGCATTATTTAAGAATATAGTATGAAGGACGGCGAACCATAATAATTCTGCCATTGACCGACCGTTTTAATATCGGTGGAATGCAGTACGGTGGCTGCAAACTGCAAAGAACGTGACTTCCGAAAATCTCACACAATAAGTAGTTGATATATGTTTATATTGGAATGACTTGGTTTGCTTCGGATGTTAACCGTTGCAAATTTAAGATTTTGCTAATGCTAATTACTTTTTTTTTCTTGACTCTTGCGCATTGCACATTCTGGAGTATCACTTCTTAATATGATTGTCACAGAATGCCGGAAGTAAAGATGATGTGTCCGATTTTGCCGGAGTGGCTTATTATGTCCTGCAGAATCGTCTGCACAAAGAAGGAGAAATCAGTGTGGAAGCTGTAAATAATCACCTCAACAACATTGCGGAAGCGAATGCTATCGGCGGTCAGGAACGAAAAGGTAAAATGATTTACTATAAACTGAATTTTCCCGTGCGTTTATTTACTCTGCTATACCTGTTTTGATTAAATTTCCCGCACTTCAGATACGATAAAAATGTCTTTACATACATTGCTACGAAGAACGGATCCCTTGGAACAGAAATGGTTAATACGGATGATAATGAAGGATTTGAAGTTCGGAATGGGTGAAGATGCCATTTTGAATGTTTTCCATCCGGATGCCAAGGATCTGTACGATGTTACCAGCAGCATCTCCACGGTAATCGGTGAATGATTAAAAGATCTGGAATTATTTCTACGCTGTTGTATATTCCTGATAAATTCGCATTGGCAGAAATTACGTATATCCACCGCCCGTAACTAAAATGGACCATCCTTTATGCATTTTCGTAGGGTTTCAGCGCCGTTATTCAATATACGTATAGATTTGGCCGCTTAGTTTGTGTAAATTTATTAAACGACCATCGTTCGTTTGGGTTGATGCTCTGTCGTTATAACTACGGGCTGTGGACATATGTATAGTACTAACAGCAGGCGTCGCGCATTATAGTTATTTTCTGTTGAAATTAGGTTTGTACAAAATTGCACGATCCCACGCTTCGCCTAAGTGAAATTGAAGTGTCCCTCTTCGCTCCTGTGCGACCTATGCTGGCGGAAACATGGAATCCTGAAAAACTGCGAAGTGCGCTGAAAGGCGGAGTCTATTATGCGGAAATCAAGTATGACGGCGACCGCTGTCAGATCCATAAAAACGGAAAAGAATTTCGCTATTTTTCTCGAGGCGGAAACGACAATACAAACGTAAAGATGCTAAAGAAACTCCTAAATTGATTTTTGATTTATTTGATGCGATGGTTCAGTAAAAAATAGTGGGAAAGCTTGGAAAGTTTCTGTGTATGTACATGTACAGAGTATTTAAAAGCTTGCATTATCATTTATTCGTACCGGAACGAGACAATTTTGCAATAATATTTTGAATGAGTTGATATCGTTATTTTTGCCCACAACAGCAGCGGTTATGCCATATGATTTGTAGTAAAATGGAACCGACAGCGATTGTCTAAGTTCGGTTATGCTGCACAATTACGAGAAGCAAACAAAGTGTGGTAGCAAACAAAGTTGGTTAGATTTCGTGTGTGCTCTTTATTCAGTGATTTTATTATTGTATTTCAGGTTTTGGGATCATCGGCGTCTGAAGGTACATTGACGCAGCACATTGCTGACTGTTTTCGCCCAGATCTGGATAATTTCATTATCGATGGGGAAATTGTAGCGTACGGATTGAAGGTATTTTCAGATGTAATTGCACTGAATTTTCGTAACCGGTATATCGAACGATCGCTACAGGAAAAGTGCATCTGTACCAAAGCGGAAAGCTACTCGATAAAAAACCTTACGGGCGAGACTGGATATCAAGTGTGCTTCGTAGCCTTTGATGTGTTGCTCACCAATAATAAGGTCAGTACAGATCCGTATTCGTGATCCCTTGTCTTTTCGATATTGATATTTCATAACGTTAATTTTATACCTGTTTTTGTATTAAAGAAATAGAAGATTTATGGGAATAAATGCCGTGAACTACTCTCTGCAGCCGTGAACTTATCAGTTTTTTTTCGTGACAAGTCAAAAGTAAACTCTGTAAAATGTTTGCTTTACAAAGCAAGCATACAAATCGGATACAAATAGATCTTGTATCGGATACAAATTGGTCAGAATTGCATAAGTTACTTACGTTGCCCCAAAACTGTACTCAAGGGGTTGGCCCTTGAGTACAGTTTTGGTTGCCCACAGTGATGCCTTTCTTTACCACAATTTTCCTTGTTTGTGCTGAAGTTAGGCATACGGTTTGCTGCTTTGAAAACACTTAATAAGTCTTTCTTTTCACCGTGCGGTAACGCTTGAACGTTGTAGACAGTAACTGCCCTTCCTCTACGCCAACGTGTAGAAATATTGAAGGACATGTTCCAAGAGGACGAAGGACGCTTGTATTTAGCAAGGCGGAAAGAGGTGTCCACACCGTAGGTATTTTTAAGCTGGTTGTAAGCTGCTTTTGCCTTTAATTCTCGTTCGGTTTGCTTAAAAACTCCTGGTGATTATGTGTGACCTTTTCAGAGATGAATGTTATGAGTTTCTTAACGAAGCCATTGATCGGAACGAGGAGGGTATTATGCTAAAAGATCCCAGCTCCGTGTATAAGCCCAACGCACGGAGCGCTGGCTGGTGGAAAGTGAAGCCGGAGTATGTGGACAGCTTGTCCGATCAACTAGATGTACTGGTTGTCGGTGCTTATTACGGTACGGGACGCCGCAGTGCAGGGCCTTCGCATTTTCTGCTCGCTGTCGCGCAGGATCCTGAAACTCCCGGTGGGTCACAAATTCACATTGTTTTCACCTTTCCGATTTCGGTCAATTCCTCTAATGTTTCATTGTTTCGATTTCAGAGTTTTGATTGATTTATTTTTCATATATTATTTTTATTTTTTAAGTGTGTAGCATCAGTCATTACGTAGCATCAGGGATTCAAATTGGTACATTGGTCTAACTTTTTTCAGTTACGTACGTAGTTTACGGGTGGCTGCGCCTGCTAAAACATCATCTAGATGAAATACCCCTTCTAATTAACGCAGGAAGGAACAACTTTAAACTGTAATTATCGAAAAAAAATTCATTTGTATTTGTAACTTTATATTTTTATTGAGCGTCAGATAGTATTAACGGCAGTTAGAAAGTACTGGATCAAATTATTTTCAGGAACATGTGAAAAATTAGTTCGTTCTGTAGGCGAAAAGCCGACAAAGTTCCTCTCATTTTCCAAAGTGGGCAGCGGTTATACATACAAAGAACTGGATGAGATGGGCGCCCGATTGAATCCGCATTTCAAGAAATGGACGAAAACCAGTAAACCGGAATATCTACAATTGGCGCCAGGAGAGAAGAATCGAGCGGATTTATGGGTTGAACCGGAGAATTCTTTTATCGTGACGGTCAGTGCAGCGCAGGTGCTGGATTCGGATCAGTTTGCCACGAAATGCACATTGCGCTTCCCACGAATGAAGGAGCCACGTTATGATAAGCCATGGTATGTGTATTGTGCGTGAGAACTCCGTTTTTACTCCGATTTTGCTTGATTGGTGTAGCTTTATCTACGAACATACTTTTTCTGCTACTCAGCAGGCACGGTTGATTATTTGCTGTTTTGGACGGCAAGATTGAAGTTTTTGTTAAAATTAGGTACTTACAGTAACTGATCAGATTGTTGGATCGGTGAGTGCTTGTTGCACGCTGTGTGCGTAGTACGGTGGCTTTCATCCTTGTTTTCTGCTTTCAGAGAGAAAGCTGTTTATGGAGAATTTAGAGAAAGTGTTTATAGCATAAATTTGTGCTCGCTCGTGTCTTTTTCTTCCGTATTGGTGGTCTGCGATCTGGTCGTATTCCTTTAAAACTCGTATATTATTTGTCAGGTTCGAGTGTCTGACCGTTTCCCAACTCCAGAAACTGAAAGAAGAGACGAGTGGACGCTTGGGTGGTCGTAATATTACCGACGAGGATGTGGGCGATGGAGCAGGGAAGAAGCGTCCCCGTGTTAACAAAACAGTAATACGTCTAGCCGAACAATTCCGTCCAGCTGATCTCGCGGAAATTCAAGCGGAAAGCGGAATATTCACCGGCAAGTCCTTTTATGTTGCCGGTAAGTTAGCGTTGGGAGGTTTTTGTGAAAGGAAAAAACGAGGCGTATCTATCTTTTTTTGCACGCACGACATCGTACGGTATGTTTTTAGATGGAGATGAGCTACATAGTAAACAGGATCTCGAGCGGATTATTGCAGAGAACGGTGGTACCTGTGTACAGAGTCCCGATACAGGAACATTCTGTATCGTCTGTCGGAAACTGACCATACATGTGAGAAACGCAATCAGGCGGCTGCCTGTTGATGTTGTTTATCCTTCCTGGATTGTTCGATGTGTACAAGAAAAAAAGTTGTGTGTTTGGTAAGATTAATGCAGATTGTGTGTGCATCAGGTTTATCCTAATTTCGGTAGTGTTTTTGATTGTCGTACAGGCAAGCCAGTGATCTCTTGCATGCCAAACCCGCAACGAAGAATTTGATTAATTCAGCTTTCGACGACTGGGGTGATAGCTATACGGAAGATGTGACGGTGGAGCAAGTAGAAAATTTATTCACTACTCTTTTGGGAAAAGTAAGTACATGTCTGTAATCTAATTGTTTTAAATTTGTCGTGGCTTCTGTTGATAATTCTGCGCGTATTGTAACTGTCTCTTTCTAAGGAGTACAACCTGAGGTCGAACTTTTTAAACAGGTAGAGCCGATTGAAAGAGACGTCCTGGCGGAATTTGAGCAAGAATATTTTCCCGGTGTAAAATTGCCCGGAATTTTCCGTTTAATCAAGTAAATCACCTTTCTGCTTTCCCATAACCCTTCCATTCATCTATAAAATGCATATTGCAGTGCACACATCGACAAATTTCAAGAATTCAATGATGAAAGTACTCCCAGTGCGACGAAGACTATCCTTGGCGTTGCTGGAGATTTAATTGAGATTCTCGGTGGAGAAATCAGTGATGAGCTGTCTGGCAAGCACATCAGCCATGTTGTCGTTGCTGCTAACGGGTCAGTGAGCGAGGGAAATCGTCGATTAAAACATCTTCATTGCGTTTTGCTTGTTTGTAGATCTTCAGGAAGGTTAGAGAGGCTAAAGGCCGCTAATCACAGTCGAAAGAGAAAATTCCACATTGTTACGGAGAAATGGGTGTTTGACAGCATTTCTCGTGAAAAAATCCTGGATGAAAAGGGTTATGTCGTCCGTGATTATGTGCAGAGGCCGGCGCCCGTACAACAATCTGCCTTCGATGGCCTCTTTGATGTTTGATGTAATACAGTTTGTTTTACGTGCCCGGAGCAGTCTTATTGTTTTTTTTTCAGAAGTTTTCGCTGCACCCTACTAGTCTATGATTTTGTATTCCGTTCGAAATGCAGCTAAATTGAGTTTTAGGTTTTTTTGTGTGAATATACCAGATTTTTTAAGGTTTTTATTGAGTGAATGGCAGATGATACCACCATGTTCCAAGTAAATCTGTCAGATTGTTTTGAGTGCCTTTTGTAATAAAACAAGTCAATAATGCGGGCGGCTCGCCCCATATAAATCTACGTATGTATATACGCTCTACACAACGGGACTCGGCGCCGGCATTTTATTCCACTGATCAGAGGAGCTCCCTCTGCGCTAGCACAACCGACACCATATATACTGCCACAGCGCAGCGCAGCTGCGCAAAAATCAATGCTCTGACATCACACATCCAGATCGTTCTGGATACTTCCAGAGCGCACGTCAGTCATACACTGATCATGCGTACAGCGCGTGCACATGCATACAGCCTGTATGTGGGAGATATCCCACATACTTCCCCCTTTCTAAACCGACACGTATAACAGTAGTCACACATCAGAAGAAAAATCGATGACAGTAAAACACTGCAAGTTAAGGAAATATCTACGATTGCTCGCACATCCAGGAAACGCAGAGGGGTTATTGATTTTTGTAGAGAGTAGTTCTTGGAAAGCAGATCATCGTCACATGGGAATCCGTTTAAAAACAGGCAGGCATTTTCTTAGCAGTAGAAGCATTGCATCGTCAATGTTCCATTTCCCCACAGGCCGAACTGGCTACATAAGCTATCAGGCTACGAAAGCAACTCGGGCTACACAGGCTTAATCAAATCAATGGCTTCCATACTTCGTCAATGTCTGCATATGGGAAAATTCATAGGCTTCCTACATGTGGCTGCTTCATGTCCTGGCTTGCGGCAATTGTAACATGAACGTGCGTGAAAGCGATGGTGTTTCTTTGGTGTTTTCTGGGACGTGTTGACGTGTGAGTCTTGTCCTGGTATAGCATGTAGTTTGATCGCATTAAAATTATATGGGGTTGGGCATACAGCATGGATTTGTTGAACAGGAAAGAATAATCTTGGTCGTGAATAAGGTGGGATGGAATTCAGCTCAAAAGTCAGCTGTTGAACAAAGGTGTTGATGGAGTCAGGCAAATTAGCAAAAAATGTTGGTTTCAGCTGTTCTGGCAGATAGTCGAAGAGAAAAGATAATAAATCTTGAAACGTTGGATTAGGTGTGGTTGATTTCAAGTAGCAGTGGATTTCTTGTACGTATTGCTCAGGTGACAAAGATTTGGCATCCATGTTGATGGTCAAATGTTATGAAAGGTCACATTTATTCGTATAAATTTCTCAATTGATTTTAAGGTAATAGAGTTAAATAACAGTTCACTAAAATACGTTTAGTACATTTAGTAAAAGGTCAAGAAAAACGATGGAATTTCTGATCAGCATATGCAGGTGATGGAATTAGAATCATGCGTTGGTGAAATCCCGATGAAATATCGCGTTAGGTAGAATAACTACACACCGCAGAATGTATTCAGGCGGTAACAATCTTGTGTTGGCAGAATTCAGAAAAGATGGTGTAGATTCGTAATGGGCTCGTACTGGGGCGAGCCACCACACAAAAAAAACTTCAGATAAAAAATATGAAAGGTCAGAGGAAAATTGATGTTAACATAGATCTCAACCACGCTCTGCTACCAATTTGCGGGCGGCTCGCCCCATATAAATCTACGTATGTATATACGCTCTACACAACGGGACTCGGCGCCGGCATTTTATTCCACTGATCAGAGGAGCTCCCTCTGCGCTAGCACAACCGACACCATATATACTGCCACAGCGCAGCGCAGCTGCGCAAAAATCAATGCTCTGACATCACACATCCAGATCGTTCTGGATACTTCCAGAGCGCACGTCAGTCATACACTGATCATGCGTACAGCGCGTGCACATGCATACAGCCTGTATGTGGGAGATATCCCACAATAAGCTCAGGTTTTTATTGTGCTTTATGGCGGTTTTTTATGGCGCAGCTCTAGGCTTTGCTTTAGCAAGCCACTTTATAAAAACCGGATTTAAACCGCTGACTTTGGCGTATATTAACGGCAGTTCCCGAAGTTTGTTATTAGCGTACGGCTGCATGCCGTAGACTGCACAGCAGTATTGTGTCCAGTCATCTTCGAGAAACTTGCGTAAGTTCTTACGGATGTTGATATGCTTTACCACATGTTTTGTGCAACACTGATATTTTTCCGCTGTTTATAAGTTTTCGTCAGCATCAGTATATCGGATATTTGAAGTCGAGCTTGCTGTTATTACTTATAATTTGTACAATGTTCAGTCGACGTTGGTTATCGGTATCAGTGGTATTTGCTACAATATCATTGATAATCGCTCAGGGACGACAAACACCGTGTTTAACCGGTCGCGACGCGATTAGCGGGGATTGGAGGACAGACGCCCCGGGAGTATGCCGGCACATTACCGTAGCTGATCTGCCGGCTCCTTTTTCCACGAATTCCGTGGATAATGGTCCGCGGTTAGTCCGGCGTCCGCAGAATGCCTGGCCGAAAGTCCCACAGGGCTTCCAAGTGCAGGAATATGTCACGGGGTTGAATAATAATCGTTTGCTACGCACGGCGCCGAACGGGGATGTTTTTGTGGCGGAAAGCCAGCCGGGACAGATTCGGGTGATTCGTTATAATGACGGTGCAGTGCGGCCGGAAGTGATTAAAATCTTCGCTACCGGATTGGAGCAGCCGTTTGGGATTGCTTTTTATCCGCCGGGTAACGATCCACAGTGGATGTATGTGGCCAATACCGGCAGTGTGGTGAGATTTCCCTACAGGTAAGAAGGGTATGCGCTTTTACGTTTTGCTATCCGTTGTTCATATAAAAGCAATGCAACGTTTACACATTTTCGAGTCTTGAAATCATTACCGTGTAAAAAAATATTACTACATACCTGATTGATTACTCGTACAGGTATTATTAAATTTCACATTGCTTTTTGAATTGCATGTTACCAAAATCTTTCAGTACTCATTTTTATCACGTTGAAAATGCACTTTTAGAAATGGAGATTTGCAAGCCCGAGCCGCACCGCAGATGATCGTGCCGGATATTCCCAGCGGGGGGCGGTTACGCGGCGGTGGACATTGGACACGCGATATTGTTTTCTCGCAAGATGGTACCAAAATGTACGTTTCGGTGGGATCCCACTCCAACGTCTTCGAGAATCCCCGCGAAGACGAGACGAAGCGTGCGAATATCTTGGAATACAATCCTGACGGAACCGGTTTCCGGATTTACGCTTCCGGTATGGTACTGCACCTCTGTACATCGTAAATCTTTTGGTACTTATCTACTTTTGGTACTTTTGGTACTTATTTGTATCTTTTGGTACTTTTGGTACTATAAATCTTTTGGTACTTGTCTTACGTATTTAACGTCCATTTATCACAGGAAATAATAATAATAATAATATAATAATTTATAATAATTTTCTTTGTGAGTCTGTGACCAATAAAATTCGTTGTTGGCGCAATGTTTTCGTTGATTTATGTCAGGAAAGTTATTACTTCCTAAAGTAGTTCGCTTGATTTCTTCTGGTTTCTTATTCCTTTGAGGAAGACTGGCAGAAATATCAATAGCTGCAGGGTCGGCATGGATTAGTCATAGTTCAACACTTCAGACTACACTTACAAATCATTTTTTTGACATATTTTATTGTGGTTCTGATTTGTTACCATTATCAGGAGCGAAAGTTGGCCAATTTCCCATTGCAGCTCAACTACTGCGTACAGTTCAACTACTGCGTACACACGATACTCATGGAATGAACGTTTAATGCAAAGGATTTCGTGACAAATAAGTTCCGTAACACACGTACAAACGTATAAACACACGTATATTATCGAATCCTAGCTGTAAACTGCAACGTAAAGTATAACTGTACTCTGTATTAATCGTAAAAGCAGTTATAAAGGCGACGATAAATTTACTTATATCCTAACTGCTCTAAAGCGTTTTGTGCCATCTTAATGCAGGAATCCGCAACCCAGTCGGTATTGCTATTAGCCCGACCACCGGCGAACTGTGGACATCCGTTAACGAGCGCGACGAACTGGGTGACCTTCTGCCACCGGACTACATCACCCGTGTACAGAACAACGGTTTCTACGGCTGGCCGTGGTACTACATCGGTCCACATCAGGATCCCCGGCATGCCGGTAAACATCCCGAACTGCAGAACAGCGTCATCGTCCCGGATGTCCTCCTGCAGTCACATTCCGCCTCGCTGCAACTGACCTTCTACAACGGCACGATGTTCCCCAAGGAGTTTGTCGGCGACATCTTCGCCGCCGAGCACGGCTCCTGGAACCGCGCCCATCGGACCGGCTATAAGGTCATCCGGGTGCCGGTGCGCGGGGGCCAGCCGACCGGGGAGTATGAGGATTTTATGACCGGCATGGTGACTTCGGACGCCAATGTGTGGGGGCGGCCGGTGGGCGTGACTGTGGCGCGGGATGGGGCGCTGCTGGTGTCGGATGACGGGTCGGGGACGATCTGGAGGGTGTCATACACCCAGTAGACTAACTGCAGTACATACTGGTATAGTTGGTGCGATGACAAAAATTACCGGCAGACGTAAGATTCTGCGGCATTGTTACGCTCGGTGTCGCATACAACGATCTGGTTGGTCGGGCTTTTTTGCGTACTGACGACGATACTGTACCGTTTAAGATGGTGAAAGAAAGTTTCCACCCGGTAGCCGATTCTGTCAGATTGTGCTTCGAAGTGACTGCATGGTGCATGATAAAGTCATTAAATGGATGACGATGACGTTCAGTTATTATTTTATAGCGCGGTACTAGGAAAAATATTTGTTACGATTTTTCTCTTTTCTTTGTGACGGTACGAACGGTTTGGGTTAGATAACAAATAACGACAACGAAACAAGTCCCATAAATATCCCCCTTACGGAGCCAAAAAATTATTGCCTGCCGCAGAGCGCTGCAGTGCCGCCGCCTCGCTAAGGAGGGCGTTCGCCCCTGGTTAGCCAGTTTTCTGGACTGTCCAGATACGGGTTTGTCCCGAAAAACAATAGCGAAAAGTGTAAAATCCAAAAATCTATCTGAAAGTCCTCACCGGACTCGATAAAACCAAAGAAAGAAGCGAAAGGTACGGTATTAATTTGCTGCAGTGTAACTGCGAATAGCGATTGCTGAATAAACAGTTTTCAGCTTCAAGTAATGACCACTGTCCATCACAAAATGTAAATTGAAAGTTTAACCTGATACACACCAAACTCGCACACGTGCTCGTACAACCCATCGTGCTGGCTGTTTAATTTATATCAGTACAGTACTACTGGTGATCATATCAGTACCGATGGTAAAAGCCAGATAAAACCGCGATGGCGATGTGTGCAGCCTGATAAGAAACGGTGCAGGTCCTTCTGTTGTGCATAGCAATTTCCAATTTGCTGGCATCATTTCGTGCGATATCTTCTTTTCTTGGTTTCACACGAATCTTCGCACAATGTCAGCCTCGAACGGGAGTACAGAGCACGTCCCCGTGCTGGATTTCGGGATATACAATGAGGCCGATGGGCAGGTGAAACTAGGCGAGCAGATCGCACATGTGCTGAAAACGTCGGGCTTCATGTACGTTAAGAACCATGGAATCCCTCAGGAAACGGTACAGACTACGCAGACGCGATGGAGTAAGAGCCATGCTGGCAACGCAACTTTACGCTCTGTCTCTTTGTGGTGCAGATTGATAAAGTCTTCAACAGCTCCAAGAAGGTCTTCTCCCTGCCACCGGACATAAAAGCCAAGAAGCCTCGTTCGTCTAAATTCGAGCCCAGCTGTGGATATGTGGCCATGGGATCAGAAAAGTAAGTTTTGTACAAGATGCAAATTAAATACAAACGTTTTCTGTGTAAAAAAATTTTGCTAAGTTACGGGTTACCTATTGATACTTTTGTTTGCAGTAATAATAACTCTCATATTTTAAGTTCTTTTAACAAGTTTCAGTAAGCCTGAATTATGTACGTCTTATCGTCTTATGGTAACCATAAAGAATTTAACTTACTGGCTGCTTTTGTGCTTTGCGTCTGCAGTATAGAACTGGTAAAAACTGATACTGTAGCTCAAATTGCCGTAGCTTTTGATAATTTTTATTCGTTTTTAGAGAAGCGAGTTTTTACAGTGTGAGTAAGTGTGTTTTTGCTTTTTTTTTGTATAGGTTAGACGAAGCGCGAAGGGATGAAATTCGGGAAGCCTATAACTACATTCCCTATAACGACGAGGTACAACACTCCTTAAATAATATAATATTTTAAAGCTATATCTATATCGTAGTTTAACTGATAATGAACCAACCATAGTACGAATATTTATTTTTTTATTTGTCAACCATAGTACGAATATTTTATTCCGTATTCTGGTGTCTAAATGTTCAGCGTGACATGCAATGGTTACACTTTTCTGAGCAGCGCCTTCCAGAGGAAGTGCCCGAATTCGGACCGGCCTGCAAATCGCTGTTCTGGGAATCGTGGAATTTCTCCAAGAAACTTCTGGAGTGTCTGGCGCAGGGCTTGCATCAGCCGCGCAAAACCATTTTTGCCGATGATTCCCATCAGTATATCGGCCGACCGGGCAATTTCACCACGCTGCGCATCCACAATTACCCGGCACGCGACATGTCCAAAGCGGAAGCTGACCATTTGACGCGCTGTGGCGCCCACACGGATTACGGGTAAAACTGGCAAATTTACTATCGCCGCTATACTGTTGCACATTTTCCTAGTTTTTTTAAAATAATGATTGATCCTGAGCAGACGTTTTTGTGGTTAGTAAAGTTAAACATTACGAGATTTTCAGTGAATGCATGGGCTTTGTACTTAAGCTTTAATTTTTTCTGAATTAAGCATTCATTTTTGTTTTGGTATGTACGAGTATAAATTTGCCATTATATCTGTGTTGTTTGGTTTAGGTTTTTTTTAATCCTTTTATGTAGTGCAAGAGTGTCGTGTGCGTGACCGACGTACGCGTTTTGGATCGGTGTTTACGTTTTCCCTGCAGTACACTGATTTGCAGCGGTAATCGGGTTCTTGCATTTCGAAACTGGATTTGCATTCTTGAATGTATGTTGTAGGACTTTGACAGTGTTGTTCCAAGATGATGTTGGCGGACTGGAAGTGGAAACCACCCAGGGCGCCTTCATCCCGGCACCGCCTATCCCGGGCACCCTGGTGATTAATATTGGGGATATTATGCAGCGCTGGACGTGTGATAAACTCCGTTCAACGGTAATTTTTTCCAGTGGTGGACACTACAGTTTTGCGTCGTACTATAGTCACAAACATGTTGCGAGTGAAATCCTCCTTTGAATTTAGGTACACGCGGTGACCTTTAGTGAGCAGAATCGTCATCGTGACCGGCAGTCGATCGCCTTCTTCCTGCATCCGGATGACGCTTATATGGTAGAGTGCTTAGATGGCAGCACAAAGTATCCGCCCATCTCCGGCAAGAATTATCTCCAGGAGCGCATGTTCGCTTCCTTCACTAACTACTTCGGACAAGGCCAGAACGCCTAATTACAAGAAGCGAACTGCATGGCGCAAGAGATGTGTTGTTTGGTTCCTACCTGCTGGCTGCTGTCAGTGTGTTTCGCTTTACGATTTTCGACTTTTCTTGCAGCGAATGCAGAGCTCACGTTTTATTTAAAACTGAGATTAACTAAACAAACGTTAAAAGTTAAAACACGGGTTGACGTCTAAAATTGTGACTGTGAGTACATAATCAGCAGGTAGCCTTAGCGGGGCTGTGGTGTGTTTTCATTAGTTGTTCACAAAAACAATGAATAAATACTCACCTAAATAAATACTGCTATAAAACTATTTAGGTATTTATTATGTACGATTTTTACCGAATGTTGACAAGATTATAGAAACAAAAATAATTTCGACCCCGATAATTTCAGTTACCAGTAGAATGTTCTGATTCATTCCTTACGACGATACGAACGGTTTAACACTTCACTTTGTGAGCAAGCGGACGGTGACCTTGCACTACGATCATAATATTACGTAATTGATTAGTTAACGAAAATATGAAGCGTCCACTGTCCAGGAAGACGGAAACGGCTGATGGCGTCGGCAAAATTCTTTGAACAAACTGCTTGAAAATTTTAGAAGTATATCGTCCTTTGGCTGTATGTAGGAGGTATGTTGATACTACGCTTGTAGATTTGAAAAAATTCTCTGCAAGATCGATTACAAAAAGCGAAAACGAAAATATGTCCAGTAGAGGTACCCCTTGTCGAGCCACGTTAAAGTCGGCCTGCAGCAGAGCGCTGCAGTGCCACGGCCAATGGGGCGCTTGCGCCAAATTGCTGGCTATCCAGCTGATATAGGGGCTTTCCCCGTTTGAGGATTACCTCGTATGTTCAGATTGCCTGGAATTCCTGATATCAAACTGTAAATAAAACGTAAAATCCAAAAAATTCATAAGGTCCTCACCGGACTACAAAAAATCAAAGAAAGGGGCAAAATTTGATGGGACGGGAGGTTAAAACAAAGCAAGAAGTTTGATATCGTTCATACATTTACAGGTGTAAATATTGCATACAAATAAATATTGCATGTTGCCAGGTATAAATATGCAATATTTACAGGCGTATGTAAAGACTGCAGGATGGATATACTGTAACATGTAAGTTACTGCTGTGGTATACCCGACTCGTATGCAATGCAGCGCTGTTCTAATGTGATCGCCAACAATTAGTTAAAAAACCTTCATTACGGAATCGTTATTAGCGGTGGTTTGATAAGCGACAGCAATCTCCACAGGAATTCTTCAGGGACTTCCAGCCGACTTCTTGAGTTACTGTATATACATAATTTTACGTAGCGGGTCTTTCCTTTTTATATAGCATTTATTTTGAGTGCGCAGTGCTTGTAGATGCGCACAAAACCATAACGGTATAATAACTTCAATAAGTTGAACGCTATGCAGTTTGAGTCATGTCTTATCGGTACTACACGGTGGAAGATTGTTGTTTACCTTTTGACCAGAGAGCAAAAAGATCTCTTGTAGGAGCCACTTAAAACAATAGCCAATGTGAAGAGGTTCAACAGGTCACCCACCTGCTTTGTTACCGAATGTCTGTCACACATCGAGCGCCGCTGTGTATACGTAGCGTTGCGGCTACTTAAACCAGATACATATGTGATTAACGATAAGCTGTTTAATCGGAACTTGATACGGAATTGATAAACAAGTGTCTATCGGTGAAAACTTGTGGATGTGTAGATTTGCAACGAATTATGCATAATTACGTATTGTATGTGACTATGTGTGGTGTCCACCAACCGACGCGGAAGTGTTAACCAAACTGGATAGTCTGTTAAAAACGCTTTATGTAAACGTTTCATTTTCACACATGGGCGCAACCTCAAAACTGACACCGATAAACTCTATTATATTTTCTCTGTATAGTTCTGAGATTTAATGTTAATTACAAATAACTATAACACTGAACAATCCACCGAACAATTCAACCGTGTTAACAATTTTTGGTAACCGGATTATAGTTTTGACATACAAAAAATTAAAACATTTAATATAGAGCAAGAAATTAAGCTATGATTGGGTCACCATACGCGATTAATTTACAGCAATTCATACGAAACGATGGAATCAGTGGCATATCCGAATTAGATGCCAAGTTGATAATGGATATATAAATTATCAACAGTTGGCCGAAAAACAAAAATGTATGAGATCTTTAAAATTTTTTGGGTGAAATTTTATATCCTGTGACATTGCGCATATGCTGACAGTTTGTTCGAACCACCCTGTACCGCCGTCCACCACAGCCACTTTTGATGGTCATACCGTGAGTGAGTCACGGCGCAAATATCAAATATCACCCATTTCATATTATTTAGTACACAACAGTGGTCAGTGTCAACGAGCGAATGGGACTGGCTACACCACCGATTACTGCATACACCAGCCGTACGCATATCTCACGTATATAATATTGGATAGAGCGAAATATAAACTAAATTGCCTGACAAGTGTTTATCGATATATCCGGTCTTGATATTTAGCCTGACAATAAACAGTACACCGATACACATATATGTACAGGATCTAACTATACATTTCCGCATTTTTTTCTTGGCCTGCTGCCGCACACGTGGGTCAAGTGCGGAAATATGCGGCTAACACGCAGTATCCTGCGCGGATACTGTCTGGGATGGACACTGTTATTAGCCGTCCATGTGCCGCTGACACAATGGGATTATAAACGACTGCGCTTTGTGGAAGATAAGGGTCTTGTGAAAACCGGCTTCAGGAAAGGGGAGAAACTGGCTAAATTCAAGGATAAACAACGTTCCGCGGAGGTGAACCATTCCAGTGATAATCAGCTGGATAATTTTCTGGATTACGACCTCATTGAAGTATTTCGGGTATGTGACCTTTATGTTTCTTGTAGTGATTTTTGCTTTTGCAAATGTTTTTGTGTTGTTTATATCGTACTCGCGGTAAACTGACGTAGAAACGGATTTTCCCTTGAAATGTAGGAAAGGTTAACTGATTGTTGACGATGCTGTTGAATGTTGCTATCTTAAACGGTTTAAATTAAGCTACTTGATGATAGTCACTTGATTGACCTGTGTAGTGGGGGACTGCCTTGAATTAAACATTAACTGGGTTATTTTCAGGCAGAAGATGCTTGATGTTGTTAATTAAAACTTAATGCAGGACAAACATGTATTAAGAAATATGGGAAAGAACTGCTCTATCGAATATGTACGAGCTTATGTGCTCCGATTTCGTCGGTCTGGATTATTTTCCCCTGAAATCTAGGTGGTTTATTTTTAGTGCAATTTGAGATGTAAACTAAAATTAACCTGGCGACAGTAGGAATCGAGTGTCAGCGCACGGAGGCCTTACCGGCTGCAGATTATTGTGGCAGCCCCTATGCACCTTACCTCCAGGCTGTTTACACCTATGACCATAGGCGCTTTATAGATAGTAAAATTAATTTTGTAAAAGATATGGTTAAAAATAAATGCTTTTGGCCTCGCCTAGGTCAAGGAGCGGCAAATATCAAGATTACTTAATTAAAGTTTTTCTATGCCTTTGGCAGAGACATTACAGTATTTCTGGACAAAGGTTCAAATTTTTTTAACGAGCAGTAGATATTATTGGGAAAGAGAAACAAAATTTAGGTCTAATTTTGTAATCTGAACTAAGCACAACTCGTACAGGTACATCCATTCCCCCTTACATTCCCTTTTACTCTTTAATAATTTTTAGCCAAATCTATTTAGATCCAGTAGGCAGTTGTACATATAATTAGCGATTCCTTTGGTTTTCGTTCTAATCCTGAGCATATTATTCACGAGTGTTAAAAACTGAAATACGGTACACATTTTTCTTCGTTAGCACCATACTGTACAATATGCGAACACGAAACCGTTTCTCGAGTTCGTGTTTCCGAATTATTAGTTTTTTTACACTTTATCTAATTTAGTTGAGAATGTTTTTGTGACGAGTATAATAATAGTTAACACGATTGAAGACTCGAAAATATTGATATTCTTTGCTTAGTCGTACCACGGTGTAGTCGTACCATTATTTTATAAATGGTCTCATAAAATTAATTGTAAATCGATAAATGTATCGATTACAGACAGATGCGGTGGCCAGTGCGGAAGACGGCATGGGATTCTTGGCCGTGGGTGGCCGGCACTGTCCAGGAGAGTGTATTCGCGGCTTATCGGGTCTGTGTATCTGTCCGCCGGCAACCGCCGCGACGCCGCCGGCGAAGACGCCGGACAGCGCCGGCACGGCTCGTGTTGCTAATAAGACATCGAGCGACGTTACCACATCCGGCGGGGAGTCCTCGCCCACGGCAACTTCACCCCGGTCCGGTCGTCACAATAACCAGCTCGTCCATCTTGACGCCATGACCGACAGCCTGTCGGCGTCATCGATGACCACATCGCGCAATCGGCGCCGGTATAAGCGCGACGATGAAGATGAGGTAAACGTTTATATATACGCTCAAGTTATCGATGCCTTTCGATAGTCGTTCAGTATAAATCGCGATTAAAATGATAATAAAAGGTGACCGGAAACTGCACAATTATTCAGCTTCGCTAGTAATTTTGTTTTCAAATTTGCAGTTTCCTCTTTAAATAGAATATTACACTTTAATATTTAGAATATTAGTTTTGATATAAGAAAATAGAACATATATACGAGTATATTCAACCATATTCTGCAATGAAAAAACGGAGTAGCGTTTTGGAAACCAGCTTCATTGTTCGGGAACAGTGCTCTGGGTTTAGCCAAAATAATATATTGTGCAATTAGCCTAAATAATATATTGTCTTCCTGCGAGCTTTGATTATGGTTTTGATGTTTTAATAGTGTTTACAGTTTGCATAATTATTATACATGTCTTCACCTCTCACTGTATCTTTGCAGGAAGATCACAAGCTGTGTAAATGCCGGCGCTGTACGAAGCTGTTCAAACGCACTTTATACTGCCGGGTTTTTCCATGCTATCAGAAGAAATGTAAAAGCGGCGAATGGAGGGAACCGCATCATTAACCATCCACAAGCGGTTATCCAACCCGTCCCACTGGATTGTGGGATGTAATTTTAACTATTTTTATTTTTATACTGAGGTTTTTAATTAATATTTTGGACGTTGTACATGATTGTCGCCTGTGTAATTTTCCGCTGGATATAAACGACCCATTTGCCTCAACCGAACACTGCGTAGCTGATTTCGCTGCTGGGTAACCCTATGGAAAAGAAAAAACTGGGAACTCAAGGGACTTGAACCCTTAACCTTTCGATCTGGAGTCGAACGCGCTACCATTGCGCCAGAGCTCCTTTGTTCGATTACGTAATAATGACGCATGCAACAGACGTCACGCTTAGTCAGAACTGGCGGTTTTCTAGTGGTTAGTACTTTCTCATCAAAAAGGTCACAACGCGTTGTTCTCTAATTGCCGCCAAACCAACACCTTTGCAAATTGTTTACTGTAGCAGATGTTGTTAACCACCGGAAAGTGAAATAAATTGGAAATAAATAATTATAATCTACTGTGCAGAGTCTGGAAAGTAAAAGGTTGTCTTCCTGTAACAGTACGTGGGCGCACTATTGATACAGTTGAAAGTTTAATTTAGAACAAGAAATACAAATTACAATCTTTTGTATGTATATGAATTATGAATGTGTGATCTACTGTGATTATATTTTGTAAAATTATTAATAAATCAAAACCACCAATAATGACTCCATATACATACTCCATATAAAGACACTATACATGTGTTTGCATTGTGTTCTACGGCGTTCCTGTTAATGATTCCCACTGCTTGGAGCCAATTTTAACATTTTTTAAATGGCCGCTTATCACGACATTAGGAACATGTCAGTATGCTGCACATCACGCGAAAAACGGGCATCTATTCGCCACACCTAGGTCGGTATACAGGTAGCTGTGTATTGTACAATACGTATGAGAAATCTCGAATTTCTGCATTTTTAAAAATTTGCCACGTAATCGACTATCAATTAGCTGTGCCGCACACTACATAGTATTTGTGATAACCAATAGAGTAATTAATAACCTGGGTCCAGGTAGGTAGAATCGAGGTACGAATAATTAAGAAAACCTGTTAAACTGTGGAAACCCGTTTGTGCACATGCTCCCGGCCAACTGGCGAGGAGTACTTGGCAGTTTTCCCGTGTGTTCCTCATACAGCTGTTCCTCATACAGACAACTGCCTCTGCACATTCAGCAATGCTATAAATTCTGTCAAGACCATCTTTTCCTACCGGCAGCTACGTGTTCTGTTAATAATTAATTTCTGACAAGCTGCGCCTAATTACATAATTAAATTCACAGAATTATAAGCCTGGGTTATGCCAAGATTTTTCTTTGAACCTCATTCAGAAATTTTCAGGTAAACAGCTTACAGCGATATGTGCGTATGTTTCTCGCTCCGCGATATTCCACGTACACCGTTTTTAATTAAAGTAATAAATACTGCAGACTGCTGTGCCAAATTCTGTCCATTGTGCTATAAGGGTGGCTGTGTACAGATCGCGGCGAAAGAAAATAGAAAACAAAAAAATCATTAAGAATATTGACAATAAATGAGAAAATTAATGATATAGACGCTCTATGATCAATTAAACAGTCAGATGGTCAGTGAACGCCTCCGCGCAGCGCTGGCGCCGTCATATCCCCATCAAAGTCATCAGATCCTTCACCGAGCTGCCACCCTTGGCAACGGCCGCCCCGGCCACCGTCTGCAGGCGTTCCATGGCCTTCCGGTAGCGGTTCTCGTTCTCCTTATCCCCGTACACCGTCGTGATGGCGTCCCGCAGGAGGACTGCGGCGATGACCTTTGTGCTGTTCAACCCGGTCTCTTCCAGTTTTACGGCGGCCGCTTCCCGCTCCAGGAACTCCGCGTTCATGTATTGATCGGCGTACATCGGCCACGCCACCACGGGCACCCCGCTGCTGACCGCCTCCAGGGTGCTGTTCCAGCCGCAGTGCGATACAAACACCGCCGTGGCCGGATGCGCCAGTACCAGCTTCTGTGGCACCCACGGGAGCACTAAAAAGTGCCCGCCCGGTGCATCGAATTGGTGTTTAATCTTGCGTTGAATGTCGGCCGGGAGATGCTGGTGTTCACTCTCACGTAGTGACCAGATAAAGGGCACTTGCAGCGACAGCAGCGCCACCGCGATTTCTTTAGTCTGGTGGGCAGAGGCCAGCGAGAGTGTCCCAAAGGAGACGTAGATCAGTGTCTGGGTGTCGTGCTGATCCAGCCACGTCTGCACTTTCTGCGCTAAGGTCATACTGACCGGTGACCTTTTGCGGCCGCTCTTCAACGCGAACTGATCGCCTGGCGTCGTATCGTTCAGCAACGGCCCGACGTGATACGAAGGGACGTTATCAAATCGGGGATCGTTCGTGAAATCTAGCATCGCGTCGGCTTCGAATTCCCGAACGGAATTGTGGATGACCCCCGCAGCTAACGGCCATGTATGATTTAACTCGTACATCCAATTCAGACACTGCTCTTCCACGGCAAAGCCGATATCCGTATTCTCGTTGGCTTCACCGTTGTGAAAATCCTGCGACGTGCGGGCTTTCGTGGAGGGATTGATTTTCAGAATCCCGGTCATCAGTTTATCGCTGGCAGCGTTGAATACGTAGCACGGGATATTGCGCTCGTGACAGATCTTTAACGGTACATACATCATGGAATCCGTGATAACCATGCTTACCGGTTCCAGTCCACTGTCGTCTTTTCCGCCGGATCGGTTGGCCGGGTTAATCCCGTATAAAAGGTCACTCTGGGCCTGCTCCATGGATTTAACCAGGCCGGCCATTTGTTCCGGAGACACCAGACGGTCAAAGTTCTCGTTGACGCCGTCGTTTAATCCCAGCATTCGAATCGATTCACCGTAACCGTGCAGTAGTTCCCGCTCTTTGATATAGGTGACCTTTTGCTCGGAAACGCAGAATGTCACTAGGAAGTTGTTGCTCATCTTCTTGGCCAGTTCCAGCAGGGGAATAATATGCCCGAATGCCGGGAAGGCTATACACAAAACATGTTGAGTCATTTTGAAAAATTATACAGCCGCGCCAGCCGTTGTGGACTTGTTTCACCACACTAAGCGGAAATGGCAGAAAGGTCCCGTGTGTTTGTTGATTATTATTTGTAGCAAGAAAATTCTGTAGTTAAGCTGAAAACTGTGAATGAGTGGCGGTTTAAACGGCGTTTATATTTATATACCGCTGGTACCTAGTATAAGCACGCCAAAATTTATATTAACGAGAATTGTGTAGTTGTATTAGTATAACGTACCGATGGAGTCTATATATACGTATGAATGGAGAAATTGTCAATGAATCTTACCGGTTATTGATCTGATTGATTGGCTACATTGATAGAATGTGGCTTAAGGAAAAAACGTAATAATTAGAGGGAGTGGTATAACGTCGGCCAGACGAGCGTGAGTAAGCAGATACGCGGATAGGGTGTCAGTGGTGTATCCTGAAAAATTCCTGGTTTATGCCGGTGTTGTATGTGATGCATGAGCTGATTGACGGGTTGACGCTTTTTAGCCGTTTGGTGTAAAAATAAATGACGTTAAAATTTTAAACGGATCTTTCATTACTTATTTCGGCCGCAGCTGACAAACATAATATTAAAAAGTAGTGCATTCTTCTGAAGCTTCCGAAATATTCCCAATAAAACATATCAGATCCATTTATTCAGTCTGCCCCAACGAAATTAAGAGCAAAATTTATTTTCAGCGCCAGTTTTATTGATACTGTATTTTCCAATACCAGTATTTTTGAGGTACATTTTCTATCGGATTTACACCAATTAAAAATGAAAAAACTGCATTGTCAGAATAACAGTAATCTGTATTTTAATCATACGCAGAAGTGTAGGTCTGTACAAAATCGTTTTTGTCTATTGTTAGTTGTTTATAAAGTTGAGAGCTTTTAGTTGCACGAACGAGATTCTAAAAATCACCACAGGCGAAAAAACCTGTGTACATGATACCTCGTAAATAAACATGCATAATTATAAGCATTAGCAGACAAACAGTTTCATTCATAATAAATAGAAAATATTGTTGTTTTCGCTTTTCTTTTGTTATGTAACTGTCGAAAAAATTGGCGTTAGTGAACCGCGGTAGCAGTATTGCCGCAGGCCACATGAATTGCCAAAAAAGCCCCTGTCCAATTGCCCTCCCCATTGAGAAAACTGATGCTTCATCGCCAGCCTTTTCGTGATTTTCCTGCACTGGCGCTATTACTACGGTTTAATCCGTGCATACGCCTGGCGGAAGACCGCAGGCGAAAAATGCGGCTTCCGATTGTTACATACGCCGAATGTACTTTGACCTTGAGATCACGTGAGCATATACAGTGGGTCGCTCTGCTGGCAATATGTAATTCTTCAAGACTAATAACTGATTATGCCACAAGATTGATAGAAGTAATAATAATAAATTAAACTTATTAAAGTATATTTTACCTTACTTATGTGTACTCGTCTCCTTTACACTTTGCTCAAATTTTGCTCATAATTTCGTTTTAAAAATATTGTGCAGCTGCCAGATATATAAGCAGTCTATTTGATACTGATACAGCACACGGAATTAAATAACACACATATCACTTAAATGCTTCATTCACCTATTTAAAATTTAACTGTTTTTTTTGTCGTTTTTAGTATCAATAAGCCAGTTTCCATAAACGAACTGTTGCCAAAATTAAACCTGATTCCACACAGCAATCTCAACGTCTAAGTTCTTGAGTAATTTTATATAACTGATTATTGATTGTCTAAGATCTTTGCTCAACCTACTATGCTGAAAATATGGTTAGATAGTTTGCTGATACACTGTTCTTTTAATAAGGTCATCACTAAGAAAATAACCGTTACGACTGGATGCAGTAAGTATTACTCCATCGGCTAGGTGCAATGTAACGTATTAGTGAATTGCAATCCATCTACTGTAGAATTTATAATTCAAATGAATATGTAAATAAGTTTCCTAAAGGTCATGCGGCATGGCAATCCTATTGTGATTTACAGTATAATGGGTGCCATGGTCTGTCAAAGGCATACGAAACACGATAATATTCCTAAAGTTATTTTAAGATTGAATATTCGACTTTGTATAACCGATACGTCTGTATAATCTCCATTATGAAAAAAAACCAGTCTTTAATTAACTGTACACTGAGGCATCCGGCAGAAAGAACAACTGTAGGTGCGTTTAATGCGTTTACTTAACGCACTGCATACAAGTACGCAACGCTATACCGAACAATGGCGCGCCAGTGTAACGCATCATAATCTGACCACCCTAGATAAAAATTATTTATGCCTTTTCCAAAAAAGCACTTCTGGGTCTGGTGAATCAAATTTTGACAGCTATTGTACTCTTGTCAGATACACAATTGTACAGTCGGCATAGTCAATATTGCATCGGATCTTTCGCTTGCATCATTACACTAAACGTAAAAAACGAAGTTTTTGTGTCGAACACCTCTGCTCTTTGAATAAAGAAATTAATTCGCGACCGGATATGTTCAAAACAACAACTTCGTTATTTAAGTATAATTAGCGTAACAAACATTATACTGAACAAACTGCTAGTCCGTGAAACAGTGCAGTACAGAAACACATTAATTATGCGAAAGTAAAATACTATCGCATGCGTTCCGTGTTGTTGCAAGCTGCTAATCAATTCTAAGGGTTCGTGACACGGTATTATAATATTATTAGCAATATATCAGAAATTCAAAATGTCAACTCATCACTTAATAAAAAGTGCATTATTTTACATAGTTCTTATACAGTTAGTGGCCACTACGTGAACGTATAGAGGTTTTTTTAAAAAAATTTTTTTTTTTTAAAAAGGGAATACGCTACAATCATACAAAGTTTTTAGTTTTGCCGTCATACTTGCATTAAGAATTTTTATGAATAGTTTTATGGATTTAATAATACTAGTATTACGGATACAGAAATTACTCATTTTCGCTTTCGGTAGTTTCAGTATAAGTTTATAACGACTACATTTCACCCAAGTCCGTACGCTTATCGAAATATTTATAATAATTTATGCGGAAGAAGAAACGAAGTAGATTTACACTATTAAGAACGACATATACATAAAATAGTTAATAAAACTAATAAGTTATTTGTACACAAAATATGTGAAATTTCACTGCCTAACTATGATAAAGTGGGAAGTTATTAACATGTTACATGTATTCTGCACACAAAACGAAAACATTCACCGATCGGAAGCAGAAAAAGCAATGCACCATTAATTCATATGCCTTTTAACGACCGCAGTAGCTGCATTTTTTTGCCCGAGGAAGAATTTCCGCCGATTATTCATCAAAAGTCAACTTTTTCGCCGAAGTTTTCACCGCGGATGTAAGCGAGTAGTATATACAGTACTCGTAATTATTTTGTACGCACGCCAGGAAAGACAATACCCACACGGCCACAACAAACAAATTTCAGCTTTATAAGGAAATGTTTAATGAGCCCTACTTTTACAACATTATCATTACTCAAACCTTCACATAATGCATAAACAGTATCGAAGAATTCCATCACCCAAGCTTTTATCGGTATAAGACCACTATTTGTGTTCCCACAAAAAGCTTGTATAAAGTATAAACCACAAATGTTTCGTACGTGCAACACTTTTAAAGCGAAAGGGATTTTGCAAACCAACACAAAATCAGCAAACCGGCTTTTAATTTATGATAAACAGTAAATAACGTAACAACAATAAAATAAAATAGCAAAATAAACTTCAAATCCCATAAACCATGGAAATCACAAACTGAAATAATTTACTGAGCAATTATCGAAACCAGAAGCAACTACTTCTGGAAAATGGGAATTAGTTAACGAAACTCTGCAGACTATTAATCCAGATGCGCTTATTCTTCACTGCATAATTTCTGAATAAATTCCCATGAAAGCCACTCCATTCATTACCGCTGTCAAAAATGCCCACCGGGCGCCATATTCGTTTGCCCTTCTCATCTGCCCACGCATCCCGGTTATTTTGTGACGATACCTCTTCAAACAACCACACTGTGGAGACGTCGGGATATATTTTAAATGATTCCATCAGTTCGCTCTGGTTTCCGGTAACGATATTTATCGCTCCAGCTGGAACGCCAGCGGAACTCAAAACCTACACAAACACAACAAATCATTATCACACAACAATTAGTTTATTTTCTAATCATGCCAGATCATTGTGAAACACTTGTTAACAATAATTATTATGGAGGCTACTTAATTCTGGGCAAAAATTAGCAATTACAAACAATCACTAACAAACGGAAGAATTCCGCGTACAGACGGCAAAACAAAAGTGTACAAAACCGAAAACATTTTCGAAAACAGTAATTTCGAAAGTCGATACCAAAGAAAGACAACACGTTACTCACAATAAAGGGAAAAACAAATATATAGCGAAAACAAAAATGACAGCAGCAAACAATATTTTACCTTGAAAACATTAGCCTTGTACAACAAAAATAATGTATTTTTCAAAATAATTCATAGACGTACAGATACATAAAATGAAAAATCGTATTTTAAGCCAATCCACTAACCCTAAAAAGCAAAAATTCTGTACTATTTTCAGTAAATGTACATAAAATAACGACGCGGCAATTTCATTAAACATAAAAGTACTCTCAAGAAATAAACATAAAAAAAAAACAAGAAAACAGCATTAAAATGCTCTCAAAACTGTCCTTATTTCGGCACAATTTCACAGACCGCAGATTTTTGGAAGGGCGGCCCAATTTTCCTACTTGGCATGAACGTACCAACAATTTTAAAAAATTACTGTCAACGTGTCGACGCCAACAAAGCAACAGAAACCCCTGAAGAAATCGGACCAGCAAACAATTACCACGGCGCCACACAAGCACGGAGAAAACTGTAAACAACCGATAAATCATAGGCACAGCGCACCGCCCGTCACGGTAGCTTTCTAAGCAATAAAGAATCGTACAATTCCACACTACATAAAAAATTCGATCAATTAATCACGGGGTCATTCAGATTTCTTATCACACGACAGACAATTAGTGCTGCATTCCTAGAAAATTGTAAACTCACTCCACATGAGGGAAAACGTTTTCAAAGTATCGCGCAACGAAAAAACAGGTTAATGCATCAAAAAAATTAATAACATGTATCAATCACAATTAGATATTGATATCGCACTTAAAGAGCAACGTCAAAGAAAAAAGAGCTAAGCGAAAAATGATTGAGCAAGTATGATTTAGCAAAAAAATGTTACGAATAACCGGAAAAAGTAAAACAAAACGGACAGGGAAATGTGATTTATGATTCTGCGCATCTGCTATAGAGGTCACAAAATTTTTCAAATTGCGAGAAAAAAAAATTACCAGATAATTTTAAAAAAAATTTGTTTCGGAGCAGTGTCGCAACACAAGTCATGCAAACTTAATCAGAGCAAAAAACGGCATAAATAATGTTTAACTAGCTCTATGAGCCTTCCATGATTGACGTTAATGCGCGATAAATTATGCCTGAATTCGGAAACCACTCGAGATGAATTTCAAGTTCAAAACTAATTTACCAAAAAACTCGAAAAAATGTGCGTCTCGTGGTCTTCGTAATTCCTCCGTAAAAAAAAACAGTCCAAATCGGAAACAACGATGGTAATAATCAACAGGATTAAACCAGTAAAAAATAAACCACTTGCGCAAGTTAGCCCCGCATATATAAATTTTTACTCACCTGACAGAACTCCAAAGCGATCGCCGAAGAACGGAGCGCCGGCACAGCCACAACGCAGTTCCCATTTGCCACAGCAGTCCCGATAACTGTCGTCAAACTTATCAGCGGATGCTTTTCCGGCAACGCAACGCCAATTACACCGCAAGGATCCAGTAAGTACGTCACGGAAATTGTTTCATTTAGTTGCTACAAATATGATGACGACACTTACAATTATCAAACCGTACTTCGGAGTGCGTAAAAACCACACAACATTACCTACGTAAAAGTTTCGAAAATTTCTGGAAAAGTCATTTAACTGAAAAAAAATGCATAGTGCATACACGCAACAGCATGAAATGCATAGTGCATACACGCAACAGCATGAAAGGCATGCATGCCTGTCATAAATGTTTCAACTATAGGCCGTAAAGAATTAATGAGCAGTTTAATTCAGCAGCATCCATGTTCCATGTTTCAGAAAGTTCCAAAACGTGAAAGTACCACAAATCAATTAAATCATCTAAATTTATTGTATACAACGATCATAAACTAACGATCTGCTTTTAAATGATTTTTTGAGGAACACTGAATCAGGTGCTCCTAAACTATCGTTGTACTGTCTAACATCCTATTATATTAGTCACATTTGATTTTCTTTCAGAATTTTGTCATACAAAAATTTGTCATCAGAATAAACGACACATAAAACCAGAATTAATTTGTAATAAATAAATAACTATACATCCTGTCATGCAATGAAACTTATTAACTAAACAGTAACTTACAAGCTAGCTTCATTATACACGCACCATCACACGTTGCTAATTGCTTACCATACAGTATCCACCGCCTCGAGCACATTCATTTCCCAGTATTTTCAAGCGCTCTACTGTCGCATCGAATTCCCGTTGCGCATCATCCCCGTCAGGTGACAACGCTCGGAGCAATGTAAGGAAATCGTTGGCGCGCGCCACCATACCCTCCGCCAAGGTGATCAAAAGTTGCCCCCGGCTCACACCAGTGGTTTTACCCAGTCTGAAGTGCGCGAAAAAAGAAAGGTAAACCAGCCGACTCTGCGAGCGGTTGACAATTCCCCGAATTATTCATTCAGTTACGGAGCACGTGCACTTACGGGACTGCACCCGCTACAGCTATCTCGATGGCTGATTTGATGTCTTTACTGCTGCCAATCGGTGCTTCAAACTTCCCCAACTGACTGCGTGGGAAACTGATAGTCTGCATACTCCCGCTGTCGGCGCTCTTCAAACCGTTTCCGTAATAAAATTTTCCGTATTTTCTACGAAGTCAGTGGCGACGTTAAAGATTTTCAATAAACTATCCCGTGCTATTCGTATTTACAGTAAATACTACAGCAGATATTCAGCTCTATTGCGCTATAAGTAGGTTTATATTCAAATTTCAAATTATGTTTTTTAAAATTCAAAAATAAACAGTAAAACACAGACGTCTTGGACAACTGTAAATGCAAACTCCTCCATTAAATTCCAACTTTTACGAGAACAGCCCAAGACTGTAACTCTTCGCGAAATATGTATAAAAAATCACATGTAAATTATGTGTAAAACCACCTAAACATTAAAAAATTACCTTAAGGTCATAGCAGCTTCTTTATCTTGTTCCGCAACGGGTACGTTGGCGTCGGACTTCGTCCTCCATGACAGAAATTCATACAGTGCCTGAGAAAGAAACAGTACGCAATGAGAAAAACACCATCAAAATGCTAACAACCGAATGCAACAGGTGTCACCAGCCGAAATGGCATACAGTGTCATCATAGTTTTTTTATTACTTGTGTACCTCTCTGCCTCGCACTCCCCACCCACTGGCACCGCTCCCACCTTGCCCCACGCTGACATCATACACATGACAGCCATTGATCCACACCGTGGCGGCCCGCACCGCCTTGGCCAGCTCCATGGCTCCCGTTATGTTCTCCGCCCAAATACTTATACTATGCCCGAAGGGGCCGTTGTTGGTTAGACTAACCGCTTCTTTGAGGGTGCGAAAGGGCAGTAGCACTGCAGCCGGGCCGCGGTACTAAAAGAATTTTCACTAAATTTGTCGATTTGTAATGGGTGAAGGAAAATACATGTGCAAGTACATTTAACACTGATTGTCACAAGTGTCGCAGCGGAGTTGTACCTGGTCAGTTAGAAACACTGATGTTGTGCCGACATTGCTGACGATAACGGCCGGAAAGCTGACAAATTTATCGGTTGTTTTATCCAACGCCGGCATCTGACCCAGGAAAACAATCTGCAAGAATCACACTGAATAATCACAAAAGCACGGCACGCAATCGAATAAAAGTCAGTAAACAATAAAACCATTAAAATCCAATGAAAAACAGTACTGTAACATCTACGAAATCAAACCACATAACTCGTACGCTATGTAACAAATTTCAGAGTCAAACCACATAACTATGCGAAGCTGTGTAACAAATTTCAGAGCAGAGAGGGTAATAACATAAAGAATTTCGAGAGTGTTGCGCGTGTTTACGTTCTACGATACAGTATTCCATTACTATACTGCCTGAGAACAAAATTCAGGACACATCTTCCGACTTTTATACGTACCTCCGCTCCTTCGCTTTGGGCCTGCTTAACATGATCATTCAGTTTCTTCGCATTTGACGTATCCGTGCGCCAAGACCAGTCGGCAGATTTATCCAGCGGTGAGCCGAAACGGATCTGCTGGGCTCTGGCACGCACGGCATCCACAAATTTCTCATAAATCGACTCCTGTACAACGATCTTCGAAGGGCACGACTTAGACTGTCCGTTGTGGAATAAAACGGCATTAACAATGGAATTCGCAGCGCTGCTGACATCTGCCGTGTCGGCCACAATGGCTGCGGATCGACCATAGCCAGGGTAAATTATGTGTTTGTAACCGGGAAAAGATAACGATGACACCTGCAAGAATACCGAATTATCAGAGACTTACTTCCACCCGAAATAACCCAATTTTGTGAAGGGAAAGGTGAAAAACTAAAAGTGAAATAAAAACTGCGGTCGCTTTATATAATTATACAGCAATTCTTTAAAACATAACTTTCCATGAGTTGCAAAAACAAAACAAAAGCGTCTATGTAACCAAAAACAATTCCCAGCAGTGACAGCACACTAACCTCACGAAGGTGTAACAGAGACAAATCCAAAACGTCACCACTGCCTTTCCAATCTGCCAAAGTTTGTACGACGAGGAAATCGACGTTTTTGATGCTGTAAGTAACCCAAACCAGTTGTATAATTTCTAAAGCACAAATTTACACTGCAAAATTTCTGGAGCAATGCGGGAGAAAACAACAAAACCATAAAAGTTATGACTCTCTAACCCAGCTTGTGCCAAGCAGTCCATCAAGATTGTAACGCTGCGAGCAGTCTGAACCGGTGACACGAGTCTCACGCAATTTCCGGTTATTATCGCCGGGCACAATCGGTCTAATAACGCTGCTAGCGGTGAGTTCTGTGGAACCGCGATATCAACCGAACCTAGAAAAAGAGCAATAAAACGATTTAATGGTGCATGCCTACATGGAAAGGATTATATCCATTATTGTTCACAACTGGACGAAAGAAGGCAGTTAAAAACAACCAATGTACTAGTAAATCAAGCAGCAAATCCACATATGGAAATAAATCTGAGAAATTAAGTTATTAAATACTACCACAAAATCATTTTTCAAACCAAAACTTCGCAAAAGTAATCGACGAAAGTGGCGTTAAAAACTGTCGTAATAAGTACGATTTTAATAAACTGACAACTGAAACAACCACTGTAAAATGAGGCAACAAGCTCTATGGTAATAAATCTGAGAAAATAATTTTTCAGATATTTCCACAAAATCATTTCTTAAAACCAAACTCGATAAAAGTAACGGAAAATTGTGGCGCTAAAAAAATTGCCCTAATAAGCACAATTTTAATAAACTGACAACTGTGAAGTCCTACAACTGCAAAAGCTATAAAAATTATTCAACTACGACACCGGTGTTCTTAATTTCTTACCCACAGGATGCCAAGCATCTTTTTCGATAAGCAGTTCTTGAGCCGCAAGACTGAAAAACTGTAAAATCTTGGTGGCTGAGATGATATCGTGCTTTCCACATTCCGAGATATGCCGGCCACTGTCACCCGTCAACGCCAATCCGAACACTGTCTGGTTCTTCTGGATAATTTGCGCTAAACTATCGATAACACAACAACAAATGTGAATTAGTTACCACAAAAAACACAGACTGAATAAATCGCTTTACGCTAAAAATTCCGAGTGCGGGCACGGTACTGAACAAAAAAACGAGAACCAAATCACATAACAGTAAAAAATAAAATCTGTTTAAATCACGTTATGAAATCACGTTTCCTAGATTTTTGAGACAACTGCCACGAATAAGTTTTTTTCTGTTTTTCCTTACAGTAAGGATGCCAAATTTTTTAACCAGTTTTTTTAAACTTATTTGGCTCATTAATACATGTCTGAATCTATCTACAAATAACTACGCAGCAGTAAACTACGAAAAAGGATTTTTAATCAGCAAATCTGTTCTTCCTCTGATTATCTGTTGCATTTAAACAGTGCCACAATTAATGCTTTATACCTCGCAAGCTTTTTTACATCACAAAACTCCGCAACCTTCTTGCTCTCCGTTTGCGCCTTAGTATCAGTAATCGCAACCTGAACACCCGATATCCACGCTAAATCAACGAGGTTCTCCAACTGCACACGGTTTCCGCTGTCGACGCGCTGGCCCTCAACAACCGGCTGGATGAGGTTGTTTGTCGCGGAAAACCATGCCTAACATAGCGAGTGTCAATTGCCAATTCGCTATTGTAACAATTATTAGAAAAGGGGCAACTGCGTACCTTCAGAGGATCGGTGGATTCCATGGACGTGCTGTATGGTAGACCGTGCGCTTTAAAAAGAACCCCCACGTTCGCTGTGGATGTGCTACTGGCTCCAGCAGACATTATCTCATAATATGGCGTTAAGGCAAGCCGGGGATATATCTACGGAAAAGTATAATTTATTTGGGGTGTCAAATCAAAAGAGACCGATGATTTTCACGGAGGTAATTGTCCGTATCTACAGTGCGTGCGGACAGGCAGCAACGTAAACAGCTGTTTTGAACACTGTTTGGCGTTTGCCTATCTTGAGACTTGATGGCTAGTTGGCTAGCCTGCCAAACGGATACGGACGCCCATACTTCTTTCTCTACGAAATGCGCACTCTCCCCGGGGGTGCATTCATCAATACGGCTGTAGCCAAAAAAAACGGCTGGTGCAAACTCTGTAGGCCGCAGTGGGTACAGAGCTAAAATGAGTGAAAGCAGTTTTGAACTTTTGTTTGTTTTGTAACTTTTATTGCTAATATTGCGTAAACGTTTCTGTTTACATGGCTTAAACGTATTTGTTGTTTGTTTTGGGATTAAAACATCCTTGTTTTGCACTGCTGTGCGAGCATTTAGAAGTGCTTGGTAGTTCGTAATTTATCGGCTATCGCTAAGTACGCAGACCGCAGGCGCTTGTACTGCTTATTGCTTAAGTCTTCATCAGATCAATGGACTTTGATACCATTATTAGGAGTGGAATGAACAATGATTTACTTAGTTAAAATGTCGTTTCATTTGTATACAAAGCACGCTCATTATTCAGTTAAATTTCGTGAGATACAAGTACCTGAAGCCTAACAAGTAGTTGTGGCCATAAAGGATAGAAATGACTGTCACGTGAAAGTTAGTCGACGTTGTTTTAAACTTTTAATACGATAGATCGATAGGATCCCACATTGCTCCCTCCAAATATCAATGCAGAACTGGTACGGGTTATTTGCAGCTGTGCACTACAAATAATATTGTGCACTATCAAAATGATATTCCATGAGTTTTCGATTCATGCAAATTAACTGTAATCCGTACAAGGGCACATGATAATGTGTCATGTTGAATTATAGTTACCAAAGGAAAAAAACCACAAATACTACAACAAATACCAATACGTAACAAAACATGGTTAAAGCAACGCTGCTAAAACATATTCAACAAAAAAAGCAACAGCGAGATCTACGACGCTGCATCCTCCATGTACCACAATTTATCCAGCGTATCGGCAATCCTCGTCGCCTCTCGCAGCCCACTCAAAACGGCGCCATGCACCGTAGCGGGATAGTTTCGGATCGTATGCTCCCCGGCAAAGAACACCACCGGCTCCTCCTCATTGGGCAACGGTTCCGCCAACACATCGTAATTCGCACCCGACGCGCCGGGCCCGACACTACTATACGATCCACAACTCCACAGATCCTCGCCCCATTTCGTCACCACCGATTCGACCGGCTCCTCAATGTCATCCCCGAAGATCTTCTTCAACGTCGCTTGACAAGCTGCCACCACTTCCTCCTTACTGCAGCGCTCCTGCAGGGCAACGGCCGCTTCCCCGGCAATCAGCACCACCAGGGTGGGATGATCGTACAACGACCAGAAGAGGAAGAACTCCCCGCGCCGCTGCACATCCTCGTTGACGAAGCCGAAGAGGGCGCGTTTGGTCTGCCAGAATTTGGTCTTGTACGTCAGGATGACTTTGTTCAGTACGCCGTAGCCCATGGACTCAATCGCCCGGATCTTCTCATCGGGTAAGGATGGCAGGAAATGCACCACGCCTTTTAAACGTCCAATCGGTTCCGTGGTGTTGGCCATGGAGCGCTTTAGAACACCCAGAGGGACCGTGCAGAGCACGGCGGATACGCTGTCTCTCACCATTTTCTGGCAATGATGGAAATAGCTCACGCGACCCTTTCCGTTCTCCACTTCAATGGAGCACACACTGCAGTCGTACGACACCTGCAGACCGTTACACAGAGCATCCACGAGGTGAGATAGCCCCGCCGGCACGCTGAAATGTCCACCTGAGAATATTAAAAAGCGTTATATTACTTGAGCAAAATTTCAAAAACCGAATGAAATAAGTTCAACAGCATCAGGAATTATGTAGTGCGTCAAACTGTGCAAAGCGCTTTTTCGCTGGTTAAATGGATACCAAAACTCTGCACGTGCAGGCTCTACATACAGATATACAATTCCCGTATTAAAAATATATAGTACTATCAATTTTGCATACAAAACGTTAAAAAAATGCACTGGTAGTGTAAATACCAATGTGCGCTAACATTAACAATGTGCATATTTAAAAAGGTGCAGATTAAATGTTAGTGCATATTCAAGAATTTAGATGCGGTGTAACTTTTAAATCTTCACATGTCAGAACTTTTCTGAACCGAACATCAGTGTTCCTCAGCACCGAGAAATATGAATACACTATAAAGTGCCCTTTCAGCTGGTTAAACGAACCACAAAAACTCTGCAAGCTAATCATACCCGGTAGTTCATATTCATCGTCTTGATCCCAGTGCTGTAACGACAAACAGTCCAAATGATTGGCATTGGCGAATTCCAAATTAGCTTCATGCCATCCGATGATGGCGCGACCTTCGGTATCCAGATAGCGCGTCGGCGGCTGATTTTTGACGGCTAACTTGATCTTGCTGTCCAGCATTTTCAGCTTCTCATTGAGATCGGCCAGTTTGTCGGCGGTGATCAACATGTCCGACTGTGAAGTCCGGTAAGCCCACTGTGTTTCGCTGTTGTTAAGAGCGGTCATGGCCACCTTGGCCTTCATGTACTTCTCCTTGTCGGTGGTCAGTTTGGCCGTCAAGGTCTTTCGATCGCGGTAGAGCATCTTGAGCGTCTTGATAATATCTATCTGATTTTCCTTGTATTCACGTGCGCGACGCAGGCAGTCGAGCTCTTCGCGTTTTAGCATTAGAGTTAGACTTTCGCCGAGACTTGGGGGGATCTTTAGACTGCCGGGAGGAGCAGCTCGGCCGTTCTTGGATGCAGCGGAAAGAAGAGTGTTGAACTCCACTTCCAATACTTCGTCCTAATATGGACAAAACGTTTTGCTTATCACTTATCAGAGGTTGTAACAGCTGAATACCATTTCTACAGTGATCCTAATTAACTTCACAAACCTCCCCAAAAAGTATCCTAACAAAAAACTCTATCATCTGCGATTACACTCAACCAAAGCTATCCCAAGTGATAAACACTGATAACATATTTATTCAACAAACAACATCTAAACTAAAATCCTTTTGTCAGTCAAGAAAAGAACTTAAATATCAATTTCCTCCAGCGTTAAGTTCGTTCTGTTCTGCAATAACAATATAATACACAAAAGCAGATTTCTTACTGTGAACTTTGGTACAGGATTGCCCTGGCTGTTAAAAAGGGGGCATCTGGGGCCGATTCGTTCCAATTCCAGTCCCATCTGCTGATGTAACATGGTGTAAAGCGGATTGCCTTCCAAACCCGTGATGATCATCGCTCCCATTTCCGCTCGCGGCTCGGGACGGACCTTGGAGGCCGTCCACGTGTGCACCCGTCCGCCAGCTCGTGAGCGTCCCTCCAGTACGACGACATCGAAGCCCCACTGCTTCAGCTTACGGGCGGCTGTCAGTCCCGCGATCCCGGCACCCACCACGACGACAGCATGCCCGTAGTTGGCTTGTTTGCGGTATTTGTTCATGATAACAGGCCTAACCAAGCCATAGTTGATCACGCACATCCGGTCCAACAGCTGGAAAATAGAAATTCATATTTTTCACAGCAGGTGCAGGTACATCCAATCTCCAGCAGCATGGTCTACACTTCTACCGGCAGAAATTCTATAAAATGTGTTTACATGGTGTTAACACCTGTACCGTAAAAGCTCAAGCAGGAAAGTGCAACTTGTCATACTTTTCGAACAATCTCTGAATTTCTGAGGCAAAAAAATAACACCTACTGCATCATGCCGACATGCCCTAACCACCGATTCAAGGCTCATAAATTGTAAATTTATAACCAACAAACAACCATAAATTAACTGACCAATAAATTAATCAAGGGATTGGCCTACAATTTTTAACTGCACACTGATAACCTACCACTAGTATATTCTCCACACGGTGCCTCCACTCTTCGTCATCCTTCTTTGACGCGTATTCCTCCAGTTTCACCAGTTGCTCCAGCACGAAATCCGGTTCCAGGAGACGTTTGGAATTCTGATGCCACACTTGCAGCACCGCATTGCGCAGCTGCAGATAATGCTGCACCGCCTCCGCATCCGACGGCTGCACCTCGGGGAAGGCCTTACACTCCCGCGGGCTCATCTTGGCCGGATCCATCCGGCTGAGGACGGCCGCGTACTCGGGCGTATCCGCCACGGGAAGCACTGTCTCCGTCTGCTCGCTCTCCAGATCCTTAAGAATATTCACGGCATTCTGGTAGCGCTCGGCGGACGACGCGATCGGGGCTGTCCCGGTCGTCGTGGGTGATGGCGCTTTCACATCAGGATATTTACGATCCGGGTATTTGGTGCGGAAATCAGCGGATAAACGGCGAGTCTTCCAACCTGTAACCAATGTGACCAATACTACAGACCCGCTCGGAAAGAAGAGCAGAAGACCGAAAGTGTAAGCGGGGAAAATAAAAATTACTGGGTTTAAGCTAACACAGCGCGGTACGAGCAGATAAGATTTTAAAAAAATATTTATAATTTTAATTAAAGAATAAAATTTTTATGCGGAAAAAAGTTTTTTATAAGAATATTCAACAAAATACATAGATGTACTCGCGGTAGCTAGACCACGCTTTTGATACAGTACTGTACTTGAAAACGCCTATTCGTACGTGCCATTGCACTACGATAATTGCTCTGCACTGTGCAGCACTGCGGTCTTTCTTCCCGGACTGGCTTTTTACGGTGCCAAGAAATGAATTCATCAGCACAATGGTTACTAAGATTTACCTTCGTCGGTGCGGCTGGTGGAGTCTGTTTCGCTTCGCTTAGCGGAAGGTTTGACGGAGGTTGTTGTGGCTGTAGCTGCATTATCCACTGCGGCGGGCTTGGCTGATTCGCTGGGTCCCGGTTCTGTAGCTGCGCTGGCAGGAGCAACAACAGAAGACGATTCCGGAGTGGGTGTCATGCTTTTCGCTTTCTTCTCTTCTGCTATGGCGTTATTCATCTACAGATATGCTCGCACAGCGTAGTTAAATAATTCAATAACAATGAATGTTCTTCGCATAACCTTCGCAGCAAACAGACAGCAAACTATGCCCCTCTATCAGATTCCATTATCAAAAAATCTGCAACCGTTCACATAAAGCTAACACACACATTAAGCTTCAAATAAAAAATTGTGGCAACTTCGACTTCTCCAAATTATAAAAACACAACTGCAAGAACACTATTCGAAAAACAATTCGAATTTTCGAGGAGATGAAGCACTGAAACTGAAAGTGGAAACTGGAAAGACGGTTTGCACGCAAACGCCACCGCCATGCATATGGCAGCTGCAGTGCTGTACCGTGGTATTGGTAGTGATGGAAAAACTAAGCTAAACTAAATCCGGTTAAACTAAAAACTTGGTTAAAAGCGTTAGCCGCCTAAATCTGCTTGATTAAAATTTAGCCTAAATTTTCACTTTTAGTGACTAAAAGTGGTTTGTATTGGTTAACCAAAGTTAATGAAACTAATTTTATAAATAATTAAAATTTTTTCATTTGATTTTATTTTCATACGGTCAGAGCACGACTTACCAGTATCGGCATTTATGAACCATCCGTAAGACAAGCTAGAGCTAAAGTCTGAAGTCAAGTCAATCAAGTCACAATTACGAATTTCGCGCATTTAACCCGTTAAATTACCCGTTAATGTTATGGTAATGTTCGAGACAGTAAAACGGCCGTAAGGTTGATTGTAACGGTAACGTTAGGCAGAATGTACTGTCAAGCATACGCATAACGCTTGTTGCTGATGATAGCTGCGAGAACGCCTGAGATTATATACAGTTCTGTCAGTTCCGTGCTTGAGTGATATACGGTAATTTTGCCAGTTTCATTGGGGAAAAAAGAATAAAATTGGTTAACTGTTAACTTCTTAGTAGCTAAAATTGACTCGGCTTTAGTCAACAAAGTTCGACTAATGCTACCTACTAACATTGTTTTAGTTTTAGCCAGGTTAACCGACGTTAACCGACTAATTAGTCGGCTAATTTTAGTTTTTCCATCACTAGGTATTGGTACCGTACAAAACATTATTTTATCATTATTACAGTCGTGTCGACAGCGTCCACCGCCACTGGGGGACTCAGTACTAACGTTTGGACCACGGGCACGGAAAACAGGAACCCGGAAATCGAGAAAAGTTACGATTTCGATTTTTCTTTTTTTCCAGTATATTTTTAGTACTTCTTACTTTAATACCGTTTTGCGGTGTACAACTGCAGTCATGTCGCGAAATTTCACACCATATCCGGGCCGGATCACGACCATGGGTGAGGGTATGCGACATTTGTTTGTCAGTGGCGAAATGAGCGATGTTCAGTTCGCGGTGGGACGCGACTATGGCGCCGTGACGATCTTTCTCGCTCACAGGTGGGTTCTCAGTGTTATACCTGCCACTCTGCACCATCGCATCCGCTGCATTCATTCCTTGTTGATCGTCAATTATGTCGTGCAGGCTCCTTCTGAGTGTACGAAGCGCGGTGTTCCACACCATGTTTTATGGCAGTGGGCCACAGAACCGCGCAGCTCACATCGACATTCCTGAAATTCTTCCGGAGGCTTTCGCTAATATGCTCTGGTATGTCTCGTTCCCTATCTACTTCATTTTAATTTCGATTCGTACAATTTATTAATTTAAGTGAAATAAATTATGAAGATAAGATAAAATAAGCAGTATAAGCTGAGTTAGCTGACCGAAAACAAAAATAAATATTATTTCCCGAATATTGCTATCCACACTCACGGCAGCCGATTCTACGCGGTATACTGTAGGTGACAATGGATAAATTTTTTCAGTTATATCTATACCGATGCCGTGGACGGCTTAACTCAGGACAATGCCTTCCACACGCTGGCCTGCGCGGACAAGTATGATTTGCCACTGTTGATGGACATCTGCACTGACTTTGTCCTGACCGAGCTCAGTATCGGCAACTGCCTGGACATCTTGGATAATGTAGGTTTTCCTGGGGACTGTTGCTGCCTGGGTCTGCCATCGAGTAGATATTATTTATTAAGAGGTGTGTTGTGTGTAGGCGGTTTACTATGCTGTTATTGCGCCGAGCATCTTGGAGGAATGCTTATGCCTGATTGATGAGTCCGCGGAAATGGTCTGGCAATCGGAGCAGTTCTGCGCGATTGGACAGGAGGCGTTAGACCTGATTCTGCAGCGGGATTCGCTGACCGCCAACGAAGAGACCATTTTCGCGGCGGTTAACAGGTACACCTCTGTTATAAGGTGTGATATTTGGGACTGCTGCCAGGTTTTTTTAACAGGTGGGCTTTCAGCATGTGCAAGCAGCGGAACATGAAGGCTTCCGCCGCCAATCGCCGTGAAGTACTGGGCGCGACGCGGTTTCTAATTCGTTTCCCGCTCTTGACCGCTGCTAAGCTGCTTGATGGACCAGTCAAGGTGCGGCGTCTTCACGTTAATTTACAATCCATTTTCTACCTGCGTTATGTGACGATTTAATCAGCCCTTGGTTTGCCACAGCCGATAAGCTAAAAACAGCCGTTAGATCAGCTGAAACCTTAAGCTCAGTTATCTTTGAAATGTCTTCAGAGCGGTTTGTTGCTGCGATCGGAAGGATGGAACATCTTACATTACCAGCACGCTAAGCAGAAGCCACAGCTGCCGTTCCCTACGGATACCCGACAAAGTGAGCGTGCTACTGGCGTCAACTGAAAATGGTAGCCCGTGATATTGGCATTTCTTTTTTCTAGACGTGCGCGCTGAAGGTACCATAAATTATACGATCCCGGATTTGAGAGAACTCGAGGAGACGCTGACGTTTAGTGATCCCATAACAGTCCGGAAGCTGCTGTGGTGAGGGGATCGCCGTTGTTGGAAGGCTGACGTTAAACCATACATACGTATCCGATTTGCAGGCGCATCGCGGTAACTAAGTGGACTGACGCCGATGGAATTCCTGCCCTGGGCTTCTACCTGCATTGCGATGGCTGTCCTGAATCCGGGGATTGGAACTGTGAGGCAGCTGGCGAGTTGTACCTATTCCCATGGAAAACGGAAATTGCACCGATTGAGGAACGTATGTGTGTTCGCTATATTGCACAGTTATCATAGCTAAAAATATCTGGTATTGTGTGTTGAACGTTTTAAACTGTTGTAGCGGTATTCCATCTGTTCTGCCAGGATGACAATCAATGCGGAATATCACGTTTTATGGCACTGGAGGTAATTGTTTTTATGTGAATACGATCCTGCATTGCACATTGTTTGAAACTGGTTTTCCAGGATTTGCTGGATCCGACAAATGGATACGTCAACCCTGATGATTTTTCGTTGTATTTGCAAATTCATCTGACTGCTGACATGCCTACTGGAATTGAATAATTATTATGTGCGCCGCTGTTATTTGAATTACGAAAGAAGACCGGTCAGAGCATTGCACAAGTGTGTAATTCGACCCCTGCAGTATTTCAGTGAGGTGGATCTCTGTTCGTAATTTTGCGATTGATGTCCTGTGCCTGTTACTGTTCTGAATCTTTTCGAGTTCATAGTGTGATTATTTTTACCGGTTTAACATGTATGCCTTACAGTTTTTAAAATCTCCCTTTATATTTTGTCGTTTTTCTTCGAATTTCCCCGGATTCGGAAATATGAGATAAGCTCTTATTTTGATAGAACTCGGTCGAAATTCATCATGATATTGTATTCCGGAATAAAGTTTTGCATTTTGTACCCATGCGCTTGGTCTTTTAGTTCTTGCCGTTCATGCACGTGCGCAGATTTGTTTTAACTTGTCAGACTGGCAAGGCTTATTACATATATTTAATCTTTTCTAATTTGTTCAAAAGCGTTACTTACCATTCGCAGTAAATATCTATATATACCCTATAATTTCTGACACAACAATACTATATCATATATGTATGGCTTCCGCGGTGAAATTTTTTTATTATTTCTCAATGAAAAATGTATACCGTAGCTCGTTGATGATCGTAAATAGTTACAATTATACGAAAAAAGGATAACGATATTAGTAATTATTTCGCTTCTACCAAAACTCAGTAAGAATGATATACGACTCTAAAACACTTAAAACAAATTCGTTAGATCCTGTGCTAAGCAAAAAGTTCTACAATTTTCGTTAGAACACGAAGTATGACCGAGGCATAATACGAGTACGCACACTATACAGTAATGGTCATTGTACAGTACAAATGCCGAAAATAACTTAAATAAGTAGACAGTTGGCAAATAATTTACAAAGCATAATTCGCCTTAAGTATTATACCCTATAGAAAGTTTTCGTTTGTTGTTTTATCTGCTGTGCAGATTTCTGTGTCATTTGGAATTTGTTGTCATCTTGGTTTTACTCTGTCCGTGGATGCTATCGAATGGATAAACGTGGAAATTTTCCTGCAGCTGACGGTGAGTGGTATCGATCAGTGCCGCCTTTTCGTAAAACAACATAATTATCCTAGAGTAGCACCTACGAGTCTGAGGTTGTGAACAAGTGTGAAGTATTAAAATTGACTGTAGACACCTGTGCCGCTGCAGGCTGCGCCAAGATTTTCAATATTACTTTAGTAGGTGCCGTCACCGTGCCGACAAGATCATACTGCACATTCAGCATGAACCTCTACATTTAATATGCATATAAATATCTGGGAAGGTCTATTTACGATCACATCGGGTAATAACAGTCAGTAAAATCATGGTGCGCGTGCGCGTTGTAATAATGCACATTGTTGGCAGTATTGTCGGAGGATGGGTTCTCAGCAATGTTTTTTATGACTATGTACTTTTGTAAGTAAACTATCTAGGACATAAATTATACCTTCTCCTTTTAATCCGAGTTTCTCATTTCTTGATTTAAGCAAACTTTGTTATGGAATTCATGAGTTCATGTACATGTATGCTGTGTCATATATAAGTTGTAGTCAATATTGTACAGTCGGTACGCGGCGCATATTGGCCATCATTTGCATACATAGATATAAACTGATTCATCCGCAAAATTACTATGCTTCTGTAATTATAACTACTCGTCCGGGAATTTTTTTATAAGAGCAGCGTACTTCTGTAGCCCGTACTGGTATCCTGGCCAGGAACGACCGTACAAGCGCACCACACTGACCGACTGGCTACTGCCGGAAGCCGTGCTCTTAGTACGGCAAAAGGAAATCGCCACCAGCGAATTCGTATACGATGCCACTGATCACTGGTCACTTATCGGTCTATGCTCCGCGGCGGAATCTCTGGATATTTGTTCAGCATTTGGGATTCCGGAACTGTCTCACAACCGGAGTATTTCACGGCCGCGAAATTCTCGTGAGTCTCGCATCTTTATCTACTCTTAAAATATTTTTTATACTATATGTAACATTTACAAATCCCGTCGTGGAGTAGTAAATTTGTGCAGATAATACGAGTGCAACAGTAGAGGAGCTGTGCTTGTTCGGTTCTACTCTAATCCGTAGGCCTAGAATTCATGCATGTGTAGCCATATTTTGGCTTTAGCCGACCCATTACTGGGAACAATCAATCTAAATAATGTATCTATATATATATATAACGGGTTCCATAAGTATCTCATATCTGTAAACTGTAATGCGTAAAAAAATTACTGCAGTAGCTGAGACAGGTACGGTATACAGATACACTACCAGTCTGGTAAAAATGTCTTCCTTATGCGTTACCCAGCCAATGAACAAAAAAACTGCGAGTCGAGCTAATCGAGTTATACCAAAGAATATTTTAAGACAATATAAACTACAGAATCGAATGCTGTTGTTATTATTATTTTGTCGCTCTTATGTACAATTTTTACAAACTATTTTTTTGCTTTAGTTACAGCAAACTGTTAACATCAGCCGTGAAGCATAATATTGTATTGTACTACCTATAGAGCTTTTGTATTAATTTCTATGCTCCTGAATTAAATCGTGGGATAAATGCCTTTGATATTAACTGATATACGCAGAAACTTTTCTTCTTTGTGCTTTATTGGCATACAGTACTCGCACTGCATGAGTCGCACAGATATCCAGAGTACCTCCCCTCAACAAATTTATCTTTGCAACCAGCGATAAAAAAACTGATACCAAGAGTTGCGTATCAGACAACTCACGTCACAAGTCAGTTACTCGTATAATAAGACATGGTAGGTATCTCATACATAGTGCGCTCATACGCTCATACCTGGGAAGCGTCGAAATCCAAAAGTGCTTTAGAATGGTAAGCGCAATGGAATGGAATGGTCACATAGCTAATGGTAAGCGCAGCGCTGCGCCGATGTCGAAGTAGCCTTTTTGCATGTTTGCTTTTTTTTCTATAAATGGCTGCACGCATATACCGGCTACATTTTTTTTAGATCCTCGACGGAGAACCCACCTTACCTGTGGAAACCGGCTGCAACGGGGATGCACATGCCGCTGCATCACGGAATACGCAGTACGTGTACGGAACAGCGGTGCGTGATGCCGTAAAGGTCAACGCGTGGAAATTCAATACCGGCGTTGCACTTACGTCGCCGGTTGTTGTTATTGAAGATCGCTCTGCTTTTTGCCACGAGCGTCGAAGAGGCTACTTTTCCCTGGTAATGCGAACACTTTCAAATTAGGGATAATTTTGAAACATACGGGGTAGCATCTCGCATTTCTGCAGCTAAAATAATTCATTTTGAAATTCTGTAAATATACGTCAGCATTCTCATTATTTTGGAGAAGAATACACTGCGTTTTTATTACAGGTATATCCCGACCGTGTAGACTGCACTGTCGTTCTAAGCTCTGCTGGGACATCTCCACCGTCGAGCGATTTGCGACAAAGGGCCAAGCAGCGATTACGGCCCAGCTTTTTGGGGGGCCTTCGAGCAGGGTAGCGCAGTGGTTCTGGTTTTGGACAGTTGCAATTCGTTCTCAAATCTCATTTCGCACATTGTGATAGTGAATAGATTGTAAAGACTGCGATAGAGCATGGCTAGAATAAAATTTTGTTATTACACACAGTTCGAATCCACCACCAATGAATATCGTTCTACCAAACTCTTTTCGCTTACAGGCGTACTGTTACAGAGGAAATTATTGTATGTATCTATACAAAAACCACGGGTGATCCAGGAATTCAGTTTTTTCAGAGTTCAAACTAACCTTATATCCAGTCGAGAGTGAAATATCGCAAATAAAATGTTTATTACAGAACAGATCGAATAAGTACAGTAAGCGTATGAATATTTAATTTAATTGATAGCACATACGAAGCACTAATAAAATTTAATACTACCATCGTATGTCTGTTTAATGGAGGTCTACGAGTAGCTGGTATCTATCGAAAACCTAATTTGAATGTTGGAGATTGAAACTTATTTCGTTCTTTTATTCTGATGTCTACAGCTAACAAAGAAAGATAATCCCAGTCAGTTATACACATTATCAATTAGTGTGTGCCAAAGTAAATATTACAAAAAGAGTGAACATCGGCTAGTGTACAGTATTTTGTAACAAACTACTATTTATATATTTAGCCAAAAGCCGCGTTGAGCATCATGGCGTTCATAGGATCGACGGCCGCGGCTGCCGCCGCATGCGCATAGTGCCGGAAGTGTGGCAGCTGCATGGCCATTGATGGTGCCTGGTTGTACGGCACCGGTTCAGGAGCTTGCGCCGGCACGCCCATCCCGCCGCTGTTCATCATGGGGTTGGCTTGGACTGCGCCGTTGGCCCCGCCGGCGGCGGCATTGGCAGCCGGCGCGGCGGTGGTGGCTGCAGCCGGCGCTGCCGCACCGGCTATACATTCGGGACTGAAGACCAGGATATGCTCGGTGCGGATGTAGGGATGAGCAATGTGGGTGCAGCACAGACGGGTTTCTTCGCCCGTCAAGTCATACATGGCGGTGGCCCGCCCGCAAGCGTCCGGTTTGGCGAAGACGGAGGCGATGACGCCGGGCGGGGCGATGACCTTGTTATGCCTATAGACCAATACTGTTTCTATCGAATTTTATCTCCTCTGGCACTATCTATATTCCCTCCTGTATTAGTTTTACAAATACACACTACGTATAATATACGCATTACGCACTGTCAGGAGTAGGTGATGCCGAAAAAACCACTTACTCTTTGCATAAAACAGTGCCAACGGAAACCTCTTTTTCCGGCACTACGTTTTCCAGCCCACCTTCCTCAAATAAAACATTGCCGGTCAATTGGCGCTGCGCCTGTGATCGGCAGGCGTTATTGCACTGCTGAATGGCTGCCTGGCAATTTTGACCGTTAATCGTGGGATAGTGCAGTTTGAATAGGAGTTCACCGGGAGCGCCCATCTTGTTTATACGCACATCACAATAACATCTACAACATGGTATCCACTTATATAACTTTTATCTCAAAATGATCTGCCCGTGTATAACTGTTTTAATACCGCAAGGTACAATAAAACGCTATTTATAAAAGAATTAACTTAAACAAAGTTTCATGCTGCGTAACAACAATTTAAATTGAAAGGCCGCTTGGATGTCTTCGTACAAAGCTTGAACTTATAATGACGTATACTAGAGATACAGTTTGGCGAATTTCCAAATGGAATGCTAATACAACCTTACATCGAACCAATAGCACCGCTGGACCCGCCGCGATACGCATTGTAATTCGGGAGAAAATTCCCAAACGGATTGCTCGCTGCACCGGCCAAACCGAACTCCCCAGGCCCGGCGGCCCCCGCGCCGGGATCAGCGAAAGGATGCCCGCCGTAGGGATTGGCACCGGTCATCATCCCGGCCGCCGGATCACTGAACGGCACCCATGCCTCTGTCACCCGCATCCACAAACACCAACACAGTAGCCGCAACCAAGCGACCTTGGCCAGCAGCGCCACGGTCGGACAATAAGAAAACACTGATTTCATCCTGTACGATAGAGATTTCTTGGAGATAATTATTCTATCTGTCGCTCTAGCCCATTGCAGTCTATGAAAATGTAAAGGTCACCATTCACTGATACTAATAAATTTGTCCGTGCAGGCGAGGAAAATGTTAATCTGGAGCGCACTAACAGTGAAGCCAGACTGTCGATCGGCGTGATATGATATGAGCGGCCCTGGCGGTATGATTGGGGATGGAGTGCATCCATTCAGGAAGGAATAATTAATCGATGCAACTGATACCTGGGCTGTAACGCATCCGTTCGCTTGTTCACGGCCAAACTGTACCGGTTTATGATGAATAAAAGTGAACTTTTCAGAATGACATGATCACATTCCAAGCTGATATCTTTCGGCATTAAACAAATGTGATGAGACACGATACCTTGTCGCTCTGGTGGCACATTCACATCTTCTGTTGAGCATAATACAGAATTAAGTACGTACCTACTGGGTAGGAAGTACGGGTACTCGTATTATTATGTGATTGTATGTTTCTATCTACTATCTAGGAAGTGTTGTGTTCGGCCGGCCGGCCGGAAAGGATAAAGCAGCAGTCGAAAACAATTGTCGATCTTTTTCCCTGATAATCCAACGTTCCGTTTAGTTGCAAGCAAAAACGTTTCTTGTGAAACAATAAGTAATTATATATATAATTTTATTACATAATTATCATATCGAAGATGGTTTATCACTTCTTGATCCTCATTGAATTACTTGTGCGATTGCCTAGCTTCCGCCCTACGAAAGCCACGGTATACGAATTCCACTTTTCAAATACGAAAGAATGAACGCTCCAGCTTTTTATTGTGAAAAGTACTTACTTAAGGGTTTTTATTGTGAAGTCAGTAAATTGGGTTGTGAAGGTTTTTTTTTGTGAAGTCAGTAAATTCTGCTGATAACAAGATTTGGCGGTAGAAATTTTTATAATTTTGTAATATTTGTATGAATTCATTATAGAGTATAAACTTGCTGCGAGTGTCCGTAACCTACCTTTGAAGCGGTCGGCATTGTATTTGGTGATATGCATCAGAATTTATTATCGCATGGTCCAGTGCTTTGGATTTCCACAGATTGACAAAACCCATCCCATCCCATCCGATTTCCTTTCTTTTATTATTTGCGGCCCGGTTAGGACCAGTACGAGGATGATCAAACCTCGAGTTAAAGATTTTTTGGTATTTTACATTTCGTCGTTTGCTTAACCTGTTTCCAGGCACTGCTTTACGCTGCATGTTATGCTCTACTGCTTTCATACTCATACGTTCCAGCTGCGCCCGTACATACGTTACCATACGACGCTTTACTTTCCTATGCGTCAGTTGGAAGCTGCGCCCGTACATACGTTACCATACGACGCTTTACCTTCCTATGCGTCAGTTGGCAGCTGCGCCCGTACATACGTTACCATACGACGCTTTACCTTCCTATGCGTCCGTTGGGTCGCACCGATCGCGCAGTAAGATCGGTCTACCAATGATAAAGTGGAGGGGAAATCCAGGACTATGCCGGTCAATAATTACTCCAGGACCGTCTATTCTACAAGTTTTGTACAATATAATCGTTTCCCAAAGAAACTTTTCTATCACATTTTTATGTCCTCTAACAAAACAGATTAACTCAGGCATAATCAAATAAAGTAAATTCTAGGGTAGTTTTTGGGGATATAACTAAAAATCAACTGATGGGTTGCTACTGAATGACCCGCTACCAGCTATGTTTTGTGTTGTACGACACCAGCTGCCATAAGCTACTCGAGTAGGACTTTATAGTATTATGAGTTGTGTTATGTACTCGTATCTGTTATCCTGTTGTTTTCGTGTAGCGGAAACATGCTCAGTTAAGTAAGCGTAAACAACGTTCACAATTTAGCGTCCAAAGTTTAAAAACAGTGAGAGTAAAGTAATTTTGACAATCAGAGTACCGATGACGTGCACGACAGTTAGTCTTTAACTGTTTGCTCGGTAAAAAGCGTAAATTTTTTATAAAATAAATACAAAATGCATATAGATTATCATTAATTTTATGTTGCAGTCTATTGCTTATGCACACTGGTTCATCTGTACCCACAAAAGTCACAAATGGATTGTAAACGACAATACAGTCGGCATTTACTATTGCTGTTTAGCTGATGACTATCACTCTATCAGGCGGCATTATAACTTCGGTTCCGTTTTCGAGGCCAAGGTCTGTAATTGTTTCGCATAATACAGCCGCTTTCCCAGCAGATGACGCACGTTATGAAAATGTTCAGTGAAAATCACTGGCACTATTTTCAGAAACCTATCCTTTCGTCAATTCAGGTTTCTATGCAAAAATACCCGACCTACTCCTGCATAAAATAGTACTACGTACATTAAAGTGAATGAACTTGCATCGAATTATAAAATCAGAACACATACTTCCTTGAACGCACTCGTATATAAGCCGTGCAACTATAAACATTTTCTCATAGTCAAACTTAAACAGCGCCATCAGAACTAGCTCTGCACTTATATAATTGCCTTTCCACTTTATTTGTTTAATTAAGAAGTAAACGTTCTAATAAGTCGACCTAACATTATCGTTACCAAGTTAAAATGACGAAAGTACAGATTTGTTGTCTTAGTGTGGTGCTTTTATCAGTTTTGTCACTATCACTCCCAACCGACGCTCAAGTAGACACGGCCAGTGGATTAATTCAGTTTGGTAAATTCCTCAAAGACGTTGCTTATCCGGGACTGCGCGAGCTGCTGAGCGAACACAAAGCCTGGGAAGCATTCGGGATTCCCTGTACGTATCGCCGCGAAGCTGGTTTCCATCGTTTTCAGTGGAAGTACGACGGAACGATCAACTGCAGTGGACTGGGTGAATGGCGGAAGAGCGCGTGTAAGAGCCGGGGTTGTGCCTTTAAGGAGCCCATGAAGGACTATCTGCGCGCCCTGGCGGGACGAGGTGTGGCCACCAAGGAACAGCTTATCCAGCACATCCAGAGTTGCGACTGCGGTTTCAACGAGGGCGATAAGCAAGAGATGATTAGCAGCATTAACCAGGGTTAACCTCTGATGACCCTGCAGTTGTTTTCTGAACCATCCACCAGATAATGTGAGGATACTTCTATTGTGTTTATGCACCAGAATCATGCGGTTCGGTCAGTTGCTGGACACTTGCCCCTAATCATTTCCGCTTCATAATTCTTAATTTTGTATATTGTATCGATAACAGTACATAACATTGTTTACAGATAAACGGTTGACTAATTTTAATGTCCACGGCCGGTGTGCACTTTGTCCCTCATTCCTCAACACAGCCAAATAAGAACTGCAATGAGATTTGCGTAAACTTCCTTAAATTACCTATCAGTTTTGTACTACATTTATATAAGGAGTAGCATCCGTCAGACAAAACTCAGACTATGTATTAAAAATCAGTGTTTTTAGGCATAATACTGTATTAGTGCGTAATTAATGTGCATAAATTTGCGAGTATTTTTTCGTATGATTGCATTAGATGATTACAAGCCTATTACGTATAACATTATTCTAAAAGTAGGTGATTATAAATTACAATGTAATTAACATTAGAATATAAGTAACTGTTAGAACTTAGACCTACTTATAATATCGCATGATCTTACATACGGTGGGTTTGTGTCTTGTGATACGCAACACGCGTAAACAGACGTAGTAACAGCGGAAATTTCATGGGCAATAAAGTAGTTGTTCTGGAAATTCGGGAAACCTTACTGCGCAGCGCTCTATACATTGGCGGACGGAAATTTAACTACTGCATCCGTGTTTACTTTGCTGAAATTTCCGGAAAAACACCATGAACAAAAATTATCGCACCTATCGTTCTATTTGGAATACCGATCGGTAACAATAACTGATTGCAATAATTGTATCAGCTGGGTATTAGTAGTACAGGTAACGGAATTTACCAATATGGGCAAACGTGAATAAATAATTAGTGTTTATCTGAACAGAAAAAGACAAAGCGGCTCGTAAATAATTTTGTCCACGTTTTCTGCCTGTTTCATTTATTTTTGCGGCTGCTAAACAAAAGCAGCTCAGAAATAGCTTTACAGTTCAATGAGTTTATACGTCATAGGACAACATATGAAATTGTTTTCCCGGTGTTGACATTTTCCTTAACCAACAACATCACACCTCGCGATAAACGGGATTTCTAAGAGTTTTGTGACGCAATTTATATTTTATGGATGGCTTCGATATTCGACGATTAAAATATTTTGTGCCGAACTGCCGAAACCCGTATAAAAAGGCAGCTGCAGTCAGCTTGCCAAAATAAGTAACCGCTTAATACGTATTTGTTACACTATACTGAATACTGTACGCGCTGTTGTGCATTGTCAACTGACCATGAATCGTTACAGCCTGTATCTTTGCCTGCTCAGCGGTCTGTTGTTTGCGATTTCCACGCGATTCCAATCAGCAGACGCCCAGGATACTGCTGGGCTGATCCAGTTTGGACAATTCCTGCAAAACGTCGTGTATCCCGGTCTCCAGGAGCTGTTAGGCGAAAACAAAAGTTGGGAGACTTTTGGAATCGCTTGCAACTACCGTCGTAAAGGCGGGTTTTACAAGTGGCATTGGAGATACGAAGGAACCATCTCTTGTAAAGGCTTGGGAAAGTGGAAGAAGGACAAATGCAAGAGCCGCGGATGTGCCTTTAAGGAACCCATGAAACAGTACCTGACGGCGCTGGCCCGTGCCAACGTGGCCACCAAGGACCAGTTGATCCAGTACATCCAGCAGTGTGACTGCAAGTTCAGCGCCAGCGATAAGCAGGAAATGATCAACAGCATTAACCAGGCCTAGTTAAAATTAACCAATGCTGCTGCTGTATAGTATAGCGACGATACTGAGCGTGTGAACTTTTTTGTACAAAAGGTCAGGCTAGACGAATAGCGCTGGAAATGTTCGTTCCGTATGCAAACAATCAGCGATAGGTTTGCAATTTTAGTCTAGAAAATCATTTTATGTCCTACTCTGCGCAGGCTTTGAGTAGAATAAATACCGTATGTTATTTCGATGATTTAAATTTGTGTATTAAAATACAGTATGACGGTCTGAATGATTCCTACAAATTACAATCCACGAAAATGTTCGTGACCTTTTGTCGTATAACAATCGCTTCGAATTCGTTCATGTCGTGCGCAAACAAGCGACAGGAAAGAACAGGCATGTACAGATATGAATATCTACAACCTACTCGTACTCAATACTGAGAGTGCCGTTAACTAATCACATTTGCCGAGAACAACAACAGAAATACTTTTAATGGCGCGAATGACAAGAAAAATCAACTCCCTCAACATTAGTACAAATACAACGATCTCACGCTACAAACAACCGACAGTGTTATGGTTGTACAGTTGTACTCAGCGTTGTTGTATTTGTTGGCTTATACTTTCCTATCGGCATAATCTGCAGCGACCTTTCATGCAATATTGCGCGCATATTATTTCAGACAATTTCCGTTTGACTCACTCTGCCCTTTTACTGTATATCCAAATTCCGAATGAAAGCGATAGGTTATCCTTATCAGCCATGTCTAATCGTAAAGATTTGCTTCTTCATATCTTCTTCTTCATATCTCGTATCTTGATTAGATTCGCTTCTTAATAATATCTCTTTGCGTAAGCGCTTCTTCATATCTATGGTGTTAATCTTTGTGCACGTGCGAACATTAATGGTACGTAACACCATCTGCTACCAATTGTCATTTCTTTCATTTCTTTAGCTGACTTAATGAAATCATATCTTTGGCTTGAATTATATCAGGAGTAAACATATAAAACATTTGCTCTGTGAATTTAAAGGATAAGCGAAAGCTACACTCGAACCACGAGGCAACATAACAATAATTTTTTTATTTCCTTGTTGCGGTTAATTAAAATACTATAAATAGGAATCGCCAGAATGTCAGACCATGAGCAGGATTTGTTGGCGAATACTTATCCAGCCAGGAGAAAACCAATTCGGAAAATGGGTAAATAGCCAAGATACAATAAGATGGTGGACGTATCTGTTATACTCGGTTTCATTTCGTTGCTGTTGTCGGAAACCTGTTTTACAGGAACTACAGAGTACAACTGTACACAGAACTGAATTTTACTGAAAAAATGTTTTAACGATTTCCATTCACAGATACGCAGGATACGATAACGTTCTTCAAATTCCTAAAAGATGTTGCATATCCTGGTGTCAAGGAGTTGCTATCCGATAAGAAGAGCTGGAACGCATTCGGATATCCTTGCAGTTACAGTCGAACAGCCGGTTTTTACCGATGGCGTTGGCGATATGACGGAACCATTACGTGTAACGGCTTAGGAGAATGGAAGCAAACGGATTGTGCGAGCCGCGGATGTGCCTTTAAGGAACCCATGAAACAGTACTTGGCGGCTCTATCCCGCGCTAATGTGACCACCAAAGAGCAGCTGGTCCAGTACATCAGCCACCCTAACTGTAGGTTCAGCGACAATGATAAGCAGGAAATGGTTAACAGCATCCAACAAGCCTAGGACCGGCGTGCAGTTAGCGTTCTTGTAATACTCAGGAGTCAGAACAATACTTGAATTCGTAGCAGAATTTTCTCTGTTTGCATATATAGTATTGTTTTTCACGAGCATCAGTAGCATGTACTGGATCTAAGCTAATGAAGCCTTAAGATCTGTGACCTTTAATGCCATCAGTAATTGAAAAAAATATCAGTAAATATTCACAATCGCATTAATTCGTCACACGTACGTCATATAGGAATCGATAGCTCATCACTTTACTGGCATCTTCGTTAATCTGCATATGTGACCTTTAACGAAATGTGTTGCCGTTAATCGGATAGAGATTTGTCTTCACACGTATAATCGGTCTGTTTATAAATTACGGAATAGTGGAAATGATTGCGCTACAGTTGCATATGCAATCCACACTGATTGTGTGTACGTATCGATCGTATGACATGTACCCGGTTGACTCCACAGCATCGTGGTTCAGCTAGCTAATTTGTGGGTTTCTCGGCAGCTTCCAGTGCAGTAACTGTCATACCATGAGCGCACAAGAGTCACTCCCTATGAACGCTCAATGCATGCGGCGCAGAATATTACCGTACAACTCCCACATCCAGACGTCGGCTGCACGATGCGAACGAGAACTGCAAAAACACGATCGATATATGCCTTAACTGGGATGTACGTTATTCTACGAAAACGAGCGCAATGTGTTTCTTTACAATATTGTACATATGAAAACAAAATAGAGCATACCCAGAGTACTACTGAGAGTAGAGCTCGCTTGAACAACAAGACAATGCTATTAATCTCAATCAACCCTACATCCGAATCCGCAATCAAGCGGGCCTGTAGTTCCAACGGGCGCCAAAACCGTTTTGATCAACTCATCAAACAACTACCATTTTCTGTTATTATTAATTTTGCCGATTAATACACTTTTACTTACGGTCGACAATCGCGTTAACAACGATGCCAACCGTTATTTCCCGTAGTTCCTCGGTGGACGAGGGGATGACAACGCTAACCGTTAATGCCGCTGCGCCATCCGTATTCTCCCGTATATTCCATGATTATTATGCTCAGAAAATCCGAATATCAAGGCTCGACAAACCGCGACCCATCCTGCTGTCTTCGGGGTTAGGATTGCTGATTTTTGGATTGCTGCTGCTGATGATGGCTGGTGATCGGCGACACCACGGTAAGCAAAATACATAGGTGCACCTTATAATTAGTCGTAAACAGAAGACTGAGAAGAGATTGTTCAGAGTATGGTGACATGATTACTTTCATAACTTGCATCATTGCATGCGATTGTTAAAATTGCGGAGAGGTAATACTGGTGTTTAATTTTTTGTTAAATAATAAACGCTTATGTTTACTTTATTCTATATTTAAGCCACTCTGGTGCATTCCAAAACATATAAAGTTTTTGTTTATTAAATTATAATCACGCTGCAGTCTCAAGGTTGACAAATAGCGTACTAATAATAATAGTAAAGTGTTTGCTCATCTAGAATAACAGTTAATACTTTGGCTTTCAAACAGATTTAGATAATGCTGTAACTGCTCTGCTCACCTGCGGATGGTGCGCAATTACTGGTATCGTTGGTCTCTTTGCGGCTTGCTGGTGTCCCAGTGGCAAGGCTAATTTGGAATGTTACCACGACGTGGAAAAATGCCTGAAGAAAAGGGCTTTGCTGTTCTATCGCGCATACACTGGATGCTTGGCGGTCTTGGTACGAGAATTTGTACATCGTAGGACGCGTTTTGCTCATTTGCAAAAAGTGTATAATAATATTCTTTCACCAAAACGCTGCATTAGTTGTAACATTAAACAGGCAAATTATGCGTCAACTTTAAAAGCTTATTGCAATAAATAATTACCATGTTTCATGATATTTTTGCACATGTGTATATATACATACAGTCTGCACAGATACAATTTGCTACTTTTAAAAATACAATTTGCTCCTTATAAAACATGCACAATTGCATTGACTGTAGAATTAGTCAATTAGGTACTTATAATTATACCGTATCAACCGTATGGTTTAAATGGTTATTATAATCCATACTTCTATGGTTTAAATTTTTACTGCAATATTGAATTGTTAAGTTGTACTGTACTAGTGCTCGTAGACTAGTTTTATTTTTTTATTGTCATTATCCTTATGCTCTTGTAGATATGCTTCGCTCTGGCCTTGATTATCCATTCCGTTGTGGCCGGCATCCTGACGGTGTGGGATGCTCCGCGAGGTGAAGCGGAACTCTTCATCGTCTTCGGCATTATTTTACTGCTCAACTGTCCCATGTTTATCTGCATGGTGCTGGCGGATAAAGAGTCTTTTATCGAGTATCACAACAGAGAACACGGAGGCCATGAGGACGCCGAGGCACGAATCGGTCGGCCCATCCCGCACGCGGGAGCCCATAGCCTGCAAGCAGACACAGTATCCCTTCCACCGCAGTATTCCGATGAGCTCAGCCGCGGTCTGCTGCCCACATACGAGATGGCAGAATTGGAGGAGCCGCTGCTGTGCTCAACGCTGACAATACAGAACGGAAAAATGGTGGAGCTGCCACCATCGTATTCGCAGATTGTGGCATTCGGTCATAGTTCGTAGTGGCGAAGTATTGACCAGCGCAAAAAATTCTGCTGTATTATAGGGCGACCTTAAACCATTTGCACCATCTTCCATAGTAACGCCATTTTTCACCGACAATACTTATAATAGTCCTGTATAAGAATGACACCATGCAGCGCTCAAGAAAGGAATGTATAAAATGTTATTTTCTCACGCTATGTCCGAATCATGGGAAAGGTACATATGCCGGTCACCAACAGGTTGATTTAACCTGTATGTATTAATCTGCGTTAAGGACTACGGTGTTATGGTCGTCAATCAAAATTAAAGAATGCTCTAAAAATTACTCGGGAAAAATGTTATGAGCACTAGCCAAGTGCCGTACGCGTTTGTAACTAACTGTAACTAATTTTCCTCACATTAATGCCGTCGATGATGCTTCACTGCAAATAAAGTGTAAAAACTATTATTTATTATTATTATTATGATATGATCATTTTCTAATGCTCCGTTTTAGTACCTTTACAGATACGTAGCTGCCGGTTTAAGCTTATCAAAGCTTTAAATTCCTGATGTCTGATAACGATCAAAAGATCTGATAATGAAAGTCCGATAACATAGCACTATATACGTCAGTTCGAAAATATTCGTGGCGTAATTAAACTGCTAACAATTAATACCCTAGAAATTACACAACGAAGTAGAATAGCTATGGGTAGTGGAGTTGTAGCTAGCCGAGTGAACGAACCACTAAAAACCTTTGGAGTACGTTGTATCGTATAAAATTTAGATAAAATTCTACTGTATTGTACTAACATGTACTTACTCGTTAATAAGCAGGCATTGACGTATGACGACGATTAATCACTGTAATCAGAAGGTGATGATCGCGCTGATACTGCATGCAATTTTCAACGCCACCCGAAAGTTTTGCAAAAGATTTGCGTATGTTGGAATTGTAATTTTTCGCACTAAGAAATGTGCAAAACCGTGAATTGTATATTTTTTCGTGTGTACTGGTATTAAACTGATCACGAAAATGCTACCAAAAAGTTTAACAAATAGCGGAAATCGGCTATGTATTGACGCATATGCAGCTGCATCCACAATGAGGCGTTTTACTGCAGTGGCAGTATTTTTTATATGGTAATATATTTTGCAGTAGCTTTAAACGCCATTTGGCTTTAGTTTACAATACTGTGTTAACCAAAAGGAAAAACCGACAACCCATGCCCCGTTGATACAACAATTTTGCAAAACCTTTCCAAGATACGAGTAGTTACCACCGGAGCATGGATTTCTTTATCTGGCTTCTTGCTGGCTGTTTAGTGCTGATCGTGACGACAAGAAATATAGCGGGTAAGCTGCGTAACAATGCACGCTAGATGGCTTACAAACGCAAGTCTGCAATATTTTTTTCGAAATATACATTTATTTCAACGTAAATGTTAAAGCTATGTTTGCGAAATAGTGGGGCAGTCGCAAAACCTTTACATATATTGCACGTTATGGATAAGTCGCAGTGCCACACAATGCAAGTCTCAGCTAACCTTATTCCTGCGTACCTATTTATAATTTGATAGACTGACTTACAGTTAATTATTTCGTTTTTTGATTGTTTTTAGCAATGATCAACTTATCGATACCGGCTTTTACGATTCCATACGAGAACTCGCACTACGTCGAAATTTTCCCCTTGCCGGTTAACGCTGGCATAGCTGCACCACTGTTTTTTTACGGTCCTGCCGGTATTTTTCATTCCACTACTGTACAAACCATATTGAATCCCAGCGGATTGGCAGCATCATATTTTGTCAGCGTTAAGATTAAACTATGGGATGCGGAGTATATCGAAAACCTGCAGTCGTTTGTTATACGGCAAACCAGAAATCCCGAAGCATCAATATCTCCTGCACCATTCAAATGGATGCGTGTCGAGTACACGAACGACAACGGCCCTGTGAAACCGGCAAAAAGCCATTGGCAACCAATCAGAAACTTTCCCAAAATGGTTTCTCTTTCGCTTCACTGCGAAACACTGGAGCTGTGCGAGCGCATCAAGGAATTCATCCAGAAGAACACAGCGCACTTTGCATCGAGTATTCACCTGTCGTTCGCTTTCGATGACCCCGTCACACGAAAGATACATTTTTCTATCGATGCACAACATTCACCAATTGTCAACCAGCTAATGGAAGACTTCACTGCACGGGATTACATTTTTATGCAGGAAACCGATTACTACACGTTGCTGTATGATATCCTCATAAGCAATCTGGAGGAGCTAAAGGTCACGGATGAATTCGTTGACGACAATGAAATTAACTGCTGCATAAAAAGGTGAATACCGGCAATGCGGTATAACATGACTTCTACGGCACATTTTACGGAAGAAATGTGGAAAGGCACGTATTGGTCGGATCAAGGTCACCGGCCTGATATCCGTGCCCGGCACCTGGATGATCTGTTCAGTAACGGGAGAATGTGGCTGCAGAAGACGATGTGTGGCGATAACATCTCCGCCGAGATGAACCCATTCGGGCGGTCACAGTCGGTGGCCGAAGCCTTGGAAGAATTAAGGTCAGGGAAAAGCGGATTGCTGTTTGATGGCAGCAAGATCGTCATTCAACCGATGACCATGTACTGCATTGATATGAGGAAACTACGTCAGTCACAGGCACTGCGCAATGTTAGTATCCGACTAACGAAAAACAGTGTGGATTATATTGCAAATGTGCATGTGGTGCAAAACGTTCGCGACAATAACGAGATGGCGGCAACCGTTGGCTCAGTGGGTAACTGTATGGAGCCACCGAATCATTACGCATGGGGCGAGGTAAAGGTCATCGTGGGCAGCATTGGCTGTATGGTAGGTCAATTTACGATCGCAAGTGCAACCGTTTATATTGTAGATTAGGAATGTTGGCGGAAATTTATGTATCGTTGTGACTTCGACAAACCATAATGACCAGCTCGGGTTGGAATCGTGCGTAAAAGACGAAAACGATCAAAGGGGCGAGCAGGTTTGTGATTATTCTATCATCCACGTCGAAGTCCCCACGAACATCACAGTATTACCCATGGTCTACAGACAGGGTTTCTGAATAAAAAGCTTTTCGGCTTTTGTAGTTTTTCCTCTTGACATGGTACAAAGATATTCGTCCGCGTGGGCGTGCGGTGTGTTTCGACATTTCCTCGTACGACAATATGGCGCCCGTGATATTGTACGAATGTCGTCAATTACAGGGATATCAACAATGGAGATATATCCCCGTAAGTGTTTTCTAACGCCCCTTTACCATAAAACGGTATTAATAAGGGTCATCGCACGAAATTATTATGCATAAATTTTGTAATGCTGTAGCCAGGTACAGTAGCTTTCACTTCGTAGCTCCATGTGCGTGAAGAACTAAACCACACAAGAATATGTACAGATCTAGAGTACTGCACAGAACTTACGTGCAAAATAAGTGCTGGTACTGCTAAAAACGTTTCACTTGCAGGACACTAGAGCCCTAGTCCATTCGAATTCTGGAAAATGTTTAGACAGCTGTAATGATAGGAAAGCGATATTCATAAGCGATTGTGATGCATCGAAATCAAGTCAGCAATGGTTGTTTGAAAGTTACAATAACGCACTACTTTCCAAGCTGTAAGGTCAAAGACTAAAAGACTTTCCCCAAGAGCTGCGTGATTCTGGCATTAACTCATTTTCATTTTCAGAGGACGATTTCTCTTGAATGTGATTCGTAAAGATAATAAATCGCAGGCATCTGCTTGGTTTAAAACAAAATATGTAACAAAGATACGAAATAAATGTATTACTACAACAGTCAACAGATCAAATTATTATTACGCTCTGACGGCATTCTACGTCATCACAGAAACATCGATTTATGGAAACAAAGCAGAAATTACATTTCGCCAACTCTGGAACTACTACGCTCTGACCACGTTTTACGCATTAATCAATACATCATTACAGAAATAAAGATTTCGGGAAAAATAAAAACAGAAATATAAAACTAATCTCTCGGTTCTCTCCCAACGGGACACCTCACAGATCATCAACAATACTCGTTAAAAATTTGCTACCGGATACAAAGGCCGTGGAAGCTATAATCAAATTCACACCGAGCTTTCTGCTGAGCATACGCAGGCACGCCACTTCGGAATAACTGCAGCCACCGAGAAAGAACACCATAACATTACCATGACAATTCTCTGACTTGTTCGTTACTTCTTGAGTGTGCTGGAAGTAATGAAAATTTCTGGCGCTTTCCGCAAATCCCGGCAGTTTGTCCACTAATAACACCTGTAAGCCCAGACAAACGATGGTGAACCGGAATTCGGAAGAATTCAAAAAGAATGCGAAAGGGTTGGCATCTCCAAAACGTTACCTGTTCGACTAAACGACAACTTAGCGGCACATAGGCACCGTTGAAAACATAGTCCACATCCTGTGGATTACGGATATCACAGTCGCCGCTACGGGACGGCAAGAGCTGAAGATTCTTGGCCACCGCGCCGAACCGGCTCTTTCGGATGCCCACTTTAGACAAATTCACGGACGCAGACGCGCTCAACTCCGATATTAATCCAGCCCGTTTCAGGTTGTGCCATGTCAACATGTGTTGGTAACCGTAACTCTGGAAAGTAAAAAAAACAATTTCAAAGTCAAGTTATGGACGTTCGGGGCGAGCGATTCAGTTACGATAAATTTAAATTTTAAGCACAGCCCAAGCAAGAATTTAACAATACGCATAATGCAAATAAATTACTTTTACGGTTACATCTCTAATCGCTTAAAAACCATAAGTAATGATAAAGCTTCAAAACGTCCCTTAAAAACCAGGTTAGCTGTCCGTGTCATTCAAGTCAGAGATTTGCAAATTGTATGCAATCGAATCATAATCGACCGATGTTGAAAAATCGAAACAATAACACGTACCCCGTTGTACTTGTATAGTTGTATTTAATACGGTTTTTAATAAGGTACGGCACTCTTAAAATTACTATGCCGCAAATTATTCATACCGACACTGACTGGGAAGAAGAACATGCAGTAGAGATACCTGGAGAAATTGATCTTTCCATTGCGTAAACATCCGACTGGGAATCCCACCCCATGTAAGGGAATAGAGGCACAAAAGTCGCACAACATCCACAATGGGATAACACCGCATCATTGACTCTTCAATGAACTGCTGGCAGATTTTCGGGTCAACAGCTTGAACGAGATTGTGCTCTGAGCGCAGTTGGCGTTCGAAATCCACTACGGTTTTGTGCTGCATTATGGACTCGCACGCGGCAATATGCAGACCCAGAGAACGATGCTGCGAACTGCTGCCTTTCAAACTGGACAACAAAAACACATTTGAATTCCATAATATTCCACCATATCGGCATATTGCCATCGTGGTTCAAGTTCTGATACGTATTGAACAACTCACTGCTTGGAAACGAATGTTTTCATATCACTGACAGTCTTGAGATCATTCTTTTGATTGTACACAGCTTGAATTTCTTTGGCTTTGGCGCTTAGTCGCGCAAACACAGCAGCGAAATGCCGATCCCGAATGTCACGGAAGATCTCGTCTTGGTCATTGAGAATCCACTTCACTGATTTGGCTTGACCGGTGATGGCAGGCTCGAAATCTACCGTACCACTAAAATCCGAAAAAAAACATACTTTGTACCAATGCACTATTAGTTAAATGGTAAAAAGTGGGTTACACAAAGCCACGTCGTTACAAAATTTATGCAACGTAATCTGTAGTGAATAACTCCAATAGGAAAAAATAGGCAATCGTATGCTGCAGACGAAAATACACTTGCGCACAAGCGCAATCAAAGCCAATCAAGTTTGCGATCATTATTACATGACTTTGAAATCATTATCAGGTTCGCCCTGTGTGCAGTACGCACTGAACATGATAGACACCTACTGCTTTACACGGCATCAATAATCAAATAAAGAAAAGCCTCTTCGGGAAAAAGGAAGTTAAGAAATGCTGATTAAACAGGAACACGCCACTGACTTTTCGCTACGCGTTTCCAAAAAATAAAATGCGACCGAGCTGAAGGTTTTTACCTGGATATCCCAAAATGTTCATCTAATAATCCTTCGTATGTCAATGGCGACAATAGGGCGGATACATAATCCACATCCCGGTCAATCATAATCAAGGTGGACACTTCCGACGGAATGCGATTATAATCGCCTATCTGCTGTTCCTCCTGATGCTTCTGTTTGATGCCGAAAATTATATTCGCACAACGTCCAAAGGTATGCACCACCTGACATTTTCCAAATAAACTTTCAAAAGTCACCAAGGTGCGGGCGACATTGGAGAGAAACTGGAAGTTATTGTCCTGCAACATTACACTCCATGAAACAATTTTCGAAACGCTAAAACAGGATAAAATCCAAGGAAATATTTTGCAGCAGTTGTAATACATATAATTAATGATCACATGCAAAAATCACGAAAAGTTAAACAGTTCTCGGTTTCCTTGCCGTTGCCTGCTTACAACAAAGAATTCCCGGAAAAATCTGGGATATTCCATGGAAATAATATTGTCATCCAACGCCAATAATTCCAGCGGGAATTCGTCAAAGACAACGCGACTGTATACGCCAGCCATTTCCAGAATTTTCTCACAGATTCCCGATCGTTTCGGCACCATAACCAAACGGTAAAAACGTTCTTTATGGGCGCGTTGATCGGCCTGGATGTGCTCCGCAATGAGACCACTGTTTTCCACGGTGGGTCGGAATAAATACAACCGGTTGTCAGCACCTTGCAATAAATGACCGCTCTCCAATTTGTAAATGCATGATACTCCATGTTGCTGAGAAAGAAACACTTTTTCAATAGCCGACTAAGCCTAGTAAGACCTAATAGCCAGTGCTAGTTACAGATGTCACCATAGAAAAAATAATAAATCATAAAGTCGATGATAAAGATAAAAAATTTGATGACTTCCAACCATCTTTATGAAGTGGCACTTAAAAAAAATCAGTTTCCTAGTGCAGGAAATACATGGCGAAACATCACCGAAATTTTGAAGTACTTACTATGGTGACTGGTACTTATAAGTTATAGTTTATCAATACATACTACGGTCTACCTTCAGAACTGATGCTCCAACAATGCGATCCAGAGGACGCATTAAATCATCGTCCAGCACCAGATCTTTCGGCTCCGGAACCTGCACAGTAACGATGCACAAGATCACCAAGGATACACCCTGTATCAGCTCTACAGTTATTTAAGATTCTGTTTAAGCTTACCGATTCTAACAAATGAATCAGCTGGTTCTTTGCCACCGCCTTAAAAACCGAAAAATCGGGATAAGGCACTGATGGCGCATCTTGCTGGGCTGCCATAATTCAATGTTATCGCTCATCCACCAGCAGGCAAAAATTATGTGCTCTCACTGCTGTATAGCAACAAATCAACGTGAACTACATGAAAACCACAATCTAAAAACAAACAAAACGATATCGCAAAACTCCATTAGTATAAACTATAAAGCATAACAACCGAAAATAATTTCTTCGTGGGACGTGGAAGAAACTATTAATTGTCTGATCTTTTTGACTCTTTTTCTGAGATTTTCTTTCGTGCAACCAGCAACCTGTTTGTTTATTTTGTGGGGTAACGAGGCGGTCTCGCTTTTTTTGTGCTTTTACAACGCACCTATCCTCGATGCGACGCTCAGCTCCGCATGCCGCTCCAATAATAACATGAAATTTGATCAGCAACATCGCAACAGTTGCAAACTGCAATTTGTAGCCTTGCCAAATTTGTTTAAAGATCAGAAGGTTTTGTTTGGACAGCCTGAGGTTGTGTTTTGAATCTGTTTTCCGAATCAGCGGCGATTACGAGGAAACAACGCATTAAACTTTCATGCATTCCTGCAGCTAAACATCCCATTGCGATAATTACGCCCGTGAGGAGGCGAACCAGCTGGGGAATGGATGATCCAGCTGCGGATTGATTTTTGACTGCATTTTTGATCGTGCCGGATGCGAGCGTCGCTGTTTTCCGGTTCGGATTACATTGGCATCCGTCCAGCTCACCGTAACTTGCCGTGTGATTTCTAATTTTTTTTTACAAAATGCCACCGAGAGGATTTATTACCCAGCTAGCCAGAAGAACACTTTTTGCCAGTGAGGCTGTGAATCGTCCCGATGCATTTCATCCGTCCCTGTTATCGTCTGCTGTAAGGAGATGTTGGCGTAGCGATAGCCATCGCTCTGGGCTCCACACCTCATCGGCCTTGTTTGTGCCGCGGTGGCGCACAGCCTTGATAACTCTGCGGGGTGAAGACCATAAAGTGGATGCGGAGGAAGCCCGCAATTTTGTCTTCCTTCTGGAACCGCCTGAACGGGAACTGATACTGAAAGAACTCATGTCGTTCCAAGAAGAGCCAGGTATAAATTGTACAGATATAACTTCTAGCGTTTTTTAGGATGCGGATAGCTTTTTTAATCATTGTAAATTTTTTAGTTAAAATTTTAGTACAGTAGGTAACGTTTTGGATGCGCTTCATTAGTCTGTAAAGTGTAAAGTTGTAAACACAGATTTACAATCAAGTTAACCGGCATAACAATCAAGTTAACCGCTTGTGTTTACAATTGTACCTGGTTTATTTGCACAACTTGTGAAATATAATGTAAAATTATTAACACTTTAATAGATTAAATGATTCATTGGTAGGAGATAATGTACAATTATGTTTTAAAATATGTGGGTTGTTATACTTTTTATGGAAACCTGTGAAAAATAAATTTTGTGAAACGCAGGGTTGTTCGATATGTTTTTTTCTCCCGATTTTCTGTAGTTGTTCTCGCTTACATCTCTTTTTGCTATTGTCAGTATTGTGTGTTTACGTTTTTTTCATCAAACTGACAAGTGTATTTTCCATTTCCAGGTGATCCCCTTCCTCCTACACCTGCCCAGCTGCGACACTGTACGTATTTGTTGATTCTTATTTTATTATTGATCCCTTTCATATTGATGCACCTTCACGTTATGTCAACTTAAACTTTTCTTCGCAGTGGCCATGTTCTGTGCCTTACCCTTCATCGGATTTGGTTTTCTGGATAATTTACTCATGATCATCGCCGGTGCCTACATAGAAATAGGAATTGGAGCTGTTTTTACCATTTCTACCATGGCCGGTATGTCGCATTTTGTTCTCCGCTTTGGTGCCTGAACGACGAAGCCTGCATGTTTTTATGAATTATCTGTGTGTAGTTATGAATTATAAATTATTTTGACGCTCACACAAAGGAAAGGCGTATATGATATTGATTTACAGATTTTGTATTGCGTATTTTAATTACCTTGTATTGCTTTGTAGCTGCTGGACTGGGAAATGCCGTTTCGGATGTTGCTGGAATATGGTAAGATCATGATTTAGTTATTTGACGGAATACTGGTGACACCGCAGTTTTAGGCACCTGGTTTCGTGCAAACTGCGCGTGGAATGGTTTTTAATGACAGAAAGAGATTCCGCACTGCACAATATGATAGTTGCTATCAAATCTGTAGTCTTCGCTTGTAGGTCCGCTGGTTATATTGAACATTTTGTCCGAAAATTCGGTGTTACACCGCCAAGTTTGACGCCTAAACAGACTGGGATGGGAAGGACGCGCTGGGCGATGAATGTGGTAATTTTCGTTATTCGTTTTAAAATGGGTGCTGCTTTTCTTCCTTTCGTGAATTTATTAGTAAACAATTACAGCGTTTTTGGGTTCTTATTCAGGGACGTGCCGTTGGTATAACGGTCGGTTGTATTCTCGGAATGTTTCCTCTGTTGATTTATGATTTTGATACGAAGGACGACAAGGAGGATAAGTCACACAAGAAAGAAAAATGAAGGGTTTTTATTGATTTTTTTCGTAGTAAAAGGTTGTAAAAATGCGTTTGTTGATTTTATTTTTCTGTTGAAGTTGTGAAGTTTACTTGAAAGGCAGCTGCTGTTTCATATTTTTAGGTCATGTTATTTTTATTTCATGTACAGGAGGATTTACGTACCGGTTTTGTTTTTCTGTCGAAAGTATTATTGTGTAATAAATGCTGTACTTGTACAACGCCAGAAGTCTTCATAGAGGAGATAATTAAGTTTTGGTCCTTTATGTTGGCATTATTTTTCGTGATCTGTGCATTAGACGTCTGCGCTATGTACTCAGACTGCTAATGCCGAAGGATGCCTGGATGCTGGAGCACTATCCGTGAGTCCGTGCAGTGACTAACGCAGTGCACAGCGCACACTGCATACCGGTCTTTTAGCATCTTGTTTCTTTCCAGCATATTTTCCGCACAATTACACGCCTGTTGGACTAAAAAATGCATAAGCAATTATCTCAGTTTTCGCAGCAGGGTGTGAGACCGCAAATAAGGCTACAGTATGCTACGTTAGTACGAGGCAAGCGGCAACTCTTTCCCATCGCTTTAGTAAATTACCTCACTTTCCCTGCTGCATTTTACCCGTATGCAGGCGCTCACGTGATACTTGATTTCAACCGTTTCACGTCTAGAGATATGGCACTGATTGTTTAGGTTGAAAACGCGCGACAGTTTATGATTACTGTAACTGACGGAACTGTATGGCACTTTACGGAATTTGACGGAACCCAATGGAACTCTACGGAACCTGACGGAACCTAATGGAACTCTACGGAACCTGACGGAACTTGATGGAACCCAATGGAGCTTTACGGAACCCAATGGAACCTGACGGAACCTAATGGAACCTAATGAAACTCTACGTAACCTGACGGAACCTAACGGAACCTAATGAACTGTACGGAACCTGACGGAACCTAACGGAACCCAATTGGAACTGTACGGAACTCTACGGAACCTGACGGAACCCGATGGAACTCTTGCAGGAATTGTACGGAACTCTATGTGACTCTACGAAACTTGACGGACCTTAACATAACCTAATGGAACTTAATGGAAAAAGTTCGAAGTACTAGTAGCTCGGTCACTCGTTCACCCATCAGGCTTTGTGAACTGAACAGAACCGGAGTGCCGCTAGCCCGGTCACCCGCTTACCTAACGGGCTCCGTACACTGGAGGATACCGGTAGCCCGGTCACCCACTCACCTAACGAGCCCCGTGCACTGGACAGTACCAGTTGCTCGGTCACTTGTTCACCCATCAGGCTTTGTGCACTGATCAGAACGGGAGTGCCGCTACCCCGGTCACCCGCTTACCTAACGTGCTCCGTACACTGGAGAGTACCGGTAGCCTGGTCACCGCTTACCTAACGGGCTCCGTACACGAGAAAGTACCGATAGCCCGGTCACCCGCTCACCTAACGAGCCCCGTGCACTGGACAGCCAGTATCTCAGTCGCTCGTTCACCCATCAGGTCCTGTGCACTGGACAGTACAAGTAGCTCGGTCATTCGCTAACCCCTCAGGCTCTGTGCACTGAACAGCACCGGTAGCCCGAGACATTACCTTAATTTTAATTTCTGCAACATTACAATTCTCAGTGTCCGACCTGGAAGGAAAATTATCGAAACTGGGTAGATTGACCTTTAATAAGTATCACATGAAAGTACAAACTAAGTACTAAAAAACAAAAGTTTGATTATGCATACGAAACAGCGGCATCTACTGCTCCTTAGGGGTGAACAGCCATTCACGCACCCCGTAATTTAATTCAAATATTATCGTAACTTAATTCGTATTATCGTAACTTAATTCAAATATTTAGTGTTATGTTGAACACTAGAAATTTTTAGAAAGGAGAAAATATTTATTCCGCGCAATTTGCGCGGGGTCCGATAGTCAGTGTCAAAATATTCCTAACAAACACAAATATTGTACGCATTCTTATTCTTTATTATAACGGATTTTAATATTTATTATTACCCTACTCTTTTAGTTACTCAATGCTTGTTTGCTTGTTTTCTCAGGTCCCGGGGTCCAAATTTGGATTATATTTCCAGTTTCCCAGATCGCTAAAGTTGTAAAATGTATGCAGGTCTGTTTGGCTGCAAACTGCGATCTGGCTCTCTGGTAGGTGAAACAGCGCAATCAATGTGGGAACGCAGACCTACTTCGGAATAAGACTGAATAGTTTAACAGGAAGAATAGAGATTTATTTTTTCTGCAAACACATTTTAACATTACCTAAAACTTAATTTACCTTGGCGTGCATTGGTACATTTCAGGAACAGAAAAGCTTGTGGGCACGAGTTTTTTTTCAAAAAGATTGCCACCACGCCCTCGTTATGGAAAGTGTTTGACCTCTCCTATTTGTTATGTGCAGGAGCCGGGCACCGTCATATATCTCGGGCCCGGCGTCCTTCATTCCGTAATTATTCTTGGTGGAAATGTGAGCCAAGCACGAAACTTTGTCGACGAACGTTGGATTCCGATCATCGACACCGTTATACTCTTGCGCGAAAAAGTTAGTCCATAACAATTTACCTTGAGTGCCTCCGAATTTTAATCTTTAATTTATCTTAGTGTATCAAGTTACGCAACAACTCTAATTCCGCAATACTGCATAAATGGACGCTGCTGCTTAGGGAACGGTTGCTCGCCCGCACAGCTGCTATACAGGAAGTGAATCCACGTCGTTTTCCTTTGCGGCATAAAACAAATATGGAAAATTTTTGAAAGCTACTAGCTCATTTTCAACAAATTTCCCAAATGCTCTGGGTGAAATCGACGTTTTGGACATCAGCTGTCTGCCCCCTTCTGTATTCCCGACCAATTTAATCTTTGATGATGATGCCAACTGCCTTCTTGCTCCACCAACAACTGGAATATCAATAAGTGCGCCGTTAGTAAATGGTCACTTTCTCGCAGAACGAACATCACTGAATTCCGGAAAAGCGTTTGTGTGCCATTATACTGAGTGTACAAGATCTTACAACAGCATTACTCACTCAATCTCCATATTCGTGGGTAACACAAAAAGAAATATGTGTGCCATTTATGCAATCCAAAATTTGCATATTGCTCTCCACATTGGCTTAAAGTTCACCAAATTAACGACCATGGTAACCATAAAAATCAGCTTAAACAATATTTGGTTTCTTAAATAAATTGTTCTATCAGTTATAATAAATTTTTAAGCAAAGCTGCTGTAATTTGAAATACAGTGCTAGATTCATTTACTCTAAATGCTGCAGTTTTAGTCCGAAACATTTTACTGGAATTGTTTAGGTATGCCAGATGAACCACCGCGCAAGAAGTCCAAGTGCGGTCGGCGACCTATGAATATCACCCTGATTCTCTTTAAATGTGTGTTCCGGTGCGTTTTACCAGGTTTATGAATATGAGCGCAGCAACTGTTTGGTAAACGATTCTGCGCTGCAATACTAACTGAAAAAATGTGCCAGTATTTTTCTTCCAGCTGACGCAGTTTGATTTGATTTGAGACTTTGCATAACTGTAACACACGGCACAGCGTTATTTTACATTGCGCTACATGGAATTGGCTCCGTTTAACGTAGCATTTTCACAGATATACATGGCTTCTACTTTGGATTTCCGTTACTCAAGTTGGTTTTACATTGCTGGACACGGAATTGACGCCGTTTAGCACAACATTTTCACAGATTTACAGCAATTTTCAAGTGCATTTACGTTACTTACGTTGATTTCGCAATGCCGGACATGGGCTTAACGGTACTTACACAGATCTACGAAGTTTTACGTTGTTGGGCCAGTCGCCGGCAGCCTACGAGTATGGCAGCCAGCGACAGTCCCACTTACTCGGTGCACGGCTCAGTGGTGCACATCGCACACACTCACGCCTGCACGCACTCGCATAGCGACGTCGAATCACTGGCCTCAACTCCGCCTTGCCACACCTACGGCTTCACGTCTCGGCCAATCAGCGTTCGCCATTCGCTCGTGTTGGATCTGCCCAGTGCCGCATTAGGCTTTTCTATGTTACGGCTCGATATGCCGCTTGTTCATGATTCAGTAATCATTCTCACGCTGTGCTGTACACTAGCATACGCTATATCGAGCCTTCACGTGCTTTGTGTTTTGGTTCTTCGCTTATTGATTCCTCAATAAAGCCTTTGTTCTCACACTCGTGAGCCTTTGTTTGCCAGCTGTCACAACGTTGTATTTACGTTATTTACGTGATTTTTACTTTACCGGACCTGGACTTAAAATTGTCAAACCTAGATTAACAACATATTTACGATAACTAACGTTGGTTTCACTTTGCCGGACATGGAACTTCAACGGTTTGGTCTGCAATATACATTGCATTCACTTTTATATGCGTTGGTTTACGCGTACTTACCCTAAAAGGATTCCACTTGTTTTTTTCTTCGAACAAATCGTGCATTAAGTAAATTACATAAAAGATGCCATGATATTTGACAATACTCATAAAAATGTCCTTTTATGTCACTCCATCCTAAGAATTGAACGTGGTGTCCTTACTTAGATAGCACATTTACCTTACCATACTTAGATAACTGTCCGTGTTGTGCACTCAATGTGCAGCTGTCAACCACCCAGAGATGGCAACGCTAGGGCGAATTTGAAAATGTGTTGATTCAGCCATAACTTCAATTGCTCACATCTCGTGAATGTGGGAACAAAAACTGTTCAAGCAATATCTCAAAGATGCAGAAAAAAATTCACAAGATATTTGATGCCAAGTAATATAGGATTTAGAGCAACTGAAAAAAGTTGCAGCCTTTTTGAGTTTCTCGTAGACACACTATAGGATCTCTTCGCGGACCCCTTCAACGTAATACTTACTATGCTATGTCTAGGAAACAGAAACAAGTTCTAATATATTTCAGTCGCTCTAAATCCTGACTTACTGGTATCAAAAACTCCAGAATTTTTCCACATCTTTTTGAGATATTCCGGAACAGTTTTGTTCCACATTCACTTTAGATTGATGTTATCAAGGAACAACGGCTCATTCCAACAGATTTTTCACCTGACGTTGCTATCTTTGGGTGGTTGACAGCGCTGCACAACACGGGCACAGTTATCTTAGCGTAGTAAATGTGCTCTATCTAAGCAAGGACACACGCCCTCGTACATGAGGTTCCTTTACCATAGAATCTCAGAAGGTAACGTTACAGTGGCTTGGTGAATGCACGAAGGCAAGGTATCAAGACATCAGTAAGAGTCTCAACGTCTGGTTATAATTGAAACATCTAATTCAGGTTGATAAATATCTTCCTTCATGGAAAGCTGTAAAGCACAACATTATTTTACCATATGAAAATGCCAAGAACGACAACATGAGCAGCTGAAAGCACCTTCAAAAGCCGACTAGGCAGCACCACGTCAAAGTCTGATGTCCAACGTTAACTGGCCTCTTGCGATAGCTCAACCGGCCTGCATTGGGTCACCTCAAATTCCGTACACCCGTGGAGTTCTATCAGGTTCCGCACCGTTCCGTAGAGTTCCGATAAGTTCCGTCAAGTTCGTACAGTTCCGTAGAGTTCCATCAGGTTCCATCAGGTTCCGTAGAGTTCCATTAGGTTCGTACAGTTCCATTAAGTTCCGTCAGGTTCCGTAGAGTTCATTAGGTTCCGTCAGGTTCCGTCAGGTTCCGCGTAGAGTTTCATTAGGTTCCACAGGTTCCGTGAGGCCAAGGTTCTGTTAGGTTCCGTCAGGTTCCGTAGAGTTCCATTGGGTTCCTGTCAGGTTCCATTAGGTTCCGTACAGTTCCTTTGGGTTCCGTCAGGACCTGTAGAGTTCCATTAGGGTTCCGTTAGGTCTGTCAGGTTCCGTAGGGTTTCATTAGGTTCGTCAGGTTCCAGAGGTCCAGGTTCCGTTAGGTTCCGCCAGGTTCCATTAGGTTGCGTACAGTTCCATTGGGTTCAAGTTAGGTTCCATTAGGTTCCGCAGTTCCATTGCCCGTACACTTCCATTAAGTTCCGTCAGGTTCCTCTGCAGTTCCATTGGGTTCCGTTAGGTTCCGTAGAGTTTCGGCTAAGTTCCCGTGGTTCCATTAGGTTCCGTTAGGTTCCGTCAGGTTCCGTAGAGTTCCATTGGGTTCCGTAGAGTTCCGTAGAGTTCCATTGGGTTCCGTCAAGTTTCGTAGAGTTCCATTAGGTTCCGTCAGGTTCCATTAGGTTCCGTAGAGTTCCGTCAGGTTCCATTAGGTTCCGTTAAGTTCCATTAGTTTACGTCAGGTTCCGTCAAGTTCCGTAGAGTTCCATTAGGTTCCGTCAGATTCCGTAGAGTTCCATCAGGTACGTGCCAGCATTACGCGTTGCTATTTTTCGGCCTAAACAATCTGTGCCATATGTGGTCTAAACCGGTTTGCAGCTATCGTTGATTGCGCAACTGATAACGAGTACAGAGAAGAGCACGGCAGGTGAGATTTTATCGCCGGCTCAGTAAGCTAACCGGTTTAGACGTGAAACGGCTGAAATCAAGTATCACGTGAGCGCCTGCATACGGGTAAAATGCAGGGAAAGTGAGGTAATTTACTAAAGCGATGGGAAAGAGTTGCCGCTTGCCTCGTACTGAACGCAAGTCGCGCGCCGCCGACAAGGCGATAACATGTACATTTTCCCGCTTTCCACCTCGCAATCAGAGATTCCGGTGGTGACATTGAATATCTATACAATTTTTATTATTGCTATGGTTTTGATCGTATTGGTCGTATACATACTATAACTTCTTAAGTTGTACAAGACATCGCAGCTGGGTTAGGAGATCAACTGGGCTGTCAAAACAACGGTGTCTCGTAAAAACAGCAAAAACAAATTGGCTGCTGTGTAATAAAGGTACTCGTAAAACTTTTCTGAACGCATAAGATAATTATATATATACTACGTAATACGTATCTGTACAATATAACGGACAACATTCGAATAATCTTGCTGCACCTAACTAATGCAGAAACCTGGGAACTGTTAAATGTCAAAGGTTGTTAACAATATTGATTTGTAAGCAAAATATGTAGTCGACAATAATTAAATTCACATACGAGAGTATTTAATCGTGCCGGTACACTACCGCCAATATACTGTAGATATACCGGCAAGAACTAACTTTTAAAAAACAGTTAATGGAATAGAACTGGAGCGGGCTGCCCGCGGGTGTCAGCTACATCGGAATTCGGAAGTTGATTCAAAACATTTACCTGGCTTAAGGTGGCTAAAAAACGGTCGGTGTAGCTGTGGCGGCTGTGCTTTCCGCATACCTATACTATACTGTTGTACATAGTATAGCTGATATTCTGTAATCTGTAAACCGTTACAAATTAAAAACATCGCCTCGTTTTCACAAATTATGAACCTTCCGTATTAAGTATCTTATCTAAACGAGGATGTGTTCGACAAGTGTCAATGTCTAAGGCGCATACTCGATAGTTATGCAGGTTGCGTTATGGAACGTGAGCAAGTGTGCATTCCACTTCTCGAGCGTGATCAACACGACAGCGAGGTAAGTTTCTGTTTTCATTCCAGCAATGCCTTGTACTATTTTCCGATGCTTTTCGACTTAAATAACTATGTACACTGCAGTTCTTTTGAGTCCTTGACATAAAACTCCATATTGTTATGACAGTTACTTTTAAACCTTAGGTGCGTTTGCGTCCGTTTCCTCTCGACATACAAGACGAGCCACCGCCAGTCGATCATGTCGACCGTCTCGACACCACCCATTCTGCATGCTTTCGATGAATTCCGCCATTATGATACAGCCGACTATAATTTCCACGTCGGAGCTCCGCATCCCGATGAGCTGATGCAGCTTAGTAGGGTTATTCAGCAAACCGTGCAGGATATTCGAGCGGTACGAGCAGTTGCAAGGTGCATCAAAATGCTTAATGGCATCTCTTTGTTATCATATTATAGGTGCCATCGGAAGTCCAGAGTTCTTATTTCCAGTATGGAGCGACTAAAGGCTCGGATTCTGTTTTGCAACATTTGGCGGCGTTCCTAACGCAGGAATACCGTGCACCTGTGAACTGGTGAGTTTCTAGTGCAACAAAATACTTACTAAAGTCGAAATACGGTAACTTAACTTTGACTACTGTGAATCTTACTCGGACCAACATTTTTATAAGTACTCTGTTAGTACTGTTACTAACATCGGTTTCATGGATGTGGGTGGTTTGCGTAATGGTTATTCTTTGTTAATTTAGCTTATGCCTTTTACTGATTTTATAAAAGTTTGATTAGCACTGATGTGAATGTTAATGTGATATCGCGTTTTTTTAGTTGTACAATTGTACTGCTGTTACGTCGTGTGTAATTGGGGATCGTGGGCAATAAATGTTAGACTGACTGTCAAGTGTCAATTTTCAGGCAGAACCTGATGATGACAGCCGGCGCTTCACACGCCCTCGGACTGGTGTGTAATGTGTTTTTCGGTGATCATGACGGTGTGGTGTTCCTGGAGGATCCGACGTATTTCCTGGCAGCGGAAATATTTCGTGGATTTGGTTTGAAAGTTATCCCAAGTGAGAATGTCTGTTAATTAAAAAAGACAGCTAGGTTTTAAAAATTGTTTATTAATTGGAATAACTACAAAAAATTTCTGGGCACAGCACGCAGACGATTAGATTATGCATTATGTCTTATTATTAGAGTTTGTTACTGTGAAACTATTTTTCAGCAGACAATTTTACAACAAAACAGAATATCTCGCTTTTCATCATTGTAATGTAATGTATTTATTTACTATACAGTTCCGAAATTGGACAACGAACAATACGATTTCCCTTTGTGGAAACGTCGCCTTGATGAAGGCCTCCACGGGATACGTGCGGATGGTCATTTTCGTGGGCTGATCTACATTATTCCGCTTCACAGTAATCCCCGTGGTCGCTGCCTTAGTCCTGGTGAGCAGCGAATTTTGCTCTTCCGCAAATTTTTTAACTTAGCGATTTGTATTATAGAAGAGGCCGCTGCTTTAGCACGGTTTGCCGCTGATGAGAATTTGGTGATCCATTGTGATGATGTGTATAATTCACTGTCATATACCGGCAGTATTCCGCCGCGCTTGTTTCCTGTCGGAAGTCATCCCAACGTTATCTCCGCTGGGACGTTTTCGAAAATCCTCGGACCGGGACTGCGAGTAGGGTGGCTGGAAAGCACGAAGGAAAACATCGACAGAATTGCGCTGAAGTGTGTAAGGACTGAAAATACCGGCGTTATTTACTCGAACAATTGCTGCTCTGAAGCATAATAGATGCCGAGCAATAAGTATCACGTTTCCGTTTCTAATTCCGTGGTCGTTTGTTCTCCTTTCTCTGATCTCGGCCCGTGTTTTGCTCCTGTGGATAGCAAAATATTTCTTTTTTTAGATATATTATTAAAAAATATTATTCAAAGGTTTCGAAAGATAGCCGTTTTCTTGAATTTTCAATTATCCTACAGTGTATGTAGTTCTGTACTTTACAACAAACTGTCTTTGGTAACATTGAAATTTATTTTATATATAAGTAATTTTCTTGCAGTGGAATAATCGAAAGCGGTGGTTGTGCAAATCAGTTCGGTGCATCTTTGATTGACCGGATGTTCCTTAACGGGCTATTACAAACGTACGTCAAAAACACGCGAAATTTATACAAAGTAAGTTTTTAATTGACTTAAACGTAGTCATCAAGTAGTATTTATATTCGTGCTGTTCTTTTCAGGAAAAAATGAGATTAGCCGTTTCTATCCTTTCGGAACACTTGCCTAACAACGTCATATGGCATAAGCCGCAGGTATTCAACGTTCAGCATTTAAATTTACTTTTCTTGTGCGTTTGCGCCTTGCAAGTTAAAAGTTGGTTTTTATTTGCAGGGTGGATATTTTATTTGGCTTACATTTCCTGAGGATTACGAAGAGTTTCTTACGAATGTGCTTGTTCCCGAAGCAAAACGGCGCAACGTACATTTCCAGCTTGGATCGAGGTAACATTTTATGGAGATGTGGTTTTATGCTTAAGACAAATTAAAGTTGGTGCGAATGCTTACTTTCTTTTTGGCGTGTCCCTTTGAGCTTTTCTGCCTACATTGAATTAATGCTTGGAGTTCCCTTGCATGTTAAACTGTGAAAAGGCAGCAGAGGCCAACTTTTTATGTCTGCTGAACGCGATTTTTTTCGTTTTAGGAGCTGCGCTAGTCGATTTTGCAATGGACTCCGTTCCACGGACGATGCCTACACATGTACCTCTGGCTGCCAGAATTCCATTCGGCTGTCAATTGGACATTTGGGACTGTCACAACTTCCGGAAGGACTTAAAATTTTGTGTGATATCATTAAGAAGAGATGACGTCGTTTTAAAGTTTTTATATGCTCTTATGGATTATAGATGTGGATGTGCGACTGATAATATGTTGTCTCCTTCTGTATCTGCTGTTAAGTACTCGCATAAAGGCAAAAGTGTGTTTTCTACACGAGTGTTATGATTGTCATCGATATCCCCAAATATCAGACCGAAGAGATATATATGGTCGAATTTTGCGATTGTTTCTAGTATTCGTTTTAATGAATTATCTTCGCATAACTAAAAAATATATATCTTCATCTTTTCGGAAATATATATCTATATCTTTAGCATTTTTGGTTAACGGAAATAAGATAAAAGATTTGATACGGCAGCCGTTCTATATCTGTCGATGACTCGATGTCAATGGTCCTGTTGTACCTACACGCGTGAATTATCGAGGATTGACCACGCAGATTTCAAACTTTCAAGAGTTCAGTACAATATCTCTTTTCAGCAGTGGAAACCAATTATAATTACATAATCATTGAACAACGAAAAATCTGCAACAACTGCAGAAGTGAAAATATAACAAAACATAAGACCGCATAAAGAGCATATCCACTAAGATGTAAAACATGTCGAGCAACAACATTCGACAACATTGTCAGCATTCTAAATCAGCACCTTAATTACAATAGTATTTTAATTAGGCCTTAATTAGTATTAGAAGATTAGGGTCCGCTTGTGCGACGTCGTTTTACATAATTTACACTGCAGCATGTTAAGCAAAAATCCTTAGCACATGTAACTGAATCATGTAACTGAATCCGCATCTCCAGAGATTTGTTCAGTGGAGATAACTCCAGTTTTCGAACGCATTCCTTACTTTTCTTGAAAGGAGGGAAAAGTCGCCGCGGCGGAAATACTACTTTTCGTGAGATTACACCCATTTTCGTCGAGACTTCGTTTGCTGAAACCCGTAAAAAAAAAATGATCCATTGGTAAATCATATAACAAGGTTTTTTAGAAATGACATGTCCATGCGGTGTCCATTTTTACAGAAAACACATGAAAAGAGAACAATATCAATTTTGAAGTTTTTGCAACAATTGAAAGCAAACAACACTTACCATGTTTCATATCAGACTCGCGCGGGTCAATGGCGCGAAGCGAAGGCGATTCGATGCCTACAGATACACTGCTTTTGCCGGCTGCGTTTCCTGCTTGCACGCTTTCTGAAAATAAACGGTCAGGATCATCTAAATCTGGTATCATTTATCACTTAATCAACCGGAATCACCGAAGCCCCTTCGTTACTACCGCTGCTCTTGCACTGACTGCTTCTGCGCAGAATGATGCAAGGATGAACTTCATAATAATCAGAAAAATCTTCTTACCTCTACCACTAGTTAAATCATCCTTGCAGCCGTCCTGATCCGACCGTAATGCAATGGAATCACCATCGGAGTTGTCAGAACCGGACGCACTCGGTTGTTCCAAAGCAACAGCGCTGCTGCGATCGCGGCTGGATCCGCATCGAGGTTGCGGTTCGGTAGTTCCTTCCCCTGACGAGGTGTTTGACGGTCTAAATTTACCTAAAACAGCGGAAACGGAAGGTCTTTAGGCCTGACTGCTACACTTGAACGATAATCACCCGTAAATGAGGTTTTTGCCAATATATACTCGTGGTTTCGATTCTGGAACTAAATCTGCCCACAAACAGTCACACGGTTAAGGTAGCACTTACAGGTCTCACGATGCCGTTTTGCATCAGATGGCCTAGTGAAGGGCTTTCGCGATCTTTCACATTGTGCATACGAACAAAGATAATCGGGATTCTTGCTGTGGCAGGCACCGCTCCTTTTATGCCGTTCGAGTTTCTGAACAATCGTTTTACCACATATGTCACACTTGATCTTCTTAGATATCTCAGGCACCATGGTTTTCCAAGTCACCGGATTTTGGCGAAACTCCTGTAAGCTGCAGCTGACACTTGGGATGCTATAAGGATGTCCAGCTATCCGCTATACACTAATTATACGTAGCGATCGCGAAAAACTCAGCCGTTGCTGGCGTTGTGTTTCCAATATCTTTAAGTTTACTGGCCCATGTCCGTGCGCTTGTGACATGCGGGCCGATGTGGCGCTAGACGTTTTACATTTCATACGGGTGCCGTACTACACCTAACGTCGACCGTACTACGGTCTATTCGGATCAGCTGTTTCCGTTCATGTAGCTGCCTCAACAGAAAGGTAGAGCAACTCCTACAGTCGAGAAGAAACGAGAATTGTTGTTAAAGTTGAAATTCCGTGCTCCAGAACGTCTATTCAGGCTATTTTTATGCGACTCCGTCGACGGCAGTGGTCAAAAGAAGTATCCTGAATATTTTGTAATATAACCGATAACGATGCAGTGGAGGCGATTTCTTCCAGAATCTGCCCGAACGGAAGTGATGGTTAGCGATGTTTCCTGAAATTTCTCGCACGGTTGCATAAGGCAGTCATGATTGGCTGTCTAAGCGTTGCGAGTCCGACAATTCGTGGGAATAATTACAAAACTCATTTTGATTCGTGAAGCGGTTTTGAAGGCGGTGCTTATCCTATGTTCGGTTTGCGCACTAACTGGTTGTTTTGGTATATAAGCCGCTGCGGTTCTGAGCCTGTGGTTATTCATGTGCCGACATTTCTAGCGTTCTTCAACGACGGTGTTGAACCTGAACAGTAGAATTTTCGCGCATTTGAACAAGTTTCGGATTTTTCTGACCATATCAAGCGTCTCCAATCCGCCGAAGCATTCAACATGTCCCGCGCATTAGTACGAGTGTTGCCGCGATTCTTGCGGAATGAGTTTCCGGAGTTGCGTTTGGTTAATCGCACCCCGTTTGGCTACGGATGGATGTCGCCCAGTTTCGGATCTCTGGATCGCGAATTCCGTCAGGTGGAAAACATGGTAAGTCAAAGTAATACCTACATAATCAGAGTAAATTTTTGGTATCAAAATATTCTTCTCAAAGACCAAAGTATTCAGAAACAATGGGAAATACAAAACTAGGTAGATGATTGCGGTTTATTGGACATTGCATCAGCCCTAAAAGTAGAGAATTTGCTGAATCATTTTTGCGTTATTGTGGCGCACCGCGCTATTATTAATAACTTGTTTTGTTTTGAGAATTTTTTATCATCAAAGGTTATGTAAGTAGTTTAAATTATAGATACGGTGAAGTTAGTAGCTAAGTAGCATCATTAATATTTGCAAGTGTTTATACAATACACATATATGATTAAATAATTTAGTGCGCTATTAAAAGAAATTGTTTGCTATTTGATGCTATGTTTACTAAATGTAATTTTTTCATTTCTGTAGATGGATCGTATGCAGAGCGATATAGCGCGCTCCTTCAGCGAATTCTTCCCGAACGGCGTGCAGTCGCAGCAACGTAGCTCCATGTTCCGCCTGGTGGAGGAAGATGGAAAGAAGAAAGTGCGAGTGCAGTTCGACGCCACCGGCATCAAACCGGAAGACATTGAAGTGAAGACCAGCGGTAATGAACTGGAGATCCGTGCACGACAGGAGGAGAAGGGCGAATATCACTCCATCTACCAGGAGTACAGTCGACGGTTGACCTTGCCGGAGGGTGTCAAAGCCGAGGAATTGTCGTGCAAATTCGACGACGGCCTCGTCACCCTGGAAGCGCCCTACACGCCGCCGGCTATTGAGGCCAAACCAGAAGAGGGTCAGACCGCTTTGGAAGGGGCGAAGGAGATTCCCATTAAACATGAAGGGAAGATTGACGCCACCAAACAGGCGGCCAAAGAATAGATCATAGCGTGTGTGGTTTTTCTCAATTGTTTATCTCATTTTTCACGCGGATACTGATTCTATGAATTGATTATTCCAGTGCTTTTAATGATGTTACTTTTTCACGATGTCGGTAGCGATTACCGTGTGGAAAGGTCAAATGCTGAATTTTATTGATTAGCCTGTAATCAACTGTTTCGTTTTCTGATGTTGTAATCGCAGTTTTGCACAATCAATCGATTAATAAAATTCTTGAGCATTAACCTTGATGCTGTCACTGCCTGAAAGATTCGCCAACATCGAAGTCACGAAAGTTGTTGGCGCGTATGAAAATGAACAAGAGAAAACAAACAAGAGGAAAACTCGTTCACATTCAGTGAATGAAGAAATTTTACACAAATATGAACTAATTCACTAACATTTGACGTTTCCCCAACGTCGGTTACTAAAAAAGTATACGAGTATGAAACAATACAGTACATACTCCGTGCTCGTAATGAAACAATGGCGACAAGCACCCTTTTTATTCCAGTATTTTCATATTATTTTGTGTTGTTATTTTCCATCACAGAGATTTCACTACAGTTGTAATCGCAACCAAAACAAAAACCGTAACACAATCGCAATAAATACGTAGAAGTAGTTAAAATGAGTGCATCAAAATACTTGTCCAACAAACCACAACAGTGCAGCAACAGATTATTACTGATTATACGTTAAAACTCTCCCCACAACCACACGTACCCTTAATATTGGGATTATTGAAGACAAACTCAGCGCTGAGCTTAGACTGCACATAGTCCATTTCCGTGCCCAGCAATGTCAGCTGGGCCTTCTTATCGATGAAGATCCGGACATCGTCCTCCACCACCTCCTCATCCATTTTCCCCTTCTCGGTGGCGTAGTCCAGTGTGTACGAGAGGCCATTACAGCCGCGCTGCTTCACGCTGATCTTCAGCGCCACAGCGTCGGGTCGTTCTTTGAGCAGCTGGCGGACGCGCTCGACCGCAGCGGGGGCAATGGTCAGGGCTGCACGCATCGGGAAGCCTTTGGAGCGCTTGACGGCGCGGACGGTGGCGGACATGGCGTACAGGATAGACGAGGAGCGGAACATGGTGGAACTGGATCACGGATCGTGTGGCACAGGGTGTGTATCGCACTCAGTGTAAATAATCCGGAACGAGATGTACGACAACCAAAACGGGATACGATAAACGAACGGCTAAATGTCAAAACGAGTCGGAGTATATCGAAAAGTGACAAACTATACAAGTGATTGCCAAAACATGAACCTCCATGGTTGCGAGAAGTATGCTACAATTTGTAACAATTCACGATCATTAAAAAATAATCGACCATGAAGGCCTAACAGCTGAGGAAAATGCTAAATCAATCAATCAAATTTTACTAGAGCAGTTTCTACCACAATACGAAAATAACTGATGTGAGAATCAAAAGTTATTCCCGCAGAAAAAACGAAAAGGGATGCGACGTCATGCGAGACAGAAAAACTGACGAAAGCTGCTGACTGACGAAAGTCACAAGTGCGAATTTCAGTACGAAACTAACGAAAGTTAAGGCGTGGCGAGTTGAGCAACGTTAGGGACAAACAGCTCCTAGAATAGTAGATTTGCGGTTGCCGTGCCTAAGCCTTAAACTTTTCAAGAAAACAGAAATTTTATAAAACGTAGACTTTACTTTTTTAAATGTCGGTGGGTGACTGCCTGACTGGTAAATACCGGATGCGAGACATCTGGTCGTGATACTGACCTTGAGGACTGAAGAAAAGGAAACTGACCCGTCTGACCGTACTTACATTTCACTCTTCGTGGGATAATGAGCGCGACTTGTCTGCCTCGCACCCGTACGCCACACTATTTTGGTTTTGGTAGAAAACTCCACGGTGTTGTAACACTGTTGTTATACTGTAATGTTATTTTTTCTAGGTTTCACTGCTTAATAAGGAATATAATATCCTACATCGTACCTACTTATTGAGCTGATTAACTAGCGAATTATGAATTTGTATCTGATACTTACCCGCTGATAATGACATGAAATGAAGCTGCTCCCAATCAAAACCTTTGCAGACAGATTCGCCGCTGCTACAGCATCCCAGCATCTCCCGTGAAAAAGTATTACGATGTGGTGATATCTGGTGGTGGGTTAGTGGGAACCGCTGCCGCCTGCGCACTAGGTAGGCAGTTTATCTGCCAGGGTTAACATTCTGGTTAGTAACGTTCCGTGTGTTTAACGCTCTTGGCGCCTCTTTCAAGCTGCGGATCCCATTTTGCAAAAGCTCAGCGTGTTGGTGATTGAACCTAGGGAGCCGACAGTATGGAACACGGCTCCGGAGCGGTTCAGCAATCGTGTGTTTTCCATCACTCCAGGATCCAGAAAATTCTTTGAAGGTAATCGGAGCGCTGTTTCTGACCTACCGAATTAATACATCATTTTATGATTGTTTTGTCGCTTTCAGAATTGTCACTGTGGGATACCATAGCGAAGCTCAGAGTCAAACCTGTCCGCAAATTGCAGGTAAAAATTAGGCAGTAAAATTACATTCGTGTTCTTTTAGTTTTGATTTTGTTATTCCGAAATAAGAATTCACAAAAAATTTAATTACGAGTAATATGCGGTCTGCACTCTGCATCCGGCCAGACCTTAATATTCGGGTTGTGATTCTACGGGGAAAAAATGTTGAATTAAAATAAGTACAGTGTTGAATTTTCTTCACATTAATTTTGGAATTGAGTATCAGTTTGTATGGAAATCGTTATTGAGATTATTGAAGTAAGTTTATAGTAATCGTCACTGCACTGTGTCCGTCGTTGTATTTTGCGCTTTTTAAAATTGCTTGCCATGTTTTCCATTAATTAGGTCTGGGAATCTTCTTCGGACGCGGCGATTTCTTTTGAACCGGCCAATCTCGACGACATCTCGTACATTGTCGAAGAGCCCGTATTGAGCACTGCTTTATGGACGCGACTACGTCAGTTGGATCGCGTGCAGGTTTTGCATAACGTTAAAGCGACGTCTTATGATTTACCATCGCGGCGCAGCAAACTGGTCCATGGCGAAAGCAGTCACAGTACCAAGGACAGTCAAACGCCGGATACGGGTGGTTATGAAGCTGCCACAGTGACCTTGTCCGATGGATCTCAAGTGGAAACGAGTCTGCTGGTAATATTGTCAATTAATTCTGTTAAATTTTTGTCAAAGTGCCTGCATTGCTGATGTTTTGTCTGCACTTTCGTGTCTATTGATTCAGAAAAACTCACTGGAAAAATTCCAAATAGCATGCACCAGAGGAAATAGATTCACTAGATTTTGTGCATTCCAGATTGGTGCAGATGGACCGCAGTCGGAAGTCAGGCAAGCTATGGGAATTCAGAATGTCAGCTGGAGCTATCGACAGCGAGGGTTGGTTGCCACAGTCCATTTGTCCGAAGTATGCGACTTGTATTCAGTGCATTTCTGAATGTTTTGAGATCTTTTATTGGGGAGGTGTTTCTGATCGTTTGATTATTCTTCTAGCCTCAAGACAACAGCACCGCGTGGCAGCGTTTTACTTCATCCGGACCTGTTGCGCTTTTACCGGTATGTCGATGCACTGTCCTGCATAAGCTGTAGTATTGCCTGTTTGTTGTGCGCTTGCTGCCAAGCGAATGCACAGTATTCTGTTCTGCGAGTAAAACATCGTTTCCTGTATTCAGTTGAGTTCGTAATTATGTTCTGACAATGAATGCGCTGACTTCTATGATCGTATTTGACAGTTAGACGAGAAAAGGAGTTCGCTTGTGTGGTCAACAAGTGAGGAAAATGCGATGCAGCTGTTAAAAATGGACGCGGAAAGCTTCTTGGATGCATTAAACCGTGCTTTGGTAGGTGTTTAGTTGAGTTTGATGTTGTTTGAAATATTTATCCACTGAGAAACGCGGAGGCGAAGCCGAGGCTGTTTCTTGTAGATATCTGTACTCCGGTATTGTAAGCAGACTTATAAGACACAAATTAGACATATTGTTGTGTGTTGATTGTAGTGGGATGAGCAGGACAAAATGGGATCGGTCAATGTGACCCTTGATACACTTTCTCGCGTATTACAGAAGTGCGGCATAGGTAAATTAGTACAGATAAATTTAAATTTGAAATTCGTACATTTCACCTGCATCAAATTTATTCTTTTTCATCAGGTTTCAATACTAAGTACCATTATCTGTATTGGAATGCCATGCCCTGTGGGCTTTCGTTCGACGATTATTTTGAAATTTATTGCTTTTTATCTTTAGAAAAGAACAAAACGTGCTTAGATCGTTTTTTTAAAATTTTTAAATTTTTTCAGTTTCCCGGAGCGTTCAACAGTTGCCACCTACCTTGACGGGACTGGATGAAAATAGCCGCGCGGTGTTTCCCTTGAGTTTGGCACATGCGACAAAATATGTTCTTCCTTGTACGGTTCTTATCGGGTATGTATTTTCGTCGGAAGTCTTCGCTTGTGACTTTTTTCTGACTTTTGTATTACTGCAGTGTGTGTGACAAGCAAGCTAAGCAATTTGCTCGTAAGTTTCGGACGATTCATGTGCTTTTTCAGTGATGCTGCCCATCGCATTCATCCGCTAGCGGGTTTGGGCGTGAATTTGGGGTTTGGCGATGTGATGGATTTGCGGAAGCGTCTGCGTGAAGCCGTCCAGTGCGGATACGAAGTGAATTCCATAGCGCACCTGCTCAAGTACGAAACGGATGCGCAGCGCCGTGTTGTTCCCGTCATGGCGACGGTGGATCTGCTGCATCGGCTGTATGGAACACGCTGGAACCCGATAGTGACTCTGCGCAGCGTTGGTCTGAATTTTATCAACAGTTTGGATCCTTTTAAACGAAACATTATTGCGGCTTCCTCGAGATAACTGTCTAAAACTGTGTTAAATTTGTTTTAATTTTTTTATTGTGTCGTTCCGGATAAGTGTTTATATGTCAACTACGAAAAGGGAAAAATAAAAATTAGAACAACATTACAGCTTTAATTTTGCGGACTTTGCAGCTTTATCTGATATCGTTGCTTCGAAATTTTGTGTAGTCGAAGTTACGCAGATAACGATTGTGATAAAACGCCGGAACATCTACACCGACACTCACCGTAAATTCTGTATTTCCATAAAAACAATTTTATAACACCGTCGTGAAATCGCGTCGGCAAAACACGGTATATGTACAGTAATTAAAATTTTACATCCAAAATATCCATTTCAACATCGGCAAAGCGGTACTGAAAAGAATGCGCAGATCGCACGAGCACTTTCCTTTCCGACTGCCCCATCCAAATATCCCGCACCATCCACAAAAACCCAATTAATGAGCAAAACCCCACGGCAATATTATGCCCGCAAATAAAAGAAAATCCCCCTTTAATCACATAACCAATTGTCTTCCGACTGCACTGATCCAGCACGTTATCCGCATCACCCAACAATTTCTCCATTTGTAATTTACGGCGTTCTCTGGCTTTAGACTTGCGAAACGGATCGGGATGTTTCGGCTCAACCGGGCCACCGAAATCGCTCGTGGCTTTCCTGCACTCCAGATCTTCTTTCGTGGGAGCACAGATCAAAGCGAATTCGGTCGCAGCTCCACCGGAAGACAAATTGAGCACAACCGGAACTAAACCCTGTAAATTTAGAAAAGCAATTATTTTCAATTCTAAGTAATTACTACAATCGCAACATCTTGATACTGTAAATTTTCTAACGATGCAAGTAACATCGTCGTGTGCAGCAAAACGCGGGAACGTTTACTACAGAGTAGTATTGAGAGACATGCGCACTTACTTGACGATGTTTCGAAAACAGCTCCAAATTTCCATTTATCACTTCCTCCAATTGCTTTCCTTCTCCGAGAAAACCTTTTAAAATCGCCAAAAGGCGTAAATTCCGAATAATATGAAAGCCCGGTTCATTGTCTTCTTTCCCGATTGCTTCCGCTTCTAACTCAAAAACGGATTTGAATAAAGAAATTTCAGACGAAAACCGTATCCAGTTATTAAATAGAACATTCCACGGTGATAAAAAGGGTGAGGCCACACCCAGTTTCAGGAAGTTGGGTCGCTTGTTCGGAGGATATCGCTGATGCTTTGCTTCAAGCTGTTTTCGGCTATCCAACTTTTCAGCGATACCTGTAAAACGCAATATGAAAAACAACCCGCATGATTTAAGCAAAAACACAAAATTTTCCGCATGACATTATTTAACATTTTACCAGCTTTCGAGTCTGGAAAATCAAACGGAAGCTGAAGCGACAGCTCATGCAGTGAAACAGTTCGGAGATCACGCTGTCCGCAAACGCGGGCGCCATTGTAAACCAACGGAATCCAGAAGGACATTCCCCATCCTGATGGCATAATAATATCCCATCCCGCGCCGTATTCTATACCAAGCAAAATTTTTGTAAAACATTTCTGCTACAAAAACAATGATTCATTTATGATTTACCTAATCGAGACAATCGTGACGTCCGATTATACCCACTATTCCGGATTAAAACAACCGGTATCCAAGACTCTTCAACGCCCATCTGCAGATCCATGCCTTGAACATAATAAGAAGACGGCAGTTTACATCCCAATAAAAAACTGATAAAAATTATCGCCATAGAATTTTGAACTATATAGTCTGCGCGGGAGTCGAACCCGCTCCCGAACTGCATAACAGTCAGGCCACCAGTTCAGACTTCTTGGGAAGTACGGAAAGAACAGGAAGCGACGTCGATTAACTCTACTCAACGTACCCGGTACCGGAAGTGCTGAACGGCGACGATTCATCTCCTGATCAGTGACTCTTTCCGTCCGCACTCGTTCCCGAACCTCACCGTTCCACAGCAAAGAAAACGATAATTTCTTGCTTCTATCTGGGTAACGCGAACATTCGGCATCATCAGCGGTTGCTAAAAAGATCACAATAAAATTTTCATCTTGAGCAAGTCATTTCACTTTTCACATTTACCGGATATCCGAGACAACGATACTTTACTAGCGGGCAACGCTAACCGCGGATCCCGAACAATCAAACCAAGGACACTTGCATTACGAACGGCAGATTCGTTTGGTGTGGCACTCATTTCCTTCCAAACACTCGCTTGTGATAATGCCGTTTCTCTGATCACCGGATCCCCGAAAGCATGCTTCCACGATCCTTCCGCAATCTCCGCATCAAAATCCACATTCAGCAAAACATTTTTCAAGACGAGAGTGCTTTTCGGCCCAGTGAGTCGCAATCGCACGAACTGCTTCTTCAGTATCCGGAGAATAATACCGGTATCACCACTAAACTCCAAACAGTCAGCTGAAACATATGCAGGTATTTCAAGCTTTTCGGCCTCGTCCATTGCCACATCAGAAGCTACGGGCGGTCCAGGCGATACGAGTTCCATTTGGAAAATTTTGACCAGAATTTCACGAAGCTGATCCGTTATACATGGATGCAGCCACAGGTTAATTTTCCGACTAACCGAGTCGTTTAACGCTGCTTGCCAGATAAATTTCACCGGGCCGATGGGGTTAAAAGGATATTTTTGCGGTTCGTAGAGGATACATGTGCCCTCCAAATGGCCATCGCGATAATCTTTGAAAGCGAAAGTTCGACCTGCAAAAAAAGCGCAATGTACTCAAAATCGCGTATCCACATCACTGCTCTGTACGCTAGAAAACTAAATCAGCGATAAAATTTCTCTATTACTTAATGCAGTACTTGTAAAACAAATCTTTAATTTTTTTCAAAATAAATGATCCAGTGGTTAAATCCATTTTCACAAAAACCGATTATTTGGACAGCGGCGGCAATAACAGCAATTCAAATTAAAGATTTGTACCGATATCAGATGCGGTCAACTGCTGGATGCCCTCAAGCAGTACCGCTTCCGGCCCTTCCAGCTCCATGCACACCAGATAAGACATATCGGTCATCAGACACTCCTCCGCTGAGGCGCGAAATGCCGCTCGAAAGCCCTTATCGTTCGGATAATCAGCCACTTTGTAGCCCCATTTCGTCAGCATGTGGAAGCGCTTCGCGTGCCATACGTGCGTTTCCAGCCACTGATTCACGGTTTGACGCTTCGCATAGGCAATCTTCTTGTTTCCCGGGCGTTTTCGGTACTTTTTGCGGTGCCGTTTTGGAATCTTAGCCTGGCTAGTCTGTGAATTTGAAAAGACTTTCATAGTAAACGCAATACAAATTCCTCATAACTAACAGCAAGCAAAATAATAAAATCCTTCATCCAAATTTAAAAACAGTCGACTGAAAATTTATTAAAAAAGCGACTGAAATTGAACAGCAAACCAAGCAGCGGCAATACATCATAAACAAGGAAAAACTGCCTGAAAAACGAACCTGCTTACTGCTAAGCAGAAAATTTAGTAATCCTTTTATGACTTTGTAATTTTATTAATTTATCCCACTTAGCGGCGTAACGCTAATTAACCATTACAACTAATACCAATAAATTTTGTATTTTGTACGTACTTGCTTTGCTGCCAACCCTCGCAACCGTTTCGGCAGTCTTTTTATATTGTAACTCATAGCGCGTCGGCGCATATGGCGTGGTAGCTGCTGGAAAATTTGCTTGCCAACAGGAGCTGTAGATAAAGCATCCAGAAGGGTGCGAATCTCCCTGGAACGCTTCTCAGCAAACGCAATAACATTGAGATCTACAAATGCAGCAGCCCGTAAAACATTACCCGTGGAAAACAGACGAAACGGACAGCAGGCTTTCAGCTTTTTAAAGGAACTCCAAGTTGAAAGTTCACTTACCACTTGCGGGAGTAGCCTGGTCCTGAACATCCATGGTATCCGCGGTAGACGTCGATGGTACCGAATCAGGGGTGGGGGCACTGACACCTGCACCTGTTGCTGGAAGATTACCAGCCCTGGAACCGATGGATGAATCCCGCTTCCGTTTTCGTCCACCTGCTTTACTCGACATTCCTCTTAAACACAGCGCATATCACGGAGCAAAGTATCAACACAGTCATAAGATTTCACTTTATAACATTTTAAAATGGTACACTCGACATTTAAAATTAGTACTGACGACGTAATAGTTTATGATTTTTAAAGTTTAAACAAAATCAAAACTAGGAACAACGGGAAAATGAAAATTCTGATCTCAACTTGAGCAACTCTATAAGCTTTATGGTGCGCATAAAAATGATGACACAGGATATTTGGTAGTGCAGCCTTTTTTAAGTAGCACTTTTTCATGGGCCACAACGCCGCCTGTAATACCATGGTCCCTGTATAATTTTTTGAGCCGCTTTCGTGCGTGCGTCCGGTTTTCACATTTCTCCAGTCGTGTCATTTCGCAACAGTTTGAGTTTTGTTCTAATTTTCAGCGCTTTGTAGCTACTCGTGCCAGCTGCTGTTTTTTAGCGAGTAGTAAATTTAGTTGCTTTAAATTGGATTTCTCTTCCTGGGGCTGCATTTAGACTTGTAAGCCGTAAAAATGAGTGACTTGGGGTGCTATGATCCCGGTCGTTTCAAGTTTCCCGACAGCGACAAGGCCGTTCCAGCCGAAACCCGAGCTGTATTTCAGCGGGCTTGCGCCGGGTTCGCCGACGCATACGTCCTCTTGATGGCAGCCGACCACTTTGACCGTTTAACCCCTGGCATGATGGCAGCCGTAGCGAAGCTTCCCGTCCGTTATACATATCTCGGTCAGCTGACATCATCTGGTGACATGGCTCGCCAAAAGATCAACTTACAGTTTGCAGTCAAGAACCAGCTTACTCAGAACGCTGCGAATCATCTACCGGCCAAGAAAGCGGAATCTTCTGACGAGGACAGCTCGGAAGACGAAAAACCAAAGAAAACCCCGGCTGCTAATGCGACCGTAAAACCCGTTTCGGCGATCAAGCCGAATACTGCAGCGACGGCTCCAGTGAAACCCAGCCCGGCGAAGAAAGCGGAGAGCTCGTCGGAAGACAGCTCCGATGAGGATCCAAAGCCTAAAACGGCGATCCCTGCGAAGGCACCAGTGAAGGCTGCACCTACTCCTACACCAGCGGCGAAACCCAGTCCGCCGAAGAAGGTTGCTGAGTCGAGTTCGGATGAAGATTCTGACGATGAGCTGGTAAGCAGAAAATTGAATAGTCAATACTCAACAGAGATGGAAAATAAATGCCAGATTAGATGGAAAAATGAGTAATATTAAACTGAAAAAATAGAAACAAATTTAGATGTGTGGCAAGATTAGAGTATTTTTTTATAATTTCTTTTGCTGTAAAAGTTCGGCGAAGGACCTGATAAGATCTTTAGTAATTTGGTGAAAACGAAAAAGCAGCATACAGCGAACAATGAAAACTTGTTCAGTACGAGACTATACGACTGTGTCTGCATGAGTATTTTCTGTTATAATTTTTTTTCAGAAGTTTATCAAGCTTTTTCTGAGGTTTTGCCCGTTTTGTTGATTTTATACTTACCCGAACCCGTTTCTGACTAAACACCATAACTTATGCTAAACCGTTTTTTTCATATTGTTCAGGCTTCGGTTCAACGATTTTATTATGCGTATTTTTATTTATTCAGAGCTTTGGCATGCATCCCTTGCTGAACACGGCTAGTCGGTTTTAAATGATTCGCTTTTACTTTTGTTTGCTGACAAATCTTTTCCTTATTTTGTAGCCTGTGAAGAAGGTCTCACCAGGCGGCTTTGCCAATAAACCCGCTCCTCCTGCACCTGCTAAAACAACGCCCGTAGCTGCGAAACCAAAGCTTGAATCTTCGTCAGACGAAGATTCCGACGACGAGACACCGGCCACAAAGAAGGTTCCCGCAAAACCTGCACCGGTTGCGGCCAAAGCCAGCGTTGTGCCTCCCGCCAAACAACCAGCTAAGAAGGCGGAGAGTTCCAGTGAAGACAGTTCATCAGAAGATGAGAAGCCGAAAAAGCCAGCGCCCGTGAAAGCTTTGCCGGCGCAACCGGCTAAACCGGTCGCAGCTGCTCCTGTACCGGCAAAACCGACGCCTGGAAAGAAACAACAGCCCGAATCTTCGAGTTCCGAAGAGTCTGAAGATGAACTGGTAAGGCGGGTATGGATAGGCAGTTGAATGCGTCTTTTTAATCTTGTTGCGATTTTTAGCCAAAGAAACCTGCAGCGCCTGTTCCAGCAAAGACACCCGTGGTCACTCCACTAGCAAAACCCGCACTGAACAATGCGAAACGGAAGGCGGAATCGGATTCATCCGATGAGGATGATTCGGATGAGGACGCCAAACCGAAGCCAGCAGCACCGAAAGCGAATTCACCGGCCAAGATTGCAACGCCAGCCCCAGCGGCTAAAGCGGCATCTCCCGTAAAAACACCCGCGAAGAAACCCGAAAGTAGCAGTGAGGAGAGTTCATCGGAGGATGACAAGAAGAAGACAGCCGTTACCGCTAAGCCAGCAGCGGCATCCCCAGCGGCTAAACCGGCATCTGCAGTGAAACCGGTTGCCAAAAAACCCGAGAGCAGCAGTGAGGAGAGCTCGTCGGAAGATGATAAGAAGAAAAAGACACCAGTTCCTGCTAAGCCAGCAGCCAATGCGCTGCCTGCCAAGCCCAAAACGGCCGTTCCACCTGTTGCGGCGAAAACCACTCCGGGAAAGGCACCCGTACCGGAATCGTCTAGCGACGATGATTCTGAGGACGAGTTGGTAAGTAATAATCATATGAAGTGCTGTGATGAGGTGTGAATTATTGATGACTGTGTTTGGTTGCAGCCAAAAAAGGCAGTACCGGTAAAACCTGCAGCGACACCGCTGGCGAAACCGGCTGCGGCACCACCAGCGAAACCGACTCCGGGCAAGAAACTGATGCCGGAATCATCCAGCGATTCTGATTCGGAAGATGAACTGGTAAGGCCGCGGTATAGAAATTCAGTGCTTCAGTGCGTATTTTATTGGATGACTTTGGTTGCAGCCGAAAAAACCGGCAACGCCCGCAGCTGGAGCGGCAGGAAAGAATGTGGCGGTGAATTCTGCAACGAAACCAGCGCAGAACAATGTTAAGCGAAAAGCCGAGTCCAGCAGTGAGGACGATTCGGATGATAATACCGGGCCATCGGTGTTCAGCAAAAGCAATGGGACGCCGGCGGGAAAAAAGATTGAAGCCGGATCGGCTGTAAGTACGTACATAAACTGCTTCACTAAAATTAGGATGGTGATATTTACTTTATTAATTACCGAATTATCTGTCTGCATTACATTGATCTTTGCTGGTTTCTTCGTTGTTTGCCTTGATACATACCTTAATCGAATTTACGAAATCATCCATCAATAAGCCGGTCATGATAGAAAATATTAGTTTATAAATTTATATGATGTAATTGCTTGCATCGATAACCGAAATTCGTCTGGTGCCTTGTTTTTTCTTTAAACTTTTATTTGCGTATTTATTGGTTCTTGATTTACTAGTGTACGCATTATTTAATTCTAAAGGTGAAGCCGTCGGCGATGGGGAAGAAAATGAAGACGTAAACGGAATGGATGCCGACGAGGCGACGGAGAATGGGCCCAACGCCAAAAAGCGTCGCTCGTCGCCGTTTCGTCGTGTGAAAGAAGCTACCGTGGAGGAACTGCATTCTACCGCGGCGGATCCACGTTTATTAGATAATTCTTATCGGGCGTTCAGGGATGGAATGGGCGATGCAGATTGGGCGGATAAGGCGGCGCAGGACTTTCGCACCGTGAAAGGGAAGAATTTCCGCCATGAGAAAACCAAGAAAAAGCGCGGGTCATACCGTGGTGGCAAGATTAATACAGGAATAAATTCTGTTAAATTCGAGTAATTTAATCCTTTGTTATTGTTGTTACTTTTTGATGATGTATCCATTCCCTGGTGGCGGAATGTGTCGTCTAAGTAATCTTTATTTTTTCTCCTTCTCTGATGGAAATATTTTTGTGTGGATTTAGGATTACAATGAACGCCCGAAAAGATCGATAATCCGTTGTTAGGCAGAAAATTACCAAGTTAGCAACAAACTTCCTTTAATAATTACATTTCGAACACCATTCCAACTATTCTAGAAAAATACTTTGCCAAATAACACAACTTTCGTCCAAAAAAATCCTACCATGAGAAACAAAACGCTCTGTTGTTGCTAATTTAGCAAACAGGGAAAGAGGTTCACAACCCAATTGCGTGTGTGTGTGAAAGCGGTTGCCCACGGTGCCAACCAACGATACGTAACAAAAATAAACAGATCAATTAATCTTGATAAAACTGAAGAGACGAACTATCAAGACTGTCAAATCTGACAAAATGGACAACTGTACAGCTTTTTCTGGATCACGGTCGCGGGAATGGAAAATAGACATACGGTAAGACCACCACTTTCTCACCGCTCTGCATCCGATCAACAAAGGCCTCCGTGTAATTGTGCAGGTGTCCGTCGGCGTCTCGCGTGCCCCGGGCCACCTCCCCGCTGGACGTCGTCGTCGCCGACGTGGACGCCTCATCGACATCCCAGGAGAGGGGCCCATCGGCGGCACTCAACGGCGGTAGATTCTTCAGAATATCCGCCAGCTCCGCGTCCACGGGATCGACGCGGGGTCCGGACGGTCCGGCGGGCTCCTCCATATCCTCCTCTTTGGCGGCAATCACAGACGATTTGAGCGTTACATCACAGGGGACCTTGTCAACGGGCTTCTCCGCCGGCAGCAGGTCGGGATTCTTGGCCTGCAGGTCTTTGAGGATCTGGTCGTGCGTCTTCACTTTGGGACGGTGTAGGATCCGCGACGGTATCCCCGCCGCGTCCGGCGTCAGCGGATTCCCCGGGGAGTCGGGCGTGTTGGGGCGGCTATCGACGCGCGGCTTCTTAACGACCGCCGGGGGCTCCTCCGCCGCGGCGCGGGACCGCTTCAGCGTGATCGTCAGCTGGCTCTTGGCCCGACCCACCTTGGGCGACACGGCGTCCGCCTCGGGGGGCTTGACGGGAGCCGTCCGGGTGGTGGCGGCCGTCGTCAGCACGCCGTTGGGGATAACGGGGGAACTAGGAACCGTGGTGCCGTTCTCCGGAGCGGCGATTAACGTCGGAGGTGTGGACGTCGGCTCTTCGGATTCGATCAGCCGGGTGGACCAGATACGGACGAGCGCTTTGAGCCGTTTGGCCAATTTGCCCTCCTTACTGGGCAATTCGCGGCGGAGATCATTAATGGTCTTCCCGATGCGGGATTCCAGGAGGTCCTTCTTGGTTAACTGCATGGGTGATGATAAACGCTCCAGTTCGTCAACACAGCACGTGAAGATGGTCATATCGCGGATCTTGGTCGGGGACTCAAGTGATGCTTCGAGACGATCGCGCAGATCGTTAATGGCACCGCCCATGTCCATAATAACAAACACAGATCAATCTGCGTGTTATTAGCTGTCTTAATGTCTTTTTGTTTAGAAAAAGACATTGACTTACCCAGTTTCCGATCGGGATCAGGCGATCTGGTTGCCATACGAAAGGCCTGCGCAACACACTCTATTGCAACTAATCCGGGCATTGCCTGCCTGTTTTTCCACACGCAGCACAACGCTTTACTTCGCACCGAACGCGAACTACTGCAAATGTCGAGTATCGAGAAATTCACCGACCAAACGCATGCCGTCTGAAATATTCGCGCTGCCGACGGCCACGCCCCTGCGTTCACTCCACTGCCCGGCTGCCAATCAGGTCGGATCGTTTTGGTGTAACTGGGAATAAACTACAAGAGCTTTATTGCAGAATCTAGTTATGAAATGCAGCTTGTGTTATCAGAGTACCTGTTCCGCGTACAATCCACAGCGCAGACTACGCACATATCCACTCTGAACTCTCCATACGAGTGCCGCGCATAGCACGTCGATTCAGTCAATTTTGTAGACAAAATGGTAAGCTGTCTGGGTGATGGATGCTCAAATGCCCGTATTCTACGATATTTATTGTTCTGCTGTTTGCACAGCCATAAACGTAACTTTACAACTTTGTTTAACTTGTAATATTAGGTTTCCCGTACAAGCTTCTATGTGCGGTGTTTAAAGTTTTTAAAGCCCTGTGCCAAGAGAAAAAAGAATAATTTCTAATTACTGTACCGTTAAGGCGTAGTGTTGTGCTACTAAATAAAATTAAATAACGGCCATTTACTTAGTAAAAGTCCGCCTAATATTAAAAGTCTAGTAAATAGTAAGGTTTTGGAAACAAAGTAAGTAAAAGTAAGTAAATGTGCTGCCGGAATAGTAGAAAGTACGTAAATATTAAGGTTTAGCGTTGAATAAATAAAAATCATTTACTAAATTATTTACTAATTCGTTTTATGTAAAATTGGCGTGTCAGCCGCCGCCTCTCGCAGGTAAAGTGAGTGTGCGCAATAGTTGGCTGTCAGCCTGCCGCCCTAAAAAGCAGCAGTATTTACTTTTCAGTAAGCGCTTGTATAGCTTGATTAATGCATAAGAAATTTTTCTACACCATTTTCAGTAGTTTTCAGCGCTTTGAAACTAACGCATTCGACACTTTCAATCCTAAATTACATTTATTTAGTAAATTTACTTTAATTTAGTAAGTAAACGTCCTTGGAAAAATTGAAATAGTAAGTAAAAGTAAGTAAAAGTCCCGAAAAATTTTGAATAGTAAGTAAAAATAAGTAAACTTCCAAAGCAGATAGTAAAAATAAGTACAGTATATCGGCAAAGACTTTTACTACCCAACACTATTAAGGCGTTAACGTAGCGGCGTCAGGTTAAGGCGTTAACGTAGCGGCGTCAGGTTAAGGCGTTAACGTAGCGGCGTCAGGCTAACGGCTAACGGTGCCGGCAAAACGACAACCAATTTTTTTAGCAAGTCAAGCATTCTTTACATTGGATTTCACGTTCCGTTTGATAGCAAGATTCACATAAATAAAGGGAAACTGCCAAAAGATAAGCCTCGTACGTCTTCATTTTTCAAAATAAGTGACAGACTGGAAGTGAACACAAAAGGCAGTCACAGTCTGGCAGTGACTGACTGCGAAATGCGAATTGCGATGCCAACTCCTCACAGGTAATGCTTTTCACGGGCGGTAGCCGTAAACTCTGTAAAACTGTAGCAAACGAATTGAAACGATTGCCCATTTTTTCATTTTCAGTTTTACTTTTTCGGAGTTTTTCCGTTTAGAAATTTCAAAAGCGGTGTCAGAATTTGTTGAAGGTTTTCTCACTGGAAGTTTTGCTTTAACTTCTTCAGTATTTACATCGGTTCTCTGGAATTTTGTGAAAACTCTTGCGTTCTTGTATTCAGCTTTTGTACACCAAGTGTTTGGTTGGCTCCCGAGGATAGGTTTTACTTTCTGGTACCATGGCTGCTGCAGGATCGACTGCCTATGATGCTTTCCTTAGTCCACAGGAAGCGGAGACGGTTCTTAAGTAAATAGGAATCTTACAGCTTATTCGGGATGCCGTGAAAGTACTTTATGGATGCGATTTTTTCAGCTTGGTATCGGAAGCGCTGACAGACGGCTGGTCGTTTGAAACTATCTCCAAACAGTTCAACACTTCTTTCCCCAAAGGAGACCATTATCGCGTCGGACGAGCTCTCGTAAGTCAATAAGAATAAGTGAAGAATGCTGTGTGATTTCCTGTGTTCGAGGGTCCCTTTCTTGTTGTAACGACTGATAATTTCTTGAAAAATTCCCAGTATCTGTTCGCCATACGTTTTACTTTCGTACGATTTCGGATATTCCGCTGCCGTTTGTATTTTTTCTGTACTCGTGGACTTTCGTGCTCACCTGGTTTGGAACTTCGGATTGCTCACGTCCTCAATCTTTCAGTCATTGCGTGCTGTCAGTACGGTATATTAGCAATTTAACCGTTCGGATTTTTTTACATAGGAGATGTTCCTTTTATGTGGAATTCTGGATACTCCCATTCCGCAGTTGACGGCGGTATTTTTGCTCTACGATATGTACAAAGAATTTCCACTGGCTTGCAATCCGTTTGCTCCATTGTTCTATAAACTCTTGGTAAGGCTGCATAAGTACACGTTGCCCATATGAAAATCTACAATGACTAAAACAAGAATACTTATGATTCTGCTGTGCATAGTTGCAAACACCAAAGTGTCTGTGGATTTAATACCGCGTAAAATACTCGTGTACGCTTTTGAGATCTTTTCTTTTTCCCACTTTCGCATTTTGTAAAATTTTTAGTTCTTTCGAATATTTAGGAGGGTTTCTACTTCTATTTTTTTATATATCGTCTTGTTTTTAAATTTGTTTTCATTTTCGTAGCATCCGGAAGAGCAGGAAAAGTTACTGCACGATTTGGCCAAAGATTCCGAATTAGGCAGCATTCCCAATGATGAGGTGGCGGAGCATTTGAGCCGCACGGGATTCTCACTGGATGCCACCGACTGGTTTGTTATGGGTTTGGCTAAATTCCCTCCCGGATGTCGCAGATTTCTAGCCGCTCTGACCACAACACCACCAGCCGATGTAAGTAAAAAATACAAGACAACGTTTAGATCACGCCATTAATAATAGAACTATCGGTTTGTGCAGCTTTAAGGCTTTTAAATTTTGGACCGGCGATTTACGAAATAAAAGTTTTTTTAAATTTTGTTTTACTGGGTTGTGATGAATCCGATGGTAGGGTGTTTGGACGAATTTCATGAGCGTTGTTTTATGCATTTAGTATGTCATCTGTTAACCTTGTACCTCGATTATTAATACATTTTGTTTATTCCATATTTTTTAGTGAATCTCTACTTTTCTTTCTTTAAAGTATTTTCAGCTTAAAACCCAAGTAGCAGCATCAGATATCAAACTTTTGCGTGTTCTTTGGAATCTGGTTTGAAGGATGATTAAGATTTGATATTGCAGATGTTTACTAAGCAGCCGGCATTTTTCTGCAAAATCGATGGGACTAGCACACAGGTATACAGTATGAACACTCTGTCTATTTTTAGCTGAGTAGCATACATAATTTGCTGTTCTTGTTTTATGGATACCGGTATTCGTGATTTAAATATTATATAATGTTCTGTGTAGCCTTTGGACACTGCGCATTTTGACAAAGAGTTCCTTGAGCGACAGGATCGTGTTCCGGTCATGGAACGCTCCGGAGTCAGTTGTGTTGTTGACTATCCTGACGTTACGGTGGTCGGGTATGTTTTACTTAATGTTTACTTGATGAAGCTTTTTTCGGCTTAAAATCTTTTTCGACTTACCGATACTAATAGTGCATACCGGTCAATTACTGTTCTTGTTCAAGAGTTCTATTTTGTGCTTTTCGCACAATTGTGGTTGCTTATTTAGAACTTATCAGTACATCCTTACCAGATTGATTGTTCTTACAACTTTACATGAATCGTTGCTTTGGAGTCAGTGTGATATTAATAAGTAATATCATATTAAAATTTTGCATTTCCCCTTACGTGTAGCCGCAAGGATAAGGTACGAGTAGTAAGGCGAGGTAATAAGTTAACAAAGAATACGACGCTTAATGTGTCGTTTAAACTGAAATAAATTCTTTTCTTCAAATTGGAATTACAGTAAAACCTCTCGTTATATACACTTCTATATTAAATACACTTAAATACACTGTAGGCAGTAGAATTGTAGCGAATGACTTATTCTGATTGATTGAAAATTTTACGATGTCCGGATCTCGGTTTTCACTTGATCAACACGATATGTATTCTCGTCTTACTGGCTAATTCGCTAATTAATACTACTCTAGTGTAAGAGGGCTCAGTAAACGTGTATAAATATCAGCTTTTCGATATAGATTATCATTTTTTCGGTGGTTTTACACGGTTTTCTTTGTAGATCTCGTCAGGAAAGTGGTCGAGCGGCGCGTGAAACGGCCGAATTGCTGTCGTCTGGGCAAAAACCACAGCCGGATTTAACCTTCATACCGGAGCTCATGCGTCCTATTCCCACCATTATGCCTCTGAATCGACGCGAGGTTTGTAATTGTGAAATGAAAACTTCACACCAGGGTGGAATTTATAAGACAGCGAGCGCTCTTTAGATCATACTCTAGGATTTTGCTAAATTCATTGTCAAAAGCGTTAATCGTTTACCTGCCATAGGCGTTAAGTTATGAAAGAACATCTTGAGGAATGGCTTACGAGTCATGACGCGCATTTGAAACGTTTTGTCTACGCAGTTAGTCTGGATGAATCCTCAGCTGGTCGAAGAGTTGAAAATGAACCTGGATCCGACCATGCTGGTTATTCCTCCCAAGTGGCTGGCCGTGTCATCGTTGATTACCAAATCTGTAAGAAGTCCGCTGCATGTGGATGAACAGAACAGTCTGATCAGTGCCTTTGAAGCGGATCCTACGCTGGTGCTGGGCGGCGCTGTTATGACACCGGAGGTATGTACAGTGTTTCAAGAAATTTTGCAGTTCTTCATTATGTATGACGAGGCTGCAGAGAAATACAGCTTCTAAAAACTGACGGGCCAAAGTTTTTAGAAACCGTACTCGTATTTCTTCTGCGGAACAGTTCTAGCACATAGGGTTTAATTTTTTTCCGTAATTTATCATGTCGAATAACGAAAAAGATTAAGTGCGTCGCCGTTTGCATTTAATAATTGTAGTTTTCAACATTATTTTGGTTTTGTCTATGAATGCAACAGCTTGATGTGTGAAAATTGTGGTATTGCAGGACATCCTCGGCATAGTGGAAAATAACCCCGGCATTGCTACGGAAATATTCAAACGCGTCCATAAAATTCCTGACAACGCTATACGGCAAACGTGAGTGGCTGCTACATTCTGACTATTCTCCAACTTGTTCAATCTGGTTTCCCTACGTGTATCATAAATGATGTCACGATTTCAGGCGGTTTAAAAAATATCTCCAAGCCTTCTTGACCACAAATGTTACCGTGCACACCATGGAGGTTATCAATCGATTGCACGAAGTAGGTGCAATGCAACCAATAACCATTTACTTCCCTTTGGTTTTGGATATTTGTTTTAATGTTCTTTTTTATTTTAAAGGCTAAAGTGGTGCCCAGTGATTTCCTGCCGCTGTATGTATCGTATGCATTACGCAAATGTGACAGCACCTCCACGAGTGAGTCGACATACAACCAGAACCGTCTGGTCCGGCTGGTTTGCGTATTCCTTCAAAGTGCTGTGCGTAATAAAAAGCCTTAATCTCAGTGAAAACCCGGTAAGAAAGATCGGCGCTGGCAGTCAATACAGAATACGTTTTGATTGAGGTGATTATCTTTTATCGTCTTTGCAGGATCTCCTTATTGAAATTCAGGCCTTTTGTGTCAAACAGACCACCGTGAAGGAAGCGGTGGCGTTGTACCGCTTGTTGAAGACCAGTCAGAGCCATGACGCGTCCGATAGTTCAGAAGCAGCGTCAAATGACAGCCCTGCCAAAGAGAAAGCCCGTAAATAAATAGAAGTGCATTTTCAATGTTTCATGTGGTTTTTTAAGTGGGTGTTGGCAATTTGTACTCTTGATGGAAGCATGAAGGGGGTTTCATGTGGCTACCTGCGTGTTTTCTTGGATAGATTCCACTGACGTTATGCAACGTAAATAAAACGACGACGAAGCCTAATGAAAGCTCTGAAAAAAGGATGTCATGAATTCTGATTCTGAGGGTCCTTATTGTTAGGTTCTAGTTCAGTTAGTATTCGTATCGAAATTCAACAATTTATTATGTACCAACGGTAGTTGATAAATTGATAAAAAAAAGTCACACATTTATAAAAAAAATAGTTTTTCGATAAATTTTGATGTCCATTCGCGGCTCCTTTGGCAGGTATAATGTGATGGCGATTCCGCCGGCGCCATCATGTTACTGGCTGAGGGTAAAAGTTACGGCCCGCAAGATCACCATCGGCGCTTTGCAGTTTGCACAACCTGGCATTTCCAAGCTTTGAAACACCGTCAGCTTTGTGTAATTGCAACTATTACTGTACAGTACTTAACTACTGTTGTTTAGTCTTGTTCGGACAATACATTTCCTGCTACAGTTACGGTGTACTGAACGGTGTTGCAGTTTGTAACAAGGCAATTTCACAGTATTTATTCGTTCCCAAAATCTGGAACCTTTACGCAAAAGCACAAAAAGAAGCATAATGGTTTCCTTTTGCTTTAAAAAGCGAAAAAAAGTAGAAGCATCATTCATTCGACGAAAAATGTCGCCCAACGGGGGGCTCGAACCCCCGACATTGAGATTAAGAGTCTCACGCTCTACCGACTGAGCTAGCCGGGCTTATCCATAAAGATTTCAAACAGGACTCACAGTCAAACTGAGAAATCGCTAAGTTTCTAAAAAAGCTGTGGGCCAGCCTACCGGAAGTGGGGAAACCAATTTTAACCAATCACAATATCATGGCGAGTATATGATTGGCTTCGGACGAACAGTAGACCGCCTACTGGCAATGTTTTGATATGTTGCAATCAATAGTCTCGTATAAAACGGCAGATCTATAGCGCTTGCCTTTCAGTCAACTGATTTTTGTTAGGTTTTGATTCTTCAATTTTATTTAAATTATTTTTGCGCCTTATCTTTTGCCTTTCTCCGACATATGCGGTCATAAGTTGAGAAGAGATCCGTGTGCAAAATTTTTTGTTTATTCCGTTTTTACTGACTGCTAACGGTAAGTCGACAGTGTTACGACTAGTTACACTGTAACAGTGACTTGTTTATTTTGCTTTTGTTTTTGCGTAGTTGTAAAAACGATTCATTATTAATTTTTCCACAGGAAAATGGCTCGTACCAAGCAGACTGCCCGTAAATCCACTGGTGGCAAGGCTCCCCGGAAACAACTGGCCACGAAAGCGGCACGCAAGTCCGCTCCGTCCACCGGTGGAGTGAAAAAGCCCCATCGCTACCGACCAGGAACCGTGGCGTTGCGTGAAATCCGTCGCTACCAGAAGTCCACGGAACTCCTGATCCGTAAGCTGCCCTTCCAGCGTCTAGTCCGGGAGATCGCGCAGGACTTCAAGACGGATCTGCGCTTCCAGAGCGCGGCCATCGGGGCGCTGCAGGAGGCCAGCGAGGCCTACTTGGTGGGATTGTTCGAGGACACCAATCTGTGCGCCATCCATGCCAAGCGCGTCACCATCATGCCCAAGGATATTCAGCTGGCGCGACGTATCCGGGGAGAGCGGGCGTAAGAGTTTAGATGAGGTGAAGATTGCTCTTGAGTTGATTTTACGTCCATAATCGATCTCATACGGGTTTTATTTCTACGACCATGAAATATTTAGGTAATTGTTTACTTTATTTTGTGAAGGTTTTTGTTTTTATGCTAGAAGTATGTCATTCTGCGATTCCATAGGCCCTCGGTATCGCGATGCTGGTCACATGACCGTACTTCCCTAGTTTTCGCCGTATGGCCGTTGGTGCAAATTTTATTTGGTATTGCATGATCTTCTGCGGCCATTTCGCAAGATGATAATTCAGCGATGGTCTGCCCTTGTTGCTGTAGTACAGGCACGTTGACGGTTGATTATTCTAAGAACTGTCTCAAGGAAATAAACTTGCAGTAACATCCAGACTGTCGAGTAAGTAATAAGTAATTCGGACTGTGTGTCATCCAGACTGTCGAGTAAGTAATAAGTAATTCGGACTGTGTGATTGCCAACCAACAGAAGAATACGTCATATATCGCGATTAATCGCACAATCAAGAATAAGTAAATTTTTATTTGAAAAAATCAAAATCTGTTGAAATTAAGATTAAAATGAATTTGATGCAACGATGCAACCCCTTTCGCCTTATCCAATTCCTACTCTGAAATATAAAGTACATTATAATTTGTACATATCCGTTCTGGTACTGGTAGTAGTCGTGTACATAGTACATACCATAAAAATATTATTCGTGATATTATTACGAACAAGACACAACCAACAATTACTTAATGAAAATCTATATTAATATCATTATTAATTATTATTAATAAAAATTGGGACAAACTACACCATTTTCGTCCACTGAAATAAACCATGGGTGCCCGAAGCTAGCAGCCCCAAAATGTCGCTCAACGGGGGTTTGTGAAGTTTGGAGCTTTGGATCCCCACATCGGTAACCGACTGAGCTAGCCGGGCTCAATCATGGAATTCGACAACAGGAATGACAGCCAAATCCAGATAATTATCTCATTAGTAATAGTGACCGAAGGGTCATTACCGAAAGTTACAGTACTGTACATGTACTGTTGAAAAAGATTTGGATTATCCTACCGGAAGTGAGTACTGTATTAAAAGCCCTTCCAACCAATGTTACCAATCACAGCATTATTGAAAGCATACGATTGGCCAGACAGCGCTGTACGGCGTACGGTGTGCAGTACGCGTACAAAACGTTTGGAGCGTGACATGCCCACGTGACATGCCCATGATGATAAATCCCACACCATTGGTTTGTCTTTCATTGTTGTCTTAGGTTGTGATTTGTGAATCGTTGACTCTCTAATTTTTTTTTAAAAATATATCGCCCCTTATCTGTTGCCTTTCTCTGACATATGTTGTCATAATTTGAGAAGAGATCCGTGTGGAAAATTCTGTGTTTCTCCCGCTTTCGCTGACTGCTGACGGTTAGTCAATATAGCAGCTGCAGTGACCACTCCATGTGACAGATTTCGACTTCCGCGGGTGCAGTTAGTGAATGCCCTGTGCTTTGTTGTCGTTTTAAAGTAATGGTAAAAACGATTAACTTGTTTTTCTCCGCAGTGAAATGGTTCGTACAAAGCAGACTGCTGGTGGTCAGGCTCCCCGGAAACAACTTGCCACGAAAGCGGCCCGCAAATCCGCTCCCTCCAAAGGCTACGTGAAGAAGCCCCGTCGCTTTCGACCAGGAACCGTGGCGCTACGTGAGATCCGCCGCTACCAGGGATCCACGGAGCTCCTGATTCGTAAGCTGCCCTTCCAGCGGCTGGTGCGGGAGATCGCGCAGGACTTCAAGACGGATCTGCGCGTCCAGAGCGCGGCCATCGGGGCGCTGCAGGAGGCCAGCGAGGCCTACTTGGTGGGATTGTTCGAGGACACCAATCTGTGCGCCATCCATGCCAAGCGCGTCACCATCATGCCCAAGGATATTCAGCTGGCGCGACGTGTTCGGGAGGGAGTGCGCCCGGTGCGGGCTTAAGAGTTAAGATGAGTTTAATATTCTTAGGTTGAGGCCGGTTATACCCATATTTGATCTCGTATATTTATTTGGTTCGGTTTTTCGACCATTGAATGAGTGATTGCTTAGTTTATTTTGTGACGGTTTTAGTTTTCGTTTTTATATATTGTGGACAGAAGGAAGCATGTCAGTCTGCGATTGTATTGTCAAATAATCGTACTTTGCCGTATGGCCGTTGGTGCATGCTGTTAATTTTACTTGGTGATGAAATGATCTTATACTGGGCGTCCATTTCGACGCTATAATATGTTGCTGTATAATACAGACAGTGAGACGCATGGATTACGTCAGCTTATCTGTTGTCTTTTCACAAATGCTTCCCGGGTTAAGGAAATAAACTTCGGTGTCCAGTCAGTGTCATTCGGATTGCGGTTATCAAGTTGAAAAGTTCACAGCGAAAAGCAGAAGAATACGTAATAACATAATCGCGATAAATGGCACATTTTAAAAGATGTACCCATGCAAAAATGGGTACTACTTTGTATGAACAAGGTATTGAGACCTGCCCTGGTACGGCCCAGACTCAAACTCTGATTCTGACTACTCAAAGTCTGATTCTGACTACTAAAAGTCTGACCCTGATTCTGAAGGTTTCTTGGGTTTCTTAGGGTTTTTCTTAGGTTTCTTAGGGTTTTTCTTAGGTTTTTCTTAGGTTTTTTAGGTTTTTCTTATGTCTCTTAGGTTTCTTAGGTTTCATAGGTTTTCTTAGGTTTCTTAGGTTTTCCTTTTGTCTCTTAGGTTTCTTAGGTTTTTCTTAGGTTTGGAGTTTGGACAGTCAGAAATTCAGAATCAGACTTTGAGTGGTCAGAGTCAGAGTTTGAGCGGTCAGAGTCAGAGGTTGAGCGGTAAGAGTCAGAGTTTGAGCTGAGAGGAGGAGTGGCCTCCCCGCACACCCGCACTGGTGCGGGTGCTAAGTTGTTTTGCTGTTTTTGCTAGTGATTTTCTCCATCTACCAGCTCTTCGATCTGGTAGATTCTTCAGTTGCTAGCCATCGTCGTCTGAGTAACTTGCTGTACTTTTAGCCCCGCAGCATTCTGCTGCGGGAGCGAATGCTGCGGGAGCTTCTGTAGTGTCATGTGAATGGGATAAAGTGTGCAGTTGATTGTCGGGTGTCTTGCGTTTCCGCATAACTCGTAGTATACAACACTGCTCACTCTGCAGGATAGATTCCGTTTCTGTCTCTGTCCGTGGATTCTTCCTAGATCCACCATCATATGGTAGCAGAGCGTGTCGTTTATCCATTGGGACCATTTTTAATCGTTTAAGCGGTTATAAGGATACCGCAGTAGCAGCAGCAAAAGGGAACGGCTATACGGATGCCGTCATCGCGAAAAGAAGATGGATCGCGAAAAGAGGATGGAACAAGGGAACGGCTATACGGATGCCGTTATCGCGAAAAGAAGATGGAACGGTTATAAGGATATTGTCACAGCGATTTTCACCAGTAACGGACTGGTGTACCATGGATATCGCACAACAAGAATGTCAGCAGCCAGCCAGCGACGACTACGCCAACTCCAGTCCACAGCAGCTCAAGGACTGCCATCCACTGAAGCCCACGTGAACCCTGCCACCAAAGACGATGCAGTGAGCTGCTCCGCAGGGTCACCAGTGTCATTTTGCCCCAACCCCCTGCCCGATTTTGCTGGGAAGACGACCTTTCCTGGACGGATGCAGCGGAATTTCCCCACCGAGGAAGCGTATTTTGGTGTTTGCAGGGTCACCAGTGTTCAAATGCCCCAAACCCCTGCCCGATTTTACTCAGAATGTGACCTTTCCCGACTGAAGAAAGAACGGAATATGTCCCTAGTTCCGGGTTCGACCGTAGATTTCGTCGCAGCCAGTGCGTTGACCCAGACAAGGTTAAAGAGGTCAGAGCGGACTGGATCCAAAACCGAAACGAACCGAGCCGAAGTGAAGTGTACCGTAAACCGATGTGAAGCAAGCCGTATGTGACGTCTTTCCAGTACCGCAGGCACCGGTGACGTCAGCGGATACAGAAATGAAACGAATCCGAAGCGAAGGTGCGAAAACAGTGAAACGAAAGTGTATGTGTCAGTTTTTCCAGTACCGCAGGCACGGGGCCGTGTCTGCAGTGTGAAGGATGCGCATCGGCTATGTGGACTGGTGAGCGGAGGTTTACAGCCCCAGCGGCCACCCAGGACTTCAACCCGGGAAGACGTGGAGGGGAGTTCGCGACGCCGCGCGATACGCTCGGAGGACCTCACGTGTTCCACCCGCAGGCATGAGAGGAGGAGTGGCCTCCCCGCACACCCGCACTGGTGCGGGTGCTAAGTTGTTTTGCTGTTTTTGCTAGTGATTTTCTCCATCTACCAGCTCTTCGATCTGGTAGATTCTTCAGTTGCTAGCCATCGTCGTCTGAGTAACTTGCTGTACTTTTAGCCCCGCAGCATTCTGCTGCGGGAGCTTCTGTAGTGTCATGTGAATGGGATAAAGTGTGCAGTTGATTGTCGGGTGTCTTGCGTTTCCGCATAACTCGTAGTATACAACACTGCTCACTCTGCAGGATAGATTCCGTTTCTGTCTCTGTCCGTGGATTCTTCCTAGATCCACCATCATAGATAACGGCGATCGTATGATCGCAGATAACGGTGAGCAAGGAGCCACAGAAAAAGAATATGTCGAAAAAGTTATCCCAGTACCAGAGGCACTGGGAAAGGAAAACGAAAGGTCACCAGCGACAAGCGTTGTGAACTTGAAACCAGAGCGCACTTCGAACCTTTTCGAACCTCGATCTGCTATTGAAAATGACGAAAGGTCACCAGCACTCGAAGAGATAGCTGCCACACACAAAGGGGCGGCGGTCGCAGCAAAACAATCGCTCGTGCCTGGCATGGAGTGGGCAAAGCCTATCCCAGTACCAGAGGCACTGGGAATAAAGACGGCCAAAGTGGATAAAAAGAGTGAAAGGTTACGGATATTGAAACGAATAGCTGAAGAAGAACAGATGTTCGCGAGCGAAATCCGCGACAAAGCGCTTGAACGGTTGAAAGGTCACCAACTGAACAAAGAACAAGAGATTATTGAAATATCCTCCGACGAAGCGAGTGCAACAGAAATCGAATTTGAGCACAAAGCTACAACACAGGAGAAGGAGATTGCCAAACCGCAAACGAATCGGAGGATATTAACTCCAGAAGAACGAATGGGGAGTTGCGGACACGGTTACTACGAGGATCCGTGTAGAGTGCAACCACAATGGGAATGCACTGAATGTCTCCAAGACGCCTCCCAAGATGACCTTTCAGAATGGCCGAGATGTAACGCTGCATTAGCAGATCTTAAAGGTCAAGATCAAAAGAAAACGAAAAGTATCATGAGGACCAACGAAATGTGGAAGCCACACATTGAGCGGTATCATTGGAACAGATATCGGACTTGATTGTCATGTGTGAAAAATTTCATTATGGGAGGGAAAATGGCTGAACCATTGGCAGCAACGTGTGGAAAATGGAATCCAAGATCCCTTTGATCCGGTAAAAACGGAACGAAAACTCGAAAGAGAGATAGACGTAATGAATGAAGAAGTACAGCTATGGGAAGAAGCGAGAATAGAACTGTTCTGGGACTTTCGCATAAACCATATGTACAAAGGTCAAGGGAGAACAGTCATATTCCCAACAGGACTTGGTACACCGGTATATGAATCGGTGGTGGTATTCTGTAAAGCACTCAAAGATGATAACTGGCAGATATTCGACAAATACTGGAGGAAATTCGAAATGGAGATTCCAATATTCGACGCAAAGGAGATGCGCGAATTGCCAGTAACCCGGAAAAGAAGGTTACCGGGATTGATGGAGAAGAAAAAAGTGACCTTGGCACCAGATCCAGATGGAGTCGACTATCCAGAACGAGGTGGTGATACGTGGTACATGTACGAAACGATTCCGAGTGATGACTGGGTCACCGAAGAACTCATGGCAAATTGCGTCTTTGTTGGTCCCAAACGGCCTAAAGGTTACGAGACGGTCCAACAGGACGAAGTTGATAAAGAGACTATGAAAGAAGCGGAGAAGGAAGAAACAGCTAAAGAGACAGCTGAAGGAGGATCGGAAGAGACGGAAGAAAGTCCAAAATCAGCCTTCGACATTGCACAGATGATAACGGACAGAGGACAAATGTGGAAGAAGTTTAAAGAGGAGGTTGAAAGGATATCGAATGAACAACAAAACCCAGTAACTGAGGCAAAAAACGGGGAAAGGTCACTCGATAACGGTGAGGAACGTCCGCCGGTCGAGTTGACCGAAAAACCATTAACGAACCTCGAGAAAATAGAAAAGTCAAAATCAGACGAAGAAAGGCCAAACTCCGATCAATCAGAAAGGTCACCAATGAGAATCCGGGTAGCGAGGAGTCACCCGAGAATCGCTGCACGAAATGGAAGAAAAGCAAAGGAAGCGGACAAACCTCTGCTCAAAAATTTAAAAACGAAAAAACTTAGCGATTCACGGGAAAATGAAAGTGACCTTTCATCAGAAGATGAAGGAGTTGACGAACGTCCACTTGAGAAAGCTGACAAAGGTCAAGCTACTGCACAAGAATACGAGAGCAGTGATTCGGACTCAGAATGGACGAGTTCAAGCGATAACTCAACGACTTCAGAAGATTCAGGCGTAAGTGACCTTTCAGAACAAGAGGACTTACTGGATTTGGATGAAGACGACGAGGTGGATGAAGAAAAAGAAAAGGATATTAAAGTCAGAAGATTGAAAGTGGAAAAGGCTAGAATGTCGAAGGATGTGATCAAAGTCTACAGTGATCAAAGAATCAAATTGAAACCGTCAAACTGCACACGGGTAAAGGTCAAGATGGGAAAATATGCACCGGCTCAGAACAAGTTGATGTTTACACCGGTCCCACAAGTGGAAACTGAAGTGCAACCGTTGGCAGGAGTGACGGATCACAGGGGAAAATACTTTGAAATCGTCATTGCGAATCACAGTAGCAAATACCGAGTCGTGAAGAAAAATCAGCTTCTCGGATATGTTGAGCCGTATGAACACATGGAAAATGTAAAGGTCAACGCTGGGACAGTAAAGAACGTACTCGAAGACCCAGAGGTGGATGACACGACGAAAGCGGAACTGACAAAAATAATTGGAAATCTGAAATTAGGACCTGACCTAACCGAAGAACAAAAGAACGACGTGTACAACGCGTTCTGGGAATTCTGGAAAGTCTTACCGACGTCAAAGAAACCGTACGGAGATGTGAAAGGGGTCACTCACGTTATCGATACGGGAGACGCGAAACCAGTCAAATGTAATCCGGCCAGAACGAGTTGGACAGGCCGTGAATTCATTACAAAGCATATAGAAGAGATGTTGGCACAGGACGTGATCGAACCGTCAGACGCCGAGTGGAGCTTTCCAGTCGTGCTGGCTGTGAAAAAGAACGGCGACGGAACGATGGGAACAAGATTTTGCGTCAACTACATTATGCTAAATAAGTTGACGAGGAAGAATAACTACCCGTTACCGAATCCGGACGAGTTGCTTGATGCGTGTGCAGGCAACAAATACTATGGAAAAATGGACTTACAAAGTGGATTCTGGCAGATCCCAATGGATCCAGCGTCAATCAACAAGACGACCTTTGTAACGCAAGATGGAATGTATCGATTTAAAGAATGCCATTTGGAGTTTGTAATGGACCAGCAACATTCCAATTGTGCATGGATAAAGTACTGTCGAAAGCGAAAAGAAAGGGTTGCGTTTTCGGGTACATTGACGACGTGATTTTCGCCGGAAAAACTTGGGCGATCTTCATGCAGAATTTGAGAAACGTCTTAATGAGTTTAGTCAGCGGGATTCACGATCAAACCGACCAAATGCGAATTCGGAATGAGACAAATGGGATTCCTGGGACATATCCTTAGTGAAGATGGAATTCGAATGGATCCTGAAAAGGTCACCGCAGTATCCGAATTCAAACGACCTCAAACTGAACGACAATTAAGGTCATTCCTTGGACTGGCGAACTATTACCGCAAGTTCATAATGGGATATGCACAAAAGACTTGCCATTTGTACGAACTGTTGAGACAAGATAAACAAGTGAAGAAGGACTGGACAAAGGTGCACGAAGAGGAATTCAACAGTCTGAAACAACTGTTATGCGAAGGTCCAGTATTGGCGAGAATTTGACCCCGCAAAAGCCGACCGTTATTGAATGTGACGCGAGTAAAGAGGGAATCGGAGCGGTATTATCTCAAGATGGCCACCCGATCGCATATGCGAGTCGCGTGTTACATGGGGCTGAAAGAAATTACGGCGTAACAGAATGGGAATGTCTGGCGGTAGTGTTTGCTGTCAGAAAATTCAAGCCGTTTATTGATTATGCGGAATTCACCGTAAGAACGGATCACCAGGCGCTGACCAACCTATTGAGGTCGGAAACGAATAAAGTTGGAATGAACCCGCGTTTGACCAGATGGGCAATGGCGCTGCAAGGTCACCAGTTCAAAATCGAGTATAAGCCGGGAAAGTATTGTGACAATGCGGACGCGTTATCAAGAGCGCCGATCGAAGGGCCAACGTGTCACGAACAAGAATTTGATGAAATCCCAAACTTCGAGGACTACAAGAAGGAGTTTGACACGAAAGAACCAGCAATTGAAATTGGACAGTTGTTCCTGCAGATGGTGGAACAGAGAGAAAAACGGTTAAAGGTCACTTCAGCTACGGCGAAGGAGTCGGCTGAAAACGAAGCAAAAGTGAACCGCGTAAAAAGCTGGTTGCCCACCGTGAGTGACTTAAAGGTCACCGGACTTGAAATGGAATCAGAACCTCAAAACGGAAAGGTCACGGGACGGGATGAAACAGCGCAGAATAAAGATGACCTTTGGGAAACGGACAAAGCTACACAGGCGTTGAACGAATGTCCGATTAAGTTGTTGAGATTCCCAAAACAGACGAAAAAGAGATACAAACCGCTACCACGCTGCAAGGTCATCAAGGACTGGAATGAACTTAGCACAGCGACAGTCCGCATTGTCAACCTGCAAGGTGACGAGGAAGAGGAAGATGACTCGAATTTACAATTGCGCAATAAACAGTTAAAAGATCCCCATTTGGCAATGATAATAGACGAATTGGAACACCTACCAGATGCTGAAACGAGATCGAAATTTGAAGTTCATTACCAGTTGTGGAACGGCATATTGTACCGAGTAAAGGATAAAAATGGAAGACTTGAAAGGTCATATGTGGTACCGTTGTCAATGCGAAGAGCGATAATTCACGCATTGCACGACGAAAGCGGCAGGACATTTGGGATTCGAAAAGACATTGACAGCAATCCGGCTCCGATATTATTGGGACCGAATGAGTACAGATGTGAAGAATTACATAACTGCCTGTCAAGGATGTCAATTTCGTAAAACACCAAGGAAATGCCCACCTGGTAAATTGCAAGAGATAAAGGTCGGACATCCGTTCTTTCGAGTCTACGCGGATCTGAAAGGACCATTGCTACCGACGAAGAAACGTGGATATAAGTACATAGCGGTGTTTATTGACCAATTGACGAAATATGTGATCGCTGTACCGATGAAAACGGCAACGGCTAAAGAATTTGCGAAAGTGTTCGTGAAACACGTGATATTGGTACACGGAGCACCGCACATCCTACACGGATCGTGGACGGCACTTCACAGCTGAAGTTTTGACAAGGTCACCAATGTGTTTAAGATTAAACACACATTTGGAACAGCATATCACCCAGAAGGTCAAGGCCAAGTCGAAAGACAGATGCAGACGATTACGGATGGCTTGGCGCAATACTTGAAAGCGGGAAACGAAAGGAAGTTCAACAAGTACCTCCCATATGTCATTTCGGCGATGAACAGAGTCGTACACGCCACGACCGGATATTCAGCATATTATATGCTGCACGGCAGAGAAATGACAATGCCGGAAGACGTGGTCACAAAACGAATATCCCGGACGATTATGGGACCCCAGATGAATGGGTGGAGACCATGAAAAGAATTTGACCTTTGCCGAAGAGGTGGCGAGATGTAACATCAAAGATGCATATGAAAAGAATGCGGAAATCTACAACAAGAAGAAATCGGACCGAACTTCAAAGTCGGCGACTTTGTATTGATACGGCTCCCAAAGGATACGAAACAAGGGAAGAAGGAAAACCAATCGGACTTTAAGTCAAAATATGATAAAGTATGGAAAATCCTTAGCTTCCCGCGAGCAAACGAAGCAGAGGTCATTGAGCAGAACCCAAAGAAGGAAGCGGACTTAAAGGTCGTCTCAATCGACCGCCTGAAACCATGGCACCCACCGTTGCCAGATGAAAAGTTGGAAGGCAATCCTCAAGGAGAGATGGAATCAGAGCGAAGTCCACAAAATGATTTGGATCCCCAACGCAAATCATTTTTCGAACCACCCTGCTACCCGAAAAGGAAAAGTCGGAAGAAGATAAACTCAGTGAAGCCGAGCATGCTCCGAAAAATGGTACCAGTCAATTTTTCGAACCACGCTCTCTGCTACCTGACACAGGTGGAGATAAACCAAAAAAGAAGAGGGGGAGACCGAGGAAAGAGGATAAAGACTTCGAGACAGCGGTTACAATCCAGTTGAACGCAGAAGCCGGAAATTTGGCAGAAAGGTCACTGGGAAAAGAGACCGAGTCAGGCTCAAAAGTAGCAGAACGTACTGCGAATGAATCTTTAGCGTCCAAAAGGGACTTGCAACAACCCTTTTTTGAACCACGCTCTGCTACCATATGATGGTGGATCTAGGAAGAATCCACGGACAGAGACAGAAACGGAATCTATCCTGCAGAGTGAGCAGTGTTGTATACTACGAGTTATGCGGAAACGCAAGACACCCGACAATCAACTGCACACTTTATCCCATTCATGACACTACGAGAAGCTCCGCAGCAGAATGCTGCGGGAAAATAAAAGTACAGCAAGTTACTCAGACGACGATGGCTAGCAACTGAAGAATCTACCAGATCGAAGAGCTGGTAGATGGAGAAAATCACTAGCAAAAACAGCAAAACAACTTAGCACCCGCACCAGTGCGGGTGTGCGGGGAGGCCACTCCTCCTCTCATGAGCGGTCAGAGTCAGAGCTTGAGCGTGGGCCGCCTGGTACTAACTAGTACAGTAACTACAAAGCTGCGAGTACGAAAACAGCCGTTTAAGTGACAACTTGCGCAGGGTGGGCGCTCACTACGCTACTGTATTTATATTGAACATTTTCTTTCAGCAAACATGCTGACATATTTTGTCGATATTAAATTTTAATACATTTTTACTCGTACTTCACAAGTAAACAAGTTTTCAAAAAGTGAAAAGTTCTTGTAAATTTGAACTACATTCTATTCAGTGGTACCTTAGCGTCCCGAATAATTCTTCAGTTGAACGCGAGAAAAAGCACACTTCGCCCAGTCATGTCGAATCAGGATCTAGTAGAGCAAATCTTAGATGATCACAAGGAAATGCGGGCTTTCATCGATAAAATCCAGCAGACCTGCCCATCACAACCCGAAGAGGCCACAAAATGGCTGCATCAACTGGTGTGGGAGGTGGCTCGTCATTCCGTGGCGGAAGAACTGATTCTCTACCCCCTGATGGAGACTGAACTGGGCGCCGTGGGGAAAAACCTGGCTGACAGTTCCCGTGCGGATCACCAGCGCACCAAGGACGATTTGCAGTTTCTGGAGAACAAGACCCTGGCGGATCCCGCGGCGGTGGCCCGCTATCGCCAGATGGCTGACGAATTGATTGTGCACCTTAAGAAGGAGGAGGATGAGGATCTGACGCAGGTGCGACTAAATGTCGGCCAGGACAAACTGCTGCAGGCGGGCAAAGAGTTCAAGCGGACCAAGTTTTTTGCGCCCACCCGACCGCATCCAGAGAATTCCATGGATCCGCGATTTGAGACGCCGTATAGTTTGCTGGTGGCGCCTCTGGATAAACTGCGGGATTTGTTTCGGAGTTTTCCGGATCGGGATCTGGTGGAGAAGGTGGAGGCGGAGGCCACCGGACATTCGTAGACGCTCGGGAAATTCCAACGGAATTTTCCACTGTTATCTGATTTGTCATGTTTGTGAATCCTTGTTTGGCTTCCAGCTTTATGAAGTGTTGTGTTAATCATGCTCGGTTCAGTATGATTTTTTCCATGATTTTTAAAATGATTTTCATAAATTAGGTTTTTCTTTGCTTTGGGACGGAAATAAATAATGTTTCGATTTCATGCTACCGGTTATTTTTTATGATACCTAATTTATGTATGTTTGATTTGAGTAATATTTGTATGTCCTATGTAGCACATTCCGATTCGACGTCATTATTAGCCAGTCACGAAGCAATAAGATAATTATGTAGTTATCAGCCCTGCACGAATAGCTGATAATTAAGCGATTACACCATTCGGCAGGTTTGCAACAAACAAGCTACTGAGTTGGGGTATCTGTTGCGGTGCTATTAAGTCAAGGTTTTTGAACTGACGTAGTAAACTTGAGTTTTCACATTTTGACGTCTTTTCGTGGAACGATGGCCGACCCTGACACACCCAAACGCACCGTTCCGACCCGCAACATCGGTCGGCGTGGTGCCGAAGAGACCGGGGAATGCACCCGCACGCTCAATGCCTTCGGCTGGCAAGTCAACGAGATCGATCCCCACGGGCAGGAGTTCAATGATTTCGCCCGCAGCGGGGCCACTCGGCCCATGGCCGATCTGGCCTGTGGATTCGGTTTCTCCACACTGGCGCTGCTGAAGGAGTCCACAATCCCGGTTATTGCCAATGACCTCTCGGAGGAGCATCTGGCCCAGCTGTTGACCATGGTGACGCCGGAGCAGCGGCGCCGTCTAACTGTTATCCCGGGGAATGCGCTGGAACTGCAGTTTGAGCCGGGGTCGTTGGACGGATGTCAGGCGCTGCGGTTCCTGCACTTCCTCCATCCGGCCGAGATACGGCGGGCGTTTGAGAATTTCGGTCGGTGGATTGCTCCGGGTGGGAAGCTGTGTATGACCAGTGGGACACCGTATTTAATCGAGGCGAAAGAGAGCGGATTTTTGCAGGTGTATGAGCAACGGAAAGCCAGTGGTGACGAATGGCCAGGGTGAGAGATTTTTCCTGTGTAAAACGCAAATTAAAGTGTTGACTGCCATAATATTAGAAGCTTTTACCATAGCGTGTTAATATGCGCGTAATAATATAGCGTATTAATATACGCGTTACTCTTGCAAAACTGATGCATTGTACAACCAGCACATTTACGACGGGTGTCAATTTTAGCTTTAATATAGATATACCTATATCTATACGCAATTATTAAAATTCAGACCAGTGATGTTCAGTGTTTATTATGTTCAGACCTGTGATTAACCTTGCATCGTGCATGTGTTGTGTAATGCGTATCTTATAAGTTATAACAATCTTACTTACCAGTTACCGGTACCGGTGATCGGATTAGATAAAGCCTCCAGTACTGATCAATCCAATTTAAACACTGATAATTGGCTGACATGTGGCGTTTTATTCTTTTTGCGTTATTGACTTGTAATGATTTTGGTTACAGATACATGACGGCGGATAATGTGTGCTGGCCGGAAGGGATCAGTGTGGATCACGGGTATCTGTTCGATAAGGATGTCCTGCAGCGTGAAGCAACCCGAGCCGGCTTCCGTGTCGATCGACTGGAGTACATCGCCAGGGATTACGCCTACACCAATGGCCAGGAGAATATTGGCCTGCTTGCCACAAAGCTGTAGCTTCTTGATCGTCTTCTATAAACATTTAATTTTTTTGTTCCAAGTTTCTTAAGTAACGTGTACTGCTTTTTCAAAGAAGAACTGCAAATATTCGTGGGCGTCAAAAAGTCGTCATGCTGCGAGAATCCCCATCAGTAAGCCATTTGTTAGACTCCGTTTTAAGTTTGCAATTACGTAGATACCTTAGTTTAAAATTACAGCGTATTAGTCGACATTGCAAAATTGTTGTATGCTGGCAGCCTGCCGTTACCGAGTATTCAATGTCAGAACCTCAGAAGGACAAACAAAAACAACGAAACGCCAGTTAATTTTATCTACTTCGTCTTTTACGAACAGAAAAATGCCAAGGCGTGTACCGTGTTACCATTTATTAATATTATAAGTGCAGTGCACAATTTAAAAACATGAGTTTAACTGTAATTAATGTGACATACATAAGTGTTACTGCAATATAATAATTAACAGACTGGACAACGTGAGCTGTCGCTGCTGTACCCGGAAATGCACGTGACTTGTCTATCTATACGATTATAATTATAGGATAAATCTATATAGATATAGATGCGTACGTAAGGTACAAATTACTGTAACTGATCGTGAGTTAACACCAGAAAATGGATCAGAAACTAAAATATTTAATTATGTACCTTGCCGTGCCTATTTTGACAAAATTATCGCGGTGCTTTGTCTCAAGCGTGCGTCAGTTTCCCCTAGCATTATAATGTGTTATGAGAAACCTCTATGATAAATTTCTCAAAACATACATTCATTAAACGGCTAGATTGCCTCCTGATTTCTCGATCTTCGTATTAAATTCGCGCTCATCACTGCGTACACTACGTACATTGGAGCGGAATGGAGCCAGTTCAACAAAAGAGCTGATTAAATATTTCCATGCAGCTGGAAGCGTTTCTTGAAAACTGATTGCGACCAGTGTTATCGCAGTATGCTTTCTGATCTCGAGAACCAACGCATCGGGAATAGCGGAGATTTTTGCCGACCTTTTCGAAGATGGCAGAATCGATGTTAGCAGCTAGCAAGCATGGAAGGGGGCCAACGCACAGCAACACCAGTCAGCAGAGGTCCGGTCGAAACATCGGACGCATACTCATCCATGCAGCCAGTCACTTCCAGTGTCTTGGAAAGCAAGCAGGTGCTCCACCACACACGTTTCTATTCAACGATGAATACCGTAGACTCATACATTTTGCATATGTATCTGTATTATGCTTATGTGCGAAAATGTCCGCATTCATGCAGGGAAGCACAAGTTGTCCTTGCAAATCAACGAAAGTACTACACCCAGACATTTCCGTTACGGCACACGTGGCCACGCAGCAAATTCTCGTATCGCTACGGCGAATTGGAGTGGTCAGTCCGGATGCCGCAGAGCAAGCCGCTTCGGTCAGTCTTTCGTTGATTTCCAGCGACTGCAGCAGTGATCCTTGTGCTAATCGCATCGATATCCATAATACCGCCGTGACAGGCCGAACCAGGTGACCTTTATTGTCCACTCTGCCATGGCTGCTGTGCGCCTGAACAGTAGCACGGCAAAAAAGACAATAAGCTTTGCTACGAGTTTCAACCGGTTTCGTATTTTGTGGGATAATCGACAAGTACCAGTTCGCTTTATTGAGTATACTGCACCATTACACTTTTGTTTACAAAATATAAGTAAACGAAGTCAGGTTTTCCGTAAACAATCAAGTGAGAATGGGCATCGAGGTGGTACGGGATGATAATGCTTTTATCATCCCGTCTCGTCATCATCCCTGATGTGGTATGCATGTGCGGATGGAGAGCTCGGTTGGTGCTTGGTTCACCCGAACTACAACCGCATACACATACTGCTTCATTCCAAGCTTCGTATTAAATCGTCGAGAAAATTACGGTTCATCTTTGGCAATGAACGGACTGATGAAACGTTGGGCATTTCTCGTTTTACATGGTTGAAATTAGGAGCTGCTGGATGCTCGCACTTCGCAGCAAAATAGTTCTGTATATTACAGCCTACCTTATGTCCTATAAAATACAGCAAGCGGTATTGGTCAAGGTTTCTATATGTTGGAAATGACAATCCAGTTTGAGGAGTAAATATCATCAGCTGTAAATGGTACCCAGTATTCACTCACTATCCTGCAGTGCAAGGGCACGCTTATACTTTGTACTTAATTTTAAATGAATACCATGATATCAATAAGTACTTCAGATGAAGAGAAAATTAATGCTATATCAAGTACGCAAATTCGGGAGTCGGGACCTTCAGGTACTATGCACTCAATCTTTATGTCCGATATCTTGCGACCAGCTCGAGCACTTAGTCACTTTTACAGACTCGGGAGTCGGGGTCACTATCCGCTGATTGTCCGCGCGGATATTGAGGCTGGATTAGGTACTTCCCGTTGGTTTTAAATTTAATTGTGTACCCCTCGTGACAACGTGCATCCAGTCAAACGACTCTTGTGTTTTGTTAATGGCCATTCGAAGAAAGCTAAATGAATTACTGTATCGTCAACCGGATAAGTGAGCTGACTGCATGCTGCACGTGATGGCAAAATAAATACCATGCGGCTTTTATCCACACTGGAAAGGTTCATGCCAATCGATTTGATTACATAAATGCTGATGTAACCTGCGCAGTGACACCCTGCATCTGCATGATGATGGTGATTTACTTATGCGCGCTACAAATGGTTCTGACCAAGTGATTTTAGCGGAAAAAGTGGATGTTGTTGTCGTAAACGTTAGGGTTTAATCACAGAAAAAGGTCAAAGTCGTGAGAATCTGCATATGACCTGGCTAACGCAATTATTATTTCCGCGACGATATCATAGCGTAATCAAGCGTCGAGAACCACGTTGTAAATTGTTATTGATTTGCTGTCCATCTGGAAACAGAATGCACCATGTATACGTTTGAAACAAAAAAAGAGAGAGAAAACAGAAGTCTAGATTTGTGAAACAGAAAAGCCAAAATTACACAGGAAAGAAAGAGTAGACTGTTGTCCGCGTATGGTGAAAACACATTGATTCGAGGACAAACGACAAAATAATCTTCGTTTGAACACTTATCCCAAAGAAGAACATTTTCATTTATCTAAAATTCTGACCGCGTCACCATAACTGGCAGTCAGGATGAAGAGGCAGGAGATCAAAACGACAACAAAAAAACCATTTTTCTGTGTGTAATTCTGTTCAGACACCGGTGCCGGATCCAGGGCGAGCATCTGTCGACGCATATATATAATTTCAATGCAACAAATTTTGCCGCTCCTTTCCCCGGGACTAATACATACATCTCATCAGTCGCCGCGCGCCCGAAACCAGAGGAATGCCGCAACAAAAAAAAGAGAAAAGAGAAAACCATTTTTTACAACGCAAATACGCTTTTCCAGTCCTTCAGTGCAAATTCCCGCACAACCATTCCCCCGCCGCTATTTCATCCTTTTTGATCCTGAATACAACTATCAGCCAAAAAAATTTTCAAATCGTGATCCTCAGAAACACAAAAAAATGAACCAATTGGAATAAAAACGTCTTTTTGCTCGGAATTCAAATTAGTCGCCAACTGGACCAACAGCATAATTCGCGTCGAAATAATTGAGAAATTGCATGTTCCAGGTGGTGGAAATTTGGGCGAGGATGCTGCCGTTCCCAGTAGGAAAATCATATAATTTCCGATGAACAAAACATAGACCAAATAAACAGAAATAACACGAGCCAATTGGTTTTGCTGGATGGTTGCCGTTTTCTGCAACACAAAATACGCACGCCACCGCACAGACGCCACAATACACACAGCAGAGAGTTGTGTATAATAGGGGTTGTGTGTCTGAAAATCACGACATTGAGGTCCGAATGTGGGAATTTGACGAGCTGGACTGAGGCGCGGATCCGACGGATGAGGCACCGGAATTATTCGCTCGGCCGCCCGCGGCGCCGGCAGCGGCTGCACCGCCCCCGGGCGGCGCCAGTGCCGCTCCGCCCCCGCCGGGCAGGTTGGCATTGGGCTTGAGATATTTGTCCACTAGGCCGCGGTACTGGGGCGAATTGACGAATCGCGGATAGGAGTCACGATGCATTAAGGTAAAAATTTGTAATTGAGCTTCATCGAACGTCGAACGGGAAGGTTCCACCATGTTGCGATTAATTATTTCCCGGACACGGGCATCCAAACTAACCTACAAGCATGCCCAACATTTTGTTTTATCCTTGCGATTGAAAGAAATATACGAGTACGTCATGTATAAAAAATTGAAAAAGTATATTACAGTGGAAGTTCACGCACTGACTTCTGTACATTTTTGAGTGACCCTCGTACAGTAAATATTTTGCCGGCATGGACAATTTAGCTTGCTTACGTAACAGAATATTCGTTCATTCGGCCCTACAGTAAATCTTTTTAGGCAAGTAAATAGTTAACGCTACAATCATTTTGCCGCAGATCGTTACAATTTTGGAAGTTTTTATGATGCTCGTAGTCTGCACGAAGCGGTTGGGGTCTTGGGGACTAAATGTTGTGCAGTTGTATAATTTTTCTTTCTATAATTTGCAACTTTCCGCAGTACTCTGTGCCAAATAGTGACAATCGTATATAACGAAGCGTCAAAATCAGTTACGGACTGAAAGAAGTTGTCATCTCGTTTTGCTGTGCGAGCGCGCGCGCTCGGCATCATCAATTACGAACGGCGCCGCCGTTTAGCATCGAGGAAACACGATGCCCAGACTAGCATACGCCGACGGATCTACTAATCAGGGCTGCCAAAGCGGACGGAGCCTGGGACGAAAATCAGTGCGGGCATGTGAGGAGTCGCACTCGGCACCACACCCAAAACCTGCTGAGTGATGTCGTGTTACAGCAACTCGCGCGCGCTTACCACACGTTACCCAATGTCAACTGTCTTTCGACAATGGACGATACATTATTGGCGGCCGGATTGACATGCATATTCCAATCAAGCAAAATTAATTACCGGCGCTTATCGTACTCGGTGAAACATGTGAGGATTTCGTGATAATTATTATGCAATAAATGCACACGAATGACACGATGAGCGGGTATGCATTTGTTCCGTCCATTGTAGCGAAGAACAGACAATGTGCAGGTCACGAAACCATAGAAGAACAGACAAATTTTCAGAAAATATTGTGATAATTTATTAATTATAAGGTTTTCATTTATAAACAGAATCAATTTTATGCAAAATAATATTATAAAAACGATTACCTTAAATATAGGAATTCACTTACTACTTTTACATAATTTCATACGGTGAAAAATTAATAAGAAAAACAAATGTGTCGCGGAGTGCCGGTCAGTTTGTCGAGTGTGCGTTTTTCTAATTAACTATTTGAAAATGTCCAAGAGCGCTTGTGTTGCGCCGAGAGAAGATGCCTCTTGTCAACTGTGTACATAAAGGATGGAAGCTGGTCCTGATTAGATTTCCCAGCCGTAGGGATACACATTTGTGCACGCGGAGGAGACAAAATGTGTCGGAGATCTTTCAACACTGCCGCGCGGTACTGAATATACCCCCTCGTAAATGTATGTAGCAGCCCCAGCAGCATCAACTGTCGGTGCCGGGTGTCTGCAGCGTGGAACCAATCTCACTCACTGGCAACACTTTATCGATCTTTTCTCCTCATCGCGCCCGCACTCTCCTTCCTCCTTCTCTTTCTCTCTCTCTTCTTCGCTTTCGGGCGCGCGCGAAAAATAAATAAAACTACAGAATACATCCTCTGTACGTTGCCATTAACGGCCATGTACATGCTCCTTCCAACCGAATTATGACAAATTCCCACAACAAGTGCACGTTGATTTTTTGAAAAATGAACACAATGAACCCTCTTCACCGGCTGAACGGACGCTGTAATCATGTCCCCTAACAAAAGCACTGAGTATTAATTTCCGTGTATTCATGTAGCCACGAATACAATATACACCGGGAATAATGTGATAATAATTAAATACTCATCATGACCTTTATACTTGTCACATTTCCGGGTCAATCAAGAGCGATAAACAGCGAGCGCGGGAAAGTTGAGTACAAATCATTACTTAGGCTGAGTATTGATTCCCTCAGTGGTAAAACTAACACCTTGCGGGCAGTTGACCTTTGGATGTTATCATTCACGCTCGGTTTTCTCACCAACCTCCTGTTATAAATGTGTCACCGCCTAAACTGAGCCCAGACAGAAAATTAATAATGTGGCAAAAAATACGCTCACTGGTGTAAGAAATACACGGAATCAGTAGTAAGTCAATGTGGGATGGTCGCGGCTTTTTCTGGATCTCAACGACGCGGTGAAGCAGTAATTAAGGCAAACCTTTTTTCTCTTCGTCGAACTAGGAAGTGTGGCAATCGATGTGTGTGTGTGGATTCTCTACGTCTCCGTGTGTGCATACTTGTGCCGAACCCCATTTCCCGTATTATGCCACGAACTCAACCTTCATCTCCGGTTGAATTTGTCAGCTCGACAGTGCCAAAAGTCCCGGCTATATATACAGCCCATCCCCGTGCTACCCAAACTACATGACATTGTGTTGCAGTCGGGAACGGCCACGTGGCCGTAGCGGATATATATGCCGTACCGTCCAATAAATTATTCCCGTGTTTAAATTACACATTTCCCTGAAAACCCAGTGGAAACATCCGAGCGCACGACGAGAGTCTAGGTTGAAAGTTGTCGACAATTTTTTCCTCGTCCCTATCGTGATGTACCCGAACTTGAATGCTTGAAACTGCATGAAAGCAAATATTAACTGTTTCAAAAAACGCCCCGCTTAAAATTTCACATAAAATTTATTTGACCTTGCAGCAATTTTAATTTTAGCCGATGTTCGAACTTTAAGCGTATCGATGAAACTTTACCGAAAAATGGTATTATAGTTCAAAAACTTTGCGCCGGTGATTGAGATATATACAGCGGACAGGCAAAGATATTACCTCACAGTGTTTGACTAATTTATTACGCTCAAGGAAAATGCTTTTGTCCTGCGTATGTGCATCCGGTACTTCTGTATACTCTGTAGACTATCTAGTTTTTTAAATATTAATAGACAGGAGGAGGACACTCACCTCTTTTGGCGAAAGTATTGATATATAATCCTCATAAATTATGCGCGCTTTCTCCTCCACCGTTTCCGGATTGGTCTCTTTTTTGAGATCTTCACAGGCTAACCAGAATAATATATTCTCTTCGCTATATTCACATTTTAAAAAATCCCGAAACACACGCCTTCCACCTGCAAAAAACATTAGTCCGAATGAACACTACTGGAATTCAAAGTCAACTAAAAACTATCTACACCAAGCAACAAAATTCTTCAATGAGATATCTAGAAAAAACATGATCTCATTCGATGACGCCACTAAACGTAACAATACACAAATATTTTAAGGATTACCGTTCATTAATGAATTTTCCGTTTTTGCATAAAATTTATGTTATTTTTCTTTCCGTTCGTTCTTATTAAACCACGGTCGATAAAACACGTAAGAGCACAGTTGTTAAATTGTGCATGAATTTCCCCGAGTTAATTGGACGAGGTTTCGCGGTGCAGATGCGCCCGGCAATTGGTTAAAGAATAATCAATACTTACTGACGCTATTCATCACATTATCAAAGCTTTCGCCCCATAATCTCACATCCTCGGCGGTTATCCTGCAACGGAAAAAATAATCATCTACCCCGATTATCGACTCTAATTGAAAAGGTGCCACCAGCTATTTTCAAAGAAGGATTCACAGATTAGGTATTCCGAAGAACTACTGCATTACGTACGAGAACCAGACAATTTGCTAGTACCAGACTGCGCACTACCTTCGTTGTTATATTTTTATCATGTCATCCATCTTCTGAACTTCCCAATGAACATTCAAATAAATTTATAATTACAGAATTTACAGTAAATGTACTCAAAATTATGATGTACAAAATGCCAATGAAGTATACGCCTTCGAAAAAATAACAATATACGCACAACAGAAAAATAATAAAAAAAAATTCATACAAAAAATAACCTCTATTAAGGAAGAGTACAAAAGGTGATTGTTATTAAAAGTATCATGCGTGTACATGAAAAGTCTTCGCACTGAAACCTCATAATACTGTACAAGCAGCTGCCTATTTGTAAAATCATATTGTCATTTATATATACGAGTATCAAAAATATTTTTGCGTTCTCAAAAATTAAAAAATCGTTTTGAATCATAGAGGGGAGTGGCTGCTTGTTGTAGAAGAATATGCATAATACATGTGCGGATGCGTATCAGGGAGGCCCGAACGAGTATCTAACGTGCATAATATTGTTATTGCGGCAGGGAGTTGTTTATGGGTGGTGCGGCGCATACTCTAAGGTTTCCCAATGCGGAAGTCGCGTGGGTCTGCCGTTTGATAATTATACATTTCGCCATATACTGCTAATGCTGTACAGCAGTACGTATATACCATAAAAGCGGCAGCTCTTCCCAAAAGCGCGCGCGCTCACCCCGGACCACACAAGTGACGTCAGATGGCTGAAGCTGATTGAATAGTGCGGCACATGCAGATTAACCATAATGGAATCCCGGCCATCATTATTTACCCGCACCGCGCGCCACCCGTTTACGTGCAATGAAAATTAAAGTGGCACTGGTATGTTGTTGTACGATGTTGCCTTTCTCATGCGGACGACACGAGTTTGCCATTTTCAGTGCCACAATACATATATACGCGCTCCCCTTTTTTACAACGCAAGGACCAGCCATAAAAAAGTCTGTTATTTTTAACCTTTTATACGCCGATGCGGTGTGTGTGTGTGTGTTGTACACCGCCGCGCGGATCAATATGTTTTATTCACAACTGCAGTGCTATTGAATTTTTAATCGATTTATAATGCCTGAGAACTGGCTGCACTCTGATTTATTGACGAATCCCGCGATGTATGTAGAAAAACGGTCGTGATTTTTTCTTGTGGAAAAACAGTCCAAAGTCTCCAAACAATCCCGGTTAGCATCAGTAACATGTATCCGAAATCGATAAATGACGTTTACCGTCTATTCTTCCATCACTAATATTGCATTTGTTTATCAAAATGGCAGCTTAATGATGCGTGAAATTTTGGTAAAATTTTTCCCACGTTACGACATTCCACGTATACCAAGAAAGGTCATGTTAGGGCCATCACAATCACTCCCTTTTGCTTACCACCCGGTAATTGTTTAGATTTGTAAAACCGCATTAGCACCGCGTGAGGGATCGAAAAGCGCTGACAACACCAAAGCCTTACACGTAAGATACGTATTCGGAGAAAACACGGGGTATCCGCCACAAAAACACGTTAATTATCGAACCCTAACGCCTGGATATATGGCGGATAACACCGGCATCTAGTGTTACCGGCAGATGTCGTAGTAACGTCTGCCCCGTGCGCGTAAGCCGGGCCTGTCAGCACTCTGGGATGGCATTTCCGGCCGGAACAGTGGAGATATTATTTAAAAAGGAATCTGTCTTCCTGTCTTTGTAGCTGGCGGTGACAATCGATTGTATACGAGCCATATAGAATATCATCATCATATTGTGTGCACGGCCACTGTGTGGTGGAATACATTTCGCAGGCGCGATGTACTGTATATAGTGCGCTTATGTAACCCACCGTGTAGATATATGTATTGCCGGCTCAGAACAACATTAGTGTATACAAGAGAGCCCTGTTGATGGGGGTTGTAATGCATTCCATAAAAAAGGGATGTTGTGTGGGAAAGTCGTTAAGCTGCAGCCCGGTAACATGATGAGGCCATATTTGATTTCCTTCAATAATTAGCCGCTACTATACGGTACATCGTCAGCGGCACGGGCCGGGACAACAAATGCTCTATCGCGCAGCATCTATGCGTTTCCCTTTTCCCTCTTAACCGTATATACATCCTTCTGTGCCTTCATCCCAAATCCCTTAGCCTATTCAGCCACCGCGTAATGCCGGTATATATGTGTTAGAGTGCTCGCTGCGTGTGTATGTGCGCGAAATGGGGGATAATATTACCCGTTCCCGGAAAATTATTACGTTAAGGCCAATTGGCAAAATCCAATAAGCTTCCCTGGACTGTTTAACGGCCGAAAATGACCTGCTTGGACGGGCCACATCGTCGACTGAACAATTTTTTCCCCACCACAATATTACGACGCACATAAAATGATTTATGAAAAACATTGCAAAAGAATAACTCTTAAGATTTGTTTTACCAGAACTGAAACGATATTCTGAGAACTTGAAATTCATGTGTCATTTCAAAATCTTTTATGGAAAACGAATGAACCAAGGTCCCTGCTGCATTTAATTTCGCAAAATACAGTATTACTGCTACGGGTACAAGTTTTAACAAGCATACGTAATTATTCTAGTGGAACTTACGGAAGTTCATCTTGACCAAGTAAAGGCTTGCCGATATCCGGTGGTTGTTTGGGCGGTCGGGATGGAGCGGGATTCCTTGATAAACTAGAAAAACGATGACCAAGCGTTAGACTGGGCAGATTACAGCATTCAAAAAACAGCCACAGCATTGTTATACGCAGTAGTAACGCATTGAAAAAAAAACTTTGCTTAATGCAGCCAAGCTCAGTAACATTCTCCAGGGTATCTTTGTTTCATATCGAGCATTAACATTCTCATAATTCGTCGCATAGTGTGGGAATCATGCCGCGTCGCGCACAAACTGCACTACTCGGTAATGCAACACCTCGAGGCCGGCGTTGTAATAAGAAAAACGATAAAATCGTCATACGTGGAAAACTGTACACCACACAAACGGGTCTGGATTCTCTCTCGGCAGGACCCGCTGACCGGATTGCCTGTTTATTATTTCAGCACCGATGCGAGCCGTTTTCTTGGCTACAGTTCTTTAACATCGCGGCGCATATATGCATATACATATACGACAGCCGACGTTTGTTGATTGAATAAGCAAGCACATTGCCGGTAATATGTGCTTAATTCTTACTGGCTGAGAATTGCAGCGTATGCTGCTGACATGCACATTTCCGCGCGTGGTCCTGAAGTCCGCATGAGAAAACACCGGAGCTCAAAAGGAAGCGATCGAGCTGGGTTAAAACGCCGCGCCGTGCCACAATCACCAGTTGCGCTACTGAATTATGTATACATTAAAGAAAGAGACGAGATTATTCCGTAATCCAGCACGAATATATAAATCAGTACATTTTTCTAGATATGTAGAATTACACCGGAAAACGATAAATATATCACTGGCAGCCGAAATCGCCGGTTCGACATGTATGACATTATGCTGTGACGGTCAAGGATGCGAGAGAAAAGAACACACACTGCCAGTCGGGTATGACATGAAGCGCCGCCGTTTCCTCAACTGCAATCCCACAGCTGCCGCGGAAGGCTCGATGGCGTGCGATGTGCAGGATGATGTAGCCGGGCGAGCGTTGCACTAGACAAACCAGAGCACTGATACCATGCGCGTTGCGCGCGCCGGCCCAACCGGGAGCTGCTGCACGCGGCCGGCCGACGAATCAGCGGTGCCGGCATCCAGTGATGGATCGGCACCTGGTGAGAGATTAATGGAAATATGGGTGCGCCCGCATCCGCCGCATGGACGGCGCAAATCCCCACAGCAGCAGCCCAGGCTCCATTAAGCGTACAACATACATATATGTATGTAGCCGTTAATATACAGTCCCGGCATGTACCGGCCGCGTGCAGTATAGCAGCAAATTAACCGCTTTGTTCTCCTGTTTAGACCGCTGCATCCGCTGCGCACGTTTTCTCCAAAAGGCTAATGAAATCGTAGAACGGCCAAGAGAGCCAACCTGATTCCCAGTCCGGCTGGACCGGTAAACGTCTAACGTGAAACCGACGTTACTGTGCCTAAGCCTTACCGGCAAAATAAGCAAATCATACCCGTTTATTTAAGTAAACCGATCATAATTTTTTCGATCCAGTCTTAAATTTGTATTAATTCTTGCATGTTCAATCATTAAAATGTTCAATTGTTGATGCGCATTTTAAAGAAAACCAATATTAATGATAAGGAACAAGTAGCGATTTTTAGTTTATATCAAGAAAACCTCGCTGCTTTGCTTTTTTCAACATCTTTCAGAGAGTCTATGAAATCTGAAAGCAAATAGCGTTCAAGTCAGCAGAAAATTAAGAGTCAAAGAAATTTTTTGGTTCAAAGTTTAATTAATAATTTACCGCAGATACATAAAAGGCGAGGCTACACAAAAACGGCCAAGTTTTTCCTGTTAGTTTTCCTTCTCCCCCATTAGTCCATTTAGCGTGGAGCGGAAAACGTCGGCTTATCGGATAGTTACATAAGCCTTTGGCCTGGCTGCAGCGTGGTGTGCCTCGTTAGTCAAGCGAGCGCAACCAAGGACGCAGAACGAAGCATAGAAGAGTGAGAGTGTGTGGGCCACAAAGGCAATCTGCCGGATACATAGATATACACTGCGAGCCGGCGCATTTTCCGCCGGCAGCACTGCGTTTAGGAAGGTGTGGATGGATGGTAAGGAGAGATATGAAGCGAAAGAGGAGGAGAGAACAGGCTGCAGTGGATTATACGGAGATCTCTCGGCAACACACGCTGCCCATACGCCTGATTGATTTCCCTCCAGCCTCCCTAGGCCCATGTGCGTGACCTTTAATTTATCACAGTACTCTGAGTGAGCGCGCGCGCACACGGTGGGAAAACGTTTTCCCGCCGCAGTAGCGGGACGGGGTGAGTGAGTCAATGCGGATCTGGTGTAGGTGGACATGAGTCACTGGTAGATTTCGTCAGAGTAAGAAGATCTCCAAGTGAACGCGAAGTATATACTATTACCGAATATATGCATTAACAATGCGTATGTATCGTGCATGCATAGTGCGATTGTGGCGCGCCTTTTCCATCATTAAGCCGGATGCTCGGCATCTGGTGGATGGAGAAGGATACCATTACACAGAGGTAGCGCCAACAGGGTCGCGTGAGTATGATGAAAGATGTGTAGAAAAACGAAAGTTCCCGGAAAGCACTTTAGTGTAATTAACCGAGATGTATAACGACATGTACGCCCATAACACGTACACCCATACAACCGGCATAGTACTGTGAATCGGGGTGCGGATTGTTCCTTTTAAAAACTTACCAGCAGGAAAAGCAGCAGATTCTTAGGCTGCGATCGGTTGATTGGTTCGGTGAGGAAGGTGGCGTATCGACACTTGTCCGGGATCGCGGATTGGGATTATTATTGCGCAGCCGGAGATCATTTCCCGCGTACGATGCACTACTCATCTGTAATACATGGATGAGTTAATTATTGTGTACTTAAATTACAGATGCGGTGCTTTATCGTCATGATGACCGTTGACCAGTGCTTTATCACAAGAGAAAAAACAAATTTTTAATGTGTCAGTTTAATAAACGGTTAAAAGTTACAATTTAAGTTTTTGTACTTTCCCGAAACTGGATCGAAATGATAGTTGTAATTTGTAACTGTAAGAATATAACGTCACTTCTGTTTAAACTTAGCAACTGCGGCCGTCGCGCTATCGGTGAAATAAACTCCTTAAAAGTTTAAAATGAACATCAGTGCAATGTTCTGCGTAATAAACTCCTCTAAGTGAATATAGTCTTATACATTTATATTTTCTGGACGTTGAGTAGCTATTTAGAAAGCGCAGTAATTTGTTCCAAAGTAAGTTGCTTGGTTTCAAAAGTTTCAGCGGTAGCAGCGCGAAGTTTTCGATATAATCATGATTCGTGGCTGTGCAAGCACCGTGAAACGAGTAACGAGTATACGGGTAAAAATTTTGTCCCTCACAATGGTTCTTTGCACTCTGTGCAAGATTTCCAGCATCCAGCCCCGGCTTTCCAGGAAAGCCAGCACGCAGATACCACAACAAAATAATATTATTTAAAGAGGTCTTGAAGACAGTAGGAAGCATTCTTTTCTAAATTCGCCAAGAGTTTCATATAGATACATGATGCTTTACTAGCGTGCGGCCCTTGTACCCAGTTTACCACGCGATATCTCTATAATTGTTATAGTATCAGAAAATTCGTGGAAAGAAAACATTTGATAAGTACTACGTGGATACCTTATACAAACTCATGCAGCACCCGAACCCATATTATGCCAAAGCAACGCTTAAATCTCTCGTAGATAAAGCCGGCTTCTTTGGTTTACAAAAGCGCCATCTGTCGGTATTCGGCAGACCATATAAGATACTACACGCGGGAATGTATGTTCCCAAGTACCGTCCCCGATGTACATCGGCGATGTACAAGGCACCCAGTCAAGCTGTGCAGACGCAAGTATTTAACCTGTAAGTGCAATTTAATCTGTAAGTACAGACGCAGTACCCGCATAGAACAGAAAATATTAAGGTTTCGGGCGCTCTAATAAGCAGCTTGTATGTTTCTTAAAAGAGTCACGGGTCAGGAGAAGAATTTTTCCCAAGTATCTGCACTGTTTTTTATACGAGAATTATTTCGTGGGCCAACAAGTCATAATGATAGTTTAAGGCTTTGCGGCGCCGCTCCACGGCTTAACTTTTAGAATAACGTAAAATACTTTTCCAGAGTATTACTCTACATACTGCATTATCTCGCAGATTATCCTGCCTCACATCAACAACAACAACGAGATACGCGGATAACTGGAGCAGCGTTATATGTTCGGCTAGAAAGTATATCCACGAGTGAACGTTTGCCAGATGCAGTATACAGCAATGTAAAACGTAACAATCCAGGGCAAACTGCCCAATGTCCACTGGCAAGTACCGTCGATGCGTAACGCAGCGGTATCAGAGGCCGTTAATTTTAATTCGGGAATGAGTCAAGTGACAACTAATTAATAACTGTACTGCTTTACAAAACATGCTATGCGAGCCATAATCGGTCGATGCATGACGGATGCACATTCCTGCAAATATTCGAACAGCAAAGGACGCAGATACCGGCTGTTTTTATGTCGTGGATTCTCCTCCCTTTATAGTAGAACTTTTGCAGCTTAACACGAGTACCCTGCCCTATTTTCAAAACATCCGCATATTGTGTACTGTAATCCTGCAACATGTACGGCAAGTTACAAGCTTGCCTGTTCATGCACATCCAAAAAAATTACAACTACTACTGCGAAAATTTTTGAGTTCAGATGTACCGTAAAACTTACAATGCATGTGCTGTGTGGTATGTACGTGTTGTACTCGCGCGTAATATGCTGTTCGAAGTGTATAATTATATCCCTGTACCAAGAGGCTTATGTACAACTGCAATCAACTAAATCAATCAAAATTTAGAAAAACTAAAATGTAAAACTAAGATTAAAACCACACATAAAATATTTAAATTGGTATTCACTGTACGTATTTACCGACCTTCAAAATTTCGCACAACAGAGCGGTTGCCTGACCGCAGTGCCAGTTCTACAAGTCGGATTTGGTAAACACATGTATCCACAACGCGCCGTTATTATTGCGACACTGTGCGCCAGTGCTCTTTCCACATTGTTAAAGGGGAAACACACAACAATATCACCGGTTAAGGTCAAGCCGGAGAACCCAGCGGACCGGAAGTGTCACCGACACCGCTCATCGGTGTATGTACAGTGTACTGTATCCCGTGCAGAATGTGTGTGTGCATAAGTATCAATAACACCATCATGCCACTTTGGCAATCCGGCACGTGATGCAGTTGGCCGCCATTGACGTCAGCAGTGTCGCTGTTTTGCACCTTGCGCCCGAGAGTGTCTGTTTTCCTATTCATAAACGAGAAGAGATTTGGTCCCGGCCGGCCCCGGCTTTACCGTACATAACAACATGGGTATTACACTTGTACCAATTCACACGCGGATTTCCCATTCTTGCAACAGTTTGGCCAGGCATTGACGTAACAGGAAGAGTGGTTATTTTTATACTCGTGCCACTGATGATACGCTCTTTTCAGCTACCTACGCCATGATCCAAAGAAAATGGTAAACGAATTCATTTGCTAAAGCCACGTTTTTTCTCAAGCGCTGGCTGTAAATAGCACCAGCTTCGAAGCCGGTCACACGCTAATTAATTACTTGAAAAATGGATGTGTTAGGCGACGCACGTACGTAAACACGCCGCTAGGGTAAAAAAAGTTGGAAGGTATAAGCATGTACATATCCCATGTTTTGACGACGTTGGTGACGAACAACACAAAGCTGTTCGCTCGACTGCAGCTTATGCATATATAAATCTTTTACGATCTTGCGTCAGTACAAAATTATCTTTAACTAAACAGCCTATAATACATTCCATATTAGTTTTTAAGACAAAATAAAAGTCTTCAGCAGATTTAAGTCTACGCAAGCCACCCGTCCATAAAATTCAGAAATAGAACAAACATTTATCTTACGGAGTTTTTAGAAGCAATTAATCTTACACTTCCAAACCTAGCTGTCCATGTCCGGTAATTAAAAACGACGCAGAATCGCCGGCAAATCGAGAATTTATTAATGAAGATGGCATGTACAGTAGTAAAGTGTTGCCAATCTGGACGGGATAGGATTTGAAATTGAACGACAATTAGCATAGCTTCCTATTTGTTACATGTAGCAAGGACGGCAATAAACGTCAAATTCTCTTGAACGGAACCGGGTTCGTGACCTGATTACTTCTCCCACATAGCAGATTTATTGCGGCGTGTTTCCACCTTCTATACTGTGCCGGAGACAGGCGCCTATATATACTGCAAATACCATTTACTTGCTATCAATTTTTAACAGCCAGTGCTTAAATTGATTTCACCGAGATACCATTAGACCGATCCTGTCCCAAAAAGTGATGATGGGAAAAATTATAGGCTCACATTACACGAAACTGTACATAAATGTTTAAAAATTTACCAATGCGATGACACAATTTCCAATGGGTTTTCATGACCCAGAGTAACTTATTTAGCTAAATAAAACAACTGCAGAAACAATTATGAATCGGTTATGGCATTTATTTTACAAAAGAATAGATAGAATTTATGATACAATTTTTTTGCTCGCGAACCAGGAAATACGAATACCGGTAAATGAATGCAACCGTTATTACAACGTAGTATTAATGGCAATATATTCAGGTCGCAAACATGTTGTCAACAAGAGCCATTGCGAGAAGCTGTACGCAAATTGCCGATTAATATCGGGGAGTTATCGCTGGTCGGCCGACACTCGAATGCTGCCACCACAAGATTATCAAATTGCAGGAGCCACTGACGTCATTGTCTGGCCGCGTTGGGACTGTTGTCATCACATTCCTTCCATGCGTACAAACATTCACGGCCAGTGTGCATATATACATTTATATATACGGAGTGAGATATAAGCGCGCGCGCCATTACGCACATATAGTGCGCGATCGGCCACTTGATGCTAAATAAAAGATCTGTTGTGGTTTCCCGGCGTAGAAGACTTCCGGTTCCCAGTGCAGTATGTGTGCATTATACGAACGCGGAGGTCGCGCCCAGGGTTATCATGACGCGTGGCCGCGCTGTGTTTATGTGTGTATTAGTCAGATTTGTGTGTTTGCATTCTTCTGACCACATGCCAATAGACAACATCGTAGTACGCGCGGCGCTTGACCTTACGCGGTCGACTGTAAACAAATTAAGGTGCGCCCTTGTTGTATAAGCGCACACGTGTGAATTATGACGTAAACGGCGCGTATTTTGAAGGGGCTCACGGGTAAAAATACGCCATTCAAAGATCTTATTGGATTATGCTGGGTCGAATGTGTTTACAAATTGAATTCGGGTTTTTGCGTGCGATATTAATGGCATTTGCTATAAATACGAGTATAACATGCGACACACACCTTACATTTAGCTAATGTTGTAAACGACAACAATTTGAATCACAGCAAAATGCAGGCTATCCATAAACGGAAACTGCTAACGAAACCTTAAAAGTTATTTGAAAAAGTAGGCATTTTCTAATACATATAAAAAATTACAATAAGATTTTTCGATATTGGACTTAAAAATTGTAAAAGGATTTTCTGTTTTAGAATTAAACCTACTAGATAAAAGCCTCAAATTCTGACTATCTCATTTTGCATAGAGTTTTTTAATTGGACATAAAAGTTATTTGACAAACACGAGTAATGTGTATAGCAAATAAAGTGCAACACTAATAGACCAGTCTGTCAGTGTAGTGATCATGATCGGTACTTGAATGCATTATTCTATCCCGACACACACACAAACATATATAGAATGCCGGCTGCTCCTTGGCGTATTATAAAGCAGATAATAGGAATTACATGTTCTTCCGATTAGTCAATTTATCTCAAGTATATTTGTGTGACAGGACAAGTATAGCCCTGGCACTGTTGTGCGCTGCATGCGCCGCGCCGACCGTTCAATGCTGTATAGCGCAATTCCCGGCAACCGGCAGCAGTCATGCAGGAAAAACGGGGAAGAAGCGATAGAAGCGCGACGTGGCGAGTTATTCGTCTATGGAAATGGGTATCGATTGGGGATGCCGTCGCGCGGCCCCGGATGCCCTCTGGAGATTAGCAGTGGAGTCGCAGGATCACAGACCTTTCGGCCAGCAATTACATCACACGTTGGCAGCTACGGCAGGATGCGGAGAAAGTAGATAAAAATTTATGTAACCACGGCTCTTAAACCCACTGTATACTACGCCAACATGTTGCAGTATATTCCGCGCCGCGTGTACTGTACATGCAGCGTATATACAGAAAACAAGGTCCCCATCAAAATTCATGAGATTCCTTCACCCCGGCCCTAACTGTGACAGACCACCCATTAATATCAATATAGATTTCCCGGCTGCTGGGATCTCAACAAAACGCCACTATATGACCTGGAGGTGTTGAAATTTTTATATGTTTCTACTGCACAAATGTTACCGGTATTTTATGTCATCCTTAATTAATGCGGAAAATCAATCGTTCTGCATATGAAGCAATTCTAAATACGCCTGCTTTAAATAGTTCAGGAATCAAAAGAACAAGCAATAAAAAAAGTAACAACTTTTTATGCAAACAAAAATTCTATCCCCATATTACAAAAATAAAAACGGTTAATGAATATGAATTAAGATCTACATTGCAATGCCAAGGCGCTGCAAATCTGGCCAAAATTTTACAGGCATATTTTTTCATCCGGCTCGGGAAGGAGTTTTGTACAGAATACTAGCTAATGTAGTTTTCTCTGCTGCTTGAGTAGGATCAAGTAAAAAATGCTATTTATCGAATAAGGCGGATCGTTGATGTGTTGCTCATATGATAAACCTTACGTTATCCTTACGCTGGCATATTTATCTAAGGAAACTGATTCCTTTTTTCCGTGTGCCCTGCTCTATTCCCCCAAACAATCGGTACGCACTGGCTACAATGGGGAAATTTTGTAGCAAATTTGATTAAATGGGCGTCCTTCGTATTGAACAGCTGCCAATGGGGTACAATATCGGTTTTTGTCCGGCGAACAACTTGACGATATATAGACGGTATATAGATAAACGTGTACAGCTTGCACTACAGTGTATATAATCCAGCCTCTACAGAGTTGTGTTGCGGGACTGAGTGCTGGGGAATAGAAAAAGGAACACGAAACGCTGTATATACTGTGGAAACGCGGAAAGGGAAAATCAATATATGGACAAAAGATCGAAAATCGACGCCAAGATGAGCAACCATTGCCAACACGTATATATCCGCAACACGGCGCAGTTGCGGGGACCGGGCCAGAAAACAGCACCAGCGATAACGTTAACGCTAACGCCTGCTGTGCCAAATAACATCCATATACATTACGCTCGGTAATCAGTGTTATGTCTTACGTAAAATTTTACACCGCGGACAAACCATGTTCCCAAAGAACCAGCGCGTACACGTCGTTGACAGATCGGGCATTTTATGAAATATAAAGTGCAATATTGTAAAAAATTTTCTCTCGCTTTGATCGTTATTCATAAAAGAACGGCACACCGAAATACTTTCAATCACAAAATTAATTATAATTTAGGGAAGATCGATCCAGGTTTTAAAAAAAATTTCGTACAAAAGCAGGTAATAAAACTGTCTGGTTTACCGAAGTACTACTGCTTCGCTATACCACTGAAGTGATAATCAGTATTGCAGTATATCCCCTCAAGTACAGTGTATTGTAGTTAGAAAACAGTTTTTCGTATTGCTGCTGCAAAAATTCATTAAACACAATTGTCTACACGCAATTTTATTACAATTTAGAAAGAACATTGTGTCTGCATTTAATGCTATGACAAGTTCCCACGCATATTCTAATGTCGGGAATTAAAAAGCGCCACAACGATTGATCAGCGGAGACTGTCACTCACCGGTCGGGAATCTTGCTTTAACATTGTCATAAGGGAGAACTTGATCAGATTAGCCAGCGGACGGGAGAAATCGCCGAGCATCCACCATCAAAATACACACACGTTCGAAGCTTCCCCTCCCTGCGTCCCCGCTAACGAATAGTCCCACACAACAACCGATCATACATCCACGGCGGGTCGGCGATGCAGTATATCAACCCCACTGGCATCCAGCACGGTTATCATCATATTTTCCAAGACAGAATATCACAACAAAACAGACCTGGTCGTCGGTGGCGCACGGGTCGCGTTCCGTCGGTCGACACACGAATTGTGGAGAGTGGTCGCGGCGTCGTAACCGTTAACTAATCCATGTTTTGCCAGTGATTATAATCCAACAGCAGTAGCAGACAGGATGCCGTTAGCTGCTCTCTCTCCCTCTCTTTTCGCTCTTTGCGTCGTCAAAAAATCCGCTCGATCCAGTTCCACACACACACACACGCATACGGTATACACACACAGCCGTTTGGTTTATGTGTGTGTGTGGCGATAGATTTAGAGCTGGTGTGCGCCGCCGCGTTCCGATCCTGTCGTTTTCCGTCGGTGTGTGTGTATATGTGAGTGAGCGTGTGTGCGTGTGTGTGTAAGGCGGTGTTGTATGAATGAAAAACGGGATGGACCGTTGGAGGACGTAAAATATATCTGGCGTGTATATACCCAAACGCTGGCTGTCGGCGCGCAGCCCCGGTGCTCTCATCCACACAAGCTGCGATCCACGCCCGGAAATGATCGCTATATGTTTGCCGGTAATGCACTGGCTGCTGTGTCTGGCCACGACTGCGCGGGGATACGATGATGTGACTCGCTAATCATGCTATTCTTTTATCTACAAATAAACATTCTTATGTATGTCTGCCGTCGTTAAAGTGAAGATATTATTAAAATAACTAATAAATAATAAATAATATTATTATTAAAATAACATGCTCGCAGGGTAAACTTTTCAGGTGTTACTGATAATCAGTTAAACGATACATTTCATATATATCTATATACATTCTTTAATTTCGTTCATTCTGTGGATCGGTTGCATATAAATACGCGATCCTACTTTGAGATTCTGTTTAAGTTGGTATCACTAGCTAAAGGTTGAATCTGCGGCACTTGATATATACTATACATATAGATATAACATTCTCCTACATTCTTTCTTATACAACTAATACAAGTGACAATCTGTGCCGTTCGCCATCTCGTCCCGTTGGCGTGCACGCGCCATTTAAAATGCCAGACGATTGACATGAGGGTTACGTAACATGTGATCCCAATTTGTTGATAATTACATATTTGTTTCTCCTCCACCGGAAATTCTAAAAATATACGCAGACAGACACGCCTAAAAAATTCCGCTTCCTCCCGTCAAACCGATAATTGACGGAATGCATTACGTAATTAATTAGTCCGACAAAAACCATATGTAAAAAATTGCTAGCAAATGTTGCGAACTCAAATTGTACCTTCTTTCGCTACATTGATTGGGAATATGCAATCAGCCATAAATCAAACTGACTCAAAAGTCGATATGTTTAGCAATTTGAAAAATATAATGCAGCTGGCATAATTTCCGTGAAATTGTGTAATTTATCCATCCAGAGTGCAATTGTATTTCAAGATGAAGATACGCGTATTTCTTGTTTACACAATGCATACTCGTTCACATTCGATTTGCCTGCTTAGAGCAATAAAAATCACCAGTTTTGCTGTATGGATATACGACTACGTGTGCATTAAAGCGGGTATAAAAATCTTCTGATGTGGCGGAATAAAGAGCTGGCGCATCAAGTGCTTAATAAAAACTTGATACCATTTACATAATCGTCCGGACCGATTCTGCGTACAATCTGCATCAGGATGATTATCGATGGTTCAACTATAAACGCATACACTTATTAAACAGCGCATCCGGTTATTTTGACCTCGGTCACATCCACGTGTGCTCCATTGTAAAAAAACCGGCGATAATGTTTGTAACTAACTAATAAACGCCGCGAACACTCAATACAATGCGCTGCACAACCTTTCACGGAAATTGTAATAGCGGACATACAAATAATCTGTAATTTTAATTTATGGTATCTACATTTTTGCACAATATATATTGCTAAAGCAGAAAAATTTAGTGGGGACTAACGTAACCTTTACTTATAATTATCATAATTTATATCATCGGCAGTTAATATTATTGCTTATTTTCCATAAAAAATAGCTGATTTTTTCATTATCTTTTTATAACAATTATATATTTTTCGAATTTTAAAAAGAAACGTATAGCTGGCGCCTCTGCCATCGTTGCATAATAATGTAAATTTATCGATTAAAATTCCAAGTAAACCACTGCATTGCGTATGCGAATCGCTCGAGCACTTATAAATCCGAGTGTTTTCACAAGCGTTAAAATACATGGGAAAAACGCAATCGGCATTTGATAAGAAGTTAATAAATCAGCCCAAACGGCACACGCTAGTCAAATCTATTAAAGCGGAAACATTGGAAAAATCACTTTTGTAGTGGTAGAAATGAGCTGCTGCTGATGTTTTAAAAGGGGGAAGATCAATCGATAAAAGCCAAAAGAAAAATAGTCATGTTTTATATACGCGCGCGCGCGCGGTCTAATCAGTCTGTGGACGCTGCACATTCGATGCCGAGAACCTTCGCCAGTACGCTTTATATCCAGCGGTGAATTTACAGGCACTACAACGTTGCATAACTCTCTAAAGTCTCTGCTCATGAGATTCATCGATGCATTTTAATTGGAAAAAAATTTACAGTGCAACGAATTAAACGCCCAAAAAATTTCGTAGCAGAACCATTTAGAATGGTAGGATTGAGCGTTGAATTACGTATCGTATACGTAGTAACGTATATATACCTCACAAATTATTTCGTACCTTCCGCTTATTAATGCGTGGAAAAATATCCCAAAGCGTGTTGATAAGGATCGCTGGATCTATCCGTTAAAAGAACGCTTCCAGCGCATTGATCGCGGCAAATATCCAAAATTAATGTTGAAAAGTGACCGTAAAATCTTTAACGAAACAGGGAGACAGTTAAGCACGGTACGACTGTGATGGTAAATCTCTTCGGCGAATCCGACAGGAATACATACAGGGCCGGGCTCTGTGTACGCGCAACGGCCGTGATCAATGCAGCATAGTTGATAATTTCCTGTGAGAGATGTAGTATTTTAATTTACCCATTACCAGGAAGATTGTCGATTCACACTGTGAAAGAGCGCTTTCCTTGGCACGGTCCTGGCCAAAATAGGGCTTGTACGCCAGCTTTCCTGTACAGTAGTACTATGGTATTTCAGCAAAAAACAGGGATTGATCGCTCGGTTGACTGCCTGATCGGTGACGGTCAGCATCGATCGCTGTTTTGACAGGAATTCAGGAAATATGGGTAGGTGAACCTGTATTGTCCTGTAACCGTTCAACAGCAATTAGGGTTGTGATAACAGGGAATATTTGCCAGACTATGACAGTTTTAGCGCGAGTTGTCCGCATCGACCGGCGTTCAGGAAATATTTGTCACCAAGAGTGCAGTTTCATTGCTGCAGTGCAGCGTGAAGCGCAGGTGAACAGGGAATGTTGTCGGGAGCGACCCCTTTAACGTGCTGCTACATCGATCGACATTGGTTGGTTTTTATGCTCTGTTCTAGCTGGGAGCCTGGCTTCTCGGTGTTTTCCGGGACCGACACGGAAGGAGTATGATTTAGCCGAGCGTATGATATAAATGCGGATACGCTGATGGCACATGGCTCTCCCTTCGGCCAGCTATCTCTGAGCAAACATTACTCTCTTTAATTTCCAACTCGTTCACTTGCTGCGTTTATCGACTTGGCCAAACGACTCGCAACATATTACTGTCACATACGGGGTGTAAATAAGCTGCACATGTGCCACAAGATGTGTTTTTTCATTGGTAAAAATGTTACGCAATAAAATGGAGAGAAAATCTTCTTGTTTACGCTTACATAACTGACGTGCATATCAAGCACCGTCAACTCGACTCTGGAAACTGGAAAGTCAGCCACGATTATTAAACTAACGTTAGTGTATCCCGTTAAACTAACCGGTAAAAGCACTAATCCGGTAAACTAAAAAGTACTACGAGTAGTACCGGTAAACTTTGCTGGGCACAGTAAGGGCACTTACTCAAAATTTCGTGCCTCTAGTTCAATTTAACTGAATTCTCAAACTACAGTCAAGAACAATAACTATCATGGACCATTTCATGGTTACGGCCACGGGAACAAAAGCCACACTTATGACTGGAAAAAAGTAAACTGCCAATTCGACACCATCAGCTGCATCCTGCAAGCCTGCAAGCCTGCGACAAGTTTTCGTTTTCCCGGCAAAGCGCCCAGAACAGTAGTACTAGTATCTGCTAACAGCTAAACGAATAAATACTACGCTGCTTTAGATAAGCCGTTTATTTTACTGCTTTTTTTTGCGGGGCCACTCGTATGAACCCGACCGCAATTCTTTCTTCGTAAATATGGCGTGGACGGTGGACCTTACAGAGGGTGATTTCGCTGTACATCCGTCAAAAACTACGTATACGATTTGTAATTTTTCAGTGCTCCCGGTTGCATTTTTCATGTGAACTTTCAATTGTCACCCCTGGGCGGAGGCAGCTGCGCTACGGACCAGCCGCCCCCTGGTGACTGTCACAAATTGCCCTGTACAGTGTTACGAATCTGCGACGCAACGATGCAGCAAGACCAGTCTGAAAAAATTCGATTTTGATTTTTGAGTTTTGACTTGTTTTTAACTTTTGTTTACACATTAATTTCAGTCAAAAAGTCCTGACGAATACTTTACTTGTAGCGTGCATGTACAGTAGTATTAATACGTATTATTTACAATATGCAACTACAGGGATTTGTCTTGCTTTGAAGATACAGAGTAGTTGATCGGTACGGTTTTGATACGTATTTGAAGTGGCCCTACCATTCTGACGGAGAAGTCCGCTGGCTGACAGTTGCTACCATGTCGCATCCTCAAGCGCGACCCGAAGATCACCGTCGCAGATGGGATTCCGACGAGATCGAGAGGCGGATGCGGGAACGCGATGAAGAAGCCCGACAACAGGAGCTCGAAGATGAAAAGCCTCGCAAGAAAGCGAAGAAGGAGCTTCTGCGCGCTCGCGAAGAACGCGTCGATCTCGAATCTCGTGTGGGCAAATCCGTTATCATCACTTCCACTACTCCCCTCAATCAGGCTGGAGGATTTTATTGCGAAGTGTGCGATTGTGTAATTAAGGACTCCATCAACTATCTGGACCATATTAACGGAAAAAAGCGTAAGACTATACGAGATATTGATCAACACAGTCAATAGTCTTAGGTTTTTTTATTAGGAACTTAGGACCAGTTGATGCGCATTGATCAGTATTTACTTGTTTTATTTATTAGCTAAAAGTTAGCAGCATTCAGTTTTTTAGGACTATTAACATTTCTGTCAAAGTGCGTTGCAGTATCGTTTGTCATAATTTCAGAATTTCAAGTACGACTGTATTATATCACTGCTTAAAAATAATTAAATTATACGATCGAATATATTAAAATTAATTATTGGTAAATTATTTATGTTAAATTCTCTGTACGGTTTTAGAATGCTTTGGTTTCCTGGTTTAATTATTTCTTAATGGCAGTGAGTTAATGGTATTGTATCCATTTTTTAACCATCCGTACAAATGTACAATGAGTAAATTACTGAAAATAATAACTATTTCACACGCATCATTTATTTTTCTCCCAGAACAAAACTTTATCGACGGATTTTGCAGAAACCGTATCGATTTCTGCCTTTTTTTCCGTGTATTGAGTTTTGCTTTAGTTCTTTTAAAATTTCCTGTATACCGGTAGATATATTATTCAGGAGAGATGCATGAAATAACTACCTATCTGTACTTCCGTAAAACTTGTGAAATTAATGAGATTTCTTATTAATATAATTTCAGATCAGAAAAATATGGGCTTCAGCATGAAAACCGAGCGCTCAACAGTGGATCAAGTGAAGGCCCGCTTTGCCCGTAACAAAGAAAAGATGGAAGAAAAGAAACAAGAGTATGATTTTGAAGAGAAAATGAAAGAACTGCGTGAGGAAGAAGAAAAATACCGAGAATACAAGCGGGAAAAAAAGCAGGAAAAGAAAAGGAAAGCCGAAATTCAGGATTCCGGAGAGGATGGGGACGGGATGGATCCCGATATGGCGGCTATGATGGGCTTTTCGGGATTTGGGACATCGAAAAAATGATAAATATTGTTTGCTAAATATTTCGGAACGGGTTACTGATTATACGACTATTCTGTTGATTTTGTTAGAAATACATCAAATGGAGCGAAAAATGCATTGTATCATTTTTACCGCTTCTGAATTCCAGTAATGCATCCACTTCGAAATCATGATATATTTGTGCAATTTTTAAAATGGCATAAACGATAAAAGTATAATAATACGGGATATTTTATCTGGATTGGGCAGTTCATAAGAATAAAAAGGAAGCAAATCAATGCGTGTGCGGGCGGCGGAGTGCGCATACCGCCATTAGGTGATGGTTGAACGAATTGTCAAGTTTCGCTGCGGCTGGTGAAAAATTTATCTGGTTTTCAGTTTTCGTTCAGATTTCTTCGTTTACGAAAACTGCACTTCGCTTCGCAACATCCTGAGTTTTGTTTGGGAAATGTGAAATGTTTTCGTGGACTTTGCTTTGATTATTTACTCCGATGGTGTTCACCATGGACTTATTCCGTCGTCCGTTATTCCCCCTGATGTCGCTGGTTCAGCGACAGTTCTCCGTGAGCTCCTTCCTCCTGGGCGAGAAGATCCCCCAGAAGAAGATATCAGTGAAGAAATCGGGCCTAGTGGTTCCGTCGGCCGCGGCCGTGGCCGCCGCCGCTGCAGCGGCCAACCCCGCCCTTGCTCCCGTTCATCCGGGCCATAATCCGCGTGGGACGAATAAACGGAAGCACCCGCGACCCATCCACAAGCATTATATTCCGGCGCCGTTCGTCGACTGGAAGGCCAATATCGACTGGACGATTGACAGGAACTCCGTGCTCAGCTATCGACCCCATGCTAGCCATCATTGGCAGGTATGTGACTTGGCGTCGTTGTCGGATTCTTGCAAGTGCAACCAGATGCTGCAAAGTGCAAATGCTAAAAAAATAAAGAGGAAAAGAAGGCCTGAAAATAAAAAAGGCACAATATTCAGCTAGAACAGAAAATAGCCGCCATAGTTATAGCTGAAATTGATTGAAAATTTTCCCTGGAGAAAATTAAGCTTTGATGGTTGCTGTATTGATAAATCTGATGTTTTCGAAAATTATAGCTATAAGACTAATTCCAGTGTGATACATATGCCCCTTACATAAGGTAAGGGGCATATGTGATACTCAGCACATAACATTTCTCTTTTATACTTAAAGTCTGAACTCTTGTAAACAGTAATATTAAATTGATTTTGACTTTTGACGAACCATTATGTTGTGATTACTGGATTTAATGGAGTACATTATTACAGATCTATTTAAACATCAGAATACGTGTCACAACGGAAAAATTAAAAGCGATATTTATAAAGCAGAAATCAGTAGCAATTTTCGCGCCCCATCTGACCATCTGGTGAGTTCTAAAATCTCAGGCATAAAGTTTTGTATGGTGAAATTTTAATCCCGGACCCCAGGTATATGAATCATGAATGTAATTATTATTGTAGAAATAGCGTAATGTACGATTATATTACATCTCCGGTATATCGACCTCAGTGAACTTTTCGTGCACGTCAGCATTTGCGTTAAATAATTTTTCTGAATTTTCCCTAACTAATGTGTGTGTCATTGTATGAAGGACTGGAAAATGTTGCGTGATGTGAAGCGACGCGCGTACGTCGAGCGGGATTTCCGGACCCGCAAAATGCTAATGCTCCTATACCGGTCCGATAAGACACTGCCCAAGGAGCTGAACGAAGAAGCCAAGACAGACATCGAGAAAATGGTGCGGGACACCGATTACAGGCGTATCGTCGATCGTTGCATGTTCACCAGTCGTCCGCGGGGTCTGGCCAAACGCTGGCGGCTCAGTCGGATTGTGTGGCGGGATATCGCTGATCACAACCGACTGTCGGGAGTTATTCGGGCGAACTGGATGTATCGCAATGATAAAACGTGAGTACACCGTGTTTGCTGGCGAATTTGTATTTTTTAGTTGCAATGCGTGGCAGATTTTACTGGTTCCGGGCTGTTTGTCACATTATTGGATAATGTTTACAGGTGGAAGGGTTTTTCCAAATTCTTTTGCAAGGTTTTCTGTGTAAATGAAATTACTGTACGGAAATGCGTACATAAATTTTAATGCCGAATACTCGTCTGATTTACAAATAGCTTCTGTTTGATTGAAATCTTGTAACACATTTTTACTTACAGTTAATCTCTTTTTGAAATGTTTGCTACGTGTTTGCCCGTAATTTGTATGTTATTTAAGTGTATAATGTCCAACGGACTCGATTTGAATTTTTGTTTTAATGGAATCGTAAACTAATCGTCGTTTCCTTTGACACGAGTGCTTCGTTTCTACTATGTTTGTCTCATGATTGCCCTTAATTTGATGTGTTATTTTAAGGTGTATTATTTGAACGGGCGTTTATCTGCAACTATTGTCGAAGGGATAATATTTTAGTTGCAATGTTTGTGCAAATTGTGATGTTCCACTGTCAGCCATTTTAAAAGCGGCTGTTATTGCAGATATTTCCACAATATGGCACCCGATCTCCACGACACCCTCACCAGTTTGGATCCCCTGCAGGGCGGCCGGGGAACCTACTACACGGAACTGGAGAACAAATACTACTGGTCCGGCCATGCCTTCCCCATGGTGGTGCTGAATCAGAACATCTTCAAACAGCCCTTCGTCTACCCACCGCCCCTCCCCGAGAACGTGCCGCGTCTGCGCAATACACCCCGCAAGCGACGCCAGAACCGTAAACGCTTCAATCTGCTGATGGAACCCTGGGAGACCGTGCTGCAAGAGCCCAAACGCTTCCAGTACGGGATTTGCGCGTACGGACGGCCGAATTACAATGAGAAGCACCGTACCGGCGAGAGCTATGTGTACCGTAACCACGGCATACCGTCGGGACCGGTGACGGGGTCGGATGTGCCGCTGGAGCAGTTTAATACCGAGGATGTTGATTAGAGAACACTTAATGATGTTGCATGATGTATAATGTGTACTGGGACGAAGCGATGCGGTTTGTTGGTGTTTCGCGTTACCTTCGGCGTGTTGGATACGATAATCATTGGAAAATTACTGAAATGATTGCATAAAGCTCGTAGAGTACTTGAGACGTTTATATAAAATTATGAATAAAACACTGATAGTTTTGACAAGTTTTAGAACGCTTTGATTGATACCATTGTGTGTCATTACAATTTTATCAATAGTGAGATAATTTCGCGCAGCACAGTCGGTGATATTCCAGGTCGGGCTCTGCGCTGTCGCTTATTTGACATGGAATGCAGAAATGCTGCACTGCATCGCACGCTGAAACTTCTAACATCCGTAATAAAATGCGAACTTGAATTCTGTTTCACACCAGGGTTTTCTAAAAATTTAATTTTATCATCTCCTGTTGGACAAACTTGTCACCAAATCATTTTCGGTCGGAGTTAGTGGCTTTGTCGAATAATCCAAAAAAAGCTTGTAAGCTCGGCAATGTTTGCATTTCCTGTAATTTTGATATGTTTTCTGGTCACGGGAATTGATGCCTGGGGACGGGTGGAAGTCTTTGCTGATCGTTTTGAAGATGACATAATCGATGTCAACAAGTGGAACGTGGCCGACGCTAAAACAGCTACGCTGACCAGCGGTGGCCCCGTCAATGCGCAGCAGGTGCTAATCCAAAACGACGCTACGCAAGTCTGGGAAAGTGAGTTTGCGTTTAATTAGAAATACTTATAAAAATCGCCATCTGGACTGAAACAGCTTATTTCCTTGTGTGCTTTTAGAGGAGCACAAAATGTTCCTTCTAACCAACCCCCCGGTGATGTTCAATGCAACACCACCCCACCTCTTCCTCACCGCTCGCGTGGACACACGAAGCAAGTTTTCCTACCAGTACGGCGAAGTAGAATGGAGTGTACAGATGCCGCTGGGCCGCGGCGTATCAGCCAGCCTCTCTCTGATCCCCGATGACTGCAAGAATGACCCCTGCGACCACCAGATCGACCTGCTTTACCGCGGGGATTTCCCGAACCGCGTGACCTTTATGGTGCGCTCTTCGTACCAGTATAGCAGCACGTCGGATACGCAGCACGATGGAATTGATATCACCCTGTCTAACAGTCTGGCGACGAATTTCAATAAATTCCGTATCCTGTGGGATGACCAGCAGGTTAAGTTGTACGTGAACTTTCAGGACAATCAACCGGAGAACTTCGCCATTATCGATAATCCGTCTCTGCTGCCACATGTTCCCATGCACATCCGCATGGATACCTCGGTGGGAGGATGGTATGCCGGATTGCCGAATACGCAGAGTTCGAGAGAAGCATCGTTTTTAATTATTGAAGAGGTTACGGTTCATCGCTGGCAGTAATTACGGTGGATTGGCAACATAGAATGTCTAATTACTGTACGATAATATTATTCCAGTTGTTAAATCCGCAAAGTGCTTACAGTTTAGTAGAAACGTTTTTTCTTGCCTTGGCTTTTTATTTGTGCTTAACGAGAACTTGTTGATACAAAGGATCTGCATCCAGCCAAATTCCCCGAATCGTACTTCATCATTGCAAAGCCCGGGCCGTTGACGGGAAGGTTCAGGATCGATCGAACTGTCGACAAGCGTGTACGCTTGTAGCCATTTAGCCATTGTCAGCTTTCGAGTAAAGGTCGGTTTACTAACTAGGTTTTCCGGCAAAAGCTTTTTCTTTTGTTGGCAAAAAGTGTAATAAAGATATACAACAAATATGAACTTCCATCTCCCCAGGGAGCTGGGACCATCCCGTGCCGTCTGGTATAATTAAACCAGCGAGGGTGTACGTACACTGTAAGCACCATAAATACTCGTAAATGCAGGACCGTGACAAAATTCTATAGAAGTATCGATATTTCAGAGGTTTCTAATGATCCGCTTATTGCCATATTGCAACTGACCTTTTTAAAACAACTGCTTCGCAACTCCATAATGCATATTACATTAATGTCAGAAAAAAACCCCAAGCGGCGATACTCCTGGTTGACCTCCAAAGTGTACTTTGAGACCCTTTGCAACCGGCTATCCTGGTGGCCAAAGTGTTCGGCACATTCTACATGCGGAAGAATGTCTTTCCCATCCAATTCTGCGGAAAATATCGCGGTCTTTGTGGAAAATCACTTTCTTTCTTCTGGTGTGCTGTCTTGGTCAGCGCTGTCGCTTTTCGAACCGCATGCAAGTATTCCCGACCATTTCCTTCAGCTATCAATACTTTAGAAGACCTGATCTTGAAAATTGGGATTTATTACGTTGCCGATGCGTTATTTGTACTGGAAATTGTGTTCTATTTGAATGCGTCTACAAAAAGCGCGGAAGCAGTACGGAGGTTGCTTCCATTAGTTTACAAACACCTCAAGAAATCCGACCGGATAGCGTTTCTCATTATAGCGATCTTACTCACAGTCACTTTGATCGTGCAGATTTCGCTGCAGATTTTAAATTTGACATCTGAAAAACCTTTAATTTCAAAAGACGTAATTCACTCGCCGTTAATGTCATGGTTAACTCCACGAATGACGGTTCGCATTAATATTTGCCGCTTCGTAACCGTCGTAATGTTCGCCAACCAGATGGGCATGTATGCCAACAATCAGTTCTTGGTTATGATATGCATTATATGCGGGTTGACCTTTCACCGCTTTCGGAGCAGCTTGCTCCGAGCTGCGGACATCAGCCGGATTGTGACCGACTGCGCCAAGTTACGACGCCGATTTTTGACACTAGCTGACCTTTATGGAACGGCACTGGCGCTGCAGTATGTCCGAGAGTTTATGTACTGGTTGTACGACCTTTTGCAGTTGCGCGGTACAGTCGCCGCCGGGGAACTGGCAATAGAGATGTATCTCGGTTTTAGTGTGGCGTATGTCGTTTTGGTTGTGAGTTCTTCGATATTCTGCTGCGACAAGGTTAGTCTAAAGGCCTCCTTAAATGATAGAATAATCTATAATTTACTTGCTCTTTCAAGAATTCGTAATCTGCGTGTATACATATATACTAGGCTCAAGGAATGGAAGCGGCAGTTGAAGAAGCACAGGAACAATTAACTGAACAAGACCATATAAGTGACCTCATGCGGGAACAAGCTAGAATTAAAAGCACAACTGTGGCACTGAATCTCGCCGGTTGCATTTCGGTGGATCGCCAATTTGTACTGACGGTAAGTAATACAACACTAACATGAAGCCGAAGCATGCGGTTTTTAGTTTAGTGATACCGTATTTGTGATAGCCAATAGCAAAATCGTGCGCACATCAGTTATTAAACCGGCCCTTGTCGAGCGGCTCGTATAATGGAATAGTACTCACCGTCAGTGCTTGTTTGCCAGTCAGAAAAACCGCTAACATTTGTAGTTTATTTGCTTACGGTTGAACTATATTCTCTTGATGATTCGGTACAAATAACGCTTGATAAAACGCTATAAGCCTACTATTTGTATAGAAGGTTTCGCCGAACGGTTTTTGTACATTGATAAACGGGATTCCGGCATGTACATTGTCATATATGCTCGTACTTGTGTGTTGGACGAAAAGAGAATAATTATCATATATAGTGCCGTACGGAGCACTAGAACGCTCTATTTAAGTACGTCTGTAGAAGTATCTTTAAGAGAAATGTAAGTCAGATGCGATCAAATTTCGCGCATGACGTTTTATCTGTTTGGTGCCTTTGTAGGTGTTGGGCCTAATTGCCACCTATATCATCCTCATCTGGGATAATAAAGATAAAAGCTGTCCTGTGCAACCGCAGGATCTAATGTTTCCAAACATCACGTGCATCTGTAACGCTGGCTGATTACTCTAGAGTAGTAATTACACGTCTCTAAATCTGTTCTCATCCCCTTCTTCTATGGTTTAAACATCAAAATCAGTTGCAATGATACCGTTTGCAAGATCCCGGTGGTAGCACTGTTTCGAGATAAAGTAAACGATGATCATTTTTTGTTCCAGTTTAGGTTACAATTATAATTGTGTTTCTAATCGATTTTTTCACGGTTTAACGCTATTAAAATACAACGTACGTAGACTGGACGAAAACTTTAGCGATATTCAACCGGAGGATTACGCCATCATCGATACGTCTATCTGCCACATCTATCCATGAGTTACACATGGATGTACGGTTGCGCGGTCGTAACAGTATCTTTGCGAATTAGTTGCCTTTTTTTGCAGCGCTATGCATGCCGGCGACATGAAAGTCCTAAAGGGCATCGTTTTAAGTGTGCTTAGTGCTTACCTACTGATAAAACAGTATTTATTATAAACAATAATTTATATAAACCTGCTGGCGCAAAGATGAGACATACCATCAGTTTTCACGAGCTGTAAACCCAATATCTGTACTGCAGCGCACTGTTCGTTGACGGTGCAGTACGTTTACACGAAAGCTGACAATGCCAGTTATAGGTACTCGTAATTTGTCGATATTGTCAGCTTTCGCGTAAAGATCGACTAAGTTGACTACATTCTGGCAAAGGTTTCCCCTGTTAACTGACAAAAACGTAACGATGATCTACAACAAATATGAAATTCATGAACAACTATATCTCCCGGGAGCCACCACCACATCCGCAATACGAGTGTACACACTCGCCTGGTGCAGTTAAACCGACAAACGTGAATATTCGGAACACCGTAAAGTCGTAAACTAGTGAATTGCCGCTTTACGATAAAGTTCATTAGAATTCTAAACTTTTGCAAAGATCCGCTTATTCTCAGATTGACCTTTTATTCACAATGCATATTACGCTGATGTCGGAAAAAAGTCGCAAGCGCCGATACGCATGGCTGACATCCAAACTATACTTTGAGACGCTTCTGCAACCGTCTCTTCTGGTAGCCAAAGTGTTCGGCACATTCTCCATACGGAAGAATGTCTTTTCTATCCGATTTGGCGAAAAATATCTCCGAGTTTGTCAGTATCTTTCTTTGTGCTGGTTCGCTGTCTTCTTCAGCGCTGTCGCTTTTCGGACCGCATGCAAGTATTCCAGACCATTTCCGTCATCTGTCAATACCTTAGAAGACCTGATCTCTAAAGTTGGGATTTATTACTTTGCGGATGCGTTGTTTTTATTGGAGATTTTGTTTTATTCAAAAGCGTCTACAGAAAGCGCGGAAGCAGTGCGGAGACTGCTGCCTTTGATTTACAAACACCTTAAGAAATCGGATCGGGTAGCGTTTCTAGTTTTGGTGACCTTATTGACCGTCACTTTGATAGCGCAAATTTGGACGCAGATTTTGGTTTTAACAGCTGGAAAAACTTTGTTTTCCAAAGAGGTAATTTACTCGCCGTTAATGTCATGGTTAACTCCGCGAATGACGGTTCATGTCGATCTTTGTCGCTTTGTAACCGTCCTAATGTTTGCAACCCAGATTGGCGTGTATGCCAACAATCAGTTCTTGATTCTAATGTGCACGTTATGCGGGTTGACCTTTCGACGCTTTCGCCTTAACCTTCACGAAGCAGCGGACATCAGCTTGATTGTGATCGATTGTGCCAAACTGCGACGCCGATTTCTAGCGCTAGCTGACCTTTATGGAACGGCACTGGGGTTACAGTATTTCCGAGAGTTTCTGTACTGGTTGTATGACCTTTTGCAGCTGCGCGGTACAATTGGGGTACAGAGTTTTGCACTGGAAATGTTTCTGGGTTTTAGTGTGGCTTATATCGTAATGATTGTGAGTGCTTCGATATTTTGCTGCGACCAGGTTAGTTAGAAGCATCCTAAAATTTCAACATGTCGACGTGTGCTTACTTCTCTAAGATTTTAAAATTTGCGTATGTATACCAGGCTCAAGGAATGGAGGCGACACTGGAAGACGCACAGGAACAAATCACTGACCAGGAGGATCTCAATGGCCTTCTCATGCGGGAACAAGCTAAAATTAAAAACACAACTGTGGCTTTAAATCTCGCCGATTGCATTTCGGTGGACCGCCAGTTTGTGCTGACGGTACGTGTTACAATCAAGTTTCTACGGAAGTATTAGTACAGTATTGGTGGTAGCGGTTCACGTGCAAATAAACGTTACAAGCGTCCTACGGCCGTAGAGCGCTTTTTCACGGTTTTGGTCAAACTTGTTTTCTAAAATGATCAATAAAAGTCTCCGTAATTACAGTATGTTTTGGGTAAAAAAGAAGTAATGTAGTATTAATGTCAGGAGCACTACTGTACTGGTAGATCACACAGCTCTCTATATGCAAATTCTTACTTGATACTTTTATAACAGAAATGTAGGTCAGATAAGAGTGAATTTCACATGGCCTTTTATTTCGTTGGTGCATTTGTAGGTGTTGGGTCTGATTGCCACCTATATCATTCTCATCTGGGATAATAAAGACAAAAGTTGTCCGATCCAAACGCAAGAGATAATGTTACCAAATGTCACGTGCATTTGCAACTCTAGCGAATTGTTAATTCCTCATTCTTGGATGTGGTCCCAGGTTTTTACCCCAGACTCCACGTTAATGTTAGTGCAATGATGCAGTGGTTCTTTGGCTTCAGATTCCACGTCAAATTTACCTTAACGTAAAAACAGTTTCCATAATATGATTACTTAAAACAAAATGGCGTATAAATTCTGATAGCGATCTTAAAGATAATAAAACAAGAAAAAATCAGTTTCTTAATTTATGCGACGAATCAATGTATCTGCAAAATACCGGTCGCGTTCATCTGCGATCGCATTTATAGTGTTTCTGCAACAGTTGCCGAAGAACGGTTAATACTCGCACGTAAAGCGTACCGGCTTATCGATAGTACTAGGTACTTCTGCGCATGACGACGGGTTTTGTCTCTTTTCGATTTATTGCACAGAAAATGCAGCGGCACTATCGACGCAAGTGTATCTCCCATTTTTACAATTAATCGTGTTATCAAACGTCGCTATCATCATGTCGTTAGTAATCATTCTGAGATTCTCTAACAGAGTAATGCGGTTAGGTACTAAATCAATGTAGTTACGAATATAGATATAGAAATTTTCGTATAATTGCATGCACACTGCACATAATTGCAAAGTACAGCTACATTATTTTAGACATGTGTAAAATACAGAAATAAAAACTTTTGTCACTTCATAATATAATATTGAATTCTTGCCAGGCGGGAAAGAAGTCTTACACCCGCTGCACCATAAGCAGGATTATTCGCTACTTAATAAAATAGCGCTCATTTCCTGTGCTGTGATGTTCCTGTTGGGTATAGTAGCGCTTTACTTTACGCAGCATTTTATCCTAAGTGATGCCTGGGAAAGAGTGGAGATCTTCGCTGACCGTTTCGAAGACGACAGAATAGATGTCACCAAATGGAACGTGGCCGACGCAGCGACGGCAACATTGACCAGCAATGGCCCGGTTGGATCCGAACATGTGCTCGTGCAGCCTGTCGTTACCAATGTCTGGGAAAGTAAGATACACAAAACAATTATTATTTAGCCAAATAAGGCAATATATGCTTTATATACGTAGTAGAAAAAAATTCAGACGTGATTTTGCTGTCACAGAATTTTTCCGCCAAAAATTCTTTAATTAACAGTTATTTAACACGTCAAATGGCGGTTTAATTGCAGTAAATTGCAAACCGGTTACAAGGCAGTACATAACGTTTCAAATAACGATTAGGCAAAACATAGGATTTACTTTGATTATTTTTAAGCATGGTTTAAAAAAGTTATTGAGCGTCTCTAAAGTCTAAACGCTTCGATAATGGATAATGCCAATGGATGGCTGCTCAATGCTCAAAGAGACTGTCACACAAATCCAAGCCTATACACTACGCTAGTGTAAACATTTCATGTGGTCGTTTTCGTAGTCAACATTGTTCCTTCATTTCATTGCACAACACCTCATGCATAAATATAGATTTTGGGCAATCTTTGCAGAGGAGCATAAAATGTTCCTGATAACGAACGAGACCTCGTGGAAGAACTTCACCACCTCGCATGTTGACACCCGTGACAAGTTCTCCTTCACGTACGGGGAAGTGGAATGGACGGTGCAGATGCCGCTGGGCCATGGTGTCTCCGCCGTCCTCTCGCTGATCCCGGACTACTGCAACGATCCCTGCCAGCACCGCATCGACATTCTGTACCGTGGGGATGTCCCCAACCGGGTGACCTTTATGGTGCAGTCCTCCTACGAAATGCACAGTGTCCAGCATGATGGGATTGAAGTGACCATTCCCGGGAGTTTTGCCATGGGTTTCAATCGGTTTAAGATTCTGTGGGATGATCAACAGCTCAAATTTTACGTGAATCCGCAGGATGGCCAGCCGGAGAATTTCGCCGTGACCGACAACCGGCCCCTCCTACCGCATGTTCCCATGCATCTGGAGATGAGCAGTTCGGTTGGTGGATGGTATGAAGGTCTACCGAGTGTTTTGTTTGCGACGCTACCATCGTTTTTAATAATCGAAGAAGTTACCGTTCATCGCTGGCAATAAAACAAAAAACATGCGATATTAGCTAATTAAGTTCTTTAATCGCGACGGAAGCATCGTTTCTAATTATTGAGGAGATAGTGTGCACTGGAATAAAAAAGTAATGCTTCCAGAAATTACCGTAATGCTTAGTGTATGATATTATGTAAAGTTCAAATGCCTCTAGTGCATAATAAATGTACAATTTGTACAACAGGTATGTTTCCAAACAAAATTACCACTGCACAGTGCATATGCAATCGATTAGGACAATGGTTGCTTTACGAATCTGTATGTTCCGTCCTTTGCACTACGAATCACAAAATACATACTCGTATTACTTTTCAGAACCCGTTTGTGAATGTGTGGAAGTGGATAAGCTTGGCAATCAAAACTCTTGATGGTGAGGCTTGCATTAATTTAATTTCGATGACAACCATAATCCAAAAACACACAATCACAGGAGCAGAAACGAATAAACTAATCAAAAATTCATCGGAGTTCAATACCAGAATCGGGAGAACATTCGTATTCATACATACAGAAATACCAGTATAATTCATCCGCGTCAAACGCAACGCGAATAGCCACAGTACAAGACATGGAGCGTGCAGCTTCAAGCAAACTTTTTCTTTATTTATTTGGGAGACATTTGGAGATAAACGCTTTAACATCCATCATTTCCTAGAAAAGCATACAACCAAAATTTAAAAAAAATCAATAATTCACACTCAAGTTCGTCAAATGTACAAGCTCAATAAAATTTCGTAAACTGATGGAGTCAACAAAAACCCGGCTTTTCTCACCTGCGAACTGGAGCTGTGGCCCATTCCCGGGTAGACCTTCATGGTGACATTGGGAACGAACGCACTGAGTTTCTCCTTCGTCATCTGGCCGACGAGTGGCGCGACCAGCGGATCGGAATCACCGTGGCACAGCAGTACCGGAATGTCCTTATTGATGGAGTGGGCGATCTGTCAACATCCCCACACAACGCGCGCGTTACAGTCGGGCACTTGGTATACCGGGAATTAGTTAATTATACACATACCGCCGGAAACTCCATGGCCAACGGCAGCCACCCACTGAGCGACATGACACCAGCTAAGGGCTTCTCCAGCGTCAGCGATGAATACAACGCCAGGGCGCCACCCTGACTAAAGCCGCCCACCACAATACGATTACTGGGGATGCCATTCTTCTCCTCGTCGCTGATCAGCTCATAAACTGCAATACCGGATACTTTATACGTATACAAGAAAAAATTCATTTAGGATGCGCCTGGGAGTAACGGGAACACAAGCGGCAAAACAGAACAACCACGAAATCTAATGCATTAGCGTAATAGAAAGAACAGGCCGCATTCGATACAAAAAAAGTTTTTTAACAAAAATTTGCGAGAAAAATTCCTATAAAGCTGAACCTCAGCTGCAGGAGGTTATCAATGGGGAAAGAAGGGTCTGACGAAAGTTAGGAAAATAATCATACTGCGACAAAAAAATCACCGGAAACCGATTTAACGATATGCGCCACTGCACACCGCGAAAAAATAACGTGCCATTAAACTCACTTAGCTCCTTTACGGCTCGTTTGATACCCTCGGTATCTTCGCGGCCTCCGATTTGCAACGAGTGAATATCAAACCTGAAATGTTAATAAAACATGTCAACTGCACAACAATTTTTCTACCAAAACATATAAAGATTTCCGACTGATAACACCAGATTCTGCTTCTTGTATAATTATTTTAATTACTTCCAGCAGTTTACTGGTACATACACGAATCAAATTTCGCACACATTTTGATGCTGATAAAATTTGTTCACATGGTCACAATTAACTTACCAAGACGGCATGCGCATTCCGCCGTTCAATGTCACCGGCATCGGAACCCTGAAAATAACCATAATTCAATTTTTGCCAAATGTCATGATAATCACGACCTAAATTTTTCGATTTCCCGGTGGCTTAAAAATTGAATGGCAAGCATCAGAATTAGAAAATTGTAAAGGGCACACATATACCGCTAGATATCATAAGGTTCAGTTACAAGTTGTAATAACAGTTTTTCAAAAGAACGAGCAAATTCATCCAGCAAAAGTTAGGAAATGAGCCCTAAGATAGAATAACTTTAATTTTAAGAGAAAACGATCGTAATTACCGCTGCTTAAAACTTCTAATTCTTTCTTGCTAAAACCGCACTTTCACCAATCTGTAACATAATTTAAACCGTAAACCTAGAAATTGCCATTTGTTTGGCGCAGTCAAACCGTGCCAGACAAAGACAGTATAAAAAAATAATCACGCAGGAGGAAGCGGAAAAGCCACAAAACGGCCATAGACGACTGGTAGAGACGGGAAAAATGTTAATTAAAATTCCCCGAAGGGGGTTCAACACCAATTTAATCCTTTTGTCCTTCTACCCACTGACGTCAAAGCCCATCGATTACGGACCGGGATAATAATCAAACTTTATCAGTTAGACTCACGCGGTGGGACAGATGTATTTGATGTGCGGCTCGCGGATCTCCCGAAATGCCTCCGACCATCCCGCTCTGCAATTACAAATACATCCTGTAATTCCTCCGATTTATTGCCAATTTTAAATCAAAACCAAAGTACCCAGTATCACCCAAACCGTGGAGAAATATCACCTAAATAAAACAACAACAAATACAAATTGTGGAAATATTGGGTGGCGGAAACGGCAGTATTCCTGTACGTCAATACAGAGTTTATTGGGCGCTGCACAGAGAAACCGTTTATAAACATTGTTTCTGAAGTTGCGTACAGTTCCTGTATGGTTCGCGGTTGGATTCGTCACGTAGGTGCCGGGATTGGTTTTGCGGGATGAAGATGCCATTTTTCTACTGGAAGATGACAGATTTCCTCCCATAAAACCCGATTTACTTAGCGCATATGCCGCAGCCACACACGATGTCACGAAGCCCGTTAGCAATATGCGTCGTCCTGGAATGTTAGAGAATTTCAGCCACGCGCGGTGTTCAGTTGGAGTCATAAAAGCGTGCGCAGTGAAATGGTAATCCAAGGGATAATAACGCTGATTTTTGTTTATAAAAATGCAATCTGGCACATAACCACACTGGGGCAGTTTGGGAGAATTGATGTAAGGAAAAGGATCGAAACATCCAGGAAAATGCAAAACTGATCGATAGCAGCGGTGCCAGATAAGGGGCGGAGCGACACGTTGCCGCCTGCCAACCGCCTGCGCTTCCATGCTGCTGCGATTTAGTTTCGGGCTTGTGAAAATGCTGACTACGGCACCTTACTTTGAAAGTCGCTTTCGCAATCTCTCAGCTGTCCCGTTTTTCGGATTTCTAAGTTTCTTTGGTTCTGTGACTTTTGTTTGCATTTTGTAACTTGTTCCTTTTTTCGCTTATGATCCCGCGATATTTTTCTTCAGCTGGGCCCTGAACTTGTGGACTGACCAACTACTGGAAAATGTAAACTGATACTGTTGGTTGCGACAGGAAGCTGCATGAAGAAGACCCTGGTTTAGTTTTGATTTTTGGAAGTTTGGACATTTTATGGTTTCTCCTGAGCATCTCTGAATCTGATCTGCCTTTGTTTCCATGTTGCTGGTTGCACAACAGTTGCTTTTGACAACGGTGATGATTTTTAAAGAATGTTACGGTGGAGAAATATTCAAAGATTCTTCCAGAGGCAGAAATTATCGCTTGTGCGGACTGTGGCAAGTGCGTCAGATGCCATTAGTCCGATGCAGCTTACGCTGGCCATCGTGAAACCCCATGCGGTTTCTCAGCCGTTTGTTGTTCAGGTAAGCCGCGCAGATTAATTTACCCTGGGATAATTATCCAGTTTTGCATGCTGTTTGGAAGGGTATCGACGAAGCGATCCTCAAGGAGGGATTTTATGTTGTGCGGAATAAAGAAATATACCTTTCCAAGGACGAAGCTTCGCAATTCTACGCTGAGCATAAAGGTTTGCAATGCTGATTTTTCTTCAGGAATTTTTACTACGGATGCCATACTGTATCACGGAGTTGCAGGGCGGTTTTTTTATCAGCGTGCGGTCGAAATGATGGCCAGGTTTGTGAAGCGAAACGTTTTTGAGTTTTTTTATGTTCCACTTTTTGGGCAATGATATTTTCTATTATCAGTAATGATTAAATAGGTATGTTAATTAATAATTAATTAGTACTAATTGGAAAGAAATGGTTTAAGGTTTTTTTATGGTTTATTAAAGTGAAAACTATTGGTTAGTTTCAATCCCTGTAAACTTCGGTAAAGACGAAGATTTTTTTCGCACAAATCCTTAGCTGTGCCGCTCTGCCTAATAAATTACAAAGTATAAGTTCCTCTTGTTGGCCTATTTTATTAGGTGTTTATATCGAAAAAGGGAATCTCTACTGTTTTTATTTTAATTTTCTTGAAGACTTTGCAGAACGAATATTTATTGCCAGTATGAGAGAGAGAGGACATTTTCATATTTAAATATACTGTTTGCTAGGATGATCGCTTGCATTCTTTAATTCCGGTAAATGCTTAAAGTTGGCGGGAACTCAGAAGCTGGTACATTAGCACTTACATTGCGGGTTATTATTGTCGAAGAATAAAGATGTTTAACACTGCATTTTAACACCTGGCATTTGCAGTGGACCGATAATTGTTAAAATTCTTGCCCGGATAAACGCAATTTCTCACTGGAGAACATTAATGGGGCCTACAAAAGTATCCAGGTTTGTATTCGTTTTTCTTTCCCTTGTGTAGTTGTACAAGTACATACGTATTTGGTAAATTGCGGTTAATTATAATACGTAAAGTAAGAATCAAATCCTGGACGTCGTGTCGTAACCGTTGTTTAAGTATGGAAAAAATTTCTGTTGGTGCTTTCCCGTCCACAGTGTCCATTTACCTTCTTCTGCCTTGAAGGTAATCTGCGCATTGGTGTAGAATAATGTAGAATAAAAATGTTTATGCCGTATATACCGGATAAATATTTAACTTTAGCGTTCTCACATGTTCAGGAGAGTACAATTGTGTCCTTTTCACCTTTGCACTACGACAGCCCGTTACTTTATCAGGACAAAGCTCACACACCCAGATTCACTTCGTGGAAGATTCGGATTAACCGACACAAGGAACGCCGTTCATGGTTCAGGTACAGTGGCGAGCAAGTGCGGTGTTGGGAAAATTCTTTCGATTAATTTTATCCAAATACTGCGTAAATTTGTCATGTATGTAGATGTTTGTGTCGGTTTTCCTTATCCTTTCTGTGAACATGATGTCCCTTATCGTAAGAATTTATAACATTAGCTCTTACGATGCATCTTTCTTATTGTAGACTCTGACACGTCGACAGCGCGTGAATGCAATTTTTTCCTTCCGGAATTCAATGTGAAAGAATGGTACGAAAACGATGAACCGGTGTACCGCTCTGGCAACGTCAAATACGATGAAACAATTGGTGTGCATGTAAGAATATTGTAACGGGCATTGTATTGTTTTTGTATTGCTCTTTACGTGAATTCTGTGATTGTTTTCCACGTTTTAAAAATCTCTTGTTATGGAGTTTGATTTTGCAGCTCCGAAGCATTTACTGGCTTTACCGGTGTTGATATAATTACAAGAACGGTGAAAAATAAAAGCCAGAAGAATTTCTGTAATCGAATATCGTCGTCAAAATTTGAATTTACCTGTGTTCATTTCAAACGCCAACGCTTTCTTGCACGTAATGGACATCAAGGAACAGACAACATTTAATAGATTATGACTTCGTTATTCATATATTTAGCGTTTAGTTTTACGTATCAGATTTCTTCGAACTAAGTAATAAAAAGCCAAATATGGCCGGTAAAAAATGACCGGTCATTCGTGCAAACTGATATACACACCAAGCAGAGTAAAGAAAAAACCTGAACAAGACGCATAAAACAGTCTGGATTCCGGGCGAATCTCATCTTCCCGGCAGACGTAACAGCACATTAACATCCGGCACCTCAAACGACCCGATGCGCGGCCGCGGAATCTGCATGGCCGGATCGTTTTTAGCTTGCCCTTTAGCGGCGCGGACCGGCTGGCGAAACACCCGGTGATTAAACGCCGGATGCGTTTTGGACGGGAGGAATGTCCAGTGGGTCCCGTAGGGCGGTCGCCATGCCGCCATCGCTGCCATGCCGCGGCCGGTGGGAAATCGCTTGGCGTTCATCCCGCTGTCGGGTAAAAACTGCATCGTGGCCGGACGATATCCAGTTGACAGGCCGTTGACAAAATATCCATTAACCCAACACAATACCGTCGTCAGGCCGATAATCACGGCGTTGGCGTTATACCGCCAGCATACACTGCAACGCATTGTGGGAACTGACAAAGGTCATGAAAGAACGATCGTCTGCTTCCGTCGCTGTCTGTGGATACTGGTGGAAAAACGAATTAAGCATCGAGAATTTTATACAGCGCAATAAGGTGCGGGCGCGGATTTTAGTCCACTTTTGCGAGTGCGTAGAACACCTCAGCGGGTTGTGTTTTAATTAGCTGTAATCGGGAAGCCCCGTCCGAAGATCAGTTGTATGCTGTATAGTCACCCCGCTGTTTGCGAATGCAGTCGCTATTCATAACCCACACGTTAAGGATTACGATCTTTAGGAACAGATTTAACGCGGACTGGAGTAAATTAGTGACGGTTAACGAAGCAACGATGCTATAAAGAACATCACTAAAGCAGCTTTATATGCCTTAAATATTTAATGCGTCGGTATGGACTATGGAATTAAGGTGCGGTACTGCCTACTGAGTAGGTACTAAGATAGGAGCCAGAATATTCGGATAATCGACAGACTTTACAAAGAACAGGGAGGTCGTTCGTTTAATATCTTGTCCTCCTACTGGATTGTGCGGTACTTTTGAGTTTAAACCGTATGTTGTTATTTAGCGACTATTGAATTTCATTTTCTTCCTCCTCAACATCCAGTACTCATCCTTCATCTGTATGGACTTTTCTGGCGTTTGATCCACAAAAGACCGGCTTACGCCCTCTGGCTTCTACATTTGGCAAAAAGTCAACTCCGATTACATCTTTTTCCCTTTTCTTTGCATTCTTCACGCCTGCGACTGGACAGCCGACACCAGTCTGAACATAAGAAACATTTACAAGGACATCGATGCTGCGCATTATAAAGTGTCGAAATTGCAATGCGACATATATGTATTGTTATCATCGAAGTATATTTAGTAAAAGTTCATGTGACAACTGCGCATAAGATAAATTTTATTAAAATCTTGCAGATCTAGAGAATACTTAAGCGCCCTCGTAGATACATTGGTGTCAAATGCCTACCACAGAATTCAATGGAGATGGTAACAAATTTATAAGCCAGAATGAATATAAGAGTTGGATTTCTGTTGTATTAGCGCTTTATGTCACTGTATTGTACATCTAATTATACCAATGCCATACCGTCAAACACCCCACTCCGAGTGGCGCCATTTTATTTGTTATTTACATTTATTCTTAAATTCTCAGCTTAAATCACACCCACCTTCTCGCGAAAAGCCAGCGATGTATCTGGCATTTCAGCTGTCACAGCGTCATCGTATTGGGTGCAGCATCCTCCACCTACCTCGCCTCGGTTACCCATGACCTTTTACTTCGGATAATAGAGTGATATACAGCGTTTGCTACAGAGTATACATTTTAAAAGTAGTGGTGCATAGTAGTTGGGCCTATAATTGGTGCATATATTTGGAAGAAATTATGCACCTTTTGTAAATTATATAGATATTCGTACAGTATATCTACTGGGTAGCTCTCCGTTTGAATGCTAAACAGAGTTCTTCAGCTGCTGCAAGCCCACCCTATGCAGACCACGTTTGGAAACAGGAAAGCATTTTAATCTCTGTTTGGATTTATTCTCCACTCTGAATGCAGGGGGCATTCAGGACACATATTATTCCATAACATTTTATGCGCAAGAAACACAAAGCCAAAGAAGCCACAACCAGTACCTAGGGTAGTAAGTATTCTACAGGACTCCAAAAATATAACCAACCATAGCAGCGTATACACCAGGCACTGGAAACTTTTTTTATATTATAAAGTCCAAGCAGCTACACAGAAACATCACCATGATCCAACATTTAACTACGGAACAAGAAATTTTATATATAAGTATTGTCAAAAGTAATACAGAAACCGAAAGTACACAACAGTATACCGGTACGTTTGCGCTACACACACTCACAAACTAACATCCGAGAACATAAACAACCCTTTGACGTAGCATTCTGACAAATGAATAAGGCAGAAAATCATTAATAATCCCCGGAAAGCAGCGTCACTGGTATTGCGATATTCTTCTTCCGAAATTTGTCAAAAAATGTAAGAAGTGTCACCCATGTGAATAAGGCAGTTGCGCGTAAAATGGAATTACAATCCCACTCCAGATGTGGTCCCCATTTTATCGTATGTACACATGATGGACGGCAGTCGGCGATTAAAGCAAAAAGAATATTTAACTAAAAATTTCTAATCCTGAGTAATTTTAGCGCTTTTTTTAAACGAGAAAAATAAGAGAATGTATAGTGCCTCGGCTGAGAATTATTAGCTGCAAAATAATCTTCCCTTAGAACGAGATTCGAAGGAGAAAAAAATAACTACGGGATAGAAATCAACAAGAGCATTATGAAATGGAGAAAAAAAACTGCACTTTGTAAAAGGAAAAAAATACAGCTGGGTCGAATTTCTCCTCCCTTGTTTATTCCGCTGTGCCATTTAATGAGGAATGAGCCGCATCGTTCGGCCGGTTATCGGGGATGATTTCGGTTAGGAATATGTCGAATGAATCCGCTGCATCATCACTAAGAGTGTGGTGGACATCGATAACGAAGGAATCCTCGTTGGAATAAAACGCTAACATATCGTCATCCATTTCCACCGTTACTCTGCAATAAAGCTCGCTAGTATTATGGCGAAAGCCTGAAAGGTGATCGAAACTGATCAGGGAATCGTAAATATACTAACTGCAAATTCATACACCATGCAGTACAAATTTTCGGTACATTTAAAAAACTTATCGAATCTCATTGTTGCATAAGTAGAGGAAGCTCTCGATTAATAGAAGCTTTATTTTTGTTTTATGAAAGCGGCTTTGACCTAATCATAATTTTGGTAAGCAACAGCCTTAAATAATAAAGATTATAGTGCAGTTTTATTTCAAAGACATAACAAGTTTGTATGAATTCCAAATAATGGATTATCAGTACAACTGTACACTGTATAATAGTGAACTTACCCTTTAAAGTTCTTTTTATAAACTTTGGATATCTTATTTGGATCAATACCATATTTGAGGTATAACTGCAAAAAAAACACATGAATTAGTATTCCATTTCGGCCTGATTAATTCGAACCATTTATTTTTCGTACCGCTTGCGCCAGTCCTTTTAGTGTCGGAGGCACCAAATGGAGCGCCGTGTAGACTTCATCGGAGTCCTTGCGGACGTATAGCATCACTACAACAGCTGACCTTTACATAATGTATCCGCAATTAATCTGGAATATCTACACCAATGTTTGACACATTTCGACGAGTTCATACCTCGTTCCGTAACAGGTGGAATGGTTTTGAGCCGTTTCGCCGGCGGCAGGACATTGTCGACGATGGCGGTGTTGGGGCATTCCGTGGAATCGATCTTGGAATTGGAGTCGGTATTGCTGGCGGCCGAGTAGAAACAGCTGAGTTCCATGGGCGGCAGCCGGTCCAGATCGTCGGCCGGGGTGAAGAGCAGGGGCGGTTTAATGAGATCAGCCATGGAGTAGAACTCGGAGCGCTCCAGGGGAGGATGGTACAGGTCGTCCAGCTTCTTGCGCCCGGCCGCCGCCATCTTCCGCTTGGCGGCGCGCCGTTCCTCGTCGCGGGTTTTCCGCTCCGCACCCTAAGAATAATTCATACAATGAATGAATAGCAGCAATGTTGTTGCGCAGGGCTTTTTAAAGATTTTTATAAAATAGCCATGTTACAACTGACAAATTCGTAACGCACAAAACAAACAGCAGAATGTCATATGTATATTAACGGGTGAGCAAGAACTGCAAAATTTTTTTGAAGAGTGCTGTAATTTTAAATAGTGTACCTTGTCGCAGAAAACTTTGATCTGGCAGTAGCCGCGATGTACCGGCTTGCCTTGCGCGCGAGGATCTTCATGGGTATCAATTTGGACGTGCAAAGGCAATCCCTAGAACAAACATTTCATGACGTCGATTTCAAAGCAATAAGTGATAGAGAAAGTATTAGATTGAATAAACAGGCTGTTAATGAATTCTGATGGCAAAAATAAAGAAAACCACAGTACTGCGAAATTCAGCGGCAAAGGATAGATCTTGTGTCTTGTCAAATCCGCTTGCTCAGTGATTCATTATACTACGTTGTTCATCAAATTGCCATTATTTCCGTCTTATTCTAATCTTTTGCCCCACAAGAGTAGTTCTCGTATTGCAAAACTGGTAATTAATAATTAAGTAACAGGAGGACATAAACAAATTTATTTTTATTCACAACTCGTAACAACCGAAGCGCTAATGTTAAACTGAATAAAACTGCATTCAAAATTTATGGTAAAAATTAAAATGGATACTCGTACCGTACTTCGAGCACAGAAAATTGTATTATTCACCTTGACGCCCTTTTGGTTACTGAAGTCCGTACTGAGGCACTGTACAGCGATATTGACTTTGGCGTGACCTTCGTGGGGATTCCAGTAGACGGAGATGGCATTGTGCGATGTCTCCTCAATACATCCCACCAAGCCCTGACTGTTCTTGGTGTCGGCGTCGAAAATCCGCTGCTTGATACTGTGCTGCCGGCTATGCCAGAACTGCCAGGCTTTGGCTTCCTCTTCGCTGGTTTTCTCCTCACGGAACACCAGCATGATGGTGCTCTATAATGCACACCATAATAATCAAACAGGTACACTACGTGCATTACAGTACCCTTTATGGTACAGTGTTGTTATTGTCCGCCTGATAAACAGACAGATCAAATTGCCCCCCAAGAAGGAAGTATCAAGTGGCCAGTCTAATACGAGAGCCCATGAAGAGCAGCAACGCTGCCGCACTTGATGCCGGGAAATACTTCCCAATTGACCACAATCTGCACATTAAGTGCTCGGCGATCAAGTGTTATTAATACCGCATCATTCACCGAAATCAACTTCGATAGTGCAACTTTTATTTGCAAAATTAAAATAAATGTAAAACCATTTATGACATTTTATCGTTTAACTGTTACCTTGGGATATTTACAGAAAAAAATTTGATATATTAACAGAAATGATAATAGGTCTTGTAGTAACATAATTTCTATCCTCATCGACAGCGTCTTCATTATGATACGCCGAGGTATTATGGCTTCTACCAAATTACACTGCCATTCCCAACTTTTGTCGTTTATCCAGTACTTCTACACATAAATGTTAACTGATAGATTGTTTGATGCAACTGCTATACAATAACGGAGTTATTTTTCCCAATTTCCTTGTCCTTACTTTGACTGTTTGGGATTTCAAAGGTTTTTCCGAATCCGGAATGTATTCGAGCGTGATGGGATAAAACTGGCCTAAAGAAACAACAATTTAAAAAAAATAAAATGATCAGCATCCCTAAATTAGGCTAAATTATTAACAAGCCGCGTGGATGTGATGTAGCCGGTGCTGCCAACTCAAACCGGGGTGGAGTCACCCATGCAATCCGCGGTGGAATAATATCAAATGATCAATAGCTCAGCAATGGGCTTATTTATCAACAGGGTGTATCACATCACGTCTCCCCATGCATGCAATCGCATTAACAACACAACACGATCACCGGCGTGCCCCGGCGACGGTACCAAACCCGATCTGCATACCTTTGTTGATGTAGGTAATCCGGTCTTCCTCGCGTTTTTGGCTCGTGCTTATGGGCGCTTCCAGGTAATAGCGGAAGCCCACATTGGAAAATCTGTCAGTTTATAGAAAAGACAACGGGATTAGAGCACTGGATGTACAATACAATGGGGATCATTACACTTAAGCCGGATAATCTCCAGATGGCTCTATGCTGATTTACATTGCAATCACTTCCGGTAATCAGTCGCCAGCTCTGGGCAGATGAATATTAACGTTAAGTATCTTATTCACGCCATTTATTAATTTCATTTGGAATCGGCAAGATGGTTAACAAAAACAAATACGAAGCGCCTCTCATTTCTTTTAAATTCTATAAATAGCGATACGATGCAGCATAGTGCAGTCACACTGTATTCATCAAAAGCATTTAAAAGAGAACCATTAGATTTTTTCCATCGGTATGCAAATACAAAAATGAAAATTAAATCCATGTTCAGCCCTATAAAAACAGTTGTGATGACTAGTTCATGAGCATCGAAACTCGCGCATGAACAAGTCATCGCAAATGTTTTTATAGGGTTGAGCATGGATCTTATGGGACACCTTGAATGCCTGTGATTGCCCTTACACTACGTCTGCCCGCTTTCCATAGGCAGCAACATAAGATTAAATAGGTCTGAGGGCCTTTGAATGTTTTGCACGCCATATTTTACAATGCAACCAGGTAAAAAACTGATTCTATATAATTAAAATATAAAATACATTTCTCGAGAAAACTTTTCAAATTTTTTTGCGTTTGACTGACAGATTAGGGAAGTGCTGACAATGACAAGACTGTAGATTACACCAGGACGAGAGAAATTGCGATAGTTTCTTACACTTTGGGAATATTGACAACCGGATTGGCAGATCCAAGCTTCTCAACCGGTGTTCGTTCAACGGACGAGTTACGGCGATTATTTGGAGTTGGCGTTAACCGGGGACTGTCAGATGTCGATGTTGTGGGCGACATGAGTGAGCCCGAGACACATGAGCCATGCATGTCGTTCGTGTTGTACTCATACATCTGCCGTACGCAAAAAATCTCATGAGGAATACACCATGAAAAAAGAGCCTATTTTTACAAAAAAGGATCCTATTTCAGGGTGGCGACGATGAGTCGCCGCAGTCACTCGAGAACAGCCAATTATTCTGAAGTAACAAAAAGTAAACCCTTGCATCGGTAGAAAACTAAATCGGTCGAAAATCGAAGAAGCAACAGGTGAATCAAGGAATAACGAAAATCTGGAATTAAATTTATAATGGAATGCTTTAGGTACTGAACTGGTAAATGCGCGTATTGTGTAGAGTCAGTAGAGCGACAATATAATTATTTCGAGATTAAACTAAATTAAATTAATTCGATGTTGATCGCTCTGGCTTTACTGTTCAGTGTTCTGATCGCAATCTGTGCATTGTATTGGCGATCATTCTCTTGCGCAAATGGCTATTTTCGCACCCGGATATGTACCAGTACGAGTATGAATTTTGGTGGTCAGAATGCGGTGCGAGTGACCACAATTCAGGAAACATTCGAAAAATAAATTATAAATCAGGAAGCATTACTTCATGCAGTTTCTACAGTACCTGTTGAGCGGCATGTTCTCTGGATGCGAGTGCCTCGCCGAGTCCACTGTCCGGCGACGGCAGATCCACACTGAGTCCACTATGCGCCACGGCCTGATTGATACTGTTCTGCGCAAACCCGCTGGCCTGCCGGTACCGTTCCATAATCATCTGTTCCGTCGGATCCTGAAAGTGCCCGCCCGTCTGCCCCGGCCGGCCGCCCCCGAACCCATACCCATAATCCATGGGCGCGGCAATGGGCGTCCGGTAGTATTCCCCGTTGGCGGCCTGCAGGAGCACCGTCTGCGTGTCGCCGAGCGCCGTCACATAGGGAACCGCCTGCCCATAGTTCCCATAGGCCACACCGAAGGCGGCCTGGTGGATGGGCGGCAGTTCGTGGTGCTGTTCCTGTTTCATGATGACGGAATTCCCGTCGGACTCCTGTTTGACGGAATGTGAGTAGGTGCTGGAGGAGACCACGGCGTGCGACATGGGACTGGTGCTGTGCGGGGAATTGTCGGTGTCGCTGGAGGGCGACGAATGGTGGGAGGGGCGGAGGGGATGATCGGGGGAATGGCGGTCGGATTGGGATTTGGTGTGGTAGGCGCGCTGGTGGGATTGGCCGTTGGTACCGGCCATCTTGATGGTCGACACTTCCATGGAGCCATCACTACAGCGGAAAGGATAATACGTTTTGTACGATTGTAAAAGTAGAGCTATAACAGAAATGCCTGGCGAGGGAAATTCTCAATGAATGACTGGATGAATGAATCAATGGAGTTTTGGGATCATTATGACAAAAGAAAACAAACTCGTTGTGCCTATATAGTGTGTATGATTGCGGCCGTATATTCTCGAAATTCTTGAGTTGCTTGCCATTGAATCTGCTTGAGGTGGATGAATGGAGAAGTTAGTTCTCATGACACCGCCCACCTTGTCAGCGAACACGCTCGTAAATAAAATGTTCTCATGATACACTTGCCAACTCCAGGCTGACCGTAAAATCAAGGGAATTTAATAAAAAATTTGAAGTTTCAACCACTCTGATTCGCATTATTCTGATTCAGATTTATCGACCGCAATGAGAGGATTTCTACAAGCGTGCGCTACCTCTAAACAACAAAATCTTTCGCTATCGGTTTTATGGAGTGTAATTTTAAATGAACGTTTCACAATTAAAGCCATTTAAACCGTACAACATCATTTTTAAAATTTTCTCCACTTTAGTTTGCTTACATTATTTAGTTACATACCATTTGATATCATATAATAGAACACAAAGTTCTTTTTGGAAATATATCAGCATCAAATTAATATCATACGTTTAACCTATTCGACCTGACATTGCTGATACAATAAGGAAGCGGAATAAAAGCCTTTTGTGTATACCTTACGAATTCGTTTTATACGCGCCGCAAATTTACCGGGGCCAATTTATGGCCATCCCTACATGGCGCGCCAAAAACGTTTTGCACAAATACGATTTATTCTAAATTTTCCTTTCACATCGTTATACTGTCGGTACTAAGAATGTGCTGATACGGCGACACTATTCAGTAGTCATAAAACAGCGGGCAAAATATTCAGATTATTCAGTTGGTGTATAAACAAATTATGATTTTGTGCCCTAAGCCTGAAAACAAATATGGACACCCATTATCAATTTCCTGGCCGCTGGCGCTGCACCGGCCAAAAAGCATACCTGTTGCTCTTAAATAGTCATACAGTGCTTAATCAACCGTATAATACCGCAGCGGCAGCAATGCACTTGATTGCGTTCCAAAGCAATTAGCAAAAAAATTATAGGATAAAACTTTTCCCACCGTAAAAACTTTAGCAATTCACTTCCTTGCTGGAAACGCGCAAGGTTAATTGTTCCCGGAATACATGCTCATTTCCCCGACAATTACGTCAGAAGCGTGCATCAAAGCATAACTGTAAATGACTAACAGCCATAGATAATTATGAAATTATTTCTTATTATATTTAATTATTTATTCAACGATGTCTCATACTGTGGCGAAGAAGACCAGTATCAACATTGCAAATTACTGATAATTTCGAAGCGAGTAAAGTTCACTTTTAATTGTTATAATTTTTATGCCTGGTTTAAATTTGATAAATTGTTAATTTCGCTGTAGTATTTTTTAGCTATTTAAAATTTATAAAGTAGTATATTTATCGTGCTGGTATAGCGTCCGCTCGAAAATATGAAGGCTTTTTGACGCAACCGCTTAGTTCGCTGTACACCGCTCTCACGAACAAATTCTGCATGAAGTTGTATATGGATTCACGACTGGAAGATTTGCCGCTTCTTAGTTAAAGGTAACGAAAACATACCTATGCCATATATCGGCAGTTTTGCCTCCAATCTTCTCCATTCCCGGGATCTTATAATAATCATAAATGGATAATCCCATACTGTGCGGATGCTCATCGTTCCCGTTGATGTTTAGCATGGCGGCGGTGGCCGTCGTCAAGGGATTCTCGTCGTTGAGGCCCGCCGTCTGATTGACCACTGACGTCCGATAACGAATATGCCAACTATCCTCATTATCCAGCATGTTCAGACGGGCCGCGGCTGCATTGACATTGGTTATGACGCTGGTTGGTGTCGTCGCTGATGTCTTGGACTCAATCCCACCGTTCAACTGCTGCTGTTGGCTTTTCTTACTCACAGCCTGTCCTCCGCTGCAAAGAACACACGCAAAGGGTTAACAACGACAATTAGCCGCTCATGCGACGCGCCGCGCCATTCGCTGCTTTCTCGTCGTGGATTACATCATCATCACGACCACCACAGCACGGCACGCTGAGCGTGAAAAAGTGGAATATTATTCCCAAGTTTGCTACACAACATCAAAGCGACATTTGGCTCTTGGGCAGTGTATTTGGCATGCGGCACAGCGTTTACCGGGGATTTGCGACGAATTCCGTCAGTATACTGACAGACACTTAATCACGTGTACACTGGCACATTTCCCTGTAGGAGATGATTAATTTCGAAAAAAGCAACTCAGATATCAAATGACTGGAAAGCGTATATTGTTGACTCCACCTCTGCGTAAAACGGATTAAAATGGCTCTTAGGGTTGCAATTAAAAGCACTTGACGGGGAGCGCAAAATTGTACTTAACAAGTTAATAAATCTTGTTTCTGTCGTACACACAACAACAACAGGGAGACCAGCAAGAGACACAAGAGAACCCAACTGACCGCGCGATTAGACTCTGGGCAGTTTGGGCTGACGCTGCGGCCAGCATCATCATCATGGCAAGCGGATTGGCGCGGATCGGACGCTTGAGATTTACATTAGCAATGCGCATCTGGCGTAGGCGCCCCACTATCGCCGACGGATGAAAAAAGTACCCACAGTGGATTTCAATGGGCTACCGCGCATTTGCACCAGAGACACAGAGAGACAGACAGGGAATGTAATAAAAAACACAGGCGGAATCACGGTTGACGCCCTGCGATCCACTGCGTGCCGCAGCATAGGCTGTACAGGAAAAGGGCACACCGACACCTGTTGTCGCGGGCACACCATCAGCACGAAATTAATTTTTGCAATACATTAGCCGACGTGTGGCAGGCCGTGTGGCTTCTGTATGTTTGTGTTCCGTTGTGTGTGGTGGATTTTTGCGGTGATTCAAGTGTTTTTCGATAATAAATGAATAAATGTTTGACTGGTCCATTCGGACAGTGTATGAATATTCATTGGAGCGCGAATCTTGAAGATGCACATCTTTGCCTGAATGTGCAGTGGTTCAGGAGAAAGTCTTCACCTTCTCAAGTGCTCACCTACTTCACCTCTGACCGACATTTCCAACTTGTGCACGTATTAACGATCGGCGGGATGATGATAGTGCCGTTCTATTACCGATGTCTTCAAATGGAATTGTGGAAATATATGTATTTGCCATGTGAAGGGAGAATATCATTGAAATCAATGCTAACAACCTATTCACATCTGTCCGTGCACCTTTCGGATGCGCCTGACAAAAACTTTGCTAAGTCGTAATTAACACCACCAAAAAGTCTAATTAACCGTCCAACGTTGAATTTTCCACATTCATATAATTTTTTAAGAAATGTTGAAAGTTTTTTGCATAGGCTTATTCTAAGATGCCGAAGATTAAACACGCGGTAACCGTACTGCAGAAGTACGAGTAGCACTCCTAAATTCTTAATAATTAAGCACAATCAGAAGGAAAAAAGCGTTAAATTAGAAATTGTAATGGAGCATGCCGGGCCAGGCGGAAGCGGTACACAGCTGGATGGTTAACATCCGTTTCTCTCTTTCTCTCTAACAGTGCGCCCGGGTTGTTTATGTTGAAGGTGAGTGTTAAAAGAGGTGTTCTGCCATTCCATACATGGCGCATGTGCGTATGCAGTAAATCGTCTGGCAAAGGAAAAGGTGTTGGCTGCATATATCTGTGAAGGCAATTACAGCTCCTTTCATTAAAGCTTCCGCCAAACTTTTTTTCTATCACACACACACACACGGTGCACATTCTCTTTCTCGCGTAGCGCTGCCCTGACAGATGGGTGGTTCCTGGTTGATTGGTGCTGCCGCGCGTTAGAACAAGGCGATTCCTTATGTTCCGATACCGAAACGGACATAATGCACGGCATAGTGAAATGCACATGGTTTATAGACTGTCATCGTGCTCATTGTCAGTGCAACAGGTGACATCACTGGAAGGCACCGCTTCGTGCATACCATAACGTTTTCTTGGTTGGAATAAAATGTAGGAAAGGTTTTTCCGATTTTCAGATAGCCTATGTGCATTTAAATTTTGGAACGCATTGCAAATATCAGTAATTATTAATAGCAGCAATTCTGCACTGAATAAAGGTGACTAATGAAGTTTCCCACGAGGATACATGCGTGGGAAAATTAATGTATTTTTGTTACCGGCATATGGCTTCTAACTTTCCACAGCGAACTGGCTGGATACTGATGCTTTTTGGACTCAATTTGCAAATCAATAGAAACATTAGCAGATGAGCAACTGCTGCACACGTTCTTAGTAATTTTTAATTCCTTCTCCGAAAGGGAATGCGGATTATTTTGACCAAAACGATTACACTTCGCTTTGTCATCTTCTCCAAGCAGACCAAGCGGAAACGTCGAAACAGTAATGCGGAAAAATATTCATTAAAATTCTTAAGAATAACAAAACCGCCCGCGGGTCAACTGCGCAGTGCATTAGAGCTGCCACTACAGTAGACAATGACAGCAACAACATTATCATTGCAACTTTAAATTGCCAGTTAAACGATCCATCTTATCCGTCGCGATCGGGAAAGTGGATAAGTATTTTTAGTATGTATGTATTACAATATTATTGTCTGCTTTGACAATTTTAGCATAAATTAATTTCCCAGAACAGACAAAGTGGAGCTATTACGCAATAAACGGGACATAAATAGACACGGAAATATAGAAAAAGTAGCCAATTTATTCAGCGTAAAAATGCCAACAATAAACAAGAACAGCGGTAATAAAACACTGCTTAATGCTTCTCAAATAATCTACGTGACATTCAGTGTACAATTACCAAATAAAGCATGAGAACCGCGTTTTCGGTTTCGCCCAAATTGTGCATCTGCATACATATGCATGCTGTGCATATATCCACTATCGCCCGGCATTGTAAATTTTACAGACCACCATAATTTATGCCCATGCAGATCTAGAGGTGTAAGAAATTGCGTTACTCTTCAAAGCGTTTTGAGAAAGTGGGTTTCTACAATTCTTTTACAAACGCCGACATTACTATGTTTACGTACAAAAAAAGCTTTTTTCTACCTAAAATTAATCGAGTTTAAACGATTTTCTTACTCGGAAGACATTAATAGAAACTTACTTGTAATATGCATGCTGTAAATAAGCATTACTGCTCATATCAACCATCATTTTCTTGACTCTTCCCTTTTGCTGTTGATTAGCCCACGAAACAAAGTCCCAAAACACACAGCGAACGACCGCCGAAGCACTAGAGCAAGCGAGTAATTATCAGTGCCGGCATTTTGTCAAGACATCTCGCAGTTTCCCCCAAAAACAAATCAACCTGAGAATAAAGTGATCGGTTGGAGCAATATCGGCTTGTGGTATCCTACATGATGGCTGACATTTGGCTGATCGACAAGAATGGATGTATTAACTCCGGTTGACAAAATGAAATGGACCTACGGCTTTCGCCCCAACAAACAGATTAATCAGCCGGTAATGGTGAAAAATTCCGGAAGATATTGGCAATCGACAAATGAAAACTCTCCGTCAGCCGACCGAACGCGAAAGAGTGGGATGGGAAACACAATATCATCCACAAATATCCATTCGTTACAGAAAAAAATGACCGGAAGTGGTTTTTGATATGTATATGCCGTGATATATGCCGGGGGATTAAAGAACAAGCGTCTGCGCGCGCACGCTCATCAACCAACGCAATTCACTCGATCAAAAATGTTTTTCACGGGGGGAGCACCCTCTAGTCTCTGTCTGTCTTTGCCCAGTGGTATATTATACAGCGTTTTAAGATTGGACCTCAAGTACTTTGCATATTAGCCATGGCTGTTACGGATTCTACACGCTATACGTTGCGATGGAGTCGCGGCATCACTTTCCACTTTACGCTATCAATCACCGGCCACTGCATTTGGAAACACACCGGTAAATTGGTTTAGTGTGTTGTGTGTGGCAATAGTGTGCGCTGTATACAGCTAATCCCCGCCCCACCGGTGGATTTCATTTATAGACCACTCCCGCATGTGCAACAGGTGGCTGTTAGTATATCACCGGTACAGCTGATACCTGGTGGTACAAGAAAACAAACCCTTAATGGCAGATCTGATGCTTATCTTGGGTTTGCCCATATTTTTTTAATCACTTACCGGCACATTTCCCTTGAAACTCATAATATTAATTTTATGAATGACTGTCGAACCGCTTTTTGCTTAGCTATTAATTAAGTACCTTTATTATAATTTCTCTTTTTAAAAATAATGTATTGTTTTTGCAAGTAAAAAAGTTATTGTTTATCAAATTTTAATTACATAAGAAACAAAAGTGGAAATGAAGTACACGCCGCTTTTATAATTTATGCAGTAATTAAGTTTACATGAATAGATTAAGTTATATATGAACATGTTTTTTTTCAATAGAATTAGAAGAATTTTCAAACAGATTTGTGGCACTAACCAGTAAGCTCTACGAACAAACTGGTACAGATTAATTAATGCGTCGTTCAGTTAACCTGCTTTTCACTTAATTAAATTGTTAAAATTTTACATGTTGAAATTAACCCGCTCTAATTGGCAAGAAAACGATGTTAAGTCTGTTGTGTTCTACCTTAATGATTTACTACGTGCAGCATGCGTACGTCTCGCCTCATTCAAAGAAAGGCTTTTCCGATCTCTAATTTTAAATCGAAAAAAACGAGTTAGCCAATGCTTGTCACTGTATGTGACGCACCGCCTGAGTTAAGTTGTTCTCGATCAGGTATTAGATTTCAAAAAATGCCCTAGCAAATGTTAAACAGCTGTTTTTCACACAAAAGTCCACAAATTTTTACGCATTTATTTTTCGCCAGCTATTTTTGTAAATTTATTAGGTATCTACGAGTAATTTAAGCAGTTATTTAGATGTTCTTTTAATTCGTTTGTATGGCAGATCTTGCGTTTATGACAGTTATACGATGGCATAATTATCAGCTGGAATTATGTAATAACCCCAAAAGAAACTTTCTCTGATCGTTTATTTTATTTTCCCAACAACAACACATGCCAGCACAATACCCATGTATACACAACGATCAGAACAAAAGCCATGCCGCGCGGCCAGTGTGACCTTGTAAATTTGGCATCGAGTAAATTAATGCGCCGGCATAAGGATCAAATGAACACATACATCTACATAGACAACGCCGTATACCTAACGTATACAGCCAATGCATGCATACTACATTGTACACACAATGGAATGTATCCAGTGAAAAGGAAACCACTTTTACTCTCTCTCGACAGGCTCAATTGTTGTTGTTTTTTCCTCTTCTCTCTCGCACACAGCGGCATATGTCTATACGATATGTAAACTACCTGGCGAGGGATTACGTAACCTTATCACCTTTTCTCTTTGTGGTCAATACTATCAACGGCGCTAGACCAATAAACAAGATAAGATGCCCGGTATTTTTGTGTTAATTAAGCGCCGCACGGCCTGGTGCGCCGTGTGTTTATTAGCGACTGCGACGGCTTGCCAAAACCATAATTAAGAAAGCGATCGGGTAAAACGCAAGGAGGAAGTTGTTTGTCGATGTAAGGGAATTTATTTCTGCAACGCCTGGTATTAATTACTTCCAAGCCCAACACAATCGACATCAAGTGTTAACCAACTGCTGAAGTTTTATGTATATCGTTAAGCAGAGCTAGGGAAATCGCAGAATGAGAAAAGTAAATTGGGCAACTCAATAATTATTGCACTTAAATTTGCATATACAGTAGTAACAATTAAGGCAATGCGCTGCTCTGATAAGCTGTTTTAATTAATTACGAAACATCAAATTCCGAAAGGCTTCTTACAAATAAACTGCGTCTGTAAATTTCAAAATTAGGGTCTTAAACATAGAAAACGGTAAATAAAATCTCAGTAACATAACACAACATTTTTATACTTATACATAACATAACACAACATTTGTATAACAATTTACGATTAGTAACGCTGTCCAAGAAATTAACAAATATGAAACTATAGAAGTCGTTAATTAACGAACAAAATCGCAAAATAATCTTAACGGATTGATTTTTCCGTATATTAGTCAATGCTGGGAAATGAGGCCAACTTGAGAAAAAAGGAAATTTGTTGTATAACTATGTGACTGAATTAAGCGCTTTGTGATATACATACAGTGTGATATACATGTTATGCCTTTAATGTGTCAGTAATTGACGGCAATCGTTAAGGCCTTTTTTACAAGAATGCAAATAATTTAGCACAATGATTATATCAATCAAGTTCGAGGTCATCTTAAAATAGAGTGAAAAAAGCGTAAGGGAAACAGCAACAGTCCGGCGACGTCGGTAGACAATCGTGTGTTTTCCCATTGGGATGCTTTGTCAGTCGGCGTAATGTATGGTGTATATGAAAGACAAACATGCACACTAACAATGCGCACGGCTGTGTGGCCATAGTCAGCGACACTGACAGTTTATTGCATAATCAATAAACACCAAAATGTAGTTAACCTTGAACGTCGCCGTGTGCGCGCTCTTTTTTTAGCAATGTACTATCACCGCATGCAGTCCTTCTCCTATTAATACTTTGTACATTACATATACACAGTATGCGTCTGGCTAGCGTTATATTATAGTTGGAATATAAAATTAAACTACCAGCTTCACGGAAATCACAGTACAGCAGTATATAGTGCGCGGACGGAAACCGGTATTTTTGGTGCAATTGGAGCTCAGCAAAGGGATTACTCTTTTCAATCTAGCTAGTATAATCACCCGCCAAAAGATTATTGTCTGTAGTATAATTGTAGGCGTATTTTTGGATATTGTGCAGAATGCCAATGCGGCTAATCAAGCACCAGGGTGTTGATTAACGTGAAAAAGCAGCTAATTATGATAAAAATTTTATGACTGGCTGGCTTGTTCAGGTATGCATTAGGTCACAAATTTTTTTAAAACGAAACATTCCATAAAATGCTCACAGGCTCTTCCCGTGTGAGTGCACTAGTCACGCGGTGCTTAACCAAAAATAAAAAAGATGGTAAATTAAAAATTTGTATTACATGCAGTTTTTAAGTTTGTGTTAATGATAGTCAGAAAGACTCAGAATGTTGCAATCTAAACTAGCTTCAATCTGAGTAATTTGTGGTGGCAGTGGGGCATGTTAAGTAAATGTTGTGAGTGGCTACCAAGAAAGCAGTGCTCCCGGATGATGAAAAATTAATACAGCGTTTGATGCGTCGAGCGATACGTGTGCGTGCGCTTTGCCCAGTCCCACCCATGAACATGAGCGTTGGTCGTCGACGACAAGTACCCAGGTTGTCGCAGTGCTGTGTATGCGTGTGGGCCGAACTCTTGCGCATCGGGATAACAATCGCATTATGACTCTTGCGTTTTTCCTACCAGCCCACACTGCATGAGTGATCATGGACAACGGTTCAGCGTAATTTTCAAGTGTTTTCTCTGTACTCCATACACACTATTAAATGTGTTTACTTGCGCATTAGTGCAGCATTACCGTGTATCGCTTACCGATACGTTTTTTCTCTACCGGTGCTACTGTGGGGAATTATTTCAAATGCGGCTTACTGTCCAAAATCTATATCTTCGTTTTTTTTATTTGTTTTTAAGAACTGTGTTACCGAATTCCGCAATATGTGTTTTTAACTTCGACCCCATAAAAGTGCTACTGCTTGCAAGTTGTACAGAGCACTATATTAAATAGTATGACAGAGATGAAAGTCATGAATGCCTTTAAATTCACCACAGTCTGCATGCATTAACTGAGTGATTTCATAAGTACACTGTTTGAATTCTGTAGGAACTGATCAATCTCACAACCGTAAAATGGATGGCCATCTCTTGAGTCGCATGCGCCAATATAAGCGGTAGCATGGGAACCGTACAATCTTATGCCTGGAAGCTGTTGACGTAAATTGTCGTCGGAGATTGATTTTGGGCCTTCCCAGGCGTACACAATTAACCTTTTATCTTTAATCATACTATATTTGCCTCAATTTTCCCTGCAAAAGACACTACATTAGAAAATTCCTCTACCCATATCAAAAAGCAAATGGAAGGCACTTTGGAATCCTACACAAAAATGCGAGTGCACTTTAGTTGCTCTTGAGATTGCTTTTTTACATGATCAGCCAAAATCATCCTGACAATTTCAAACATACTGACCAATTAAACAAACACCAGTCAGGCACGAATTTGCATATTATCACTGTCAGATGTTTGAACTGTGTCGTTTTTGTACGCGGCACAAAGTGGACTACCGATTGGCCGCGCGCACACACACAACCGATTTTCTGCTGATGTCAACGGGAATTTTTTCTGCCGACATCAGGTTATATTTTTCAGGGTTAAACGGTGTGGCCATTCTCCAGCTGAAGAATGGCTGTGTGTGTGAGTGGTTTGGAAAGATGGAGAAATTCCAATATAAAGTGTGTAAGAGAGAAAACGAGAAAGAGAGTCAGACAGACAGCCAAGACAAACAAGTGAATTTCTCTTTCACTCTCTCTGGCTCTGCATGCTATACTGTTACCGGTGTATGCGCCGGCACTGACCATGCATGACAATTTTTAAATTGTTGTGATGACCCATCCATAAAGAAAATGGCCGGAGGGAGGAAAGCGCAAGTGTCTACCTGTGATGGCGGAGGGAATCTCTTCGCCTGATCAGACGCAAAGGAAAGTGAAACGGAGATACGAGAAAGTCGGTCATTGTGGTGGATGAGTTATGACTATAGGTGATATATCAGACGAAGAGGGAAGTTCAAACCTTTTGTCAGCCCGGTACAAAATGGCTGCTGTTGGCTTTGCCCTAATGAACTTCTTTTCGTACGGTCGAAAAGCAAGCTTTCACGACATGTGACACGAGAATCTGGATCTGCTGCAATCTGGATCGTGCAGCGGCC